AGACACCTAAGAAAACCCAGACACCTAAGAAAACCCAGACACCTAAGAAAACCCAGACACCTAAGAAAAACACCTAAGAAAACCCAGACACCTAAGAAAACCCAGACACCTAAGAAAACCCAGACACCTAAGAAAACCCAGACACCTAAGAAAACCCAGACACCTAAGAAAACCCAGACACCTAAGAAAACCCAGACACCTAAGAAAACCCAGACACCTAAGAAAACCCAGACACCTAAGAAAACCCAGACACCTAAGAAAACCCAGACACCTAAGAAAACCCAGACACCTAAGAAAACCCAGACACCTAAGAAACCCAGACACCTAAGAAAACCCAGACACCTAAGAAAACCCAGACACCTAAGAAAACCCAGACACCTAAGAAAACCCAGACACCTAAGAAAACCCAGACACCTAAGAAAACCCAGACACCTAAGAAAACCCAGACACCTACGAAAACCCAGACACCTAAGAAAACCCAGACACCTAAGAAAACCCAGACACCTAAGAAAACCCAGACACCTAAGAAAAACCCAGACACCCAAGTGCTCATTTTAACCTCGATGGCTTGTTAGAAACTGTAAAGGACCTTTGAATCAACAATGACAAAAAAGATCCAATTGATATTTTTTGTAAGGGGGCCATGCCATTTTATTTCTATAGATAAGCGAGGCACATCATGCCATGGAGTGGCACGTCGCACATAGCCACACTTATTAAGACAACCTGGGAATTAGATGGTTTTTCTCTTTCAGATATATAAATGTATAGAGCTTTCGATTAAATTGAACTTAACAGAAAAAAAAAAAAAGAAACAAAAAAATAAGACATTTTCTAAGTTGGTCTTTTTCACCAGAAAGTTGTATTTAGATTAAGTTCTATTCAAATATTGCCTATTGAGCAGTGAAACATTTCAGTCGTCACCCGGTGGAGAAACGTGCAATTTGATCCACTCCTTAAGCTGGTTGGGGCTGTTTGTCAAAAGCCTTCCCAATTCCAATCCTGCTTCGTAGAGAAGAAAAGTCGGAAAGACCTCCACATTGGCTTTCTGCTTGGGGCTATTAGTGCTGTTGTCACCCCTGCGATTTTCAATCTTGAAGAAAGCCTCGCCGAATTCGTCGGCAAACTTATCATAGTAAGGCCCTAGCTTTTCGCAAGGTTGACAGCCTTCGCCAGAGAAGTAGACAAAAACGTAATCTCTCTCCAGTTGCTTGAGAATGTCGTCAAACTCTTTTAAGGTTTCAAAATTGGTGACTGGCATAATTGACGTTATACTGGATAGTGGACTCTAGTTGCAACAAAAAAAACTGGGGATTTAACCACATAATGGGATTGCTTGGTATTTATGTGGCTTCCTTCTTCACGACAGATTATGACGCAGATCGCCTTCAGGGGCAAACTTATTCTGACGGCAAAGTATACTTTATCGCTGATATCTTACTGTTTAATTGGCGCCACACGAAAGCGCGACATGGAAGTACACAAAATAATATGACAGCAGCCCTACATCTCGGGGATGCTGTCTCCACGCGGACATACATTAGGTCTTGCATGAACAATAGCCTAGTTTTGATAAGGTTTTCAAGGTTATACTTGAGTTTCAGAAGGCGACAGTTGTATATCAAAGGCTCTCAGTGCAGTGAGTCAGAATCAATAGAGGTATTACAAAGAGAAGAACTACCAACAAAATAAAAAAAAAAAGATAGAAAAAAAATAGGGTGCAAGTGACGCAAGTCCCATATTGTATGTACAAATACAAATAAACAGACTTGCAGTATTATTATCGATTGGCTCCCTAATTACCGTGATTGAGCCACACCTCAAGACGGACCTAGAATAGTACACGTAACGTCAAATCAGGGATACAAGTCTAAGTCTTCACGCAGCGCACATGCAGTTTTCAGCTGGTTACATGTTGCACTGTTTAATCAAAAGTTCTTATCGGGAAATTCTTTTTGTTGACGTCGCGGCTGCGAAAAGTCCTGCTTGCATGGTTGATAAGAGTTGACAGATAAGATGACAGGTCGATTGAGCGATAGAGTTTGAAATGCAATAATGGGGAGTTCAATGCCTAAAAGCGTCAAATGGGCAAACAAATTGAGTACCAAAGGTTAAGAGGTAAATGATCCCAAGAAACAGGAACGCGCCAAAGAGAGGGAAAGAGAACAGGAGAGAGCCAAACGCTAGCCAAACTACATATCATCTCATTGTGCAAAAACAGCAGCCATTCCAATTCAACCCGAGGTGGTATTCCAAAAGGGGCTCTCGTGTTTGCTTAATTTGGAGAAGGTACATATTGCCTTCAGCATCACTTTGATGGCGTGATTTGAGGGAATTATTGTTAAGAGTTCAGTGCCCCACAGCCGTGCTTTCTTCACTTAGGTTAGTACAGAGTATAGTCTAATTAAAACCCCTCCCATTTAGCAAAGCTGTATACTGTGGCCGACTGGAGTTGGGCCTTGCATGGAAGGAGCTTTCGAGGCATTTCGTGCCAGCCTCCCAAACACTGTCTCAAAACACACAGCATGCTCCACGGTATATCACACGTAATGGCTACTGTAGATGGCTTTCTTAATTTGAGCACCAGCGAGTCTCAACTGTGGTTGTTTTGGAGTCTCGCAAATAGGTTGTGATGTCTGCTGTAGCTTCAGTCATTGGCGAAGAAATGAATTCAATTAGATGGAAAGCTCTATACATTTACTGGTGCGCTTTTCTGTTGGCTCATCTCCAGTGGAATATTCCACTTGGTGCACTCCTGAAATGGAGGTTTCCTCGGTGTCCTCGGTTTCCTCGGTGTCTTCTCTAAGCATGTTATACCTGTTTCCATCCTTTGGGCGCGAAGCCTGGGCTGCTGTAGGTGCAGGGGATTGATTACCCGTTGGCTTTGACAAAGTCGGGAAGTTGTTTTCATCATAAGACTTTTTTTAAGACGAAACTTCAGTGTCGACCACTCTGTTAGGACTTTTTTTTTTTTTTTTTTTTTGTTGAATTCAATTAAATGGAAAGCTCTATACATGTATAGGACAGAACGCACAGATCTGCCCGCTATCAAACGTTTTCTTCTTCATGCTTTTTTTAAAAAAAAAATTTAATTCACAATAATTACAGTGTTTGGCATCGCGAGTACTGGTTTTGCTTATTTTCTGCGAATCTGTAAAGCTAACATAAATGCGCAAATTGAAACGGTCACCAAAAATCGAAATGTCTCTCAATTTAGAGATAAATAGAAAAAGAATTAATTAGAAAGTACAATGAAGCTTTGCCCAATGTTTGAGTTCAATTAAAGAACTCTAAGGCGTGTTTTCATGTCTTTTCCATTGATGCGACTCTAACCCATATTGAGTTGTTATACAAGGGAGGCAGCCACATAACAAAAAAGGAAAAGAGGCAAGTGAGTGAAATGAGAATTGACCAAAATTTGTTGATTACAATAGATTTGGCTATGTGTTTTTTTGCTTATGGTAATGTTATAGCTAATCTTGAGTTTGCTCAATGTGTGGGTAAAGTGTTGATAAAGAGGCGACAAAAAAACAAGCAAAAAAATTTTTTCTATAGGGTCAAACAATTGTAAAACTTTGATTATTGACCTTAAAGGCTTGACTAGATTACTTCTTACACCTCTACAAACTGCTGCTCGTAGTCTTTCATCGTACACGAGTCGTCGTGCCGACGTCCCTGAGTACAGGCATCCAGAAAAGCGGTACCCATTGGTTATCTCATCTATATGTGAGGGTCTCCAAAACAGAACGGATCGTGTTGGCCTGGGGTCTCATGTCATTCAGAAATAAAAAGCATTATCCGAGTGATGGAACACATATTTATGTTCTACAGATCAAGTATAGTTCGCCAATGCCTCATTGTCATTTTGGTTGCATGTCCACTAAACAAGCCGCTCGGCTTTAGACTGATACATCCATATTGGGAACCCGATCCTCACTTGAGACCGAAAAAGGATATCGTAGCAATGAGCCAAGCATCGCTGGTATATTTTATGAAATTCTTCCAATAATGCTCGGTCAACCAAAGGCCGTCACAGTTGATACAGTTGAGCAATTTGAACTGTAGAATTGTCTGATAGTGCTCCGGAGTAACTATTGACCAAAACAAGTATCGAGACAATTTGAGCTCTGTTCAAACTCTTCTCTATCTACATCATCTAGCAGATTAGGCTTGTCGTAATCTCGTGACTGCTAACAGAACACTGTACTTTTTTTTGTCTATCGAAAAGGATCTTTATGACAGGTGTGAACGAAGACGTACAGAAGTAGTAGATTCTTGATGTTGATAAAGAGATTTGATGGAACCTGGGCGCATTTGCATTTATGGTAAATCTCCAGAGCGGAACAACAGAGTGAAAGGCACCTGTCATAAGAAAAACAAAAAAAAAAGCTTGAACTAGACATATGAGCGAGCCGCCCTATCCGACAATAGCTGATAAGAGTCCTATCCATAAATATTTTTTAATACTGTGGTCTCTTCTGCTCCTTGGAACGCCGGGTGAGTGTGTGGCGCCGTTCGCTAATGCAGGTTGACTTGTACTTGACGCGGCTAAATAGCACAACAGTAGATATCAAAATAGCGCCGAGCAGATAGATATCGAAATTTCTCTGATGTAAAAAAAAATCAACATAACACCGATCATGAGGTGATCTTTGTACGAGGAAACGGCCTAAGCGTGGTTGTTTAAGAAGCCTTCGTATGTACCTAGAACCTGTAAAATATGACAATCCGTACCGCTCATAAAGTATATAGAAGAAGAACGATAAAAGATGTTTTCGGACAAACTTGTGAATAAACATCACTGCGAGTGCCATTTCGAGTGTCTGACTGGAATTAGTAGTAACGTGAAACCATAGTGGAAAGAACCCTTTATCTTCTATGACCTGACTTTCCGTAGTATATCTCATACATACGATAACAGAGATTTCCACTTCGATTTTACAAATTTCAATAAGCCTCCTTCAGAGCCACATGAGCGATGCTATCGTATCTCAGTTAAGCTCCTGAGCATCAGCATCGAATAAGCCTGGTTTACAAGGAGCAGAATCCCCTCGATGAAATAGCCCCCAGAATGTCCTCAAAACAATCTGAGGCCTGTTGAAGTTAAACTTTGTGACATTAGCACAGGTTGGAGATAAAGTTACACGCGCTGCACCTGATGACAGCACGGTTTGCTTGTACGTGCAAGGCAATGATGGTTTCGTACAATGCTTCAAAAGGACGGCATACTTGCCTGAGCTGCGTATCACTGATTCCTCGGTGGTTTGGAACGTTGACTCTTCATCGTCAAAAAAATCTGCTGCCACATTTGACAGTTCTGCCCATCGCTGTAAACCGTAACAAGGAAAATAGACCGAATGCCTTTAAGCCACCTCTGCTATTCGTAGACAGGCCGTTCATAACCAATTAGGCTAGAAGATAGTGCCTTACCAGTACACGGTAAATTAGACCGAAACCGGTATGACAAATAGGTACCTTCGTTGAGCCACCTTGGTTGACATCTACAAGACCGAGGAGAAATAAGTATAAAAGAACGGCTAATACTGGATATTTTAAAGCCTCATGGAAAAGTGCCCTCCATGTTTCAGTGTGTGACATGAGCAAACACTCATTTTATTTTCATTGGGCTGGTAGGCAACCAAGAGACCAAAAAGGAATTGGTCTTGGAAATGGCAGATTAACAATGTGCAACATTTTTGAAAACCCAGATTTGCTATCAAATCCTGCAAAAGTAGGTGGAAGCCCGGTTAAGGTTGTCAATGGTCATGGTAGAGGAGCTACAGGGTGAGGGGAAAGAATGGTTCGGTAGCAAGAAAGCAGACTTTCTTGGGTTTGCTTTCCAGGAAAATTATTGCATGAGAAAGAGAGAGTACTGAGTATACCAGGGTGCTATTTTGACAGATAATCGCAGTCTTACGTTCATTGGCTAGTTGGTGCATCAATGGTGCAGCCATGTCTTTGTGCATCATTTTGATGCCATGGTTAATGGAATAGCAAAAAACTCTTTTTTTCGTCGGAAATAGCTTTAGTAAGAATTGAGATTACTTCAAAATTTTTAGGAGCATAATCGTACTCTGTCCCATCTTCTTTCGCTGGAATATCTTCACAGCCAGCATAGTGCGATGGTACATCCCTAGAAGCCAACGAGTTGTGTATTGTAATATCAGTCGCCCACCCCTTTTTGAAGTCACAGGGTGAACAGTAAACGTTTCTTACTAATATCACAAAACAGGTTAGGTATCGTGATTGGCTCCCGCTAGTAACAATGCCGCAGGTCACCTCGCCTGGGGTTAGGCAACTGCGCGCCATCTGCGACGAAAGCCGTTCGCGGGAATATAAAGGGAAGAAGATCCATCTCGATGCGAAGAGATAAGTTTTTGATTACCACCAGCTCGAAAAATGTCAGACATAAGCGAATCCCCCAATGGTGATGCCACCTCTACACTGGAGCAGTCTTATGTTTCCACCGTCACCCAAGGTCTGACGACCATAAAATTTATTTCAATAGAGACGCTTGGACCTTATGTCGGGTGTGAAAAACCCGACGGCAGCACGGCTTCCTGGTACGTGCCAGGCAATGATGGCTTAGTACAATGTTTCGAAGGCACAGCATACTTACCTGGACTGCTTATTACCGGCTCCTCGTTCAATGGCGCACCAGCGGGTGCTACTGCTAGTTTGCTTGTGGTTCTAATGACTTTGCTTAACTATATTTTTTAATAGACTAACGGTCCTTATGTTTGAGAGGAATTGAGATTTTCTGTATCACCTACTACTTGATGATAACACTTTGGAATATACGGTTCAATTCGTTCATGTACCTGATCATGTAGCTCTTTTGAACCTTCAAGAGACATTCTTCTTTTATTATGAGATGTTTTTTTAGACTTTCTTTAAGTCACCTCAAGAAAGTAGGTAGGGATCTACAAGCGAATGGAGCCGAACGCTCGCTAATGCGCGCATCCTTGCAAGCGACACAGCCGTCTCTTGATATAAATAGAGATCAATTAGATGTGCAGTAAACATAGATTAGATAAGTAAAAATAAACACGATTTTCTTTCGATATCAGGAAAATTTCCATGACCAAGTCAGCCACAATTGCTAAACAGAACACACGGATAGACCAGGAGGTGAAACGGTGTAAGGAAACCAGACCTTTTTAAGACTACACCAGGCTTACAAGAGATCCAATGAAAGATCACAACTTTCAACGATAAAGGCTAAATTTATCATTGGCACACAAATAACAGTGTTTCTTGTTTCGACTATTACCGAGCTGTGACGTTCATATCGATGGTTAGATTCTGGTGATAAGCTCAACATACGAAGCTCATTGTTCTGTTGCCAACTGTATCAGTACAATAGGTGCTACATAAGAGCCAGTAGGCAAGTTTGCACCTTTTCCATCATCAGTATGACTAATGGCTTGGCTGCACAAACAATATCATCCTCGTTCTATTAGGTTGAAATCTTATTCATTAACCGGTAATGTGAACGGAAGTTTGGATGGCCCAGTGGAAGTCGATTAACTAGGTGAAGTGGTTAACGCATCTGGCCGATACTCCTCACTTCAGGTTTCAGGAGGCGCTGTTTAGCTCCGACCGTGGTCAACCCAAAGCCTCTAAACTTTCCAATAATAGTCTTTGGAGTATTCCAAAGATGGATGGAAGATATGTAAAATATAGCTGCTGTACTTTATTTGAAGATCAGTCCCTTGCAAATCATATACATCCAATTAAGCAGTTTTACAAAACTATTGAGGGAATCAAAAGGATGAATGCAGCTCATGGAGGTCGTCATTGATTGAAGGGGGCTTTCTGGTTATCTGTTGTGGTTGTGGACTATCGCTGTGGCATTTTTCATGTAACGTACCCATCTAAAGATGGATATGGAGAAAATCGGCTTCTTGTTCACTAAAGGAATACAAAGTGGCAAGAGTACCATAAAAGCAGCTGACCGAGAAGAAAACACCGGAACCAAGTATTCGAACAGTATTGCGGCTTAATATAGCGAAACAAGCGAACAGAAAGCAAACAAAGCAACAACAGAGATCTTCAACTTTCTTTAGCTTCACTAAATTATTCTTTTTTTTTTTTTTTTCTTTTTTTTTTTTTCTTTTATTTTTCTTTTATTTTTCTATTTGGCATTTCCTTTCACAAAGTTGGGAGCCCCCACGAAAGTAGCCACAAACGTCGTATACTGACATCAAAGCACTTATGGAATTGTTCAGCAATTCAAAAAATATGGATACTGTAGTGTGTAGTTTCAACTTCAACTACAAATCACTGGTGCCATTTACCAGAATCTTTTAAAGAGATAACGGAAACAAGGGAAAGAGTTAATAGGATTAATTGATCAAGTCATCCAGCTATTCACTTTTCCACACTTTAAGAGTCGTCTGTGAATCACTATCTTTCAGTAAGCAAACCTAGTGAAATTAACTCCTGTGAAATCCCGTCCTCTAAAAATGTTTCCATTCAATCGGGCCGGTTCGATACCAGTAACTGTGCAAAGGGGCAATGGAAGACCAGACCTAGGTTCTACTAGGGGAGCCACAGCATTTCGAGACAGAACCCAATCTACAAACTCCTTTCCTGTCCCCCAGGTAACTATTAATAGCATTCACTAGGAGTATCATCATGAAAAGGGGCAACAGCTAGTTCAAGACAAGAGGAGGCTTATCCCGTAACCTGATAATGCAAGATGGCCTAAGCCCCTTCCGAAGCAACCTACTACTTCAGCTACTTTACTTCAATTTCGCTAGTTTCCACACCCTAGAAGGCGGTGTCAAAAACGTTTCCTTGCTGTATGACCTCTTGCCCTCTATATACTCATCAGGCGTCAAAAATTTTGACATACACAGGCTTGCGTTGGTGTTTGTGGTATATTGGTGGTGGTTTTGGCTCATCATTCGCAGTCTATAAATACAATACTGTACAATTCCTTTTGGGTAACTTATCATGCACTAGTACTTCTTTTAGCAAGCACAACCGGAACCCACAAGGTAGCTTTCAGCCAATGGCATTTTAGTGTCTACACTTTTCCTTTGAGCCAATAGGTGACTTTCCCCTTTCTCGGTTTGTACACAAATCAGGAACACATAGGGTTTGTGTCAATTCGATTCGCTCAAACTTCTTTAATATTGTATACACATGGCACTCTGCAAAGTTATAGTTTCCTTAAAAGATCAAATTGTTTTGGAATCATCAATGCAGCCTTGAGATTTCTAGTCGGCTTTACTTCATGCCGTGTGGGGGGTCCACACGGGCGGAAATTTAAGCGCTCTACAGATTCTCTCCAACGTGATGGTCGCCACAAAGGGAACTAAAGGCCTCGCGCTGGATTAGCGTGTCTCGCATCTAGCAGCCAAGAAAGTCGGATCACAACAACTGGATTGTAAATTTTTTTAAGGAAGAAAAGTATCATAAATTTGATGAAAGGGCGATGAGGGTGGGTTGCGAGAGTTCCATTGTACAGAGTCTTCTCTAACGGTCGAAATTTTTGTTCACCCATAAATAATGAACAAAGCAGAAGTTAGTCTTCCGGTCGTTCGACTCTCGCTGACTCGAACGACCATAAATAAACGAGGGGTCATTTGTCTTATTGGTGCGGCACCACGGGGTATTGAAACTCGAAATGCACAGCATCATAACGAGTTTCCTCGCAGCAAATACACTTTGGCATCAATTATCATCAATGAGATCCTTTTGCACTTCCATTGATTGATAATATTTCCCTATGGATAGTTCTACGGCAAGTGGACTCCGAATCATTTAATGGTTAGTTTAAGCGAGTTATCGCCAGGTCCTACCACTTCGAGAACGGCTTAAGTCGAATGCATACACGAAGCTTTAGCTGCGGCTCGGCTGCACCGTCAATTCCAGTACATGCAACTATATGAGGTTGCACCTTCGCATCAAGAATCCCAGTAGAGCTGGTTTTCCACCCTACGATGTATCCTTTAATAAAAAGGAATGCTCAAATAGTGGCAGCACCGTTAGTATTCTTGTTTCAGCTCTTGAATCGAATTTTCTGGCTGGGACTTAATGAACGCTCCATTTTTACTATGCCCTTGAACTTTTGCGTGAATTTTTCGCCTGTGTTCATATGGCTTTTAATTTTTAAGAATGCTGGACTTATTCCAAAGGAAATACGGCCTCTCATTCACGTCTCGTTGGCACATCATGTTGATGATATTGTATTTGATGTCTGGGGAAACCCCGTAACCTCGATCCTTTCTTTGGCTGCTCTCAAGCTTTCTGCCTGGGGATTATATGTGTGGTTTTTCCTGAAACGTGGTTCCGAAACCATAGAAAGCACAGCTTGTCTGTCCATGTCCCCTTCGCTGCAGCCTGCGTTGGAGTTATCGGTTTTTGATGAAGAGGAAGACTTTGACCTTAACAAAAGCACCCAGGGTGAGGACTGCGTTCCATCAGGGTTTCAAAGCCACCCAAGGATTGGCTCTCTACCATTCTTTCCCAAACTTACACAACATGATGCCGCTCTAAATGCCAGAGCAATTAATAGAGAACTCTGGCATCACATGAATGAAGAGGGGGCTCCTACACCTTTCAACTGCTGGCAGTTGACGCCTCCTATACTTTTGGGAGCTTCTTGGATCTTACTCAACATCGACTCATCTCTTGCAAAGAACATCACAGAAACTAAGGACACTATAGCATGGCTTTCATACGTCATAGGACACTTTTGCGTACCCCTTTTCACCGCTATCTGGCTTTATGTTTTTCATGCTCCAGGGGCATTGAAGTGCTTTGGGTTTGCTTTGGGAGCACAGAACATTGCAGGTGTGTTGACTCATCTTTCATTCCCCAACGCTCCTCCATGGTTTATTCACAAGTATGGCGATGATGCTCATGCTGATTACGATACCTTGGGCTATGCCGCTGGGTTAACGAGGGCTAAGTTTTCCACGGGTACTTTTATGGTCAACAACGGATTCCATAAGTCACCCATAGTCTTCGGAGCTCTTCCTTCGTTGCACTCTGCTATGGCGGTTATGTGCTTCTTCTTCGTGTGCTACTACTCAAGATGGATATCTGCCAAAATGCTTCTTTTCGCATTTGTGTTTTGCCAGTGGTGGGCTACCATCTACTTGGATCACCATTGGCGTTTAGACCTTCTTGTTGGTCTCATGTATGCTATTGTGTCATATACAATCTTTTCGAAATGGTTAATGCCTCGTGTGGACCACGAATTTGCACAAGCAAGGCTACGCTACGATTTCAGTAAAGGTTCAACAATGGGAATGAGAGTGTTTCGGAACACCAAGATACAGAACTTCTTCGATCCAATGGCTTAAGTATAGTGGAATACTTGTCGTTCTTTTACATGTAAATGTTGACCGTCTAGTTGCCGGAGGCGGTCCATGGGCAAGGAGTGACTTCTTTTTATTGACGGATTAGAAGGGGGACACTTGAGAACCCCTTTTATATAAGGTATTGTAACATATACGGACATTCATTCAAGAAACATTTTCATCTGAAGCAAAGCTATCCTTCGGTATATCACATTTTCGAATTGTGGAAGCCTCTTCGGCCCGTCGGTTGGTTCCAGTTACCGGACATTCAGGAAGCACAGGGAGCTCAAACCAATGAAAGAAACGAAGACTATGGGTTCGAGATATTTTCCGAGGAGGCCTACAGTGTTGCTGAAGAAACAATGTCTTTCGAACGTGTTGGGCTAAAAAGTAACCAGCAAACACTATTGAATCATGTAGAGCCAATAGATAGTGATGAAAAGATGTTTCGTATCCGTGATGAGCATCAAGCGGAGACCGCAAATAGATGATGCATAAAGTTTGCTTTCGATAGAAGCCAACTGCTCATTACGGGATGTGAAAGACTGGACTGAAAGGGAAGTAGTACGGTAAAAAGAACTCGGTTCAGTTGAAAAGTCTTTATGTAGTATTCTTCTACTCAATAAAACTTGGTTTAGTTCTACTTCACATATAGTATGGGCAACTTTTATAAAATGAAAATGTAAATATGCTATAAATTTTTAAAACAACTTCTTGCATAAGGGTCAACAGTAACTAGTGACCTCACAACTCGCGTTCAACGAATTGTTCCAAGGAAGTAAGGAAGTTTATGATTAGATCAACAAAGCGGCAACACCAGCAAAGCCAAGAGCAGCACCAGCAGCGTTCTTTGCAGCCACACCTTCAAAAGAAGAGACACCTGGGGCAGACGATGGGGCTGGAGCAGAAGTAGACACCGAGGCAATGGTGGTTGGGGTGGTAGGCTTTGGAGATGGGGCAGGAGTGGTAGACTCTGGAGCACTGGTGACCTCCTCTGGGTGGGAAGTAGCTGGTGCTTCGGAAGCTGGAGCGGAAGAAGGCTTTGGAACAATACACTCTTCAGTAACAGTGACAGTCTTTGGCTCAGAGACAGTGATGGTCTTTGGACCACAAGCCTGGTTCTCACAAGTGGTGACGGTCAAGGTGGTTGGAATTGGGCAGTAAGTGGTGAAGCCAGTCACAGTGACATGGTCAGTGACAGTGGTGTTCCAACCAGCACGGGCCGAGCTTGGGGCGGCTGGGACCTCGGAAGAAGAAGCTTCAGAAGGAGAAGCAGACTCCTCGACAGTAGCCTCGTCAACTCTCTGAAGACCAATCTTAACACAGCTGTCGTTGGCAGATTCACCAACAACAACACCGTAGCTGTCAGTGAAGTAACGGTATGGGTCCGTCAAGTTCTTACAGGCCCAAAGCTGCTGGCCAATGTCGAACTTGCCCTCGTCGTCGAAGGTGACTTCACTTGGAGTGATAGCTGGGCCCACAGCAAAGTAGTTGCCGCTGGTACCGACGTTGGCGGTGAAGGTGCCCTGTTCTTGGTGAAGAGTCTTCTTCTCGGCGTCGTATTCAAACTCTTGTCCAAGCTGGCCAGAGACACCAAAGTAGCTGATACCAGCCCCCTCGTGGAGACCCTGGATGCCACTGCCATTGAGCTCAGAGTCGTCTGAGACAATTTGGAGGTTGAAGGTCTCGGCAGCAGCGGCAGTGGTAGCAATTAAAGCAATAGTGGAGAAATGCATTGGAATTTAGATTTATGAGAATCGATGATGAACAAAAAAGCGAAAATGATGGGAAAACCAGCTCCTTATATATTGCAAGCAACCATCCTACTCTATCGTTTGCGGCAACATCGATACAGCTGCAACCAGCACATGTGTACCTTAAATCTTTCTAATTATAGAAAACATCGCTGGGCCCTGATGCACCTTTACTCATTTAGGCGCCTTACGCATAAACAGTGACGCTGACTGACGTTCTCAGTAGTGTTGTTGATGTCTATTTATACTCTTTCTGTTAAAAATTTCACAAAGGCTCATGTAGCGGTTACGTCATAAGCCGCCATCGGTACCTTTATGCAAGTTATTATGCCAAAACGGGTGGCTGGCATCTTGCAAAAGACATATCCTGGTCTCTATAGGGGAATGTGGGGCTCGATAATGCAGCTGTCTTCCTGTTTGCCCCTCGTTTTACACGGATTTCCATCCACAGGGCGTTGGTCAGGGAAAGTGTAATGGAAGCAAGAGCTGAAAATCACCTGTTTCGAAAGGATCACAAAGTGCCAGGTTTGTTGAGGTTGCGCTTGGATACGATGTACCTGAACCTGGTCATACTATGAAAAATGTGAATATAAGGGTTGTTTTAGTCTACGTTGGTTTACCTTAACCCGTCCTTCTGTTGGTTTCAGTCATCATAGTATACCCATGTAGCTCAGTACCAACTCTTCGGTTACCTCCAAGCCCTTGCTTCACCTCCAAACCTAATTTGAACTCGCTTACTAAGAGGCTTTCCCATTCTGAGCCTTCTGCAAGCATCTCGCTTCGAAATGACCTTTCACTTGCCTAAAAATAAGTTTTGTTTACTTCATGCGCTTTGTCATAGGCGATGCGCATCGAATTGCACTTAATGAGTACCTTCGACGTCTTCACGCATAAGGCGAACCATGAAAATGACTTACAAGTATCCAAACGTGGGGCGCCTCATGAAGCTCGAAGGGTTTTCTTTTCTTAGAAATAAGGGGTACATTGTTATGTGTTTTGGGCGGGAGATGGTTGACAGCATATAGCAGTAGCCGCCTCATCGCAAGCCTCTTTGGTTAAGTTAGGGCGGGAAAAACTGAGCAGTTTTGGTTTTGCCAGGCGTACCAAGGAGCATTTGATTTTTGATGTTTTGTCATTCTCTGACTTGTTTTTTGGGTTGGAAGAACCCTCCTACTTAAGAGCAATGTCTTGTTCACAGCCAAGAATTGTTGTTTGGTGGGGAAGTATAAAGTTTAGGGATGAAATACGACACAAGTGGACCTTTATGCTCTACTCTAAGGCGGATAACGAAATATCTTCATATCATATAGCTAAATGGGTTAACCCATTCGGTTCCATAAGTAAGGGTATTGTGTGCGACATCTCTGTATGCGACTTTTCAGGCTAAATGGTTCGAGTGGACGACATTTTGGCTGCAAAAGACACTTGTTGTGCACATTCCACTGAAAATACTTGCTTTTGGATAGTGGCTTTTGGTTTGTTGATGGGGAGTATAGAGAGATCGGCTTTGAAGCTTCTAAAGGGCTTACTTTCTCGTTTTAGGCCCTAACAGCCATCTAGACACGAATCTACTGGTTGGCAGTACAAACACTCATAATAACATCATCCTATTTTTTCTTTTTACAATTTTCATATCAAACACCTACTCAGCCTTGCTTACAGTCTCCACATGGACAACCTGGGTCTTCTTGGCTGAAGGCAGTGTGTGTAAATCGTCAGCTTGGTCCTTGAACAACAGATCCTCCAAGTCCACTTCCGGTTCACCATCGAACAATACGGCAATTTCTTCCAAAGAGTAGCCTTTGGTCTCGGGATAGAAGAAGTATGTGTTGAGCACCACGAAGACGAGAATGACGCAAAACACAATATAGTAGCGCCATCCAATGTTATCCATAGCAATGGAGTTACAAAAGGAAGAAATCACCAAGGAGGCGTAACACATGAAAAGCACAACAGAAACACCTTTAGACCGCAAGGAGTATGGGAAGATTTCCGTAGGGTACCCAAGAAGCAATGGCGTATAGGCAATATCATAGTGGAAGAAAAAGATAAAGATAAAGCCAACCACAGCTCTTCCCGCAGCCACAGATCCTGTTTGTTCAAAGACTGCTGAGCACGCTGTCCAAATGATATATGAAATAAGCATACCGATACCTGACCATAAGAAAAGAAGTCTTCTTCCAAAGAAGTCAACTAACAAAGCTGATAATGTAGCAAACACGAAGTTGAAAATCTGCAAGAAACCGTTGATCAACGTTTGCATGGACGACGAGGTAATACCAATGGTGTTAAGAACCAAGGTAAAGTAGTAAGACACAACGGCGGTACCACTCCACTGTGAGAAGATACCCAAGGTGACTGCAATGAAAGTACGCTTTCTGTTGCCTGGAGTAGCCACCAAAGCACGCCAGGTGGTTTGGCTGGCAAGACTCTCCATTTCCAAGGCTGATGAAATCTCCCCAAGTTCTTGTTCAACAAGTGGGCTTTCCTTATCACCAGCAGCATGGTATCTGATCAAAATTTCTTTTGCTTCATCAACTCTTCCTTTGGACACAAGCCATCTGGGACTTTCAGGCACAAAGTATAAGAAAGCTATCTGAATAATTGGGAACGCACTTTGGAGAATCGTAGGAATACGCCATGCCCATGAGTCACCTCTTCCAGTACATCCATAGCAAGACCAAGAAGCCAAGATTGCACCAACGTAGTATGTAGCCCAGTACAAACACGTAAGCTTACCTCTGAATGTTGGATACGACAACTCAGCCACCAACAATGGAGCTGGTTGGGCTGCCAACATGTTAGCGCTTCCGATGATAAATCTGGATGCAATAAGCTGACCAAGAACATGACCAGTAGCCTGGATAACTGTAGCAACAACGATACCAAAAAGACCGATGGTCAAAGTCCACTTTCTTCCAATGTAATCTGTGAGCCAGCCGCAAAAAGGAAGAGCAATGATACCACCAAAGTTCTGAGCAGCATTTATAAAGCCAAGCATTGTTCCTCGGGGGTTATTGAATTCACTTCTCCATTCTTCCATTGACTGAAGCCCGTTCATCAATGAACCGTCGTAGCCAGATGTAGCCGCAGAGAGAAGTGGCACAAGCAAAAGCAAGTTAAGAACAAGAAGATGCTTCACTCTGTACCAGGGCTTTCCGTAATCGGGAAGAACGTTGGCGATCTCTTTTCCCACGATATCTTCAATGGGGGTCGACTTGAAGCGCATCATCATGTTTGGAAATTTCTGAAGATCCAACTTGGTTGCAAACAGGGAGACATTTAAGAGACGAACGTTCGTAAAAAGGATCTATGCATCGGCGGGGCATAATAAAGCAGAAATGCTCCAAACCACAAAAACACGTCCCGCTATCGGACTTATTCACAACCGCTGTGGCCAGGATTATTGTAGGTTTACTACAGCTTGACATTCCTACAAACTTTAATGCAAGTGCCCAGAAACAGAAGATCCAGGCGGCTAGGCGAGGGCGTATGCCTAAAACGCCCCGTGGGGAAATCCAAAGTTGGCAGATTTGAAGAAAATATACCGCTTCAGCATGATGGGGGAGCTGCATCACGGAATATGTTCTTTCGCTTGCCAAAACAATGAAGAAGAAAGAAGTCATACAATGGAAAAGGGAAAGTTTTACAATGGGGCTAATTTGCGGCAAGACAAAAGGAGGAAGTTCCTGGAAGCGAGACACAGAAAAGGAAGTAATCGAAATTAAGTTCCGTCAATGTAAACCATCTCGATCTTGTTGGGTACTTGCTCATGGTTAGGGACCCCTCGAAGACAGGCCGAGGAGTTACGTTGAGAGGTGTTACCACGCTTTGCATGAACAGCCCGAGAGACAGCCATCCGTTTCCCAGCAGCAGAAATCAAGGTAGCCACGGCTACTCCAGAAATCTTGGCACTTGGTTTTGTCACCGATTACAACAAGACAGCAGTACTTCGAACATAGGAGGCACACGATACGTCAGCATCACATCGCCAAACGAGAAACACTAACTGCTCAAACAGTGCAAGCACGGAAAAACCCCAGATCTCCATTTCTCCAATCTAGGCGCATGTTAAATAATATTTCTCGTTGACTAAAAGTTTGGTAAAGACTTTTCTTGATGAGGCTGTGAGGCGTAAGTGGGGCTCAACCTCTGAGGCTCTGAGGCTCCGTGGCTCTGAGGCTCTGAGGCTTTGAAAGACATCCTATGTTGATGTACCAAAAGCCGCCAGACACTCAGGTAAGTGCCCAGTCGGAGCCGACCAGGCCGATTCCGTGGCAGTCATCACGGATAAGTCAAACCTTCTTCCAGGCATCCCGATTACCTCATCACCCCAACCAGACCCCGCTACTCCCCCACCAAGTCCGAGCCGGTTACCGACTATGGACGGTGCACATCCACACAACACAAGCGACGCATAAGAACGTTTCTACTTAGCCGACACGCTTCGACGCGTATACCCAATAGGCCCATTAAGGCTAGGGTTATGAAATGCACCCCACATTCGTATGCTTGATCGGAATTACTTCTTTGCTTGCCCCACCCAGTTCTGCATCGGTTATATTCACCGCATACAGCAAGAGGGAGCCCGAACCCTCCGAGACTCTGTCCAGCCAATGGGTCTGGCAAAAGTGGTTGTTTTCGGTATAAAGGGGTAGAAGGTGGCTGGTCTTGCAACGACTGGTTTTGTAAAGCTGAACTTTTTTTTTTCACTATGGAAGCTGCTAAGGATACTTTGTCGAATACCTTGAGTATGTACTCTGGAGGCCCTGATTTTTCAAAGTCGGGAGCCAAGCCGCTCAGAGAGACGTTCAATGGGGATATTCCAACTGCTGAAAATTCCACCTCTTCTATTCTTCCTTGCGAGCCTTTGAAGATTGTGGATGGTCGCTTCGTGGACCCTCTGGGCCGCAAAAGAGTGCTTAAGGGTATCAATGTGGATAACAGCATGAAGCTTCCAGTGAAGCCATTTCTGCCTACGTACGCTGGAGACTCTCTGGACGCCAACAATGTGTTTTTCGAAGGTGACAAGGTGAGCTTTGTGGGTAGACCTTTCCCATTGGAAGAGGCAGAACAGCACTGGAGAAGAATCAAGAGCTGGGGCTACAACACCGTTCGTTACGTTCTCACTTGGGAAGCTATTGAACATGCTGGGCCTAAGAAGTACGATGACGACTTTGTGAATTACACCATCGAGATGCTCAAGATTGTTCACAAGGTTGGTGGCTTGTACGTTTTCTTGGAGAGCCACCAGGACGTTTGGTCCCGTTACTCTGGTGGTTCAGGTGCTCCACTTTGGACCTTCTACGCTGCTGGTCTTCAGCCAACCAACTTCCACGCTACGGAGGCCGCTATCGTGCACAACGATCCAAGGTTCGAGAACCCTATTGACCCTGAGTGGTACCCTAGAATGTTCTGGCCAACTAACTACAGTCGTTTGGCCAATCTTACTATGTTCACCATGTTCTTTGCTGGTAAGACATACTTCCCTCACCTTACCATTGACGGTGTCAACATTCAGACTTACCTCCAGGGACACCACCAGGACGCTTTGGAGTACCTTTCGAGAAAGGTCGTCGAGGCACTTCCTGAGTTAGTTAAGGATGGTACCCTTTTGGGCTTTGAATCCTTAAATGAACCAAGTGCTGGACTTGTTGGCCATCCTCACTTGGACAAGATTCCAAAGGAACAGGCTCTCTGCTTGGACACCACTCCTACCGCCTACCAGTGCTTCCTTTTGGGTATGGGTCTTCCAGTCGAGGTTGACGTGTACAGCATTGGCCTTGCAGGACCTCTGAAGGAAGGTACCCGTATTGTGGATCCCAAGGGTGTCAAGGCCTGGCTTACTCCAGAAGAAGCTTCCAAGTTTGATGCTCATTATGGCTGGAAGCGTTCTGGCTGGACTCCTGGTGAGTGTATCTTTGCTGGTTTAAAGATTTGGGAATGGACAGACAGTATCGATTGGAACAAGGTCAACTCCTTGTCTTTGGAAGAGAGACTTGAGGTCTCGAAGTCCCAGTGTCGCTTGCTTGAGCCAACTTATTTCAACGATGCCTCCAGAATTTCCTCGTACCTTGGTGACAAGAAGGCTCCAAAGGACCTTGATATGGAATTCTTCCTTGCCAACTTCTTTATCGACTTCTACTTGGCTTACAAAAAACTGGTCAGATCCATTAACAAGGACTTCTTCTTGCTTCTCCAGCCTCCGATCTTTACCCAACCTCCAAACCTTGAAGGTGACAGCAGAGGCGTTATCGACGATAGAACTATCTACGCTCCTCACTTCTATGACATGATGACCCTTTTGTTGAAGACATGGAACGAGAACTTCAATGCCGACATGTTGGGTGTCCTGAGAGGTAATTATGCCCATCCAGCTTTAGGTGTTGTCGTCGGACAGAAGGCCATTCGTAACTGTCTCAAGAAGCAGTTCATTGACATCGTGGAAGAGGGTAAGCAGAGATTGGGCAACATCCCAGCACTTATGACAGAAACCGGTATTCCTTTTGATATGGACAACAAAAGGCCTACAAGGATAACAAGTACACCTCTCAGACCGCTGCCTTGGATGCTTTTGCTAACGGTTTGGAGGCCCTGGGTATGCATCATACTTACTGGGCGTACTCTGCCATTAACAGCCATGAGTATGGTGACCACTGGAACAACGAGGATTTCTCGTTCTGGTCTCCTGAGGATCAAGGCAAGACTTTTGGTGCTGGCGAAACAGATGCTCAGAAACTCAAGAACTGCTACCCATCGGCTGACGGTGTTCGTGCTCCAAGCGCTGTCCTCAGACCTTTCTTGGTATCAAGTAAAGGTGTCACAAAGGCGGTGGAGTTTGACCTCAAGAAGGCCAAGTTCTCCCTTACTTTGTCCATTGACGATACTTCCAACTTGGAGAACACTCCTACTCTCATTTACGTGCCCAAATGGCATTACCCTGAGTTGAACTTCAACGATATTTACGCCTCTGCCGGTCATGTCAAATATAACGAGAAGCTTGAGTACTTGGAGTGGTACCACCCTGAAAACGCTGGTGAAGAGACTATCGTTATTCAGAAGTACTCTGGTAAAGATACTGATGTCACCAAGAGAGAGGAGACCCAGGGATTCTGTTCCATTGTATAGACGTGCTGATTACTTAGTACCTACAAAATACATTTTGTCTTAACTTTACCCGTAAGCAGATTCACCGTAGGCCTACGTGGGAGAGCTCGTTCGCCAGCACTAGCTGGACTTTCGTGGACATGGGATATAGAGCTTGAAAGTACTACTTTTAAAGTAATGTTTTAGTTCTCCTTTTTTTCTGTATTTTTTTTTTTTTTTTTTAGTATGTATTTTCTATCTTTGCCATATCAGGTTTGTCACTACTCATTTTGCTATATTACTGCGATTCTGAGTAGAGAACATAAACGAGAAAAATAAAACCACCACCAAAAATCGAAAATTGGTCAGTTACTCAGTTTAATAGACTTAAAGCATTTGGTCAGTGTCTCTAAACTCTATGTTAAATTTTCCAGGTTCAAGCCCTTCTTTGTGTGCGTTTATAAGGTGGTTTCGGTGATGCGACTATTACTACTCGTATTACTACCTGAATCACCCAGACGGTCTCACATTTCAGTTTATATACAACTTCACATCGCATATTTGGCCATCAGAAGAACCAAGTCACCAAGAAGTCACTTTCCAGACACCTTCCCGTTTTACAGCCATGCCAGAGGGCTTTCGCTTGGTGCCTTCTCGTAGACAGCATATAGCAGAACAGTGGGAGGACTACCCAAAGAGCTGGAAGACTCCTCACAGTTCAAAGAACCACCTATATTAAAATATCCAGCCAAAAATCTTGTTATAAAACCAGCGCAAATTGATGGGATTGCCCTCTGCTTCTCGGAGCTTGCGCTCCTCAGCATCTCTCAAAAGAAACTGCTCCTCCTCATAGTCGAAGACCTCTTTGAAGGTGTTTAGGTCAACTTCGGAGGGCGGTATAAGTTTTGTCTTCTTCCAAAATTTCCAACCAAAAAACATAACAACGAATACTGGTAGCATGATGTATCCGGTTATGAAGGTCTCGTAGGGGAAATCGTTCCCAAGGAAAACAGTAAAGTTCTTAGCGAACATGACAAAAACGCAGACGCCAAAGGAGAAATATGTTCCAAACGGTTGCAAAGGAGAGCGAAAGGCTAAGTCCTGCTTTCGACTCATACCCTGTGCTTTGAGGGCTTTCATGAAGCGTATATGGACAAAGAGAATACAAGCCCAAGCTAGCAAGCCGATGAGAGAAACCACATTGACAAAGTGCTCAAACACCTCTGCAGCAGAGGAAGATGTCACCATAAAGGCCAACAACGCAAAAGCAAATGAAAGCCCAATACCGTAATATGGAACACCTCTTCTGTTGGTTTTTGAAAAGAACAATGGAGCATAGCCAGCGACAGAAAGACCGTATATGGTTCTGGAAGCAATATACATGTCTGCAATTGCAGCCGATGAAACAAATATCAAAATACAAGCATTGATGACATGATCTAGGCCTGCAATTTGAGCATTGAAGATAGCAATCACAAAGGGTGAAGCAGAGGCAGTAGTACCACTGGTTCCCAAGAGTCTTTCATCATTGTACGGAACGCACATACCCAAAACCAACACATTGAGTACATAGAAGATAACAATCCTATAGAAGGTCAACTTGATGGCTTTTGGGATTGCTTTACGAGGCCTTGCACATTCAGGAAATGTGATACCAACTAGTTCACAGCCCGAGTAGGCAAATACACTGGTCACAAGAACAGATATGAATGACACAAAACGTCCAAGGTCCCCTTCCACGTGTAAGTCTCTTGAAGGCTCAGTGTATTCTCTGAAAGCACCTGGATCTTGCCAGTAGCGGAAACCGAGTCTATCGCCCGTGGGCCCTCCTCCTAAAGCTATGACAAGCAACAAAATAATGAGCCCAAGACAAGTGCATACCTTGATCACTGAAAACCAGAATTCAACCTCACCAAAGAACCGAACTCCTAGTATATTAACTGTAGTGATGATTACCAAAAGAACAGCTACCCAGATACCAGGATTGGCAGTTGAAGGGTCCACCCAATATTGCATTGTCAATGCTCCAGCAACCAACTGATTGGCTGCAACCAATAAGACCAAGAACAAGTATGTCCATCCACACGCAAACCCAAGTGCTTCGTCAACGTACCTTCTACAGTAGCCAGCGAAACCATCTGCCAATGGAATGTGAGTTGCAACTTCACCCAAACCATTCAACACCATGTAGACCACGAAACCGATCACTGAATAGCTAATGAATATAGCTGCCGGTCCAGCAGCCCTTAGGGCAGAGCCTGTCCCTATTAAAAGACCTGTTCCAAGGGCTCCACCGATAGCTATCATTGACAAATGCCTTGCATCTAACACTCTTTTCAATCTATGGTCTTCGGCAGCCTGTGATACTTGTTGGGGTTTGGAAAGTGTGAATGCGTCTCCTGTGAACCGAGAAAGGGCGTCATCACTCTCTGGCTGTTTTTCAAAGTCCTTCATTATCAGGTTGTTGAAGGATCTGTTGGCTCAAGGTGACGAATCAAGCCATTTTATATCACACACTGATCCTTATCAATACGGCCAAGAAAAGAAAGCGAGGAGAGTACTACAGCAAAGAAAACAACCTCTTTATTCAAAGTAATTGCCCTTGATACGCTCCGCTTTGGTCGATTATCAACAAAGAATGATAGTATGCCAAGCCATTGTAGCAGAACTTGGCCATCTTCCAACAATCAATGACTTAATTGGGGAAAGCTCACTGGCTCATGATAAGGCTTGATGTAGGCGTCTTTTTAGATTTATTGTGGTTTTGAAGGATAGTTGATGGATAAACAGAAGACGTTGTTCTTAGGTTTAGTGAGATGGGCCTAACAGCTACACCTTGAAAAGTAGCATTGAGCATTAAAAGTCAAAGATGCTAGTTAGCAGAGTTACATAGAAGCAACTTTGTGCTTCGGGGTTCAGGAACGATTCGAGGATAAGCACGCTGCTTTCCATTTACTGCTCCATACGTAGAATGAGTGGTATATCATTGTTACTAATTGATTCCAGTGTTTGGCATGCAAAATTCTCCAAAATCTAAGCAGTCCCTCAGGAGGCTACTTCCATGTAACTTACCCCAGCTACAGATACGTTGATGCATAATCGAATTCATTGTCAAAAGACTTAAAAGTGACGAAGCGAGAAATAAAGAAATAGACCAAACAAAGAATCTATGCCTCGATGATATTAGAAGCATCAGTGTATTTTGCCTGAGCAATAGAAATCTCTCTTTCAGAAAGATCATAGTACACGTAGGCAGATCTCAAGAACACATCACCAAAGATATGGGTGTTGTTAATACCAGGTCTGACTCCCAAAAGGCAAAGTCCCTGGGTCTTCCAAACAAGGTCCTGGTAGGATAACTTGATTTTGTTCTCGCCAAAGTCAAACGTCAAGTACTTGTCTTTGGGCTGCTCACATTCCACAAGGTAGAATCCCTGAGTAAGGTTACCGTGAAGCTCCTTGCCAACAGCGTCAATGACATCCTGGGGCCACAAGTTCAAGGAAGTACCGGAATCCAAAAGAACCTCTATGTCCATATCGATGGTGTTGCCTGCAATTTCAGCATTCTTGACGTTGAGAGCCAAACCTCTGGTGCCCGCAACAGGGTACTTGGCCAAGTCACCTTCGTACTTTTCGGTATCAATGCCACCAAAGATAATGGAGCCCTTGCCGCTATCACGAGAACCCAAGTATAAAGAGTAGGATGCCTTTGGGGTGAGACCAGCTTTCTGTAAAGCCCATGGTAAGTTGTCGTATGGCTCCTTGCTGGCCAACTGGTTTCTGTCTGCAATTCCAAGTACTCCCTGGGCGTTATCCAGACTCTGGTTTACAATAGCAAACTGGAAGTTGTCCAAGAGCTTCTTGCCGTCACCAAGGCCAAACTCATCTGTGACATACTCACCCTTGGCGTAAGACTTGTCCAAGTAGGAAATGAAAAACTCTTCACCAGTATGTTTAATGTTGGAGGACTTGGAAGGGTCAAAAATGCCACCCTTGGGGTCCTTGATGGTAGGGCCGTTAACCCAAAGGTCAGAAGAGCCAGTATCCAAAAGCACAGTGACTTTCTGTTCGCTCGAACCAAGCTTCAAGTCGATCAAGTAGCTGATATCCCTATCGTTGAGAAGAGTAGCACTTTCAGCTCTCTTTGACAAAGAAAGACCAGAAAGATGAGCAGCAAGAGCTTTAGCTCTAGAGCTGATCTGTGCTGTAGTAACAGTCTCATCAAAGAAGTTCTCGATAGTGAAGTCCATCTTGAGAGGAGAGCCGTTTCTCTTGTGGACGATGCCAGAGTCACTTTGGGGGATCACCAAGGCATTGATGACAGCCAAAGCGAGGGAGAACAGGGTCAAGAAGGGAAGCATAGCGAATGTGGTAGCAGCTAATGAAGAAACAAACCTAAAAGTAGAGACTCTGCCTTACTTATATGCCAAAGAAACATCACACTTCTGAACAGCCAGCATGTGTTGATGGACAACATTATCACCGTTTTCACGTAACTGTGATGGCTGCAAATCTTCCTCCATAAGAATGGAGAAGAATGGACACGCGGAGCATAGCCGACTGGAATTCTCGCAGTGTTCAATGGAATACTAGGAAATGAAGAGGCTTCGAAATAAGGCTTAGGGCGTCTGGGTGAAGAATTATGGAAGTTTAGGGCCTGTTTTGGGAAATAGGGCAGTTAAGGTTCTCAAATATAGTATGTTGTCAGATGGGGCAGCAGCTGGTAAAGCTAAGTGGCACTGGGCTTAGCAACGTTAACAAGCTTCTACGCATTTCCCATTTTCCACTCCTTATCAAGTGGAGTGGTTATTATTGGTGGAGACTGTTCCAGTACTGAAGCATTGCTAATCGTAGATGGCTCTTCTGCTCTTTTGGGCACATTCGTACGGCTTCTTGCAGTAGGATACTGGTAACTACCTGCCGTTGAGTAGGTGGCATTTGGGCGGGCCACTTATCGTCAAGTGGGTTGAAAATGGAAGTAGTTGGTTCTCTTATACATTATGACATGCTAGATAACCCGGCTGATCTAACACTTGCAAGGAATGGAGAAGGAGGTATTTGGCGGGAGGTATTTGGCTGGAGGTATTTGGCTGGAGGTATTTGGCGGGAGGTATTTGGCGGGAGGATATCGTTAGAATTGTCCAATACCTTGATATTCGGCTCCTTGCTTTTCGTTGACATGGCGATTGCAATCACTTGTTAAAATGCTCGGACAGGCTTCTCTTTAAGTAGTTGGAAGCCCACGTGTGAGGTTAATGAATAGCATTTCCTGTTGTGGCAGCTCCCGACAAGTATTTCCTCTGGTGATACTTGATAGCAGGAAGCCTAATTTGAATTCCTCAATACGTCTTACAGCAATATCGGCTGGACCTACACTTTCTTGGCCCCCAGATTTAAAGTTCTACAATACAGATAAGGTTTACAGCTTTCCAAATCACAAGGATTTAATTTCCGTTAACCAATTCGTTCCGTTGATACCAAGAACCAGCAGTTCCTCTAACTGAACATTGAGCACATCATCCAACCTCCACCATGGCCCCAGCAAAAACCAAATGCAAATTTTACAACACAGAAAATTCCCAGGATACCAAAAACTTCAACCCTGGGGCCCTCTCTTGCCACGCCGTGTAACAACAGATGCATAGAGGCTACGGCGGCTCCGCCAGCAAGAAATGGCACAAAACAGGTATCAAAGGAACCGTTTTTTTAAATCACGTCGTTGCTTCACGTACGGTCGGTTAAAAACGACCAGAGAAAAAGAAAAAAAAAAAAAAAAGCTCCAGATGTCAGAAGCAACTGTTTTCTCCAAGATCCACCAAACGCCAGGCCAAGACGATCCGGTCACTACAAGCAACACCTGTCCAGCCCCAAAAGCATAACTTCCTAACGCAAAAAACCATAAATGCAACAAAGCATGTTCGCCATTGGCCCGCCCTAGACAACCACAAACCAGCTCAATCGGAGAGAAACTCAACTCCAGGTGGCTCTTCCACGCACAAAAAGAAACCCTGATGTGTCAATGCCGAAAGGCGGTCGCCAGGCAGTCCACAGGCGAGCTACAGAAACAAGCACAAATGGCTAATTAGCCGAGTCGGAGATGACAGTTCTGTGGCCCAAAACAGCATCAGCTCACAGGGCCAAATGGGCCCAGCGTGAGTGGTTCTTGGTGATTCTTGGTTCTATGACATGTGCGGCTCAAAGGCAGAATAGGCGGTTGCAAAATATCATGTGTCCTGCACACAGCCACACGGAAGGAAAGAAGAATTCATTGCACTTCGGCCGTATGTAAGTGGCTGTTTTGGTGCAATAATGAGATGGAATAGATAAGTAAGGTGCATAATCTATAATCTGTATATGAGGAAAAGGCGAGTTTCGTCCAGGTGTCCCCACGGTTTCATGATCCCTGTAGCTCCTGCTATAGCAGGTTAAATACGGGCCCTGCCACGACCACTCCGTGGAAAAACGGAGTGGAAATGGACCTTGCTCGGCGGGATGAACGGGGTGAAACACACAAAACCAACGGAACGACGCCAGCACAATACCTTGACAGCCAGTAATATCCCTGGTGCATGCTTGGGCCACTTTTGGCGTTGCTTGGCGCCGATGACTTGTGTGTGTCAGTTGAAGACCCGATCTACTGATCGCATCAGATTACAGGTTTCAAGGAAGTGGTGGAGTGGTTGGAGGAAGAGTTGATACTTTTGGACAGGCACAACGCAGGGCTTCTGGGACGGGACAAGGCCCTTGTGTCTTGCTATTTTTTTTTCTTGTCCCTTCTACTACTATGGAATAGTGCAAAGTTGATCGTGCAGCGTCGATGCACAATAAAGCTCTTGCAGCTCGTATCCATCAGACATAACCCTTGCCGAGTAACTTCTGGATTTTTTCTTTTTTGTAATTTTTTCCAGTTTTTTGCAGCCGCCTTGCATCCTCTGGTGAATATATAAACTGCCATTCCGCTGTCATATCGGTTCTGTTTTTTGTTTGACAGGATCTCCACCATGGCTCAAAGAAGACTGTCCGAAGTGGACTCTTACACTCAGAAAAGAAGCTCGGGTGACAAGTCGAACGATACTGGCTCTCAGAACAACGACTTGAAGGCTCACCCAGACTTCCAGCATGACTTGAAGACGACTGAGTCGGTGGCTTCTTCTGCTACTGACACTTCCACCGTCAAGACCAAGTCCTTTGGTATTCGTAAGTCTGAGCTTGTCATGGCCCAGTTGCAGTCCTGGTGGCTCAAGGGTGCTTTCTTCTTTACCATCTTCATCTGCCTGTACATCAGTTTGTTGGAGAACTCCATCGTCAGAGTGTTTGATGGTTATGCTACAAACGACTATAAGCAGCACTCGCTTATGTCTACTATTGGTGTTATCAGAAGTGTGGTTGCTGCTTCTTCGTTGCCATTCTACGCCAGATTGTCTGACAACTTTGGTCGTTTCGAATTGTTCCTTGTTGCCATGATGTTCAGAATTGTCGGAAGAGTCATCCAGTCTCAGGCTGTTGACGTCCAGAAGTACGCTGCCGGCACGGTCTTTTTCTCCTTTGGTAACTCTGGTATGAGAATCTTGTGGCAGATCAACTTGTCTGACGCTTCTACCTTGAAATGGAGACTTATGGCCATGTCTATTATCTTCATGCAGAGTATCATCACCACCTGGTCGAGTGGTGAGATTGTGAGCTTGGTTTTGGGTAACGAGGACTGGAAGTGGGGTATTGGTATGTGGGCCTTCATTACGCCTTTGGTGTGTCTTCCTTACATGTTGATCTTCCTCTACTTGATTATCAAGGCTTCCAGAACTGAGGCATGGCATCTTATTAATCGTGAGAAGCAGCAGAGCTTCTTGGAGGGCAACAAAAGCGCAAAGAGATACCAAGAAGAGATTGACACTGCCACTTCCTTTGGAGGTAGAGCAGCCGGTCACATTAAGCTTCAAAGCGCCCGTCTTGTGCGTAACTTGTACGAGATCTTCTGGAAGGTCGACTTCATTGGCTGCCTTTTGCTTGCAACCATTCTTGGTCTTATTTTGGTCCCATTGACTTTGGCTGGTGGTACCCACTCCAAATGGCAACAAGCTGACACCATTGTGCCTCTTGTTATTGGATTCTGCAGTATCCCTCTCTTCGTCTTCTGGGAAACAAAGGTTACCAAGAGACCAATGCTTCCATTCAAGGTTATGACGGACCGTGGTGTCTGGGCTGGTTTCTTGGTGGCTATCTTCAACTCGGTGGTTATGGCCATGCCTAACTCTTACTCCTATCCTGTTTTGCTTGTCGGAATGAACGCTTCTGAGACTGTTGCTACCCGTACCGGTCAATTGAACGGTTTTGTTGAAGGTATTGCTGTTCCAATTGTTGGTTTCGTGTTGTCTCGTGTTAGAAGAACCAAGCCTTTCATTCTCTTTGGCAGTTGTGTGTTGTTCGTTGCCATGGGCTTGTTTGTCCACTTCAGAGGTTCTAACGACGGTTACCGTGCTAAGTACTTCCGCGATGGTGTTGCTGTTGGTATGTGTCTTCTCGGTTTCTCCAACACCTTCTTTGCCAGAGTCACCACTGTTTCTGTTCAGTCTTGTACCAACCACGAGTACATGGCTACCGTGATTGCTGTTTTTGCTGCCTGCTACCACATTGGTGGAGGTATCGGTAGTTCCATCTCTGGTGCTATCTGGACACAGCAGATGTTTGGCATGATCCGTCACCACATGGAGGACTTGGGCGTGGACCCAAGCTTGGCCAAATTGGCCTACCAGTCTCCATACAACTTTATCAAGAACCACGAATGGGGTACTGAACCCAGAAGAGCCGTCAGTTTGGCTTATGCTGAGCTCCAGAAGAGACTTTGTATCACTGGTCTCTGTCTCTGTGTTCCATTGTTGGTCTGGGTCTTCTGCTTGAGAGATAACAAATTGGCTGACTCTCAGAACTTGGACGACGAGGCCTTGCTCATGAGTGAAGGTGCTGAGAAGGCTGGAGAGGTGAAGAAGTCCCAGGTCGTGTTCAAGGAAGATGATGATATCATCTTGAACTTCATCAAGAAGCTGTTCGGAAGACTCAATGTCTTCTCTAAGAAATAACCCAAGTTATGATTTTAATTCCAATAATCAGTTGTTAATAATATAAATAATGGTATACTACAGTGTAGAAAGTCCCCCAATGCCTTTCCCCAAATGGTTATGCAAAGAAGAGGGAACCAGGACAAACCAAAGCTGCTTGAATGAATTGTACAGCTAAAACAATGCCCGCTTGGTCATTGAACAGCGTTGTTCTCGTATTTGCTCAAGCCTCAGAGCTGTCAACCGATTGTCTTTCACAATTAACAAATGTTAGCGTCGCAAGGCAACAATGGCATGTATGGGACACCCAGTAAACTCATCAGCAATATAGTAGAACTTTCAAAAGTACCCAGACACCAATAGACCACTCCAACATCCTCGGTTCATTGCCTCTTCCATCTGGCGCTAAACTCGAACAGTTGTCAGAAGGTTTGGCTGTTTTAGGGCTACCACCGGCAAAACCTGTCCTGACAATTCCAAAGCACACAAAATCATCTCCAGTAGCTTAATCTGCAAAAATCGTATCTGCCACTCGATCACCAAGTGTGTCCAATAAGCTTTTGGTTAAGCAGCCCTTGACGATACGTAACCTTTTCAACCCCAGATAGATGTAACCATTGCTTGTACCTTACCCCGCTTAGAAACGACTTGAACGAATCAACAAGCAAGGATTACGTTGGAGGAGTATTCATCAACCATCCCTACTACTATGCCATTTACGGTCCTCCAGCAACATACCCTCAATGGCCATCACCAACCCATTTACCCAAACAAGGCATTGATTATTCTCTCTAAGGAAAAAAAAAAGGCCACTTTTTGTCCAAGAGAAAGCACGATAACTTAACTACACCTTTTCTTAACTGGGCCTCCCGCCCACGGAACCCACAAGTCGAGAAACCTTAGGGTTACTAGGAACCTGAGGCGGGCCACTATAGAACTTAAGCAATCCCACACCCAAGGCAGCCTTGACTTGTCGAATTTGCTTATCGAATTTTTTTCTTTTTTTCTTCTTCTCCTCCTCATTTGTTGAGTTTGTGTAACAACACATGTACGCTGTGTTTTTACCTATCTTACGTCTTTGGCCCGGCCAACCGAAACTTAAAAAGGACAGGGCGCCAGTAAGAATCGGGTAATGCTTTGCTGATACAAACATCTAGCTCCTCCAGACATTACCACACCGTTAAGTGTAGTTTCAGTTCACCTGGAAAGAGGTCTCGGCAAATAAGGTTGCGCAGAAAAGCCACTCGCCTGATTTAGCGAACACTGTCAAGGTATTTTATCCATGATGCATCAGAACGTGATATTCTGGAGTGGATGCCGAAAGGGGTAATCAAGGGATTCTTTTCGTCGAAAAAGCTCAACCAAGGGGTGCTGGTGGAAGAGTGTTGATGTTTGACTCCACTCCATGCTGCGTAGGTTAAGTCTGGCGTTGCTCCCGCCCTACGCATGTGTAAATATCAAGAGCCGCCAAGGTAGGTGCTGGGCTTTTACGGCAAGTAACATGTGCCTGTCACCATGCAACCTAATGGCTTTGTGACCGATCGTTGATCGGTAAGCTCCTTTGTGTTATCAAAGAGGCAAAGCGACTGATCCCTGGAGTTGGAAGCGTACGATCACGGAATAAACTTTGCCAGAAGAGCGTGATTTAGATAATTGTTTTGGTGTATTAATAGATTAAGCTTTTTAAAGTTGGTCCAGAGAAGCGGGACGACGCAAGCACACCAAGCAAACCAGTAGAGAGAAGGGTAAATGAAATATTCAATTTTCCAAGAATAAGTAGGTATACTTCGTTCGTGGGACGCTTCGTTGGTCACCTTTGTTGGGTAGTATTAGAAAAAACGCATAACCTGAAACCCCACAAAGCAGTAATCCAGCTTCCCAAAACGACCAACTACGTAGAAGCAATGTCTTCAGAAGAGACTTGCGTTTAAAATAGAAACCGTATTGTAACCGAGTCGTATTTCTTGAACAAGGCAGACTGGTTTGTAGAACCTCGGTTTTTCAACGCTTCTAGCCATGTCCCACGCAGCCAACGGTACGTATATCTACGAGGTGCTTAGATTCTTTCTATCTTAGGAAAGACACAGTCGAAAATAACGCATTACACAAAAACGATATCAGTAGTCTAACCGTGGAGACAATAGTACATTGCAGATGGATCGCAGCCACTGGTTAGGAGTTGCAGATGTAGATTCAACATGGAGCCAAGAGGGGATACCTAGAAGATAATGAGCTAGAGAAGACAAGACAGCCAGTGAAGGTTCGAAAGAGGCTTACGAGAACCAAAGGCCATGGTTTGAAGCCGAACCGAAAAACCCTGGATCTCAACAATCCACATACACAAGAAGGTCCATTTGTAGACATGAAACTTCCCAGTTTCTGGACAAACGGATTGTCCCAGCAGAATGTGATTTTAGAGGCTCTACAGGCGAAATTCGAGACCCCAGCAGCACCTTTTTGCAACTGTCAAGACGCCAGGCCTGCACTGGTGGAGAATACAGAAGCCCTTGACCTATGAATAACCAGGCTTAGTCAAAAGCAAGACGAACAGCCGCAGAACCGCCAAAACAGGCAACCCCAAATCTACATTGGAGTGTGAACTTGGCGTGGCAGCAACTGGGGAGGCAGAGTGGCAGCCAAGCCAATCAAAGGTTGAAACCTTGGTGAACTTGAAGTCTCCAAAGAATTGCCAGGTTATTGGTCGCCTAAACCAAGATCTAACAGTCCCACGAACTCCCCATTGACCTAACTCTTTCGCTACTGGCAAGCGAAAGAAAGCAAATCGTTTCCTGATTAAGCAAGACGGTTCCCCAAAGAACCGCCCCTAAAACGCCAGATTACCACATTTGAACATTTGAAAATGCCATTCTGCCCGTAAATCTTTTCGAGCAGCCGCCCAGTTCGCTCGATTAGTGTCTTCTTGCAGCTGCCGCACATTAGTGTTTTTAGACCCACAGGCGTGAAGTACCAATGAAAGTAACAAAGAAAGCAGGAAAAAGCGAAAAAAAGGGCCAGTGCCACATGGGAATATCAAAGATCGTCGACCAAAAATCCAATCCAAAAAGCCCAGCCCAGAAAGCAATGCCTGGTGGGTCCCAGGCGTTTTCCTCACTGCCATATTCACACTCGCATAGGCTGTTTCAGGGTATATGCGTAGGTTGTGCCGCGGCCCAGAGGTTTACGAAATGCAGCGAAGATTTCACAGTGCCAATACTTTCCGTGGCCAGGCTGTTTAGAATGGGCACCGTGGGCGAAAGCTTGGCTGGGGGACGGGGGATCAGAATACGAAGAGAGAAGAAAGGGAAGGAGGAGGAAGCTGTTTGGAGGTATGCGTGGGGGAAATGGCGGAATTGGGGGAAATGGGGGAATGTAGAGGCGCTTATATTGGAAGGAAGCGGCAGAACGAGCAGGGGCCAGATGGAGCAGGAGGAGTACGAAGGGGAAGGGCTGTGATAGGCTGAACCGGTTTAGGAGGTGCTTTTTTTTTATTTTTTTTTTTTTTGGGGTTTCTCTGGACTGGCGGTTTGTGTAAGATGCAAGATGTTTTTCGCTGATGCATGCATGCCGAAGGACTGTGCAGGTTGCGCATAGGCTGCAAAAAGAATGCCAGACAGAGGACCCGTTCAACCCTGAGCAAACCCCAATTCGAGTAAAAACATGCCTTGAGGAGCCAGTGGGTGGGAACCTCTCGGGAACTATATAAACTGCTGTTTTTCGTAAATTTTGGGGCTTTTTTTTTTCTCTTTTCTCCATCATGTCCTTTGCAAACTTCTCCTGGCTTGCAGTGGCCTTGTACATCACAACAGCCTTGGGCTTGACTATCACTGAAAATGTCATTTCCATCAACCCTGTGAACCTTGCCATTGGCGACCTTAACATCAACCCTGGTGTCTACTACTCCATTGTTAACAACGCCCTTACTACCCTTGCTGGTAGCTTGAACAACGAGGGTGGCTTCTATGTCACTTCTGACAACGGTTTGGCTGCTTCTGTGGCCATCGTTTCCGGTACTATCCAGAACACTGGTGACGTTGCATTCAACTCCCTCCGTGCTAGTGTGGTGAGTAACTACAACTTGAACTCCATTGGTGCTTTCACCAACACTGGTAACATGTGGTTTGGTATTAGCAGCTACTCCTTGGTGCCTCCAGTGATCCTTGGCTCTGCCACCAACTGGGAGAACTTTGGAAGAATCCACTTTGTCCAGTCTTCTGGTACGGCTTCTTCTGTTACCATTTCCCAGCTCTTGGGCCGTGTTCACAACGAGGGTACCATCTGTCTTACCAACATGGTTTGGGACCAGACCACCTCTGTTGATGGTGCTGGTTGTATCAACGTTGGTCAGAATGCTGAGCTTGACCTTCAGATCAGTCCTTGGGAGATTTCTGAGGAGCAGACCATCTACATGTCTGACCAGACCTCCATGGTTTCTATTCTCGGTTTGGCTACTGGTCTTACTGGTGTGAAGACATTCAACATTGTTGGTTACGGAAGCGGTAACACCATCAGAGTGAACCTTGGTTTCGACTCTTTCAACTACGCTGACGGTATCTTGACGCTTTCTTTCCTCTTGGGTCTTTTCAGAATCCGTTTCAACATTGGTCCTGGCTACTCCAACTCTGACTTCTCCACCAACGGTGTCTTGAACACTGGTACCAGAATCATCTACAACGGTGCTTACTCTGGCGAGATCCCAGATGTGTGTATGTGTGAGGACTTCCCAGAACCTCCTTTGGACCCAATCTCCTCTTCTGAGGTCAGCTCTGCCACTGAGACTCCATCTCTGTCTGAGGAGACCGAGTCTTCTACTGTCAGCTCCGAGGAGGCCGAGTCTTCCACTGTCAGCTCTGAGGAAGAAGCCCCAACCCTGTCTGACGAGCCAGAGTCCTCTTCTGCTCCACAGGACTTCGAATTGACCGAATTCACTTCTACTTGGACCACCACTGACTCTGACGGCAACCCAACTACCGAGTCTGGTGTTGTTATCGTTACCACCGACTCTGACGGTTCATTGACCACCACCACTTCCCAGTTCGAGCCAGAGCTGTCTGAGGGCGGTGTTACCGAGTATACTACCACCTGGACCACCACAGACACTGACGGTAACCCTACTACTGAGTCTGGTGTGGTGATTGTCACTACCGACTCTGAAGGCTCCTTGACTACTACTACTTCCCAGTTTGAGGATGTCCCAACCGACGATGGCCTTACTGAATTTACTTCCACTTGGACTACTACCGATTCTGACGGTAACCCAACCACTGAATCCGGTGTTGTCATTGTCACTACTGACTCGGACGGGTCTTTGACTACTACCACTTCCCAATTCGAAGACACTGCTCCAACCGATGGTGTCACCGAGTTCACTACTACCTGGACTACGACTGACTCTGATGGTAACCCAACTACTGAATCTGGTGTCGTTATCGTGACTACTGATTCTGATGGCTCTTTGACCACCACCACCTCTCAGTTTGAAGATGCTTCTCCAACTGACGGTGTGACTGAGTTCACTTCTACTTGGACAACCACTGATGCCGACGGAAACCCTACTACGGAATCCGGTGTTATCATCGTCACCACTGATTCTGACGGTTCCTTGACCACTACTACCTCTCAGTTTGGTCCAGACCCAACCGACGTTGATGGCGTCACCGAATTCACTTCTACTTGGACTACTACCGATGCCAATGGAAACCCAACGACCGAGTCTGGCGTTATCATTGTGACTACCGACTCTGATGGTTCGTTGACTACAACTACTTCTCAGTTCGAAGACGCTTCCCCAACTGACGGAATCACCGAGTTCACCACCACTTGGACCACTACTGATGCTGATGGTAACCCTACTACTGACTCTGGCGTTGTGATTGTCACCACTGACTCTGATGGTTCTTTGACTACCACTACTTCCCAGTTTGGCCCTGACGCTACCGATGGAATCACTGAATTCACTTCTACTTGGACCACTACTGACTCTAATGGTAACCCAACCACTGAGTCTGGCCTTGTCATCGTTACTACTGACTCTGACGGTAGCTTGTTCACCACCACCTCTCAGTTCCCTGGTGCTACTGATGGTGTTACTGAGTTCACTTCTACCTGGACCACCACCGATGCTAATGGAAACCCTACTACTGAGTCTGGCGTCGTTATCGTCACCACCGACTCTGAAGGCAGCTTGACCACCACCACTTCCCAATTCGGTCCTAACCCAACTGACGGTATCACTGAATTCACCTCCACCTGGACTACTACCGACTCGAACGGCAACCCAACTACCGAGTCTGGTGTAATTATTGTTACTACCGATTCCGACGGTTCCTTGACTACCACCACCTCCCAGTTTGGCCCAGGTGGTGCTCCAACTGACTTGACCAGCTTCACTTCTACCTGGACTACTACTGACGCTAATGGCAACCCTATCACTGAGTCTGGTGTCGTTATTGTTACTACTGACTCCAATGGTGCTTTGACTACTACCACTTCCCAGTTTGGCTCTGGCTCGACCGACGGCATCACTAAGTTCACCTCTACGTGGACTACCACAGACGCCAACGGTAATCCAGTCACCGAATCTGGTGTCGTGATTGTCACCACCGACTCTGACGGTAACTTGTACACCACCACTTCCCAGTTTGACGCCGACAACACTGCTGGTCTCACCGAGTACACTTCTACTTGGACTACGACTGACGCTGAAGGTAAGCCAACTACCCAGTCTGGTGTTGTCATTGTCACCACTGACCCACACGGTTCTTTGACCACCACTACTTCTTTGTGTGAGCCAACCGAGTACACCACCACTGTCCACAAGACTGATGGCCACGGTAACGTCCAGACCAAGACTGTGGTTGTCTGTGAGACCACTGCTCCAAACGGTGTCTGGACTACCTACACCACTGTGTGCCCAGAAACCACCCAGTACGTTTCTACCAAGCCTGATGGCTCCAAGACCACTGTGACTGCTGCTATCATCGAGACTACTATCCACGGTGTTGCTACTTCTTACACTTCTGTGTGCCCACCTCCTCACACTTATGTGTCTACTTACGAGACCACCAAGGCTAACGGCCACGTTGAAACCACTCTGTGTGTTGTTGTTGAACACACTGATGTAATTGGTAAGGTTCACACTTCTACCATTGCTGGCGAGGCTACTGTGCCTGTTGAGGTTCCAGCTGGTACTCACGCTCCAGAGGCTCCAAAGGCACCTGGCGTGACTGAGTCTCCAAAGGCTCCAGAAGCTCCAAAGGCTCCAGAAGCTCCAGCTGGTACTCACACTGTCGAGTCTTACCGTCCTGGTGAGACCACTGTTGCTGGTCCTTCTGTCGCTGTTTCCACTTACGATGGTGCTGGTTCACTTCCAAACTTCGGTCTCAACTGGGTTCTCCCACTTGGACTTCTTGTTCTTTTCTAATGATGCCTAGCATTTGTATTTAATTACCCTGGATTTTTTGAAGCTGCAGTTGTACTGACAGCTCTTCTTTTGGATACCCTTACAGCATACGGTATGCTTTCGTTCGCTATATAAAAATAGACTTGTATTATGAGTTTTTGTTACCAATTTCACTTCTACTAGAATAGATCTAAATGAGGAAGTATTGGTTTTTGCACCCAGAACTGTATGTGGACATGCAAGGTTATGTGGGTGGGGAAGATCTTTTACGGCTCGGGTTACCCGTTTGGGTATACTGATTTACGAAGCGCCCAACGAGGAAGCCACTGGGATGCTAGAGGTGGAGGGTTTAAAGTGATAGAATGATGTTGGAAGGGCTTTTGCAGGTCTCTTCTTTCCAAAAGCGTGAAGAGTGGAAATTGGGATTTGAGGAACCTGAAATTTAGAAATTACGAGCCCTGAGCCACCCAATTATTTACGAACCCAAACGACAAGTTCCAGCTAAAAACGTTACGATATTATTAAACGAAAACTGTCGTTGAATGTGACATTGACGTAGTATAAACGAGCTTCGACTATTGCATGTCAGTATGTATTGTGGTTGAAGAATGAGCAGTAGAAAGAAGAGTCTCACCACACTAACAACTCCAAAGAACACAACTTTGTACTTGAAGTCATTTACAAGGAAGCTTAACTAGATCAGACTGACCATCTTAGATTACCTTAGAAAGCAGAAATTCATGATACCACAACTATACTCTCAGTTAATCATGGAGCGTCCTACGCTTCTCTACCTTAAAGACCATATAAAGTAAGTATGGCAGTTACCTACCTACCTTCGCTCAAAAGCCAAAAACTGAACCTCTCGAGGCTTAATTCAACCCGACGCTACTCTCCAGTCTACTGACGTTGCTGAATACTATGGCTCTTTGCGCACGGCTGCAAAATTCGTGTAAGCATGTAAAAAGACGATGTTTCCTGACAAGTGAAAAATCGGCTTGATAATTAAAAAAACCGGGTTTATGAAAATAATAATACGGAGACAGGTTTCGGCAATAAGGCAGGTGTACGGCTGGAGAGGTGAAACAGGAGGAAGTCTGGAGCTGGGGAGGTTTAGTATGGGTGTACGGGTCTCACTTTTATTTTTCACTAAATTTTCACTAATTTTTCAGCTATTTTTCAGCATAAAGAGCAGTAGTTATACCAGTTTGAGCGAATTAGAAGCCCCAGAAGCCTCTTTCTCGTTTACTGGCTTTCAAGAAAGCCGTTATTGTCTTCTTGATAGACTTCACTTTTTTTTTTTTTTTTTTGAAGTTTTTCACGTCTGATTGAGCAACTTGATTATTTTATAGGAACACATAGACGTAACGGTTCCCAGACCGATCCGGAAACGTAGTTAGCCAAGCGCTGAGTGGTAAAAAATTGGAATCTTTACCAGGTAGGCTTAATAGGAAGATTAGAAAAAAATACCTGAAAACGTTTTGTCTAGATATCTAATTACCTTACTGCTTCTAGAAAGAACATGCCTGGTATAAATCACCATCCGACTCTAGTATCAAAACCACTAATACTCTCCAATCGGCACTTCAGCCACTATAACCGACACAACCTTCTCTTGCCATCCAGATCGGCTACTACCCGCCGAAGACATGTACGGTCTAGAGTCTAGACGGCTGCGTGGTTTGAATACCAAGAAAGAAGACACTGAAAGCAGGTTTATACCATCGCGTGACGTTAAACCAGATCTGGGAAAGGCTAAAAAGGTTAAATTTTGAAGTTTCAAGCTCGGCTGTTTCCGGATGAACCCTGAATGTCCAAAGGGTTGTGATTTGAAGGAGCCAGGGTAGGTACAGAGACGGTAGATGGGGCTTTGCTTAACCAGTGTAAGTGATGAGCCGGGAAACCAACTTTTTGATTTTCTTTAACTTTTCTAATATTTTCTATTTCTTCTTGTTATCGAACGATCCGGCCCTTGTTGGGCGGGTCTTCTCTTCGAGCCAATGCTCTTCCCAACATAAGCGCCTTTGCTTCAACCGCCTCACACACAAAAGAGTAACACCATCTGCCCCACATTAGCCGCCACAAAACCAACAGGGTAAGAAGAGTATGTTTTAATCTAGGATCTGGTTTAGGGCGGGCAGTTGTGTCATTCTAGAGGGAGCTCGTATTTCGAGGCGGTTCCAGCCGTAGCCAGTCACAACCAAAGCCAAGCAAAAAGTAGATTCTTTTAAAGCCTTAGCAGCCAATTGGAGGTATATTATACATGGCTCTACGGCACTGTCGTTGTACCAGCCCGTAGAACCGTTTTACGAGAAACAGGTAGCCAATGATAGCTGGAACATAGCCGAAGAAGGGGCTTTGACAGGCTTGGCGATGATTTGACAGAACCGTGCCAAGACTAGCGGTTCCCGATATTATACCATATCAAGCAGGTCATCTCTATTAATAACGGAAGACGACGAATTCCGTGGATATGGAAGGTTATCATTTGCAGCCTTATGTGGTGCGTGCACACAGCCGGCCTCTGAAGTGCGGCGTCCCACACCCAACAATGGCTCGAGACGCAGGCTAGTGCATATCGTGCAGACGGAGAAAAAGGGCCCACACACGGAGAATTCAAAACCATACCTCTTCATTTGCCAATACCTCTACTCTTCCGTACAACTTCCTATATGATCCGATCAGATATATCTGCGATCAGAAGTGCAGCAGAAGGTTAGCCTCTTCGGGAAGTTCGTACAGGCAGATCATCCGAAGACGGGCTCCAGGACATGGTTTCTGTGTTTCCCATTGGCTGCTAAAAACTGTCATTTACCAGTGTCAATGTCAAACTTGTCAGTGTCAAGCAAAAACATGCACGGACTCGTAAACCAGAATACCGACACGGTGATGGGACCAAGGTTCCCAACCGCTTTTTGCTCCTTTTTCAAAAGTATATAGCCGCCTGGTCTCGGCTTTGTGCAACCTCTACACTCCAATATGTCTGACGCTAAAATGGCTGCAAACCAGTCTTCTGATGGGGAGAAGGACGTTAGCAGGCTGTCTAGGGAATTAACACAGCAAGAAACTGCTTCTTCAGCGGCTTCTGATGACTTCAAGGTCTTGTCCAAATCGTTTGGTATCAGGAAGCAGGAGATCATGATGGACCAGCTTGATACCATCCCACTCAAGGCGTTCTACTTCTTTTCCATCTTTGTGGGAATGTACGTCTCCATGGTGGAAACAGACGTGTCCAGGGTTTTCATTGGTTATGCTACTAGCGACTATAAGAAGCATTCGCTCATGTCGACCATATCGCTTATTCGTCAAGTTGTCGCTGCCAGCTCTTTGCCAGCGTTTGCCAGATTATCTGACATTTTTGGTCGTTTTGAGCTCTTTTGCTTTGGCTTGGTTTTGCGTATTGTGGGCCTTGTGGTGATGTCACAGGCAGATACCGTGGAAAGGTACGCTGGAGGTATTGTTCTCTATGGTGCTGGCTTTGCAGGCGCCAGAATCTTGTTCCAGATCAGTGCTCAAGATGCTTCTTCGTTGAGGACAAGATTATTGGCCATTGCTATAATTGGCATGCCAACTATTATTTCTACATGGTCTAGTGGTGAAATTGTTGCTTCGGTATTGCACCGTTACAGTTGGAGATTTGGTATTGGCTTGTGGGCGTTTACGTTCCCTCTTTGCTGCATTCCTTTCTTATCATGTTTTATCTACATGAGATGGAAAGCTTCTAAGCTTCCCGAATGGAAGGCATTGTGCAAGGAAGAAAAAGAAAGCAGGGTTGAGCTTAACGCTGCTCAGGAAGTCAACAGACAATATATCCAAAATGGCGGTTCTAAATTCACTGGAAAACTCAAGATGGTATGGACATACTGCAAGTTCAAGGCCAACCAGACGTTCTGGGAAGTGGACATCTTGGCCTGTTTTTTCCTTGTGGCTATCTTTGGTTTCATTTTGGTGCCTATGACTTTAGCAGGCGGTACACATTCTGACTGGCAAAAGGCAGAAATCATCGCTCCTTTAGTAATTGGGTTCTGCCTTGTTCCAGTATTTGTTTTATGGGAAATGAAGTGGGCTAAAGTGCCTTTGGTACCGTTCCCATTATTAAAAGACCGTGGTGTTTGGGCAGGTCTTGCCATTGGTATCTTGAACACCTTTGCTTCGGGCATTCCAGGTGCTTACGCATACCCAGTTCTCTTGGTTGGAATGAACGCTTCTGAGGTTGTGGCTACACGTACGCCGCAATTGGCCATGTTCGTTTCTTCCATTGTGTTGCCTATTCTTGGATTGGTGATTGTCAAGGTTAAAAGAACCAAAGGGTTCATTCTTTTCGGTAACTGTATGCTTTTCGTTGCCATGGGTCTTTTCGTCCATTACAGAGGCGACAATGACGGATACCGTGCTAAGTACTTCAGAGACGGTCTTGCTGTGGCATTCTCTGTGGATGGTTTTGCGTCTGGGTTCTTTATGAGACCTGTGGGTGTTTCCATTCAATCTTGTACAAACTACGAGTACATGGCCACAGTGACAGCATTATTTGCAGCCATTTATAAAATCGGAGGCGCCTGTGGAACATGTGTTTCTGGAGCTATCTGGACACAGAAAATGTACCCTACAATCGTTGAAAAAATGGAGAAGTTGGGCGTCGACCCAGCATTGGCCAAACCGGCGTTCCAGTCTCCGTATAAGTTTGTGGAAAAGTACACATGGGGAACACCAGCCAGAAGAGCTGTGGTGCTTGCGTATGCCGAAGTGCAGAAACAACTCTGCATTGTCGCCATTTGTCTTTTGGTGCCTTTGCTTGTGTTTGTGTTCTTGTTGAGAGACCATAAACTAGGAGCAGTGATGTCGCTTGAAGACGTTGAAGACGTGGAAAAGGGCCAGCATGGAGCCGAGAGAAAGAAGGCTACTGTTGTCTATACCAACGACGACGACCCTATTTTCAGGCTTTGCAGAAAAATCGTGGGCAGAAAGTAATCCCCAAAAAAAGAACCTAAAATGTTAATAGTGAAAGAAACCTACTGGTTATGAATCGCATGTAGTGTTCATCAAGAGCAGATTAATTCGTGCAGCCACAAAGGCGCCCCCATTGTCCAACCTCCAAGCTTAAACCTTTTCAGCCAAGCGTTAAACCAATCAAAGCCTCGTAACCCTAATTAGATCTCATGTCTTCGTCTGATCAACACTCTGTTGGGTGTAACACCAAGTATCCGCCGCACGTTTGGCTGCAAACGCTATAGGTAACATTGCATGAATGCTGCTTCATTTGCGGCGCCAAAGCAGCACCAGAAGCTATTCTTACCATATCATTGGCTGTCTCTTGCCAGAATTCTCCGATTCTCCGTCTCGATGATCCGATCTGATAGCCCAGGCGACCCTTTTTAGCTGCTCATACAGCGCCAAGCTTCTGTTCCCGGGTTATGAAGACCCTGGGAGCTTTTCCATTGGCTCTTTAGCTTGCCTGTCACTGTCACTGTCACTGTCAACGCCTGAATAGACACTTATATGCGCCTGCATCACCGGGACGCTAATACCGACACGGCTTTTCAAAGATGCATACCCTAGGAAGCAGCTGGGGGCATGGAAAGATGGTCTATAAATGGAGGTGAAAATCCTGGCTTTTTTTTGTTCTTCAGCAGAAAAAAATGGCTTCTAAATGGAATCAGCATGTTCCTGACCAGGACCTCAAGAAAGAGACTGGCAGAGACTCCAACGAATTGACCAGACACGAAACCGTCTCTTCGTCAGACTCTGGCGACTCTCGTGTTTTGGGAAAGTCGTTTGGTATTAGAAAACAGGAGCTTATGATGGCCCAGCTTGACTCGGTGCCGCTTAAGTTTTTCCATTTTTTTGGTATTTTTATTGGTATGTATGTCTCCTTGATGGAGGCCAAATCCACCAATGTCTTTGTTGGTTATGCTACCAGTGAGTACAAACAGCACTCGCTCATGTCCACCATCCAGCTTATTAGACTGGTGGTTGCAGCCAGTTCGTTGCCTGCTTTTGCTAGATTGTCAGATATTTTTGGTCGTTTTGAGCTTTTCTGTTTTGGCTTGGTTTTGCGTATTGTTGGTCTTGTGGTGATGTCCCAGGCCACTTCTATTGATAAGTACGCTGGTGGTATTGTTCTTTACGGTGCTGGGTTCGCTGGTGCCAGAATCTTGTTCCAGATCAGTGCCCAGGATGCTTCTACTTTACGTACTAGATTGTTGGCCATTGCTGTGCTCAGTTTGCCTGTTGTCATTACTACCTGGTCCAGTGGAGAGGTTGTCAAGTCTTTGTTGGACCGTTACCACTGGAGTTTTGGTATTGGTTTGTGGGCTTTCACTTTCCCACTCTCGTGTGTGCCCTTCTTGTGCTCTTTCCTTTACTTGAAGTGGAAGGTCCACAAGCTTCCAGAATGGAAGAAGTTGTGTGAGGAGGAAAGGGATAGCCAGGTGGAAATGAAAGAAGCCCGTGAAGCTCACAAGAATACCATCGAAAACGGTGGTTCCAAGGTCAAGGCTAACCTCGTGTTGGCTTGGGAATACACCAAGTTCAGAACTGTCCAGACGTTCTGGCAGGTGGATATCGTTGCATGTTTCTTTATCATTGCCATCTTTGGTCTTATCTTGGTGCCCTTGACGTTGGCTGGCGGTGCTCATACCACTTGGCAGAAGGCTTCTACTATTGTCCCATTGGTCTTGGGATTCTGTCTTATTCCACTCTTTGTCTTGTGGGAAACCAAGTGGGCTAGGATTCCATTGATTCCATTCCCCTTGTTGAAAGACCGTGGTGTTTGGGCCGGTTTTGGTATTGGTGTGATGAACACTTTTGCTTCTGGTATCCCAGGTGCCTACGCTTACGCTGTGCTTTTGGTTGGAATGAACGCTTCCGAGGTCGTTGCTACTCGTACTCCCCAGTTGAGTGGTTTTGTTTCTGCTATAGTGTTGCCAATTCTTGGTTTGGTGATTGTCAAGGTTAAAAGAACCAAGGGCTTTATTCTTTTCGGTGTTTGCGTCTTGTTCGTTGCTATGGGCTTGTTTGTTCACTTCAGAGGTGATAACGATGGCGTTAGCGGTAAATACTTCAGAGATGGTCTTGCTGTTGCTTTTGCTATTGACGGTTTTGGTTCTGGTTTCTTCATGAGACCTGTTGGTGTGTCTATTCAGTCTTGTACCAACTACGAGTACATGGCCACTGTTACTGCCTTGTTTGCTGCTATTTACAACATTGGCGGTGCCTGTGCCAACTGTGTTTCCGGTGCCATTTGGACCCAGAGAATGTACCCTACTATAGTCAGCAAGATGAAGGAGTTGGGAGTTGATCCAGCCTTGGCCAAACCAGCCTACCAGGCTCCATACAAGTTTATTAAAAAGCACGAGTGGGGCACTCCAGCAAGAAGAGCCGTGGTTCTTGCCTATGCCGAGTTGCAAAGGCAGCTTTGTATCGTTGCCATCTGTCTTATTGTGCCTTTGCTTATCTTCACCTTGTTGTTGAGAGACCACAAGTTGGACGCTGTCCAGTCTCTTGAGGATATTGAAGATGTGGAAAAAGGTGCTGCTGGTGCCGAAAGAAAGAAGGGAACCGTCATTTACACCAACGACGACGACCCAATCTTCAATCTCTGCAAGAAGCTTGTGGGCAGAGGCCAAAAGTAAATAGTTGATAGGATTTCCAAACGGTTGATAAATGAATACTAATGTGAATTTTTAAATACGTGTAAACCAATTTAAAGCTTGGGACGAACAGTCTTGAAGTGGTATAAGCCTTCCACGTCGGCAGCGTCCATGTATTTCCACCATTCTTCAAAAATCTTCTTTCTGTCAGTGCCATACTTGACCTCAGGGAAGTTCTTTCTAGCCTCTTCAATAAACTTCACCCGCTTATCAATAAAGTCGCTCCATAACTTCACCAGCTCAAGAGGCTGCTCGCCATGAGTCAAATGGCCTCCCTTAGGCATATCAGCAGCTTCAATGAGATGCTCAGGAACCTGTTCTCTAATCCAGTCTACAGATTCACGAGGGGTCCACAAAGCGTCAGCGCCAGTGATATGGAAAAAGGGAATCTCAAGCTGGTCCAAAATAGCCATTCCCTTTTCAGCAGAGTAAGCCACACCACAGTAGGTAGCAATCTGGTGTCTCTTGTCTGCCTTGACTCTAACGGTACCGTCCTTTTCATGCACCAATTCGTCGTCAACGAAAAGGTCAAGCACGTTCTTATCCATGACATTGTAGAAAGACTTCTTCTTCAAGTGCTCATGGGCAGCTTCTATGTTAGGGTAGCTGTTCTCAATAAACTTACCCACCTTCTTCATACGGTTGAAGAACCAGTCGTTCATAAGCTGGTCATACTGGATCACAGGCTCAATAGAGATAATTGAATCAAAAAGCTGGGGTTCCATGTACCCAGCCCAAAGCACAGCAAAGCCTCCCATGGAGTGTCCAATAAGCACATTCCTGGACCACCCATTCTGCTCAAAGTCGCCAGTAGTACGAATCTCGTGCTTTACAACCTCAACCAAATCCTTCCCGCCATCGTTCCAGTCGGCAGTCCAGCCAATCTTCTCCCTATTAAGCTCAGCAGAGTCTCCATGGCTAAACGAGTCAACTGCAATCACCTTATCCACCTTCCAGCGAGGATTGCTCTGGCTCGCCTCGTAGAGCTTCTGAATGTGGTACGTCCAAGTACCTTTATTCATCCCAGAGCCATGGGCAAATATAAGGTTCACCTTGGTGACATCCTTAGCCACTGGAGTGGTTGGAGAGAACTTATTGTAGACTAGCTTGACGCGGTCGGTTGGCAAGATGGTGGAACCAGCGTTTCTTGGGTAGGCGCCGTCAGCAGTCTTCTTCTCGAGGGAAAACATGATAAATTACAAAGAAGAGAAATGAATTTAGAAGAAGAGTGGTAGATATATTGTACTGCGTGGGATATGCTTATGAAAATCAGACAGCGGAGTTAGCCCTAACGGGGCGGATAAGTCCGAAGAGAGCCTGAAAAGCTGGTATGTTGTTGGTGGAGAATCAAGCTAGACACTAATTTAATTCCCCCAGCGAATGCTTATCTCTGGCACGGTCCAGCTCGTCTTTTCGTCTCTCCAACCGTCTTTTCGCAGCCATTTGCACCCACTCCACAATGAAACGGTATCCGAGGTATCAGCGGGGCAACCGTTATTTCCATAAAGGAAACGTAGAGAATAATCGAACGTGACAGTGGCTGGTTCTGGGCGATTGAGGGGCAGAAACTTCCATGTGGATGGGCTGGAGGTATGTCCTCGGTGCGGTATACCCGTTAACTCCATGGCTGGATGAATAAGGTATGGGCCAAGGAATGGTTTTTAGAGGATGATATAAGGTTTGGGTGGAAGGGTTGTCGAAGGGCAGTTTGTAGTTTTTTGGTTTGTGGGTAAATAAGACAGGTTTGCTTAGTTACTTGGGTGAGCTGTCTCCACAGAACAACACTTTATCTATACAACGTCAGGCCTCGGTCAAAGAACGGAAAAACAGCAAAATAAGCGATGTTCTCCAAAATCAAACAAACGTGCATTGGGATGCGTTCGACTGTTATGTAATGCAAGTTCGTAACGACGCTGGAGGCAGCATAAAGACGATGCAAGGCGAAACAAGAGGATCCATAAATGAACAAGGGATCGTTTCAGTGGTAGATCCAGCCAATAATGCTAACCGATCCAAGTTGCAGAAACAGAGGTTGAAGTGTAAAATAATGGAAATAAAGCTGATCCCGGGTTTACTACGTTTTTAGTTACGGATCATGTGCTGGTACTATAGATTGAATGGGTTGCAGTTTAAGAGCATGAAGAAAGCTATTAAGGTTTCTGTAGATCCATGGATCGTGATCTGACGGTACATCTACGAGCAGCTGTAGATTGAGCGGAATTGAACCTTGGTGGATTCCCAATAGGTGAGATCGGAGGACTTGTTAGAGGAAGAGTAATGGCTTACAGGAAAACGTAATTGCGTGTTTTGGAAGAAGGCTGTGGGAAGAAATAGTTGTTTTGAAGGAACGGCCGGTAACAACTAATGGAATCCGAAAAATAAGTAGTTTTCAGTGTACAGTTAGTGGATCTTGATTAGACATTTTTTACATATTCTGTCAGGAAACCAGCTTAAGCCTTAGTTAGAAGTACTAATTGTAGTCTACCTCCTTAACCAACTTCTTTAATGAACCTTCTTTAATGAACCTTACCCTAACCCAAGCAGCTTAGGCAGTGCCCTATAAAGCTCGAAATCTTCATAGAAGGCTTAAAAGCCACACACGGGACTCTAGCCTTACTATCTCATCTACTTCCACCACTCCACCTCAACTACCTAATTCACCCAATTCACTCCACCAACTACCAACTCCCAACTACCAACTACGAGTCCATTCCAGCCACCACCAACCACCTTTTCTTCCTCGTCGTTTAGATGTCTCATCAGCTCAGTTACCTCGGTACTCCACAAAAAGGCCTTACCTATCCACCACCAGCTATCCACCTCCATAAATTAAATGACAGTAGTAGAAATCAGTAAATGCCTCTACTAAACAAAATCCAAACTAAATTCTCCTTATTTCCTCTTCCCCTTCTTCCCTTCACTTCATACAAATACCACCCTCTGTGCGGTCTCGGTCCGTTCGGTACCCCACAAAAAGCTGGTTATCACCGTCCACCAGAAACCCAAAAGCAGCTTGAAAAGGCAGCCAATATATACCTTCTCCTCGGTTTCTCCCTAAATCATCCAATTTTTCACCTCTTTTCTCGAAACCACCGTCTCTGTGGTCTTCAGTACTACATAGGAAAACCGTAACCAACCTTCTTCCACCTCCACCTCCACCACCACCACTTCCACCATCACTTTTGGTTCCTCCATCAAATAACCAACCCCTCCTGGCATCAACAACTGCCAAACCTCCACCTCCACCTCCATCCACCACCTCTCCACATCTTCTTCACCAGCCTTGGCATCTACTGGCCTTGACTCATCGCGAAAATCATCACCACTACTTTCCACCTTCCACCCTCCACCTTCCACCCCATGACTTCACTGTCTATTCCTATTCTTCGAACCGTGCTGCAGGTCAGGGCGTGGCGCCGCCAGTGCTTCTTCAATAAGGAGTCTGTGGGCTTCGTGCCAACTATGGGCGCTTTACATAAGGGCCACACTTACCTTGTGAACGAGAGTCTTGCCGAAAACGACCGTACGATAGTGCTGATTTTCGTCAACCCGTCGCAGTTTGCGCCTCATGAGGACTTGGACGCTTACCCGAGGACGCTAGATCGGGACTTGAAGGCGCTTGAGTCGCTAGGACGCCGTGTGGACGCGGTGTTCTTGCCTAAGGTGCTGGAGATGTTTCCTAGTGGGATTGTTTTGGACGTGAACAAGCAGAAGGGGGCTTTTGTGAATGTCTTGGGATGCTCTGAGCAGCTTGAGGGCACACAGAGACCGGCTTTCTTTAGAGGCGTGGCTACCATTGTCACTAAGCTTCTTAACGTGGTGAACCCTACGAATGCCTACTTTGGCCAGAAAGACGCCCAGCAGTGCGTTGTGGTGAAGAATCTAGTCAAGGATTTGCTTATGGATACGACCATTCGGGTGTGCCCAACGCTTAGGGAGCCTAACGGGCTTGCCATGTCTTCTAGAAACGAGTACTTATCGCCAGAGGCCAAGGACCAGTGCTCGCTCATCTACCAGGGTCTTTGTGCTGGTAAGGCTTACTATGAGAAGGAAGTTGCTTCTGGCAAGCCTGTTTCTGCTGAAGCTGTCGCTGGAGCTATCAAGGAAGTCTTCTCTACTATGCCTTCGGACTGGAAACTAGAGTACATCGCTGTGTCTCATCCAGAATCGCTTGAAGACCTAGAGACAATTAGTCTGGATGTCGGTGCAACCGTTTCTACGGCTGTCAGAGTGCCAAAGGCGGACGGCTCTGGTGTCGCTAGACTTATCGATAATGTCCAGCTTTAACGAGAAACGAATAACTTATAAAGGGGATCAAAAAAGGTAGAAAATAACCTACACCGTGCTAGAGTTGTCATGGCAACAACTAGACAAAAAAAAAAACCACTCGCTTCGGCTTGTCTATATTACATTATGAAAAGGTCCCGTCTGACATGTATATACCTAAAAACCCCGACGGACCCGAGGTACCACTTTCGTCTTTTCTGTAGCCTTCAGCGTATCTGGCTTTTTAGAGCGTTGTCTGTCCTCCTCTAGCCGTTTTTCCCAGTCATCCTTACCGACCAATGTAAAGTCCAACGACCCTTCAATCTGCTTTCTAACAGTAGCACTGACCCCATAAAAGATATGGCCATACTTGAGTAGCCATTCTGGCTCCACAGCAGTAACACATTGCATATACTCTTTGGTGGTAAGTACCAACTCGTCGTATACCACAAACGGAGGACTCAAGTCGCCTCCACCAGCCAATGCCGATGTAGGATGAAGGTACATGGTCATATATGTCTGGCGTAGATTGGCATACTCGACTTGGCCTCTGCCACCGCCCATCTTCACGAGCTTGGCCAGTTGCTGGAAGAAAGCTGCACAGAGACATTTTCTGATATCGCTGTCTGTTTTCGATTTGAGCACTGGAAACTGTTTCTTGTTCATGATAAGCATAATCTGGTTGTAGATATCTTTTGCACGAATGAGGGACCTGTAGTGAAGGAAGTTTCTAGTGCACCATAAGCTCAAACTGCCTTTCTTCTGCTTGGCTCTCTGTTCCCATTGTTCAAAGACATTCAACAAAGTCAAATGGTCCAGGTCTGCAATCAAGAATTTCTCTCTTGCGGAATCAGCATCATCTGCTCTTTCTTTTGGCCTGTAAAAGACGTTGGGAACAGAAAGCATCGAGACAATGATGATTATCTCCCTCGAACAGTGAAACTCTTCTTGAGTGGAGAGTAATATGAGCTTGGCGAGAGTTGGTTCCATTGGGAAAACATTAAGCTGTTCACCTAACAGCGTCAAAGAACCAACATTATCAAGAGCACCAATCGCCCAGAGATCATACAACGAACAGCTGAGCAAGTCTCGTGGAGGTGTATCCAAAAACGGAAACTGAAGAACATCGCTAACATGAAGCGACTTGAGCATCAACATAACTGAACTCAAGTTGGTACGCTGGATTTCTGGAATAGGCTGCACGTACATCTGAGAAGGTGCAGCTGCTCTATCAGTATAAAGCCTGTAAGCGATACCTGGGCCTGTTCTACCAGCACGACCGCTTCTTTGCTGTGCATTGGCCATGGAAATAGGCACCATTTGCAAAATATCCATTCCAAGCTTGGGGTTGAACACTTTCACCTTGACAAGACCACAATCCACGACGTACTTTATTCCGTCCACCGTCAAAGAAGTCTCAGCAATGTTGGTTGCAACAACGACTTTTCGGCGCTCTGCAGTCAGCTTGTTGAAGATCTTCTTTTGCACATCAGCAGGAAGGGTGGAGTATATCGGGTACACATCAAGCGGTGGAGGGTTCTCAAGCATATCTAGTTTCTCGTGGATCATTTCACAGGTGGCTTCAATATCTTCCTGACCTGTCATGAACACCAAAATATCTCCTTGCTGGCCCTGGTTCGCTAGGTGTATGGTTATAACCTGTTTAACTGCTGTATCGACATAGTCAGGACATGGCGATTTGGAGTAGAATGTCTCAACTGGGAAGGTTCTTCCGGGAATCACATACTGAGGAGCATCACCAAAGAACCTAGAGAATCTGTCAGCGTTCATGGTAGCACTGGTGACTATGAGCTTGAGATCTCTTCTTTTCCGTAGAAGCTGTCTGAAAAGACCAAGCAAAATGTCAGTGTTTAGGGTCCTCTCGTGCGCTTCATCCATGATAATGCATGAATACTGTTCTAGAGCAGAATCAGCAAGCATCTCACGAAGAAGAATACCTTCTGTCAAGTACTTGATCAATGTCTTTTGGGGACTTGTTCTGTCTTCGAATCTGATGGAGTAACCCACCTCTTCGCCAAGTTTGCATCCCATTTCTTCTGACACTCTTTTGGCCACCGACATGGCAGCCACACGTCTGGGTTGTGTACACCCAACAAGCAACCTTGAGCCGTGCTTATCTTTGCTTTTTGCGTACCCATCTTCACATAAAAACTGGGTAAGTTGTGTAGTCTTACCAGAACCAGTCTCACCAATGACCACCACAACCTGGTTTTCTGAAATAATTCTCATAAGATCGTCTCGGCATTTGTAGGCTGGAAGGGTCTTTCTTTGTTCTTGGATACTCTCAAAGGAAGCCTTTTCTTCGATTTCCTCCTCATTTTGTTTCTCCTCCTTCTCATCGTCTTTCTTAACCACAGAGGCCATACCGTCCTCGCCGGTTGCTCTTTCCTTTGCCTGCTGGGCTCTTTCTTTCTTGGCTTTTCTATCCTTAACGATGAAACTACCGTTCCGGGCTGTTTCTGCAAGCTCAGATGCTGGGTCTTTGACAGCGCTAACACTCGGTCCAGTGCTTCTGGACGTTTGAGTGCTCCCAAAATGAGGCCTTAAATCGCCCTCCGAGCCTTCCAAAAATGGCGGGATCAAGAAATGAGTCGTAATAGGTACTCTTTGAAGCTGGGCTTCTGAAGCATCATGGTCATAATCAATATACTCACCTGTAGCAGCGTCAAAACCACCGCCTGTCCGCTGAGCACCCTTCCTAGGCCGAGGTCGCTGTTTTGGCTTATAGTCCAAGTCCTCGTAGTCTTCCACATGTGCCTGGTGTGCCATATCCTCAGAAGCATACCATTCTCTGTCGTTTTCAATGCTAAACTCGTCGTCCTCGAGCCGATGAAACTCCTCGGTCTCCTGGACCAAAGCCTGGGCCTCCTTACGCTTCCTTTCAAGCTCTGCAAGCTCAGATAGACTCAAATGCTCTTCTTTCTTGACAGGCTCACGCTTAACAATATCTGGCTCCCTTTTCACCCCCACCTCATCTGCCGGCTCCTGCTTCAACCTCTGAGTATCTGCCTTCTTCAACTTCTTAAACTTCGGTTTCTTGGGCTCCCTATCCTTGGCCAGCAAGGAGGAGCCTTGATCAAGGTCCAAATCGTCATCCTCGTCGAAATTAAGCGCAAGTTTTGAAGTCTTCGCCTTTCTCGGTTTTTTCACCGGCGGGTCCGTAGCAACGTCCGTCGCCTTCGTATCTAGCGCCGCCAAGTTGTCATAAATGAATCTGTACACTGTCTTGGCCAAATCCTCTGGAAACCCTAGCGCCTTGGTCGACACCAAAAACTGCAGCTCCAGGCCTGCTTGCTTATATAGTCGAACCGCCGTTTCGGCTAGAGAGCTCGGGACGTCTCGATTGAGCCCACGTGAGAGCGTCTCTGTGAGAACCAGAAGCATGTACTTTGGGGTCTTGGTAGTAGGATGTTGGTGATGCTCATCTACACTCTGTGCAAGAAAAACACCAATCTACCCCATACTCTTTTTCCAGTCCGTGAAAAATCGACTTTACCATGTCGCTACTGGCCAGAGCGGCACTATACCTAAAACAGACAGTCTCGGCAAGGTACGCTTTTACTCCGGCACCGATTAATGCCCAGGAGGTGCGGTTTATACGGGACTGTTTTGGCAAGCTAGGAACGGTAGAGTACTTCAGTGTTGCCAAGACGAAACAGACAGAGGCACATTTGTTTGGGCAGCAAGTGACGGTGACGTTGAGTCCAGGCGACCAGCTCTCCCAGCTTGATCCTTTCGCTGGCATTGATCGAGATATACAGCCAACGGCTGGAGAGCTTCGACGGGAACAAGAGAAGCTAGCAGGGAGACTACGAAGGTTAATAGGGCTCCCGAGATATTCGTACATTGAAAATGATGGGCAGTATATGGATGGGCAGATCCACGTGCCGTTTAAACACGCTCTCATACCCGATGCATCACGTCTTATGAATCAGTATAGAATGAGTACCTCCACGGTCTCCTCGCCGTTTGTCTTCCTTGAGGAAGGCAACTATGACGACGTGGTCAGCAGCATACGGCACAATTTCCAGAAATACCATAAGATCCAACGGGTTTTCGTGGAAACAGGCTTACATGGCGTCAGTTTGGTTGGCGCAGAACGTCAGGACGTCTCTGTCAAGGTGGACGACAATGCGGTCGTCAGTGCCGAGGATATCATGGATTTGGATAAGGAGCTCGACATTCGGGAAACCAGAGCGAAGAACTCGACGTCTTACGGCTTCTTTCCTCCAGTCAAACCAAAAATCTAGTTTTGGGTAGCGATTTTCTTGTCCACAGTCTCCAAATCCTTCTGTAAAAGCTCATTGAGGTAACTGAGACCAACCTGCTGCTTGTATAATAACTTGGTCAACTGGTTGACAATCTGATCGATGTAGTTGTTGCCCTCAGCAACCAGAATAGCCGATCCCTCCTTTCCGTTCATGATGTCGTTCAATCCACCGTGTATACTACCAATAGATGATTCCAATTGCAACGAGAGGTCCTCGCTTCTTCCTTTGAGAATGGCAAGACGAGCGTAAAGATCGCTGAGTTTACCAACAGGGCCATTAGGATCGCTAAGTCTGGCATTCAATGTCTGGAACTGTTTGGAAATCTCCTCTTCCTCGGGTAGCAAAGGATATCCCTTGAGTTTGAGTATGGCAAGCACCGTAGCTAAGCGGAGGAGCCTGCGGGAAAGTTTTGTGTGTCTTGCTTTAGCTTTGAGGATTCTAGTTGTGTTGTCTAAATCATGCTTGGACGATAGCTGGGTTTGTTTTTCATTAATGTTGTTGAGCAAGATCCTTGATTTTGCAACATGGTCCAACTGTGTCTCTATTCTCTGCGACACGTCGCTGAACGAAGTCACTTTTATAGGGTAATGCTGAGAAGAAGGACGTTCAGACATGGCACTGTCCCAGTCCTCTGGCGATTCGTTTGCCGGCCTTGGTTGTTGCATGAGTGCATTGATTTCCTCTTGGTTGAATTTATTGTAGAAATGAGTCTTGAGAGCACACTTGGGCGAGTTTGGATCCCACTGCTCTTTCAACTTGATAAGCTGGTCATTAATAGGTGGTGTGTATGTTGACGATGACGAGGAAGGAGCTTGCTGGCTGGCAGCTTGTGAATTGGACAATGTAGGTAAACTCAACAAATTCGACTGCTGAGGTTTTTGCTGTTGTTGCGAGGACCATGAAAACGAAGGTTGGGCATTGTTAACTGTGCTACCGCCAAAAAGACTCGAGCCTGTGTTAGCGTTGGCGTTGCTTTGTTGAGAAGGAGGTGCTGAATTAGACTGGCCAAACAAGCCTCCACTTTGCTGGTTTTGTTGAGTGTTGCTTCCACCAAAAAGACCACCAGAAGACGAGGAAGGAGCTGAAGTGTTTGGTTTACCGAAAAGGCCACCAGAAGTGTTGCCTGTGTTGGTATTAGAGGAGCCGAACAACCCTCCACCAGCGCCAGAAGTGTTGCCAGCGCCAGTGTTCTGGTTGCTGCTTCCAAAAAGGCCTCCGCCACCGCCACTTGGAGCAGCGGGTTTACCAAAAAGCCCCCCACTGGTGTTTCCAGTGGTATTAGAAGAGCCTCCGCCAAAAAGACCTCCAGAGGTGTTGCCAGTATTCGACTGCTGCTGGTTAGACGCGGTATTCGAGCCTCCAAAGAGCCCTCCGCCAGTACCACCAGTATTCGACGAAGCACCACCAAAAAGACCACCGCCAGCAGGTTTGTTCTGGCCAAAAAGGTTCAGTGTTGACTGTGAGCCCTGGTTGGCATTGTTGCTTGAACCGAAAAGACCTCCAGATGGAGCTGCAGAGCCCGAAGAAGCGTTATTCTGGCCTCCAAACCCGCCAAATCCACCAGATCCACCAGTGTTTCCTGCACTACCAGGGTTGTTGTTGCTGGAGCCAAACAGAAACCCCGATCCGGAGTTGACGTTACCTGTAGACGCCAGAGAGCCAAAAGCAGGTTTCTGCTGGGAGGTGCCGAAAAGACCCGAGCCTCCTGAAGAGGAAGCACCAAACATTGAAGTTATATAAGCGGGCTGATGTGCGGGTGAAGCAGGTAAGTTGGCTTTTCAATGTGTAGTGAGAAATCTGGTAGCGTTTGTTTAGGCGATGTAGCGTGCCGCGCACGACCCTCCCAGTATGGGACGACAGTTGATGGTTTGGGTTCGTTTTGCTTGATTTTTTTGAGTTTATAGTTAATTGGGGGACTGGGGATGTAATTGGATGGGTGTGTTTGTTTTTCTGTCTTTTTATTGGAAGGTGTGGGTTTTGGGTGTAGCAACTTATTTTGCAGCCATATAAGCAGGTGGTTAGGCAGCAGTGGAAGAGGAAGTGCTATGGGTAGTTAAAAGGTTGCTTTTTTATTGGAATATTTGATGTTTATTCGGCGTGTGGTGGAAGCTGGAGTACTTTACTTTTATGCTATATATATCCATATATATATATATATATAGTGGTGTCTTGTATGGCTTCTGGTGCTCTCTGGAAGTGGTAACTGGCTGTGAGGAAGCATAACAATTGGTTAAGATTTCTATTTTGTGAATATGACGCAAACGAGTTGTATGTCTGCCATAAAAAGGCCTTTAAAGGACCTTTTTTTGTTTTGATATTTCTTCATTTCTATAAAGAAGGCTGCTTGACCCAGAATGAGCCTTTTGCAGCCAATAGAAAGACTGTAGGAAGCCAATGGCTTGATGGATCGTTTGCCAAAGAAATCTGGGTGATTCTCTTGTTTTTGAATTTTTTATCAAGTGTTGAAAGTTTTATTTATTGAAAAGAATGGGTGGATGTTTGTAAGTTTTTAACTTTTGAGGGAGAAGTACCATAATCATGGAAACTTCGAAATACTACATTAAAAAGAATTACCACAAAAATTGAAAAATAGACATGAAGTGAAAGAAAGTGATTGTAAGAGACCGAAACGGCTTCCTAGCTTCTGTTTCTCTTCAAATGCCTTTCCGGCGGATTCTACTATGATTACTTCAGTCAATGCAATCAGTTTATCCAATGCCTTCTAAGAAAAAGCAACACCATATTGGATCACCACTATTCGTTCCCTCCTTCTGGCCTTTTTACGTGCCCTTCGGGCCCGTCAAAAGCGCCCCTGCTACTACATCTTCCTCTCTGTATGATATTTGATTATGCAAGTAACTTATTTTCAACCACGTCCCCTGTGTCTAAGCGGACTCCTCCTGTTTACCCTTCAAGAAGGCCTGTGTCACGGCCTTATCCTGGCCAGTACCGGTGTAGATAGGGTTCTCCTTCAAGTGGATCTGCTCCTCTGGCTTGACGCCAGGCACCTTCTTCTCCAACTTCAATTTGTCAAACACACACTTGTTGAACAACTTTTCACTGGCTCTGCAGCCGCCCAACCTGTGGTTCTCCTGTTCAAGACATTCGTAGTGCAACTTGAATTCGTCGAAACAGTGCTTGTTCAAGTCCTGCAACACAGAAACCGCACATCTAGTGACTCTTCTGCCCTCCTTCAAACACTCAACGGTACCGCCGTTCTTCTCGTCTTTACACAACATGAAATCGTCATTATATGGCTTACATCTGGCGCCAATGAAGAATGCAGCACTTAAGAGTGGAGCTGAGGTCGCACCCACCTCTTCAACGTCTGGAACGTCCTTGGGCATTGGGTTCTCGTCGACATTTTCCCATTTCTTGTCGCCGTAGAAAAACTTTCCGAACCCCATATTTGATGTCTATGTTGTAGGGGATGCTGTCCTTCTCTAATGTCCTGATATCGGTTTCTCTTAGTTTTTCTTAATCTGGTTCGCGGTCGTGCGCGTACCGCTTTTCTCTCCCATAGTTAACCTTGTCTTACTTAGCCAATTCGTCGCCGCGTGGTTGGTTCCTGTGGTTACGCGGGCTCTGCGTTACTCTGAGCACTAACAAATGGATGGTGGAGCCAGTCAGATGGATTGGCCTGGAAATTGGAGTAGAGATCAAATTGACTTCTAAGCCTGATCAAACTCTATTCAGCGGCTTTTCAGGAAAAATTTAGTGGGTCGTTCGTAGTTTGAGGTGTTCATCTGGCGAGCATGAGGAGCCTACCTTTTGCAGCCATTAAATTCTTCAAGTGACTGAAAATCTTCAAAAACAGTTGGAAGGGAAACGACCAGCTAATAGGACGTCAGGTATGCCTGGGAAGTCGCCATTTAAATCCAATTGAGGAGTTTCCACCCACAAACCTCGTGAACCATATACAACGTAATTGCAACAAACGACTGGTCAATTGACTTCCAGAACTATCAAAGCAGGACACTAATTGAATTTCAACCATGCCTGAAGTCTCACATTCTCCCAAAGTCAATCTCACCTTCCACCTTCAAATCCACATTAGCCTAATCACTTGGCCTCCGAGACGTTACCCACAATACGCTGGCAATGTAGTAAGCTCATAATCACGTCTTCATACCCGCTTGGCTTCGTCTTGACAGTATCGAGAGTTTCTTTTATATATGCTTTGAACTCAAGTTGCAAAGACAGAAGCCTCGTTTTAAGATTCTTCTCAAAAAACACACATCCTTCGTCCTCCTTGGACTCGTTCAAAATAGCATAAATCTTTGTAGCAGAAAGGTACAATGTAGTTAACGTAGAAAGCTTTGGTTTAAGGCGTTCACTGCTGAGTTCACCAATGTCAAGCCCTAGAAGCGTCTCAAAGCTGGAGCACTGTTCGTTAAGCAAAAGGATCAATTTAGCTTTATTTTTAAGCACATTAAGACGCTCTTTCTGCTGGAGTGCTCTTTTTGCCGTAACTGAAGAATCCGTAAGGTTCTTTTTCGAAAACTGAAGCTGTTGGTTGAACTTGCCAACATCAAGCGAAATGTTATTGATAAGGTCCAAGCATCCACCAATGGATTGGCCTAACTGGATAAAACTCGTGTACTCGCTGTTGACCAAGTCCAAAAGGTCCTGGTTGAGCGTCTGGGAAAGCGATTTGAGGTCTCTAAGGAGGGAATCTAAGGAAGTGAATCTATGGTTGTCGTAAAGGAACGAGTCTGGATCAAAGTCTGGGTTATCGGCGAAATCGTCCCTGGTGATTATGGCAGGGTAGACGAAGTCGTCTTTGCCGTCTAGGTAACTAGCAAACATGGATTGTGAAGATGGTATGGATGGTAAGACAAGTTTGAAGGTAAAGTGTAGTAGGTGAGGTGTTGATAATTCGGGCACGTGACGAGGCACGTGACGAGCATGACCCGGCACGCCTTTTCAAGCTTTCGGGATACCCATTGGAATTTCTCCAGCTACAACATACTACAACAACAGGTGTCGCCGTAAAATAAAAAAAAAGAGATCTGCCGTGGCGATCGCTGGGCAAAAGCGCAAAAGAATGTATATTCAAAGAGACATTGTTGTCTTTGTGTCACTTCCCCTGAAAGGAACCAACCCAAAAGGCCTAAAGATGCCCAGAGAAACGTGAAAAAAAAGACGCTTTGGTGGAGCCAGGCCAGAAAAAAAAAAGAAACGTCTCCCAGGCAAGTCTACACGGAAAGAGATAAGTGGACAAGCAAAGCCAAAGGTTCTTTCCCAAGCGGGCCCAGGATAACATGATTGGGACAGACAAAGAGCCATTGTAGGGAAAATCGGAAAGATGGTGGAAAAAGAGAGGAGTGGAATTGGCATAATAAGGACGAGGGAGTATGGAAGGTACGGGTTACAAAGACAATGGGCGATAACGGTTGACGAATAGGACCCTGGATGATCGAGACAGACAAGAAAGGCGTTAGATCGGTGAGGATTGATTGCAAGCGAGAAAAGGACAGGAGCACTGGAGGGGTAAAAAGACAAGAAGGCTTGGAGGGGGGTTCTGGGGCTCTGGTGGATGTTTCAGGGGGTGTTCCAGAATGGAGAGAAAGGCTAGATGTTGGGGGATTGAGGAGAGAGAGAGAAGGGTCCTTGTGGAGGGGGGACACTAGCCACATGTGGCTAGTGGTAGGGGGAGGTCAGGGGGGCTGGAGGGCAACAGAGTCAGCAAGTGTCAATGCAGAAAAGGAGGGAGAGGCCCGCCTTGTGGCTGGTGAAGCAGACCCACCGACCCGTTAGTGGGAGGTTGCAGTTGCAGATGCAGATACGTTCGCGAGCCGGTGCGGACTGCATACAGGGGATGTGAACAAAAGGAGCGCAAACGCGCCATGCTGACCAGAGCGCAAACCTCAATGGACATCGATTGGCGCTGGCCGCATTGACAGTTGAAATATTATTTACTGACGTGCAGCATACTTCCCCCCCAAAATAAAAAATAATTAAAATGCGGGGCATAAAAAAACCCTCCAGCAAGCAATCAAAACCTTAAAAAAAAGCACACAGAAGGAAGCCAAAAAACAAAAGTCTTGAGTAAAATGCTTAGCTGGGGCTCGGCCGCCTTTATTGATCCTGTGTCCTTCCCCACCTCATGCTCCCAAGATACCTCATGCTACAGCGTGCACGATACACGCAGTGCCTAGGCTTTTTTTTTGTCTGTTCGTCCTCGCTATATGCAGTACGCGCATTTACTACCTATGGCTGCTAAAAAAGTCAAAAAAAAAAAAAAAAAACACCTCAACATTTACCATTAAGCACATTGGGGAATGAATAAAGTATATTCACAAGGCTTGGACGTCGTTCCATAAAACGTCCCAATTACCCCATTAGGCGTGTTCCACCTCCATCTTCTTCCAATGCCTCGAGTGCGCCGCAGCACCTCGCTCAAATCCCCCACCAAAAACCCACCCTTTAACGAGTATCGCTTCTCTCACCTTATTCTCCCAAACAATAGACCCTTGAAGAGCCGTCAATCTTTCTTAGTAAACAAGAAAAACAGTCCATCTTCATAGTAAGGCAACTTTGAGAAAGACAGCACGGCTGAGCGAAAAGAAGCCCTGAAAGACGTGGAAAGCTAGAAGCAGCTAAAGCAGTAGCAGTTGGCAGCTCGTTTATTCCTGAAATATCACCATCACCGACGGAAACAAGAAGAGATAAACTCCGCAATCGTCAAATACGTTGATTGCGTTCCAACGGCGCCCCAAAGCCATCTTCACGTGGGATGGAGGTTCTGGAGATGCGGGGGGGAAGGAGAAGTGCCTGAAACAGGGAGGAGGGCCGAGTCTGGGGGGTCTGGAAACGGCAGTAGGGGCGGTGGATGGGGAAAGGGGAGAAAAGGGAGAATAAGGTTTGGTAAGGTTGGGTTTCTGGTAGGGTAGTATGGGGGATAAGGTTATTCCGAGAATGGCCGGGATGGATTTTTTTTTTTTGGCTTTTTGGAGGTGGTTTTGTTCCAGGCTTTGTCGACGCACGCGTGCAGCCATGGGCCCTGCATGTTCTGCATTTAACCAGGATACCCGCTGCACCAGCTCCTCACTGTTTATGCACCACTGGACGTGGGTTCGCTCCGTGCTATGTGCAGGAGGAGATTTAGGATTACCATAGAGTCTGGCATTTTTTGCAACCATCCTAATGCCAAGCAGAAGTGGATTTGGTGATAAAAGCGAGAAACGGTTGATTTGGGCGTAGGTGGCGATGTAGGCACCGACGTAGGCGTAGGCACTGGAACATGCCCGGCGTGCAGCCCGTACAGAAATGAAACATCCTTTTGCCGAGCTCCAAAGACAAGAAATGGTGAATTACAGGGAAATACAGGGAATGAGAGTCGTAGGGGTAAAAATGAGCTTCAAGCAAGTTTTCACATAAAGATCAGCATTCAAACGGACCCTAAACTGCCAAAAAGGAAGGTCCAAAGGTCCAGCACGATCAGAAACCTTCTGGAATCACCAAAGAAAAGGTCTAGGGCCTTCTGGAGATACCAGTGTTCGAGATTCAACCCCAGGCGTTGGGTCCTTGGATCTGCTCCAATTGATCCGCTTCGGATTTGGAGTCTGCATTAATTTGCATTTCCCAGGTTTGTTGGCTGTATGTCTTTTTGCGTTGGAGATACTCCTCTGGACATTCAGACAACAAAAGATGCCCCCAAAAACGACATAGCTCCGTCAACTTGACCTATTTCCTGCCAATCCATAATCCATGCAATCCATCAATGACAAAACATACCCTCCTCTGCCCAACGGCTGCACCGATACGAGTGACTATAGCTTCCACAATTGGCGTCTCCTTCTATGAATAATGCGTCGATCATTCCTAGCAAAAGGGAACGATAACCTACAAGGATGAAGCTTTGAAGGTAAGCTTTGAAGGTGAGCTTTGAAGCGGAGCTTTGAAGCTTCACTAGGAGTACTACTTGAAATTCATTTCTTGAAAATTGCTTGAAGATTACTTTCAGATTACTTTCAGATCATCACTTCATGAACTTCACTCGAACTTCACTTCGTGAAGTCCATCGTGAAGTTCGGAAACCTCTCCCAACCACCGACAAAGCCCAAAGAATCCACCAACAAAGCTGCTTGAATAATGCGCTTTTGGGGATTTTTACCTTTTGTCATGTTTCTTGTTAAGTTAAGGCTTTCTTTTTTCCACTTGTCTCTTGTTTTTCGCAGCCAACTCCAAAGAAGCTCTTCGTCAAGGAAAGTAACTTTTCCCGGGCCGAAGGTGTTTGGAAAGTGGTTTGTTATTGAGGGGACCAGAGAAAGGTTCAATGGGATCGGAGGGTTGACGAGGAGGGGCGCAATTTAAATGGGAGGGTTTATATGTGGAGATTTGAATGGGTGGTAGAAGACGTACGGCTGGAGAGTGGAAGGAAAAGAACCAAAAGAAGGGCTGTGATTGGTGGGAGACAAGGGACTGCCTGCAGGACATCCATAACGTCTCTACTAACATTTGGGAAGTCTCTACACTTGGTCTTTTCACACTACAACTCGATACGGTAGATTTGAGGTCGGCTCGGCTGGTAAAAGGAGACAGTTGGAAGGATGAGGAGGATCATGCACGGACTGCATACAAGCACACCGCGGATTATCTGCAGCTTCTTCTGCTTTCTTCGTCGGCGCCTGCCCCGTGTAATCGTACACTGCAGCGGTTTTACACGCCAATTCTCGCCACACAGAAGTATCAGCGAATCTAGCTTAGACCTCCAAGAAGTGTATTTTGCCCTAGGGCGTTCTTGGGTGCATGTGCACAAAAGCAACCATATGCGCATAAATTGATCTATATGCAGTATACAACCTTCATACAGGCCACACACCGCACCGCATCTGCATTGCATGCACAAATGAAAAAACAGAGCAGAGACGCACTCAGACACGCATGACGCACGCTGCACCTCTGCACGTCTTTTTTATATATTTTTTCCTGTTTTTTTTTTTTTTTTTTTTTTTTTACCCTCACAACTAAGATGTCCGTTCTAAACCCGCTTGTCTATGTACAGCGAAATGACGCACCTTCTTGACCTTCCTATCTCAATCAAATATAAAGTCTCGGAAGCTGCTCCACATTTTTTTTTGTTTTGGGATTTTTTCCATCTTTTCGTTTTCAGCCGTTTGGATTCAAACCACCTTTTTTTCCCCTTTGTTTCACTTCTTCCCTCCCCATATCCCCCCAATTGAAACCCATCCCCAAAAGGTATAAATACCCTTGACCCCCCCACACAAACACAAAGTCCAGGTTTTTCCCCTTTTTTCATTTCCAGGCACTCATTTGTTCCTGACTTGATGTCCACAGCAGTATTCTACCAACCAGATCAACTTGGCGTGGAAGAAGTACATCAGAATCACCATCATCACCAGAACCACAACCACAGTACCAGCAGCACCAACAGCACCAGCAGCAGCAGCCAAAACACCACTGTCCCGCCATTGCCTCCTTTGGCCCATCTTATGCCCTTGAGTCTGAGCTCCCAAACCGCTGCCCAGACATCCACGTCGAGTTCCACTGGTCCAGCTGCGACTGCATCAGCTTCTGGCTCTGGCCCAGCACCTACGCTGCTGGATTTCATGTATCCGGTGGTTTCCTCTGCCAATAGTTATCCTGGCTACCAAGCGCTGCCAGAAGTGGCGCCCCAGAGCTCCAGCTACCACCTGAGTATCAATAACACCCCGGCCACTCCGCTTAACAATAACTATACAGCGTCCGCTGCCATGTTAGCTCCCCACAATTCAATTCCGGGCCCCAGTGCTCCCATGATGGCTCAGCACCCGCTTGTAGGCGGGCCCGGCCCGCTGTCACACCCAGTTCCGTTTGCCGGGCCTCAGGTGCAAGAAAAATGCACTTGCAAGTCGAATCCGAACCGTATTCCTCGTCCCAGAAATGCTTTTATTTTGTTTCGCCAAAAGTACCACCAATCGGTGCTTGACGAGTCCACGGAAGCGAAAACTAACCCAGAAGTGTCCCGTGAATTGGGTCGCCGCTGGAGATCGCTTTCGCCTCAGGAAAGAGAACACTGGACGAATTTGGCTGAAGAAGAGAAGAAGAACCACGCTAAAAAATACCCAAACTACCGCTACACGCCTCGTAGACACGGCAAGGGCAAGCACTGTCCGTCGTGTCAGCAGAAGCACATGCGTCAGGCCCAAATGAACCAACAGCAGCAGCAACAACAGCAACAACAGAAACAAAATATGATGCGTAGTCTGCTGTCGGATCAGGACGGCTTGTTGGGACAACAAAATTTACAAAAGCTGCCATTGAACCAGTCGCTGAATTTTGCTCCACAAATGCAGCCTTTCCTGCTCCAACAGCAGTACTCGCTGGGCCAGCAGTCGTTATCAGGACAACCTTTGCAACAGCCATTGCAACAATCGCAACAGCCACAGCAACAAGGCAATCCTTATATGCTGCTGCAAATGGGCCAGTTTGTGTTTCAAAGTCCTTTTAATCAAGTTGGGCCTCAGTTTGGCTTCCCTGAACAACAGCAACAACAACCACAACAACAACAGCAACAGCAACAGGCACAAGGTCTGCCTCAGCAGCAGGTTGTTCTGGGACAAGGCCAGGGCCAACATCCTAATGAAAAGATGGGCTTTGTTGACATGAACCAGCCGCACTTTATGGGCTACGAACAAGGTGGTTCACATCAACAAAGGTTTAATTCCTTGCCCACGGCCGCCATGGGAGGCAGCTCCTACAATGGCCACGAGGTGTATATGCAACCGCAAGCACCACACCAAAGATGAGTTGAGATTTTTTATTTTGATTGATATGAGACTGGCGCTCAAGGAGAGAATGACGACGAAATGTACACTATGTTGCCGTTAACCGGCTTTCAAACAAATGGGAAAGCCAGCTTGCAAGGGCAGCCATCGGTAGAGCCGGTGGTTCCTTCGCGTTTGCAAATGGCTTTACCAGGGTAACCACGAGTTTGTAATTTCTGTTCAGACCGAGAGCAGACCGATAATATACTTTTTTATTACATTTAGCCAATGTAGACTTCTCTTTTTGTTGATGCTGGCGAGCCAAGCTTACTCAGAGAAACGTTGGACAAAGCACAAGCGGGTCGGCTGGTAGCCAAGCACAATGAGTCTAAAATGAGGAAATACGAAATATAGAGAAAGCGTGTTGGAACAAGCCTTGGGAAGGGCTATTATGTGATGGATATTATTTAGTATTGTAAAAGAGGCTCCACAGCATTAAACAAGGCATCTACAGCGTCAAACTCACAAGCGAAGAAAGCCAGGCTGGTTTTAGTAAACAGCAAATGGAAGCTCGGTTTGAAGGGGATCTACAAGGAAAATTGCAAATCCCAGCAAGTTATGGTCATTGATAAAGTTATGATAGAAGGATGAGTTATAGAGAAAAGCTATTTATTTCCAGTTCCAGAGGTGCTGGGAAGACGAGAAAAACAGCACTGGAACGAGAAAATTCGGGACACTGTTTCCCAGAAGAGGATGATTTGATCAAACATCTAAACCCGCTGAGATGCTCCTTTTACTGGTAAATGCTGGCGTTCAAGAGATCGGGTGGTGCTGGCGCAGCATGTGCAATGTGAGCGTTAGGAGCCCGTGGCCTATTGAGCCATGCAGCTACTGCGTCAGGGAATATAGGCTCAACGCAGGGTCTGCATACGCAGAATGCGAAATAAAGGTGGTATGGCAACACTGCAAAAAAAAAAAAAAAAAAAAAACAAAAAAAAAGGACAGCCAGAGAGGAAAGGAATTTTTCTTGTTTAGGTATTCGTCCCTTACGGATTTGGCACTCATCTTACTGGAATGTCCCAGTTTCCCTCTTCCCAACCATCCCCCTACGCCCTCCAGGAACCTCTTCCTTCTCTATTCCCTCTTCCCCTATCATCAACTCTCCCCCGTAGCGTTTCGTCTAAGCACACACTCAAACACCCTTGCAGAGTTACCGAGAAGACCCTCTCTTTTGGGCCCATTGTATGCGGGCCCTCTCCCTGTACTTCTGTGTTTGTATGGTTATTTTGGGAGGAAAGACGCTTTGTGCGCCTCCATCCAAGAAGGCCTTGTGTTTGGCTTTCACTATCCCTTTGTAATGCACCAAGCCCAAGCCCAAGACGCCATATTTGGGGGGTTTTTCCTTCTTGGTTAGCATGCATTTGCATTGTGTGAGTGGTTTTTTTTTTTTTTTTGCTGTTTCCTTCTGCCGAACAGTCTATGCAACGCAAAGCCTTAAAACAAAAAAAAAAAAAAAAAAAAAAAGCACTGAAGTAAGCTTCATGAACACTGACGGCGCTAACGTTCCTTTATCTCCTTCTCCTTTGACCTTTTGTTGAGTTTCCTACGGCACTACTAAACAGCCTTGCTATTTTTTGTGTTTTTCTTGCTCTTACAGCTTTTACGATATATCTTTTTGGGCCCTTCCCCTCGTAGTCCATATCCCTCCGTAAACGTAACCTGACATCACTGGGTTCCCGGAGCTCCCGCTGCTTCTTAGCTGGGTAAAATGGACTTAGAGGTGCCTTTGATGCACCCACACGAATGATTTCCCATTGAATTGGCGTTTAGTGCTGGCGCCTCAATGAGAGCATTCTTGTACTTTTTTTTTTTTATTTTATTTTACTTATTTTGCCAATGGTAGTATTTCTTGGAAAGACAATGCTTGAACAGTCGCTGGTGGTCGGTCACGGCATTGTTCCATTCCCAAATGCTGATCAGGCGCAACAACGCCTCTAAAGTATATGGTATGGAGGCTGGCGATCGACGAAGGGCTCACCAGGACGATGACAGTGAAGAGAGGTGAAGAGAGAGAAGAGAGAAGAGAGAGGCGGTTTAATTATTTTGATATATTAAATCAACAAATAGTGCCCTTGTGCTGCTGCTGCGTTGTCTTGTTTGTTTCTGCTGGTCTTTTCTTGGGAGCATCTGGCAACGGACTTGTAAATGGCCTTTATTTGGTATTTCTACTTTTCGTATACTTCTTGCCCCTTGTTGAACAAGGCCCTTTATGGACCCCCAGGCTCCTTGTTTCGTAGGTATCTCCTAGTTGGGAAAAACAGACGCCAAATACTTGGTCAAGGTTTAGCCTTCGTGGATTCCCGGCCCTCTGACACCGCCTGGCGATAATTTGGTGCTTGGTGGGTGGAATTCCGGAATGTTTCACTCTGTAACTGCTAAGATGCTTTTTCAGCCCTCTGGAACATCAATCGTCGCTTACCCTTGTTCTTTGCTTTATTCTTGACGCTTGTTCGGCTTCGTTTGTTTATTTCCACGTTTGTTTCTGTCTCCAGGGGTACTTGGTTGGCTAATTGTATCTGTCGATGGGACGTTGACAGACGCCAATCCGATAGATCGACATTGCTGATTGTTCCACAGATCAGAGAGGCTGTAGAAGCTGAATAGCAAGCGGTTTGGTCTGCTGGAGTTCTGGAAATTATGGATTAATTAATTGATTATTTGGAATATTCATTTGTAGGTTGTATATTTGGATCTCTGGAGAACCGTGGATTTTTCTGCCAAGGGAAACAAGGATTTTTTATTAAAATTGCCTGGGATTTAAAGTGGTAGACATGGTGATACCCCCTGAATACTCCCCTAGGGTTGCTGCCTTCCACTTCTCTTCTTGAACATCAATAGATTAACAACTTCCAAGGAATCTCTCGAAAACCAAAGAAAGATAGAAAATAGAACATTTACCTAGAGAAATTTTATTCTGACATTGGCTTTGTCGACGTCAATGCGCTGTTGTCTCCTGAACAATAAGGGTGCCCCATTCAAAAGTCAACGTAAAATCTACATTATACATAAAAAAAACCACCACCACCACCAGAAAGCGAGATCACAACGAGACCTGGTTAATTCAGTATGGTCCAGGTTCAATTTCTTCCTTTACTTATTCCATTTTCAAAGTTTCTAGCCCTTAGGCAAGTGTCCGCCTCACATTGCCGAGCAAAGCGGGTCATGGCCTGGTGCTAATACGCAACGGCAATTATCCAATAAAAAAAGACAAAAATAGGGGGAACCAACGGAATAAACTCGTATGTGGATGGAGGAACAATAAGGAAATTAAATGGAGGTCAGGAAGCGTCGTTGGAGTCCAGGTTTCGTTGGCACACTTATCAGAAAAAACACCCTTCGCCATGGGTACTGGTTCAGGGCCATTTTCCCCTATACATCGCTCCCAAATTAACAAAACATCAAAACAGTGTGGCCAGCAACATGTTTCAGCGACTTTGCGTCAAACCAGAGTAAGCGATACCGGCCTTCACTTCAAACCACGGCATCCAAGCGTATCCAGCATAGTCTGAAGAAGGCTCCTAATCCAGGGGATCTATACTAGTGGGATCATAACCTGGAAGGAAGGTAAAGCCCTGGTTACAAGCTGTATCCATCTGCCGTTGTCAAGCGACGTACAGACATTGCCAGACCCTGTAAATGCTAGATGAGAGCATTTGGAACGCTTTTCGGTTACGAACCATGTCAGGACCCAGCAAACAACAATAGATCTCTCATAACCTAATGGAAAGTCAGGCGGTTTGATGCGGTTACAAAAGAAAACAAGGCGGTATTATTCCCGTGGTTGGCGCTCTCCGACCGATTCAGCCAAGTGTCAGTATTTATCCGTTGCTCTGTCGATGGTTGTGAGACCAAGTGGGCCTATTGTCGGCAAGACAAGCAGATTGTGTTTGTTGTCATGGATACGGCGACAAGGAAAGGTTTTTTTGGGTAGTCTGTGGGACCAAGCTTTGAAGAATGGAAAAGAAACGAAAAGTGCCATTCTCATGAAGATAATAGAAGTCATTGAGAAGAAATAAAGTGAAGCAAGTGAATTTAGAGTTACATGAACTCACATTGACGAACTTACCGAAAGAAAGTACAACACTCCAAGAAATCCTTTTCTTTTCGTCTGAGACATTCCTGGTAACCGGATAGGTGCTAGACCCTGTAAGGGACAAGGCCAATAGGAAAGGCTCCATTGCGCTCCGGTTCCCGGGACGCCAGCTACCACAAGGGTAAAAATAAACCAATACAGAATTACGCTGACAGCGTCTACGAGAGGCCACGGTTGCTATTCTCAACGGTTCGAAGACCATCTTCCAACAATACAAAAAACATGCTCTGCCAGTTTGGAGCCTCTAGGGATGCATCAACGCAGGCGCAAGTGAAAAAAAGAAGAAACACGGTAGAAGCCCTTGATGGTTTGGTTCGTTAGACGCACGGAAGGCTTAACACGTCCCTTGGACAAGCCAGAACAAGTCAGGACAAGCCAGGGCTTCCACTACTAGTGATGGGGTGTTTTTCGGGACGGCTTTGCATGAAATGAATCCAAGATATTTTTCAGCCCAAGGTGAAATTTGCCTTCGCTTCATGCAACTATAATTCATGTGGAACAATGAAGTTGAAATTGACACACTTGACAGAACCGTTTATTCGATTTTTGGTTTCTGATACTTGGTCTGCTCCTGACACTGACTGGTGTGTTCCTTGAACTGAAGCCCCGTCTATCGAAGAGAACCCTATCGCAACAGCACTTAACGACCCCCACCAGACCCCCTCCGCAAAAAGCAAGAAAAAACCGCTCGGTGGCTGTTTCACCGCCATAAGCACAAAAGGCTATTACGAGATGCGCAGTTCATAACGCTTGTATTACGCGTGGACAATACCTCTGCTGCATGCTTGACTTTTAGTGCTTACTGCTATGCATGCACCTTTGACGTGAGGGAGACGTTTTGGGACGCTATGCGCTTACGGTGGTCCTGGGGGAAGCTAATGGAGAGTCTTCTGTTCCATGGTATGGAGATAACCAACAAATCTGTTCCACTGTTAAGTCATGCCAGCCCAGCCAAACACTCACAACGCAGATGCACTGGTTGTGGAGGTGGCGGTTACATTACATGTTTAAGGTCAACCGCATGAAGGCATGGCCAGTGCCACTTTCAGAGAAAAAAAAAAAAAAAAAAGACCCCAACCAGGGCATTCCTTCCAGAACGTCCCCCTTTCCCCTTTCCCCTTCCCCTTTTGCCTTCCCTTTATACTGTCCTCCCACGCCAGTTGGTCCCATCCTGAAACAACTCACCCACCGCCGCTGCTTCCTAATGCAAGAGAACATTTGATTGTTCTCCTATTGTTTTTAACTCGTGGTGCCTGGAAAACCCCGTAAGCCTTGAGAGGGGCGGTCCGCCTCTCGAAACGCATCTCGCCAGAATCTCCAAACGGTGGAATTTAAACCGTATGCGTCGTCGAATGGCCCTGGCCTGGGAAGAAAAAACAGCCACTTAGAGACACACTGGGATTTCTTGGGTTGCTTTTTTTGCAGCAAAGGCGTTTACATCAGGGAATATACAGATGCCTACGTCGGTGGATGTGCTTTCAAATGCATGGCGCTTCGGTATGGCTGTGGAATTGTGGGTGTTGATTTGTAGATGGACTGATTGGTCTAGGAAGGTGGAGACGTCGCTGGAGATGCAGATACTGGATGCTTGGACAGTTGTGGATGATGTCTGGCGGGTTATTGGGTGATGTGGTGGGAGGTTTGGGGAGGGGTTGGATGTGTTCTGGAAGGTTAATGCATGTACCAGTGACGTGGTGTTGACGTGGATTGGTGGCTCTTTGGATGGATGTGGATGTGGATGTGGATAAGAATAAAAAGGTGAATTTGGGGAGATCTAATGGTCTCTTTTATTACCAAAGGATATGGTGATATTTTATGAGCTGGTCTGTTTATTAAGATATCAATTGGTTTTGAAAGAGGTGGGATATCCTCTTTTGGTGTCTTTCAAGGCAATTATCACAATAAGACAAAAAATTCATTACAATAAGTGTTTGACTAGTACCCATTCCACATCTTGGAGCTATATATCACCATAACTTGACGATACTACCTTATAAACGGCACCATGGAATCCTGGAAATACCAGTAAATGTCTGATCAGACCAGTATTGGCTCTCCTGGTATCAACTCTTGTACAATTCATGCCTTGTCTATGGACACCTTCTGCCAAATTCCATGTACATCCACAGAGCCAGTAAACTACATCTGCTCTTCATCTACACCTACTCGGCATTCTATCCAACCGTTTATTCCCATGAGTGATGCTAAATATCCTCGCCGAAGCTGTCGATGGTAATGGCCTCTCCCGGCTTGAAAGGCGGAAGCCCAAGGTATGGGCAACCGTCACAGCGGAAAGCGTCTCCAAGAGCACACGAGCCGCATCCTCCCGTCTTTCCTTCGACGGTAAAGTCAATTTCTGTCAATTCTTCCTCTGTGAACTTGATTTTGTTCTTTTTGAGACGCTCTTCGATCTTCATGGCCTCTGCAGTGGCCAGCTGGGCCATCTTGCCCAAAATAGAGTCCTGGAGCTTCCTGCTGTCGTCAGCTTCAGCTTCCTCAAGCTCCTTAAGGCCACAAGTACAGTCCTTACACGCCTTCCGTCTCTTTTTACCGTTAGGCAACTCACACTTCTTAGGCACAATCACGTTGACACGATCTAGGTACAGTGACTCCTCGCCAAGAAGGTCGTTTTCGTTGATGAGATCGTCTCCCTCGTCCTCAGACTCCTCGCTGAAGTATGCCAACTTTGTACTGTCTAGTTTCCTCTTCATGACCGAATCCTCATCGTCGGTGTTATCCGACGTATCCGTCATGGCCGACGGCGACTGGGCAGCCTTTTTGAATGCAGATTTCTTGAACGTAGGCAAGGCCTTTCCCGTATTGCTAGAAGCCTTCTTCTTAAGCAACACCGTCTCAGTAGCAGGAGCAGGCTTAACCCACAATCCTGGCTCCTGGACAATAAAGCCCGCCATGAGTACATCAAGATCCTGATCCGTAGGCAAGTTGCCCAGCAACTGCCCACCCTGGACCAAAGTGTCAAAGAGCTTGCTTATAAGCACTGGAGCGATAGACAAGTGGTTTTCATTAGGATTGACATAAACAATATGGTCAAACGAAGCAGCAGCCACTTCCACGGCCCCCAGAGCAAAACGATCGATTATATGCTGGGTTATCGTGGCCGAAGGGAACTTGGAGGCGATATTCGTCTTGGTGGATTCCACGAGTGCTTCATCTGTCACCACCGTGGGGTGGAGAAGCACCAAAGCAGACGAAGTTTTGTGCATTTTTAGGATTTTGAATAAATAAGGAGGTTCTTAAAAGGGGTTCTTCTTTTCAGTGAATTCTGGTCTTTTTTGTAATCTGTAAGGGATAGGGGGGTTTCTTTGTCAGGGGAGAGCTCGAGGGCCAGATTGGTTGTGTCACAGACGCGTAGGGATCCACAAGAATGTTCTGGATGCAATTAAAGTTAGCTCTTTGTGAAAAAAGTTGGTTTGTGGTGGACAGAAAAAGGGGAATTTAGCTTATCTTTATATATTAGTCAACCAATTTTTTTCTCTTGTTAGGGTGAAGCGAACCATACTGCATATAAGCGGTGGGTTCTCACAAAAAAAGAAAAAGAAAAAGAAAAAAAGTGCTAGGATGGTGCAATCGCAGTGGTGCACGGGTTTAGGAGCCGTCAGCCAGCCGGCTCTTCACAGTCCATCACCATGGATAAGGCTTCCAACTTGGGTAAATTGATCCCGCCGTAAAGATCTGGTCCATTTGACGTATATACCTTTTTTGAAATTGATTCATAGCAAGAGAGGGTATCATTTTTGAAATAGAAACTTCTTTTGGTTTCTTTTCCCTCAAGCCGCGGTGACCTTCGCAAAAGCCGTTATTGGCTCATTTCTCGTGTGATATTACGTGCTGAGTAACCATGAGCATATCTGTCACAAGTGACAAAAACATCCATATTTAGCCATTTCTGCGTCACGCCATCGCACTCGTTTAGTCCAATAACACATTAGACTTAATCAGCGCCGGTACCTCGTAAAATACGACGTAGACCGTGCTTATGCGATCTCAAGCGTGGAAATAACTTCTGTGTTTCACTTTAAGCTCGGTTCCCCACCAAATGCTCATCGTAGTCTTTGATCTCTGCAGTAGTCTAGGACGACGTGTCGTCGCCTTCCGACATGGTTGTCTCTTCAATGTCTGTTTCATCGTTGTCAACGTTCTTTATGATTCCCGATATCGGGGGAAGCACTGTGTTTACCACCAGTGACGACCGCAGAGAATGCGTAGAATTGGTGTTCTGGCTCTGCTGCCGGCTGTGGCCCCTGCTGTCGACGAGTTTCTGTGGCGACGAGAGCAGCATGAGGGAGAACACGGCGTCCTGTTCCGAATCCTGCGGTGGACTGTGCTTGTTGTTGAAGGCCATGTTAATTGGCGGGAGTTTCGGAGGCCCATCCTTGTCTTTGAGCGGGCTGCCTTCGAGGCCCTGGCCATTTAAAGTCAGCGCAATTGACGAACGCCTGCGTTCACTGATATTGGAGAAGCTGCGCCGTTTCTCCTTTTGCCTGGAAAACGCTGCAAGCAAAGCATTCTGAGCGTTGGAATCGGCTTCTGGCGAGGCCATTCTTATACGGTCCCGCTTGAATTCAGGCAGTTGGCCGAGTTTCTCGTTGTGTCCCTGAGATGGAGGCACTGGCAGTGCCTGAAGTGTCTGTAGATTTAGATTAGCTCTCAGTGGAGTCAGAAGCGTGTTGCCACGAGGTGTACTGGAAAATCTAGGGCTTGATGATTTGAGCATCTTCGTTGGCGACTCTTTGGTCGACGTAAATGACTGATCTGAGAAATCTAGCTTCACAGGGGCAATCTGGGACTTGTCCCGTTCTCTATCCTGGCCCTTAACCTTACCAAGAGCCGAGCTCAAGCGAGATTTCAACTGCGACGAGATTTCTGCAAGCTCTTCCTTGTTGGGGCTCAGTTCATCCGTGAAAAGACGTTTCCCTGGACTAAAGAACTGCGGCGTCCGAAGCAACTTCAGTCGTCTGGGCGTATCCTTATCATCTGAGTCGTAGCCGCCATTTTTCGGCGTCTTGAGCACGCTCGGGTCAGAAGTGCTGGAGTTGAGCTTATAGTCTGGGGACTTGAGCAACCCAGAACTCGTCCGCTTGAGCCCTGGACTGAAAGGTAGCTGGTCGCCAGGCTGTTCTGGAGTGGCCAAAAACGCCAGCAACCGCTTTTTGCCCTTCGCCGCCGGCGGCGTAGAGGGAACGTCCAACTTGACAGATTTGGCAATTTTGGGCAGTGACACTGGCGTGCCTGGTTTGTTGGAACTCATAAATGGGGTCTTGCTATTTTTTTTTTTCGATTTCTGATTGTCTCTGAAAATGGATCTTTTCTGATTCTTCCAATTAAGCTTTATAGTTCGAAAGGCGGGTTTCTGGGGAATGCTCCTTCAAAGGCACGATGGTGGTCCAGCTAAGATTAGCAATTCTAGCAAGAAACCAAGTCGCTGGAGGCGGAACGGCAAGCAAGGGGAATGAAAAGGGGGAAAAAGGAGTCTAGTACAGCGTCCAGTACGGAAACCAGTGACGATATATGATACGTAGCCGAAGCCTGGACTATTGTATTTGGGATAGACGGAGGGGAAGAATGTTTCAAGTGTTCACGGTAAATAACAACAAAAACATGGTTCACCGCATAAGATTATGCGTGACGCAGGTCACGTGATGGGATTTGGTAAAAGGAGGGGTGGGGGACACACACACTTCCACTTCCTCCCGTGGGGCACAATGAGGGGCGAGAGGGGTCCCCATTGTTCTGGACGCTATATACAGGCCGTATATATTGAAGGATATAATAGAACACCCTGTGAGGCCCAGGTCCAAGCCAGGTAGCAATTGTCAGGCGCAATGACATACATATTTCAAGTGAAGGGGAAAAAAGCCGAGGTGCGGTAGAGAAAACGTGACACAAAGTCAGGTGATGTATCACATGACCCAGATCACGTGCACAACACTATCAACACTCACCAAAACAAACAAGATCATGAAACCTACCGCTTCATGACCGACGTGAATACGCCGTCCGCGGCACAGCTCCTCAAAAGGACTCAACGGCTATCCATGTCTGGAGCTCGCAGAACATCCACACACCGTGTTTCAGGCGGTTTCGAGTCCTCCAGCAGGAGAAGATCAACCCTTCTTACTACCCCTGCAACAAACAGACGCCAAAGTCTTTTCAGCAACGTGATTGCGCCGGCGTCTTCCCAGCTGGCAACACACTTGTCTCAGCAGCAACATAGAAACCCGCCTGCAAAGGTAATTGACCTTCGACCACTTAATGATAAGGCGTATTTGGAGATGCTTATGGGAGAGATCTATGATTTTTTGGTTGCCAATCGGTTTGAACTCGAGATGAACCATGCTGTTTCTAGAAGAACGCTCCAGCTGCCTACACAGAAGGAGTTTGTGTTGATGTTTCAGTTTCTTTACCGGAAGATCGATCCACACTTTGTGTTTACCAAGTCTCTTGAAACAGACGTTATTCAGGTGCTTCGGGCATGGGAGTATCCATATACTGAGCACTTGAGTCGAACACATATAAGTTCAGTGGGTCAGTCGTGGCCAAAGTTTTTGGCGATGTTGTACTGGCTTATGAAGCTAAATTTGGCGCTTCTGGGGCTTACAGAGGATGATATGATCGCTTCTGATGATCCTTTTGATCGTCTTTTCATACGATACACACATCAATGCTACGGCGCTTACATTGATCAGCAGGAAGATTACTCTGGCTACTATAAAGAACTCGAGACTGAGTTTGATCAGATAAATGCAAAAACCGTTGAAGAACAAGAAACGAGGACACAGCGCTTACAAGAGCTTCTTCAGCAACGTGAAGAGCTCAAGGGTAAAGTTGCAGAGCTTGACGAAGCCCATGCTAAATCTAGAGCCTTGGAGAATGATCTCAGGCAGTTTTCTGACTATATGGACAAAATGAGTGAACGTAAGGAGAAATGGGGCGATGTCCTTCAGAAAATGGAAGAAGAATTAGAAAAGCTACAACACCAGATTCTGGAATTGCAAGAAGAAAAGAAGAAATACGAAGACCAGCTCACCGCAAAGGGTCTTTCTGCACTGGAGATTGATCAACTGAACATCGAGAGAGATAGACTTTCAAAGGCCATTGATAAAACCACAAATAAACTCAAGGATACCCAACAAAATATAGCTGACCAGGAGTACCAGCTCAGGCTGAGCTGTGACAGTCTTGTTAACCTTGTCAGCCAATATAATTACTTGACTTCCAGGATACCCGTCCAAGAGTATCTGTTTGAGTTAGCAGTCAACCCAGACCTCGCTCAAACTAACCAAGAAATCAATTCAGATAATGTGTTGACGAAAACACTTCGTGATGAGAAAGTCAAGCTTCTACAGTGCCGTTCGGCTCTCACGCAAGAACTTCGCAAGAAGCAAGAAGAAAAGCTTAAGCTACAAGAAGAAGTCGACCAACTTCATGTTAAAATATTTGAACAAAACGAATTCCTTGATGGTATCAAAGCCAAGTGTCGCAAGACCATGCAGCTTTACTCGGAAGCGTACGATTTTATGATGACCGACAGCAAGACATACTCAGCCAAGATAGAGAAGCTCGACCGTGACTTGCAGACGCTTCGTCTCCGTGTTAACACCGGTATCATCGAAGCCGAAAGTACCATCAAGAGTCTTCGTGTAAAGAAGCAAGAGACAGAGTACCGCATAAAAGAAGAAAGAGAGAGTCTCCACCGGATGGTTCTGACGATAATAGACCAGGTTCTCGACTTCAAGTATGCGATCCAAGAAGGCCTAGACGAGCTCGATACGCTCGCTTTCCAGGAGCTCGAGGCACAGGATGATTGACATGATTCGTGTATGTATATTGGGACTAGCTCTCATGGAGAGCAGGAATGCAATGGGTAATATATACAAGCGGCGGTGGGATCCAGGGCGACGATAAAAGCAACCTAACGACTTAAAACTCGCCACGCAACCACTGCTGGGTTCTCTTTTCTCTGTCTTGTCTAGCAAGGCTTCTTCTGGCAGACCACGACTCCTTGATGGTCTCCAACTCCTTGAGCACCTTGGCCTGTCTATCCTTACTGATGCCCGAAATGACATTGACCCTGGTTTTGTCAACATTGAACTTCTTTGCCAACTTTGGAATCGTCCATTCATCTGGGTTTTCTTGCCTCAACTTGAGGATTTCTCCAACTACCTCTGGTGTCAACAGGTAGTCCTTCTGCTTCTTGATACCGTATATAAGCGGCATATTCTCAAGCTCCTCTGGAGTGTAAACCTTCCACTTATCCTCCAAAATCTTTAGACGTGGATCGTTCTTGGGCAAAAACAACTTGGGTGTTTCCCTATATGATGGAGCAGATGCTGGTGGGTTGTATATGAGGCCCTGGGAACGGACTGGTTTCACGTTGAAACCTGATCTCAGGTTGTTGTACTTGTTTATGGGTTGTGTTTCATGGGGAAGGTTCTTCAACGAGTACCTCCTGACCGCTGACTTGAACATGGTTGTGGTTGGTTTGGCGAAGCGTTGAAGGTATTTTTCAGTGTGGTGAAAAAAAAAAAAAAAAAGTATCACCAGGTCGTGTGCGCACAGGTTATTGGGTAGTATGAAGAGGAGGAACGGGTAAATGGACAGGGAGGGATGGGACAAGGAAGGGAAGAGTTGGAGGGTAATGAGGGACGATGGGGGTTGTTAATGGTTCTTTTTTGGTGGTTTTTTGGTGAGTTTTGGGTGAATTGGCGGTGACTTGGTCGGTGCGATGGTGGACAGTTGAAGACGCAAGAAGGTGTTGAGTGAAAAGTGATAAAATGTGTGTAGATAAAGTGAATGAAGTGGAGTTTGAGGAGGTAGAAGTAGAGTTTGACGTAGATTGGCTGGATATAGGTTTTTGACTCTGAGTTGGTTGTTTGCATGGGATCAGTGGTGGAGATATGGCATTTGCAGCCATTGCCATGGAGCTCAAGGAAGGACGTTGAGAGGTGGAAATGGGTGGATAGGAAGTGGGTTACATGAGGAAAAGAGAAGAAATTGAAGTGGATGATAAGAAGGAGAGGTGGAGTGGAAGAAGGTCTTTAGCGATTGGACTATGCTACTGGGGAAGGCTTCAATGGACATGGATGAGGAAAGCAAGAGCTGCTTGTCATATGGGCAATGAAATTTAAAAGAAAAGACACTTATTGCTTGGAAGGAGATCTGAATAATGATTTTGACGGATTTACGTTCGTTTTATAGGTTTTGGATGGAATGTCTAGGAGTGGTACTGGCTGGTAGAGCTCTCGGGCTGAAGTCTTTCAACTGACGATTAGGAGCTAGCTTTGAGTAAATAATGTTCTGTGAGGTTAGAAAGGGCATTTGGAACAACTGTATAACGTTTATAGATTCTTAATCGTGAATCTACAACAAAAAGCTGACACTGGTTGTCCCAGATGGAAAGTAGACAAGAGACAGTAGTTTTGCATTCCAGGAACCTCTAGATCCTTGTAATCCTTCCAATGAAGGCATAATCAGAGCTTAAGAGCATTGGAGGTCATAAAAAGCATTCTATATAGAGAATAGTATTATCTTTTCAATGCCAATACTTCAGTAGTCAAGTAACATGTATCCTAGACACTAGCCCTAGAAGTCCGTCTCGTAGGATGTTTCCTAACATCAAAAAGACACATTTAGGTTAAAAAAAAAAAAAATGCTTTAAGCCAGCAGCTTCTGTCACACCGACTCCTCCTAACGTTAATTGCATCATGATCTCCCCAAAACCGATATAAAGTAATACCACACTCCAAACCGCAACCCCAAATACCCAAACCCACCGTCCATCCATAACAATGGACCACCAGAAAAACCAAGCCAAAGATCTAACCGTCTGCCTACACATTTACCACATGCTCTCTGTACCCATCCACCAACGATCGTCTACAGTGGAACCGAACAAAGGACCGTTCGTATGCGTTTAATTAAAACACCGATCCGGTCATCTCCAGCGCCAACTGGTCCATTCAAACAAAAGCCGTGCCAACGCTCTTCACCAAACACCCAATTCGAAACATGGTGCCCTTCCTGCCCTCCCCAGGTTCCATTTTGCAACCAGCACTCGGCTTTATCCCTCCCTCGTTTCAAACAATAACTTTGGCGAGAACAAACAATCCAGTTCCTACGATCCAGCGTCAAACAACTCCCAAGCCAACCAACCAACATCGTAAACTGCCAGGCAAACCGTCCAAGCCAACAACCCGTCCTCGCCACCCGCCCAAGCCTACATTCTGAAACATCCAACCGTGAATCTGGCGCCTGGCCACGGAAAGCCACCCTCAGCCTGCCTACCTGCCTCTGTCTACCCAATGGCTGCAAAACATACCCTACAACCGCTACCTCCACTTTCACCGTCACCTGGTTCCAGCAGAAATAACCTAACCAGGTAAAAATCATCGTCGTCTTGCATTTGCAGTTGCATCAGCGTCGTTTGTCTCAGAAAGAAGCAAGTTATTTGCATGCACTGTACTGCCAGTGGTGGTGGGTTTGTTGACATATTCCCAAAACGGGACGCACCCACTGCGTAAACACCCCACCATGGCAGCAAGAAAAGGAGGTTCCTCCTTTGACCTCCTTTACTTTCTACGTAATCACCATCCTCTACTTTCTTCCTCCTCTTCCTCCTCTTCCCCCTCCCCATCCTCTTCTTCAAAGCTTGGTCCAAGCCTGGGAGGCTGCGAAAGACCACGCACAAGCAGAGTTGATCGCAGTCACATACGAAATGCACCGCAGGACCCTCTTTTGCCCTCACGTGACCCCTTCTTACATCTCCATACTAACAGACTCCTAACCAGTCATCTTCACCAATAACAGATGAAACACAGGTGTGGCAGCAGTGGGTTGGTTGGTCTAGACTTGGATGCGGCAGAAGCTCGTGCGGATATTTACCGAGGAAGGCGCACCAAAAACGAGCGACGCCGCGTTAACGTGCGGCCCATACACACTCCCGCGCCATTGTTTCGCTATTGTTTCGCGAAAGTGGCCGCGGAAATCCAGTCGTTTGGGGCATGCCGCATTCCTATTACATCCACCTCCTGCCAAATCGGGCCGCCTGCGTCGACTCCATGCAAGAAATTTTCGCACCGCTTTCAGCCCATCCTCTATCGTTTGGTTGCAACATGCTTACCGAAAAAAAAAAACACAAGACTTCTGCACCAGAAAAACTTTTTCCTACTTCCTCTCTCCTACCACTTTCCTTTCGCCTTTCCTTACCCTAGTCATTCATTCTTTTAAAACTTCCCACGCTATGGTCGCCTTCACCCCAGTCGTTCTTTTGGCTCTTGCTGCTTCCACTGCTGCTGCCGCTGAGCAGACCATTTCCACCTCCACCATCACCATCACCACCACTGTGTTGGACCCATCTGAGTCTTCGTCGCTCATTTCTGCGTCCAAGGCGTCTGTTGCTTCTGAGGCGTCTGTGGCTTCTGAGGCATCTGTTGCTTCTGAAAAGTCTGAAAAGTCGGAAGCTTCTGTTGCTTCTGTTGCTTCTGAAGCTTCTGTGGCCTCTGAAGCCTCTGAAGCGTCTGTTGCTTCTGTTGCTGCTGAGTCTTCCAAGGCTGCTGAAGCATCCAAGGCATCTGCTGTTTCTGCTGCTTCTGTTGCCTCTGAGGCTTCTGCAAAGTCGGTGGCTTCTGAGGCTGCTGCTGCTTCTTCGTCTAAGGCTGCTGCCTTGACTGCTTACCAGGGCGTTGTGGCTGTTGCTTCTGCCAACACCACCACTTCTGCTCCAGCTGCTTCCACTAGCGCTCCTTTCGCTAACAACACTGCTCCTTACCCTAGAACATACAACAACGTTTCCAACTGGACCAACGCCAGCTCAGGAAGCTCTTCTTCTGGTCGTCAAAGCCGTACCAGCTCTGGCTCTGCTAGCTCTACTGGCGGTTCCAGCTCTACTGGTGGTTCTGGCTCTGGTTCTACTTCTGGTGCTGAAAGCTCCTCTGGTAACCAGGCTGCTGCTTTGGGTGTCGGTTTGGGTATGCTTGGTGCTGTGGCTGTCCACTTGTTGTAAGTGTGACATTACATTTGATATTCTTCTTCGCTACCACCTATTAGCGGCTGCCTGCTTTATTGCACGCATACCGCATGATTCCTTTTATACCCGGCTCCGGCTGCTAATCCTTTAACGTTGTGTTTATATTATTATATGATCCTAATCAGACATCACTTGTAGCCCTGAATTAACGTCGTTGCGCTCGTTATGAATTAAATATTAAACCCTGTAGTCTGTTACATCCGACGCCCGTTGATATCCTTCAAATAACTGTCTTTTTCAAGAACGTAGTATTCCATGTTGGTGAGTCCTCGAGGCACTTTTGGAGGAACGGGCGGTTTATTGGCTTCTCCTTCGTTTTCGTCATTCACACGCTGGAATACCGATGGCAGGAACCGTTTATCTGCCAGCCACTGGCCTTCACCGAGGTACCCACTGTTCTCTGTGTTATAGTCGGTATCGACATCTTTATTGGTGACATTACCGTCCTGAAGACGGAACGACTTTGCCAAATGCTCCGATGGGGTAGGCGCATAGAACTTGGGGTCGATTTCATTAGGGTTCATGCGGTGTTGTCGAGTTTCCTTGGGTTGTTTATGTGTAAGAGGCTGAACAGCCTGGCCCATCTGGTACACTTGTGTAGGCATTTCTTCATCATCTAGACCCATTGTTTCAGCAGAAAAAGGTACCAGCGTGTTGCTGATGGCGAGTTTTTCAAAATCACGAGATACGTTGGAGTTCAGCGGTGGAGGTGGTTTACGGCCTGCTTTTCTTGGACTCGATTTGGCTGAATGTGGAGGTGGAGGTGGTGGCAGAGGCGTGGACAGCGGCTCATAGCCCCGACGGTTGCCCATAGCCAGTTCTAGGTTCTCAAAGCTTTCTAGAGGAGGCACAGAGGCAGGTTCATCAAGAATCTCTGGTTTCTGCTTCTCGTGAGTCTGAAAGAGATTCTTAAGTGGCTCTTTTGACTGGAACTTATCGCGTAGTTTCCTAAGCTTACCTTCTTTCTTAGGACTGCCTGAGACGAACACATCGTCGTCTGAGCTTTTCCTTGCGCTTGCACCAGGGTCAGAAGACCTGAAATCAAGCGCTTTCTGTTCAAACACCTCGTCCACGGTTTTCCGCTGCACAGGATCAGATCTGGTGAAGTCTTCAGGCATCGCCGGTAGGTCTTTATCGGCATAATCGGCACATGGCGAAGGAACCTTAGGAGGAAGCAATGGAGCACTCGGATAGAACGTAATCTCCAAGTAAATCTTACCAGCCACCCTGCCATTAGACTTCAAGTCGTACCACCCGTCCAAAATGTACTTCCCGTCGTTATAGTGAGCGGGATCTTGGAAAACAGCAGCACAGTCAATCTCAGTATCGCCAATTGGCGTCGGGTCGTTCTTCGTCTCGTCAAGCACGTCCAACTTCAAAAGCGGGCGTCTTTCCCTCGTCAACTGGAACCGTATTTCCTGAGTCCATTCAGGCGTCTGGCCTGCTCTGAACGCTGCCGTGGTCTTCTTCGCTTCGGTGCCAATTCGTAAAAGCACATATGGCGACTGTTTATCTAGCTTTCTTCGGTTGGGCAAGTGCTTGGCACGGCACACCATAAGGATAAGCGTGCCATCTGCTGTTTCAGGCCCGTTCATCAAGGAAAAAGAAGTAGTTTGGGTGGTGAAACCAGGTGGATCAGCCAGTGGATGGATCAAGTAAGTGAGTGGCTGGTTTGTTTACATCGAGGCGCGGGTGCAGAAGATGACCATTTGCTGGGGATGGGCTGAAGGGAGGTATATTTTGGAGGGTGGGAGGTGAAAAGGGAAAAAATAGGGAAGAAGGAAAAAGGGGAAATCGTCTGGTATTTATAGTTTTCAGGGGTCGTGGTGGCGATTGGCGGGGGGACAGTATAGGTGAGTGAAAAATGCTTAAGTATGGGGAAACCAGAGGGCGGTGGAATGTTGTGTGGGATCAAGAAAAATGGTTTTCCAGGAAATGGGGAGCTAAAGAGAAGGGTTCTAGATTCTTCTGGTTATATGTTTTTATGGATTTGGAGGGTTGGCGTGGACTGGGTCTTTGGAGATGGACATTTTGCAACCATTCTTTCTGCACTACCAGTAGAAGCAGACGGATAGAATGAATTGGGGAATGGCAGTGGAAGAAAGGCCGAGAAAGGCGGTTTTGGGTTACTCAGCTGGTTTTGTTTACCGGGTAGGTGCTTGAAGAACTGGCCAAGTTATTATGGCCTTTGGGCTTCGTGGGTTGCAGTGCTATGAATGTACCGTAAAGTATAGCATGCCAAAGAAGAAGGACTTATATGGTATCTATTTAAATCATTTGCTGGCAATTTACCTGGCACAAGACCTGGGGAAATACATGCTCTGTGGACGAAGCACCATAAGGATCTAATCAAACAGAAAGACGTAGTTGAAGCTGTGCAACTAACAAGTATTTACCGTTCAAACGACTATAAAGCTGAATTTGCTTTCCATGATGTCTCCATACCAAAAACTCAATTAATATTTAACATAAAAAACTACCCCAAGCCCGGATTCTTTCCGGAAAACTTCCTCACCAAAACACCTTCCTTAGTGTCCACAAAGTCACAGTCCCTTATTTTATCCAATTTCTCCCTGGAACCAAGTATCCTAACTGGGGTATACTTCTCCAACTTGCTCGTATCCATTAAAGCAGCATATGAAGGTGGCATAACGTTATGGCCAGTAACATCAATCAATTCTCCACAGATTTGAAGCGGGATAGTCACTTCAAGAGGGGTTTTTCTACTTCCCTTCAAATTGAACGAAATCCGGACAGCCATGTCTCTAGCCTTCTGCAGTGAATAGAATGTTGGGCCAAGATCCGGGATTTCACAATCATACATCTCTAGAGGGATATCCATAACCCATTTCTTTCTGTCTTCCGAGAGTTTGAAGTGAGTCAAGTCAATTGCTTTCTCAAACTTGGGGGTATCAAACTGTGAAACGGTTTCACATATTGGGCTGTGGAATGGATATACTAGCCATTCAATTTTCGTGGACACCATTCTAATACCAATGAAAGCGTATGGTTGTTCGTAGGAGGAATAGGAGAACAGAAGCTTTAACCTGAACGCTTCAGATAGTCTCATACCTTTGCAAACAATGGCTCCTGGTAGTGGTAATGGTGGATGAAACTCATTTAACATGGTGAAGCTCAAACGCAAGGGTACTTTGAATGTAAAATCGTTGTAGTAGGACTTCTCATCCAATGTATCCTCGAAAAACTTGTTCTCTCCACGTATTACCGTCAGCACGTTCCAATGGCTCAATGGGATTTCCGTCATGCAAAATGTACCCTTGTATGATAAGACAGGCATGGCCCAGACGTGAACTTTTCCTTTTGCCTTGAAGGCCTTTTTGAACAACTTGTATCTCATTATACAACTAGCTTCCGCTTTGCAGACGTGGGCCGAGTTTTTGACAATCTCTATAGCCCTATTCCTTTCAGGAGGCCTGTAGAAGTTTCGAAGAGTAACTGCAAATTCTATTTCTCCTCCTTGAATGATAGCTGTTTGGTGCAGCCGAACAAATTCTGATTCACCGTTAGGATATTTGATTGACTTAAACGAGGGACTGGCCACAGAGTCAGGCTTTTGTATATCCAAATAGAGTCTATGATCGGGAATATAGAAAGAAAAAATGGGCAAGCAGGTTTTCCTAGAAGGATAAATTGATAGTCTACTCTGGCAACATTAATATCAAGTATTACCTCGGCTGACCGTAGCGGGCCACTTAACTTCCTATCGAGGAACCCAACTTCGATTTTTAATGCATAGCTTCGTGTCCAATGTTCAGAATAAAGAGTGGGTTCGACATCTGGAAACGTACATGCGAGATACTTTTTGGGAAGGCAATATTCGCTTTGGTGGTCCAGAGATTGTTGCAAAATATCAACATCATGAAATGTCAGAACATGTATTTGGCCTGCGGCATCTGTCAAAAGTGTTTGCTCGGATGAGATGGTTTTGAAACTGGTAAGCGTCAAAAGCAGTATCTTTAAAGAAGATACGACCAAGTGTGCATCGCCATTGTCTGTTTCGGTGGATAGCTTTATCTTTAAGACATCTGAGAGTTTCAAACGTGGATAGAAAGTATGGCTTTCGATGTCTTGGGTAAACCATGGTAGGTCAATGTACTCAACAGCTAACGTCACTGGGTTCGGGGGTTTATATCAAAACCAACTTGAGCCTTCGCTGCCATGCTTTCTTGTGTTTCTATCGTACGTGCCAAGCTAGCACGAGAACCCTTGAAAAAGTACTTCTGGTCAAGATAATGTGCTGCTAGACATGCCATGGGAGCTTTAAGCAGGGGATTGTACTCACAGTACTGAAGCAACTGCCAAGCGGCCACAATGACATATTCAAGCCTGAACTTGGGCTTTGGAATGCGTTCAAGCTGTTCAACTCCCTGCTTTGGTGGGTCTAGGTATGGTAGCTTCAGGGAAAAGGCCACCTGGAACTCAGTCACGGCCAAAGTCGTCTTGGTATGGAAAAATAATGTAGTGGTATGAGACGACAATCTTTGACGTTGTTTCAGAGCTGCCTCTAACACCGAACTAGCGGTTTTGGGGTCATCACAGAAATCTTTGGTTTCCTCTTCAAACACATAAAAAGTATCAAAGTAGCACTTGCTGAACATGGTTACAGAGGTGAAGAGGAAGAAAAAATTGACTCTATTTAAGAGATCGTGCTGGAGTTACCTAGAATCCTCTGATCCGTTTCCAGTAAGTCGTAACAGAGATGACCACGACTAAAGGAAATACGACCTTCCTTCGTCTTCTAGTAATCTGGGGTAGAAGGTTATGGTTATGAGCTACACTACGCGTTGCCCTTGGGGTATAAATAGGGCCCTTTTTCCCCCTAAAAACCCCACCATGGTTGATTTTACTTTAATGTGTGTGGCACCTTTTCACCGTCTTACATGACGTAGCTAACAATTTTAGTAAGGGACCAGGAACTGGATCTAATCCAGTACGTCCTACTCCCCTGGGAACGCATAATGATGCCTCCAGCGATGTACCAGTCCCGTCTGCAACTGTAGACTTTGCTTTGGATGGTTCTTTGTCAAAAGAAGCAGAAACCGATCAGACAAAGCCATGTTCTGTGATAGGCGCTCCGCATAATGTCTCGCTTGAAGATGCCAATTCTTTACCTCCAGCTAGCCAGGTAGGCTCAATTAATCAGACTACGCAAGATGGAGAGGAAGTGTCTGACACTTGGGATGCCAATGTCGCCACCACAACTTTTAGTTCAAGGTTTAAGAGAGCACTGATAATGAAGAAAGGGTTTACAGTCGAGAAAGCCACGGAGATTCTCAAGGCGGCTGCTAAAATTGACAAATACATCAATCAAGCCGTAAGTGCTTTAAGTTATACTGGCATGCCACAACTTCAGGTGGAAGAAGTCCGTAACAATTTATTGGTGTATCGAATCGGCCCAGAAGACATACCTGACTTTGCAAACGAGGCAAAAATGCTCATTGGTGATATCCATACATCGCCGGAACTTCGAGAGCAGCTAACTACAAATCCGCTGAATATCCTCAAATACCAGAAAGTTGTCAAAGTGTTTCAGGTGAACGTGGACGTATGGAAGCCACTTCTTGATACGGCCACACCCAGAGTGGATTTCATTTTGATCTTTATGGCAATTACATTTACCATAAAGTTGCCTCCTCATCAATTAATGAAGTATATTGTGGAGGATTTGGTTTTGGTCGTTCCAAAACCTCTTTCATTTTATCTTTACTACTGTTTGTTCCACACTACGCTTCGTGACTCTGACATACTCGCCGTCCTTGGCGAGGTGTTTTATTGGTCGTTGGTTAAAGTCAATGAGAAACTTATTTCGATAGAATGGGGGCCAAGAAGTATCTGGGACAGACTTGAGAATGATACATCTGTATTATGGGAAATCTCAAGAAGATACAAACCAGTAGTCCCCTGTTGGGGTCTTATCGCCTTTATGTGGTACACAATTCTAGTGTGCATTGGTCTAACCCAGCCGATATTCAAAATGATCGGAAAATACCTGGTCATGGTTGTGATGTATTCATACGAGCTGTGTCGGGCGAGGACCAGTAACACATCCCAACAGCTCCAGCCTGCTCCTCGCATGCAATACGTACCGAGCCCAACCCAAGGTTGTCCAAGTTCTAGCCTGAATGCTGCAACACCACGTTCATCATTATTGGCTTCTCCCGATCGCAGAGTGGAAGAAATTGACTCGACATGGGAGGTCATAAAAGCTCCAGGTGAGGTTGAGAATAGCAGATCTTACGTACACCCGGGGTAAAGTTCTCCGTTGTGACGAAGTGATCTTCGACATCAACGTCCCAATTAGCCAGCGTGCCACTCCCGTTTTTGAAGCTTGGTACAGCCCATATTCATCTCGTCATCAATTCAATTCTCTTTTGCAGCCAGTGTTGGGGCTTTTGGTGATTTCTCTACAACTTGTTCTTCGGAACTTATCTTTCTATGAAGGTTTTGTGTTTGTCCTGTCATAGATTAAAAAATTAAAAAAAAGAAAAAAAAGAAGATATAGTAGTTGATGTTCTCTGCTACCATTATTGGTGGAAACAATGGCATTAGCAAATACGGTCAGGTTCATCATGGGCCATTTGTTGAGCCTTGGTTCCAGCCAGCCAATCTGGGACGTTCAATAAAGAACCGTTACCAGTCGATATACCACATTCTATGTTTTAAATTCATGGAGTGGAAGCCTTCCATGTCACCTTTTCTTGCCGCTCTTCTTCAAATACCCGACAGGGCCAATCAGAACAAAAGATGCTTCCCTAGTAGTTGGTTACCTATTGGAGTTTCCTGGAATGCACTAACCTAACTCCTTACACACTTCTAACCCCTAATTCAAATCTAAGTGCTCTGAATCTGCCATTGCATTCCCTCCAGATCCTGCTAATCTTGTGCCAGTTTAAGCTTTTAGACACTTTAGCCCCATTGTTTAAAGCATACCTTAGCCAGCATGCCTAATGAGAACCATTTGTTCCATAATTGTCATTCTATGGCAGACAAACAATCAGGCTTAAGGTTTAGTGATATGCAGCAGAAGCTTGATTCCATTTTGGCCAGGATGCTTCGTCTGGTTGTTAATTGAATTCAAACTCTTTAGTGAAGGACCAAGAGGCGTTCAACCACATATAGCGTTTTTGTTTTCTACGGTTGTTCCCCAGATCAACCAATACATCTTCAGTCGGCTAACTACTTCGGGCAAGATATAGCGGTTGCTTTGGGTAAGCCTCTAGGAGGCTCAGCCGCCTTTAGAAGCCTCCAAGTGACGGCTAAACCTTAAAGTCCAAGACAGTGCCCCCTTATCGGAAGCTCGTAAACTACTAACCTTGGGATGCACGTTTACTACAGTATCCATGCTACTGGACACAGAAACCAGGCTACATCATGTACCCCGGTGATCATGTATGACGCAGGGGGTGAGAGAAGCTTTTTGATGCTTAATGCTTAAATGTCAAATTGAAAAGTTGTATCTCATGCAATGCGTTCCCAGACCCGATGATTATGCCATCGGGTCAAAGAAGTTCTGGAATTTTGTGTTCCGGAATACTCTCATGCCCATCGTGGAGCCCCTATTAAAGTCGTAATGTAGCCTGGCTTGGGCAAATTCAAGGTCCACACGAGGCATCAACCATTTGTAGAACACCGTGTAGGATGCAATGGCATAGAGGAGACCGACAAAGAGGTCAATGCGCCAGTGGTGGTCCAAGTAGATGGTGGCCCACCATTGGCAAAAAACAAATGCAAAAAGAAGAGCTTTGGCGAAGATCCATCTTGAGTAGTAACACACAAAGAAAAAGCAGATGACCGCCATGGCTGAGTGTAAAGAAGGCACAGCACCGAAAACGATTGGAGATTTGTGGAAACCGTCGTTAACAAGGTGAGTACCGGTGGAGAACTTGGCTCTGGTCAAGCCGGCAGCGTAGCCCAAGGTGTCGTAGTCGGCGTGAGCATCGTCGCCGAACTTGTGGATAAACCAAGGAGGAGCGTTAGGGAAGACGAGGTGAGTAAGGACACCAGCAATGTTTTGAGCGCCCAAAGCGAAACCGAAGCATTTGAGAGCGCCAGGGGCGTGGAAGACATAAAGCCATATGGCCGTGAAGAGAGGCACACAGAAGTGGCCGATCACGTAACTGAACCAAGCGATAGTGTCCTTAGTTTCGGTAATGTTAGAAGCGAGGGAAGCGTCAAGGTTAAGCAAGAGCCAGGAAGCACCTAGAAGAGCTGGAGGCACCATAGGCCAGCAGTTGAACGGAGACGGAGCACCGCGTTCGGCCATGTGGCGTTTGAGTTTCCGGTTGATAGCAGTGGCGTTTTCCACGGCATCGTGCTGGGTGAATTTCGGAAGATACGGCAAAGAGCCGATTTTAGGGTGGTCCTGGAAGTCTGGAGGCACAAAGGCTTCGCCAAACTGCGCTTTAGGCGTCTCGTAGTCAACCATCTCCAAGTCTTCATCCGAGAACAACGACGGTGTCAGGGACAGCAGCTGTCTCTCCAAACGGTCCAGGTCATCCGAAGGCGATTCCTGGTACACTTTCACATAAAGAAGCCAAGCCGAGACAGTAATGGCGGCCAAGCCAACAAGCGACGAGACAGGGTTAGCCCACACGTCAAAAAGCACATTTTCAACGTGGTGAGCCAAGGAAACGTGAATAGGAGGGCGAATCTCTTTAGGAATAAGCCCGGCGTTCTTAAAAATCAAAAGCCATATAAAAACAGGCGAAAAGTTGATGAAAAAGTTCAATGGCATGGTAAAAACAGACCGTTCATTAAGCCCCAGCCAAAACACCCGAATGAAAAACTGCACCACAAAGACAAGCGGAGCTAGCGCCCCAAGGGCCGCACGCTTGACCAACGGGATCATATTAAGAAAGTCAACTCTTTATTATAAAAAAAGAAGGAAAAGAACAAAAGTTGGTGTTTTTCCCTCGTGTGATGTCGGTTCCTTAATATAGTGAGCGAAAGCCGTGGCTTCCCAAAATGCAGCCTGGGTTCGATGCCGGAGCGCTGTTTTTGTATGCGCCCTGGGACCTTTTGACAGGCTGGGCACAAAAAAGTGGCAGCTAAAAGATAGGGGGTGGAAAAGGAGACGGGAAAGAAAAAAGAAGTGGGAAACAGGTGGGCTTTATATATTGCTGGGTGGGAAAAGCGGGGAAGAACACTCCTTCGAAGGAGCTGTTCAGGTAGTACTACTCTTTTTTGCCTTCGCCTTTGGGGCCTGGCTTAGTGTGGTAGCCGGCAGTGTATTGTTTTATCATAACCTGCGTCTGGTGACAGAAGCTGGGGATTCCAGGACATAACCAGGGGTAGATGAATTTGGTAGGGATTGGAATTGGCAGAGAAAACGTGGACTAGCTGTGTTTGGTATTTTTTTTTTTTTTATTTCTAGACACTCACTTTCTTATCTCTTCCATCGGGTGGTTTTTGGACCGACATGTCCGACTGCGGACTGGTGAAAAGTGCAAAGAGTCACAATACGGTTCCAGGGAGGCAAGTCCCAGGGAGGGTATATTTCTGACTGGCTAGTATGGCCAGGGAAATTACACATTTGGGATTCGGCCGTTGGCGATTTGCAGCCGTTTGGTTCTTGACGTGCGGCGACTGGAACGCCGAGGAATAGTGAAACGGTACTTTGGTGGAACCGAGGATGAAGGATGGTGGAAGTGACGATGGGGAGGTTGAGTTGACTTCGTTTTTCTTCTTCTTCTTTGTCAACACTGTCCCTTGGGTGTGGCGGTTGGGTGTTATGGACTCTGGTGAGATGGGCCTATTGTTGAAGAAACTGGACCACTCGTATGGCACCAAGCACAATGGGCGTCATCGTCAGAACGCAATTTCTGGTGGTTACTGATAGCAGAGGGATGGAAGGGGTGGTGATAGGAGAGGGCTAGAATTTACAGTGTGGTGGTGGGTTGCTTGGGTATACAGAAAGGTCCAATTTAGGTTTATTCGGACCTCTCGGGATATCTAAATGGCACTACGCCAAGGCTTCGGTTGGTTCTGCGATGGATTCAGGGTTCGGCGTTTGTCTTAGGTCCGGGAGAATTGCAAGAAAGTCGTTGGAATCTCCGGATCCGACTGAGGCCAGAAAGGTTCTTTTTTTTTATTTATTTTTGTGTTACGCTTTTGTGACTGCTATTTTTCAGGAACACAAAGTAAGATTTGTTCCCCTGATAGGGTTCAACAGCTCTTTCACCGTCACTTCAAACACCAGGGGCCTGCTATTTCCTCTTGCCGTCACTTCCACCCTTGGTACCGTAGATTCCGAACCTTCCCTCGAAATCACCCTATCAGCGTGTTTCCAGACGTGCCGGGGATTTCACTGTGTGGCGCCAAAACGAACGAGTCACGGAGCCGCCGGAATGTATCCAAGATAAGAGCCTTCTGGGTTGTTGGAAGGAGGGAAGGAAAGAAGGTGGAGAGTGGTGGTTGGAATATCAGATGCCCTATAAAATAGGACATCACGAAGGGAATCAGTACGAACGAGAGTTCGTCTGAATAAGGTACCTGGAGCTGGCTACCTGAAGCTGGCTACCTGGAGCTGGCTGCCCTGGCCAAGCAAAGCGTCTGAAAGAGCCATCCAAACCTCCACAATTCCAAGATTTCTTGTATCCAATTCCCCAAACTCCTCCTTACAGCTGTATTAACACACATGCACTGCTTTTCCACAGCAATCATGCTTTTACTACCACTACCACTACCACTACCCATGTGTTCCTGCCAACCTATTACCAGACACCTCCAGCTCCACAGTAGCAACTTATCGTCTTCTTCTCCGTCCACTCCGTGTCCACTGAAAATCACCACTTTATCCAAATCTACCCACAAATCTTCCCTGGCTAGGCTTATCAGTGGCATTGGGTGGTTTACGGGACTTGCGACATTTTTTTGCAACCATTAGTAGCCCTTTTTCTAACTCTGGATGGCTTTTAAGGCCAAGCGTGGCTCGGCTGGAGGATATGGGAGTTTGTCTTTCGGAACTAAATTTATGGCTTTGACGGGGGTCTCAATGGTCAAAAGGGTACTTTTTTTTTTTTTTTTGGACGATTTTCATGGCAAATCTGAAGATCTACGTAACTTTGGATTGTTCACCCTTTTGGTAGGAATTACCAGATTTCGCAACCATCATGTACTCTTCCCTTGAAGCCCTCTGAGAAAGTCACACTCTCTCAAGAAATCACCCAACACGGGACCTTTTTTTTTGTAAGTTCTGCAGCTCCTCGTCTTGGTCTGATCACCCCTTTTGTACCACCTTTGTTTTACCCATCCAGCAGGTGCCATTATCAAATCTGTGAAGTTTGTTAGAAAGCACGTGACATGTATCACATGCTTTGTCACATGCCACACGTGCCCAGTCCCGTGCCTGATCTCAAAATTCTGCCTTCTCTTCGAACCCCATCACCTACCACTCCAACGTCAAATATGTCCTTTAGAAAGCAGTCCTCGGGAAGGATGCTCTTGCCTTTTGGGCTAGACTATTCCGACATTCTATCACAGGGTGAAACCACAGAAAAAGCTACCTTGGAGCTCCCTGTCCATGGCCCCTTGTCAAAGTACGAAGAAGACGTAGCAAGACAGTCCCTAGCATTCGCCAGACTTTTGTATGATGGCCCTTTCTTTACTGGCGCCCCTGAATTGAAGGAAACAGAGTCTGAGCCTATTCAAAGGTACTCGGATCGGTTCAAAAAACGCAAGAAGGTGTCTAGATCGATCGATGAGTACCCATACCAGCTTGAGTTCTTTCCAGAAGAGCTCTATTCAGTCATGGGCATCTCCAAGCTGAAGAAGAAGCTTCTTCTATCGTCATACAAGGCCGATGGAGGCCTCAAGCAGTTCAATGTATCTGAAAAGGAGAGCTCGGAATCTATGCTTGAAAAGCTCAAGAGTCTAGCTGAAGACCTAGATGCTGCTCCAGCTGCTAACCAGGGAGAGCAGGAAGATGTCGAGGAAGAAGATCACGACGATGAGTACGAAGAGGACGATGATGACGATTACAACGCCGAGAAGTACTTCGATGGTGGAGATGATGATCTTGGAGACGATGGGGACGATGAAGCCGCCTTCTAGGCGCAATTGCATTAGCATTATAGAAACAAAGGGTATTTAATAGACATTTGTAGAAACGAAATTAGCTACATCTGGATTCTATCATTCTTCATGCGATTAATATGCTAAATATCGAAGGTCAAGGCGGTCAAGTTATTTCTTGCGCCTTCAACCTTACCCAACCACCGACCAAACTTGTGCTCTTTACTCGTGGCCACTAAGATGGTCAACTGTGTATCTTTCTGAGGCTCACAGCTATCAATGCCCACCACAACACCTTTCACGTTTCCAACAACACCCATTGGCGAGAAACGCTTGAATCTCTCCTTGTCAATCTTCCATAGCCTTAGTTCTCCATCGTATGATCCTGTGATGAAAAAGTCGGTATATGGAACAGAGTGGATGGCTGTTATCCAATATGGTTGTCTGTCAGGAATCTGGAACTGTGCAACGTCTTCAGATGTTTCAGCACTGGCCTGGGATGGTTTATACTGAGGCATGAGCCCGTGGCCTAGACGTTGCGTGAACAAAGCCTTTTTCTTACCCAACGACCAGAAAGCAATGTTACCGTTGTCTGCACCAGTGACGAAGTGAGACTCATCAACCATGGAACAAACCTCCATAGAACCCTCCATATGGAAAGGCTCATTGTCGTCCTGTGGGCCATCGTCATCCTTTCGCCTTCTTTTCTTGTCTGTAGAGTCACCACCACGGAAAGTCAACCTCAGCTCTTCTGCGATTTTCCAGAACATCGCCGTCTTGTCTCTGGACCCGACAGAAACACACGTTTCACGGCTCAATGCGCTGATATCGGTGATATTATCCTGGTGACCGTAAAGAATCTCTAGTTGTGCTTGCTGGGCAATAGAAAATGTTCTGATTCTAAGATCAGCACAGGCTGCAAACAACTGGTCTGAGTTCCTTCTGAACGTAATAGCATTAACTGCAGCTCTGGTATCGATAACACGCAAACACGTAAGGTTTTCCGTCGACCATATTATAAGTCTGGCGTCGTTTCCACCCGTGACAACGTACCTGCCGTCTGGAGACACAGCAACACAGTTAATCTGGTCACAGTGATGTATTTTATTATTGAAGAACTTGAGCCCGCCCTTCGTGTGCTTGACTCTCTGTGGCTTCTTCCCGCCAACATTCCACTTAATGAGCTCCATGTCCTTGGAGACTGTGTATGCAAAAGGATGTTTCACGGCCACTGCAGTGAGGTTCTTGGACCCTACTCTGGCGGTGCTTCTGGTAATCTGGTCAAGCTGCTTTTCAATCTTCTCTGCAATATGCTTGTATGCGTGGCCCTTGCCTTCGGCAGCATCGTCTTGTAATCTTCTGGCCAAAAGGTCATCGTCCAATTCCTGACCATCAAACTCGTCTCCAGCTAGTTCTTGTTCCTTCAAGTTCTCCAAGTACTGTTTGGCGAGTCTTCTACGCTTGTCGGCGGCGGTTTCCGAGGCAAACTCTTCGTCAGAATCAAGCTCTCTTTCCTCGGTGGCGGCTGGTGCTTCGTCATTGCTGGACATGTCAGCTGGATCAACGTCTGAGTCGCTGGAGATCTCTGAATCATGGCCCTGGGGAGCAGTATTCTTAGGAGCTGGGCGTTGTTTCTTTGTTGTGCTGGTGGTTTTGGCTTGCCTCTTCCTTTTCTTGGAAGGGTCTGAAAGAAAGGGATCTCCTGCCATGGCTGTGTGTGGGTGTTATGGAGCTTAGTGGGTTTTTTTGATTATGGCATCTCATCGCAGACTTTGGTGGGTGGAAAATCACGTGATCTGGTCAGGAAAAATGGATCCCCCAGCCCACCAGCCCTGTAAATTTGATTTTTAATATATTCATTAAAAGGTTGGATTTAAGGAGATACTTTCTGGCTACTTAGAATTCCTCTTGCTTCTGGCGTGGCGGAAATGGCGGAGGGTTGGTGCGCTCTCATACTTAAGCACTCCACCAACAGCACCACCAAAGAAAGACCCAAATAAGTCTAATACGGTCATATAATCCTCTTCCATCGACCTTAAACTTCCCTGGCTTCTCTGGTTTCATATCTATCTCCATTCTCAGCCTTTGGCCTTCCTCCACCTCCCCCACTACTACATCAACATCTCAAATGAATCTAATGCTATGTACTTTACTCCAACAAATCCTCAATGTCGTGGTCCTCGGCAGCGTCGTAGGTCGATTGTTCCTGCTCCCTGAGCCTCTCGGCAGCCTCGTTAAGAACGTGTTCCTGGCGCTTGACGTTTCTTCTCGTAGCCTTACCCCAGCCAAAAGTGGAAGCTTCTTTATCCAACTCCTCAAACTTCTCTGTGGTTTCCGTCTCCTTCTGGTTCTTCTTCTCCTCTGCAAGTCTATTGTCTTCGGCGATTCTGTCGGCAATCTCTTTGGTCTTGGCCCAGTTGGTGTACCATGTTCTGAAAAAGAGGTAAACACAAACGATGATCACAAGACGAAAGTATTTCTTGAACTGGTCTTGGTCGACGTATTTGAAGATAAAGTTGAAAACAGGCTGTGTCTGTGGTTCGAGATCCATGGTTTAAACGTAACTGGGTTGTTGTGGTAGTAGTATGGAAAAGTTGCCGAAGTCCCGATTAGTTCGTTCGTTTCGCACGCACTGGGAAGGCAACTGAGGCATTTGGAACTTCCACATATTTCCATGGAAGGAAGGATGAAGATGTGGATTGGACGAATTAGGTTGGTGGAGTGGAAGCTGGTTTAAGCCAAATTGGGTAGAGTTTGTAGGAGATCACAATGTTGGGATTGGCATTGAGATGGTGCAGAGCATCGGCTTCCATGGGCCGTGGAAGGTTGTGGGAAGAGAATAAAGGCAGGTTTTGGGTTTGTCGATGTCTCAGAGATTCAGTTGGAGGATTCTGGAGCTTGTCCAGGCTTTCGTTGTAGTGTTATAAGTCGCTTGTTGGGTTGCCTTGGTGGGCTATGTATGGATGACAAATTTCGCAGCCATCAAGCGAGGACCAGTTTGATATGGGTTCAATGGAAAGGTGGGTGGTTGATGTCTGAAGCTGTCAGGAAATGGGAAATTGCCTGTTACTGTAAGGTGGGATAAGTTCTTGGGCACGAAGATTTTTGCTGAACGGAACCTTGTGCCGCTTGATGCCATCATAGTTAGTACCTGGAAAGCTGTAGTCCTGGAATTCGTCTGATTAGCTCAGGTACTGTGTTTGTTGGTCATTATCCCTATTTTAGGCCCCTTCCAGTGAACCTTTGCACCAGTCAGGACCACCCATGGAAGGATCCAATCAGTAGTATCTGTTTCTGTCGTTCATCTCGAGCCTGACTCACCTGGAGTCAATCATGAAGAACATGCCTGGAGCTAAACCTGATCCTTAAATTTCACCACCACCTAAATCTCCTCTTCATCGCTTCCAAACGGATCAAGTTCAGGGAAATCGCCAACCTCTACCTGTTTTGGCTTGACAAAACTGCCGTGGTTCTTTCTCGCCTCGAAAACACGAAGCTGGCCAATCAGACCGTCGTTCTTACCCACTGGCTCGTCAAATTCAATGCCTACCCAGTAGTTCTCTCCCTCGTCAAGCTCCTGGATCTTTCCCACGAACCTAACCACGCCTCTCCTCTCACTGGCAATATTGATAACTCTGCACCTGTTGCCAACCTTAATATCCTCAGCAATCTTCTCGTTCTCCTCCTGGAGCAACCTCTGCTGGTCATCAAAATTAGGATCAAACCGACCAAGCTGGTTCTGTTTCTTCCACTGAAGCACGGTATTGCTCTTCTTAGCATAGTCCTCCTCAGAGAGCTGGAACCCAGCCGAATCGTCCTCCAACGCCGCTAGCGTTGAATTCGGGTCCGTATCTATAACGTGTATTCTCGAGTACCCAGCAACGCCCAACTCAGAAACGTCTCTTTCATCCTTCAGTCCAGCTTCATGGATAGTACTATACTCATTAGACGTCTTGATAGGGTAATAGTGAAGAGTCTGGTACGCGGCCTCAATGCCAGTGATTTGCTCCAATCTCTGCAACAAGTATTCAACCAGCCACTGAGGAGAAATCCTCCTTTCTGAAGCAGTAAGATCAGACGTAATGTACACAGATAAGTCCATGTTGTGGTAGAAAGAGTAGTAGCTGGTGGAGTGTGTGGTGCGAACAAACAACATTTTCTTCACTAAACTCACTCACACTGTAACTACACATCATGAGCCAACCAAGGCAGAATCAGCGTCGAGACAGAGAGTATCGAGGCGACAGGCACCAGAGAGATAGAGGTGACAGAGGCGACCGAGATGATCGTCGAGACAGAGGCGACCACAGAGAGAATCGTGGTGGACGTTCAACGTACATGAGCAGACAAGAGAGACCCAAGAAGGAGGCCATTGTGGACTTGAACAAGTACAGAGACGAGAAGGTTGTTGTGAAGTTCATTGGTGGGAGACAGGTGGTTGGAGTTTTGAAGGGGTTTGACCAGTTGATGAACTTGGTGTTGGAGGATGTGACTGAGCAGCTCAGAGACCCAGAGGACGAGGCCATTTTGACGGAAAAGACCAGAGAGTTTAAGGTTGTTGTGGTGAGAGGACCGCTGTTGTTGACGCTTTCGCCGTTGGACGGCACGGAAAGCATCGAGAATCCGTTTGTGGTGGAGCAGTAAGACGGTCTGAGGAACAGTTATAAGATTAGAAAAAGCCATGAATAATCGGGGTGCTGTGGGAATTTGAAGCTCTGAAGGAGTGGATCCCCACGGGCCTCAGTGTATAAAAGACGACAATTTCAATGACGATACGTTGGGTGGATTTGTAGAGGAGGGAGGAAGAGGGAGGGTCGAAAGGAAGGGCAGAAGTGATGGAGAAACGTGCATTCTGGTCTACAAACGTTGTTGGAAAGTGTCTGGTGACGTTTTAAGGTGAATGGAGTGTCATTTATATTTGACTGGCCAAAGTTGGTAGGAGAAAGGCTGTCAGTGCTTGTTTGGTGACGATCGCCAGAAAGCTTGAGATATAAGTTCATAAGATGCACGGTAGATGATGACATTGACGAAGCAAGAGCAAGCTGGTTTGGCCCTTTATATCCTGGAGGAGCGAAGAGAGGTGTAGCACCTCTAAGGTCTTTTCTTGGTATGGTACGGAAATCACTATGTTGCATCCCAGCTAGGCCGGTACTTCTAGAGGTCAAAAACATCAATGGAGTCCCGAGACCGTCACTTTTCACTCCAGAAAACCCTTCCATCAAAGATATAAACTTCGCCAACATCAATTTCCTTTCGTGCCTGCGATTCTTCCCTAGAGTGGCTTTTGCAACCATTGTCTCTGGAATCGTATGGTCCCATTCCAGCCACCGAAGGCCCCTGACAATACGAATTTCACCAAACCGACCATCACAGACGCCTCTAACCTTCTTACTCAACTTTCTTTATTTTTTTTCCCAACCCATGTCTGTTCGCTTAAATCCCCCAACATCACCTTATCTGTTATCTTCTCTCCAGGACATCGCGCTTAACTCATCGCAGAAACATCAAACATCACATTCCTCCTCAACCATGTCTGTGCCCAACCAAGTTAGCAAAAACGTCATTCTTTTGCCCCAAACAAACCAGCTTCGAGGTTTGTACTCCATCATCAGAGACCAGCTGACCAAGCGTGGTGACTTTGTCTTTTACTCAGACAGAATCATCCGTCTCTTGGTTGAAGAAGGTCTCAACCAGTTGCCAGTGGAAGAAGCCGTCATTGAGTGTCACGGCGGCCACAAGTACAACGGCTCCAAGTTTTTGGGTAAGATCTGCGGTGTCTCTATCGTTAGAGCTGGCGAATCCATGGAAATGGGTTTGAGAGACTGTTGTAGGTCTGTGAGAATCGGTAAGATCTTGATTCAAAGAGACGAGGAGACCGCGTTGCCCAAGTTGTTCTATGAGAAGCTTCCTGAGGATATCAGTGAAAGATATGTGTTCCTTTTGGATCCTATGTTGGCCACAGGAGGCAGTGCCATGATGGCCGTTGAGGTTTTGTTGTCCAGAGGAGTCAAGATGGACCGTATCCTCTTTTTGAACTTGTTAGCTGCCCCAGAAGGTATCAAGGCATTCCACGACAAGTACCCAGACGTGAGAATCATTACTGGTGGTATTGACGAAAAGTTAGATGACGACAAGTACATCGTTCCAGGTTTGGGCGACTTCGGTGACAGATACTATTGCATCTGATCCAATTACATGCATTTCTTGTGGACACAGTCGGGGTTTTCAGCGTACTCCTCCTGTGTGACCCACATTTTTCTAAACGTAGAAAGACTGGCCAATATAGACCCGCCTATCCATGTGCTGTATTTCCGCTCTGGCGGAGCGTAGATCTTGATTTTCATTTTGGTATCTCTGCCAACGTTTCGATTGTTGGCCCATATGCTTGAGTTGCTTTGGCTAGCCTGGCTGGTCTTGAGTTCGTGAAGAAGACGATCACCAAAGTTACGAAGAAGCGTAGTGCCTCCAGATAAAATGATGTTCTGGTATAATGTGGGCCGTAGATCGAGATCCGTTTTAGCAATGGAAATCCCCAACAATTCGTCTATTCCAGGCAGCTCGTCGCCGATAAGCTGAGGGTTGAAGAGAATTTCAGGCGCCCGGAACCGTTCAAGTCCTAGTTGTAGCGTGTGCCCGTCTGGAAGCTTATAACTGGAAAAAAGGTCCATACCATCATGAGTAGACGCTCCAGAGGACGCTGCCGCAGCCGACCCGCCCATAAAATGGGAATACGTCACTCCTGAATAAAGTTGCTCGTCTCGATCAGGGTTCTTTGAAACGTAGCAGCACTTCTCTTTGATCTGTCTTGCGATATCAAGCTCAGAGCTCGACAGAAGGTTTATCCCCAGCATCTGTCTCACCTGGAAAGCCAATTGGTCAGTAATATCCCTTCCGCCCACATCCATACGTTTTATCGCCGTAGGCAACGAAAACCCGTTGTACACGGGCACAACATTGCTGACTCCATCTCCAGAGTCAAGCACCACTCCAGTAGTACGTCCCGATGCATATATGGAAAGTACCGCCTGGACAGACACATACACACACGGAATGTTAAACGTCTCAAACATGATCTGACACATGTGGTCTCTATTAGCTCTCGGGTTAAGCGGCGCCTCGGTGACCAAAAGCGGATGCTCCTCAGGCGCCGTTCTAAGCTCTTTGGTAAACGTATAATGCCACAACCGCTCCATATCCTCCCAATCGTTAACTATACCATGTTCAATAGGGTACTTGAGTCGAAGAAGACCTCGGTTCTGCCGCGCAGAGTTCCCCACATACGCCTCTATGTTGTTGTACTTGGAGATGTTCTCATCAGCCAGAGCCACAGCCATGATCTTCTGGTACTTGGGCCTTCCCACGATCGCTGGTTCATGAACTTTGGGTTTTTCCTCGCCGGCAAATCCAGCCTTGATATTTCCAGACCCATTGTCAAGCACTATGGGCTGGTTGTAGAGGGTTTCCTCTTCCATAGTATAGTGTTTACTAGTGTAGTATTCGCGGTGCGATAAACATCAACACTTGATCTACGAGGACCAAACACGTCAGGTTCTACTGAGTTTTAGACAAAACATGCTGCATCTTAGTGCTCTTTCCAATGCCCAGAAGGTTCAGATAAGGAACGCTTTTCTATTGATCGACAGTGACTCGAAAGATTCCAAGATCACTACTTCTGACTTGGTCAATGTCCATAAGACCTTGGGTGTACCGGTACCTTCAGATAAGGAGCTAAAGGAGATGCTTGGAGGTGACGAGCTGGTGAATTTCACTCAGTTTTCTCAAATCATGGCTGAAGAGTTTTCTAAGGTTGACGATAGAACTACGATATCTAATGCGATCAAGGTATTCGCCAAAGACCCGCTGCAGACGCCTGTTCAGATCGATGCTGATAAATTGAAAGAGGCTTGTTGTTCGGTGCAATTGGGAGAAATTGGTTCTGGCGACCATAGGCTTTCTCGGTCTGCGTTTGATAAGCTCACCAAGGGCTTTGTTTCTGAACAGATGGACGGCTCCAAGGTGTTTATGGCTGAAAAGTGGCTCGATGCGTACATCGAGTAGGGTTTTGGAGTTTCTATTATGTCACTAATTTCGCCTGGTTGGTGATGGGATGTAAGTGAAATTGTCGTGTATGATATTGTGCTATAATACTAGCCGAGGCGATCGAGGTAGAGGGTCTTAAGGGTACGGTTATTAATGCCAAATTCCGTGTCTTGACTACGCCTGCTCAATACCAGACAGCAGACCAGAAGGTTTTGAAAGCGAAGTAATTGGCTGCATCCAACCCACCTCAATCAAGTTTCGTTTAAGCATGAAGACGACCTGGAGTTTGTCTTTAGTTCTAAACAGACAATAGTTAAGGCTTACAATATGGACCATTGACTTAGGTGAACGCTGCCAGCCAGAGCTGAAGCTCTTCCAGCGAATCCACTTAACTATCACTTTTTATGGCATTATGTGTTTGAAGTACCACAACATATCCTCTATAATATCACTACTCATCTCGAGTTCCGCTAAACTGTTTCCTTATATTACAATATGCTAAGTGCCAACTAAGGCCTTTTACATGAAGCCGTGAAATTATCTTCCCGTCCTCTTGTGTTTACTGATCGAGGATCAACTCGTCACAACCCCAGTCCTCGTAAGAACCATCAGGCAAGTATCTTCTAATAACCAAAGGCGTTTTCCTCTGAGCCAACTCCTTCATGGCAATCTGCAAAGGATCGGTTTCACCCTCGATGTCAACCAAAACTGGAGCGTTCAACGAGATCTGCAATGCTCTGGTACCCAAAACTCTGGCTCTCTCGTATTTGGTCATGTATGGCGTCGTGGTTCTGTCCTCCTTAGGTATAGACAATTCTCTGGCGGTCTTCACTCTGGTCTGGGCGTCAGCTTCGCTGAAACCACCGTTGATGATGGTTCTGCCATCTTCAGCCTTCATGGCCACATCTTCACCATCCTGAGCGCCAGCGGGCTCGGCGAAATCGTCATCTGAAAAATGGTCTGGAGCATCGAAATCCTCGAAGTTCTCTGGGGCTTCGTTGTAGGGCTCCTCAACGTCCGACATGATTTCAGTTGTTGATGTGGTTATTTGGTGAGTTTGGCTTCTCATCATCTTGAAAAACACTTTCCTAGGAAGAGCGCTTGTGTACAGTACCATACAAATTTCTACAAGGCGTATTTTTTTCACACGGAAGAAACTTTATGCTTATTTAGTCCATGCAGAGTGATAAAGTCTGCGGTTTTCTAGGATGTCGTGGGGGTGATTTGATGGAATATGCTCGTTATTAATGGGGTGTATTCTGACTTTACAACTCATCGGCGTATGGCAACACATCGGTGTTACCAACAGCAACGTAGTTGAAAGCGCCCAACTTGGCGCCCTTGGCGCTGTCAGCGGTTATCTGGATGTTGTGAGGATATTCGAAGGAGTCTTGCAAGGCAACAGACAATTCAGCAGCCTTGGTGGCAGTGGACAAGGCAGAGGCGTTCAAGCCCTCAACGGCCTTCTTGGCGGCCTTGATACCCTCAGCGACCTTGGTGGCGTCCTGGCCAGTGACGGCAACGACAAACAAACCAGCGTCCTCGTATTTGTACAATCTGGAGTCGGCACCTGGGATCTTAGACAATGGAGAAGCAGCACCCTTCAACACAGAGGTACCGGCAGCAGCAGACAAGACCTCGTACTTAGCAAAGTCCTTCTTGGCAACTGGAACACCAATGAGGGCAGAAGACTCACCACCCTTTCTGAATCTGGCCTCCTTACCAGTGAAGGTCTTGACAGGAGCAGACTTGATAGTGCCTGGAGGCAAGACAGAGAAAGCAGACTCAGCAACGAAGTTAGCCAAGTCGGATTCGTTAGCGCCAGAGGCGTAAAGGGAGACGTTACCCTGAGTGTAGGCCTCAGAAGCGAAGTTCTTGACATCGTCCAAGGACACAGTAGAGGCAGCATCGTAGTACAAGGGGTTACCCAAACCCTTTCTGAAGGTCAACTCGTGCAAGTGCTCCAAAGCGACAAACTCGGTGGAACCGTGAGCAACGCCAGCCTCAGCCTCGGCAACTGGAATGACGGTCTCCACAAGCTCGTGAGGTCTGAAGAGAGGCTTGTGCAAGGTGTTGGCCAAAGCATCAACATAGTATGGCAAGTCCTGCTTCAAGAACTGGGTGTTCAACACAATGGCGTCTCTGGTGACGTAAGAAGAGAAGCTACCACCCAAAAGCTCAGACTCTCTGGTGAAACGCAAAGCAGACTTAACCTCGTTGTTAAGGAAAGCGTACTTAGACAAGAGGTGGGCCACACCAATCTTGCCAGCCTTGGAACCAGCGTTGTTGACCTTCACCAGCAAAGTGGTCAAGTTACCTGGGGCGTCTCTGGACACCAATTTCACAGGGGCGGTGCTGTAAGCACGGGCGGAAGCACGAGACAACATGGAGGGTGTTATTGAAGGATAGGTAGGTTTGGCTGTGGTAACCGTTTGGATTTTTTTCGATTACTGCTCAATGCGATTTTCAGTACCCATGATTGGCTGGGTGTTGTATGCAGGTGGGATACAGAATCACCACTCCCAGGTCTTTCCATGCTGTGCTGGTGGGGTTGTGATGGCTGGTAGGAGGTGAGTAAATGTTTGGAATTATCTTGAAGGTGTGCTTTATGTTGTTGGAGTTGGGTTAGAGGAAGGGCTGGCTGGAGTGGTGTGGATGTATTGTGCAGGACGTTATTTGCAGCCATTAACAGGCGTCGAATAAACCTTCCATTTTGAAGCCAGTGGAGGTGTAAAGAGGAATGGGAGTTGAATCGAGTATTTTCGTCTCTTTGGGTTTTTGTGTTTTCGTAAATTTTGGCTTTACGTATTTATGGTGGGCTGATGAGTTTACTCGATTTCTCTAGAGGTGCGTAATACACTGGAAAACTGTAAACCAGTAGGAGATGGAGCTGAAAAGGTTAAATAAAAAATTGACAGAAAAATTAATATAAATGTAGATTGTCACTAAAAACTCCAAGAAACAAAAAGCCATTTGTTCCAACACAATTGCATCGAAGATTCAAAAGGTACATGGTAACAGCATCAGTATATGCGCCAATGAAGCTAAACTCTTACAGAGAAAGGGTTGGTGGATGCTCATTTACTCCACTTCTACAAACAAGTTTCCGTCATTCTAGTAATTTTCTATATCCGTTTGCTATTTTTTTTTTTTTTTCTTTGATGCTAGATTTGCGTTAACCGGAGGTTTGTCTTGTCCTTGATGTTATGTGATTGGCAGTAGTCGAAGACTAGACGACCCCAGATGAAGTCAAGGAAAATAATGACATAGACACCACCCCAGATGAGACTCATACTGAAGAAAAAGTTGGAGTTTCCATTACCCAACACAATCCAACAGTAGTAGAAGATGGGCGCTAGAAGCAAACACACTATAAGCATCAATGCGTTGATAAGCATGAATTTGGTGTGTGGGATCACGGTGTTTTTGAAAATAGGCAACATGGACAACACAAAGCCTAGGTCTCCAATAATAGGGTATGACTTCGAGAAGGAGAGCCATGTGTGGGCCATGACGACCGCCAAAAAGCAGTCTCCAAGATGTGGTTCGCTAGCTCTCTCAAAGAACCTCACCGTGATTGGCACAACGAAAATGACATGGTACAAGTTAAAAATACCCTTGTATAATGGAGTGAAGTAGTCGAACATTTCTGTGAAAATGTACCACCAGAGACCCATGTTTGGCGAGAATTTGTCGAAGAACAAGACATTGCCGTAGCACTGGTATAAGAAATCAGGCGATCCCGAAAGCACAAATGAAAGAAGAAGCAACGTTGCCAAAGATGCAAAGAAAATAGCACCGCCTTGAACAGCAATTCTCGTCAAATCGCGTTCTGGAGACACCGTGTACGCGAGTGCAATGATAGGAACCACAAGGAACGCTGGAGTCAACGACAAGTATGCAGCCACAGCAAGAGCAATCATAGCCCTAAAAGGGTTACAATCCACCACAACCTGAGCCACCAGCTCAATCACTAAAAAGTACGAGAAGGTGGCTGTAGAATGAGACCAATTAGTCAAGATCATAAGCGGGTTGAACAAGTAGAAAGCAGCAATAAACGTGGAACTAAATGGCAGACCCTCGATCTTGCTTCTCTTCTGTTGATGTTGATGGTACCATTCGTTGATTCGTATAAGCTTACACGCTATGCCCACGTCAACCAACGCATACAACACATTGAACACGATATAGACAAACTGCTCGGGCACAACGTCGTTCACCAAGTTCAACACCGCCACAAGCAAAGGAGGATGGTAAACAATACCACCGTCGTACACGTCCAAGTCATTTTTCAACAAATAGAAGGCTTCTTGGATAGATCTGAAGGAATCAATGGGCGTGGAGGTTTCGACCGTTGAGGCCAAAGCATCGGTAATCTGAGGAAACAACGTGGGCACAACCACACGTACAAGCGTACCGATAACGAAAACCGTCGCCAAAGACATTTCTGGGGAAGATATCTGAAGGCTTACACTTGTTGAAGTAGTATCTGTCTGTCCACTGAGACAAGCGTGCAGGAAGCACCAAGTGGATGGTACAAGTTTGATGGAAGATTATCAAATTTGGAGGCGTTAATGGCAAGATTAGAAAGAAGGATCAGTCCTCTTCACTCCTTCTGTTTATGACGTTTTTTTCTGGAAATTGGGAGGCTGGAAAGGTGGCTGCAAAGGGCCTACTAATGTATCTCCTGCACATCCATCGCCAATATAGCACTATCAACTACTCTTCTTCCTAAACATCTCCAAATGTCAACGGTATGTCAGTCCAGAAACCAGATTTCCCATTCTTCTACTAACTCCCAGTTCCAACCCATAAACCCTAAGCCGTTTCTCAAAACGCTTCTCAACAAAAAAGTCATTGTCAGGTTGAAATGGAACAAGATGGAGTACAAGGGTACGCTTGTGGCCATAGACAATTACATGAACTTGCAGCTTGACGATACGTACGAGATTCTTCGAGAAGGCGACGAGAAGAAGGAGGAGTTGATTGGCGAGATCTTTATACGGTGCAATAATGTGTTGTTTGTCCGTGAAGACCCAGAATCAACAGACACGAAAATGGAAGAGTAATGGGGGAAAGCTTGACAGATAAAAGGGCAGTTCTAATTGTATGGAATGTCTACTAAGGGTTATTGTGACCAGAAGCCCTAGGGTATTCATTGGTCGTAGTAGATGGTTTATCCTCATTCGAGACATCCCAGGCATTTCACTACTCGTCCAGAGAAGGCCTCGTCAAAAGAGAGAAATCCAGCTGCAATTGAAAACTTTTTGGAACCAGTCAAATATCTCCCAATTAGCATTTGCTTCAATGCTCTAATGGCAATGCTCCAGTGATGCCTTCCATGTCATCTCTACAAACCCTCATCCCACAACATCAGTCACCACTCATAGAAAAAAAGCCCACTCGATGTTGCAACAACAAAAATAGACTAAACATAATTAAACCAGCCAATCCCAAAGTAGAACCATTTACCCACGTCTTCTTCACCACTTCCTCCACCTTCTACCGTCCGACATAGCGCGCCTTCTCTCACTTAGTAACTACTCAGTATTTTCAACCATGGCTGAGCCAGCACCCTATGGGGGCTACATGACGAGGACTTTGGATGCTGAAAAGGAGCAGGAGGAGAAACTTAAGCTGCAACAGGTGGAACTTGCCGTGAATGGTCAGCCAGAGACGCTAAGACCTGAGGCATTGCATGTCAATGGAGTAGACAATTTATCAACAGAAGATCTCCAGTCGTTTGTGGATTACTACTTGAATTTTGATAAGATTGGAGAAGATGAATATAGAGAGGTGGAGCTGCCTATTTGGTTTCGTATCCAGTGGATTGACGATTCCAATGTCAATGTGGTGTTTAAAACACACGAAGACGCTGCAGAAGGCTTGAGAGCGTTATCTATATCAGGAAGCGCTACCGACGAAGAAATCCAGGAATTCAGCCAGGAGTACGTTTCGTCAATTATTCAGGAAAGAGAGACAAAGTCGTATGCGCCTACCATTGCATTCCACAAGTACCAGAAGAGACTCAGTGAAGAAAAAGACCTTTTCGAAGATAAGAAACAACAGGAAGAAGAGGCAAGCACAGGCATGGACGAAGACGACAGTGCAGTGGTGTTGTACATCAGGCAGAGTCTTCAGTCAGATAGAAAAGTCAAGGGCGCTGCTGCTTATTCTAGATATTACTTGCTTCATGGAGAGCCAGATAGAGAAGAAAGAAGAAGGACAGCCAGACCAGAGCGTCCTGCTAGAGAGAGAGGTGGTTACTCGAGAGACGAGGATGATGATACCGACTTGTTTGCCAATAAGCTTCAGCAGAAAGAGACTGTTCAGGAGGAAGAAGACGACTTGTTTGCCTGGAGATTAAGAGAACGGTCGCCAGAGAGAAACCCTGAGAAGAGAGGCGGCAGAAGAGGCGGCAGAAGAGGTAGAGGTAGAGGAAGAAGGTGATTCTTAAAAGTAGACATTGGTTCTTTATCTGTATAGTAATGTATCTATAATATTGGTTACCGGTAGAGCTTACACCTTCGAAATTGGTTTGCTGTATAGTATTGTGTCTATTATATCGTGAGCGTGATCGTAGTCTAGTTTCCCTCCTGGCCAAAGTCGTTGGTGAATTTGGTGTGGTTTTCGATATCCTGGGCGTTGACCGTAGGCCTGTTGCTCTTGACAGCCTTGATGAAATCCTTGATCGTCAAGTCAGGCTCCTTCAACTCGTCGGTGCCGATATCGAGCCAGCTCATTTCGCGGGCACCGTCGTCGCCAGGAGAACATGGCGTGAGCTTCTCTACGCCGTCTTCTTCAACAGGCTTAAAGTGGGTAGCTTGCTGAATTTTTCTAATTGGCTGCATCAAGGCATCTCTCACGACCACAGCAATATCGTGACCAGAGTAGCCATCGGTCATTTCAGCCAAAACCCTCAAATCCTGCTGATTACATTCACAAGGCACCTCGCCGATGTTCAACTCAAACATACGTTTACGAGCCTCCAATTCAGGCAATGCGATATAGATTCTTCTTTCGAATCTTCTTCTCACGGCAGCATCCAATTGCCATGGAATATTAGTAGCGCCAAGAACCAAAACACCCTGGGAGTCGTTACCCACACCGTTCATCTGAACCAAAAGCTCCGTCTTGATTCTCCGCAGCGCTTCACTCTCACCCTCGCCTCTAGGGCCACACAAGGCGTCGACTTCATCGATGAAAATAATGGACGGCTTGTTTTCACGGGCCATGCTGAACAATTGCTTAACCAATCTTTCAGACTCTCCCATCCACTTCGACACAAGGTCAGAGGAGGAAACCGAAAAGAAAGTCAGGTTAGCCTCGGTGGCCACTGCTTTAGCCAAGTACGATTTACCCGTACCTGGAGGACCGTACAACAAGATACCAGACGTAGGTTTTCTGTTTCCCGTGAAAAGCTGGGGAAACTTCACTGGAAGAATGACAGCCTCTTTCAACGCATCCTTGGCGGTTTCCAAACCAGCAATATCGCTCCATTGCACATTGGGCTTTTCTGAAAGAATAGCACCTGCTAATGCTCCACGAAGCTTCTTCGTATCAGCATCATCGTCATCCCCATCCTTCTTAGCCTTGGTAGAACCTCCAGACGCCGACAGCTCGGCAGCATTATTCTTCAGCAGCTGTTTCTCCAAAAAGTCCTTCAACTGCTCTGCACGAGAAAGGTACTCGGTAAACTTCGACTTGATCAACTCCTTCAGTTTCTGGTTCTTCTCATACTTCAACGCAAGCATCAAGTAGTCCAACCCATTATAGTAAAGCTTGTATGCCTCTTCGTAGCGCGTGGCAGTATCTGCATCTATGGCCTTCTGAATAAGGTCTATGCCTTTGGTGAGGAAGTCTGAAGCACCTGACATGGTTTCAGTAGTGGTTGTGGATTGGTAATAGATAGCTGGAAGCTTGATATAGCGGTGCGCGCACATACTAGGCGAGAGGAGCCAGGGCGTTCCAGGGTTGCCATAGAAACAGAGAGAAGGGATTGTAGATGGATTTGGGAAATAGAGGGTTTGGTGAGTTTGGTGAGGAATGTTTGAAAATGTGTTTTTTTTTTTTTTTTTTTTTTTTTTGGCTTTTGAATTGTGTGTGGGAGAGTTGGCAGTTGGTGGGATTGGCACTTTGGCTGCGAATGTATGGAGTGGGGTGAACGGTCAGGGTGGGATGAAGAAGGAGGAGGGAGAAAAAGGGATTGGCGGTTTGGGGCTTTTAGGGAATTTAGGCTAATGCCAGAATGGGATATGTTCATCTTTTGGTGAAAATGGATTTGTCATGGGTGGATGGTACTATAGTTAGTCATAATTATCTATGGTTTTCGAACTGGAGCAGTCAGTCAGTAATTAAATTTTGGTACTAAATGGGAAGAGGAATTTGCAATGACAAAGGCACGAGTTAACAGTTAGTGAAAATGCTTGCTGTGCCTGTAGTTCATTGGTGTTGTAAGTGTTAGCTAATGCTACTATTAAGCACGGTGAGACACAATTCACTTTCCTCACAACTAAACCTTAGCTAAATGCTTCAGTGGAAATGGAGACCATCTCTTTACTCTCCTAGAGCTCCACTGGGGCTCGATCGCTGTCATTAACATGTGCCCGATTTTTCCTTTAGTTTACTTCGTAACCAGACCATATAATCCCAACTATAACCTCCATTCCATGACTCACTTTCATTCCACCTACAGCTCGGTCTCCGAAAAGCCCGAACTGATCTACATGACCCTGAATAACCCACAATACATGCTGCATCCTTCTAGATCAAGCCTTACATTACATAGAGGTCTCGCCGTGACTCATTGAGGAACCCGAGTCCGTCCACCCGTACAGCCGAAGCCCTAGCAAACACTTCGTATGTTTCCAAATTTCAAGATAACGATTATTAATCAATCGGGGTTGTATCTGGATTTGGACGAGGGGATATACGTAGTTTCATAGGCGTAGTGGAATTCCATTTGAAGCCACTTAACCCATACCTACCAAGCCAAGCAAGCAAACCGGGACATCCAGGACATCCAAGACATCTGTTACACTCCAGAACACTCAAACAATCCAGAAAACCCTTTAAACCCACCTAGGCCCCAAACTCATTGTGTTAAACTTTATTGAATGGGTGACGTCTTGGTGCAGTTACTGTTCCCGGAAACACATCCAGAAGTCCGAGCAGCGAGGCCCCCAGCCACCAAAACCTCACCATACCTATCAATTCTATCACAGAAATCCTCCACACTTAAAACATCTAAAATCCCAAAACCACTAACCCTTCTCTGCCTTCTGTAACCACACTTCCCTGGTTGGTCCATATGTGAGACACCGTTTTTGCGACATTATGGCTGCGAAACCCAGTGTCCCAGTCCACCAGGCAGACTCCCAGAGACTCCCAGAAGTCAAAGTCAGTACATTCAACGACTGTAATTAACAAAAGAGAAATCGTAGAATACCAAAAACCACCAAAAACCACCAAGAACACAAACCCAATGCCTCCACCGCCAAAGCCACGGCTCCATCCATCCACCCTCCAAATAGCCGTTCCGCTTCAGACCCTCGCGTTGCGCTTCTGTCACCAGTAACGTCCGAGGCTTTCTGATAGACACAAGCAGCCAACCAGTATTTCACATTTTCACATTTTCACGTTCTGAATATTCTACCTCTCTATGTAATCGTCATTTCTAGTATTCTTCTTTCCTCCCTACGGTCTCGTCTCCACTCCCACTCGGCTTACCGGTTCTGTAGATGTACGTTTTGGGATGCGCTAGAGCCGTGCGCAAGAGGCTCCAACGGTTGCTCAGAGGGAGACCAAAGAGGCAGAGGCAGAGGCAGAGACAAAGAGAGGCAGAAACAGAGAGGAAGTACCTTTTCCAGCATTAACCGGTTATCCGGTTGACAAAGGGAACCAACAAAGAAAGTGTCCCACGTCGTCTTGTCATTTCCCTTCTTTCCTTTTTCTCCTCCTTGACGTTTCTTTCTTGCATCAGATCCTTCGTGTTATCTCCACTATCGGCCCGCATCCGCATCTGCTGCGACTTTTCATATTAGTCATCGCCAGAATCCAACAAGCCTTGAACTCGTTCTATATATATTCTGGTGAAGTTCTTGTTTGCGTTCACCATGTCTCGTTTTCTGGTTTCGTCTGCTGACTCGGCGGCCGAGGAAATGTACGACCCGAAACCGCTAGATACACCTTCGCAGCCTAACGTTTTACACAGACAATCGACCAATGGGTCTGGCGTGTCGAGGATCTTGGAAGGGATCCGTGATGACCATCAGCAGGATAACGAGGAGTACGTGGTGAAGTCGGCGGTGCCGTTGGCCGAGGAGGCTATTCACGACGAGTTGGATAGAGTGTCTAGGCAGCTCACGTACCAGAGTAAAGATAAGGCTCCGTCCATTGAGTCGCTCAGCCATACCACGCTGACCGAGGAGGAGCTGGGGGACCATCCTGTGGATGGGCTTTTTGCTATTTGGCAGGCGGTGTTGACGATGTTGTTGGTGTTTCTGACGTGGGGTGCTAACGCTGCGTTTGGTGTGTTTTTGAACTACTACATGTCGAATAGTTCGTTTCCGGGCGCTGACAATTACGATTTTGCGCTTATAGGTGGTATAGTGGTGTTTTTGGCCCAGGCACTAGCGCCAGTTTGTTGTTTTTTTACTAGTATGTTTGGCCAAACGCCGGTTCTTCTTACAGGGTTGGTTTGCCAGACGGCTGGGTACATGCTAGCGTCGTTTTGCACGAAACTCTGGCAAATTTACTTGTGCCAGGGTGTACTTGTGGGTACATCATTCAGTTTGATTTTCATTCCAGGCACCATGATTCTCCCGACATGGTTTCTGAAACGTAAATCCACTGCCATGGGTATTTGCGTTTCCGGTGCTGGTTTGGGTGGCTTGGTGTTTTCCTTGTCGTTAAACAAACTTATATCTCAAACAGGCGACCAACGTTGGCCTCTTCGAATGGTGGGTTTTGTTACCCTTGGAACAACCATCTTCAGTATGTGCTTCATGAGACAACGAAACAAGAAAACCATCGATATTAATACTTCCAAAATCACCTGGGAACGGTGCAAGGCTATTCTCAAGGTGGTGTTCAACATCGAGCTATTCAAGTCTCTCCACTTTGTCGTTTTGGGCTGCTGGTTTGGATTATGCCTCTTGGGATACGTCATTTGTCTTTATTCCTTTTCTCCATATGCATCCAGTGTTGGTTTAACCCACGACCAGGCCAATAACTTATTAGCCATTTTGAACGCAGCTCAGGTGGTTGGCAGACCTTGCGTTGGTAACCTTGCTGATTATTTTGGCAGAACAAACACAGCCAGTGTATTTTGTGTGTACTTGGCGATTTTAATTTTGGCCTTCTGGCGTAACGCTACTTCCTACGCTGCCTTAATCGTTCTTTCAATTTTACTTGGAGGTCCAGCCGGTGTTGGTTCCATCATGGCTCAGTCGCTTGGTGCCGATATCTTGGACGTTCAAGAAAGACCTGAACTTATGCCTGCTGCATGGTCTGGTCTTAATATCATCGTTTCCATCTATTCCCTTCCGTCAGAAGTAATCGCCATTGCCTTAAAAGACGAAGGTAAAAATAATGTCTACGACCATGCACAAACTTTCACTGGCTGTATGTTTCTTCTTGCAGCTGTGCTTCTTCTGTTCAACAGAGAGTACATTGTACGCAGAAAGTTTGAAAAAAGAAGAGCCCATGCCCAGGCAGCTGCCACAGGATACTTAAAAGCCAGCGATCTCGTCGAGGCTGAAGACAGAGAACTCCCTATGACCAGAATCGAACGTTATGACAGACTCTTACAGCCCGGCATCATATACTATTTCATTCGCATGTTCTACCCAATCAGGGTATAACTTATTTATACTAATGCATACTACAAAACTTCTTAATTGTTTTTACATTATGACGAAATATACAAATACATGTAGAACCTTAACGGTTGGACTTGGCAACTCTCTCCAACTCGTCCTTCTTCTTGATGGCGTAAGAGGTAGAAGAACCCTTGGCAGCGTTGATCAACTCTTCAGCCAAACATTCAGCAATAGACTTGATGTTTCTGAAAGAAGCCTCTCTGGCACCAATGGTCAACAAAGCAATGGCGGTGTTGACTCTTCTCAATGGAGAGACATCGACAGCCTGTCTTCTGACGGTACCGGAAGAACCGATTCTGGTGGAGTCTTCTCTGGCACCAGAGTTGACAATGGCGTCAACAACAACCTGAAGAGGGTTCTGCTCAGTCAAGACGTTGATGATCTCCAAAGCGTGCTTGATGATTCTGACAGCCTTCAACTTCTTACCGTTGTTTCTACCGTTCATCATCAAAGAGTTGGTCAATCTCTCAATGATTGGGCACTGAGCCTTTCTGAATCTCTTGGAGGCGTATCTGCCAGCAGTGTGGGAAACGAAAACTGGAGATCTGATCTGAACGTAGTCCACAAGGGAAACGTCCTTGACCTCAACGTCCTCGAAAGACCACTTGTTGAACAACTTGATCTCCTGCTGAGCAGCCTGGACATCAGCTGGGATAGGGGTGGCCAACTCGACCAACTGGAGCTCTTGTTGAACAACTGGCTCCTCGACTTGAACTTCCTCAACGTCAGACATGATTAATTTGGATAGATGGAAAAGAGGTGGGAAAGAAGATTTTCACTATGAAGAGGTGCGAAAAATTTGTTAGGCTGGGTGGAATCTGTGCAGGACGCGTGGGATGAGATTTGTGAGTTGACCGTGCTTATGTAGTGGATATTTGGGCACACCTGCCGCATTCGGCAGAAGCCCTAGATTTCTCAGCCCTAGCCATGGGCACGTGATGAGATATCCTACAACCAACTTCCCCAATTTCCATCATTTTCAATATCTAAGAGATGGAAATGATTGATTGAAGCTGAAGGAAGAGAAAGAGATACTTGGGTTTTGAAGTTTTTGTGTTGGCGTGGCAATTGGCGGGACTTGTTATGTGGACCAATTTCCCATAGTTAAGAGCACATAGTGGTATATCTCTGCCACACTTTACGGAATTTCCACAAAATTTAATTTACCGGAAGAAATGGTTTGTAGGAACGAGCTCGTATCTTAATAAACTAATTTTTCATCAGCCTTGGTTGGTAATGGGTGGTTTTGCAATTCATGATTCAATGTAAGTACCTGCATATAAACGCACAGCGAGAAAAATTTTATCTACGTTTTTACCCTATCCTCCCAATTAGGCAATGTAAATTCTGGCACGCGTGTAACAGCCAGACCGTTTGCAGCCATTCTTAACATAGACAAGAACCATTTGGATCTCCAAGTCCACCAAAATCACCTAAATATCAAATTTAGCTTATTGATAGTTAAGAAGTGACCTCAAATACCCCTAAACCTCAAAAACGCAACATTTCTACATCAACTTCTCTTTAATCAATTATATTACGTATTAAATCACCCACAAGGGCACCACAGTTCCTCTAAACCATACCTTAAGTCCATGTTGTTGGTCCAAATGTCTCACCTGGAGCCAAAGTGTAAAATGGAGTTGCTTTACCATCCAAGTTGCTGTTGTAAACAGTGTTACCCCACCACAGAAGTGCACCAGCAGGGTAGGAAACACAAAGGAAGATAATGACAGCTGAAATAGAAACACCAGAGTCAATGGCAGCCGAAAGAATGTATGTGTACTTGACGTGGAACTCCTTAAACCATTTTCTGATGTAGTGGTTCCAGCCGTAGGAAATAACGAAGTAAAGGGAGTAGTTGTAGATGGTGGATGGAGGAATGTTACCTGGACCGGTGAAGAACACTGGGGCATTAATTTTACTAACCCAGTGCTTTGGCCATCTTTTAGCGGCAAGCCAAGTAACAATTGGAGCAAAGAATCCAATAAGGAAGAACCACATGAAAGCATTGTAACGTTGACCAGGATTGAATAACTTAGCTGGACCAACAGCACCCCAAATGATAGAAGCGTTAAAGATGGTTCTACCGTTTGCACAAATGAAACCGTCAGCCTGCTTAGGGTTACAGATGTTGTCAATGTTAGATCTCATCCATTCTTGGACACCCACATTGACCAAGCCTGCAACCAAAGTACCAATAATCTGGACAAAGAACAAAAGTCTTGGTGGGATCTTCATGTACTGGGCAATCTTCAAATCTCTGGAAAAGTCAAGACCTTGTCTCATAGGAATGAAACCGTACAACTTGACCATCATGTTAGCCAAAGGCTTACCTTGCCAGATGTAACCAGCCACAAGCTCTGTAATGATATTAAGACCAACGTGCTGGTTAGTGATACCTTCAAGCAAACCTTGAGGAATGAAGTTGACAAAGGTAATCAACATGGCAATAATAAGACCCCACCATGGAAGTTGGGTTTCAAATCCACACACGGCCGCAAAAGAAAGACCAATAGAAATGGCAAACAAAACCAAGTACCACCAGTCAGGTGCTTCCTCAAAGTTGTTCATTAATCTCTTGTGAATATCCTCACCACCGTGTCTATGGTCTCTCAACTTCTGGGCAATATCCTTACCGTGGTACAAGAAACAGTGGACGAAAATGGCAATCACAGCAGCAAAGTTAAGAGCGTAGGAAAGCAAGTACGAGAAAGGCACAAACAATGGAGAGTACTGCTGGTAGCTTTCTTCGTCGAACACAAGACGGTCGTTGAGCACCTTAGCAACGTCGTACTTCTTTCCTGTGTTGTCAAAAGTAGTAGTGGACATCATTGGCATATACTTTGCGTACATGGTGTTAGTGTAGTACAAGCAAGGCAAGACAATGAGGAAGAAGATAAAGACGGAAGCGTAGGTATTGGCAGAAACCCAAGCTGGGGTAGCCAATGGAGACACAGACATGGCTTGGGTAGCCTGGGTCCAATCAAAGGAAATAGGAATGATACCAAGACCAGATTGGACACCAAAGACCTGGTTCACCACAATGTTCTGGGGCCAGATCCAGGTAATGAAGTCGAAATAAGACAAGGCCTTGAACAAGTATCCTGGCAACCAGTACCATACAAAGGAAAAGATAGAGGCAATGCCAAAGAACTTATATCTCGACATGCTCCAGCCGTTGGCAACCATTTTATCAAGAACATTGCCTTCCCTGGTATGTAAAGTATTGAAAAGAGACGTTGTCACCAAAGTCTGTGGCCAGATCATAGCAGCTGGGTAGACAATGAAACGTCTGGTAAGACCAGCGGCACCGTAACCCAAGAGCTGGACGGAAAACACCAAAAGAATCATATACCCAGCGCTAAGTTCCTGGTTGTAGAAGTTTGTCTGGGCAATAAGAATGTTCATGGCGTACGAAGTGGAAGAAGTCAACGACACCACAATGGTAAGCAAAGCGTGTTCTTGCCTCGAGTAAGGACCAGGGTTAAGCTGAAAGAAGTCAGGAAGAAACGAAGGCTTATAGTGAGGAAGCTTAGCCAACAACTTACCGATAGGAAACGACACGATCTGGGCCACAATGAACCCAATACTCAACGAAGGATAACGAAGCGAGAAAAACTGGTTGACACCTGCAAACACAATCACGAAAAGCATTGTCAAAGTCCATGTTCTCCAGTGGTTGATCTTCACGTCAAGATCAATATCCAAACTCACAGCAGCACGAACTTCAGGGTACGGAGAATTAGCCAACTCCTCCACATTTCCCGAGTGGTACAGCCAGTCATCGTGTTCAAGGTCTTTTTCCACCTTTTCCACATCCAAAGAGGTCACAGTGTGGACAACCTCAGGCGAGGTCTTCTCTATAGAAGGAGCATTTTCTGACAGCACTGAGTCGTCTGAGACTGGATCTCTAGCCATGGTGAAAATATGCAAGGAAGAAAAATAAATCAAAAACCATCAAGCCGGCACCCGCCCATATATATCCCAAAACTGAAAAACGCCCCGATTGCATAATCTAATTACCAATGACAATATTGCCAATTTGCCCTACATCCATAGACGCACAGAAGCGTATATCGCTAAGAGACGTGCAGGATGACACAGATAAGCGTTTGGCAAGAACCAGCAAGGGTATGTCCGGGAGGAGTAGGAAAACACCTCGTACGTGTTAGAATGGGTGGCCAGAGCTCGGCGTTTTGAGGGGAGCCGGAGCGGAGTGCTTAATATGGGGAAGCGGTTTGGAGAAGTATGAGAAGTGTGGATTGATTGACAGATTATTAGTGTGCGCGCTCGTAACCGGGCAGAATGGGCCAAGGCTTGATAAGAAAAACCCCCAAGCAAACCAGTAATGTGTCAAACCTTGTTTATAGAGGTGATTGAGTTAGGGACCTTTGGCTAGTATACTTTTGTTGATTTCGTTGTCGTTGGCCCACTGCACGTGGAATTGCACCCTGTACCGCGGCATCTGGCACGGCTGCAAAATTACATGCCACAGTGTAGAAAGTGTGGCTACATGTAATCGGCGATGGACACAAAAACGTCATAAGCGGTATTTTTATGTCTATCGAAGGTTGACATGTAGATGAGAGGCATTTTTGTGGCCTTATGATCAGGAGATGAGGTGTGTTTTCTGGGCAACAGGTAGTACTGGTCCGGTACGGCTACGGCTACGGCTTCGGATTAATTAGTGTAGTTGTGGTTTTTGGATGTGGATTGATGAGATGAGGTGTAGAAAGGCAATATAGAAGTTTTGGAGGATGGTAAGACTCGGCTGGACCGTATGACGTATGGTGCTTGAGGGGAACCTAAGGCAATTACCCAGTGATCATTCTTTTTAACCGGTCCGGTAGCAACGAAGGAATGCCAGAAGACTAGTAGCTCTGCAGATCCGAATCAGGATATGTTATCCCGGGACTGAGTTTGGAGAATCGGGGTTTGGAGAATTGGGTCTGGGTTTTATGGGAAACGGTGACGTGGGTGACCTCTTATATGGGATGTGAAGGACTGGGGACGAGACAGCGGTAGATATAGGTAGATTTAAAACGGATGTTTGGAATTTGAGGGGGAGTTGATAAAGGGAAGTGTGTGACTCTTGAATTGGGCTATAAAGATGGAGGGTGTTGATATATCTAAAGCTTTCTGTTTGGCTGGAAACTATTTCAAGGAAGAGAATATCCTTAGCATTCTCTCTAGAATACGTTAAGAGTGGAAAAACAGCTCTGGCAACTTGCTATGTTAATTCAAAGGACTAGTTTAGCTATAACCAGCATTGGATAATAGCCAAAGGGTTTGGTTTCTGAACGAGAAACCCAATAAAAGTCCAAGTCAAGAACAATTCCTAACAAGATCATCAAATTCTACAGGATTAGGTCAATTTCAATTGTCAAGAAGCATCCTTAAATGTACGAGTTACGGCTTTACCCTCTAAATGAACCCTTCAATGCCCACCTACTAAACCACTAAAGTCTCCAATGACAACAATTCCAGGCCCTTTATTTTGTTACCCCCAAAACAACATTTAATTACCAAGGGTCCATTTGCTTTTCCTCCACTCCATTGACAGAACCATACAAGTCCCACTCTTACTTCCAATCCACCCAGAAACACCACATCAAGAGCACACTCAACTGCAATATAAAACCACCAAATTTCTTACCCTCCCCACTCCCAGTGGCCTTCAACTCCCCCAAATTCTTGATCCCGCTTCGTCCCCTTCTTTTCCTGCCCCCTTTCACCCAAGCCTCTCTTTTAGTACATTCACTAAATGGCTGCGAAAAGTACACTAATATAGCGAAACCTGGAACATTTACGAACGCCAAGGGCTCCTAAAGTGGTCAAAAGGCACAGAAGAAAGAGGAGAATAATGGTCAAAATCTATATTTTCATTTCCAAGGGAACCAAGAAGACCACTAAAAAATCAAAAAATCAAAAATCCACCCAAATCCATCAACCGTTCCTCCTTCTTATACTTCCCGTAAAAACCTCCATGAGCCCCACGCACCTTTCCCAATTTTCACCTAATCTGGAGGAACCAAGTGCCAGTCAAACCAACTAAAAAAGACGAAAAACCCCCTTAAAAATCACCTAACTTCCCCCAAAACCCTCCATTCCCTCAAAACCTCCATTTTCCTCCAATTTGACTAATCAAGCTTAGCGCTTTCCGTCGTCGTCATGTCTTTTTGCTTCGCCTCCTGCCTCACACTTTTTTTTTTGCACCCAAACCCTGACCGAGCAAGGCACTCCGGGCCAGGTAAGTGCCCTCCCTTCAAAATCAGAGAATTTACACCAAAAAGGACGAAGAAACAGTGTAATCCAAATTTTCATCAATTACCACTAAAAATCCTCTTTTTTTGGGTTAAAAGGGGAGTTTGGATGGGGTTGAATTTAGATACACCTGCATATAAGTCCCCTCCCCCAGCTAGTTTTCTTGGAATCAAACATCGACTATTTCCATCTATACATCTTCTTCTTCCCAATGTCTTACAATCCTCCAACTGGCCCTCCTCCAAACTGGGCTGATAGTAAGCTGGCGCCAGTTACAGACGAAGCTGCTGGCCAATCTGGTCAGGGCGCCTCCAGAGGTTACGCTGCTCAGAGCCAGCCGGAATACCAACAAAGAGGATACGGTGGTGGTCCTCCACAACAACAACAGGGATATGGAGGCTACCCTCAACAAGGTTATGGTGGCGGCGGCTACCAGCAGCAGCCAGGCTACGGCGGTCCTCCACCTCAGGGCTACGGATATCCACAGGGCGGTGGATACTACCAGCAACAGCCGCAACAGCAGTATTACGTTCAGCAGAAACGTTCGAGCGGCAATGAGAGTTGTTTGATGGCCTGTTTGGCCGGTTTGTGTATCTGCTGTACCTTAGATATGCTTTTCTAAGCGGTAGACATGATGTGACACGAATCTTTTATTTCCCTGTTTTATTTTCCTTCATTGCATCGGATAGACTGTCACAGCTTGATGGCCAGCAGTGCTGGAAGAAGGCGACTGTATACTTATGAATGGAACTTTTAATGCACTGTAGCTGGACCGGTGGTACGCTTGGTGCTGTCAGGAAATGTCATGTCTGAGGCATTCCTAGGTATACTTGGATGTACCTGTTCGTATAAAAGAATATAGGACGTTTGATTTAAAGAGGCAGTAATTTGATGATTATGGAAACTGTAGAGATATCTGTGAGTAAGCGGCTTCTCTTATCTGAGACATGGCTTAACATGGAAGTATATGAGGAATGTAACCCAATGAAGGTTCAAATGTATTCTATGGGATCCTTCAACCGCAACGATGAAACAATACTAAAATAAAAAAAGGGCGAATGATAAGGCAGTTAGCGTTTTCTCAGACTCACTTTTAAGGGTTAAAAACATATAACCATTTCTAGGGACTACCGGTTACATAGTATTAGAGCACGACAATGGTCGAAGAAAAAGTCCCAGAAGTCCACGAGAAGGTGGAGACCGAAGCTTGGGGAAATACTCTATCGTGTTCAATGCAGCAGCCCATGCTTTAATGATATGGCAGAGGTGAATGAGAAGATAACGATTTCCACGACGACGGTCAATTGGTGCTTGTCATACCCTAATAAACTTCTGTGAGTGAAAACACTAGCCCCACCTGGCAGATCCTTGCCATTCTCAATTCCAGTATTTGCATACTCTTCACTCTTTTCATCCCCACCAAATATCGTTAACCTCGCCTTTGATTTCCGATCCAATATGACCAAGCACACCAGCGATGTCAGCGTGAGGTCTCGTATACGCAAATAATACATCCAGCTTCAACAAAACCCTTACGTTCAGAATCGATGCCAGTACACATACTTGCATACACTTGGCATATTCTGTATCACTCACCAGGAAGTTACCATTAAGATACGGTACAATAATCTCAAAATGTTCCAGTAGTCCATTCACTTGCTTATTGATATAATTATTAGTCTTTGTACCGCAAGTCGAGCCGCAATCTTCGATGATTTTCCGCTCCAGACCAATTATATTATCACTTAGCAAGATGTTACTGCCCTGATTATGTATGTCTGATGCTGAGACATACACAACACCACTAATCAACATAAGTATCAACACTTTGTAAAACTGTACCACGTTGACCATATTGAAAGCGAGTATAGCTTGTCTGGGCAATATATGTATATTTTACTGAGCCTGACCTTTTTCACTTTGGGGATGAATACCCCTTCTTATAGTGGCCTGTCAGTCTTTGGTGTCCGTACCTCGCATTTAGGCTGGTCGGCTCACCATTCGGTACTTAAGCTTGGCGTTAGAGCTTGGCGTAATCTGCTCTATAGTCTTGCATCATGGGGATTACTCTTTGTGACGTTCGCTCTCCAGAAACAATATCCAGAGGTAGAACACGGTACCCTCCCTCTGTATCCAGCACTTAGCTACCTACTGGAGACGTAATCTTATGGGTTATTCTTCTGGTTAATCATCCATTGTCGAGGTGCATAGCTAACTCTACCATCAGCATTGGAAGAAGAAAGTTATTTAATGCCCTTATTTGTCGTCGCCGGTCCCAGAAGGTCTTGTGGACCACTTTGATGAACTGATTTATTTTTTTAAATTGTCGTTTTTCTTATGATCCGCTCGGATTTTGGCAAATTAAGCACCAGAATCATATAGAGCTCATAGGTTTCAAGAGCTTGAAAAAGTTAATGTTTGCTTAATCAAGCATTAAGCTAAAACACAGTTTTAGACAATTCAAAAAACTTATCCATCAACAAACCAGCCGGTCTAGTATAGTGGTTAGTACAGTTCGTTGTGGCCGAACAAACCCAGGTTCGATTCCTGGGGCCGGCAATTTTTTTTCCATTCTCTACGTTCTATCTCGCTTTTATTCGTACCGTCGTTTATTAAACCTAGAGTTCGTATGTCTGGACTTCGTTATTCGTGTTGGTGATCTGGCACGAGTCCACCGTGATCAACACCACGCTATTGCACTCGTTCAGAATGAACGTCTCGGCCTGGGCCTCGTCCACCAAGCCATTGTTCAAATGCAACGATTTATAAAACTTATAATCGTTCTCCTCTGTCTTTGGGTCAATTATCCTTGCCCTACCGTTAAGCATCACCGAAACACTCCGAATCTCAGCCTTATTCATATTCGCCAAAAGCTCATACAACGAGTTTCTTCTCCCCGTAGGCGCCACCTCCTCGTCTCCCGCCACCCAGTCGTGAATCAAAAGCGATACATTCCCATTGGCCTCGATGTTTCTGTACTTTGTCGTTTCTCTGGGCGTGCTGATGATAATATATGGCTTATCGTTCTTGGAATAGTACGTATAGTTCATCAACGAAGCATGTGGCACGTTGTCTTTGGAAGTCGCCAAGTGCACATATCTTTTCGACTTGAGCAATTTGGTAACGTGCTCAGGCAATTGGAGGCCTTGTTCTTGCTCTGTGCTGCTCATGATGGAAGAAGTGGTGGGTAGTAGAGGAAGTGAGAATGGCTTATGGGTATCACGCAGGTCATGAGTATGTGGAGTAGCACTGCTTACTCAGCTGGAGATGGAGGGTGGGTCCTTTGGGGGAAGATTAGGGTGGTTATAAGAAGGGAAGGAGAAGGTGATTGGTGGTTTTAAAACAGGGAAAATTTGGGATTCGGTGGGGTTTGTGTGGTTTGGGTGGTATGCTGGTTGGTGCTGGTGGCTGCGAAAAGCCATGGAAGTGGTCTTGGACAAGATGGTGCTGAGGAGGAAGTAGTTCTGGAAAGTGGATTTTTATGGTCAATTGGGGTTAAGAGTGGGATTTGGGTTTATTGGTTCACTTTTTGATTTCTGGGGTTGAGTTTACATAAGATAACTATCTGTCTTGTTGTTGCTAGAGTGAGTGTAGCTACAGTGATGTGGAGTTGATTGTGCTTAGCCAAATCACCCAAAATGCCGTGGATTGTGATATTTTCATGTTTCTATTGCCTTGAATTGGACTTCTAAAGGCTCAAGAATTCACAAAATATTCCCTGTGATCCAAAGCACGGGTACATGGAGCCAGCAAGACCCCACAACCTCCCATATCCAATTCCAATGATCCCCAAAATACAAGTAATGCTATTCATCACTTTCCTTAAAACCACTCCAACCTCCTTCTTCCACTAAATAACACCCCTGACTCACTTCAACAACCTCTCTGCTCACTCCACTAAATGGCTGCAAAACACCCAGCAAACCACCAGCCAAACACCCAATTCTCAAAATATCTCTCCCAAACCTTCCAGACCCATTTCATATTTTCCTTTAACCATAAAACGACCAATTTCTCTTCCCTCCCCTCCTTCGATCTCCCGATCCACCAACCACCGTAACCCACTACTCCATCGCCATAACCCATATCAGGCGCGCATTACATCAACCAAACAATCAACCCATAACTACTACAAACCCTAGACCAATGTCGTACCTGGACTTTGACGGCGAGTTTGCCTCGTTGAAAAAGAGTCTGCTTGAGGAGATGAAAAACGATAAGTTTGTACAAAGACTTCAAAGCGAACGTAAGCCTCGTTCACACACAGTGGTTGAAGAAGGTCCAAGTTCAGAGGAAGAGTCTTTTTATGATACAACGGAGACAAAGACGAGTGACGAGCATTACACGACAAAACCAAGAAGGAAGCTTCAACTAAGGGGTATTGACGAGCTTAAGAAGATGAAGGATGTGGAACTGAAGCCTCGAAAGAGGGTACATCTTACAGGCATCAACGAACTACGCCAGAACGTGGAGAAGAAACCTAGAAAGCGTGTCAAGCTCATTCCTTTGCCTAAAGGGTATTCTATCGAGCCCGAGGCTAAGGATGGGGAGGTCAAGGAGACGGTGGTGGAAGAGACTGTGGAGAATGACGACCAAACACGGTCTGAAAGTCATGAAGGGGCTGGAAAGGAGGGATCTAATGAGAAATCGGGGAAGAACGAAGAAGATGAGCTTTCAAATAATTATCTTAACCTTAATGGTGACGAAAACACGGGAGATGCTGACCAGAATGGAGAATCTCATGTTCTTAAAGACGAGGATGATGGAGAAGTCTCTTCAGCTTCAGATACTGACGATACGCTGCTTATGAAGAGAATAATAATGGGCCAATTAACTGGCCGTGATTTTCCCTCGCTTGACGAGTCGCTGTTGGCTCCAACGTATAAAGAGATTTTCAAGGTTCTACAGCATACGGTCCATGACCGTGAAAGTGCTTCGGCTCTTCTCATTGGGCCTCGAGGAACAGGCAAGACGTTGGCAGTGAATAGAGCTCTTGATGATCTTCATAAGAGATACGGGAAACTGTTCATTACAATCAAACTCAATGCGTTTCTACATACCGACGATAACCTTGCATTCAGAGAAATTGCTCGCCAGTTGGATGTCAATTCCAACAGTGGATCCAGTGAAGATAATACCAGGACTTTTGAACAGCGTGCTATAAGTGATACTGTGGCCAATGTGCTTATGGCCTTGGACTCCAATGCTTCTCCAGACCGGTCCGAAGAAGATCTCAAAAGCTCTACCCCAGTGGTTTTCATTATAGACGAGATCGAAGAGTTTACCGCATCCAAGAAGCAAACCCTTCTTTATAACCTTTTTGAGCTTTCCCAGAGCTCGAAGATCCCCATTGGCGTGATTGGTGTGGGTACCAAGTTCACTACAAGAGAGCTCCTTGAAAAGAGAGTCCGCAGCAGATTCAGTCAGCGTATTATCACAACACATTTACCCTCAAGCATAGAACAATTCTGGGAAAATGCCAAGCTATCGCTTCAAGTGCATGTGTCGGCTATGGATAAGTTCAAGGATAAACAGTACCCACTTCAATGGAATCACAAGATTAACGATGCTTTCTCCCAGCCCACCAAACTCGCCAGAACTGTCTACAAGATATTTTTCTCCACGAAAAGCTACATGGACCTTAATAATTCCTTCATGATCCCCGTTTCACTCATTGGTCCATCTCAGCCGTTCCTCGATGATAGCAAGATGGAAAAGTACCTCCTGATGCAGTCCGAAGGGACCGTCCAGTCAATCATCCGATCGTTATCAAGCGCAGAGCTATTACTCACCATAGCTGCAGCTCGGTGGATTGCCAAATCAGAAGTGCCGCAGGTGAATTTCAATTTGGCATACAAAGAGTACACAGACATGATGAAACAGTTCAACGCCGAAGCGACCACACTATCGTCAACCACCTCGCATATCGACAACACAGTCCTTGCAGGAATCAAGGTCAACCAGAAGATATTATCGTCGAAAATTATGAGAGATTGTTGGGTCAATCTTTACAAGTATGGGCTTCTTTTCGATGCAGTCACCAGTAACAACGAGGTCAATGCTAACAATAATCTCAACATGTATAAGCTGGTTGTTTTGGACGTTTCCAAGACGTTGCAGGTGGACATTACATTGGAAGAATTAGGAAAACTAATTCCCGACAGCGACTTCTATAAAAAACTTACCAAGCTATGATGGGATTTTCCATAATTTGCCTCATCTGGCCAAGCGCGGCATACGAATTGTCTCACTTATGCGTTGCGCCGCACGCTATACTTTCAAAGAAGAAAGGACATGCATATTTACGAAAAAAATATTCAAGTTCTGAAACACCTATAAGCACTCTGAAACAATCTCAGCTGGCTCACGTCAAAATGTGAAAAGTGCCTGGAATTCTATATAATCTTCAGGGGAACTTGTCGCTTGACAGATATTTGTTCTTTTTTTTCTGTCTTTTCACAGTATGACCGAATCTATATCTTCAGGGAAGTCGTTGGATCAGTTTCCTACTGAGGTGAAAAAAATCAACCTTTCCTCGGGTAAGTCGTTCTCCAATGTCTTCGAAGCTCTCATTATCAGCTTAAACCTTGAAGAGCGTCCGTCGAAGACCAAAACGTCACTTTTTGGCAAACAACCACCGCCTTTTTCATTCAGTGTGGAAGATGCAATCAACAAAATGTGCAACCTTATGCTAGACATCGAGCTCAAAATGGCAAAAACGACTATCGCTTATAATATGAAACCAACGCTTGCCTTTGACCTACTTAAGAAGTTCTTCGATGCCAAGTTGCTTCACTATCCAAGCTCTAGAACAGAAACGAAGCTTAGTCGACATGGTACTATTCAAATCACTCCTAAAGGTGCTGCATTGGTGTACGCTTTCTGCCAGAACATTGGAATGCCAACGAAAAGCATGCCCCCAGTTGTTAAGTCCAACTTCAACACCATGGAGCTTTTCATGCTTGAAAGGTCTGCTACCAACCAGAGCATCTTGTACTCGGACTACTTGGTTACCATTCTTTTCACTTGGTTGATGGGCCCTGCTCCTAATATCTGGTCTTCAGAGAAGCTGCCAGACTTGATTTCATGCATTTTCGACGATACTACTTCAGATGATACATTTGACTTTTCACGTCCGTCGAACGGGACTATCTTGTCTCCAGTTAACGATAAAGCCATGGCATTCCGCTCAGCAAGTCCATTTCACCACAAGTACTTCACGAACCCAGAGTCAGATTCACATGTACAATACTATGTATCGAACACTGGCGTAAGGCTATTCAAGCTGAAGACGTTTCTCAATGACGATAAAAAGGTCATTGTGGACTACTGTGTTTCTGGAAAAGCTATAGTACAATGGCTCTGTGACTGTACTAGTGTCATGACAAGTACTGAAGCTGTTGGTCTTGCCAATCTTTTCATCGAGGCGAATTTACTACGCCAGATCACCGTTGACGAGGAAAGGTTCCTGAATGATAGAAACGCCTTTTATGTTCTTACAGAACATGGCAGTGAAGTGTGTCGCTGGGGCCGTAGAAGCAGATCTGCCGCCGAGAACCTGCTTTCAGACGTTTCTACGAAGCTCCAGCACGATGCAGATTTTAAAGGTCCTTCTTTGAAGACCATCATTAGAGATCCAGGTTTGCGTCTTCTATTCAAGATGCACATGCAAAGAGAGAGATGTGTGGAGAATGTCAACGCCTACGTTCAAATCTCTGATTTTAATAACCTGGAACAACAAGTTTTAAAGCTTTACCAGCATTACCAGACGCTTGAAGAAGGCCCTAGAAAGAAGAAGGTCCGCAATGCTATAGAGTTCCACACGAACAAGTTCTACTCCAGGGCCTTCCAACTATACTCAGCGTATATCAGTCCCGAGCTGCAGTTTGACTTAAACATCGATTATAAATTAAGACAAGACGCTCAGCGTCTTATGGCTTTAGAAGGTCCCATGCTGCCTTGTGTGGACCATATGATGACTCCAATGACCGACAAAGCATTCCTTACAGAGCATGATATAACTGAACTCGACAGTCCAATTGGATCTGACAAGACGACATATTTTCGTTATGAGAACAACGATTTGAAGAAAACGGTGGCCCTCGTTGAAGATATACATCGAGTGTTCCGTCAAATCGGGAAGTCAATCTTCAGACTTATGGAAATCGACTCGTACCCAAAGTTCATCAACAGTGCTGAGTACTTAAACACTACAACATGCAATGTGGAATAGCTACAAGCAAAAACACAAGATTAATACGGATATGAATGACTATAAATACAGAGAAAGAGAAAAAGAAGGCTTGCAAAGCAAGAGATGCTGTTCTGTCTGTGGAAACGTAGTTCAACCTCTAAGCAACAGGGTCCAAGGTGGTACCCTTCTTGATAGTGGCCCAACCAATCAAACGCCAATGCTTTTCAATACGTCTGGACAAGGCGATCTTCTCGTTCACCTCGGTACATGCTGGGGAGGTCAACTGCAAACGGGCCATATCAGCCTTGACGGCAACCACACGGGCACCAGTAGCAGTCGAACCAATGTTGACCATCAACACTTCACCAGATTCCAAGTTACGAACCTTGGCACCCTGTTTCTGGCCTTCAGTCTTGACACCCAACAATCTTCTCAACAAGAAGTAGTTGATCTCAATGTCTGTGTAGATAGATGGCAAGTGGCCCTTGGCTCCGACAACCTGACCAACCAATCTGTCAGCTCTACACAAGGTAGGGTCGACCTTGGTACCCACACCGATCAAACCACCGGGCACGGCAAACTTCAAGTCGTTGTGCTCGGCGAAAAGAGAAACAATGTTGGAGAAGATAGGCTTGCACTGGATCTTACCATTGTCGTCCTTGGTGACAATACCTGGTCTGATTTCGATTTCGTCACCAATCTTGAAAACACCGTTCAAGATAGAACCACCGGCAACACCTCCCTTCAAGTCCTCGATCTCGGCACCTGGCTTGTTGACATCGAAAGACCTAATGACGATCAAACGTGGCGAGGCCATGAAGTCTCTAGGAGGAACAGGGATGTAGTCGCAGATCAACTGGTTGACAGCGTCAATGTTGTACTTCAATTGGGCGGAAATTGGCACGATAGGAGCGCCATCGGCAATGGTACCTCTGATAAAACTCAAGATCGATTTCTGGTGCTCCAAAGCAGACTCTTCTCTCATCAAATCCACCTTGTTCTGCAAAATGATAACGTGGTTCAACTTCATGATTTCAATGGCAGCCAAATGCTCCGAAGTTTGTGGTTGTGGACAGCTTTCGTTACCAGCCACAAGCAAAAGGGCAGCGTCCATGACAGCAGCTCCCGACAACATAGTACTCATCAAAATATCGTGACCTGGACAGTCGACAAACGAAACATGACGAACCAAGTTGTAACGGCCTTCACAGCCTGGAATATCACACTTGGGGTGGATCTCTTTGTCGGACTTGAAAGAACGGTAGCACCCTGGAGCTGGACACTTGGGGTCGCTGCATCTATAGATCTTAGCGTTGGCGTAACCCAACTTGATGGTAATATTTCTCTCCAACTCGTCCTTGAAACGAACAGTCTGGACTCCAGAAATGGCTCTCACCACTGTAGACTTACCGTGGGCAACATGTCCAATGGTACCAATGTTAATGGTAGCCTGTCTGTTGATGATTTCAGCCGAGGTTGGAGTCAACGTGGAAACGTCGATATCGTCAGGCTGCTCAGGAAGTCCACCACCTTCCTCAAACTCTTTTCTAGCAGCTTCGGCATCGTACTCGTCGTCCAAGCCAGCGAACGCCACCAGCTTCTTCTCCTTGACTGGGGCTTCCTGTTCCTGCTCTTCGCCGCCAGACTCCACGTCGTGCTCGTAGACCAAGTCGTCCTCGTTCTCTGTGGTGGTGGAGCCGATCACAATGTCGGGCGTGGCGTTTTCAATATCGTCGTAGGACATGGTGAATGTGTGGTTTTGACTGTAAGTCTTGGTGCTGATGGAGACCCTACCTTATTGAGAATTTTTCATGTGGTCTCGGCACGACCCGGGAAGAGGTGGAGAGATTTGGGCACCAGGTTGGAACTACATGGTAAGAGATGGGGAGGAGGGAAGAAGATGGTTGGGATGTTCTCTTCTGGTTAAATATCAGTCCATTTGGTTGGTTTATGTCTCTGGGACTCGGGGTGCTCAGCGTGGCTGGATATGGCTGGTGCTGATTTCGCAGCCAGTCGATACAGACTCCGAGAAGCGAGTAGGCATAGTCTATGTAGTTGAGGGCGGGTGGGTGGATGGCTTGAGCTGATTTGCATGGGTTGGGTCTTTGTAGGTTGGTGTGGTTTCCAGTAACTTGGGTTTCACGCCATACCTGGAGATTGAGAATGGTGGGTTGTACGATGACTCAGATGAAACGATTGCAACGAAGCAGCGACAGTTTGGGGAAATTGACGATCTACCCAGCCATTTCTGGTTAATCAACCAACTCAGTGTAATTCAGCATTGGGAGAGCCTTTGGCAAGTATCCAAGTAAAGAGCCTGTAGTACCCTAAGATGCCACAGTACCTCTTAAATTCCAGCACATTCATCTCTAAAGCTTTCCTCTTAGTATTCACTCATTCATGACCAATCTAACATTTCTTCATCATAAAGTCAGCCATGATGGGTCTGTGGTCACTCATATAGACACCGCCAAACTTCGAGTGTAGCATACCGTAACCACGCAACTGAAGCAGATACCCGTCCACGGATTCCGAACAGAGAGGCTCCAGAGCCTTGACAATGTGTTTTGGCGCAAAAATGTAATCAATACGTTTGGCATCCTTGAGGTAGTTTCCTGTGAATCCAGTCACCGAGTAGTCAGGATGGCCGTACCAATTATATGACGCTGTGATTGCGTGAACGTCCTGGTACACGTCGTTGGCTTCGCCGTAGCACTCTTCACTAGGCCTGGCATTGAAGTCACCACATAAGAATGAAGGCCATTCGTTCACTTGGGCCATCTTCTGGATAATAAGCTTAACAGACTCCACACGAGCGTCCTCGCCCTTGTGGTCGAAATGAGCATTGAAAATGTTGAAGTATGTGCCGCTCTCCTTATGCTTAAGAGTCACATATGTTGCACTTCTTGGGTACTTGGCGTCCCAGCCCACCAACGGCCTTCTTACGTTCTTCTCGTTGAGCCAGAACGTATCATCGTAAACCACCTCAAACTCATTCTCCTTGATCAAAAATGGAACATGCTCGCCCATTTCTTTCCCGTCAATACGGCCCTTTCCGTAAGCCTTCCACTGGCTACCAGGCTCCTCTATCAAATTGAGTCCATGCAAAATATCGTCCATCTGGAACCGCTGGGCTTCCTGAAGCGCCACAATCATGTTTGGAGCGTAGTGGGCCCGAATCGAAGAAACCACCATGGTTTTCCTTGTTTCCCACACGGGTTCACCCAACTCAAGCTTATGAACACCACCATTCTTGATGTTATGTGAATAAATACGAAACGGCAATTTCTCCGTAAACTTTGAATCCTTCAATGCTGGAATCTTCGGGTACTCCTTAGCAGGCATTTCAGGAAACGTCGTTGGGTCTGGGTACATGGCTGAAGAAAAGGAAGGTTCCGCTTGCACGGCTGTGTCGTGGTCAATATCGTCAAACTTGTTCTGAGGCTTCGACTCAAACTCGTCCATCTCCAGCGTGTCGCCCAAAAAGTCATTCACGTCAGTCTGCTCGATCTCCTCGGGCCGTGGGTTCAGAAACCCAGGCACATTCTCTGTATACGCTTTCACACTGGTTATAAGGTCGTTGGTGATCTGGTTGTTGCCTCTATGCGAGAACAAAAGCAGTCCAAGCACAAGAACGGCAGCCACGGCCACCACGAGTCGTGCTCTTTTGACAACAATCGTGCCCATAGTACTTAGTAAGGAAGTTGGATGTTGGAGATGTTGAAATATGGATGAAGATGTACCTTAGTGCGAGAGGTCCATGTAGGAACCGATCGATGGAAGAGATAGTAAGGAGGTTGTGTTCTGGGAAGGCGGGGAGAAAAGGAAAATAGTATATAAATAGGTGGTTTTCCCTGTTAAATTTGGTTTTGGTACTTTTTTTAAACTGCTTTTTATCGTGTTCTGGTGGTGATTGGTGGTGTTTGGTGGGGCCTAGTGGGACTTCTACAGGTGGCTGCAAACCGCGCCGAGACTATGAGTATGGTGGTGAACCAATCAGGGCGTCTGACGGTGCTGTGGAGGGTGAAATATGATGGTTTGGTGGTGGGTTTTGGACTGGGAGGGATTTGAATTTGTTGACATTTGGGGAGATTGGGGTGTGTTACGAGAATAGGTGGTTGGGTAAGTATGGAGCCAGTCGCGGAGCGTGAACGGTTTGTGGAAGAGGAGGTCTGTGGTAGAGAGTTGGAAGTCGGTGGAAGTGAAGTTATTGATTTGAAGGCAGTTTTGGATAGCTTGGTTTTTTTTTTTTTTTTTTTGGTTTCGGCAAGGGGGAAGTTGTGTACTAGTAGTTGAGGGTGAGGGAGTGGTAGTGATAAGCCGTGAATGAAGCGAGGCTGTGGATGTATAAGGGCAGTGTTGTCCTCTAGGGAGTCGTTTTACAATGGATTTGATTTTGGCTTTTGGAAGAGATTTGAAGTGGTAATTTGGTTGGGTTTGATGGTACTAACTGGAGTGGTGTACTAATAAACTACAGGTCTTGAAGCTACCCATACTCAATAACTGTGTTTTATGAGAAGCGTTTGAGTTTGTTTCTTCAAGTCCTGTCCTCTTATTATTTGCCTTTTTTTTACTAATTTAAAACATCCCTACTGCCCTTTGCTGGTAACATGAGCCTTTTCGATCACAACTCATAGAACCTAAGGCTCTTCCCTTACCTGAACTTACTCAGGCAAGTCTGCAAGCAAAATCTTCCTTAGAAGACAATCCCATTTAGCATTGCCTTCTTTACAATCGTATACGAAGATCTGTTTTATTCTTTCCTGATTTGGATAATCACTGAGCCGTATACGTCCATAATATTCATACACCCATCAGCCATTCCTATGAAAAAAAATTAAAAATACTCAAATCATGAAAATACATTGATATCAAATAATAACAAGAGTTTCTACAAAATGCCGCCTATCAAATCCCTCCAAGTCTGGCTCCAAAGTGGCATACTTCTAGTACACCAAAAGGCAGTAAAGATACAGCAGTTTGAGTCATTTTTTAGAAGGCAGCTCTCTTTCTTCTCTTAACCAAATACCCTTCATCGTTCAACGACCGTCATTTAGATGACAAAAAAAAAAAAAAAAAAAAAAAAGAGGTACTGTAAGTGATATGAGTAGTACTAGTACTATCGGTAGCCTTACTACAGTAGTGGTAAAGAATGGCTGCGAAAAACCATAACATAGTATATCCACCAGACCATGCCATTCACACAATAAACATCCCTAAAACCCTTTTTTTCTCAAATTCAAATTCTTCTTATACCTAAACCCCATCTTCACTAATTCCCTATTTGCCAACTTCCACCCACTCACTACCTCTTCCCACTTCTTCCCATCTCACACTACCTACCGTGTATCGCGCGTCGCGTTTGTTGATGTGAAGAATCTCCATACTACCACCTTTAGTCCACTAAACATATCCACACAAATAGACCTTTGAAAACCATGGAGTTTGATATCCAGGGCTCTATGTTGTTCAGGCCGCAGGCCGAGGAGCCAATCAACATCGAGGATTCGCTTCTCTTTGGACTGTCTCAGGTTCAGCCAGAATCACAGATCTTCGAGGATAGATCAGATAAGGGGTTCAAGAAGGCAAAGTTGACGAATGGCAGACAGATATTGCTAAAGAAGAGAATGCCTAAGCACGTGGCGGTGGACTATTCAGATAGCTTTCTTGATATGGATAAGCTCCATGCACAGGTAGAGAAGAGGAAGAAGGTCAGGGAAGCTACGGATGAAGTTAGAAGAACTAGAGTTAAGGAATCTGCTGTTCTGAAATCGCCACAAACTTTCGCCGCAAACGGCGTCTGGACTGAAAAGTACCGGCCCTCAACCTACTTCCAGCTATGTCCAGCAGGTAACGAGCGCCAGTACCGTACTGTCATGCATTGGCTTCGAGACAAGCAGAGGGAAAAGAAGATTTTGCTTGTTCATGGGCCTGCGGGCGTGGGTAAGACGTCAGCAGCTCATTGTCTTGCAAGCCAGGCTGGTTTTGGCACCTATGAAGTGAACGCTGCCAATGCATTGGACGATAGCGGTTCTTCGTCAGCTTCAGCATACGGCCGCCAGCTTTCTACACTTCGTCTTCGTATGAAAAATGCCCTTTTTACAAACGACGTGATGTCGCCTGGGAAACCAACTTGTCTTATCGTTGATGAAATCGATTGTGCTGCCAATGCCAACGACTTGGTTAGGGTGCTTACGGGGCTTATTCAGTCCAAGAAACAGCCTGTAACGAGGCCTATTATTTGCATTGCTAACGATGCCTTTTCTGGAAAGGCTATGGAAAAACTACGTCCCTTTTGTGAACTCGTGGCGTTTAGAAGACCAGTAGCTTCTTCTGGTCCTGGAAAGAGCCAGAGAGTGAACCTCAACGCTCAAAAGGCAGTTAAGCAGCACCTCATGGAAATTTCCGAAAAGGAAGGTCTCGGGATGGATAGAAGAGAGATAACGGATGTGTTTGAGACCTGTGAAGGTGATATGCGTGCTTGTATTAACCAGATGCAATTTTCTGGACGTAAACTCGATAAAGCTCTCTTTGTTGGTGCTTCTACAGTTTACGCATCTAAAGATAAGAATGTGTCCTGGTTTACACTCGTGGATAGACTTTTTGCCAGAAACCTGAAGCTCTCCAAGAACGAAGACGCTTTGGATGTATTTGACATGTTATTATCTGGTGAAGGTAACGCTATGGGCTCTCTAGATAAGGTCGTACGTGGATGCTTTAATCGTTACTTGGAGGCTACTCATTTGCAAGATGATTCGGTTCTACGTCCCGCTGATATTTCCGACTGGCTCTTCTACTATGATCATTTCAATTACCACTCAGATCCAGCTGGCTACTCTACTTTGGCTGCACTTAAATTCTGGTCGTTGTTTAGTGAAATCGATCCTCCCAGAAACCAGGAATGCGTTATCGTGCCAAACGCCAAAAACTTGGACTTTGAAGCGATGGAGGCTGGTAAACAAAACAGTGCCGTGTTGGAGACATTCAGCGCCAATTTACCTATCAGCATGAAGCTTTCATGTTCGTCCAGTAAGGGGTTCTTTGCATGTCATTTTCTTCCCATCTTGGAAACTATTCTTTCTCCTGATACCGGTTCTGCTCGTGTCAAGCTGACTATGCAAAAGCACGAGAAGAGAAACATTGAAAAGATAGCCTCGCTTATCAAGTTATTTGACATGAGACTAGAGACGACAAAGAATGTCGAAACAAGCTCCGTCACTTATGCATTTGGTCCAAACATCGACCCAATTACTATCTACGACACCGGCAGTGCTCCGGTAACACTGGAGCAAAAGAACAGAAGACTCAATTCCAGAAGAAAATGGTTGTTCCCGCTTATCAAAGCCGAGATGGATCTAGCCACGGCGAATAACTTGAAACGTGTGGCTACGCGAGCAGCGCCTGAAGTGAAGAAAGTAAAGCGTCCCAAGTTACTTAGTGCTCCAGATCACTTCAAGATACCTGATAAAGATGCCGACAAACAGGAAGAATTGACTGCTACGCAAGCAAAGGAACAACACGAGGCCACGAGAATCTGGGTCAAGTACCATGAAGGTTTCTCCAATGCAGTCAGGAAGAACATTGGCTGGATGGATCTTTGGGCTTAATGTCGCTGGATGTATGGAGACGTATGGCTGCGAAAAGACAAAACATCACGCCATTCCAGGTCCCGAGGACATGAAAATATGGAAAAAAAGATACCAGGGCAATTCAAACCCCTCCTTCTTTATGCCCCCAATTTCAAAACATTCAAGCAATCATTTCCCTCGAAGGCATCTTCTGGTTGGTCCCATACATTAACTTAGTATGGGTACTTGCGGCGCGCGTTATCAACATCAACCTTGAACAAGCCTAAACCAGTACCAACCACTGATTCCTCCTAGAAAAACCTCCAATCCATGACGTCCTATATTTCAGGCCTCCTTAGGAACCTCCTGTTGCCTGACGGGTCAGGTCTGGCCATCGCCAAGGAGAATACTGGCAATCCTTCCATAAACTACATAACCATGTATAGTCCAGAGCTCGTGCTGTCCAAGGCCGAAACGTTTGAAGAACTACATAAGATGATCATTTTCTTTGCAGATCCTTCCAACCAAATAGATAAACATACTCAATTGAGCCTAGTGGGGCTTATTCGAGGCTCCTGTTCGCTAGCGAACGAGTTCAACCCAAGAAGCGGTCCAACCACTGTAAGCGTGGAAGGAGGCGCCATAGTCGTTGTGGAGGTTGAAAAGGGGTTCTTTATTGCATGCTCTGTGTCGCTTCCTACGGATTCCTCGCTGCAGAGAAGATTGGTCGAGATCCAGATTGAAAGGCTTCTACAGAGGTTCCATGAGTACTTTAGACTTCTTCATTCGCTGACTGAAACTATATTTAGTGGGGAGGTGAAGGAGCAGCAAAGCCAGCTTCTTAAGGAATTTTATCTTGAACTTATTGACAATTATAACGAAGCTGTGCTTACTAGAAGACTTAAACGGGCTCTACTGTGGCCCAACTCGCTTTGCTACCAGGGTCTTTTCCTGTTTTTCCCAAACGGGTCCTATAAAAAGCTGTCTGTTCGTGTTCCCGACTCTCAAAGACCTGATTTGGAAGCGTTATGGGAGAAATCGGCTGTTAAACCTGCTGCACTGTTTGTTGCACATATAGATAAGACTATACCTAAACGTGAAGGGCTTATCTATAGAAATCCAGGAAAGATTGAGGACCTGGCGTTGCTTGAGGTCTACAGATTGCTTGAATTCTTTTCTTATCATGATGCCCTTGACGCTGAAAGGCTTGGCCTGAGAAGAGTATTCAAGAACTTCTTTTCTGGATCGCTGGAAGAGAGACTACCTCTGCCAGAAGTCCCCGAGCCAGAAGCACTCCCTGCTTCGCTTCAATTGACTCCAAGCACTGCGTTCCAGCTTCTTCATCCTGCCAGTCTCGCTCAAACGCTTGTGGTGCTGCCCCTTTCTACCACACTCGATGGAATCAAGTTCTTGGGTCTGACAGTGAACGAGCAGCTTCCTTCGGCGTCTTGGATTCCTTTTAGACGTGCTGCGGAGCCACAGCCCGAGCCTGAAGTTCCTGAAGTTCCTGAAACTGCTTCTTCTGTGACGTCTCTGTTGAGTAATAAGGGGACCTTCGTTATGGGGCCAGATAAGGAAGATAATATCTATTCTTTCTTGGTTTATTTGCCTGTGACAAGTAATGGATCTCGTACTGTTCAGGAGTTTCTGGTTGTCGTTTATGTTGAAGACAATATAATGCTTTCACTCGTGTTTGAATCCAGTGCTCAAGAGCTTACTGATCCTTCATTCTTTCACAGCCTTCGCTTCGATGTCTGTGAGCCTGCAATTGAAATTATCAACGACTGTATTGCCTTGACTGCTGGCGGTATGACGCTTAACAGCAGTATCTCGTCGTTGCCTAATCCAGTGAGCAACATCATATCCGGCAAGAATGGAGAAAATGCTGATATTGACAGTGATTTCTTTTTCATCATTTACGACACTAAAGAGAAGTCGTTCCAGTCGTCGCTTCCATGGCTTCCTCAGTCACAGCTTCCCCTGGATGTGGGAACCGAAGTGGCCCAAGTCTCTTACCACTACCAGAATGCCTTCTTTTACCTTCACGACCAGCTTGCAGACTATTTTGTTATGAGATCAGCAGGTAACATTCTCCATGATGGAGGAGTGAGAGAACACTTACACAAGTTCACCACAAACAAGAACAACGATTGGCTCATGTATTTCATGAGGCATCGTCATAAATCCATTGTCATTATACGCAACTACAACGCTAAACACAAGCAGAAGCCAAAAATCATACCCAAAGAAGTGCGTGAGGCCAGTGAGGCCAACCTGTGGACCTCGTCTGTATACGACTACGCCCACTTGGGATTCCTTGACAGTTTGGGCGACGATGTCAAGGTATGGCTTGGGAACCTTCGTTCCACGCCAGAGGAGTAACTCACTTTGTGTTTGCCTATGAAAGGAACAGATACACGTCCTTTGCTACTACGCTGTTAATAGTGAGCTTTGCAAGCCATTGAGGCACATTTCCGCCAGCATCCGAGCATGTGGTCATGTACCACTTGAGATCACTTGTTTTCGGGTCGAATGAAACGTACTCAACTGACGAGTATCTTGCAGGTACGAAGCCAGGCTCCTGGGGTTGGCCAGGGATCACAGATGGGTCAACAGCCAAGCTAATCACATACCCGGAATTGCCGTCCTGCGCTTTCAAGATATGGATCAAGTTGCAAAACTTCCGTTTCTTCAAAGGAAACTGCAAATGGTAATAAACCTCAGCCAAGTATGTAACGCTATCGAAGCCCGGAATGGAGTCACCGAGCTCGTACGGATGCACTTTAAAGTCAGCCAATTCGTGAATATAGCCGAGCTCATGCTGGGTGTGAGACTCGTCAAGCAGAGTCAACGAGCCAAGCACGTACTTATCCAAAAGATGGAAAATGCGTGTTCTCGTCTTTTCAGGGTACTGGCCAAACTCGGTAGTCCGAGCCACCCAATAGTCGTTGTTCAAGTCATGAGTATGGACATCTACAGCAACATCATCGCCCTGAGGCACTGAGTACTTATACGTGCCAGCCTTATGCCATTGAGGGATCTGACGCGCGATGTCCTGGGCTTGTTGGAAAAGCAGCAACGATGAAATATCGTCAATCTTCTTCAAAGGAATCGAGTTCATGGTGAAGCAACCAGAAGCTGGGGGTCCATTGCTTTAGTGGTATACGCGTCACGTGCAAAATGGTTGCAAAAATCAGCCATGACAATTAGTTGTTGCCGGAAGCGGAATCGTGGCGAGCCGGTTGCACGTGACCCAAAAAAAAAGAAGGAAAGTGGGCACCAAAAAAAATTATTGAGCCAACGCAGACAAACAAAAATTGCCTCATCAGTGGCGACCCCAGCCGGTGTACAATTGAGCCACTGAGAAATACTGAGAAATACCGAGAAGCAACCAGCACCAACCAGAAGGAGCCCATATAAACGTGACAAATCGCCCCCACAAAATCCACTAATCTTGTTAAACCCATAAAGAAAAATAATTTCCCACTTTATGTCATCAGCACTGCAATGAGAGACTCAAACTACAGGTCCATCACCAATAACAGGGCGGCGGTGACCATCACAACCAGTCTTTATGACCGGCGGGCGCTCGATGTCACTGCTGATAAGCCTTTAGTCAACTCGCTTAACCATTTGACGTACTTGGTGTCTTCGAGCGCCAAAGTAAGGGAAACGTTGTCGAATGATGGAGGTATCGAGCGGCTTGTTGAGATACTTCATGAATGTAATAACACGACGTTTAATGCTCACGATAACATCTTCAACTCGGAACGGAAGTTACTTACTGCCTGGAAATGGACGTTGGCGTTCCAGTGTCTTGTTTTGATTGGCACGGGCGGCACAGAGAAGATTCGTCTGAAGGTTGTGGCGGCAGGGATGCTCCCTATTATCGCTACTGTTTTGGATAACTATATGAGTCTTCACGAGGGAAGCCTTGTACCTGTTGTGGGAGCCACGCCAGGGCCTGCCGTGTGTCCGTACATGCACGCGGCGAACGCTACGCCCCAGAACCCTCCTTATCTTAATTATGAAGAAGATAGAAGGGCTGGTTTTGCTACGCGGCATCCCGATGCTTTTGCCAGAAGAGATGATCAGTATAGAGCGGCGGTGGCTGCCAGTAGAGCTGCACCACAAGAGGTGCTTGAAGAGTTACCGAGTCATGATAGTACGGGCCAGGCGGCCGCGGCTGCTTCTGCTTCTGCTGGTAACGCTGCCGCTGCGGCTAATGCTCTTCAGAATATGGAACTAGGGCTGGACCATCCGTTCGCTCATCACAATGCCAACCAAGCGCTAGCGTATGAGCCTCGCTTATCGCCAGCAGATGCAATGGCTAGAATGGGTGGTCCTTTGTTTAACAGCCTTCACATCAACAGCTTGACTTCGGAGGATTACGAGAATCTTACCGTCGATCAACTTCTTCGACTCGTTCGTTGCACGAACAACTCTTTTGGTAATCCTGCTGCCAGTGATGGCTCTTCTATGTTCGCTGGCGCTCAGAGAAGTTCTGTAAACAATGACATTCGTCGTCGTTTCCTCATTGTTACTATATTAAAGAAACTTCGTGAGGAAAAGGACCTGGAGTGTCCTGAACCTTCCTACAGAGAGCCTGTCGAATACGAGATGGATAGTAACCTTCACTTCCTTTCCGACCTTTATCTTCAAGACGAAAGAAGCACCCACATTACTAATATGATTCATGCCAAGAGCGCCCCAAGGAATTTCACCGAAACAGGCGTTGTTGTACCTCGCGATGATGATGTTGTTTGGTGCTTACAATTGCTAGCATACATTTCCAAGTACCCTTATTTGAAGGAAACATTGCAGAACACTCATACTGTCATTGACATGAGTCTCCGCGACAAGAAACGGAAATGTTTTGCTGGCGGCCGCATGAAGGCAAATTTACAGAGTAGTGGCAACTCCAGCAGCGGCAACAACAACAATTTGCCTGCCAATGCTCGTGAGGCACTTCTTGCTCGCAAGGGCAGGATAATGACTTCTCATGGCCACGATGGCAACGCAGAGACATTTATTGAGCGCTTTAACGCGTCGCCATCCAACTCGCCCCAGATGCTGAGTGATCTCAATATTCGAGATGAGAATTTCAATCTCAATGACGATGTTTTAGATCTTTACGGCAAACCAGAAGATGCCCTTGGTGAAGACGCCGAAGCTAATGACTCTGAGGAAGACAGTGATCACAGAAATAAGGACGAAGACGGAGACGTCAATGAGTACTTGCTGAGTTTCGAGGACAACGTCACCATGTGCAACCAAAACCTGTCCAGTTTATGTAAACTTTACGATCTGATTATCGATGCTGAGTCTATTATCAATGACTTGGATCGTGAGATCTCCCTTTACGAAGTGAGTGAGAAGGTCAACAGACACATCGAACTTGAGTGCCAATCATTGCGCGACACCATCATCAATAAGAGAGCTGAGGAAACTGAGTATCTTTCTAAGAAGTGGGACTACGACACTTATGCTCACTTTGATATTGATGATGATGGCGACAACTTACATGGCGATTACGATGAGTCTTTGATTGAACACAAGCGCGTCAACCTCTTTCCGATGGTTGAAAAGTTTACTTTTTTGGCTGGCACAGACATGTATTACTGGTCTGGTGTGATCATGAGGAATTCCTGTCGACGCAACGACCTCAAGGGAGGTGTAAGACAATGCGGTAACCTCGAGTGCGGGAAGTGGGAAAGCTACCCCCGTGAGTTTAGCAAGTGCAAGAAGTGCAAGCGCACAAAGTACTGCTCTCGAGAATGTCAAATGAGGGCATGGCATTGTCACAAAAATTGGTGTGTTCCAAGCGCCTCCTCCACTTCAACGTCGACCCAGGCTGCCGGCGGCCGTGCTAACGCCGAAGGCCGTAGTCAGGAGGAAGGCAACGCTGCCAACCACACCCACAGTCACAGTCACAGTCACAACCACGATCACGATCACGAGCATCACGACCACCATGACCACCACCACCATCATCATCACCATCACCATCACGCCCCTAACGAGGAAAGATCCGATGCTGACAGCAGTGCTCCAATTAATGTCACCCGCATTTCTGGTCCCGCAGAGACCGAAGGGATGACTCTGACCACTGAAGGCATTTAGCATATATCAGCATCATTTGCTGACGAACGGATAATGATTAATGTGAACACAACGGGCCGGGAGCATTTGTTAACGGCATTTGCATCGCCCACTGCACGCATAAAGCACGACCAATTTACTTCTCTTTACCACTATTTTTTAAATCTTTTTTATACTTGGGACAAAGGATTTCAGGAAAACTACCTACGCTGCTATCAAGTAGAAGGCTCGTAATTCATTCAAATCGTATTTCATTCGATACGGATGGGAAGTCCATGGACAATAGGCGCCGCTCCGTTCAAGTACTTGAGAACACATGTGTCTCTGCTTTCTGCCACTGCTCTTGCAATATTACTTCTTTCAGAGAGGTCTCCAATCAACCCCCATCTTTGAAGTGCTTGAGAGCTAAAAGCATCAATATCTTTATCAGTAATATCCCAAAGATTGGAAACCGTCATGGGCGAACCACACATAAGCCAAGTCATGATATTACTCGAAGGTTCTAACTTTCCGTGTTTCTGGAGGGCTCCAGATGAACATCCCATCAAAATGGCTGGAGGAAGTTTGACATTTTCGTTGAAGCTTTTCTTCACGAGTTGAGTCATTCTCATATACTGTTCGCCGCCGCCATGACCAGCGTAGAAGAAGAAATCAGACTTGAAAAGGCTCTGAATGAGTTCTTCTTCTTCTGGAGCGTGGCCTGCAATTCCTCTCGTTCTGGGCATTTCTGAAAAGATACTCTTAAACCTCAGTTCAGTCTTTTTGAGGTCTCCACCAGGATTTAACACGTAGTATCGATTGTGAACGGAAGGTAAATCTGCTGGAGGTTGCGAAAGCAAATCAAAAAGAATATTCACACTGGGTACTCGAGAAATCGATTTCGACCTGAGGAAACTGAGACTTTCCCATGGAAATTCGGAACAAGCATGACTGGGTACTAAGATAAGATGCTGGTGATCACTCTCTTTTCTCCTTGCCGGGTATATCTTCTTGAGATCAGTATTCATCTTCTTGACGTTGATATCCGCCCCTAACTCGGACGCAGTATATGCTATCAAGTCATTCAATGGGCCGGTTTCCAACAGCTCATTTCCGCAGGGAGTCAAGTTGAAGTACAATTCTGTGATGGTGTCACTAAAATTCAACATCTCGATACCCAAAGCTCTTCTCCATACCCTTTGGAGTTCAGACTTGAAGAAAAGGTATTCAGTAGACGAGCTAGTATCGAGTTCGAAGAGACTTTTAAATCCTCCAATCCACTTCTCTTCAACGTTATCTAAAAGTGCCTTCATTCTTGCGTCGAGAACGAATCTTTTCTTCCACCAGTTCCTGCGGTCCTCTTTTGTCTTGACTTTAGAGGTCGCTTCCAGACTCGTTGTTTGGTGACTTTCATTGATAATTTCTTGGATTTCAGCCATGACAGAAGCAAAAGACATTGGTCCTGATGAGTTTCGTGCCAGCGAAAGCCTCAAAAGGGCTGGTGATTTGGATCTTCTTCCTATTTTGCTCAACACCAAGTCGCCAGATTCTCCACAGACATCGATAGTGACAATTAGATAGTTCTCGGGTAATCTTGTGTTGATTTTTTCGAAGAACGCATCCCTTGCCTCGTTGTTGTCCATAACGTTCCTTTTCATGACAGGCAAAAGTTCATTAGCTCTTTGTTCATCCTGGTAGAGTGTTCCAACCGACTTGTAAGGAAAGTGTCTTGGAATATCCTGAAGATAGATAACATCCCGAAGAAGACTCTCAGCTCCTTCACTCTTAACAACTGTAATCTGAGAGAGCGTGAACACACATCTCGTAAGACAGTCTTGAAGATCTCTTGTCTCTTCAACGCCTAACTTCTGGGAGTAATTATTCTGAAGGAACTTGAGCAAAGTATCCTTACAGTCAAGAAGTTTGTTGATGAGATCAAACTCATTTTCATTATTCTCCTTGGTGAAGTTCAACCCTGAAGGAATGACAAGCGTATTAAAAGCATCAGCAAGACTTGTTCCAACCTCCTTGATTTCCTGCCTGGCTGTCACAAGGGCATTGACAAGGATGGCTCTCTGTGATGGCTCAGTCTTGTTCAAAATAAAAGCACTTTCTTCCTGTGAAAGTAAGTGTTGCAATACCTCAAAAGAAGAAGCTATCAGCTTCAAGGAGAAAGCATCGTGACAATCCACAGCCTCCAATGCCACCTGAAGCTTTCTTTTCGTGGAATCCATATAACCTTCATTACTGTTGAAAGCATTCTGAAGAAGCAAAGAGCGAAGTTTAGCGGCATCGAGTAAAGCCATGTCTTTCTCATTGGATTTCTCCAACCCGTAACGTAAATGGGAAGAGGCAGACTCTGAGTCCCCGACCAAAAAGTGCATATCGGCAATTTCAAAGTGGTGCATAGCATTGACCAAGCAATCGTCGAATGAATTGTTAAGTTTCTCCATTTCTGCAACCATATTCCACGCTTCTCCCAGTGCTCCTATCTGTCTGGATAGTTGGAAACCATGCTTGTAGCATTCCAACAAGAGCTTCACCGTTTCACTTTTATTTTGACATGGCTTTCTAAGCTTTCTTAAAATCGAGACTCCAATTTTGATGGCTAGCTTCACATTCTTGAATGCCAGCACAAAGCTACCCTCATCCAGTTCTAGCTTAGCGGTTAAGCGAAGGAAATTTGCGTTTAGAAGGAGGCACGAAATGCTTTGGTGCAACGATAACGAACCTTGGTTTTCGAGACTGAATTCTGGTTTGCGCAAAAGGAAGCTCGTTACCTCCTGGAACTTGGCGTCCGCTTTTTCCCTGTTGTTCGTGCTGATGAAGTAATCAAATTGGTAAAGTTTCCATTCGACCAAGGAAGTGCTCTCCACGGATATCTTTGCATCCGCCATCTGCTTCATCAACTTACCAGCAATACCCAATTCCGCAGGAATCTTGTCGAACTCTCCTAGTTCAAGCAAGCATCTTAATGTAAGGAAATGAAGAGGAAGCTGTGCTTCAGCAGAAAGCGAACTCATGTTGCTAAAACTTGAGATGAATGTCATAGTCGAGGAAAAGTACCCGCTATGATACAAAGAGTACATGGCCTCTGTGAAAACGTTCGCCTCGACCTCTGCAAACGTCGAACCTTGGAACCATCTTTCTAATCCATCAGAAATCTCAATGAGAAAAGGCTTGACTGGTCCTGTAGCGCTCTTAAGTCGGTTAGAAATAATTGCAGCTGTCAAAAGACTATCAAAAGGAGTAGCCGCTTTTGGAAGTATATCTGTCATGGCAGTCAATCTCTCGATGTGTAACTGACAGAATAATCTGATTGTACTATCATTGATATCAAGCGCATCAAAAAGATTGCCAATGGAGGCCTTGGTACCCACGTCTGGGGTCTCAATGGCTTGAAGAAGCAAATGGGATTTCCTTTGATCGTCCAATTGAACACCCTTCAATGAGATCTGTAAATCTTTAGAAGCAGTTCTAGCTGCATGAATAAGGGCGTTAAGAACACAAACTGGAGCAGCTGGTTCACTGATACCTTCAAAGATGTTAATCTTTGGGAAGTCGTGGTCTTTTAAGAAGTCGATTGCGATGTCTAAGGAGCCATTGAGTTGGCCCTTTTCACAAAGGCAAGTAAGTGTGAGCTCCCGAAGGCTCTGTTTTTTTGTGGTCTTGATAGATGTGGGCAAGAATTTCAGGGCTAAAAGAAGCGAAGCAGGGTTTTGGTTTTCGCTTCCATAACGAAAGCAGATCGAAATGAGATCATTCTTGTCTGTAAAGGTCTCTAAGGCATTAGGAATAATTATTAGTAAAAGGCGTTCAAACAACGACGATGATGCAGCTTCCTTGCTGAAACGTATAAGGAAATCGGTGTATGTTCTTTCGTGGATGATCTCCGTGTGTTGGAATGCTAAAAGAAAGTTTTCGAGGACGTCAATGCTCTTGGTTGTGGGTTTCAAGGACAGTAGTTTGGAAACTACCATAGTATAAATATCATGAGTTACCTGGAGGGTAGGTATGCGTATCTGGAGCAGATCAAGCACATATTGTAGACGCTCAGTAGGGGTTGTGTTTTCTTCTATGAGGATCGGTTCCTCCAAGGTCTCTCCAACTGCCGATCTCAAGTCAGCAACAAATAGTCCTGACGCACCATTGGGTATGCTAATCTCAAAGTCAGGGTCTGCTAGTCTGGAAAACTTCATTTGGAGAAGCAACCACGCGTTTCTGTACTCCTGGAGATCCTTATGGGACGATTTCAGCACCAAGAAGTCTATAATCTTAACGAACCCACCTGAAACCTTTCGAATACAAGCATAATGCTTCAATGCAATGCCTGATGGAGCTCTCTGAACCCACTGAGCTATACTTCCTGTCTGTTTCAAAGAACATGCAATTGTATCAAATATCCCCACAGAAAGACCGTTTTCGCCTGCCATTACCAGCAGCAAGTTCGAAGACACGTGCTGGATCAATGTCTGAAGTAGTAGCAAGTGAAAAGAGTTCACCACACTGGGATCAAGTGAATCATCAAAACACCCATTCAAGAGTCTACCCACTGGGTATTCACGAAACCGAAGAACGTGTGGATCCAGCAAAGCCGTATACATCACCAGAAGCTCCTTCAATGCTTCTGAAAGCCTTTTTTCATGAACCAATCCCACAATCTGTTTATGATGAGTTCTCACAGCTTCCTGGATCAGACAGTTACCAGTATATAGCAGCTGGGAAGACGAAACCACCTCCGTACCTCCAGTAACTCCCAGTCCTTTCCCAGTAGCTCTCCTTCGAGGCCTATTCGGCAGAATATCCGTCAATGCCGTCATGCCAAATATAACTAATGGGTATATACCAGCAAGTAGGCGTTTGTGTTGCAACCATATCGAGACAGGCAAGTTGTTTACGTACTGCATACACTGCCGTATCGCAGTCTTTTGATGGCTTCTCCCATTTTAGTGCACCAGAAACATTGGAGACGTCAGATTGGATGGGCATCGAAAGAGTCGCATTTATATGGTACCACATTGGAAGGGACTTTGAACTTTAGGTGACAAAATCAAGGCTGACGGAATTTTAACCTGTTTTTCCGTTGTTTAGTATTTTTCCCGTGCATTTTTCACTTTTACTTTTTTTCCAATCTCCATTTGCATCTATTTTCCAGCCGTGCTTGCCCAATTGTCAGTGCATCGCTAATTTTTCACCTTCTTTACAAATATCCAAAACATGTCTGTTGCAGTGGCCCAATTCAAGGCCGCCATGGCCAGAGTCAGCACCCAGGCGATGATCTTAACCGCAGGGTGCAAATCCCAAAAAGACGTTCTTCATGGTATGACGCTCTCGTCGGTGTGTTCGCTCTCTGTCCATCCCAAACCACTTCTTCAGTTCAACTTGCATTTACCCAGTTACACGTCCCAGGCGCTTCACGATAACCATGGCCAGTTGTGTTTGCACTTGATGCCTCCTACGAGCGAGTCAGTGTTTTTGAGCCGAACGTTTGCTGCTGGGATCAAGACGGATAGACGGCATTTCGACGTCAAGCCCGAAGACGGCGAAATCTTCCATGAAATGACCACACCATTTGCTCATGTTGGTCAGAAAAGCTACGATTTTCACGATACTGGCAAGTGTCTTCTCCCGGTTCTTAAGGAGCTGGAGAAGGCGTTTATATGTGAAAAGCATGAAGTGTTCAGTGTGGACAGCCATGAAATATGGGTTGTCAATGTCTTGGATATACTATCGCCAAATCGCCATTACGAGGAGAAGAAGCTGGGTGGGCTACTCTACTTCCAGCGTGGTTTCCATAAGGTTGGTCTGTGCTTACAAGAGCGCTAGGCACTTCTTTTCTAGACTTGCATTTCTCATTCCTAGCATATACACTGGCAGATGGAGCCTGTTGCCCTATCATTGCACGTACTCTCCCAATTCCTGGCTGAGCTCGTCGCCGGCAACCTGAACCTTGGGAAGAATCGTGTCGAACCGCTCCTGGACCCTCTTTTGTCTGCGCTGGTACCGTCCCAACACCGCTTTCTTCATGCCCTTTATTTCTGCATTGAGCCGGGAGATTTCTTCTTTCCGTGCTCTGACTTTGCTTTGCAACTTGCGGTGCTTTACTGCGACGTTGTTTCGCTCATTTTCAACGGCCCGGATGTCATTTTTGAGCTGCCCGGTGCTAAGTTCATGATCTTCAATAAACGCCTCCAAGCTCTGGATCTGTTCAAGCATAGCTTGCTCTTCCATCTTCAAGTCTCCATCGACAGTCTCGTTGCTTTCCTTCATGCTATCGAGCTGCTTGTGTAGGTCTTCTACTTCGTGCTCCAACTGGATCACCGAGTATTGTAAACCCTTGAGCTTGCCGCTTCCACGGCCTTCAATTGGTACTCGGCTGTTGGCTTTTTCAACCTTTGCTCTCATGCTGTCGACTTGTTTCTTGAGATCGGTGATCTTCTTGTTCTCATCCTTCCTCTGCTTCTTGTGGTTCCAACGAAGCTCATTGAGTTCATCTATGGTAGAAGTCAAACTGCCTTGAAGAGTTTCCAATGACGAAGTGTGGACAGATTGCTCAAGATAAGGCTTTTCTTTGGAATGATCCGTTGTGTTCACAGTAACAGACGCTAAGGCTTCATTATCTGCATCACAACGAATCTCATACTGACACAATGGTTGAAGACCTTCCACTTTGATGAAGGTTCGGTTACCAGTAGGCGTTTCCTGAGTAAACTTGGTCACAAAATCCCATGGAATGGAATTCACCTGGACGGTTATTGTATCCTTCAACAGCGACTCATCTGTTAACTCAAGGACAACTTCTCTATCGCCTAACTTAATAATACTCATAAGCTGAGGGTCGCTGTGCATTTCCAAGAATTCAGATCCACATTCTTTCCTTGAGGTGGACTGGCCATTGAACAAATTGGAGTTAATGAAGAACACTTTTATAGCAGCAACCCATGACCATAAAGGCTGGATGGATGTAGTAAAGCAGCGATCAACGATAGTAGTAGATGGAGGAGGCAGCGCGTTACTGTTAGCTCTTTTCCTGTCAACTATGGTTCTGTTCTGTTGCGGTTTATTGCCAGAGGCAACCACTTTGCTAGTTGGAGGAACAAGACAAAACACTTCAAAGTTTTTTGCACTGACATTTGTATCGCTGAAGGGTGACTCAACCGCTGAACTGGCGATTTCTTGATCAACCTCTACAACGGTTGGTTGAGATGGAGTATTTGCCGATTGCAGCTGGTCCACATTGACGACCATCATGGGGTCTGCGAGGGAAGCATTGCTGGGAACACTGCTGTGTCTGTCTCCACTCAAAGGAATACTGGGGGTGAGTGAAGACAAGTGGTCCAAGTTCTTTGAGTAATCTTTGAAAATGAAGAATTTCTGCAAGAATGGAGAAATAGTAAGACTAATGACGTGTATGCAAAGCACAAGGTATGCGTAATTGATGATTGTGCTGATTTCCTGGAGCACCAAGGTTAAGCTGTGAAGTGAGGTATCGTCAATATTGAAGAATCGAACGGCAATGTGAATTATGAGCCTATCCAAAATGCTTAGACGCATACCGTTTCCTCGCTTGATGCCCAAGCTGTAGTACCTATCCTTTCGTTTGGATAGATAGTTATATGTCACGAAAAAAGGAGACTTCGTGAAGAACGCTTTGAGGTAGTCTGAGGTTTTTGCACTATCTGAAGAAGGCGACAACAACCCAAAATGCCAAACACCACGATAGAACCGAGCTAAATCGCTCACTAATTGCGGTACGTTTAAATGCTGGAGCCAATGACGGATCAAAGTATCTATGGCGGTAACCGAGGCAAATCCCAATAGGGAGTTCACGAAGCTGGATTTCAGGTACTTGGCTTTATCAAGAACGCCGCCAGTAGCACCCTGAGACAAAAGTGAGTTGGGTGTCGATGTAGTTGTCGTTGTGCTTTGTCCACCAGACACCACAGAAACATATGTAGTGGTACCCACGGTATAAGTACCGACTAACCTGCTGGCCACAATCAGTTTGGCCATAACCAGAAGGTAGTGAGTCCACAGGCGAGGCATTGTATAATGGCAGATCAACAAGATTATGGAGTTTATGGAGAAAAGCTGGAGGAACTCGCCAGCCACAGCTCTGCTATAGAACCAGTGCCGTTGGCGTCCAGACGATGTATTATGCGAAGGGCTCGAATGAGAACCCCAAATTGAGCTCAGTCTCTCCTCCACAAGCACAGAGAACCTAGCAAGGAAGCGTGCAGCCAGACCCCGGAAAGTACCAGACATGATATACCCCAACAACAAGAGACACGAGATGCCCTGAGGAACCAAGAGAAACACAAATATAAGCGCAGCCACGTCTCTACCAGTAACCGGTGGCAAAATAGACCCCTTGTTTGGTAATGACGAGTAAGCTGAACCAATGTGGGATTGCAGAGGCGGTTTTTCCAGAGCATGTAACTGAGCTCTAGGATTCGCCAGCTTCACCGCCAGCTTCAGAGGTTTCGACGCATGGCCCTTACCGCTTTGCTGCCTCGAATGAGTCTTATTTGCCGCCGCTGTTCGTTCATGGACCTGGTCGTTTCGTGCCGATGGCCCAAAAGGTGGAGGTGAAATGTAGTCGGATGACCGAGCAGGCATTCCACCAGGACGAGGGACGAAAACACAGGATACGGGATAAAATGAGACCGAAGTCGGGAAATGCTAAAGGGAACGCTGTTTTGTTTGGCGATGAGGTTTTTGGGTTTGGTGGGTTTGAGATCGAAAGTTGTAGATGGTAAGATTTTCTCAGTGTGTGGTTGGTTCGCGGGAACGAAAACTAGTGGGGTTATGATGCAGGCACGACCAGGAACAAGGAGGGACGGAGAAGTAGCAACAGCAGAATTTGTATGGCTTCAAAGTATATGTATCTTTTAGATATTTACCTCTTTTAAAGCTCGCTGGAGGTTTGAATGGTTTGGGAAAGGCTTCCGAGGTTCCGCAAGTTTCATTCCTGTATACAACACGCTAAACGCTCTTTTTTTTTTGTTGTCTGTATTTTCGCCTTAGGTGCGATCTCTAAAAAAGTTCGCTTCTGTCAAAACTGACAGCTGTCTACTTATGTACAGGAAACAATAATACCCGCCAGCTCCCTGCTTCATGCAACTCCCCTACTAATCGGGAGATCATTGCACTGCCCCGAACGAGCCTCCCGATGCAACCTCCCGATTTAAAAATAGGTATATAAATAGACGGGGATTCCTCTATACTTTTTTTTGAATCATCGCTTTTTTCATGTTACTTCCTTCGTTAGTCGCCTGCTTTGCCTTGGCTTCTGCCATCTCCCTTGAACCTCCCTCAAATGGTAATACTAAGCTGAATACGCCACAGGTGAACGCCATCACTTTTGAAAATTTGGGTTACACCGGGTATTACTATAATGTCAAGGAGCTTGACGATTCGGATGACTGCAAATGTAAGTTGCAGAAGAATTTCCAGGTCTTTGAAGGTACCAATACTCCATTGAACGAGGAGCTTTCGGTGCATTTCCGTGGTCCTTTGAAACTTCACCAGTTTGCCTTTTACTCGGGCGATTCTTTTGTCAAGGGAAGCTCTCTGGGCACATTTGAAAGAAAGGCTTACTATAGTGCCCTGGATAATACCGGTGACAATGTGACGTTCTTGACTAACGCTGGTAAGAGCTCCAAGTGTCTCGGTAAAGCATTGACATATGCGTCTTCCAATGGTACTGAAGAAGCCGATTCAGCTACGCTTCTTGAAGATGATGTTTTGCTTCACTCGGACCAGGAATACCTGATCTTCTCATCCACCAAATGTGAAAAGCTGGGTACCGATAAAGACTGTGGTGTCTATAGAAAGGGCATTCCTGCTTACCACGGGTTCGGCGGTACGGTGAAGATGTTCTTGTTTGAGTTTGAAATGCCCACCGAGCCAAACAAGAATAACTCCAACATCTTCTATGACATGCCAGCCATTTGGCTCCTCAATGCTAAGATCCCAAGAACGTCCCAATACTCGAGTAACCCCAACTGTTCATGTTGGAACTCGGGATGTGGTGAGTACGATATTTTCGAGGTGATGAACTCTACAGAGTCAAATCACTTGTTCTCCACCATTCACGACTACCAGGGCACTGACAATATCAACCTTGGAATGGCTGCAAAGGGCCACTTTGCTAGAGACTTGGATAACAAGATGGTTGGCGGTGTTGTATTCGACAATGAAGGGAATGCTGTATCTTTCTTGCTGAACTCGACTAGTCTCGATTCCGAGATTGGTGCTTCCACTTTGAACAAATGGATTGACACAAACAGGGAGGTGGAAGATCAGTTGGAGAGCGTGACATTGAACACCAGCCAGAAGAAATCCGAAGGTATTGTTCCTTCGACGAACTTCATGGCCTGGCTTGTTTCTGTATTCCTGGTTTTCATGTATCTTTAGATGACAGTGCCCCCGAGCACTTGTATAGGTTTTCAAGGGTTTCAATTGGATTAAGGTGGTTGTAGAAGCAAAGATGTTCTCCCTGAAAGCTTTGCATTAAAGAAGAGCTCCTCGTAACCGCTTATGACGCGTTCTTTGTCGATACGCTCTCTGAGCCTTCTGGCGCCTGGATATCACAAAACTGGGCGTGTTTTAGAAGGAGCTGGCACAACTCTAGGTTCTTATCAAACGGCAAGAACAACTCTTCATCCACGAGCGTACTATAGATCCTTGGAACCTTTCCCTCCCACTCCACGGGACCGTTTCCTGGTATCTTTCGTTGTCCCGGTAGAACTCGAAGCCCAGGACCATCGCCAGCCTGTTTCTGTTCAAGCAAGGAGCGTATTGCCTCTTCCAATTTCTTCCTATGAACACCTTCGAAGTCTTCAACCACTCTTATCGAGCCCATAAGCTTCTTATCCCTCTGTCGTATCTTCTGTGGTACCGGTAGGAACCTCGTCTGCTGAACATGTGCAATATACGAAGCTCTATTCAAGACGTAATTGGCTGGGTTATTGCCAGCCTTGGGTTTCTCCAAAACAGGCACAATATTATACTGTCCATCTATCTTCTTCATCACCAACTGGATCATGTTGCCTATAGGGAACCGCTTGACCATATGGTCAGCTCTATGGTCAGCCAACGCTTGTGCAAAAGGATTATTGGTCAAATCGTGTAGATTGTAAGCTGATGAGTCGTATAAGCCAGCAGAGTGGCCCTTGGCTGCTCCTTGGAGCCATTTGACTGGGTTCTTTAGAAGCGGATGCCTCTTCATATGGGATGTCTTGGAACGACAGAAGAGTAGTTTAACAAAAAAAGCGAAAACAGACGTTTATTTCCAGCTTCAATTACCCCTATTCTCTTATATAAACAAACTATCCTTCCAACTGGCGTCTCTTCAGGTAATGCTCTCTACTATGTATATTCGTTATTCATGTTAAGTGCATTTCGCGCAGTGGTTGCAAAATGCATAGTCTATGCTACTGGCTCATAGACATCTTCTACGGCCACTTTATCCTTCTTTTTCTTCAAACAGACAAAGTACATTTCTCTCAGCTCAGCTCGACAAGCTGTAGGTTTCATCTTGTGTACTCTCAGGAAAACCTTCTCCAACCGTTTCTGTAAGAGCTGGTCCTCTTTGCCAGTGTAGAACTTCATCACAAGGTTTCCACCTTTCTGGAGCATAGAAAGTGCCAATATCAATACTCCATCGCACAATTCCATACTGGCGTAATGGTCGTTATCACCAAGCCCGCTAGTGTTGGCCATCATATCACTGAGCACAAGGTTAAGAGGTCCTTTGGGTTCAAAGAAGGCAGAGATCTCGTCGTGGGTCTTTTTCGAGAAAATGTCGCCTTGAACGAACGAAGAGCCTTCGGGAGCCTGGCAATGTATCAAATCGACGCCCAAAACATTAGGAACAGTTCCCTTAGCTCGGCTCTTGCTGAGTGCCACTTGCGTCCATGCTCCAGGCGCAAAACCAAGATCCACAATGTTTTTAGCGTGTTTTCCAAATAACCTGAACTTCGTATCAATCTCTAAAAGCTTATATGCTGCTCTGGACCTGTACCCTTCAGTTTTGGACTTTTTGGCATGTGGATCCACCATTTGTCTGAGCACCCATCTGCGCAGCGAAGTGCCCGACTTGGCCCTTGAGGGGATATAATTGGCCATCCATGGTGAAAAGCGTTTTAGAGAGAACATGTTTGGATGTCGCTTTGGTCTCTTTGGGGGCCTTTGTTGGTGGGTTGTCTAGTTGATGGAGGCCTCTCTGTGGGGCTCCTGCACTGCTGCGATGCTCATCACTTTTTTCCAACTACAACTATTAGACTTATCCCCAGCATGGACTTACTAAAGCAGCTTTCAGAGAATCCTCTGGCGATTTTCGGGATTGCCAAGGACTCAGATGCTGTAGATAAACTTAATAGCGTGACGAAGACGCTTTTGGATCCGATCGCCAAGGACCATTCTGTGCTAGATGAGCTTTACGTGGATGGCCTAGATGCTACTCAGGTTTACGGACAAGCCAAGATGATTCTTGGGGGTGTTGGCGAGGCTCTTTTGTTTGAGAAGCTTCCAGAGCTTAAGGAGCGTTTTGGCGTGGGCCTGGAGCCCGAAGGTCTGGAAGATGACGAGGGAGATGAAGAGGAGGAGGAGCTCGAGGGAGAGCTTGATGAGGAGCTCGAAGAGAATGCTAATGAAGAGGAAGAGGAGGATGAAGAGGAGGAAACTGAAGGCGAAGAAGATGCCGAGAATGCCGTGGATGCTTCTGAAAATGAGGACGACGAAGAGTTTGGTGGTCTTTCTGACTCTGAAACCAAGGTCGCTTCCGATGAGGAGCCTGAGCAGATCGAAAAAGACGCTTTCGGCCTTAATGACGAGTTTTTTGATATTGATGACTTCAACAAGCAGATCGTGGAGCTCGAAGATGAGCCTGAGGACGAAGAACAGATAGATTACTTTGGTGATTTGAGTGAAGGTGAAGATGATAGCGAAGAAGAGATGGACTACTACGACGGCTTTTTCGATAAGCCAGGCCAAAAACGTTCAAAGAAGAAGCAGGTCACCAAAGGTGCTCCAGAGGAAGAAGAGGGGGTCAGCGAGTTGGAGGATAACGAGTACGAACAGGCAGTCGATGGTGCCATGCTAGATCTCTTCCCGGACGAAGAGGACGAGAAGCCTCAGCAGAAAAACCAATCTTCATATGAAAAACAACAGGACAAACTTCGAGCAGAAATCGCTAACCTAGAAGCTGAGCTTGTGGCTGAGAAGAAATGGACAATGAAGGGTGAGGTTCGTTCTCGTGACAGACCTACCGATTCTCTTCTTGATGATGAGGAGGCTCCTTCGCTTGAGTTTGACCGTACGTCAAAGCCTGTTCCAGTCATCACAGACGAAGTCACCGAAAGCATTGAAGATCTTATCAAGAGAAGAGTCAGAAACGACGAGTTCGACGATCTTCCAAAGAGACTAATCACAGATGTTTCGAGATTCTCTCAACGGCAAAAAACTGAGGTCTCTGAGGAGAAGAGCAGTAAGTCATTGGCCGAAATCTACGAAGACGAGTACCACGGCGTTGATCCCGAGCAGAAAATCACTGAGGAAGTCCAACAAGCACACGACGAAATCACTGATCTTTTCACAAGTCTTAATTACAAGCTCGACTCGTTGTGCCTGGCCCACTACATTCCTAAGCCCCACGAGTTCAAGAGCATCGACATTAAGGTCACTGACGGAGCAGCTTCGATCAATATGGAAGATGCCCAACCATTGCATGTTTCTGAAGAAACCACCCTTGCCCCACAAGAAGTATACAAGATTGGCGATGACAAGCCACAAGCCAATGGTGCTCGTGGCATGAAGGAGGTGCAGTTGAAGAGCGGATTGTCATACTCCAAGGATGAACTTAGCACTGAAGAGAAGCAGAGGTTGAGAAGATCTAAGAAGAGAGCCAAGTCTAAGCACATGAAGGAGGTCAATGAGGCCAGAGAACAAAGACAAAAGCAGAACCCAGATGGAGGCGACAAGAAACGTCAAAAGGTGGGTGACGCATTGGGCGATTTGGCCAAGGCTAAGAACGTCACTGTGATTGACAAGAAGGGACAGATGAGAGACGCACTGGGACAGTTAAAGAAGAACAAGGGTCCACAAACGGGTTCTGACTTCAGGTTGTAAGCATATAGTATAAAACAAAACTGGCAATAGAGTACTAGGGAAGGTGTGGAAGCCACTGGTTGGTATGACAACGGCAGAAGCAGCACCGTTATGGACGTTTTCCCTCGTAAGCATGTAATGTGGTTGCAAGCTGCTACTGCTTTGATTCCGTCAAAACGCCTCCATTGTTCAGATAACTGGTTAACTATGGAATAGACGTGGACCCGTTCCGGCCACTAAATCACCGCTAAGCGTTTCAGGCCAAAAAAAATCTAAAATCCGTGAACACCCTCTGTGAAGTGGAGCAGACGGAAAAATCGGACAACTGGCCCCCACTATCCAGCCCAACTTGGCTAATTCCATGTGGTACCACCTCCCACAAACAAAACACACAATGCAATTCCACCTCCTCGAGGCAGCTAAGCCTTTCCTCCAAGACCAACCCCCTAAGCTGGACCACTTTCCAACTGAACGTGAATTCCTCTCCAGCAACCACAAGATACGAAAGTCCCATTTTGCAGCACAATGGACCTACACGTCACAATGCATTCCTGGAGAAAATCCGCCAATCCAAAAAAAATCACCCCTGGCGTTAACATTCAAAAAAAGGGGCCCCAGTATCGAAATGCCAACTGGAAACCACAAAATCAACCTTATCCACTCCTTCTGCACTCGCTTAGGCAGCCCGCCGTTATGTGTCAAGACAGGCGGCATAAAATAGCACAAGCGTTTTCTTTTTTTTTGCGCACCTCGAGTACCCCACTATTCAAGAATTATCCGAGCCCCAGATTCGGAGATTATATTTTTTACCCATTGAGCAGATCAGAAGTATAAATACGGGGGAAGCCCCCGTTGTATTTCGACCTTTTTTAACTAAAAGAAATGCTCTCGGTGAAGTTTCTTCTTAGGGTGCTTACGGCGCCATGGGTGATTATCAAGATCATTATTCAGTATTATACTACTGGCACGGCGCTCCAGGCTGAACCAAGAGAGTTTGGTAACTCTTTATGGAAAAATATCGATATTGCAGTCTTGTCTCATATCGCCAAGGGTATCACTCGAAAGGATCCTTGGATCGTTACCCACCCAATGAACCCATACTATAAGAGCTATGCCCGTCTGGCTGGTGGTCAGGGCATGCCTAGTTTCGGTAAACAGATCACGCCAAAGGATAAGCGTTTGACGTGGGTGGTGAAGCCAGAGGGAGCCAAACACGCTCTTCTTTTCTTTCACGGCGGTGGATATTGTGTGCCAATGACAAAGTCTCAGTTTGTGGGTATCATGGCGTTATGGTACGCTGTGGAGCCTGAGAAACGTCAGAACTTGGCCATTGCCAACTTGGATTACCTGCTTACTTGCTATGACCATCGCTACCCTACTCAGATATTTGAGGCCGTTTCGGCGTACAGAGAACTTACCAAACAGGGCTACGAGGTTCTGTTGATCGGTGACTCCGCCGGCGCCAACTTGGCTCTTGCCTTATCTAGGTTTGCCGCTTACCCAGAGGAGGCACGCGCCCAGTTCTCTCGTTATAAGCAGTTTGACTGGGACTTCCTGCCACTCCCAGCGCCAAAACACCTTTTGCTTGTGGCGCCATGGATTGAACCATACACGAAGCCAGAAAAGTACCCTGGCGTGGACTACGAAGGTGATCTTGGCTCGCCAGAACCTGATATGGGTATAGATTATCTCGGTAAGGCCAGCCCTAACGATGTGGCTCCATTTGTGGATTTCTTCAACACAAGCTACCAGAAACACTGGTCTAAGGTTCCTGCCTTCAATGGCGAAGGAAGTGTAATCTTCCTTTATGGTGAACGTGAAATCTTCCGTGTGGCTCAAGAGGATTTCATCAAGCGTAACGGTAAGCTGAACTTCTACGCACACATGCAGCCTGGAGCTGTTCACGACTCTATGTTTTACATTGAGCCTAGTGAGTTTAGGTCGCTGCGTGGACAAAGAACTATGGTCACAGGAAAACACCGTTCGAAGTTTTCATTTAAGTTATCAGCAGAGTTCCTTGAGGAGTTCCTTTGATAGCACAAAGTCTGGAGGGCAGGCTACTTTAGAATATACATATCTGTTTGGGAATCCAGAAAAACAGATAGTGGAGGAACTAATAAGAATTGTAGAATCGCTGGCAATGAGGTAGAGAAAGTGAATATGATCATTGTAATCGTAAAGTTGATACTCTTAGAGGTTTTACCAGTACGTGAAATGCGCTTCGCCCAATCGGTTCCATCTCCTCACAAGCATTACCCCAACCGTTTAACCTTATTTTGACCTACAGATGTCTAGTTGAAATTAGCTCATTTCAAGTCATTTTTCCGAACGAATTTCGGGTTCTTGCTTGTCCCGTTCGGTGTTTCACTTGTTATCTCCCATATCTCCTAGAGCGGCTCACGAAACACCACTTTCTGTATCCCCCACATCAACGCCCCAAGAGGCATGTTTTGAAAAGTGGTCCTAAATAATAGAACAGAGAATGTTCGGAAACCAATTAGTGAAGGGAGCAACTACATAACTTGCCGAGTGTTCAATGGTTATCTTTGGTTACTAAATCATCATATTCCTATACTGCAATATCGAACAAAGTTGTACCTGGCAAAACCGGTCTCTATTCAATTGATACAGCTTTCTGTTGGGTTTTTGCCTTTGGAAACACTTTCCCAAAATGGACCGCAGTCTTTAATAGTCATATATGGCTCGTCCCCCAGCATTTGTTCGCAGCGGCCATAATCTAACCATTCCAGCTTTACTCGAGCGGCATATGATGGAGGAGTAATATTGCAGCTGTTGAGATTGATACCTTCACCGCAAACTTGAATAGGGATTTCAAAACTCATGGGGTAGTAGCTAGATTCAATCTTAACATCAAGACCGATACTTAAGGTGACATCTCTGCTTCGGTAATTGCCATAGAATGTGGGATCTATTTTGGGAATTTTGTAGTCGTAAACATCTGCTGGAAGATCCAGGAACCACTCATCTCCAGTCTCGGAGAGTTTAAAATCCGCCCATTTTATGGTTCTGTATTCTGTATTGTTATTAGCTGGGGCTTCGTGTTCAACAACTTCGCCGGTGTCCCTATAATTCTCGAACTTCAAATAGCTTCTCTTTACTAAGACGTCCGAAACGCTTTTTGGATCTCTGAAGAAAGGTAATGTGAGCTTTATCATCAAGAAATCCGACACCTTCATTCCTTGAGTTACGATGGCCCCTGCTTTGGGAAGCGATGGATGTAAGTAAGGTAAAACAAGCGCCTGTACTTTCAATGGTTTGAAAGACCTAAATGAAGTACCACAGACGAACACTTTAGCCCAGTCCTCCATAATCTCATCCCCGTTCTGAATTTGGTTCAGAATATGCCAGAGAGTTAATGGTATAAATGATGGAGTTAACTTATATCCAATCCATATTACCGGCATCACCCACACATAATTGAAACCTGGATCAGAATCATCCTTGACAATAAACCACCTGTAATACAACCTAATCAGCTCTGATTTTGTGGAATGAGTCCTTCTGATAACGTCGTAGAAGCCCTTGCTAGGGTGGAGGTTACACTCGTCAGCGCTCGAAAGCAGGAGAGAAGTTATTGAAAGTAAGTTTTCATCTCCTTCAACAAGGCTAGTTTGTTGCTTTTCAACGACTGCTCCACAGCTATCCAGTACATCATAAACAGCATCAGCAATACTTGATAGATCGAGCAGAGAGCGGTCATGGACATCCAAATAGATTCGATTAGCCCAACCCAGACTCTTCACTGAAGTATCTGAGTGTTTTTGCTGGACCAAACTTCTCAATTCTTCGTGATCCGTCCTCGCAATGTTCACATCCAGAACAATGTCAAAGACCCTAGAAGTGGATGCTTCCAAGTCTTCAACTTCCACGAGCACTTTGAATGCGTACGTACGCGTCATACTTTGAGAAAATGACGTAGGCTCAACCTCAGGAAGTTTGCAGTTGTACAAAGCTTCTGGGATATCTAACTTGGTCTCTCTAAAGATGCGTTTATGTTCAAGACGTACATTGCATTTGTTCTTCAGCAAAGTTCTGACAACAAGTGTTTTGGTGGCCTCAGGGAGGGAGTCCATACCTTCGTAAAAACCTTCAATATAGGTTGTAAGCTCCAATAATTGTATCGTCACAGAAGCAATAGCCATTGGTGCCAGATTCTTAGGATCGATCATTTGGCATAGAACTTGAATCAGGAGAGCTTCTGAAATATTCATCCCGGGATAGAGGGTGGGATGGTTTAAATCTTGAATAAACCAATGAATGGTATTAAAGCTAGATTTTAATGTGATAAAGCCTTCTTCATCCTTACCCAACCCCTTCAACATGGGTTTTGAGACGATACTTAATGTATCTGTCAAACTAAGATTAGTATCTTCGAATGCATAGATTTTTTTCCCAATATTCGTCACCATACATGCAAAAGGATCATTGTCATGAAAACTCTTCTCTTCATTGAAGCGAGTCAAGTTCCTAGGTTTTACAATTTTGCATTCCACGATACGTTCCTCTTTGCCTGGTTTTATCACATCATTAAACTTTTCATCTTTTGAAGATATCACCTCAAGTTCTCTTGCATCATCTTCGAATTTAACTCTGAATTCTGTGATTGCCAAAACTTTGTCTTCGTAGTGGTACAATCTGGTATTGTGGGAACAATACTTCGAAGAGTCTTTCAGAAGAGCCTTCAATGCCAGTGAAGCCACCTTTGAGAGGCTAAAGAATTCGCTGACAAACTCTTCAAACACGTAAAATGTTTCGTATCGATATTTCTCCATAATGAAACTTTAAGGGCCAAGTATTCTATGAAGATATTGCCTTCTTAAATAGTAAAATTTATGTTGCAGTACAAACATGTACCATGAGGCAGCTTCGTCAAAACAACCAACCCCTTCAAAGTTGCAAATCTTTGTGATTCGAACAACTGCGTGATAATTATCTTACCGCTGAGCTAGACGAGGTCTACTTGCGTCTATGCACAGATGTATCCGTCAACATCAAAGCCTCAAACAAGTCTCTGAAAGCACGATTACCTCTTCTAATAACAACTCAAGGAACATCTTCTTAGTCGTATTGGACATGACACTTTCTCACGTTGCAGCAGGTTGTATGGCTTTACATGAGCTTCGTCGCATGAAGAAGCATTTGCATGTCACCACATAACTTTGTAGAAATTTATGTGTACATGTTTTTGCCTGAACCTCCCTTTTCCTAAACCTAATTTAGTATTTCGCCTAAACGCCCAAAACCACCAAACTTGATTTCCATTCATATATAAATGCCATCCTTCTTTCCCCCACCGCTATCTCCCATATCTCCTAGAGCGGCTCGCGAAGCTCCACTTTTTTTCCCCACCTTGACGAACCAGCTATAACCATATATACTCCAGTTTTTCACCTACACTTTACTTCAATTACTTCCAATGATCTCAAAAAGTTTCGTTCTTGGCCTTCTCACCTTAACATGGCCGCTTCTTAAAGTGGTTTTCCAATTCTATACAACAGGCACTGCCTACTCCAAGAGTGACCCAGAGTTTGCTACATCTTTGGCTGCGAATATCAGACTTACCTTGATGAGCCACTTGGGCGATTACCTTGAAGCTACGGATTTCCAGATATTTCCATTCCCCATGACTCCCTTATTTGGGAAGCTTGGTGGGAGGAAGTTTGCCCAATTGCGTGGTTTTGGCGACCCTGTTGCTGGTAAAGATACACTAGTATGGGTTCTGAAGCCTGAGGGAGCAAAGAAGGCGGTGCTTTATCTTCATGGCGGTGGGTATGCCTTGCCTTTACTGATTGGTCAGTTGGAGGGTATTATAGCCGTTAACTATGCTATTAAACCGGAAAATAGAGACTCCTTGGCATTGGCCATTCTCGACTACCTGCCTACTGCTTATGGAGACACATACCCAACCCAGATATTTGAAGCAGTGGAAGCGTATAGGGAGTTGGTCAGTCAAGGCTACGAGGTTGTGGTTCTTGGCGATTCAGCTGGCGCCAACTTGGCCTTAGCGGTGGCCCGGTTCTTTGCTTACCCAGAAGAAGCCAAAGCCCACTTTTCCCAGTACCCTAAGTTTGCGTGGAACTTTAGCGTGGTAGCGGCTCCACGCCATTTGGTGCTTATTTCACCATGGATTCTGCCATACACAGCGCCAGAGCCTACTCCAGGTGTAGACCATTCAGGCGACTCCAGCCCTAAAAAAGCCGATATGGGTCTTTGGTACATTGGCAAGGAAAAGAAAGAGGATGTATGGCCATTTGTGAATTTTCAAAAGACTAACTATGCTGATCACTGGGCGAAGGTTCCAGCGTTCAACGGTGAAGGCGGTTGTCTATTGACGTATGGAGAAAGAGAGCTTCTACGTAAAGGCCAGGAGGAATTCTGTGCAAGGAATGCTAGGCATATTTCTGTACATATGTATCCAGGTGGTGTCCACGACGCCATGTTTGCAGCCGAGGCAAGGAACTTGGGGAATGATGAGGCTATCATGGCTGGAGCGCATAGAAGCAAGTTTACATTTGGCTTAGTGGGCAAGTTTCTAGATGAGGTTTGCCAGGAAGAGTGAAGAGGCTGTGTGGGGACAAAAGAGCCTAAAGCATCATCTAAGGGTACGGCGATCACGGCAGAACGCCGTGTCCAGACAAACGCCTGGGATGACAAACCCTTCACCAGACAAAGAGCCAGTACGAAGTTAATTTTGCAGCCATCGTCCACCAATGTCTCATTCTGCACTGCAACTATAGGCGAGACTCAAGTGGGAGCCTTACGAGGGCAGTGGCACAGCACCAGTCAACCATCAACCGTCCGCCCAATCCGGTTACATATTAGCCGTAGTCAACTGAAGCCAACCATGTAACCGGTAACGGTGAAGCCACTCGTTTCAGGTATACTTGTCTTGTGAATTTCGCAGCCATGAGGAAATATTATTTGGACTAGCTTCCCTCCAACCTCCCTCCATCACCTCCACTCGGCGTTTAAACCAGCCCAGGTTACACAAACGAACCCCATCTTTCCCTACCTTCGTTACCAGTGCAGGCTATTGTACAGCGGTAGAAAGTCTGGGATGGTCCCCACAATATACGATCTCGGTACCACCAAGGCTGGAGCCGAAGCGGAGAACAATTGGTCGCGAAATGGCCCAGTGCCCTAGCTACATAATAGTCTCCAGAAAGGACAATCCATTGAAAATGGACAACCCATTCAGGATTATACTGGCGACTCCGAAACACAAACCAAAACACATCCCCATTCACGTATCTCGCCAAAGCCTCTGCCAGTTCATGGAGTCTCTCCAGTCACGCCGATTTGCAACCATTGTCGCGTGCGACAGTACCAGCACTAAGCAGAATCCAGTAATCCATGTGCCCCGCCAAAAATATCCCTCCTCGACGTCTACCTATATATATATGGGGGCACCTGCTGGATGTAGAAACTGTAGATTTCACTATGCCTTCGTTAGCTTCTCGTTTGACAGTGCCCTCGCCGCGTCTCACCTTAGGCGTGGTACTGGTGCCCTGGGTAGCAGTCAAGGCCATCACCCAGTACTATACCACCGGAACCGTGTACCAGAAGACCGATCCTGAGTTCGATACGCTTTATAAGAATGTGCTTGTGGCGGTGTTGGCGACGTTGGCGACTACGGCGCTGGCCACAGATGCAAAACTCATGCCTTACCCAATGAACGCCATGTTTAAGAAACAACGTGGACGTGGTGCTGCTAAGGATATGCCTCGCTTTGGTGAGCCAGTGGCTCTGGAAAACACCTTTTGTGGGTGGCATGCCCAGAGGGTGCGAAAAGGCCATCCTCTATCTTCATGGCGGTGGGTACCTGTTTCCATTGGCACCCGCACAGATGATAGGAATGATGGGAGTGTGGTGGGCGGTGGATGCTGGGAAAAGGGATAATTTGGCTATAGCCGTTTGGATTACCAGCTCACGACGTATGGGAAGTACTACCCTACGCAGCTCTTTGAGGCAGTAGAGGCATACAGGGAATTAGTGAACCAGGGCTATGAGGTAATTGTCATGGGCGATTCTTGTGGTAGTAATTTGGCTATGGCGGTGGCTCGGTATGCTGCGTATCCAGAAGAAGCAGAGGCCCATTTTTCGCTGTATACTCAGTTTGACTGGGACTTTAGCCTGGTAGCGGCTCCACGGCACTTGATTCTTCTCGCTCCATGGACTCTGCCTACATGTGCTGCTGTGCCGTTCCCTGGGATGAACCATAAGGGGAGTTTATTGCGTTGAGAATTAATAAAAAGGGCCAGTTGTATATTAAGGGTCTGGAAAAGGACGAGGTGGCTCTGTTTGTGGAGTTTAACGATACCAACTATAAGGAGCACTGGGCTGAGGTGCCTGCTTTCAACGGCAACGGCTCGGTACTTTATATTTATGGCGAAAGAGAGTACTTCCGTGCTAGTCAGGAACAGTTTGCTGAGGAGTGTGGGCTCCATAACTTTAAAAGTCTAATGCAGCCTGGCGGTATCCATGACTGTTTATTTGTGGTGGAAGTGCTTGATATTTCGTCCAAGAAGGGCCAGGCAGCAATGGTTCGGGGAGAACACAGGAAGAAGTATAACTTTGGCGCCATTGCTGACTATTTGGATGAGATCTTATAGTGAAGGTGGAAAGTGGCTGGAAAAGGGAACTGTTTGTTCCAGTGGCTTAGGGAAGTCAATGATATCGTCCCAGAAGCTTAACTGCAATGAAACACCGCCAGTAATGTTGCAATTGGACTAAACCGATTTATCAACTTTCCTTTTCCTGGGCATTTTCGGCCCTGAAAAGGATAATGAGGTTTCTCGTCCTTTGAACCATCGCCAGCCTATGTACCTCCTTTCCCCATTTTCTTTCGGCTCGCTTATATTATTAACTTATTTTGAATATTTATTTATATGTTTTATGTTTTTAAGATGGTAAAATATTTCTATTGATTTTGATGGTTCGCCAATTTGATTTATATTTCCAAAGAAAAGTGTCAAAATGGCTGCGAAAACGCATACTCACGTCAAGTTGCGAAAAAAGGTTTGGCCAAAAGAAATGCCAAGGTACCTATTTAAAAGGCATAAAAGCGAAAAGAATACGTCCTTTGAAGCAAGAATGAGTGTTTGTGGTCATTTAGTGGGAGAAGTGTAAAAAGAAAGTGAATGCAAAAAAGAAGCTTCCCCACCAGGAGTCGAACCTGGAATCTTCTGGTTCCAACAGAAGTGGTTACTTATCGTAGCCAGACGCCTTGACCATTGGGCCATGAGGAACGAAGCTTACATGCTTTGATAAACGGTAAGATATAACAAAGCTTTTGGGAAAACCTCAAATAATTTAAAATTTGGCTAATTCAATGTTAAGAATTCAACTTTGGTAATATAGTGGCTATCATGAAATGCCCAAATTCGACCGGAAATGGCGATTTAAAGCCAAATTACTTCCAGATTTGCCCCAAATTTGACATTCAACTCGTTTCACTCGCCTATAAATGCCCACATTCCTTTCTAGACATCATTATCAACATTAAAAAGTGAAATAGGTGTAGTTAAGACAAATATATTGGGCCCAACGACTAAAAGCGGACTTCCGTTCAGAGTGGGACCTGTCCAGGCGCTAGTAAACACCCCTCTACCAAATTCACCACAAGCAAATAGAAAAAAAAACTTGCCATTGACCAACACAAGAAAGCAAAGCATCTACTGAAACTCTTGGAAAAGGAGTTCTCTCGAAGCAAAATGACGTCTTTGGGGTTGATGAACAAATCTCATGATTTCAGTTCATAAACATGGTACATGCCCTGGAAAAGCAACGTTCAGATGTGAACACAATTCGTACATGTGTTTTCTGGGCTGATGACTAGCAGCATGAAGTTTGCCCCAAACACAAGGTTAAGCATCACTGTACGTTCACGACATTTCGGGCGCCACAAAGAAGGTGCAAGTGCTCTTATTATAGCTCTTCGAAGGATCCAGGGAAAAGAAAGTGGGAGGGAGTGAGACAAATAAGGAAGGGAATGCAAAACAAGCGGTATCAGTCAGGGTCCGTTTGTGCCTTAGCAAAGTAGGCTTTTGTGACGTCGCAAGTTGATTAATGAAACCAACCAACATGGAACGTAGTTATCTTTTCGTTTCGGGACTTGCCATTATCGGGATCGTTCGGATTTATCGTCGGAACGTGTTGTAGTAGACAGACTGTTAACGTAAGATGTACTCGTAGTATTCAACCAATTTCTCCTTGAGTATCTTAAGTATCACCTCCCAGCAACTTCTATACCCAAACGGGCCACCACACAAACAGCCTCGAGACATTGCAAAGATCAAAAACCCGGGAGCCCGGTAGTTTTCGCCCTCGGAAACGTAGACGGTCCTAGGGGCGATGCACCCGTACTAAAACAACTGCGCATCAAAAATGGCGGTTTTACTACGATGGGTAAAGAACAAAATAAAAACCTTCCAAGCGAGGCTTCTCAGCATAACGGTTTCAGGGGAAAGTGTATTTACATCTTGTCAGCTGGAGGAAGGTGACATAAAATTCAAGACATTTTCTGTTTTCATATCCTTATTGAAGTGGGTTTCGGATCCGGCGGTAAAGGTGAACCTCCAGGGTCCGAGAAGCCCACTTGCTACTGAAGGCACGCAGCAACAAGCGCCCGCCAAAAAGAAAGCCCAAGCCAAGAGGCGGTAACCCAGGTGGAGGAAATGGATGTATGAAAAAGAACCCAAACAAAAAAAAAAAATACAATTGACCAACTTATTCAATGAATATGGCTGGCCACCAGCATCCATCCAGCACTTTGTCAATAACACATACATACTTGAAACATGGGCTTTGGCTATGGATTTCACCTCAATTCGTCTCTGCCTATTTTTTTTTTTTGCTGTTTACCTTACCAGCACCCACACTGCCTCCCTTACAGCCATCTGTGGCTTCGGCTGCGAAATGACAAAATTCGCTAGTCATGCTCACTTGACGTGCGGAAGCGACATAAATTTAGGCCGGAATGTGTCAGTCTCTTGCACCGCCAATGCACGGTTGCTGGAGGAAAAAGCTGGGCATAAACTGCCAAACGGTTAGTTTGGCTGTGGGGGTACCTTGACAAACCCGAGCGAAAAAAAGAACAAAAGAAATCAGCAAAAAACCACCTCCTCAATTGATACTTTGGGGGCTGTTCCATTAATAGCACCCTCCTGTGCCTCTGCTTACGTGAAAGTAGCTCAAAAAATTACCCTCCATTTTAGATCCCTGCGTGCGCCATGCAAGTCATTACTGCTCCTGATATGGGCTTTTTTGGTTGTTTGGGTGCGAAAAGACACAAGCGTCTTTTATGGCTACTTGCTTCCGGCTCAGGCTCCCGGCTGCATGTCGTCAGTAGGCATGCTTTGGTGGGCTTCTCTGTTAATTGGCCTCTTTGTAATTGCACCTGCGCCGCCTTACTTCTCCAAAAATAGCAAACTGGGTATAGTCCAGGGTATAAAGGAGAGGCCACTCGCTGCCTTCTTTTCCCTTTTTGTAGATATCCAAAAATGAAGTACTCTGCAATTGTGGCCATCTTCGCCGCTGTCTCAGCTGCCCCTGCTGCCGTTTCAAACACTTGGAGCACCTTGACTCCAACTGGTACTTTGAACGAGTCTGCCTCGGCCATTACTTCTATTACTGGTTCTTATGCTCTTTCGATCAGAACCGTCTCGGCTTCTGTGTCTGAGGGTATTTCTCTTGATAAGAGAGACGACCTTGTGAACCAGATTGGCGATGGTCAGATCCAGCAGCAGACCGCTGCCACTACTGCTGACGTTGTCAACCAAATTGGCGATGGCCAGATCCAACAACAAAGTGCCACCACTGCCGATGTTGTTAACCAAATTGGCGATGGCCAAATTCAGCAACAGACCGCTGCCACTACTGCCGATGTCGTGAACCAGATCGGCGACGGTCAAATCCAACAACAAACTGCAAAGACCGCTGACGTCGTTAACCAGATCGGTGACGGTCAGATCCAACAGCAACAACAGCAGACTGCTACTACTGCTGACGTTGTTAACCAGATCGGTGATGGCCAAATTCAGCAGCAATCCAAGACTGCTGATGTTGTCAACCAAATCGGTGACGGCCAGATCCAGCAGCAGACTACTGCTCCAAACACTGCTTCTGTCGTTAACCAGATTGGTGACGGCCAGATCCAGCAACAAACCACTGGTCCTCAGACCGCCACTGTCGCTAACCAGATCGGTGATGGCCAGGTTCAACAGCAATCTGTTGCTGCCGAGTCTGTTGTCCCAACTCACTCTGTGATCAACCAGATCTCTGACGGTCAGATCCAGGCCACTGGCTCTCCAGACTCTGGCTCTACTGAACACTACTTTGAGGAGACTTGCGTTGCTGACGACTCCTTGCTCATTCTGATTGAGGACGGTGAGTTGAGAGACTCCCACGGAAGAGTTGGTGCCATTGTCGCTAACAGACAATTCCAATTCGACGGTCCTCCACCTCAGGCTGGCACTATCTACGCTGCTGGTTGGTCTTTCGTTCCAGCCGAGGTTGCTGGTTTGGGCGAGACTGAGGCTGACACCAAGGAGGGTGGCTTCAAGTTGGCTTTGGGTGACCAGACCACTTTCTACAAGTGTCTTTCTGGTGACTTCTACAACTTGTACGATGCCTCCATTGGCGACCAGTGCTCTGCCATTGAGATTTTCCTCTTGAAGGCTGTGGACTGCTAAATGCTTTCCAAATAATAGCCTACGCTCGCTAGGCTTCGGCCGTGGTATTCACATTCTTCGTCGTACACTTTAATTTCGGTTTTGGGTTTCCCAAATGTTACTTTGCATCGCTCCAAGAGAGACCCCTAATAAATGGCAAGTCCAAAAATAAAACAATAAAATGTAGAATGTAATGGCTCCTCCACTCTGTGATATGATGTAGATCAACACCTGATTCGATATTTAGCCGCTCAGCATGCTTACGAGGTCGGTTGATGAGAGAATACCTTGTGCATGGTAAAGGGGCCACAGTGTCTGTTCTTCAACAAAATTTATTCCTTTCGGTAGAAGAATCTTTGTCTTTAGCCAAAGACAAGGTACATAAGAAAGAAATGTCGTTCAAGATGGCTCTTTGCCTCGCCAGCAAGCATGACTATACTCCTTTTTGAGTCCCTCATTACCATATGCTCGTTTCACAGCTCAAGAGTTGCTGCCACCAAAAGTGAAGTTATATCCGTTTTGCCAAGTGCTGCATTGCTTCTAATCAAAAGGGAGACACTCGACAATTGCTGTATCTCGGTCTAAGAGATCGAGCATGGTGACCCTTTCGGGAGTTGTAATGATCGCTTGCTGGTGCATATGCTTTTGTGGTCCACTGTGGTCGTTTGCCTGGGAAACATCCAACGGCTTTGCGGCTTGTTCCTCTTTGAGCTCCATACGCCCTAGTGTTTATTAATGCTCTTATGTTTATTAAGTTTCTTGTGAGTAGCTTCACAGCAGGCCATCCGTGCCTTGGTCGTAGTCGTTTCTAATTATGAAGCACCTCTAAACGGCGCTGAGGTGGTGAGGCTCAAACTGACGGAGCTCCATTCTCATGGACCTAAGCCAGTCAAACAGGATATCATCGAGATCCAATTCAGCAGGTACCAAGATCTCGCTTGCTGTGATCTCTATCTTTCGAAGCCCTGGAATACGAACAATGCTATGAGATCCTTCGTCTATTGTTCTTCTTGACTCTGTGTGTCCCAAAGGATGATGAGACCAGCGACTAGCAGAGCTGGAGTGAGATGCAACTGGCGCCAAAGTGGTATCTGGACCACGTTCAGGCGAATAAGCAGCAGCGCCTTCTGGGGATTCCAGGGATGTCTCAACAACCTCCTTAGTGCTTTCTGTCTGTTCAGTCTCCGCAGGCTTCTCGGACTCTTTCTCCCAGAAGCGTCCACACTCAGAAGGCGTCCACCAGTAAACAGGGTACCTTCTAAAGATGTTTCCAAATATACAAGCAACAGGAATAATCAACACCAGCGACACAAGCTGCACTGGCAAGTACCACCAGCTCATATTCCTCACATGTTGATCAATCAGAGGAAGCATGGCCAGGGCACCAGCAGGAGGGTGAACGCAATTGCAGATAGACATTGCTACCGACAGAACAGCCACACTAAGGGCAGCCGAGGCCCACGAGTTGTCACGGCCTCCTGAAGAAAGGAAAAAGAGTTTCTGGATGCAAATGCCAATAACCGAAGACAAGAAATGGCCCATGAATATATTCCTCGGTTGCGCCAACGGCACCTGAGAAGCATTAAAACAAAGAATAGCTGTAGCAGCATACAGCGCTATGACGTTGTTGGCATCGTGTTTGGTGAAAACAGTATGGTTCTGAAACACTCCAGCCAAAAGGGCTATACCACAGAAGGATGCCACTAGGATCTCCAACCATATAAAGTAGTCATGAGTAGCTGAAGCTGGATATCCACCCAAGACACGCCGAAGAGGTCCAGGAAGGTGATGGACCTGGCTTCGAGGCACATACTTGTTGGTATACTTGTCTAACGAGAAGGTGAAGACCATGTTTGGAAGGTTTAGGGAGCCCCAGGTTTCGCACGGAAAGTGGTGATATATAAGCGAATGGCTGCGAAACGCCAGGGTCTAGGAGAAATACCAGATATATAAACAAATGGGATTGAAAGAAGGAGGTTTGGGATTTTTGGTTTATTTAGGTAAGACAAAGCACAGATGGCCCGTTTGGGATGGTGGTGGTTGATTTGTCAGACAGGAAGGGCCTGGGACGGTCAGAGTCCGCGGTCAGAGTCGAAAACGGTAGGGTAGACTGGACCGCCGAATGGACAACGGTTGGGAACCAGTGATGGTTTTTCTGGGTTAGGGTTTGACAGATGAAGGAGGAGGGGGCATTAGAAGAAGAAGTTGAAGTTGAAGAAAAGAAGGGACGTAGACGCAGGGTTTTGACAGTTTCTGGGCAACGTCCTGGGGCTTGAGAAAAGGACGATTTATTCCGTGAATGGCTGTGTTGAAGATAGGTTTAAACCTGGAATCTATGGTTTAGTTGATTTTCGTTCAATGGAAACCCTTGTTTCTTGCCGTGTTGACGTTTACTATGTGTTTACTTTTGTGTAACGGGTATTCTTTAAATCTCTCGGAAGATGCGGCGAAACGTCTGGCCTGTGATAGCCTTTTGGACGGTGCCAGAGAGTTAAAGTTAAATCCCGCAAAAAATGGGAAGCAGACGGAAGGGCTGTTTGTGAAGCATTGATGGAGGTAAAGAAATGGTGGTTGTTTAGTTGAGAGATACTGATAAGCAATGGCTGGTATATGGATGTAGATAAAAGAAGTGCAATCGAATGTAGACAGAGGACGTTGTAAAGCTCATAAAGGTCACAGCTGGTACAAAGGAAGGACTCATACTAAAAACTATCACTTTTAAACGCTCAAACGCTTATATATCTCATACCCTAGGCCCATTGCTCTACATTCAAAACACATGCAATGGATAGATGATGCCGTGGACCTTACATGTTCATGCTGCACCAGGATTAAACCACTGCTACTGCCGTTCTACAACACCATCTAGGTCCCTACAATCCCATCTCTGCACAACGATACCACTAGCAAGGCAAAGCAAAGCAACTACCATTTCCAATTCCACCAATTACTTTCCCAAACTTTATCCACTTCCCTAACCACTTCTTCTCCCTCTACCGCCTCCAAATTGCTACTTTTCGGTTTTGCACCATATCTCAATCTTGTACCACTACCTGGACCATCTACTCTGGTTCTGAGCTCCCACCAGTTCCACTCCCCTTGAACCCTCCACTATCCCACCAAAACCTAAGTAAACACTTCCCACCCAAAGTGGCTTAGATTCGTTGTTCGAGTACTCGATTGTGGCGTAGATCTGTTTGTGTCTCGAGACTGGTTCTACAATACAGCCTGTGAGGGACGTCTGGTATAGTATTACTGTGTAAAGAAAAAATAGAAGACTTTTCATGGTCAAGGAAAGTAACCTACCAAGCCATCCCAAGCACTTAACCTTTAAAAGATCCGAAAAATACAAAAGCCGTTTCCACAAAACATAGTAAATACTATCCATCTCCAACAATGATGCCTTCGCTCAGCACATTCCAAAACATGACGACGTAACTGGAGGTGGCTCTTGGCGCCATGCGTTTTTCTGAGTCTTCCCCAACCCCACAATTGCGGGTCTGCTTTTCGCAACCATTGCTGTTGGCTTCACAAGACAAGATACCAAATGAAAACGGTTAAAATGTGTATTTTAAAAATAGCTGGCGCCCTGGGCCCCTTCTGCGCCTTGTAGTGTCATTGCATTCGCTTCTCGATGTTTGTTTGTGGGTTCGGCTCCGGTTGATCCGTGATTGTTCCGAAGAACACAGCCATCGCGAACCAGCAGTACACGGACAAACACGCCAGTGAAAAAGTGCCCTTCTCGTCAAAATGGGATCTTTATATTGAAAACTCCCGCCAAAAGTGACCCTGCTGAATCCAAAAATGCTCTTTATTTCTTCCTACGACGTCTCCTTCTCCCAATAAACCACCCCTTCTCTCACCGCTCAGCCTCGCGCTAGAATGCTGTCAGCGCACAGCGGATCTGCTAGCCGTTGTCCTGCCGTCCCTACTTGAGTTGCTACCCAGCAAAGAACAATAAATAGGCTCTGGCTGCAACTACACACAATCTTCGTCTTTTTTTTGCCATATATTCAATTCCTACTAATGCTGTCGCTGTCTCTGTCTCAGACCCCCCGCTGGCTAAGGTTTAAGAAAATCCATTACTACCTTATTCCCTTAGTGGCATTGGTGGTATGGTGGGGCATGCTCATCGCCTTGATGCTGGCATGGTCCATTCAAGGTCACCCCATATATGCGTTTATGGACGAACGTCAGCATCCCGTGTACATCAGTGACATTGGAGCGACGAACCTTCAGCCGTTGTTTATTTCGTGCACGGGGTTCCAGTTGATCTTCTTTGTGGGGACCTTGTTGATGGAGTTCGTGTTGCGGAAGATGACAAAGTTGCAGCCATACGTTTCCAAGAAACAGCCGTGGTTTGCCGTGGTGAGTATCATTTGTGCTCTTATCGGCCAATTGGGTATTCTTTTCGTGTCGATTTTCGATACTGTCGATTACCATAACGTGCACATCACCATGGTGGCAGTGTTCATTTTTTTCATCTTTTGGGCTTGTTTTTTCAACTTCCTCAATTCATTCATTTTTGGCAACTTCCCTCTGCGTTTGAACCCTAACCATGAAAAAGTCATCTTTGGTAAACACCGCTGGGCCAACATGTACATGGTTTCGTTCTTTTTCAAGCTCTTCTGGCTAGCTGCTGCGGTTGTTTTCGCTGCTTTCTTTGGCTACTACATGAAACATGGCCAAGATTCGCTTTCTGCTATCTTTGAATGGACCATTTCCTTCTGGTACGGTCTTTTGCTTGTTTTCTGGGCCATTGACCTCTTCCCTTCGGCTGTCAAGCACTACAGAGTGCACCACCCAGAAGAATTCAACACTCAGTTTGTCGATCACCACAAACTTCCAATGACCGAAGTGGGCCACAACTCCTTCCAACCTATTCCAAAACGCCATTCCTCCAGCTCAGGCATTGACGCTACTACATTGAACCTGCCTCCTCGTGCACACACTGCTCATCAAGCTCCTCCAGCCAATCCAGTGACTGCAAACCCATACGATGGAGCAATCACCGTACCTATTCAAGAACCAGACGAAGAGTTCCAGGACCCTTATAAGCAACAAAAAACTTCTGAAAACTTTGTCCCTCCTACTCAGACATACACTGGTAGCACTCCAGTGCACGAGTTTCTGCCTATGCAGATAAGACAGATTCAGGAGCAAGTTTAGACGGCAATATGGGCTTTTGGGTGCTTCACCCATGTGTAATTTAGGATCATAGTTATGACTGTATTTTAGTAAGGGTAATTTTTCACTTTGGCAAGGTTAGTGGTAATGGCTGCAAAATACCTGTGGTGCACGGGTTTCTCTACACTATACTCATTCACTTATATGCGATGAGAATGCTTACCTTCTCATATATAACCATCAAAAGCACCCATGCTTCTGCAAAAAAGACTCTCTTCGGGCCTTACTGCAACCCATAAGGTTTTTGTACGCTCCAGACACGGAGGATGTACGAAGATCGTCAGAGAGCATTATTTGCGTAGCGATATTCCTTGCTACTCCAGACTTTGCAGAATCTGTCCAGACTTGGTGAAACCAGATGCCCAGGGTAACTTGCCTGAGTTTATTTTATCTGAGTCTCCCTTGAAGTTGAAGGATGGCGTTGGTCATTATGTCATTGTTGATACCAATGTGGTTTTACAGGCGATCGATCTTTTGGAGCACCCAGACTGTTTCTACGATGTGATTATTCCACAGGTTGTGCTAGATGAGGTGAAAAATAGATCTTTTCCTATCTACCAGCGTCTTAGAGCGCTTGTGAAGGCTGCTGATAAAAGGTTTGTTGTGTTCCATAACGAATTCAGGGAAGACACTTACGTGAGCAGAGAGAAGAACGAGACCATCAACGATAGAAACGATAGAGCTATCAGGCGATGCGTTAAATGGTACCACGACCATTTGAACAATAAAAATAGCACCACGCCTGTTAATATTGTGTTCGTGTGTAACGATAAGGATAACAGAGAGAAGGCTGTTGCTGAGGGTTCCGATGCTAGATCTCTTGTTGAGTACATTGAAAGCTTGCCTGATGGAGAAGAGCTTCGGGACTTGATTCCTACTGAGAATGAGTCTTTCGATAAGAATGCCGACGAAGTATCGTTCCCTGAGTACTACTCCACCTCCAGAACCATGGCAGGTATCAGAAACGGTACCTTGTACCAGGGTGTCATGAACATCTCCACATACAACATTCTAGAAGGGTCTGTGAGTACACCGGCTTTCAAGAAACCCTTGTTGATTGTGGGTACGCATAATCTTAACAGAGCATTTAACGGTGACCTTGTGATTGTCGAATTGCTTCCAAAGGATAAATGGAAGGAACCTTCTTCTACAATTGTGGAGGAGAGTGCCATTGGTGCTAACGATAATGCTGAAGAAGAAAACAAAGAAAGCATTATTTCCGATAAGGAGCGCAGAGTGTTGGCGCAAGAGGCCGTCAAGGCTACCTCTGCTAAAGAGAAAAAGTTACAACCAACTGCCCGAGTTGTTGGTATCACCAGAAGATCCTGGAGATTCTACGTTGGCCAAATTGCTCCATCTTCGGTTTCTGTTGAAGAAGATACTGGTAACTCCTCCAAGACTTGTTTCGTTATCTTGATGGACAAGCTCCTTCCTAAGATCCGTATCAAGACAAGAAAGGCAAAGGACCTTCTAGGACAAAGAATCGTTGTCACTGTTGATGCATGGCCTGCTGACTCCAAGTACCCACAGGGACATTTCGTTAGAAGCTTGGGTGAGATCGAAAGTGTTCAGGCCGAAACCGAGGCTTTGCTTTTGGAACATGATGTTGAATACAGACCTTTCTCCAAAGCGGTCTTGGACTGTTTGCCCAAGGAAGGTGACAACTGGGTTGTTCCTGAGAAGTTGGACACCGACAGCCAATTGAAACAAAGAGTTGACTTGAGAGACAAACTCGTTTGTTCGATTGATCCTCCAGGATGTGTGGATATCGATGATGCTCTTCACGCTAAGCAGCTTCCTAACGGTAACTACGAAGTGGGTGTTCATATTGCTGATGTTACTCACTTTGTGAAGCCTAATACTGCTTTGGATAACGAGGGTGCATCTCGTGGTACTTCCGTGTACTTGGTCGACAAGAGAATCGATATGTTGCCAATGCTTTTGGGTACCAACTTGTGTTCCCTTAAACCATACGTTGACAGGTTTGCCTTCTCGGTCATTTGGGAAGTCGACGAAAACGCTAACATCGTCAACGTGAACTTCATGAAGTCGGTCATCAAATCGAGAGAAGCCTTCTCTTACGAAAGAGCACAGAACAAGATAGACGACCCATCGCAACAAGATGAACTTACACAATCCATGAGAATCTTACTCAAACTTTCAAAGAAGCTTAAACAGAAGAGATTGGATGCTGGTGCATTGAACTTAGCTTCTCCAGAAGTCAAGGTCCACATGGACAGTGAAACATCTGATCCAGGTGAAGTTGAAATCAAGAAATTGTTGGAGACAAATTCCTTGGTCGAAGAATTCATGTTGTTTGCCAACATTTCCGTGGCACGCAAAATCTACGAAGCATACCCACAGACTGCCATGTTGAGACGACACGCTGCTCCCCCAGCCACGAACTTCGAGGAACTTAATGAGATGTTGAGAGTGAGAAAGAATGGTATGAATATTTCCTTGGAATCGTCAAAGGCATTGGCTGACTCTTTGGACCGTTGTGTTGACGACGAGGATCCATACTTCAACACTCTTGTACGTATCATGTCCACTCGTTGTATGATGGCTGCTGCATACTTTTCATCAGGTTCATACGGTTACCCTGACTTCAAGCATTATGGTTTGGCTGTTGATATCTACACACATTTCACGTCTCCTATCAGAAGATACTGTGACGTTGTTGCACACAGACAACTTGCGGGAGCCATTGGTTACGAGAACTTGGATTTGAGTCACAGAGACAAGGGTAAGATGGAGTTGATTGTGAAGAACATCAACAAAAAGCACAGAAACGCCCAGTTCGCCGGCAGATCGAGTATTGAGTACTACGTCGGCCAAGTGATGAGAAATAACGAATCTGACCAGGAAGGTTATGTGATCAAGTGTTTCAACAACGGTATCGTTGTGCTCGTACCAAAGTTTGGTATTGAAGGTTTGATCAAGTTGGAGTTCTTGGGTGACGTGAACAGTGCTGATTACAACGAAGACAAGTACGAGTTGACGTTTACGGACTTCAATGGCAAGAGAAGAACCATTGCAGTGTTTGATAAGGTGACGGTCGAAGTGAAGTCTGTCAAGGATGAGGTCAGTGGAAAGAGAAAGGCACAGTTGAGTTTGGCATGAATAGATTGTATAGTATAGATTAACGGCATGAAACTTGAACGTCTTTATTACTTTTTTTTATGCTATTTACAACTGTCTGGGGGTCTACTGTGCGTTGATATGGTTCACAAGCTGCTCGATAGTGATCACCTTGATGTCGTGTTTCTTGGAGAACTCCAAGCAATCGTCCAATCTCATCATAAGTCCATCTTGGTCTCTAACAAGCTCACAGATCACAGCAGCCGGCTGCAAACCAGCCAATTCACAGAGGTGAACAGAAGCCTCAGTATGGCCTCTTCTTTGATTAAGCAAACCAGGCACAGCCCTCAAAGGCAACATATGGCCCGGTCTAATGAAATCATCCGGCTTAGACTCCGTACTAGCCAACCCTCTAGCGGTCAAGGCTCTGTCGTGAGCAGAAATACCCGTCGTGGTGCCATGAGCATAGTCACAAGTAACCGTGTACGCCGTGCCATGACGGTCAGTTCTATCCTTCAACATCGGCTGCAAATCAAGCTCGTCAGCTCTCTTGGTCGATAACGGAGCACACACGTAGCCAGACGAGTGACGTACAAGGAAAGCCATCTTTTCCTGGGTGGTGAACTCAGCAGCGATGATAAGATCACCTTCGTTTTCTCGGGTCTCGTCGTCCATCACCACGAGAAACTCGCCCTTCTTGAACGCCTCGATGGCCTCTGGAATAGCAGTAAACGACATGAGGTTCAAAACAGAAGAAACGTTGTGGGGATCAATCGAGTTGGAGTTGGCTGCGAAGAAATATTTCAGAGGCAGGAAGCTGGAGACGATTATCAGCCGATTAGTCAGACGGCGCCGAATGTCAAGGGTTAGTCAAAATTAGTCAACACCGCCCAAAAAAAGTGGGAATTTGTCTGGCTTTATATATTCCACAAAGTTCCAAAAAGGAGGTGTTTTTCTGCATTGGTGTCTGTTTTTGACGACCAATGGCTTATGCACCGTGGACGATCAGAGGCTGATTGAAAAACGGTGACTTTTGCAGCCGAACGAAGCGCATGCTCCAGCCTTGTTACAAAAGCAGCCTGTAAAACAAAAAAGACGGTTGATCCGAATTCGGGATAGGGATTGAAGCCACCGTCAATTTATGCAACTTATGCATTTTTTTTGGCACTTTTTCACGTTTTTCACCCAAAGCCCCATTCCCTAGGTCAACTGTCAAACCTCAGGTTTCCTGCAGAAGTAGTATATACTTAAGCTTAGAAGCATCTACATCCAAAGAACATGGCTCTGGTGGATAATAAACCTAAGGATATCTCGTGCAAGGGGCCTGACGGGGCTGATTTCGAGTTCCAGAGAGTGCTGTTTGAAGATAAACTCGTGATTAATATCCTTATAGATGGGGTTATGGATACGTCGTTTGACCTTCCACTTTCTACACTGAAGGCTATAGATTCGCTGGTTTTGACCAGTGAAGACTCGTTGGGCGTTGAGCCGGTAGTGCTCGTGGGAGATCCACATAACTTGAAGCTTCAGGTGGTGGCTGGACAGATAGGCAAAGTGGTGTACCTGCTGGGGAACAGACGGAACGTGATTTTGAGTATGGGCTCGAGATGGTTTGGCAGGGAAACGCAGGATGGGGACTTTGAAAAGTTGATGTTTGTGTTGGAGAAGGTTAAAGAGGTCCTCAATTGAACCTTTTGAGGCTGTTTGGGGTAACCCAGAAGGCTCGTTGAATGGACTGGAGAGGACTGACTCTAAGGATAGACCTATAACTCTTTAGCTGGTTCTTTAGAGCCAGTCATGAGCTATGCCACAATTGGCCGGCAGAAAGGCTACAGAGCTGCCTATACCAAATAGGCATTCTTTCTCTGGAATTCACGTTCCAGATCCGCCATAGGCATTCAAAAGTTGGCTATGATGAGCTTTAGCCTTTCGTTTTGCTTCCTGCTTGACAAACGTCACCCTTACACATGTATATATTACAAAAACTAACGAACTACCTACAATCACAAAATAAAATAAATGCATCGTATTTCTATATTATATGTGTAATACTTATTTCTTGGACTTCTTGACTCTCTCCTTGGCAGGCACCTTTCTTTCGGCCTGGCTGTGAACAAGCGTGTGTGGCTTCATGAAAGAGTCGATAACGTCCTGGTCAACCTTGGCTCTTCTTTCCTGGTAAGCGGCAACGTATTCTTGCACAACGGCAATACACTCCTTCTTCATCTCAGAAGACATGATTTCACCCTTCTTGTAGCCGTCAGCCAACTGGGCCAACTTCTCATCGTCATCCAAGAAGAAAGAAAGGTACTGGTAAGCAACATCAACTTCGACATTACCACCAAGCTCCTTGTGCTCCTCCAAAGTGGCTCTACCACCGGAGAAAGCGTATTTGTTGATCTTCTTCTGGATCTGCTTAGGAGTGTCATCCATGAAGATAGAGGTGGTGCTGTCAGAAGCAGACATTTTCGTAGAAGCACCTTGCAATGCAGGGAAGAACTTGGCGTGGATCAAAGATGGCTTACTGTACTTGAGCTTGTCGGCAACGTCTCTGCAAACTCTGAAGTAAGGGTCCTGGTCAATAGCGCAAGGAATCAAACATGGAGTCTTTGGGGGCAAGTTCAAAACAGAAGGGAAGGACGAAGGGAAAGCAGTGGCAATTTGAACAGAAGCAAAGTGGAGCTTACCGATACAATCAGAGTCCTGGAAACCAAAAACAGCCTTGGCGGTAGAAGTAGTAATTTGTCTAGAGGTTCTGACAATGTTCTCGTAGAAAGCAGGGTTCATGAACTCCAAATCAGAGAAAATGAAAGTGTTCTCTGGCTTGAAGCCCACGGCAATAATGTCCTTACAGTTCTTCTTAGCAAAACCCTTGACATCTTCGATAGTCAATTTCTGCTTGAACAAGAACTTCTCGTCATCGGTCATTTCAATGACAAGCGGCACGTCAAACACGTCTTGCAACCATTTGGTGAAAATGAATGGAACCATATGGCCCAAGTGCATGGAGTCCGAAGATGGACCTCTACCAGTGTAAAGGAAGAAAGGCTCTCCGTGTTCATACAAGTCCAAGATCTTGTGCAAATCTCTCTCAGAGAAAAACACGCCTCTCTTCAAGAGAGGATGAGGCTCGTGGCCAGTGATTCTTTTAAAAGATTCAAGTGTTTCATCAGTGATGATCTTGGTACCAAACTGGGCAGAAAGCTTGTTGTAGTCGATACCTTTGGAAAGACCGTTTTCGTCAACGGCACCCTCGACCTCCCAAGGGGTGATTTTCTGTTCCTGGGCCTTCTTCTCTTCTTCGATTTTGAGCTTTTCTATGTCTACCTGATCAGCCATGGTTGGAGGTTTACAGATAACGGAGAGGTGAAAAAGTACTGATTAATTTGGCGTGGGTCACGTGGTTTCGGAGTGACTCAAGATGGTCCAGGCAAAGAAAGGACGAGTCAGGAGGGGACAAAGTGAATGATTGGAGGTGTTTATGCTTTGGTTTAGGAATATGGCTGGTGGGGAACCGCTTGGGTGGTTTTGTTTTGTGTTTGGGTTGCTGGGGGTGGTTTTATCGGTGGCTGCAAAGTGCACTAAGAGAGGCCTATAGAGGAATGGCAGAAGAAGGAATGAATGGAGGAGGTGGTTGAATTTTGGATTGTATTTTTATTTAAGGGAGTAAAGAGGTAGGTTAAAGTGGTACGGTTTTGCTTGCTTTATCTTATTGATGGTTTTTTTGGAAAATGGTTCTTGGCTGGTGATGCCTCTTTGGCTGCGAAAGACTGGTGGGTCAACAGTCAAAGACTGTTCACGAGGATGTGGAAATACCAGCTAGATTAAGATGTCTGTGATTTGGATTGGTTTAGTTTTCTTTCAAGAATCTGTACTACAAAGTTTCATAGATGTGGTTTTTGGTATTCTGGGTTTTCGGTGTTAGATCTGTACTTAAAATGGCACTGCAAGCACATATGGTGTTACTAAGGACCAGTTTATTGTTTCCCATTACATTATATAGACTGTAAGAAGATCAAAAGATCTCCGAGTTTCCCTAAATTGGCCATTTTGTAAGCCATAATTGTAATTCTAGCAGGACAAAGCATGGTTTATCTGGTTGGCTTGATGTAATTCTCTATATTATCTTACCAACATGAATGGAGCTATAGAAGTACAAACTTCACGTTTCTTTACTACCTTCATTTTTCAGCAATTTTGACGAACAGCTCCACTCTTCACTTACTCATCACATACCTCAAGCAGCCAGCGACTTATCATCACACGAGATGACGATAAGACAATCTGACAACTAAAAACCTACTTAACTTCATCAATAATTCCCAATAAACCTCTATTTTATTCTTACATGATCTACAAAACCGCAGTACCGTTGCAGAGTTTATTACATTATGTGACAGAATTAGAAGTTGAGCTTCTGGAAGAACCACTTGTTCTTACCGGCCTGGTGCTTCTCCTCCAAAGCCTTTCTCACAACCTTCTTGGCCTCGACTCTCTGAGATGGCTCGTTCAATGCATCTGAGGTAACAGCGTTCTTGAAAGACTCAACGTCCAAGGAGTATCTGGTTGGCATCAAGTGGTTGTAGTTGATGACCTTGACGAAAGGCTTGACCTTGGTTCTCTGGGCAATCTTCTTAGCGTCGTGTGCCTTGGTGATTCTCTGTGGACCTCTCTCGATACCAACAACAAGGGCGTGTGGGAAAGAGTGGCCCTTGGTGCCGTCGTCTTGTGGTCTGACAACGACAACCTTCTTACCAGCGAAACGGCCACGGGTGACAATAGCTGAACTGTTAGTATGATGATGTTAGGGGAAAGGTGAAATTGCTGAGATGCTGGAGTTTTTCACTTTTACGAAGACATGGTGTTTCTCGACGGGGACGAATGATGGAGCTTTGAAAATTTCACAGTATATGCTTTATGAGGCCACGATTACAGCCATGTTGTTGCTTTTCGGATTGGATGCTTCTTCAAGGAGATACATTGGAATAGGTCATAATGGAGAATTTCATGGATCAAACGATGGACAAATCAAACAGGAAGGATGGAGGATTGACAGCGTGAGCTCAGCAATTTCAACGGAAGTGATAGACGGCAGTACATACCAACTTTACCAGACTTGATGAACTTAGCCATTTTTGAGTTGTGGAACAGGTGAAATATCAAAATCCTTTTTTCTTCACTAAGTAGAAAATTTTTTGTGAGTAGAGGCTGCGAAGGATGTCGCCCTCTGTGCAGGCCCCACACATATACTGGTAAAGGTTTTTTTCGGTGTTTGTGTGCGACATTTTACTAGTAAATGGGTGGTTGTATAGAGGTAAAGTCGCGGTGGGGCGCTGAGGGCTGGTTGGCGGTCACGTGGCGTCTGTGACTGCGAAACCCACCAGTTCCCCAGTCCCCAAAAATACATAGAAACTTCAAATAACAGCTGGAGGGTGGTAATTAAAGGATAGATTATGTTTCTTACGTCAGTTGGGGCCGTTTTGGATGGTTTCGTGGGCCAATTGCAGTGGCTGCGAAAAACCAGTCGCACGATACTTAGTGGGATGGAAAGGTAGGTGAAGGTGTAGGAAGAGTGATTTAGGAGATTTGAATTTTGGAGGTTGGAAATGTGAAGAAGAGGTAATGGAGATTTTCATGGTGTCTTTGGATTTCCAGAAATTGGAAGTTTGGACGAATTGGCGGTGGTTGCTGTGGCTTTCTACTGGTGATGCGCATACTAATATGGGTAGAGAGAAAGGTATGAGGAGGTTCAGACAAGTTTGACTGGATTTCATATTTTGAGGTTTTGAATGGGCTCAAAGTGGATGGGTGATCTTGGAATTATGGTTTCCTTATAATTAACTATGCTTTGTGGACGTTTGGCTGGGGGCTTATAAGCCACTTATATCTTAAGTATGTACCAATTGGCTGCGAAAACCACCAGTACCAGAACCAGGTAATCCCATACAATTACAAATTACAATCTATATCGTTTTTTGCTTGAATATGGCCCAATTATCTACTTACTCCTTGCTGTCTCCTTTGCTTCTCTTTCAATGCTTCTGGTGTTTTCATGCTCTTGGCTTCTACAGACAGACTATGAGATATGTGTATTGGTACAACGTCACCGCTACTGTTTATTATTACGAGTTCTCGTAAGCAACTTCGAATTCATGGCTGTGATGCGTCCCTTGCCGTTCGATGGCGACTGATACCTGTAAGTGATGTTCTGCGTAGGGCTGGTGGGGGTGGTTTTGGAGAAGCTCGACCGACGAGACTCCTCCAGTTTGGCTGATGGGTTGTTGTTCACCGCCAATAACGCAGCATGGAGTGTATCGTTATCAGGGCTTACTGGGTCCTTGGCAAAGCCTGTGTTGTTGATGTTGCCCTTTGGAAGCGGTGGTGGTGGCTTTCTCTTCATACTTCTAGATTGCTTGGTTCTGCTCTTGAACATCAGACGGCCTTTAGGATCAAGGGTTTGCTTTGGCAGCAGAGGTTCTTGGTCTGAGGTTGGCAGTTGCACAGTCTTGGGCAGTTCTTGGGAACCCGTTTCGCTCACCTTACGGTTGCTCTTGGGAGGAGGTGGTGGAGCAGCGGCTGGTGCTGGAGGTTGAGAAGGACTATCGAGCTCGAAACTCTTTTCGCTGTTCAAAGGTGGAGTCTTGAAAGAAGGAGCATCCATAAGCTTAGGTGATGGGTTCAGCGACACCTGGGACTGTTCTCTTTCTCTGTCGAATTGTCCTAACTTGGATCTGGCTAAGGCAACAGTCCAAATGTCGACCTCATACTTATCCACCTCAAAAACGAAAGTCGACTCTATCGCTTGAACTGCAAAAATACCAGTCACTGGAATGATCTTTCCAAACTTGGCAGAGTGGTTCGTGACAACTTCCTTGAACAGGATGAATGGATAGTTGAGAAGAACTTCGGTCACCAACTTTGGTTCATTGCTACCTTCCTTGATGAATATCAAGAAGCGGCCATGGGTGGTCAAAACAAGAGTACAATTCTTTGCTCTATCCAACGAGAAGCTTGAACTGCGGCTTCTGCCATTTCCACCACTACCACCAGACTTTGAAGACGATGCATCAGAGCCGTCGTCGTTCTTCTCTGTGTGGTTCAAAAACTTCTTCAAGAACTTTCTACCAATCTTCGATGCAGACTTTCCAGTACCGTTGCTCTGGTCTTCCTTTTCTTTGCTTTCAACAGGAGACGTAGGTGGATCTTCATCTTCTGGGATACTCGTAATCTTAGGGTCAACTTCCTCTTCAAGGTTGAATTCAATCACAGCATCCTTTTCATTAGCGGCGTAAGGAGAAGACTCAGGTGCACTTCTCAAGCCGCCCTTATTACCTTGAGCCACCCTAGAAAGCATGGAATCTGATCCACCAACCTTTGCGACTGCTTGAAGTTGGTTAACATACTTCAATGGAGCATTGTGTATCAAGCCTTTATGTTTTCTCTCGAAATACTCTGTAGGTTGTTTGCAAACTATGGCCTGACCAACATGTAAAATTCTCTCCTCTGGAGAGTTGAGATGATCTTTCCAGGCAAGCTCAACACTGGAGATTGGTGGAACCTCTGGCTGCTTGGAATTCTTCCTTTCTAATTGTGAGCTGGAAGCGCTGAATGAACTGGAAGCGTGGCTGACACTGCTTCTCGAGAAGTTTGCTCTAGAATTGATGACAGGTCTCAAAATGTTGGTTCCTGGAATATATTCTGGGGCGGATGGCTTTCTAGCACTAGCACTTGCAGATGGATTTGACACATTCGGTTGGCTGTCATCTTCGTCTTGCTTGTGGAACACATAAGCTGCCACACTTGCAGCGCTATAGTTCTTCTTTCCTCCTGAGCTACTATCGCTTGTAACACGCTTCTGACCTGGCTTTTCTTGCGCTTGAGCGGTTTGGCCAGCGGCCTTCTTCTTGCCTGGCTTACGGATAATCTTCTTTGGTGAAACCTTTGGAGCAGGTGGCATTTTCATCATGGACTTGGCAGTCATCTTATAAGGACCCAATTCAGGCACAGGGGTGTTCCAGATGGAATCAGTGTCATTAAAATCGATCTCATGGAAAAAGTGATGCTTTTGGATTTGGTTAATCGTTGCTCTTCTCGAGGGCTGGAGTACAAGAACCTGCTTGATCAAGTCTCTGAGAACCAAGGGGAAACCGGCACTGAAGGCGTATTGCAATTTCGTAATCTTTTGGAAAGTAAGGTATTCGTTTGTGGCTTTAAATGGAGGTTTACCTGCAATCAACTGATACAAGATGCAACCAAGAGCCCAAATATCACCAGGCTTACCGCAGTACTTATTTTCAAGCAATTCAGGAGACACATATTCAGCAGTACCCACAAACGACTTGGCCCGCACGTCTAGAGGGTAATCTTCATCTTCACCAGTCTCACCGTTCTTCTTTCTTTCAAGAAGTTTGGCAGTACCAAAGTCGGTAATCTGGATTCTGTAGTTTTCATCCAAAAGCACATTCTCTGGCTTAATATCTCTATGGATAACACCATTGTCATGCATGTATCTGATGGCATCAAGCATTTGAGCACCGAAGTAACGAGTACATTCTTCGTTAAGCGTACCGTATTGTTTGATGAGTCCAAGAAGTTCACCATTGGCTGCAAAATCAAGCACAAAGTAAAGAGAGTGCTTATCTTGGAAAGTGAAAAACAAAGAAATCACACCCGGACAGCCACTAAGCCTGTTAAGAGCGTGTTTCTCAATATTGACGTACTTGACCTTCTTCTCCTTGATGATATGGCGCTTGTCTAGTATTTTTACAGCGTACTTCTTATCAGTGAGTTTGTCTGTGGCCAACACCACCGTGGAGTAGGAGCCCTCGCCAATATCTTTACCGAATTCAAAATCCTTGACCGTGCGGCCAATCACCTTGTAGTCGTAGCCACTGGAAGTGGAAGAAACGGTTCTTTCGGCACCGCCCTTTTCAGCCCAGTTGTCGACGCTTTCGCTACGCAACAGCACATCCACGTTACTGGATTCATCGTCCACGTTCTCCTGACTCTCGGTGTGGCGACCGTGATGTCTGTAGTTTGTCTCTATAACAGGCGGGGTCGACACCAACTGGCGATACTGGCTCTCGGAAGAAGGAGTATCGAGCAACACATTCAAACTCGAAGAGTGTAAAGCCGATTGGTTAGGCTGAGTAAAATCAAACGAATCACTCAGGCCAGGAGAACCTTCTCTTGCAGGAGTACGGGGCAGAGCTTGGGCAGACAGCTCGTTCAACGCCTGGAACACCGCCTGGGCCCTGGTGGGATTGATCTTATAGGAAGTTTTGCGTACTGGCGGGGTGTTATCGCCAACATGGTTCAGGTTCGAGTCCAATGAGTCCTGGGACTGGTTATGAGAAGCCGAAGATTGGTCTTGTTGAGGATTGCTATGCTGAGCATAAGAGGAGTATATTTCACCGAAATCTGGCAGCTGGGTTCCGGAAAGACCGGCACCGGACCCGGTACCCAGTCCAGAGTTCTGGGTCAGCGAGGTATATCTATTGGACATGGATTGTGGAAATTGGAACGCTCAGAAAGAGCATATGGGGTAAGCCAGCAACGGCAGGGGAAGGGATGCAACGGTGGAGCACAGGGGGAAAACGCACGTGACGAGAGAATGGGCTGGCTGGGTTGGGAACAGGTAGGTTTATGGGATATATGGCGTTTTCCTGTGATGGCCAGTTTTGTTTGGGTTGGAGGAATAGGAAGCCCAAGATATGGTTGCCATAATCTTTAAGCACTGCCAACTACTACACGTATTTGTACTGCAGGTAAGCCAGCCGGTGAGTGTCACAAAAGTGAGTTATCCAGGGTGGTAGAGGGAAGAAAGGGGTATGTAGAGGTTGGTGGTGAACGGAAGAGTATGGAAAGTTGGTTTTTGGGAGGACTAGAGGGGTGTGGTGGTGGATTAATGGAGGACCCTTGGCTACTGGAGGGTCTTACTTGTGTGCAGGAACATCAAATTTGGCAACCAGACCTAGTTCACCGAAACCCCCAGCAGTTTTGAGTTTTTATAATTTTAAATGTGCTGGTCGTGTTTGGAATGGTAGAAGTATACTGCTAGTGTCTTTTTAAATTTAATCGGTCGTGCGGTTCGGGAGAAGCGGGATGGCAAGCAGTTCCGTTCGGGAGCAACAAAACACAAAGATAGAGCAAAAGGAAATTTTTGCAGCCGAGTAGACAAAAAAAATAAACATATCCAGCAATTTTACGGATGAGGACTGAAAAAGTGCCCAAGTTGGTGGACTTGGCTTTGTGAGGTCTGCCATGGTGGCTTGGCTGGGTGATGGTAGACTAAGGACCAATTATATTCTAAGACATAGTAGTGTTCCAAGAAGTAGTATATTAGAAAGTGTTTTACTCTGATTGCAAGTGTTTGCCCGAATGTCCAATAAGTATACTTATCGAGGTAATTTTCAGTTGACAGCCCCTTATCGTTGCCATTGTTAAACGACCGATCGGAAGAACCAACATACAGACTCCGATTGTATTATGAGACAGTGATGTTCGATTTGGGTAATTATCGCTGGTTCGGTCAAGAGTCGGTGGTTTTGTGATCTTTTGGAATGTAAGGCCTGGGAGTGGTTGGATGTTTGTATGGTTCTCGTTTTGCAGCCATTCTCGGTGAGGAGGGATTAGAAAAGGAAGGATTGGTAAAGTCAACAGGTTTTTTTGAGGGTATTTATTTAGTGGTGCTAAAGCTTATGGAATCAAGTGTGAAGATTTGTGGTTAAATATTGACCAGAACGACTTTCGTGGTACTGGAAGGTAGGTTTCTTGGAAACAGCTGCAAGTTACCTGATATATCTTCTGAAAGGGATGTTGAAATGAATTTCCAGTTAATATGTCTTGAGATAATAAGTTTCTGTTTGTATGGGGAGCCTCTGGATTGCAGCATTTCGATATATATTCTACTTCCCCTATTCTCCCATCTGAATAGACCTTCAATTAGATAAGGTGCCTGGCTCACAAACGTACTAAAAATTCAACAAATTAATGAAATGGCCTTCATTTACGAGCATTAAACTGGTTTTGTTTCCTACACAAGTAAAGAGAACTCGTAACAAGTCCCCTGGTAAGCACTTCCCACCATACCTTTACACCATCTATCTATTACTCTTCCCAATCCAATCCCCTTATGATAGGATCGTTTCTACTTCTCTAAAACTCCAGAAGACCTTATTCACCCACATTTCACCACCCTCGAACCACTCTTCCCAGTTCCCCCATTCCCATTCCCAATTCCCACCACCACCCCACCAGCCAAACACACACCCCGCCAAAATAAGCTTCCAGTGTTCTTTGGCGCCCCACAAAAAAACCTTATTCCCAAATGATCTGATTTGAACGAATTCCAATAATCTTCTTCCTTTTTTCGTCATTTTTCCCTCGCCATCTCCAAAACACTATTGAGCCTTCCCAGGGTCCATTATTTTTCAGGAACAGCTGAGGTTACGTCAGATCCCAAAAAAGCATAAAATAGGCTAAAACAAAAAATATCAATATTTTCCAAACCTCCCTTGGACTTTCCAAATCACCTTGGTTTCTCTCCCTTGGCCCCTCACTCTTCCTTCCTTTTACCTGCTCCTCCCTTCCCTTAACCACCTCTATACGCATATTCGCAGCCAGTTCTCACGCTCCATATTAAACAATTATCAACACATTCTTACCAGCCCACTGTCCCTGCCAACCACACAAACCGGTTGTTTTCATTTGTAAATTGCAGATTATTGATTCTCCAGATTACGGCAATTCGAATTATTACTCCTTCCACGTGACCGTTTTATCTACTTCTGCCAGACTCCATCTTTAACAGTCCAATGGGCAATGACATATCCCCTAGAAGCGTCCAATCTCGTGGCGTATCTTCGGGCGTTCTCTGTGGCTACAGCAGACCCTGAGTCGAACGATGCCGCCACGATCATCAAGCCACTTCAGTTTGGCCTAAACAGAGACGAGTTGAATAAGTTCTATCTCAGCAACTTACGCCCTGAGTCTCCGCCAATTCCATACGACCTACGGTCCCAGGCGTCTACGGTGCCTGCTGCCCCTTCAGATTCGAAACGGTCGACGAAAAGTCACGCTAAAAAACGCAGTTCGGTTACAGGTATCAACAATGTGAAGAAGGAAACGAGAAAGTCTGTGTTGGGTCAGAAAGATACCGAGGCAGCAGACGTGTCAGATGGGTCAGTGAAGACTATAGGTCTTTCTGAGCTTAATTCGCCTCAGGATACGCTTCCTCTGCCACATTTGTCGTCTCCTGACGATACCAGAAAGCCTAGGAAGAAGAAGAACCCTTTGGTGAAGTTATTCCAGAAATCAGACAAAAGCAGCATTTCCTCGGGCCCCGAGAACTCAATTGACTATAGCATCGATAAGAGCAGTATCGGGAAAACTAGCAATGGCAGAAGCAGTCTCGATACGGCCCACGACCATGAAGCAAGAATCTACGAATCTGAACCTGAAATGCGTACTTTTACCATTGATTCAGGCAGTTCTTTGGAAAGACATGCTCTTCGGCAACACAGCACTGCCGATACAATTCAAGATAGCGTTCTTGAACTTCCTAACGATAATGTCACTAGTATTAGTGGCTCTTACCTACAAGGCTCTGGTGGATCTTCTACAGACTCTGCGTTTACTGATATTGAGGGTGATTCATTGATGGACGTTGGCTCGGATTTGATGTACGACTATTCGGTTCCTGAGAGTTATGTTCTCCAGGAAGCTAAGAACCTGAAGAAACAGAAACGAAAGATGAAGAAGAATCACTCCTCCGCCAGTCTTTTCTCTTCGGTTCAAAGAAGCAGTCTAGACGAAAATGGAGACTCCAAGAACGATAGGCCTCGTGCACGAAGACAGGCAGATTCGCTCAAGTTCGAAAAGATGTATTTTGCAGTGGGAGACAAGAACCAGGAGCCGGCTCCTTCAAACCTCAGTCGCATGATACTGTCGAAATTCAGATCTACCTTCGTGAACCCATTGAACTACTTTGGCTTTGTGGGTTCTGATGCTCCAATGCCAAATTCTCATAAGGTTTTCATTGACTTTTTCACTCCACCAAAAGACAAGCCTACTCTTGAAAAGCTACCCATTTGGAATTCGACCCCTGTCCATGAATGCATTGGTTATGTTCTCCTACAACTATCGAACATGTCTGAGTATAAAGATAACCTAGATAAGGAGTTTATCAACCCTAATAACTGGCGTATTGAGCTTATTGACGAAGATGGTGAACTTTATGATGGTAACTTTGGTGTCTTGGATAGAACACGACAATTATCTTCATACAACAGTCCCAACTGTTTAGCTCTATGTCGTGTGACCAAGCCAGGAGAGATTAAAAACAACGAAAGACAGACGCCTCTTCCGCCTGACTTCAAGCAGAATCTTGATACTTTCGACAAACATCCAGGTTCCGGTCATACTAGTGAACCTATGACGCCGCAGTTTGATACTCAGCCAGACCAAATGGGCGTTGATACTATTGAGGTGAAGGTTGATAACATTCCTGACAGTCATACGAACATCGTGAGTTTCTTCATCAGTTCCCATATGACCGTGGGCCAGCTTCTAGACCTTATCTGTCTGCAATATCAAATTGATCCTCTTCGATACCGTTTGGCTCAAGCTGATTTCCCTGACAAACAAACCAACATGTTGGGAGACGACATCCAGCTGTCGAAGAACAGCTGGCAGCAGCCTTTGGATAATGCCGTTTTGCTTTCAACGCTTCCTACCAACAAATTCAAGTTCGTGCCTAACCTATCACAAACCATCAGACCATTGACAGACGTAAGAATGGATAGTTTCAGAGACAACAACATCACTCCGTCCTCGGCCACCTACATACCTCACGGTATCACGCCTCCGACGAGCCAATTGGAAGGTAAAGCAGAAGATGTATCTGCAAGCATGACCGACGAAAAGGACAGAATGGCACCAGACTTTGTGCATGATCACGAGCCAAAGAAAGCATCCAAAGCCGATCCTGACATGTCGGCTATCGCTAACAGAGTCAACAAGCTCACTTTCGGCGATATCCTCAACCAGAACCGTCCAAGTCTTCCTGTGAGTTTGAACACCATCTACTTCAAATGGACAGTGTACCGTAAGAAACCCCCCATCATCAACCGGATTGAGAAGGCGCTTATTATAGACGGTGATTACATACACTTGGCCCCCACAGACGACGTTAACTGGCGTAACAACCCGGCGGATAACCCATTGTCTACAAGCAACAACTTGAGCCACCACCACTACTTGCATCACTACAACTACTCCAAGTTCTACAAAGAAACAATGATGAAAACCAGTTCTTTTCATATTACACAGATTGTCAAGCTCAAGCAGTATACCCAATCGAAGAACCCTAATCACTTCAAGATTGTCATCCAGAAGCCTGCCAGTGAAACCAACAAAGACAGCGCAGTGAAGAAGAAGTACGATCTAGAAGCAGAAAATGCTACCCAGTGCCAGGAGATTGTTGAAAAGATCCGCTGGACTCTTCAGGTATACAACAATATGATTGAAAAGTGAGTTCCTCGTTATGTCTATTTTGCAGCCATTACGCATGCACCATCTCCATAGTGTGCATCTAAGTTATAAGGCATCACCCAAATTGGAAAACCATATCTATGGGCTTATCTGAAAACTGGAAGCGCCTAAGTGCCAAGCAGGATGTTTCGAAACCGCCGAAGGGGAAGAGCTTGCTGAAGATACGAAAGAATAAGATCGTCAGCCCGACACAGCGAGAGCCAGGCCCTCAACCCATCAAGAAGAATACGCCAAAGAAGACTCCTCTAGAAACATACTTATGGGGAAAAGACACCAATCTGGGCAAAAGTGCTATTGGCAAGTTTGTTGCTATAGATTGTGAGTTTGTGGGTGTTGGAGACAATGACCAGTCTGCACTTGCACGTGTTTCGCTTGTCAACTTCTATGGTGTCTTACTCTTAGACACATTTGTTAAACCAGAAGCTAAGGTCACCAATTGGAGAACGTGGGTTTCTGGAGTGGCTCCACATCATATGAAAGAAGCGATTACTTTTGTCGAAGCGCAAGAAAAGGTCACCAGCATTATCCAGGGAAAGACTCTCGTGGGCCATGCCTTAGGAGGTGACCTTAAATGTTTAAAGCTAAAGCATCCCAGAAAGAAAGTTAGAGATACGTCCAAGTATTCTGGGTTCCGGATCGAAACGAAAGGGCATTCGCCAAGTTTGAAAAAATTGATTTTACAGCATTTCAAGCTCGAGATCCAACGTGGTCTGCATTCGTCAGTAGAGGATGCCAGGGCTACCATGGCCCTCTTTAGAAAGTTCAAGTCTGAAATCGACATGGAGAGCATCGCCAAGCATAAGTAAAGTTCTACACCCGAGGACTTTTTATCATGATCGTGAAACGTAATTCATATATAATGCATCGTCAATATACATAAAAGTATTGGAAAAATTGGGGAATGTTCCCTTTTTATGACTTTTCAAGGCGTTCGCCTTCAACAACACTGCTGATGCTTCTATGCATAAGTTGTTGTACCATCTTCATGCTCTTCATGTCACAGACGTTATCGGATACTTGGTTCTTGAATTCCTTAACCTTTCTGACTCTCTGGAAGTCGTACTCCTCCAAGATGTTATTCAACTCTGCTTCAGACTTTGACTCGGCGTACTCCTTATCCTGAATGACATCCACCATGATGTTGGAGATGGACGTGATAAGGTCAATTGAAGTGCTGCTGACCATGTTGCTTTCGAGTCCTCGTTTCACAAGGTGGAAGATAACCAAAGCGAAATCACGCAGAGTAGCGAAAAGGTGATTGTACAAGCGAATAAACTTCAACTTGAAGTTCGAATCGCTGTCGCTGTCAAAGATATAAGCAGCCAAAATAAGTGCAATCTTGGTTTCTCCACTGATGTTCTCCATATGGTCAATAACCGCCTTGGGAAGTGAATGCTTGCTCACACACTGAAGCTCCTCTTCCTCTGCAAAATTCTCCTTCAAGAAATCGTTGTAGGCAGAGTCAGACATAGACAAAAAGGCAATCAAAAGATACTCGTTCTTGTAAGCCTTCTTGGCGAGTCCGTCTGTCAGCAGAAGCTTATGTATCAACAAATTCTTCAAGCAATGCACAGAAGTGTGTCTGAACTGGGAAGTAGTAAGTCCAAGACAAATGAATATCATAATGTGGAGCTGGAAGTTCTTCTCGTTGATTTTATGGTCCACTTCACCTTCGAACTCGGTAAGGAGTGGCTCAAGCAAGTACCTGGTATCCATGATAGGCGTCATGAAATCCTCTCTGTGCTCCATCTTGGTAAGCATGCTGGTGGTGCAGCAGATTGCTGTTTGGTATAACGGCGGGAAGCTCAGTAAACTGTGACAGACAATGGTCCAAATGAGAATCGGCAAGTATTTCGAGTCTGGCGCCAAACCTTCCTCCAATCTGGCGTAGCAAATACCTGAATGGACATAAGTGTTAGGTTCATGGTACTTGTTGTCAACGAGCATCTTCATCATACGGCCACCAGCAGAATCACTGATACCTGATCTGGCAAGAGTTCCCACCAACGTTATAGCACGACGTTGGAAAAGAGATCCTGCGCTGAACGCCATCTCCATCGCAAGCGAAGACCAACGAGCAGTCCATCTGATACGGTCATCTGAAGTACCAACCAGAAGCATGAAGCTCTTCAATTGGTCACACAAAAGATCAAAAGCAGTTGCTCTGTTAAACAAATGAGTAGCATCAGATCCTTTGCTTCTGTCACCAGAACTGAAACCAAAGAGCATTCTGGCTCGCTGACTGGTGAAGTATTCAATAGATCCTTCGATTAACTCCCTTTGCTTTTCTGAGAGATCCGGTTTGTGGACGAAAGACTGAACTGTATTGATTGTGAGCTTCTGCAAATCTGGACCAAACTCAAGCTTAGGACTGTCAATAAACAAGGAACAGAAGAAGAACACATGCAGCAAGTAAAGCGAGCCAAAAACGTAGGAATTGAAGAACATGGCTGCACATATCTTGATAAGAACGGTAATCTCAAGAAGCTTACTTTGGGAAGCGATATCAGAATCGTCACTCTTGGTCTTGTGAATGCATGAAACAAGCCTTGACATCAACTCACCACAAAGCTCGACACTTGGGCTCAAAACAGAGATAATCAGCTCCCATTCAGATTCATCAGACTTGTTGTCAATAGCAAAAGCAATGATTTCATCCAAAAGAACAGACGTCAAGCGAAGGTCAGCAAAGAGCTTCTTCCAGACATAGTTGTTGAGAAACGGAAGCATGTTCATTGTCTGTGAAGTGATACGGCAGAACTGTCTTGCAATCTCAGCAACTCTCTCTGCACCGTTCTCCAACTCCATGAAAATCTGGCTGCCCACATTATCTATCCAAGGAGAGATATACATTATAGCACTAACATGGTGTTCTTCTGGTAACCTTTCAAAGTTGTTGAAGAAAGCCTTGATGAAACGGTAAGTATTCTCAGGTCTGTGCTTCGCAAGGTAGGTAGAAACACTAACGACAAAGTCTGTAGTGTCAGTTGGGAAAGCGATGCTTGAAGCATGGGATGGAGAAACGCCAAAATCGACATCATAGTAGGCAGACATGGACGAGAAGAGATACGAAGCTGAAGATCTAACCTCGGTATCTCTTTCAAGCAAGGCATGGAAGACAATATTGTAAAGCTTACCAAACCAGTGCAGCTCTCTCAAATCATCCTCGTCCTTCTTTTGTCCAGATATCTCTCTTGAAGTTCTAAGCATGGCAAAGTAAAGGAAACGCAAAATTGCCAGTCGCTGGGTTGAAGATATGATTACTTCATAGTTATACCTGTTTAGCGACATTGTGAACTCATTAGGGCTGTCAAAGTTATTCGAGATCTCACAACGAGTAATGTCCGCAAGCTGATGAACCTCAACTGGCGTGATCGATTCTGTCTGGGCAAACAGCGGCTTGAATTCGGTTCTATCAAAACAAATCTGCATCCATTTACGTCCAAGCTTGAGTGTAGCAGGCACAAACTGTTGAGTTGCACTTTCATAAACCTTGCAGTCATTGAAGATAACACGAACATCCTTATCAATGGACGTTGTGGACTCGCTCAAGCATAGGCTATTCACAATGTCTGATTTATCTGTCTGTGAATAGAAGTATGCTTTAGCCAGCGGATTCACGTTAACTCTTAAGGCAACCATATCTTCAATGATGCTAACATGCTTGTAACGAGGCAAGTTGAAGTAGTAGATCTTTGCACAATTCTTAAAGAAAATAGAAGGTGCATAGTTTCTCATCAAACTAACGTAGTTCTTGCCAATAATACCCATATAGAAGAACTGGGTAAAGTCATTGACAATGTAGAACTTGTTCTCCCAGACTTGACTGGCGGCTTCCAATATGAGGTAAACGAACGTGCTCATATCGTATCCAATATCCTTAATGTGACGGAAGTTCACCACAACAACGGGTGTACCATCTGGGAAAACTGCACTATGGATAACTTGGCTGTCAATTGCAAGCTCCATGTTTCTCACTGACATTTTGGCCATGAACTCGGCATACTGGGAGTTACCAAGATTAGCCGACGGGTCAACCGCCTTGTAGGAAGTGGTGCCTTGAAGCGAGATTGATGGTCTGGGTCTTCCCAATTCTTTCATGATTTTATCTAATCTTCTCCACAAAAGCACTCTCTCATGAAGGTTGCCAGCATTAACAAGGGGATCGCCCAAAGTCAATTGATGCTTGATGTAGACGAAGTAGGTGTAGAAGAACTTATGGATGTAGCGCAATCCAGTGTATGGTTTGACGGTCAAACTGTGGAATGGGTAACCATGAATTGGCGTGGTCGACATATCCTCAAGGAACAGGAAAATCTTCTTGTTAAGTTCTCCTAATCTTTCTGACCTTTGAAGCAATCCCTCCCATTTAAGAGAAGAGAGGGTTCCGTTGGCCATGTACTGAATAACCTTAACCAACTGAATAAGGGAACGCTTCACTTTAACGTTCGTAGTTGACAAATCAAAGAAAGACTCTGGGCTCACAATGGCAGGGCAGAAGAACCTAAGGAAAACGAAAGAACCCACTGCAATAAGTGCAGCATCCTCAAACTTTGCACCAACAGCGTTGTAGATCTCTGAGCAAATAAATTGGAAAGAGTCAGGGAACCATTTCGATGAACTGACGATTCTGTCGACAATCTTGGCCAAGTATTGCACGAATAAGTCAACATCAGCAAGCTCGTGGCTTTTCTCGACTTCGAACACAACAGAGTTTTCCATAATCTCTTCTATAACAGGCTTTAAGACAACGGTCAAATATGGTAAACCATCCTCTTTAGCAAAGATAGACATTAATCTCGTGAGTGTACTGTTCCTTCTGAAAATGTCCGTCGATCTAGCGACACTGCTGATCTCATCAGTTAACAAGGTCACAAACAACTTATCAAGCTTCTTGGTGTATCCGAAAAGGCCATGAAGAGACGTTGCCAACAAATTATGCTCTGCGGGAGATGCAACCTCAGCAGCAGCTCCGTAGACTTCATAGATATCAGCCATCTCAAAGACAAGCTCATCTGGGAACTCTTCCTTTGCGCTCTTAAGCTTTTTGGTAGATAACATATCGCCAAAAATGTTAAGGAAAATGGATCTTATCTTCTTGTTCTGGTGATAACCTAAAGGAAGCACAAAATGCATGCCATGCTCTGTGTCAGACTGAAGAATATTCGAAATAGACTTAAGAACATTATCGGTGATTCCCTGGATCTTGTACTTCGATCTCATCATAGTAGGAGATGGGTTAGGAGAAGTGTACTTCTGCAAGATCTTAAAGAAAAGCGAAAAATGATTCGAAAACACTAAATCCTTGCTTTGCTTTAAATTCTTCTCGCTAACGCCCTCTGGAACCTCAAAGAGAGAGTCCTGCAACTGCATTTCAAGACACTTAGAGCATTCACTCGCGAGTTCGATGTATAAGAATTCCAACTCTGAACTCTTCGACTGATTATTATTAGTGCTGGGCGTGGTCAAAACAGAATCATCTGTGTCAGCCTCTTCAGTAGATCCATCGAAGAAAACTGCCTGTTCAAGCCACTCAAGAGAAATCTTAGCATATTGGCTTCTAAGCTTGTAAGCACCAGCGATACCGTTTCTTTCCCTGTCCATCTCGATTGCAGAACATACTTTGCAGAAACGCAACTTCAACTTCACAAGATCAATTGGATTGGTAACCATGCCAGTGAATTTATGCAAGAACTCACACACGCCAGGCAAAAGAGATACCAAGACGAAAGAACCATCATTCTTGATCGCCGTCATGGCAGTGATGATTGCCATCATTTGCTCCATAAACAAAACACCCTCGCTGGTAATCACTCCTTGGTCAACATAGTAGATAGCAGCGTTCATAAGTTTGGTACAGACCAAATGGAACACAGCAGGGTGAGATTCATTAGACAAGGCGTCCTTGATAACAACCCTAACGACCAACTCGTTCAGTTTGAGTAGGCTGATAGCTCTATCAAAGAATGCAGATATGAGGGCCAAAGCTTTCTCTTTTTCCTTAGGATCATTCTCCAGAAAATCTTTGTTCAAGAAACAACCTGAAGTTGAGACAAGGAAACCAGTGTAATGTCTGAAAACAAGACTAGCATCAGTGAGTGTCGATGAGCTATCCACGATATCTAGCCATCTCTGGTAAATCAATAGCCAGACATGATATAAAGAGCTTGTAGGTGGAGCTTCCATGAGAATGTTCCTAAACTTCTTGTGTAGCGAAACAAAACCTGTAAAGACGGAGTCATCATCAAGAATCCTTTTGAAAACATGAGCCAAGTGATTATCGAAACAATTATATGGATGACCACCGTTTTCAATCTCTAGAATATGCCATCTCATCGTGAGCTTTGCCATGCCGAAAAACTGAACGTCGTGAGTACACAATGCTAAAAGAAGAATGATCTCGACTGCTTCACAAACAGTGTGGCATGCTGAATGTGAGCACTCATGTTGTAGGAGTTTGTTATGCGTCACATTCTTGTATGATATGTCTCTTTCTTGTAAGAACTTGTTCAAGAAAATGAAGCAAAGCTTGAAATTGGGATCCGTTAACGAAAAGACCGTGCAAGCTTCTGCGATTGCTTTAATTACAAGATTGGAGAAAAGGAAACTCAGACATTCCTTCACTTCGGTATCTCTCAATGTATGGCTTTTGCTTCGAACCATGGTCATTGCAAGAGTACAGGCAGATTCGAACAAATCGGAATTCCCATTAACAGACTTGAAATGAATGGCCTGTTTAATTGGAAGTGCCATCTCGTGAGCAAAAGATATTAAGTCTTTAAGCAATGCTTTTTGGTCTCCTCCCTCAGGGCGGGTCACCTTCTCTGATAGATACCCAATGTAAGCCTCAGGAGAGGCAGCAAAGATCTCAAAAAGCTGAGACATAATACGCTCACACTGACCAATGCATTTTGAGTTGTATGCTGTCTCAAAGTTGGTCTGGGAAACGGACCTATTAGATCCCGAGTCAACTGCTGTTTCCGAGTAGGTGCTTGCACTCTTGTCTTGTACTGACCCAAGACCGTAGTCGAGGTTGCTCTTCTTGAGGGATGACAAGAGTGGGTTTGAGTTCACCATGCTCTTATCCGCTTCCGGTAACTTATCTGATGGCTGTGATAGTAGCGATGAAGATGAACTTGATTCTGGACGATTAGAGTCAAACAGACTGAGTTTGCGGTAAGTGGTGAACAAAAGACTTTTGAGCGGGTCTCGTAGCCTTTCCATGACAGTTTGAAGTGGTTCCCTATACGTTTCGACATGAGCAAGGCCTTTGATGACACACATGCAAATTTCGATCTCTGGACAGATACACAGATCCTTGCATCCATCCTCGGATTTTGGAAGCGCAGCAGTGAAGTAGTTGACGAGTATTGGAATATACTTGTCTGGGTTAATAGCGATGGCAGCCACGTATAGGTCTATGGAAAGTTGGCGGTATTGAGCTTTTGAAGATTCATGAAGGCAGTTGGGGCCCATCTTTTTCAAGTTTTCAAACGTTTCATCAATATACTTGACACTGAACTCACGAACATCGCCTTTTAGGCCGGGGATTCTGGCGCCAAGAGAGAAAATATTAATCAAACTCTCGAAGCATTCCAAATTAGCACCCGAACTTGCATCCTTAAGAATCGAAGTAAGGAATTTAAGTCTCTTGTTGAATGCTTGCTTCAACTTGTTGGGCTTTTGAAGGAGCTCGTCAAAATCCGAAGGACATAACATGACAAACCACGAATGCAAAGATGGGGCTATTCCGACCAACTCCTGGTCTTCAAATGCTGTGGAAACGTAGTCAAATAACGTTTTGAAATTCTGCTCACTAGGCTGGCCTGGGATCACCTGTTCCGCATAGAAGTTGGGCCGATGAAGACACTGATACTTGATGTTATGCGAGTCAAAGTAAAGACATACTTGTTTCCAGCTGTTGGAGCGAACGTATGGCATCATGCTGTAGACCTGTCTCGCATACTGATCAGCGACATCTTTGGTGTAGTAAAGGAACTTGAGCAGGCACGAGTATTTATGCAACGCAGCGTTAGGAATATACTCACCTCTTTCGGCCCATGCAAAGAGCTTTCTGTTGAGAAAAGAATAATAATCGTTAGGGTTTGCAGCCGCTAAGTATCGGAGCACTAACAGGATATTTTCATCGATTTCTCGCACGTAATTCCGGATCTCATCGTGAGTCAAAGAAGTATCGCTCGTAAGTGAATAGTCAATGGGCTTGAATTTATCTGGCCGTACTCGACGGATATTCCCAAGAGCTTCTCGGTTGACCTCGTCGGAAAGAAGACAAAAGAGCACTTCCAACGTATGGTGTATATCTGTGTTGAGGAGCTCAGTAGGCTGGAACGAGTATATCATATAGTTTTCGCTATGGTAACCAAGATCAAAGTTGAAATTAACACCCTCGTTGGCTGTAATATTGGAGTTCTTGCCGATAGAAGCGTTCTTATCCCAAGAAAAGCGGATGATGGTGGAAAACAACTTCATCACCACAACCGTCGAAGTCAAGGATTTCTCGTCTCGATCACGAACTTTACGAGTATTAGGATCAATGTTAAGCTTCTCTAAAATAGCAGTAAAGTGCTCGATGATATCAGGCATGAAATCCAGCTGCCCATTCTCAGCTGAAGGCTTGGAGTTGGCAAGGAACAAGTTCGTGGTCAAGATAAACTGGGCATTGAGCTCGACCTCGGCGATGTTATACCCGGAACGGTTGGGGAGAATGTTCTCCAACCGGGAGCTCAAAGAGCGGATTAAGTCGCTCTTGAGGTCGCTGGAGGCCATGGTCTGGGGGCCTGGAGAAGCTGGTGTTTTCTGAGAGCTGGAGGCACAATAGGGGATTCTGGTTTTCGTAGGACGGGTATGTGTCTCTCAAGGATGGCCTCGGCTCGGCAGTAAGGGGGATATGGCCCGTGGTAGTGTAGAAGTAGCTCCAGGTGGTGAAGTGTGGAGGCTCGAATATGGAGATTTGGACTTGACTATGGTATGTGGAGGGGCACGACTTTGGTCTGGGGTTTGGCTACGGGTCTGGCTGGGGTTGAGGACGAAGGTGAAGGTTTACTTAGAGTATCTAAAGATGAATTAGGCGCTTTTTGTTGTGTTTTGTACTGGTTGTTGGCGGTTGTTGTTGTTGGTGCTGATGAGCAAGGTTTACCAGGACTACGGAGTTTTGCCGAGGCCGGCCGGAAAAACGACCTGGCAGGTTTTGGAGAGAGAAGACAAAGCGAGACTATATTAATTGAAGAGGATATCTACAGATTTGGGTAGTAGTAGAGAGAAGAGTAGTAGTTGGTCTGTGCGAAGATAACCGCCGGCTGTAACAGTAGTAGGAGCGGAATCTGAAGATAAGCAGAAAAAGCCAGAATAAGGAAAACGGAAGGAAGTAGACGACAAAAACAAAGTCCAGAGTCGGTCAAAAGGGCAAAAGCGGATTTGGATAAGCCAGGTTGGCCCAGGAAAACAACCCTAGGGGTCCTCTTCGTGGCATTCCAACACCAGTGAGAGCTGAGAATGGGACGATCCGGGTACACTGCTCCAACTTTTGTCTTCGATTTGGCCGATTTTCCACTTTCCCTTCCTTCCCTTTCTTTCCTTCCTTCCCACCTCTTTCTTTAACCTGTCCGTGGAGCCGTGATCGGAACCCGCCAAAGCCTAATCTCTGCTTTGTGCTCCGAACCAGGCGAATCCAAAAAGAAAAGTGTATAATGGATGTGCCACCAAAGGCGTTGAATCTACAGCAAGTGCTGTCTTGTTCTTAACTTCTACTGAAAATAGACGTTTAAGCTTTCAGTGTCTCAGAATATGAATACTCGTCCTCTACTAATTCTAAAAGCAGCCTCGGCAGTAGCCGTTCCTCGGCCCATTTGATGCAAAATCAACACCTCCATCAGCTGATACTCAATTGTCTATGCGGGCCCAGATTGCTTAGATCCTGGTACAACGCACCATGACGTTTTACCGAAAACGGTGAACGGTTTTTGTAAGGTACAAAAGGGGGAAGGCATGGTGGAGATCGTCCAGGCGGCTTATATAGCAATTGAGGTCTGGGAGTGGAGAGAGGATTAAGGGTTGGGGTTGAGGGTTGGAGAGGTCGTTTTTCAGAGATTCTTTGTTATCTACAGAGGGTACATTGTGGAGAGCTGAAAGGAATGGAAATTGGGTAGTAGAAAGTGGAAAGTGGAAAGTGGAAAATGGAAAGTGGAAAGTTTCAATGGCTGCGAAATGAGCAGTTGGTGGTTTGGAGTGGACAATGCCGGAATGGGGAAGGTTCATATAAGAAAGGAAGGGGTTTTGGCTTCTCCTTCTTTGACTACTCCTTTTTTTTTAATACTATGGGTGCTTGAAGGAAGGGGCCGTTTGGTTGGTATTACCTGAATAGGCATCCAGTGTGGTACACACATGGTGAGTAAAAACCCGAAATTTCATGGCCATTCAACTATTTTTTCAACTCCTGGACCCTTCACTACGTTCAATGATATGCCTCTACTACTAATATTATCAAAGAATTGACATAAAGACTGTTGATGGAGGTTTCGTGGTGGGAAGACAGTGGGTGTGGCCTTGGGAGGTACGGGTGTGTTACCCAACCACCAACAAACCCCCAGCTATCTCCACGTCCAAGCCTCTAGACCCGGTAAAAACTTCAACCCTTCTACTTCACCTTCTCCTCTTCCATTCCCCTTAAATCAACCCCCAAATGGCTTCATTTATCGATGTTTTTCACCAAATCTTTAAATCCACCTGCATACAGTCCCTGGGCCAATGAAAAAGTGGCCGCGAGATAAACCTTCAACGAAACCTATCTGTCTATTTATCGATCTTCTCCACAATGGGTGCCGCTTACCAACTCTTCGGAAAATCTGTCCAGCCACATGTCTTGGCCCTTGCCACCTTGGGTGCCGTGGTCTTCGTCGCTGCTCCTAAGCCTTGGGGCCCACCAAAGCCAACCACCCCAGCCATCAACGCTTCTTCCAAGGAGGAGGAGAAGTTCGTCCAGGACTTCTTGGCCAAGCACCTTGAGAAGCCTGCTGAGAAGCACTAGATTGTAACATAATATACGTTTCTGAAGACATTGACGTCGGCTGAAGCCGGTGATTTGTAGAACGGCCGTTTTGGCGCCCTCGACGCGTCAATACCGGTCCAAACCGAGCCAGACTTGGCAAGCACCCTACTGGTGGCCTATCCAACCCATCTATACCTCTCTCTTTCTCCAATTCCATGGTTTAGTGGGTTTTGACGGAGGGTGTTACGACCTGAGGTAAGCTGGTGTACGGGTCTTCCTCTGCAACTTCACCACCCACTTAGTGAAAATCTACCCCATCGCATCTCATCGCTTAAACCTATAAACCAAGCATTTCTTGCCCCTCCATCCCCCATGTCGGCCATTTACAAAGCTCTTCAGCAGAAGCTGACTAAGGAAACGTCAGAACAGACAAAGCACATCAACCGCCAAAGAGTGCTTGTCATCTCGTCCAGAGGTGTCACTTACAGACATCGCCATTTGATCCAGGACTTGACCTACTTGATGCCACATGCCAGAAAAGAGCCAAAGTTCGATTCCAAGAAGAACTTGCACCAGCTTAATGAGGTTGCTGAGCTTTACAACTGTAACAATATCTTTTTCTTTGAAGCTAGAAAGCACCAGGACCTCTATCTCTGGATCCTGAAGCCTCCTAATGGACCTACGATGAAGTTTTTCATTCAGAACATGCACACTTTGGACGAGTTGAACTTTACAGGAAACTGTCTTAAAGGCTCGAGGCCGATTTTGAGTTTCGATAAGTCGTTCAACGCTCTGCCTCAGTATGCGTTGATCAAGGAGATGTTCATTCACACTTTTGGTGTTCCTCCTAAGGCTCGTAAGTCCAAGCCATTCGTGGACCATGTCATGACTTTCTCCATTGTGGATAACAAGATTTGGGTGAGAAACTACCAGATCAGTGAAACTGAGGAACTTAAGGATAGTGATGTTGCTAGAGGTGAGGTTGATGCTGACTCTCTTTCTCTTATTGAGATTGGCCCTCGTTTTGTCATGACCCTTATTACCATCTTGGAAGGTTCTTTTGGTGGTCCAAAGATCTTCGAGAACAAGCAGTACGTCTCGCCTAACGCTGTGAGAGCCCAGGTTAAGCAACAGGCCGCTGAGCAGGCTAGATCGAGAGCTGTGGCTGCATTGGACAGAAAGGTCAAGAGAAGAGATATGGCCTTGAAGGCTGATCCTTTGTCCAACGAAGCTTTGTTTAAGTAAACGGGTTTTGAGTATGAAGGACTGGTTGTTTGGCGGTTTGCAAGAGGTCTCGTTGAGTGGTCTCTTCGAGTGATTGGATATTGCACCGTCATAAAAGGTGCTTCGTGGCACTAGGAGATGTTTCGTGGCGCTGAAGCGATCAAGATGCATCCATATATAGCATTTACGAGGAAACAGATTGTTATATGTAACAGAATAATAGACATGGTACAGTGAAGACGTGATGTGTAGCTCAACATTCCTCGATCTTTAAGTATAGTGATTCAAATAGAGGTTGCTAAGGAAAGAAGGAATTTGAAGGACCATTTTGGCAGTATAATTAAGTAAAATTAGTACTTCAGTCCTGAATGCCTAAATCCCTCGAATGAGCTACACATCATCACTTGGGGCCTTCAAAAGCCATAAATCACCTCCAGTCTCGGTTATCATCTGTTTAACCAACATCCAGATCCTTAAAATTCAACCCTCCTTTCATAAAAAAGGACCTCCTCAAACTCTACCACTACCCCTACTTCTGTCTCGCTTACTCAGTACCCCCAAACCTTAAAAAATACCCTAAAACACGTCAACCTACGTCAAACCAACCCCACTACCACCAAACACCCACCCTTCCCATTTCTTCCCTTCCTACTTCGATCCCTCCCCATTGCCCTACCCAACTTTCCCCCTCCACCATCGACACATCCTCCAAATTTCAACCTCCCTGAAATGTGTCATTATGTAGCGAAAAATAGCATATGACGTAGGTGGACTCCCCTACAGCGCCCACATTCCAATGTGAGACACCGCCTTGCAACGACACCCCAATTAACATAGCTAACCCAATACTAAGGTAAAGTGGCAGCGGCAAATCCCAAAAAGCCTGAAAAGTCGGTTTTGTCCCACAGCAAACTTTATACCTTTTTGTCCCCAGATTGCTGTTTTCGCAGCCAGTGGTTGCAAAACCACCTACACCGCCACAACCAGAGAAGTACCGCCAACAACAACAAAAACAGAAAAAAGACAACTCCATAGCGTGTACCTGAACTGTTTAAACATAAATTCATCATAAAATACCGTCTTTTCTCTCATCTACACGTCTCCCCTGACCCCCTTCTTCCTCCTCTCACCATACATATCCTGTAGAACATACCATCTGGATACCCTCCAGCATCACCACCACCACTGCACCAGCAAACCTGCCGGACACAAGTATATAAAGCAGAGAATTCCCACTTTTTTTTCCACCATCAAGGTCTTTTTTACAACTTAACTTTTTGCTGTCTTTTCGTTACATCCCTGGCCAGCCTCAGCCCCATGGCCTTCCTACACAAACTGGCGTGCCTCGTTTCTTAACTGCCTACTCTGCTCCTCCAGGTATCTTGAACCCATGCTGTTCAGAGACCAGTTCATGCAAAACGCCAGGGACAACCGGCCGCCCGTGCCGGCTAAGGATACTCTGGATTCCCGCAGAGGCTCCTTTTCCTTTGAGGCCCACCCGCAGCCTCAGCAAGCTATGCCCTTCTCACCGTTGAATGACCTGGGCTCCAACTTGAATCCACACAATCCTTACTTTGCCCAGCCTCTGGGTCTGCTGGGGCCTTACGGGTACCGCTATTTCGAGAGTGGCAACAGTGTGAATAACTTTGGTGAGCAACACGAAATGGCTCGGTTTCCCAGTGGCCAGTTGAGCCCACATAACCCGTTCGACGAGGAGCTTAAGGACCCGTTTAGGTCTGCGCTGGAGTCTAACGTGGATGATGACGACGTGGGTGCTGGCCAGACTAGTGTGGATGAAAAATTCAAGAAAAATGACCGAGCCAGGAGGAAACTAGAGAGAAGGTTGCCTCGCTTCCACTACACCAAGCTTCCGTACTTTACAATGTTGGTGACGTTGATTCAGGTGATTGTGTTTATTGTTGAGTTGGTGAAAATGGCCCAGTTCACAGGCTCGGCGTTCCAGACCTCTCCATACTTTAACCCTATGTTGGGTCCTTCTACCTATTTGTTTATCCATATGGGTGCACGTTATGTCCCATGCATGCACAAGCTCGATGGAATCACTTCTGATCCATCTATCCAGTTTCCTTGTCCAAATTCTACTACTGTCGAGACAAATGTGTGCAACCTAGATGAGCTCTGTGGCTTGAGTGGGATTCCTCTAGATAGCAATGGCTACCATCCTGATCAATGGTACAGAGTGTTTATTCCGATCTTCCTTCACGCTGGTTTTCTCCATATTGGTTTCAACCTCCTTCTTCAATGCACTATGGGTGCATCTGTGGAGCGTGCAATTGGTTTGATAAAATACGCTATCATTTATATCGCCTCCGGTATCTCAGGCTTCCTTTTGGGTGCAAACTTTGCCCCTAACGGTATTGCCTCTACGGGTGCTTCAGGATCGCTCTTCGGTATCATTGCCACGAACTTCCTTCTTTTCATTTATTGTGGCCGTAAGAATACCAATCCTTATGGCACAAAACACTACAAACTATTCATCCTCATCATGGTGATCGAAGTCATAGGTGCCTTTGTTCTAGGGCTCCTTCCTGGAATGGACAACTTCAGTCATATTGGAGGCTTCTGTATGGGACTTCTTCTACTGATACTCCTCCTCCCAGACCCTTCCTTCGTTTACATCGATGGAATCTACACGTACTACGCCGACACTCCTTTGACGAAACTCTGGCTCAATCGCTGGAATCCAATGGACAAATACAGTGACAAGATCAAATGGAAGGTGCTCACTTGGGGTGCCGTTAGAGTGGTGTGTCTCGTTTTGGCCATTCTATATTTTTCCCTTTTATTCGTCAACCTCTACTCTGATGAAATGGAAGAGGGAAAGAAAACGTGCGCTTGGTGTAAGTACATCAACTGCATTCCGGTCAACGACTGGTGTGAACAAGGAGAGGTCAGTGTTGAAAACGTTGACAGCTCTGGAAACACCCGCCCGGCCACCACGTCAGCCCCCACCCCAACTGGTCAGTCCTACTCACTTATGACAATCACTTCTCCAGGCCAAACGGTTCCTGCCGAGATCCCCAATACACAGAAAAGAGACGTTGCCGAATCTGTTCCCACAAACATAGTCCAAAAAAGATTCCACGTCGAATTGCAAAATACATTCAACCCTACACCTCCAACGTTGGGCAACCAAGAACTACCTTTCAGGCCCAGCATATGGACAGACTTCACCCTTTTGGCCGTCATGGCGATGATTACGTTCCGGTATCTTCGCAGGCGTCCACGCAAAAGCTAACTTCTTCACGATCTTTATGACCCAATACACATCCCTAGACATGACAACACCTACTGATGCCGTTTGACCTGCTGTTTGCAAAAAACGTCGTACTGTCGCTTTTCGCTACTCGCTCCTCCCATATTGCAGCCAATGGCTGCGAAACAACTCTACTCATATGGATATGCATTTCAATGACAAAAAGCTCCCATCCAGACATACCTCCCCCTTCTCTTCCTCTGACCCAAAAGATTCTCTTCCTTCTCTCTTTCCTGTTTCCACTTGGCCACCTCTATTCATCACCACCAGACCTCTGGTAGTGCATGTGCGACTACTCCATACTGGTCTGGAAATTTTCTCACTCATCCAGAGACTCAGAACATCGCCTATTATGTTACGGTCTATCCTTGCTAAAAGGCTGGTTACGTCGATGAGACTGGCTTTTGGTATGCGTGGTGTCAGTCCTCAGATTATCACGAAGCAGAACGACTTCACGTTCGACCCTAAGACCAAAATTACTATCTTAGATGAAAAGAACTCGGCAGACTATAAGCCATTCGACGCAGAGCGTGACATGCCTGGCTTCAAAGTGGCCCAATGGAAACACAAGGTGGTGAGAAAGCAAGACCTAGAAGCTTCTTACACTCCCGAGCAGGTGGCTCAGGTTATGAGTGAAACATACCAAGAGCTTAAGGGCCAGAGCCCGAGCGACTTTGAGTCCACCAACTTGCACGACCTTCCTTTCAGATTCGAATACTGCAAGCTTTTGCAGCAGAAGTTGGGCTTTGATATTTCAGATTATGCTATTAGCAGATCCCACACATTGGAAGAGTTATTGGGAGAGGTCAAGAACATGGTTACCCAGAGATGGTCCAGCGAGAGAAACCCTAACGCCATTGTGTTGCGTTCTGAGGACTTTGCCGGTACTCCTAACGTGTACTTGAACAAGGAGCTTCTGGAGGCAGAACAGAAGAAGCTCTTTGAGGAGAAGTTGGCTGAGGTCCAGAAGCTTTAAAGATAAGCATCTTGTAAATAAATAGCATTCAATATTAAGATGATAACGGATATATATTTTCTTATGAGCCCACACGAGGTCTCTATTTCTTTGTCACGTAGAACACAGCGGCTATGGCGGTGGCTGCAGCAAGCACACCAGGAATAAGCGTTTGGTTAGAAACACCGGGTATCAAGTCGCCAGTCAGGACAGCCTTGAGAGGCTTCACCTTGCCTACAGGGGCCTCGTCGTGTGGGTGGTGAAGGTAGATATCTGCCTTGGTGATATTGAACTTCTCGTGGACCTCCACACAATCTCTCAAGTCATGGTCAGAGGTGATAGAAACGATGTCACCTTCGTCGTCGACGTAGCTTATAGCGTAGTTTTCACCGTCAGCGAGGTTCATAGCTTCGAGGTCTTTCTTATGGATCTTAGAATCGATCACATCCTTCAACTCCTGAAGACTTTGTTCTGGACGAACAGTCACACGGTGAACACGGCTCTGAAGAGCTGGGGAACGAAACTTGAACACGAAGAGTCCTTCTCTTGCAGCGACGGACGCCGTTTTGCTCATCTGCTTGGATGAAGTCTCCTCAACAGCTGAAATCGAGTCAGAGGGGTTGACGTCGATATTGAACGATTGGAACTCTGAAGGAGTGACATCTGGAGCACTCACAGCAGAGTCTGAATGAATAGACTCCGAGTCGTTGTTGTCAAGGGATGTCCAGAACTTGTTCCATGCTGGTCCTTCCGATGCACCGGTCTCCTCCTTCTCCAGGTTCTCAATCCGCTTGATCTGGTTAAGCGTAGCATACGTAAGCCTCAAAACGTCCACAATACCAACAATTTCATTCTCGTCATCCACAATAGGCAAGTTCAAGTAGTGACCCTCGAACATCTGTCTCAAAGCTTGTTGGATGGAGAGCTTCGAATTGGCAAAGTCTGGTTGAGGCGTCATCACACGAACGACAGAGCACTTCTTTGGGTCAAGACCAGCGGCAATGACACGCAAAACCACATCCTTGGATGTGAAGATACCGCTCACAGTATCGTTAGTATCCTTGACAAGCACAGCAGTGGTTCTATTCTCCCTCATCAATATCGTTGCTTCATACACGGACAGCTTCACCGTGGTGTAAACAGTATGCGTAGAGTGGTCCAACACCAGCTCCAACGTAGGACCGTCCATCTTCTGCTTGAGATCTTGGAAATACTCAAAGACCTGGCGAGGCTGGTCGCCCATACCACCCATTTCGGTATTCACCGAGTCCAAGGCATCATAAAGCTGTTTAGAAGAAGCATGCAATCTCTCGAGCTTCTCCATCTGCTGAGCGTACGATTTGGTGATATCCAACACACCCACAATATGGTTCTCATCATCCAAAACAGGCAAGTGTCTGAACCCCTTCTCCACCATAAGCGTAAGCGCATCCAGAGCTGGCGAGCTGGCTTGCGTGCAAATAGGATCACGGGTCATAATCTGTTCAATTGGCGTGTTGTTGGCGTTCAAGCCCTGGCCCACAATCCTAAAGGCCAAGTCCTTGGCCGTAAAGATACCAATGAGACCTCCCACGTCGTCCACAACAAGAATACAGTTTTCTCTCTTGGCCAGCATAAGCTGAGCAGCTTCGTACACCGTAATAGAAGCCTTACAGACAATTGGATCCGAAGGCATTAAGCTCCAAACGGTTCCTGGAGCACCCTTTTTCAGGCGGTTGACTCTGGAGCCCAGGCCTCTTTTCTTGGAAAGCTCGTGTTCAATTTTCCTTCTAATAGCATCATCCTTCTTGGACTGCCTTTTCCTCGAGTCCGACTGGCCAGAACGACGGAATGACATGGCTAGTTGTAGTTGGTTGTGTTGATGTAGGAGTGTGTGAAGCGCAGATTTCCCGATTCGGGGTAAACATTACAGTGCCAGGCAGTACTTGGGCATCATCAGCGTAGTGAAAAATAAATTGATTTTTAGAGAAGTTGGAGGTAGAGGGAGGCTGTTTTTGGTGATTTTTATTGTGTTCAATTTTGAATTCTGATTTGTGAAAAATGCATTTTGGCATGAAAAGTAGCTGGGTATGGATGTGGGTAGGCATAGTAAAGGCAGTGAAGGTGAAGTGTCAATTGAGGCTGGTTGAGGTCTAAAGTGGGGTTTTTTAGGAAGATTGTTAACGCAAGTTTATGAATCATTTACTTCTGGGATTTTAAAAGGGGTATATGATTTTTGGTGGTGCCTTGTAGATTCACATATTACAGGTGATTGGAGTAATACGCGTATTTTCATGAATTATGGATGGGGATTCAAGAAGAAGGTGAACCACGGAATTTGCTAAAAGCTAAAGAAATTGGAATTGTCACAGAAGCAGTTTCCTCTAGCTAGAACATTGAAAAAAGCACTCAAGCACGGAACAGACTTGTGCTTTGTGCTGGAGATAGACGAATTTCACTTGTAGACTATGGTAAACGTCTGGTGGATGATCTAATGAACGAAACCCTAAACACCCCTTTGTCATTCGAGGCCATCATAGCTTGAATGATAAAGATTAATATACTGAAATATTTAGTCAATTTATCTCGGGTTTCTCGGTAGGCAGACCCTGCTGCCTCTCAGAGTACCCTTCCCAAGTCATTGATCTACACCTACTACCAGAATACCCACCACAAAAAAGCCAACCAACACTAAATCTTACGTTCAAAATAATCTTCTTGAAGACTCAATTATTGAATTACCTTTTTAGTGCCCATCTATTAAAACGCCAGCACTCTCTGCCATCGATGTAAGGGGACTGTTCCAGGTTTTGCAGCCATGGGTGCAGGCAACGGCCTAGGCTGGGTATATAAAGAGACGATTTTCCCCCTTAATTTCACCTCTGTAATCCCCTTTTTTAGAAAAAAATGATAGATCTTACATTTTTGCAGAAGATTGCAGACTTGGTCCGCATCATTCCCTTTGCATGGATCGTGCTTGACTTCATCAAGGATATCCTTATCTCGATAATCACTACTGGCCCAGCACCAAAACACGTTGGTTTCATTATGGATGGCAACAGAAGATTTGCCAAAAAGAAGGCGTTGCCATTGAAAGATGGCCATACTGCTGGCGCCATGTCTCTTATTTCTGTATGACCCACCTTCAAGTCCCAGTGACTAGATACACATACTAATCTTAGGTTTTGGAGACATGCTACCGGATCGGTGTCTCTGATATTACCGTGTATGCCTTTTCTATTGAGAACTTTAATCGTTCCAAGGAGGAGGTTGATACGCTCATGGCTTTGCTTAGAGATAAGCTCAAGTACTTGTCTCTCTACGATGACTCCTACGCACGCGTTAATCAGGTTAGAGTTCGTATTATTGGTAATCGTTCTATGATTCCTGCTGACATCTTGGAGGATTTGCAGAAGGTTGAGGAGATCACTAACGTGGAACTGTCCAAGCGCACGTTGAACGTATGCTTTCCTTACACTTCTCGTGACGATATCGTTCGTTCTATCCAAGAGGTATGCGAGAATGGGACGCCAAAGAGCGACATTGACGTACCGGAGTTGTATAAGAATATGTACATGGGGCCAGACTCGCCACAGCTTGACTTGCTTATCAGAACTTCAGGCCACACTCGTTTGAGTGACTTCATGTTATGGCAATGCACCCACAACTGCAAGATCGAGTTCGTGTCCACCTTGTGGCCCGACTTTAAGTTTATCGCCTTGTACAGCATCTTGTTGAAGTGGTCTTATTACCAGCAGAAGGAAATCAAGAGCCAGCGTAATGCAAGACCTCCGCCACCAGAAAAAGTGGTGGACATCACTGCTCTTCCACCACCACCTCCATTTGCTTCAGTTACAGGTAATTGAGCTCTGCTCAGTCCTTCGATGCTTATGGTTTCGTTTCCATATATCGAATACACGGCTTATTCTAGTTTAATCGTTTGGATGACCTTCTTCACTTCCTTCTTACTCCGTTCCCTTACTCTGGCATCTTCAATCTTGTTCAAGTATCCCAAGTAAACCACAACTTCGGCTACTAGAATAAGAATACCGGCGAACAAGCATAGTAAGACACGGTAACTATCTTTCATTCTGACAGAGCTGCTTGTCCAGTACCACACCGCGTACACAACACTGACAACACTGATAAATATATTGAAGATCGTGGTGATATGGCTTCTGACCTCCTTATGGGCTCTTGCTGGGTTCCAGTCATCGTCCACCTTCTGTTCATAAAGCTTGAATGGATCACGCTGGCTCTTCTGGACAAGACGCTGGTAATCATCTTCTCTAGCTTGAAGTCGAAGCTTCTCCATGGATGCTAGGAACTCCTTTGACTTTGGAATTTCTTCATTCTTTGTGTTTTTATTTGGAATAACCAACTTCGTGGTCTTAAGAAGTTCTAAAAGCGACAGACATGGCTTCGTCTGGCGGTAAAAGGAAACCAAGTCCAGGTGATCTATGCTTTCCTGAGATAGAAACTTCTTCTTTTTATCTTTATCCAAGCTTGATTGTTCGATCAATGCCTGTAACTTCTTGGTTAGTAGGAACTTCGTCATCTAAAGAGGTGTGGAGATGGTCTCTGAAATTCCGTGCGACTCACTTATCAGCAGTTTGACTCATTTGCAACATTCTGCTTTTTCCATTGAATTTCCTTAGAGTATTAAAAATGCCCACTGCTACGTCTACAGTGGTTGGAGCTTTGGCCTGCCAGAGAGACTCTTTTCTTAAAGCCTTTGAAACTAGGGTTGTTTCATGCAAAGAGTATGAGCCAATCTTGTCTGCGAGAGATAAGCAGAATAAGGGAAAGAAGAGCGCTGAAGACAAGCTCGAGAAAGGATTGTTTTCAGTGGAACTTGAAGATACTATCTTGTTTCCCGAAGGAGGTGGTCAACCTTTTGACACTGGAAAGTTCATTCTTCCTGACCTGAAGGAAGTAGAGGTTCTTAAAGTGTTAAGGCAAGAGCTCTCAGCGGTCCATGTGGTGCCAGAAAAGGTTGAACCAGGAACTGTGGTGAACTTAAAAGTTGACTGGGAGAGACGTCTCGACATCATGCAACAGCATACTGGACAGCATTTGGTATCTGCTGTGTTTGACTCATTCGATTTGGAAACTGTTGGCTGGTCAATGGGAGACTCGATCAACTACATAGAGTTGCCAAAGAAGGTTGATGAGAGTATTATTGCTGAGGCGTCGAGAATTATCAACCAGAGGATCGTTGAAAACTTGCCAATCAGTGTTTCTACCCCAGATGAGCATGGCCATGAGATTGACGTTTCTCACATTCCAGAGGACTACGATAAGTCCAAGGGTGTTGTTAGGGTTATTTCTATTGGTGATATGGACACTAATCCGTGCTGTGGTACTCACTTGAAGTCTACTGGCCAAGTCCAGGCTGTCGCTTTATTGCATCAAACCAACATCAGAGGAGGAAACTCTCGTTTGCATTTTACTTGTGGTTCCAGGGTCGGTAAACTCTTAGAGAAGAACTACTTGATGTTGAAGGATGTTTCGGGAAGCCAATTGTCGTGTCAGGTCGAGGAAATCGGCACTAAAGTCACTGAACTCAACTTGAATTACAGGAAGACTCAATCTAGAGAGACTGGTTTACTCAAGGAGTTGGCCAATCTCAAAGCAACTGCTGTCTTTGAAAAGTTCAAGAAAGATAAAGTTGCTTATATCTACAGAGCTGACAATTCGCCAGAGTATTTGACGGCGTGCCAAAAGGAGCTCCTTACACTCATCAACTCCAACAAGGACAGTGGAGTGAATGTGTCTGACAACAACACTGTGGTATTTATTAATGGAGACTACAAGTCTGGAACTGGCGGAATGGTCAAGATCATGGGCCCCAAGGCAGAAGAGCTTCTGAAGGAGATCAAAAACCTCGTCAAAAACATCAAAGGAGGCGGCAAAGGCGCCAGTTTCCAAGGCAAAATCACCAAGTACGAGAAAGGTGAGATAGAAAACGTATTAGAATACTTAGAGCAGCAAGACTAGTAACCGATGTCTTAAAATATATACAAGATTAACGCTTGACCCAGGTAGGGGACTTTCTAGCCTTGACCTTACCAGGCTTCTTTCTCTCAACTATTCTGTTGTCTCTGGTCACCAAGCCAGCCTTTCTTAACCTTGGCTTGAGCAATGGGTTGAACACGAGCAATGCCTTTGCAATGCCGTACATGCTAGCTTCAGCCTGACCGCTAACACCTCCTCCGCTACACGTAATGAAGACGTTGTATTGGGCTTCTTGAGCCACCACCTGGAAGGGGTATACTAGCTTGCCAGTGTCGATAGTTCTGGTGAAGTACTCAGTCAGCTTCTTACCATTGACCAAGATCAAACCTTCACCTCTGACCATGCTGATGTTTGCCACGGCATCTTTTCTCTTACCCACCGTGTTGGCTCTACCAAACTCATCCAAAGTTCTCACGAACCTCTGGGCAACCACCTTATCGGTACTGGTCTTTCTGCTGAACTCATCCAATGTCTGGATCACATCTTGAGGCATGAGCTCAGTTTCTATAACTCTGAGCTTGTTCAACGCCTGTGTAAACTCTCTGTAGTGAACAGCTCTAATCCTCGTACCGGACTGGGCTCTTTCTTGGTATTCTGAAAAAGAAATGAATAAACTCTCCTTGGCTTCCTTCTCGCTAAGAACACGAGTGGGAAGTCTATGATGCTTACGCAAAAGTGCGTTTAACCTGCTCATCACATCGTCATGGTATGGGTTACCACCGTAGTATGTTTTAAAGAGAGGCACAACTCTGGTTCTTTCGAGTTCTGGGTTGCTCAAGTTGGTATATGGTAAGCTTCTTCTGACTGGAGGAGGTCTGCCTCCGACCCTCTGGGGAACGAGTGGTCTGTTGAGATTTTCCTGGAGTCTTAATGCTGTATTACTGAATGGTCTCAGGAAGGAACGAAGTCCCTGGACACAGCTGCTGGGTCTTAGCAACGACATGGCTGGGGCAGGTTGGTAACTTAGTCGTTGTAGGTGAGGCTATAGAAGTTTTTTTCAGGGTGTGCGGTGCACATAAGACGGTTAAAAAGAGGGATTGAAGGTATAAGGAAGAGAAACCAAAGAAGAAGAGAATGGGATATGTTTGGAAAAAAGAAAAAGAGTAGACTTTAAATACAATTTCCCAAAGATAATGCTCACTGTATGCTTTTTTTATACTGCTGTCAAAAACGTCATGAATATGATGTATCTTCTGTAATGGCTGCGAAATCAATACATAGTACTACTGCGTCTCTTGTGCTTTCCTTGATTAGGTTATATAATACAGGACCAACGGTGTTGGGCTTTGCAACTATGGTACATCAGCATCACAGGTCATGCAAAAGAGACTTGATGCTGTTCTTGCGTGGAGCAGATGGCTCCGGCTTGCTCTGACTAGTTTCAGGAGGCCTGACTGGCGACGAGGATGCATTAAGCAACGAGGCAAGGTTTCCAGGCCTTGGGGCGGGCGCCGGCGCCGGCGCTGGGGCACTCGTAGCAGGCTGAGGATTGTATGGTTGTGGTGGAGGTCCGGAAGGTGGAGGCAGAGCTGCGGAATCGGCATTGAGAAGACTCATGATGGATGGTTTGACTCCTCCATGTTTGGCTGGTTGCAGCACTGGAGCTGGAAGAACTGGAGCTGTGTGATGAACAGGCTGTTGTGAGGCAGCCGAAGGAGCAGATGAAACACCTGGAAAATGTGGAGGCTGGGAAGCTGGTTCATACATGACTGGAGGAGGACCGGAAAGCAAGGAGCCCACAGATGCTCTCTTTGGCGGAACTGCTGGGAAAGGATGCTGGAAAGTACCAACTGGCACATCCGAGAACTTTGGAGCATGGGTTTCATAAGTTCCATTGTATTGCTCGTCTGGTCTGCGTCCGTACTCTTCAGGTCTTCTCTGGGGCCTGACAACAATGGTAGCGTCAACGTTGGAGATATGAGAATGTGGGTCCCCAACACCCTGGCCGAGTCTTCCGTCCGCATCCAAGACGATCTGCTGCCATCCGTTCTTTTCGGCGTTTCTTTGGTAATAGTTTCTCACCATGGTAGCAGTCTTTGTATTGAGCTTTTGGGCAATGAGCGACCACTTGGAGCCAAAGGAAGCAAGCATGCGTGGGAAATCGTTGACTTCAGTGATACTCCAGTAGCTGGTAATCGCCTTACGCTTGTCGTCAGATAAACTTCCATTTGCCAGGCGATCAGCCGATGGACTCGACAATCCAGGAGGAAGTTGAGAGGACCCATCAGTAGACATTTGACCATGGACGTCAGGCTGCGAAGAGTCAGTGCTTGGGAGGTGTACTTCCTCCTCCCTCCGTCTTCTTGTCTTCTTCTTTGGTGGGGCTTCAATCCCTTCTTCTGTTGTTGTCCGCTCGGCGTAATCAACGGCCTCAACTCCACGCTTGCGTCTGACCTCCTCAGCCAATTCGAGCGTTGGACCACCGATATCTGGAGTCAATCCTGACTCGGTATCTCTACCGCTATCAGTAGCTTCCACAGGAGCAGTATCGGTTGCAGTAGATGAGGACGCTTCTTGTTCCTTGAGTTTGGCCTTTCTTCTAGAAGGCTTTCTTGCGGAGCGCTTTTTGAACTGAGATACCAAGTACTTGTAATTAACGGCTTTCTTTGTCATATAATAATGCACCACGCATTCTTCAGCAGTTCTTAATCCACCAATAATTCTAGAAATCTCACCAAAGCGTTTAGGAGCACGACAGAATGCTTCACAGAATGCATCGTGTTCCTTTTCAGTGAAATTATCCATGAAGTCAGTTTTAACACGACTGGCCCACGTTTCTTTATCATGCACGATATTATTCGAATCCATGAAGATGAAGCTCTGACGTTCGATAGGATCGAGAATAAGATCAGGGATAGTGGCAGACACACGCTGAGCTTTACTCAATGGGTCTTCATTTTGCTCATTCTCCAAGCTCTTCAAAATTTCCTGGAATTCAGCTTCTGTAGTTACCAAGTCTCCGTGACGACGACCACGTCTACCTGGTTGTGGTTGAGGTTCTGTTGGAGATTGGGCGTCTGGAACTGTGTCGTTGTTCTTTGGGCGGATATCAATGGATTCGAGCTCCTTCCTAAAATCGTCGTCTGGAGGATGGATGATTTTGAGCTGCTCTTCAAGTTTCTTGCGTCTCTTATCATTCTCCTTCTCCAAGGTATTATACCTGATCCACAAAGCAAGACGCTTCTTTTTCACATCACGGTCCCGGCGATTGAAGATGTCCTTGATGCGTTGGAACTTTGAGGCAAATTGTGCTAAATTTTGCTCAAAGAAAGGATAGTCTTGAAGATTGGTCAATGGCTTCGCTAAAGTGAATCGGAGGAAACTTTCATCATGGTTTTGTTCTTTGGCGACAGCAAATTCAATCTTCAACGTTTGTAGCTTTGTATCGAGTTCTGTAAGTGGGGCAAAGCAGCCTTCTGGATAATCTATGGTATCGAGCTCTTCGGATGAAACCTTGACCAGCTTTAAGCTTTCGATGGACCTAATTGTTGATGGATCCACAGCCGGCTTTTCTTCAAGAGCAGGCTTTGGGTGGACATAACCGACGTTGGCAGGAATGGCTTCATCTTTGATCTTCACGTCATTAGCTTCTGGTTCAGCTGAAGCAATTTTATCCCTAGGCAGATAATCCTCGTCTTGAGTCTCAGGACGTTGGGTTTCAACCTGCGAACCTGTTGGATGCTCATTGCGCTCGTTCGCTTCGATGGTCTTCAAATCGTGAACAACTGATTCGGAAATCTTCTTTGCTTCCAACTCGGCATCTTTCTCGATCTCATCTGTAGTCTTCGATTCCGTCTCTTTATCGCTATCTTCCTCATGAGTTTTCGTGGTCACATCCCCTACATCTTCTTCATCATCTTGTTCTTCGTCTTCATCTTCATCATCTTCGGGGTATCTCTCATCAGGTTCTCTCAGGTCTTCGCGGCGGTACCTTGATCTTTCACCATAGTCAGAGCCGTCCTCCTCGACATCATTGTAATCATCGACGCTGCCATTGTAGTCAGATTTGGCATCATCAAAATCGTTACGGCGTTCTGAATAACGGTCAGTATAGCGCTCTTGGTATCTAGATCCACTGCTTGAATATGCTGGACTCCTAGAAGGGTAATATGAATCGCTTCTCTTCCCGCTTAAGCTGTTCGTAAGGCCGGCACTTCTCTTTTCCTTGTTGTTGTATGGCCTAGAGCCACTTAGGGAAGAGCGCGATTTATCTCTAGGACCGTAGGACAGTTTCCATCTACCTCCATACGAATCATCATTGTCATAGTCATACCTCTCTCTCTTATAGTCCGGGCCAGAATTAGATAGACTTCCGCTGCCTTGGCCAGCGCTACGGCCGGCGACAGGAATGTTGTTGGAATTAAAGCGGGAGGAGCCATAGGCTCTGCCGGAAGGCCCGGATGCTGATAGGGATGTTTTCGGTCTGTCGGAACGCCACAGGTCTCGACCCGACTCTCTCGGTATATTGGAGTTGTTGATCATATCTCTGGAAGTGGAATCTTTATAGTCCCAAACCTCACGGTGTTCACGGGAGTCTCTGATATCTCTAGAGTCTCTAGGATCTCTTTCACGGAAGTCTCTTCCTGAAGAGGAGTATCCGTAGTATTCACTGTTAGGGTCTCGTTTACTAGCATTGTAAGAGCCATAGGCGCCACCGCTACTCCTATCCGAGTAGTATTTGGAGTTGTAGCCATAACTAGGTTTCGAACCGCTGTATCTAGAGTCTTTTCCATATAGACTCAGCCTAGCACCACCGTACAGTGGGCCACTGTTAGATAGACTGGAGCCTCTGTATCGTGATCTGCCATAGTCATTTGCAGGGGGTTTATCGCTTCTGGGAGGGTAGGAGCCTTGAGAAGGCGAGTTATCTAGACCGGGAGGAGAATTTGTAGATTTGAAGTCTCGTCTCGTAGACCCACTATAGAAATTCTTTCTTCGTTTTCCGTAGTCATCACTACCGCTCCCGTACCGCACGTCCCTATCACGATCTCGGCCAATGGGAGGGCCTCCTCTGGAACCCGAGGACATGGTTGTTTAAACGTAGCTTGATGGTATCTTTGTTAATGGGACGGCTTGCTTGTAGAGAATACTCGTTGTGTTTGGTGCTCCCTAGTGGCGGATGGTGGTGGGAGATATACAAGTTAGTGTATGTGCTGGAGGAATCTCGAATCTAGAAGACTGAGTAACTTTCGTAGACTGGAAAGGGGCAAGTATAAGTGTAGGGGGTGTTTGAAGAGGTTTTTTTAGTTGACTACATTTTAGCATGAGTTGGACACCCGTACACCGTGATACTTGGAGCTACAACTGCTGGCTGATCACGTGAACTTACACAAGATTTCGATTTCCGAAGCCAATTTACGTGTTACCGGGTTGTAAAAAAGGGAGGAATGAGAGGAATGGTGATGGTTTCAGGTTAAGTGACTTATAGTGTTGTTTGGGCTTTTTGGCGTGACTTTGATCGTACATGTCAGAATCTGCGAATGAGTAATACAGGCAAGGAAAGTGTAAGATGATGCAGACGAAGGTATTATTATATGAAATACGGTCAGGATTATTTAACGCATCAATAATAATGCAAATATTTTATTTTCCGGCTTTTCAAGTTAGGTAAGACCCTTTCTGAAATGGCTGCAAAAACAGCCTGGAGCACAAGTACTGCCTTACTTCACCTACATCCAAATCCCAAGGTTCTATAATGACTTCTATGATTTTATATATTAGCTGTGGCCATCAGTAAAAGAGTCTCTTTAAGAGACCCACTTCTTTAATGGCTTTGGTGATATCGTCCAACAGAACGTTAGGACGAATGCTCTTACTTCCCACATCCACGAACCCCGTGCATGTCTTAGAAGCAGAAGCCAAGAGGATCACCGATGATGATTCCAATGCAGAAATAATTTCCAAGAACTCCCCCTTCTTCAACGTACCCAACATATTTTCAGCCACCTGTGCTGTGTGTTTGGTGTAAAAGTCGAAGAGCTTATTGACTGTCAAAGTCATGGAGGTGTCCCTGTCAAGTTTGAAAAGGCAACAAAGAACTGCCTTTTGGAGAAGGTTGAGTGACTGAATTTTAGTCAGCGAGCTGTCGCCAAACGTAGCCGTACAGACTCTAGCAACATCACCAATGAGGACTTTTGGAGCAGACTCAAAAGTCAAGTCGTCCAAAGACATTTTCTCCTTGGTCTGTCTCTCCACCATCTCAATGCTTTTGTAGCATATATCGAATGCTTTTCTAAGATCGCCAGTGACTGCTGCACATTTCTTGCAGCAAAGCTGAATAGCCACTGGATGCATCATTGGAACCAGAGAGGTTCCTGTGTTTTCTTTGTCGTCTACCAAAGATCTGAGTTTTTCAGTAATGACATTTTTGATTTGTTCACTGGTGTATGGCAAGAACTGAAGCGCGTCTGGCGTGTAACCATTAGACCTGAGCCTAGGAAGGAACTTATCTGTGAGGTCCAACGCGTTGGAAATACCAATGAGCACCAACTTGGTCGAGAAGACCAGACTTTTGAGTGTGGAAGCACACTGAAAAAGCTGGAACAATACCTGCTGGTCCTTGGTAATAAGATAATCCATCTCATCAAGCACAACCACCAAAGAATCCACGTCTTGATTACTGGTCAAGTAAGAGTAGACATCATCAAAGGACTTCTTTCTGCCATGGTTCTGACCAGTGACGTGACAGTAGATCTCGTGAAACACGTTATCCGCTTTACCCACAGTCATACAGTTAATCCTCAAGACTTGCACTTTGCGTGAGTAAAGATCATACACATGTTTCGAAGCTCCCGTCAACTTATCTAGCGAAAGGTTCACCTGTGCTGTCTTTCCCGTACCTGGAGGTCCTGAAATGTACAAACTGTTGCACTTCTTCTCGGTTATGCTAGACTTAAGGAACTGTGTGAACTGGCCAGCCTCAGCTTCTCTTCCCACTAAGTAGTCAAAGGAATCATTACTGGCGCCTCTTTGGAACACGCCCTTGGCCTTGGTGTATACGGATTCGACGAAATTGAGTTTCTTAACGCCCTTTTTCGTCAAAGTATGGCTCAAGTCCACCACAGACTTCTTCTCTGGCGTTGTAGGTGGAGTAGCCAACTGGTTATTGGAAACTGGCTGGAGAGCTCTTCTCTTGGTAGATGTTTCGATAGTCTGAGCTGATCTCTTCATGATGCAAGTATTAGGGAATTAAGGATTAGGGTGAAAAAATGAACGAGTGAATGGAAAGTAGCAATGAACTAAAGAACGGAAGTAGGAAGCAGCGATGTACTTAAAGCACAAGCACCAGCAGATATCCACCGCGTCTGGCCTATTCCGGAATACTAATGATGCGCGCGTAGTAGGAAGGGCTACCGCGCAGCACAAGATGGAAGCGTGAATTTCAACAAGGCCCCAGTCAACGGGACGGGCGGTGGATGAAAAGCAAAAAAAATTATACTTTTGGAAAGTGGGAATCGGCCTCTATTTATATTCCAAGTCGCTTCTGTTCCTGCCTATAATTGGCCGTTTTAACTGGTCTCTATTACTCTCCCTTCCCCAAGGCACGCATACGCGAAATTTATGATAGACAGATCCCGCCGCATGTCTCATCTTCAGGGAGGTAGTGGCCTGGGATAAGCTTGACTAGGTACTTGGTTGATCGATTGACTTGTGCTTTAGTTGTTGTATTGGAGAGTTGTCTGGTACTTTGGCTATTTGACTAAGTTGACTGTGTGGACTGGAATTGACCAAAAAGGCAGTATACGTGACTTCTGGGTGTCCATATATTCATATACTCAGATTCAGCAGCCCCATATCCATCAGACGAAGGTCTTGATCTATTGACAGATCTCATATTGCCATTTAAAGAAGACTAAAGAGCTCTTTAAATCAGCATCATCTTCCTTTCAGTTATGGAGGACTTGGAGGCCCAGTTGAAGGCCTCGGTGTACTTGAGTGTGGCCAAGATGGTCGAGGAACAAACCAATGAGATGTCTGTTTCTGCCAGCCCGTCGTTTATCGCTTCGCTCGTGGAGATTGTTTATAACCAGATCGTTTCGTTGGGCACGGATTTGGAGTTGTTTGCAGACCACGCTGGACGCAATGTGATCAAGCCAGCCGATATGTATATGGTTTCAAGAAAGAACGAGACGCTAACGAATGCATTGAAGGAGTATGAAAAGGCTCAAGAGGAGAACAATTCAAAGTAAAGGTGGAAAAGAAAGGTTGCAGAGGTGGGTTGAAGTGGAATGAGTTTTGCAATTGTGGAGTTTAGATGTGATTGAACAGCCAGATGGGGACACGAGAGAATTTCAGGTTGGGTTAAGCCGGTTTGAAGCTTTACTGATGGGATAGTCTTTATTGTACTTGTTTTATGGGCCGCTGTGACCTAAGGACTTCAGAAACGTTGTGATCGTCGCTTCGTCTAGTCGGAACGGGGCGAACTTCGTCAGCAAAGCCAGCTGATGTCGCTGATGGAAAACTTGACGGTTATCTGGTGAAAAAATTGCAAGATTTCTCGTTTCCTTCTCGACTTGGGTAGCACTTCATTTGGAAACAGAATTGGGAAACGACGAATCCACCAAAACAGGAAGCTGCATTGCAAGAGAACCATAAAGATCCCAAGCTAGTTCTCTCAGAGTTCTCTCAGGATTCCGAATGGAAATCAAAAAAATCAGGCAAAAAGTTTATTATCTTTTCCATCACGAGGCTTTCACTCGGAAGCTCACTCGGAGTTCCTCGGTTATACCCCACTACTACTTCTCTCGGACTTCGCCCAACCCATTCCAACACAACCTCCACCAAAAACACAGGCAAACATTGCCAAATCCGTTTTTGCCATACCTCCCCTACCTCTCCCACCACTTCACCTCCAGATTTCCACCACCGTGAATGGCTGCGAAACTCTGCAAACCCCACCAGCCCCACTGCCACCGCCATAACCACGCTACCCAACCAAGAACCAAAAAAAACAAATCTTCAAAACGACCAAAACCAACCCCAGTAATAAATCCCCTCAATTAATAAACACCTCATCCCTCCCTCTCCCTCCCAACAACCCTCTTCCTCTCCCTCTCCTATCTCACTCCGACTACATACAGCAGCGCATATATCCAGACAGAGTCCAACGGAACCCATCAAAACCCCATACTTACTCAGAAAACTACCACTCCCTTCACACAAAGCCATGGCACGTGTCCGTAAAGGCCTCTCCTACGTGCTAGGCGACACAGGCAGCCACGAAAACCACATTCTACCCATCAATGCCATGCAACTACTGGCCCACACCAACCACTTGTTCACTGGAGGAAGAGACGGTGTGGTGAAGGTGTGGAGCCCTTCTATAGATCGCCAGGGCGGGTTTACTATGGGGAACCTGGGCTCTGAGGAGCTGCTAGACCAGGATGTGAACGAGCAGTTGCTTAAGTTGGAAACTGCTATACTGTCTACCTCGTTAAGACATCGGGACTTGGAGACTCACTACGATTCTTCCGCTACGCTGAATAGAAATGCTCATTTTGATTGGATCAACGATATAAAGCTTGTGAATAATGACCGACTGTTGGTCACGGCGCTGGCTGACTTGTCGTTGAAGTTGATCAATCTCGATACGAATGATGAAAACGACGTGCACAAGTTCCAGAATGTTCATACAGACTATGTCAAGAAGCTTCTGTCGATATCGCTGCAGAATTTGGTTGTCAGCGGTGCCTTAGACGGCACAATTGCTATCTGGGACCTTAAGACGCTAAAACCCATTCTGCATTTCCCAAACTACTCAGGTACGCCTCACTTGCCTTCGTCTGTGTACGCTTTGGCTAATAACCAAAGTAACTTGATTTCTGCAGGCGGGCCCAGCAACACTATCAACGTTTATGACCGTAGGATTACTCGTGACGGTGGTGCAAACTTAATCAGACGCTTGGTTGGTCACCAGGATAACGTACGGTGTCTTTTGATGAACTCAAACTATATTCTCAGTGGTTCCTCAGACTCCACGGTTAAGCTCTGGGATATGCGTAACTTCAAGGTCTATAAGAACTTTGAAATGCATGATGATCCTGTCTGGAGTCTTACCACTCCCTATGCTTCCGCTCCAGGTCTTTTGGATGATAGTGCAGACTTCTCTGTGTTTTACTCGGGTGACAAGGCAGGTAATGTGGTCAAGACCGACTTGAGCTACCTTTCTACATATGTGCCAGAGGAGGAGATGGTGGAGCCTACATTTAGCTCTTCTGACTTGACTTTTGTTGACGAAAAACTTGGTCTCTGTACGTTAGTGGCCAAGGCATGCTCCCCAATCGTTTCCTTATGTGTTGAGAAGGATACTTCCATTTTTGCTTCCACATACAATGCCCTCAATCGTTACTATATTCCCGATACAAAACAAATGGCCAAATACCAATACTACCGAACCTGCGTGGACTATTGCATAAACCTCGATAGCCAGGTTGACGATGACCATCAAGGTGTGCTAGAAGGGCCTACAACTGATCAGTCTGATCTCAATTCCGATTTTTACGATATTGTCAGTCATCTTTCTATGGATACCAATAACCTTGACATTCAATCGTCCTTCTCTGGATATCCAATGTCTACTACCAATGTTGAAGCTGATAATGTTGATGAAAATGCAGAGTACAACTCCATGTTTTTGTGCATCAATGGTGGACCATCCACCGAGTTCGTGAACGCTTATAAAGAAGAACTCAAGACATCTGCTCCACCAGAGAAACTGACGGTAGACAAAACGCCTGTGGAAATTCTCCTCAACCCAATTCCATCCAGCCAGGTGATCTCCATCGCCTTCAATTCCGACCCAATAGACAGGTTCCCATTGAGTCCAAAATCAATAGTATCGAAGCGCATGCTTAACAACAAACGTTGGATGGTGGTACTTTATCACAATGGTGACATCAGAATCTGGGACATATTCATCTGCCAGGTGATCAAATCTTATCCAAGTAAGTCTGGAAGTGACAAGAGACTCACAGACGATGAATTAAAAGAAAGTTCTCGGGAAATGGACCAGATTACGCAAGATAACCAGACATTAGACACCTTCAGTAACTGGTGTGAAGTTGAGATAAGATCAGGAAAGCTTTTAGTTTCTTTGGTGGAAACCTCAGCGCCTAATGTGGAGATCTACTACGATGAAATGGTCAAGCTATACCCATACATGGCGTTAGAGAATGACCCATATGCCAAGGAGCACAGAGCTAGAGCCGGTGACGATGAAAGGTATCCTTTGGCTCTTATATTTCTCAATTCCTTGTTTCATCAGTATTCCCTCTATGAGTTGAAGAGTGACGAGAAGGCCAGAGAAGAGCTTCGACTCTCAGCTACCAAAATGAAAACCAGCGGGACTGGTTCCGAGGTGGACCTGAGCTCTGTGTCCAGCACAGTTGACGAACAAAAAAGAAAGAGGCTATTCTCTAGGAAGTCTTCCAGGGCGAACGTTGCCCAGCTTGCGGCAAAACCGGCCAGCTTCAGCCCTGCCCCCTCAGTGTCGAGTGCTGTCAGTGATTTGGCTGATGATCCACTTACATTAACCGAAACATCGAGTATCTCGGATCTGAATATCGCTGAAGATTCCATTCTCAAGCTTCTTCTGCTGAATAGACAGAAGTACATGGAATTTTATGGTCAGCATGGAAGCAAGAGAGTATCACCATCGGAGTTGCTTTTGTACTCCAACAATATCGCCTTGAATGGTAAGGATGAGGGTTCCTTATACTGTCCCTTCATCCCTATAGAGAAGCTCCCAGGTAACTTGCTTGTTATCGTATTCGAAAACTCGTCTGACTTGGGAAATTATAGAGACGTTTGCAGCTTCCACTTAGACGAGATATCGGAATTGGCATATCCTGTTCTGCCATCAAGCACCAAATATCACCTCATCAAGCAGCTTAGACAAACGCTTCCTCGTTGGATCGGAAATCCAATCTTATTCAACAAGTTCCCTCAAAAGGAATGGCCTAAGGTAGCTTTCCAGCTTTTCGAGGCTGACTACTTCAAGTATCCCCCAGACAAGAAGATTGGCGGTAAAGCACAGAGAAAGATCAAGAGACTCCCACCACTTGAAAGTTCTCTTAAACTTACGTCCCAAAACATGCTTCGGGTCCACAAAGTGTTACTATATGTGACTGAAAAGTTCGAATCAAGAACCCTAGAGATGAAAGAAAAGAAGAAGCCAGCCGAATGGTTGGAGCTTGAATGCAGAGGACAAATTCTTGATCCAAACATGACCCTCCAAACTATCAAGACCAAGATTTGGAAGTCAAGCAGTGACATTGAACTCCATTTCCGGAGAAAATTCGATCCATAAGCACCCGCTTTCTATATAGCGGGGCGTGCTGTGCACAAGAAATTTTTGAGATGAGAAAGTATGAAGAAGCGCACTGATAAAGTCTCACACAGAGCACATCCGGCCCAAAACATATACAAGCCATGGATGACGTCGAAAGATCAATCTCCCGTTTGTGGAGAAGCTTCAGGACGGTGAAGGAGATGGTTAGAGACAAGGGCTACTTTATTACGGACGAGGAGATCAACATGACCTTGGATGAGTTCAAAAGCAAAATCTGCCCTATGGGTGAACCACAGAGAAAGTTGATGTGTTTCCAGGCACAGCCTACTCCAGAAGCTTTGGAGAGATTCCCAGAGATGGGTTCATTGTGGGTTGAGTTCTGTGATGAGGCTTCTGTCGGTATCAAGACCATGAGAAACTTCTGTATCCACATCAGTGAAAAGAACTTCAGCACAGGCATTTTCATCTACCAAAACTCTATAACGCCCAGTGCCAACAAGTTGATACCTACTGTGTCGCCTGCCACCATTGAGGTTTTCCAGGAGAGCGATCTCATTGTGAATATCACCCACCACGAGTTGGTGCCTAAGCACATTCGTTTGTCCAAGCTTGAAAAGAAGGAGTTGTTGGACAGATACCGTTTGAAGGAGTCTCAGTTGCCACGTATCCAGAGAGAAGACCCTGTGGCTCGTTACTTCGGATTGAAGAGAGGAGACGTTGTCAAGATCATCAGACGGTCCGAGACTTCGGGCCGGTACGCATCGTACAGAATCTGCTTGTGATGTATAATAGCATAAAAGTCGAGAATATAGTTCATTAAGAAAGACATTAGAGTTGGAGATGTAGGTTTGATGGAAGGGATTAATTTTTCATCGCCTGTGAACAGTGGTTCATCAAAATTGTCATCTATGCATATTAAAAGGCTAGTCTGTCTTAGCTGGCCGTCCAGCCACTACAGCGTCCTCATGTCCTCTCCACCAGGTAACCTCTTCAAGCTTTAGGGCTATTTGGGGACTCACAGAGACACCATGACGACCGAGGAAGACAGAGCCAATCGTGATAATCACGGAGTCTGGAAGACCCAGAGTTATAAGCGACTCAATCACGAATGAACCACCCTCGACCATGACGCTCTTTATACCCAAATCGCCAAGTCCATCGAAAATGAGGTTCCAATTAGCTTCCAAGTCCAGACCAAGATCAAGACGAACGTAACGACCGCCGTCCTTCTCCAACAAAGACTCCTCCTCTTCTTTCACAGGAGCATCTTTCTTAACCACAATAAACGGTGCTATGCCAGCCTTTTGTAGGAACACCTGACGAGCAGTAGAAGTAGAATAACACCATCTTGCCGAAGGATCTACCACCACCGGCCTTATCATATGAGCACCAGTTTCTGGAAACCTGCAATTGAGCTTTGGATCATCGGTCAAAGCAGTTCTAGCGCCCACAAGGATTGCGTCATGACGAGAACGCTGGTAGTGAGTCATCACCTTTGTCTCTGGGCCTGAGATCCTCGTTCTTGTGCCAACAGCACCAGCTATACGACCATCTATGCTTTGTGCCCAAGTAAGGGTAATGAATGGCCGTTTGGAGCGAGAAGAAGTGGTCTTGTCTTGTGCATCTTGAAGTTTTTCAGACGTTGGTTGTTCTCCCAATTGAGATGTTTCAGCAGCTGGAGAAACAGCTCTTAAATATGTAGATGGTGTCTGAGGCTTGTTTTCTTTCACTCCATTGTGCTTCTTGGGTAGGTACGGCTCGAGGAACGAGCCTAGCGTGGGTTCAAGCTCCATGGAGTAGTTAGTTACTGAGATCTGGGGTAAGTGCGCAGGTGAGGTTGTATGGGACATGAGTGGTCCAAACACATCGTTGCAAAATAGATACATAGAAGAAGGCTGTTATTCTTAGGACTCTTTAAGGGATCTGTTAGTTATTGGGGTTAGAAAATTATGGTTTATTTAGAAGTTTGGTGGACTTGGCGGATGGGTACATTTGGCTGCAAACTCTGTGTTCTCAGGCCACAATGGCTAGGATGGCCTTTGGAAGGGATCAATTTACACCTTCATGTTCTTGAAGGGAGTCTTTGTTTAGTTGATTTTAAAAAAGTAAATACTCGGCTGTTTCTCTTGTTCATTCTGTGGGAGAAACGCCATACATACCCAGTTATCTTGAACCTTGAGGGACATACACTCAAAGGACTGAGACTTTCAACAAAAGACACACTAGAAGAACCCAATCTCAATTGTTCTTGCATTTGTAATTTATGTTCCAGGCAAATTATATTAGTTCTATTCACTGCCAGTCCGACAGCTCGAAGCAAGACCAGACTTATGCATGGCTATGAGCCACTGGTGGTCTCAAAGATTCCTAATGTATGGGAACAAATAATCCCATACCTACTAAACTACCGTCATCATGACCAAAATCTGAATAGGAAAAGGTTGAAGATGGCGAAGTGGCCCAATCTACTTGACACAAACAGCTTCCCAATCTCTTCCTTGAATCCCCACCTTCGTGGCTTACAATCACCTCCACTACAGTAATTCCCATTCACTGATTTGACCCAGCTGTGTCAATAGGAATTGCGCTTTTCCGGTGCCAGCCATAGTCCGGGAAGATCACAAGTTCGCCGAGGGATCATTGATCCATGAAGCAAAACTAGCTCTCTGGGGAAACTCTCTTGAAGATAGTCCTACCGACATTGCAAACAACTTAATTTATCACAGACGTAGAATCACAATGAGCCCTTACTGGCAGCATCACCTACTGAGCTACCTTACCATCTACACCCAACATCACAGCCCATTCCAACAGAACATTCCAATTCCAACCCCAAATGTTCCTTGAAGGACCTCCTCATAACACTCCTCTTGTCCACCTCCAACTACTTCTAGAAGGCTGGTGGGGCTCGGTGCGACAAGAGGACCCTGGCAGAACCAGCCAGGGACTGGCCCAGAGGGTCCAGAAGTCCAAATATCCCAAACAGGCAACTACTTACCAACAAAAACAACACAAACACCATAAAAAAAAGCACCCTTCACTACGTCACTAAAACGTCCATTGTAAGCGCCTGAGTCACGGTGAGTCAGGTGAGTCGCCAGCTGGTGAGTCCTTCTGAGTCTCTGAGACACGCCGTTAGCGAACCAGCCAGCCACCACAAAACGCACAAGAGAAAGAACGCAAAGTCAAGAAAGAAGGAGGGGAGGGGAAAAGAAAAAGTAGGAAAACTGTAATTTTCCAATCTGCTTTCCAGATCTTTAATCTTCCCTCTTCCCTCTTCTCTTCTCTTCCTTCCCTTGCCTCAACAATGGGTGCAAAAAACGAAGAAAAAAGACAAGAAGTGGACTAAAGCAAAGAAAAAAAGAAACAACCAGGCCATCGCAAAGCCCCATCTCCACCACCGTTTAACCCCTTTTCTCTCATTTTTCCTCTTTAAAAAACCCCATCCATCCAACCAGCCATCGCCAATTCCTTCCATTCCCCTTTTTCATCACCACAGGCTTTTTCGCTTTTGCTTCTTCCCCACAGCCAGAAACTCACCTCTTCCATTTTCCACATGGACCTGCCGCGAAAACCGTGCGCCTTGTGTTTACCTCGGCCCACCACGCGCCCGAAATGACCGAACCTCTTTGGATGGACAAGTATTATTCGTGGTATAAATAGGAAGAAAGTTTCCTCATTTTAGTGTTTTATTCCTTCCTTTTACCTCTTTTTTTATTCTTTCTGTGCCCACGTACCCCTATTTCGTGCCCAGTTGCTGCTTCTTCTGCACATTCCTGCCGCGGTTGTTGACGTTTTTTTCCCTCACCTACACCTTCCAGGGCCTTTTTCACTTTCCATCAACTACACTTGTTTCATTTGTCATGTCTTTTGAAACACCGTTTTTCGTGCCCTTGTGGCCGCTTTTCGATAAAGCCGTGACTGCCGTGCTGGGTGGCCGCTTTGTGCCTTCTGAGTTTGCCTTTGTCATTGGTGAAACTCCCTTGAGTACCTTCCCTCCAGTCGCTGCTGCCATCGCTGTTTACTATACCGTGATTTTCGGCGGTAACTTCCTTCTCAAGAAGTTCAACGCTAAGCCGCTTGTGTTGAACGGCTTGTTCCAGTTCCACAACTTGTTCCTCACGCTGTTGTCCTTGACTTTGTTGGTGTTGATGGCCGAACAGCTCATTCCTATCATCTACAACCACGGCTTGTTCTACGCCATCTGCAGCCCTAACGCTTGGACTCAGGAGCTTGTTACTTTGTACTACTTGAACTACTTGACCAAGTTCACTGAGTTTATTGATACCGTGTTCTTGGTTGTCAAGCAGAAGAAATTGACTTTCTTGCACACCTACCATCATGGTGCCACCGCCTTGTTGTGCTACACCCAGTTGATCGGCACCACTCCTATTTCTTGGGTCCCAATCACCTTGAACTTGGGTGTTCACGTCGTTATGTACTGGTACTACTTTTTGGCTGCTAGAGGCATTCGCGTCTGGTGGAAGGAATGGGTCACCCGTTTCCAGATTATCCAGTTTGTTTTGGACTTGGGCTTTGTTTACTTTGCCACTTTCCACAAGATCATCTACAGTTACTTCCCTGGCTTCAGAAGCATCTTGCTCGTCTGCACTGACTGTGCTGGTTCCATGAGCGCTGCCTACTACGGCTGTGCCATTTTGTCCTCGTACCTCGTCTTATTTATTGCTTTCTACATTGACGTGTACAAGAAGAAGGGCTCCAGAAGATCCAAGAGAGTCAAGTCCGTCCTGGGTGGTGTTGCTGCTCAAGTTAACGAGTACGTTACCACCTCTGACAGAGACTCTCCTGCTCCAGAAACTCTCCGTAAGAGAAAATAGACATGCTGCCATTATAGAGCTGCTGTGATAAACACTTAATAGTTTTTAATATTAGATTTGCTTAAAAACCTGCGCTCTCCACTTCGCTGAACGTGGGGATGCCCTCCGCAGCACCTTTCTTTTGAATTGCCAACGCACTGGCCCTCGTAGCAAACTCCACAGCGTCTGTCAATGCATTTCCTTCACTAAGCTTCAGCACAAGACCGCCAAAGAATGTATCACCAGCACCAGTGGTATCAATAACCTGTGCAACCTTCTTAGAAGCAGTAAATGCTGGTTCCGATGTTTTTGAAGCTGAAATGCTACCCTTGCTGCCCATAGTAATAATAACAGAACTCACGTTGTTCTGGTCAAGCATGCTCTGGAGTTTACTGGCCAAACGGCTGAAACCGTTGATCTCGTCTGATGCAATTGTAGCTTTAAAATCGTCCAAATCGGCGCCGCTAAACACTTCAGAACCCACATCCAAAGCTTCGCCTTCGTTGACAATAAGCAAATCAATCTTACCCAAAGTTTCTGGAGAAATAGGCTTGAATGGCGATGGGTTATAAGCAATATTAATGGTAGGCCTGTGCTGCTTCACCCAGTCAATTGTCTTGACAGTGTCAGGGTACTCGTTCTGCAAAACAACAAAATCTCCATCCTTCGAATCCTTAAAGTAACTCTCATAGTTTTCATCTGTAGGCTTCAATTGGCCATTGGCACCAGCGGTGATCAAAATCCTATTCTCTCCAGAACTCTCCACCAAAATGACAGCCACTCCCGACGAATAGCCCTCCAAAACAGCCACATGCTGTGTATCCACGCCAGCATTCACAAGTGCCTGCTTCAATTCCTTGCCAAACGTGTCTGCACCAACATTGCCCACCATTCTAACGCCATTGCCAGTGTTCTTCGACAACCGAGCACACGCCAAACTCTCATTGAGTCCCTTTCCACCCAAATGGTTTTCGAAAGTGTTTGCAGTGAAAGTTTCGCCTGCGTCAGGCACCTTATCGGTGTAAGTGACGAGATCGTAGTTCAAGGAGCCGACTATAGTGATCATGATGAAAAGTACGGGGTAGTTTGCTGATGCGCACTGAGAAGAGGTGGTTGGAGGAAGTTGTACTCCGAAAACATCATCAACTGACACTGGTTGAGTACAAGGAAAATAGGGGATCGGTTGGTTTTTCTGGTTTTACAGGAAAGTAATTGAAAACTTTAGAACGACTTTTTATCTTATTTTTATGTCTTACTTTGAGTTTTGATGGGTGCAAATTCGGCCATGGTGGGATGACATCATGGAAAACTAGGTCCGATTTCCGTCTACGTCGAAATATCTTTTTTTCTCCAAATTTCTTGGTTTTATCTTTTCTCGGGTTTTCTAACCTAATGCTATTAAACGGAATGCACTTTCACGCTGCAATCACGTATACTTCGCCAGCTATCATGCTTAGGCGAGCTTACCTTCTCTCTTCAACTTCATCTTCTGAGCAAACGTCAATGGCTTGTCAGAGGCTGGAGCTGGAGCTGGGGCTTCCGATGGTGGGGCTTGAGAAGCAGCAGCTGGAGCTGGGCGTGGGGTCTGGCGGCTTGGTGGAGTGTAGGTGGCCTGGCGACTTGGTGGAGTGTAAGTCTTAGCAGCTGGAGCAGCTGGGGCTGGGGATTGGCCGGCCATCTCGGCTTCCATGGCAGCTCTCTTCTCAGCCAAGGCAGCATCCTTCTCCTTCTGGACTCTCATCTCTTCACGGAACTTCTCCATCTCGGCTTCTCTGGCCAGTTTACGAGCAGCTTCCTCAGCTTCACGCTGTTCCTGTTCTCTTCTTTCTCTCAATTCCTCGATTCTCTGCTGCTTGACGCGCTCGATACGCTCTTGCTTGGCCTGTTCGAATGCTTCTCTAGCCTGTTCCTTCAACTCAGCCAACTTGGAGGCATTCTGCTCGTCAATTTGCTTCTTGAAGGAAGAGTAGTCTGGAACAACACGAGTCAAACGCTCCTTCAAGGCCTTGGCACTGTCGTGCTCCTTGCGGGCCTTTTCGATTCTGTTCTTGGTGAGTTCCTCGTGAGCCTTGACGTCTCTCTCCTTCTGAGTGGCAGCCTCGTCAGCCAAGTACTGCAACTCGTGCTTTCTGTAAGCTCTCTCGAGATGGTCGGCCTTCTTGAAGACAACCTTCAACTTCTCGTCCAAGTTCTTTCTGTCCTTGTTCAACTGCTCAATCTGCATAGCACGCAACTTGTCGGTATCCAAGTCTTCCAAGTTGTTCAAGTCGATCTGAATAATACCCTTGGCGTTGATCTCTTCGGCAATCTTTCTCTTGTTGCTGTCGGCGATAGCCTTCTTCTCTCTCTCCAATCTCTCCAAGTTCTTTCTTTCCTGTTCCTGGACCAATCTCTCCTGTTCGGCCTTTTGTTCAGCAACCAATCTCTCCTGCCTAGCCTTAGCAGCCTTCTCCTCCTCTTCACGCTTACGCATCTCGGCGAGCTTCTTACGCTCCTCCAAGACCTTGACACGGTCGGCGATCAGCTCTTGCTCCTTGACAAATTCGGAAATAGCATTCTGCAAAGCGGTCTCGCGTCTCTGCTCCTTGCGAGCCTCGTATTGTGGGTCAATGACCTCACGAGACTGAGCCAAGACGGAAGCCAACTTGGACAACTGAGTTCTGACCAACTCGGCAGGAGTGGCCTGCAACTTGGAAGACAAGGAGTCAGTGTAGGAGTCTTCGAATGGGTTAGATTCGAAAGTAACGACCTGGGATTCGTGGTCGATAGTCAAGAATAAGTGACCCTTCTTGACGGCGTTGACGATCATATCCTCAACCTCCAACTCGGACAAAGTGTACTCAGTACCTTCAATAACACCCAAAGACACCAAGAAGTCCAACTTGACGGCTTCGTAAATCTGGGAGACCTGCTGGAAGGATCTGATGGCCACAACCTCGGTCAAGGTTGGGATGTACTTGCTGTAGGCCTTGTCGTCCTTGATAACCTTGAAGACATCGGCAACCTTGTCCTTGGCAGTCAATGGGTGGAACTCGGTGTCGCTCATGATCTCGAACAAATCCTTGACGACTGGGTCAACGAACTTCAAGATGTTCTTGTTCTCAATAGAAGAGATCAAGCTGTCTCTGGTTGGGACCTGACTCAAGTTCAACAAGGAAGTCAACTTGGTGTGCTTAGCCTTCTGGTCGTCAACGATAGTCTCGTTAATGTTCAAAGACTTGGTTGGGATAGACAAGGTGGACAAGACGAGAACAGAAGCGTAGTAGCTCAACTCCTTGTCGGTAGCATTAGGAGACTGGGAGAACAAGTTGAAGAACTTGTTCCAGGCAGCAGCGTGGAACAAAGTGTTGTCAGAAACAGCAAAGATTCTAGCCAAGTTCTCGTAGTAGTTGGCCATCATGACTGGCTTTGGAGTCTTCTTGGAGGCGGTGATCAAAGTGTGGACGTCATCAACGGATCTGAAGGATTCCTGCCACAACTCCAACTTAACGGAGATGTTCAACTGGGAGAAACGCTGCTCCAAGTATCTCTGGACGGTCTCGGAGTCAGACAAGTCAACAGCATTGACGTTGGCGCCAGCAGTCTTACCTGGAGCCTGGGTGGTAACCCATTGCATATGAGCTCTCAACAATTCACAGAGTCTTCTGAACTCGGCCTTTCTGTTGAAACGCAAACAGAACTGGAAAGCCTGGTTGACGATGGCAGAGTAGGTGACCTCCAACTTGGAGTTGTTTCTCAAGATATCCAAAACAGCACGGTAGGCTTCCCACAAGAATCTCAACCAAGGAGTAACCAACTCTCTCTCAGTTCTGTCAGCCAGGTCAGTGTTGGACACAGCAGACAACAAGATCGACTCAGGGGTCTGAGAAGTCTCCAAGTCATCGTCGTCTTCCTGGTCCATCTTGATATCAGCCTTGGTCTGGGCCTCGTTCAACTTACCCTCAGCCAATTCAATAAACTTCTTCACAATCACCTGGACAGACTCCAAACCGTTTTCAGACATCTGCACGTTCTTCTTGTACTGGTGCAAAGCATCCTTGGCGACCTTACCCTTTCTGAAGTGGACAGCCAACTCAATAAGCAAAAGTCCAATAGGTTCCAAGTCCTCCACTGGTAAGTATCTGGTTCTCTTGGAGGTGATCATCTCGTAAAGCACCTCGAGAGCAGCATCTTTCTGGCCGACACCAATAAGGTCCTCGGCACGTTTTAACACGTTTTCCGGGCGCAAAGCCTGGTTCTTGTGTGCTGGAGGCATTGTAGGTTGGGATACGTGAAGTTTTGGATTCTCGTAGATCTACTCGATGCTAGCAAAATTTTCCAGTCGTGTGCGCACCGTTAGAAAGAGCCACTGGGTGGACAAAAATGGGTGAATTCAGGGATATATTGGTTGTTTAGGGTATAGAGATAATCAAACTGGCTTTATTTTGGCAATGTTTCTTTCTTGGTGGTTTTTGGTAGCAGGTCATCGTGGCTCCATATTGTATGGTCTTACTGAGACGTGAGGCACCAGTGGAACGGTAGTAGATAGTCATTTACACTCAAACCGTATATAATACTTTTTTGACTGAATAATTAGTATTATTCACTGCTAAGTATGACTTCTATAATCTTACATTTTCTATTTTATGTTTCAGTGTATCATTTAACGGTGGTAGTAGTTGGTAGTATGGCTGCGAAATGGCTGCAAAATAGGTGCAGATGGTACTTAACCATTGGCTTTGGTGAAAGATGTGTTTTCAATGATTACCTTTTCGAGTGCCATTAAGTCCTTTAAAAACGTACACTTTACGAATTGTTTGGAGATAAATGTCTGTCTTTGAGCTTTTTTCCATTGTGCTTATGTTACCTCATACTTACCACCTCTACTTCTCTAGAGATACAGACATAGTCTAATACTATTCCCACAAACAGCTAAAATATGAAAGTCCAAATGATCCAGAGTATCTTTTTTTTAAAAAAGTCACTTAAGATTTTGAAATCTTAAAACCTGCTTTCAAGAACTCCTGATACGTCTATTTGTAGTGGGTATTTCACTCGTTAACCACACCGATGGATATCCAACCACCACTGAGCTACTCAGATCCACCAAACCCACCTAGACATCCCAGAATGCCCAATTATCCCTTCCTCAGCCTCAAACTTCAAATCACGTCTGTTGCTGTTTTTTAAGCTCCATTTTTCTCCTTCCCCATCCCACCTCATTCACGATATCCACATAAATACTCAAATCTACACGCAAATATCATACACTGTTCATTCTATCTAAAAAGGTGGGAACTTTTCAGCCATTTCAGGAATCGACTTGGCCAATCCCTTCTTATCCAACAACAACACACTCAAACGTGGGTCAATTCCGTACTCGGTGAAGACTCTTCTCGAGTCGGTCTCCTGTAGATGGTTGGTGTACTTGTAGTGTTTATGGTATTTGGCGTTTTCTTCCAAAACAAGATCCTCGTAGTGGAAATAGTCGAACTCCTCGACCTGAGCAGTACCCTTCTTCTTCTTCTTTGGAGCATTGTCGTCCTCCTCATCGGCAGTAGAGCTGACCATCTTATAGATCTTAGACACCACCAAGAAGTAGTCAAACTCGTACTTTTCATGGGCATCCTCGGCCTTCTCCATCTCCTCCAGAAGCATCTTGTACATTGGTGGAACAACCTCGACTGGCATATTGATCATACGTTCGCTGACGACCCAGCCGACCTTGAGTTGCTTTGTCTGGTCCTTGGTAGTTTTGCCTGGCGCAAGCAACTTCTTAAGAATAAGGTTGAATTCGTTATCTCCCTTGGTCTTTTCAAGGATATAGTCAACCACAGCCTTGATACATGGCTTTTCAGCGTTATCGGTAAGGTTGATCACCGAGAGAAGAGCAAATGGGTCTCCCTCAATACCTTCAGTTTTGATGGTGGTACCCACAGAATTCTTTGTCAAAATCATATCAGCCAAGGAGGAAATATCGAATTGGGTAGCATCGTCACCGAAAAGCTGACGAAGGAATGTCTTGGTAGCATGGAAATCGACTTCTGGGTTCAAGTCAAAGTAGTCAAAGTCCACATTGACCACTTCCTCCATTTCCTCTTCGTTTCCCTTTTGGGATTCAACGTCAGAGTTGTCTGATTCGTCGGTTGAGCTGACGTCAATGTCTGAGTCTTCTTCGTTTCTTCTTTTGCTCATGGTGTGGGAAGATGTGGAAGTCTGGGGTGAGTATTTCAACCTGCGATGCCGCGATGCCCATACTCAGTATGTAGTTGATGGAGGAAAGGTGAGATACACAAAGTACGGTGGAAGATAAGGCAAAAAAAAAAAAAAGTATCTCAAGATTCAATGAGGCGTCGTGGTGACGCCGCTGATGCTATCTATATGACTGGGGTATGGTTGTTGTGGTTTAAGTGATCACACATTTCTCTTTCTTGTACTCATTAAGACGTTTCTTGTTCTCTTTTCGTTGGAGAGAAGCGCCGCTTTTGCCGTGAAGGAAATGGCCAAGATGTCTGTGGTGTTTGCGTTCTTCATGCTCTTCGTTGGCAGGGGTTGAATCTGAAGGTTTAAGTTTTTCAAGCTTCTGGTAGACGGTGTCCATGTCAACCTTCTCGGTTGCAGCCGATTCAGCCAACGCAAGGCCGCTGATGTTGGAATTTTCACTCCATTGACTGTTTCTTCTGAATTGCGGAGTGAAACTGATACTCATGTTTCTGCTGCCAGTCTTCGAGACAGACGCACATTCCTTGTAGTAGTTCATTTCTTCGTCCGTCACGTACCAGAGGTACCTCTGGCGTATATCGACATACTTTGAGCTGGACGGTAGGATTTCTGGGATAGGTATGCTTGATGTGCTTGTATCGCTGCCAAAAGATGTCTTCACTGCGCTTTCAAGCGAAAACGGCGTCGCAACTGAAGTGCTTGGCTTTGACTCCAGGTCGCTCTTAGACTCGCTTCTAGAGAGAATTGGAGTCAATGTGTCTTCAGTCCAGTACTTCAGCCTAGAGCCTCTAGGAGCAAACACAGGGCTAGCAGCATCCACTTTACTTCCCGATTGAAATGACAGAACAGAGCTTCCACCAGCAGTTGAAGATGCTAACCGGTAGAAAAGCATATATGGCCATTCCTTATCGAAAATCTCACTGAAAGTCTTCTTCACCACCTTCTTCTTCTTCATATCGTCATACAAGAACCACTCTGCATTGAGCGATTCTTCCAAGGTTTCATCCACAACATGGATATTCTTCCTCACAGCAGAAACAAAATGACCCGATGCAATGGTAGTTCCTCTGTGACACAATGCACTTTCAAGTATAAGCTTGAACCCTCCAGTATCGGTGTTGTCAACATCGTCAGCCACAAACGATGGCAACTCAATGACTGGTGGTATAATGATACGCTTGTTAGAACGGTTTGCCAGCTGCTCCGTTGCATCAAAGGAGTATCTCTTAAGACAGATAGGTAGAACTGGTCTTCTGTTGACGAATTCCTTGGAGTTACGAGCCACGCTCTCGTTAGCGTTATTTATATCGTTATCATCCGTGTAAAACGGTAAAAGACGTAACAACATCCATGCTGGAAGCATCACCTCCTTGGGCTTAGACTCTACGCTGGAGATAGACCAGATAGAGAGCGTTGAGGAACGTGTTCTAACACGAACCAGATTCGCCTGGGAGCCCTGGGTGCTATGTCTGGCTCTTCCAGGAGTGTTGAATGAAATGTTAGTGTCCTGAGGCTTATCCAGAGATAACTCAATGTCAGACTCATTAATAACCGGCTCTTTTGTATCCTTAGCTTCCACAAACGTCTCCAGGGGTTTGTGTAGACTATCAAGAGTAGCACGGCGTTCAAGCTCTCGCTTAACGGAAATGGAATTATTGAAGTAATGTTCAAGACACTCTTCCAATAAAATGGCATCTCCCGAATCTTTTCTATCGTTTTCAATGAACTGATCTTCAGGTTTTACCGGTGTAGCAGACTTTTCAGCATCAGGAACAGAAACAAACAAAATACGTTCCTTGGAGTACTTTGTATCGTCATTCTCGTGTTTCCCCAGATGCTTAATTTCAACCTTAAACGTCAACAATGGCATTTGAAGGGTTTCAGTCAAGAACTCAAATAGTGGAGCCACGTCCTGTTGACGATGGCTCATGGCCTCGTTATAGCCAAGTTTCATAAGGCATTCACACATCCTCATCGAAATGTCAGTAGTGATGAGATTGCCTGAACGCATCAAATTAACGTATACTCGGAGCAATCCCGAAAGCTGATGCACCAATGGGTTAGCATGCTGGTTCAGCACAAACAAAATAGGCTCGAAACTCTCCAAGTTGGCAAACATCAGAAACAAAAGAGCATCCATATAGCACATCACATTCTCCCAATTTTCAGCACCAGCAAACTCAATCGTGGCACCCAGGCGGTCAAACCCATCGTTCGTAATAAAATAACCACTCTCACTAAGCTGAAAGAATCGAATTAGCGTATACGTCCTCACCACATCTCCATTGGTAAACGGCAGCTTAAGAAGCGCAACCACCTGGTTCGTCGACGGCTGCGGCATCTCCAGCAGAAAGAAACTCTTCACTTGCACCACCGCAGACAGTTTCCCCGTATAGTTCTTCAGGTTATGCGGCAACACGTCGGCTGGATCATTGGTCGATGACGGTAGCCGAGAGTAACTATCTGAGTACCAATGCCAGAACAGTTCAGGAAAGGCTTCAGGGCCCGGGCCTTGGGCAGCGTCGTTGCGGGCCCGGATTTTGCGGAACATGCGAAGGGACGGTTTTGTGTGGTTTTGTGGGAGGGTGGAGGAGATGGACGGTGGAAGGTGGAAGTGAGACTTGGGACTTGGGAAGATGGAGTGCCGGTTGATATCAGTGCGAAGGGCTGGAGGCCTGGGAAGCTTGCCTGGGAGAGTCAGAGAAGCAGAAGTGGGGGAGAAAAGGTTGGAATGGAAATGTATTGATTTAGTGGAATTGTTGAAATTTGTTACTTTGTTTTGGTATTTTTTTTAGACTGCTCTTTGCTGCTTCTGTACTGTTACTGTGGCTGGCTCTGGTTGCAAGTCTCAGTGGTGAATGCACTGGGGTAATATAAGCTTTTGGATGGACGTGGGACGATTTGGTAGTTTTGGGTTAAATTGGGTTTGGACGTGTAGAGACAACGTGGACGGTGCTTGTTTTGGTATTTTGGGGCAGTTTGGATGGTTTCCAGTGGTTGGTTAGTGGCCTCCATGTGGATACTCTGGAGAGGCTTATGAGCACCAGCAAGCTTCGTGGTGGAGAGATAAAAGGCTGTGATTTGCTCTTGCTTCGAGGAAACGGTAATTGGGTAATTGGGGAATTGGTAGTTGGGATTGGTGTAATGTAACAAAGATGGGTTGGCTAGAGATCATGGTTTTGAGGTAGATGAGGTACTGCCATTGTTGGTATCGGTAGGTATTTCCGTACTGGAACCGATGCTGAATGGGCAGTGATGGGGTTAGAGGGTTCAGAAATTGGTAGAGAAGTTGATCGGTTTCGATGGGGGTTTTGATGGGTTAATATTAGATATTCTCCTATTTAGAGGTGTTGAAGGCGTCACCATGATGGAAGGCTTTGGCATGGCCTTTCGGGATCGATGGATAGCTTGTGAGCCTAGAAGGTCATCTGATAGGGTCCAAAAGACCTCTACGGTTGAAGCACCACAACATGGGCTCCATCTAAGTTACCATATGGAACAACCTGGGTTTTCCTCAAGAAGTGAACCAGTATGGGCGTACCCTCAATAGCGTCAACACGCTGCCCCAATCTGGCTACAACTGACGGCTCCGTCAATCTATGTTATTCCATTAGCCTATCCAGTTTTCAATACTAGCGCTCATTGCGCTCCTCATAATACATCACACAGTTAACTGGCAATGTTAAGCTCTTTCACTTTGCCGAGGATATCATCAAGCCGCTTTTCCAACTTCCCGCTTTTATAATCCGCTTTTGTCTTGGCATCCAACTTCTTTTGCACCTCGTTCAAATGCTTATGGTTTTCACTAAAGTACCGGAGTTGCAATTTAACAAATGCCTCAAACAGCGGATTGAGATATGAGATACGAAGATCCATCAAGCGAGGAAGTTCGGACTTCAACTGGCCATTGAGCCTTTTGTACACTTCTTCAGCCAGTGCAAGCTGTGCCTTGGTATCCTTCAATTTGAGTTCCAGAGCCGGATCAGCTTCGGGATTATCGGACAATTTGCGGACCTTGTTTCGAAGAGAGTCGTAATCTAATTTTTTGTGGGCTCTCTTCTTGATTGCCTCGTTCATGTCGACGTAGTATGAGTTGAAGCGGTCAATTGGGTTGAGCACTGTTTGGAAAAAAGGTTGGTTCAAACTTTCAAGAGTTTCGGACGAAATCGTCTTTGTCGCCTGCTGGTACTCTTTGGCAACGCTCTTAGCATCAACGCCGTAGAAGCCGGCAAGAACGTCACTGACATTCAGTTGCGCCGTGGCCAACGAGCCAAGCGTTTCCTTATACCGCCGAAGCTCCTTGTAAAGCTTTTCGGATGATTTTTCCATGGCACGGTAACGCTTCTCTTCGTAATCGAACTCCAAATCGACGGTTTCATCAATTTGTCCTGCTTTGAGCAACACTTGATTGCCCGCTCTATTGATGGCTTTTTTGAAGCCAGACCAGGACATGATGATCGGTTGAACTGACAATGGGGGGATAGAAGTTTAAATACGGTTCTTGGAGGAGGAACTTATGAAACTTCTGGAACAGGAGGTAGGCTCGGCAGTGGGAACCGAGAATCCCCGTAGTTGGGTAAGTGTGAGAGGGGCGGTGCCTGCAGGACATCATCAGTTTAAAACATACCTGAGACAGTGGCTGCGAAATTTGCAGCCATTCTATTACTTCTCTGTATCAGCAGGCAGGTGCATGATCTGGGTGACGAATTTACCCGAATAACGGGTGATACAGGCCACTGTAAGGACGTCGTTACGGATAGACGTGGTCATCAAATGGTTGAGAATCACGTGGTTGGGGATCAGTAGATGGAGAGCTTCTGCGTTAGAAGCATAGTAAGAACTGTCAGCACGACGTAACGGTGGTCTCTTGGAGTTGCTGGATGGAGTGGAGCTTGTGCTCACATTAGAAGTGGAATTGGCGTCTGGAGCTCCAACTTGAGGGATGTTCTGTGCATGGTTCTGTTGAAAGTTCGACAGCATCTTGTTCAAAAGAACATTATTAAGATGTGCAGGGAGCTGTGGAGGTTCAGGTAACTCGTAATCAGGCGCCTTGTTCTTGAAGTAATCGTAATTAACAAACATCTCAGGGATTTCACTCAGGTACTCGAAAGGTCCACGGCGGACTTGCTGGTCGTCCAAAAAGGAAAGTCTTTCGTTATAAGAGACATATTTTTCAGGCTCCTCAGGCAAGTGTTCAACGTGCTCAAAGTTAGCCACATCTTTAGCTTCCTTAGACATCTTGGCAAGGAACAGGTTCAGCTTTTGCTGGATAACAAACGTATCGTGCTGGCCAGCAACCTGGATGATGTTAGCATCGAAATCTGTCAGTGCATCCGTACGAGACTGCTGCTTCTGAGAGTGATTAAATAGACGTTGTGGGTCCAAGATCTCGAACCAATTGAACAAAATACCTTCCTGGTCTGTGGCCGTGGGCAACAGCTCCGACACACGGTATTCGTTATTGATGATGTAAAGCAACTTGTGTACGCCCAAAGGTAAGCTAATGGTGGCAGAGAACTCGTTGGGCCGAGCCGCCAGCGGCTTAAGCTTGATCACATCACGCCAGTTGGAGAAAGAACCGATTATAGACACCTTATTGATATTCTCACGGGCAGAATTCACCCATTTGATCTCCACAGGCACTAGTTTACCGCCAGCAGAGCCAGCATACTCGCCAGCGTAGTTTGGGCCAAACACAGGGTGGCTAGACACATCCTGAGCTGGAGATCGATTCAGAGATCGCGTCAGAGCTACGCTTTGCATGGACTCGTTACGACGGCCAAACGCTGGAGAGCCCGTTCCAGAAGCACCACGGCGGTAAGGAGGACGGAAACCATGTCTGGCAGCAGCCGGAGCCGCCACACGGGTGAAATCAACCTTCAGCAAGTCGTTAAGCAGACTTTTCAGGCTCAGCAGCACACCCTCGCTATCCCTAGGCTCCACGTCGACATCCACATCCACATCCATACGTTCTCCATCGCTCAGACCCTCGTTTTCGTACCCACTGGCCACGCTGTTGGTCTCACTAGTATCCTTTCTCACGTAATACTGGTTCTGGTTCAGCTGCTGGTTCAGCTGCTGCGACCGCCAGTCTCGACCGGCCCGGGCCAGCCCGTCCAGATCGGTATCTGAAACCTCGCCGTTCGTCGGCAAGATGTTTCGTTGCACATCCCCCGTGTCTGTTCCTAGAAGTCCATCACTCAATTCATTATACTCATCCTCAATCAAGTCATTCGTAAAGTGCTTATTCGTCTCCAGATCGTCTGCCAGGTGCAGATGCCCACTGGACGAAGCCTGCTCCTGCTTTTGTCGTTTCACCTCATGAAGAATCAAATCACTAAACTCCTCCTCTAAAATCTGGTGGGCATTGTGCTGCTGCGATTGGGACAGTTTGCGGACGCTGGCGCCATGGCGAACGGCGGCAGACAGCTTGCGCGTGGAAGACGTGTTGTTTCCCATTTGAGAGAGTAATTGAGATTACTGGGTTGTTTTCTTTATATATGGGGGGCAATGGTGGAGGGGGACCCTGTGGAAAGTTTGATAGAGGTATATTTTTTCTGAAGCAAGCGACTGCGAACCGTGGGGCGCCAAAGTGGTGGGTTTGGGGCACACCGTATGTGCAGGATTTTCCAATTTCTACATACTATACATGGGCACTTGGCCGGGACCCCGTGAGATGGGACACTAAAAAGGCAAAAATATTTAAAGAGGGCACTTGGAGATTGGGGATTTGTTGTTTTGGGGTGTGGAAATGCCTGGTGTACGGAGGTGACGTTGGTTCCTTTGGGCTCCCCGTTGTCCCCCACCAATAACACTTCCCAAACCGGTGCACCGAGAGAAACACAATTTCCACCCGAGGACACGCCAGTGCAGGTGGAAGCTTAAACTATGGTACTAATTATACTAAAAATTGTATGATTAAGCTTTGGGTGGAAGAAGAGGGGGGCTTCATTGCACCGAGCTCGAAGCACGTACTGCAGGAAATGCCCAGCACAAAGACCCACTGCCAGGGGAACCTCCAGAGCAAAAGGGCAGGTGAAGGTAGTTAGGGTGAAGGGAATTTTATGAAAATTGTATGAATAGGAAGAGAAGGGGTTGGTTGGTGGGTGTACGGGTTTTCAGGCCAATTCGTATTGTTTTGGGTGAAAAGCACTGGATCCATTGCCTCATATCTTCCCTTCACCTATGATGTAATGCGCTTTGATTGTTCACTATGGACATTCCAGGAAAGGCCAATTACCAAAGAAACGTATATATTTAGATATGAAATTTCCAGTGTTTTGACATTGACTGGCTCGGAGGCTTCTGCGTTTAAGGTTCCGGATTTAGGCTTAGCTGATTTCCACGTTTTGTGTAACCTTTATCTGTTTTGTGATCTCGGTGTTGATAATGGCTGCGAAAAGATCAAGACAAGCCAGCAAGGAGTATAAATAAGGGAAGTGGGCGTGAAGACAACGGAATATTAGTGGTTGAGCCTTTAAGTGTTGCCCTGTTTGTTTGTTTCTGGTGAGGAGGCCTGTGACCATCAGTGGATGCCAAGGTGTGGATGCTGATAAGGATCCCGGTTCCAGCCGTGCACATTTGTGCATTGAGTGATTTCCGGAATGTAGAGCAGGTTAAGTATTAGTGGCTTAATTTTGAAAGGAGGGGGCCGATTCACATGCTGGACGGTAAGAAAGACATGGAAGGGTCGACGACGGTTTACCATGGTAGGAGTCGCTCGTGGTATGCCACAGTTTACAGGGGTACGGATAGTATGGGAAGGTAGGTGGTACAAAAGTGGATTTGTATGGATTGGAGGTTTGGGGCTTTGGGTGGTGATTTTTTGACTTCTGGCGAGCTTAGGTCGTAAATAAGCCTGTTTGGGTAATGTTAGGGTGGATTAGGTGGACTTATCAGATAAGGAAGCAAGGTGGAAGATAAGCGGGCAAGGGAGGTCAAGTACTTCAGTGAACTAGTAGAGGGGATAAATGTAATAGAGGCGTATTTACTAGAATTTTGGTTCTTTTAAGCTAGCTGGGTTGGACTGTAGTGGCGATATTTAAGTTAATGTGGATTGAGCTGGATTCTGAGGTTGCCCAGAACTGACCCGAACTTGCTCAGGGCACGTCATAGCATGGCTTTGTTATATCTAAGACATGCTTAATTTTTGAGGGGACCAGAGAGCATGGTTGGGCGTCTTTAAGTTCCTTCAACGCCATCTTGGTCATAACAGAAACGCCAACACCTTGGACCAAAGCAAGCTCGTAAGCGTCATCTTTCTTCCATTTCACGAAAAGTTACACAACTGAAGAAATCCGAGGGTCGGGAGAAAAGAGGATCTCTTTGTGTTTCGGTTATGAATCCACTGTTTACCGTTATGAGCTGGGTTAGTCCAGCCATCACTCCAAAATTGGACTAAGGTGGTCAAAGAACTTTAAAAGAGCCATTTAATTAGAAGAGCGGTTATTGTAATGTACAAAAAAGTATTATAGACATCGTTACCATCCTTCATGAGCTTTTCAAAGAATCAGTATGTGCTAGAAAATACATTATTTGATCATGAGCCAGCAATTAATCAAATATAATTTTTTGTTATTAATCACACTCTCTGTCAGATATTAGATGACTTGACAGCTGTCCCTTCACTTATCGTAGGCTACTTGGTGTCCATCTACCATTGACCAGCTCCCCAACTTGAATCTGACGAACCCAAAAGCTTCCCATCGTCAAGAATTTCTCTATGGGCAAAGAAAGAGTAGAATGAACGGTAAAATAGAGTAACCCAACTCCAGCTCAAGACCAATGACCAATGACCAATTGACCTGGCAAAGTTACTACCCGTAAAGTAGGATAAGTATGCACCAGCCAGGTAAAGCCCACCATTAGAAAAACAAAAGAAAAGTAGTAAATAAAAAAAAAATATTTACCAGAATAATATAAGAACCCCATTCACTCAGCACAACTTAACATCACAACCTAGCACAGAGTCAACCGTATATACACAAACCAGTAGTGAGTCTAGTCCTGAGGAAGTACAGACTTTGCCAGTAAACGCACCAGCAGTAGCCTGAAAAACTGCCAACCGAGAACCACCAGAAGCCACAAAACCCCCACCAAAGTGTACCAGGAAACAAAAAACAAAACTTTAAAAAAAGACTTTCCCTTCTCTTCAATGTCAAAAAGACCAAAAACCAACTAAATTCCAATTCTATCATTTTTCCTGGTAACTTCCCTCTCTTGGTGTCTCTGGGGCCGAACACTGGACCCTGCGGGCCTCCATATTTTCCACTTCCACTCCATACTGAGCGCGCATCAGATCATCAACAACCGAGAACCACCAACCGAGAACCACCAACCAAGAACCACAATAACTTCCATATAGCCTGTGATGGTGGCTGCGACGTACGATACGCGTCCGCGGGAGGAACGCGACTATAAAGAGATATATCCTGATCTTGATGAAACACAGCGGTTGGGTGTGGTGGTGGTGGAAGACCCTCCATCTCTGGACCTTCAGGTTGTCCAGGCACCGGCGTGGATACCTACGACGAAACCTGTTTTTACTAGACGTGAACGGAAGGCGAGTGCTGTGACGCGTATGTCGAAGACGCTTATAGAGCATGGGTTTCGGGCATCGCACCGTGCTGGTGGTGTGAAGCCTTCATATATTAGAGAGCATACTGGAGAGGGCCAGGTGGGAAGACGCCAGGTTCGGTACGATTTGGACGAGCAGGATGAACTGTTTTTGGCCTGGCGTAATGAACTTCTGCTGGCCAGAGTGACGCTTCTGCGTGAAGCGTTTGAGCTTGTGATTACAGCGCTTGAAGAGGAATGGCATCGCTTAGAGGTCCGAATGGGCGGAATGGGCGGTGGAGAATTGGATGAAGATGAAGGCGAGTTGGATGAGAGTTTTGAAAAGTATGGGAATGACGATGGAATCGCTGGCGCTGGCCTGATGCTGGAACAGCGTTGTGCGGTGTGTAACGACCTGGAGGGCCATAACGGGAACGCTATAGTGTTCTGTGATGGCTGTAACATTGCCGTGCACCAGGAATGTTACGGTATAGCATTTATCCCTGAAGGCCAATGGTTCTGCCGAAGATGTATGCTTGTGAGGGGCCATAGCGATTGCAGTTTTTGTCCTTCTAGACTGGGCGCTTTTAAACAATTGGATAACGGGCTCTGGAGCCATGTTGTGTGCGCTTTATGGATCCCTGAAGTTTACTTTGCCAATCCAATCTACATGGAACCAATTGAAGGCGTGGGTGCTGTCCCCAAGACCCGTTGGAAATTGGTGTGTTACATCTGCAAACAGAAGGTCGGCGCATGTATCCAGTGTACGAATCGACTGTGTTTCCAGGCTTACCATGTCACTTGTGCCAAAAGAGCTGGTCTCTATATGGCCATGGAAAAGGGCGTTCACGGGGCACTTTCGCTGAAAGCTACACTTACGTCCTTCTGTCACCGTCATTGTCCACCTGAATGGAGCGCAGAGGCTGTTGTTGTGGGCATAGCCAAAACTCGTCGCTTCTACCGTGATAGACTTCTTGTTAGTGAGGAGAAGAACCGTTTGGCTTCACGTCGTCGCCATGAAAATAGTCTCAGCGCATTCCGTTGGAGGACCGAACACAACACTCCAATTGCACCCAAGTGCTTTGCTAATATGGTATATGACCTTTTGCTTGCTCTTAAGGTCGATGAACCCGAAAGTCAGCTGGCTCTACTACGTGGTCTTGGTCATGCCTCCAATGTCCCTCGACTGGAGATTCTCGCCGACCTCAGAACTGTCAGTGCTCAACTATGTAAATATTGGTGCCTCAAGCGAGAAGCCAAACGTGGAGCACCATTAGTCCGTCCTAGTGCCCATAAGCTGATGCTCGTTGCCCAAGCGGCGCAGATTTACGACAGCGGCTCAGCCCAAGAGGCGCTTGCCGAACTTCATGAAAAGATTGACTTTGGCCATACTTTGGTCGGCGACTTGGCGAAAATTGCCGACTTGGCTAAACTTGCCCAACTGCGTCAAAATTTGGCCCGCCAACAAGAACAATTGAAGCTTTCAATGTATGATTCTGCCTACTTCCCCTTATGCTCAGTGGCTGCAAAGCACTTGACGTGGATGTCTGAGAAACTCGACCCTACCAAGGTCTTGACGAATTTCCGTCCTCGCCATACGTCTGTTGGTTATACGGATATTCTTCGTAAGCTCAGACGGTTCGAGTACAGCAACGTTGGTGACATCACCAATGATTTGGATGCCTTGCTTGGGGAGATTAAAGCCGCAGGAGCCTTGGGCCGGGCAGCTGCAAAATGGCTGGCGTATTGGCATAGTCGTCTCGGAGAATTGAAAGCTGCCGAAGAAGCAGACATTGCAAAGATTCCGTTCGTGGCCGTGAACGGCAGTGAATTGACCTTAAAGGAGCACGACGCTGGCGCTGTGCTCGCAGAAGAAGAATTAAGTGAGGTCGAAGCTGATCCTTTGGAGGAAACCAATAATAAATCGTTGTTGAGGAATTTCCTTGATTCCAAGCGGTAAAATGATGCCTTCTATTGGAACCAGGTACCAATGCAATATTGATAACAAACGCAATGTGACGTTAATTCAAAAATGGACCACAAAAACTCATGAGAAGCGAAATGATCTGTATTCGTCATTAGATTCCCCTGATAATCAATTTTCGTCAAGCTATCGCTGATCCCCTTGAAGCAAATTCCCGATTAATCAAAAAATAAGCTTGCCAGATTCCACATTCTGAGAATGAAGACATATTTGGTTATACCAGGCCAGACGAAGAACAAGAGTAATGGTGCAAGATTTTCGTAAAAAGGCTCCATAACAATTTTCAAGAATCATACAGCTTCAAAGTGATATCCAGCCGTATAATGTTATTGTGCATCCCATAATGCCCAACAAATCCTTCATTATCGTTACCATAGCATGTCGTCAATGGCAAAAAATTGAGAGACATACATCTACAACCCAATGACCGGACTCCGCTGGTCCAGACCTTACCCCTTCCCAAATACTTGGATTGATATCCCTACGTGCTTGCTATACCATGCAACAGAGCCAAGCATCGGACTTCCGTTGAAGCATATCACGCCTTGAATCATTCTGGTTCCTTGCGTTTCATCATTAAACTACCAAGGATACCCCTTGATCAAATGCAAGTACCCGGACAGAAGCGAGCTAGATTCTCTTTCATTCGTCAGATCAAACATTGATACGGACCCCTCCGTTCGCTCGGCTCATGTCTGGTGCAAAAGCAACATGTTTAGATGCTGCTGATGGCAGGCGAGAGATATTTTCTAAGCGTTCCGGGAAGACTCCCCGAGACAAGAGGAACCAAGCCGATCATGAAAAAAAAGCCCGGCACAGCGGCGCCCCCCAAAGGATGAGTTATTACGTGTTTTACAGTGGTTTTGATGCAGCCGTACGGGCTCCTATGTGGCAAGGCGAGCGATCGATCGTAGCAATGTGCGCTAGCCAAGATTGTGATCGTGTTCTTGCTGCGGACGCCGTATCTGTATCTGGAAGAGGGCTGGGGGCAGTTGCAAGTCAGAGCGACGATGTTGATGAGGGTACAGACGTGTTGAGAACTCAATGAAAAGGACAAAAAGAAAAAAACCCAGGGGAACGACGAAAGCGCCGAAAAGAGAAATTAAGCTAGCATTATGGCTTGAGAGAGTATGGCTTGGGGAGCTGCTTAAAGGGTCCAGACAATGAACAATATGGGAGTTAAAACGGAAAACCGAAAGAGCCCCAGAGTGGGGGCGTGGGGGATACCCTTGAAGCCATGATGAGAGCTGAAGATGAAGAAGAAGAAGATGATGGTCATGAGAAGATATTTTTTTTTTTTTTTTATTTTTTGGATTGTGTTGTGAAAGCCGTCGCCAGGTGATGCTAAGGCCGCAAAGGTTCGCAGGCGATCGGGTACGATCTTCAGGGTTCGTAGCGATCTTCAGGGTTTGCGCGGAAGCGCGGGACAAGGCAAGGCGATGTTGTTGGAGAGAGATTGTTGCAAATCAAACAACAACACCAAAGCCCATAAGGACAAGAAAACATTGTGGCTGGGGCGAAGTCCGGAAAAGCACAAGTATCATCAACGGCAGGACAAACAAAATAGAGTTTTGGTGTACAACACAAGAAACAAGCCATGGCATTTAGCAGAAAAAAGCCTAAAGTGTATTATTAGGGAAAGCCATTGGGAGGGCCGTTGTTTGACAGGAATGTGAGAGACGCAGCGCGAGATGATAAAAAAAAAAAAATGCACAAGCCTCAAAGTAACACAGTTATGCACAAGCAAAAGGCAAGTAAGTAGTTAGTAATTGAGGAAGTCTCTCGACTAATTTGCAAATGACAAAGCAGCGACAGCACGTACAATAGACGCTAGAGCACAATGGTTGGCGGTGGGGAAAGCGGCTCAAAGAGTGGTCAGGGGAGCAGAACAACCAATGGGTCTGTAGTGAATTGGTAAAAGGCCTAGTTTATTTTCTTCTTAAGCTTCAAGGTTGGTGATTCTTCGATATCTGCTAGTGAAGACGGTGACGGGAAAAGGACGCCGTGGTTGGAGGAAGAAAAAAATAAATAAAAGCCAAAAGCAAAGCCAGTGCTGACACATGGCGAGGCTTGGAGAAGTTTACCCAAAACGAGGCAAGAGTACGATTCAGGACACTCCCCAGGCGGAAGCAGTGGCAGCAGGCAGGCAGCAGGCAGGCAGCAGGCAGAAGAGCAGTTTTAGACACCGCGCCAGGAAGAATAGCCGGGGCGAGAGGGTAGTACTGGTAGAGCAAGGGAAGATGAATAAACTAGGGCACCAGCGGTGGCCCAGGGCGGGAGGGAACGGGAGACGGGAGACGGGAGGAATGAAGGTTAAGAGAAAAGAGGCTTTAGATGGTTATTTCTAAGATTTATTTTGGTTATGTTTACTGGGGGAAAAAAAAAAGCCAAGGAAGTCAAGAGGTGTCACCAGGCGAGGTAACCAGAAAAGCAAGAAAAAGAGACAAACAGGCCAAAGAGGCTGAACGAGCACCAGCAGATAATACGATCCACTGGATAATGCGATCAGGAAAAGCAGCAGCGCGGAACCGCCAGGCTTTGAAGAGGAGGAGGACAGAGAAAAAAAAGCCAGGGCAGAAAAAGGAAGAAGGAAAAGGAAGAAGAAAAGTGTAAAACAGTGCAAGTGGGGATGAAGATCGAGGAGGGAAGAAAAAGGAAGGAAGAGGAAAACGGATTTAGTGAGGAAGGTATTAAGGCGAGAGGTAAAAGGTAGTACAGAGCGGAATAGGTGGTGGGGAGTCGCTGGCAGTGGCACTGGCACTGGCAGGGAGGAGGGATTTAGGCTGCACTGGTTACGGTTAGTTAGTCAGTGGCGCCGATTCAGATAAGCGCCAGGCGTGGATCGCAGTACCAGACAGGCACTTTTTTTTCAGAGAGGCAGCAGCGAGGAGAAGAAAAGCGAAGACGCAGACGCAGACGGGCAAACAGGTAACTGGTAGAGGCAACAGACAACAGCAGGTGAAGGTGAAGGGAGGGTAGTGTTGGCAAAAAGGAAAGGCAGATGCAAGCGAACATTGCAAGCTTCCCTGCCTCCCCCCTCGCTACCGGGTCTCACCAGCCTATGCGCCGCGGACGCTTCCGAGGCAAGGAAAATCCCCCAGTCCCCTTGCTCCTCAGGCCCGTTAGGGACTGAGGAGCAGAGGAGACTGGAAGTCTGAAAAGTCTGGATAACCCAAGAGTCAGCACTAAAAAATAATAAACCCTCCTAAAGGAGCCACCAAACTTTAGTTAAATTCAGTTGACCACGGCTGCGGTGACGTGTACTGGCAATGCAGTGTGCTAGAGGACCATCTGAAGAAGGTAATAGGTAGAGGCGTAAAATCGCAGATGCATCAGTTATTTTTTTTTTTTTTTTTTTTTTTTTTGCTTCATTTGGTTGGTTGCAGCGGGCTAACCAGAGCCGCTGCTGGGGAGGATTGGACAATGCAGAGCCAGACATTGTTCTGCCACTGACGTAAACAAGCCAGGGAACACAAACCGGGATGTATGTGCAAATCACAGCTTGCACTGAAGCCAGGCAGGGCTGCGAGGGCTGCGAGGGCTGCGGATGCCTGCGAGGGCTGAGAAATACTGGAGTAGTTATATAGGGTCGATTTGCCCCATGGAAATAATAATCAACGATAAGAGGTATGTATTTGAGCTGACACCGCCGATGACACCGCCGAAGGTGGTGTCAGAAGGTGGTGTCAGCGAAGAAACACAAAACACATGGAGGAAGACATGAAATACACATGAAAGACACAGTGGAATGACAGATGATATAGACATGATGGACAGAAAGCTAGCCAGCTGGTGCCTTGGGGTAGAGGGTACCAAAGGGAGGGACCCCTCCCGGCCCAAAAGTCTTGCTGGTGGTGGCTGCGGTGACTTTCACACATTCAGTGAAGGCAGTTCCAGGGCAAGTGGAGCCGTGGAGAACTACCAGAAACAGCAGTGGCAGCAGCATTGGCAGCAGCGGCGGCGGCGACGTTTTCCGCAAATGCAGCGAATACTGAACATCGGCAAGCCAAGACAGAAGGAGGCAGGGACCCAAAAAGCAGTCACATTGCTCGCTCCAGCCCATTACTGATATGTAATTACGAACGTCCCACGAATACGCTTTAACGTATCTGCGTGAAAAAAAAAAAAAAAGTGTTCCTAGCACTAAAGTCTAAGTGTGTTTTGGGCACTTGTCGAGTCTGGCGGGTGGGACTATCGTATGCGCGGTGGCCGTGGAGGCTGAAGAACAGGCTGAGGGAGCTTTTGCAGAATCCCACACATATGTTTTTTCCCACGCCCTGTGGGGGCCTGTCTTGTGACACGAGATCTCTGGCATGGGCCTTTTTTGGGTGCGTTGCCGGCTACCGGCTACCGATACCGAACACCGTTTAAAAGCACATGTCGCCCAAAGGAGGTGTGTTTGCGAGGAGGTCTAAAAACGTGCATTAGCGGAGGGTGGGCTGAAAGCAAAGTTTACAGAGGTAACTTTTTTTTTTGTTTCTGTTGGACGACTTTCTGCCTGCTGGGATGGAATGTCTCTGGAGGTGCCTCCTGGTGGTCAACGCCAGCGTCAGCGCTCAGCGCCAGCACCCGCGCGATCTCAGATCTTCTCCAGTCCCCTCGCGCAAGCCATGAATGGACAGAGAGAGAGTTAGAGAGAAGAAGACATAGGATTTGGCGAAATGGCGAATTGGTTGAATTTTAGTTGACTTTTGTGCTTCGTCTTGTCTCGTCTCGTCTTGTCTTTGCGTTTTGCATTTTGCATTTTGCATTTTAAACGCACTCTAACTGACATCCTCGCCAGTGCTCGCCAGAAAGTGACAGAAACAGAAACAGGACCAAGAATAGACAGAGAGGAGACACATAGGAAAGGACTAAGAAGAGAGAGACCATAAAAATCCCTTTTGCAAAACCACTTTGGGCCATCCAAAAAACTCGATCCCTTGTTTATTGGCATTCCTTTTTTTGGGGTTATTTTGGGGGTAATTTTTTTTTTTTTTTTTTTTTTTATGTCCTCCTGTGGTTCCCCCAATCTCCAATTGCATTTTCCCAAATGCCAGATGAATAGGCGCTCCGCGCGCGCGGTTCCTGCTTCTCCCTCTGTCCTGTCTTGCCTGGTTACTGGTTACTGGTTACTTTTTTTTTCACTGCCCCTGCCCCTGGACAAGTTTAACCGCCCTCGTTCCTGCCGCGTACCTCGCGCACGCTGCCTTCACTGGCAGACAAGGCCTTTTTCCCCTTGGCGCAGTCATTGGCCGAAAAGAGTGCTGGAATACGTTTTTGGAGGACAAAATGTCTAAAACGTTAAAAGTGTAATTTGGGTATGGGTGATGTTTTAGAATGGGCCTTTTTCTGTTCCCGGAATGTCGAATGTCGAATGAGTTCTCAGGGTTGTGCTGTGTCAGGGGATACTGCTTTTTGTGTGTGTGTGTGCGTGGGTGCGTGTGTGCGTCCTGCCTGCCCCAGAGCCTGCTTTGTCTGCGACGCCTTGTGTTTTTTTTTCCTCATTTTCGTGCTTCTACTAACAATGCAGCATCCTTTGGTTCGGTCTTTTTTCCTCCACCGTTTTAAGCCTGATTGTTTCCTACCGTTGGCAGACCTTTTTCTGTTAATTGTTTTCTTGTTTGCTTATTAGTACCTTTCCTCGGTCCGCCTTCGTCGTCTCCAGCCTCGACCCTTCAGAGATCGGTAAATCAACCGATAACGGCTTTTTTTATTTTTGTCTCGCTTCAATAACATCCCTTTCCTTTTCATCACACTCCATTAACTGGTTCCATGACGCCTAAGAAACTCCCCATGATTGTCGATATCGGCATCGACAACTCGGGAAAGAAGATGTTTCAGGTCCACGAAACGTCCAAGCAAGTCCGTAACGGCATGCCCATATCGTCTCAGTTTGCTGAGTCCTCCTTCTTTGACGGCACCAGCCTGCCTGACTCCAAACCCAGAATGCGTGTTTCTACAAGTGCCTCGGCCATAGAAACCTCCCTGACTTCCATTCCTTCCTTTGGCCCTCCCAGAAGCGATTCCGCTGATATGTCTTATCTGGAATGCATCACTACTCCAACAAGCGCTACGTCTTCCACTCATGGCGGTGACGCAGAGAAAGATATCTGGTGCCATGACGTGCAACAGGCGTTTGAAGAGGTTCTCGCCATTGTGCCCAAGAAGGGCCTTAACAAGATCAAGATTGGTGGCCGTTCGTGTGGTAGAAACGAGTTGATCTCGGATTATATCATGGCCAAGACGGGGAAGTACAGATCTAGAAAACAGGTCTCCAGTCATATCCAGGTGATTAAAAACATGGGCCTGCGGAAAGAACTTATTGCTCTTATTAATGATGGTCCACAGTTTGGTTCTGATGAAGAGGCTGAGCGTAACAGCAAGCATTTCGAGGAGATCTTTGCTAAGATCAACTTGAACAAGTCACTAGGTGTGGTTCCAAATGGTAAGTCTTCAGGTTCTGAAAGACGCCACTCCACTGGCCTTTCGTCTACTCCAAAGAGAAAGCGCCTTAACACAGAGCTTGTTTCCATCAAAAATATCAGCTTTTCCATTGAAAGCAGTGTTCCCGGTAACAACAGCTTCTTGACCTTCCAAGAAGATGTTCCAGTGAAGCTGTTGACTCTCAAAGAAGACGCCAACTTTGCATCTAGATTCCCTGGTTTGGAGGAGTTTGCAAGTACGAACGTGCCTATTCTTCATAATATGATCCGTCTTTTGAATCCAGCAAACTTGCCCATTGACTTCTCTGTCGACAGGGATCTCAAAACGAACTACATGCTTGATTTTGCTACTATTCCACAGGCTGGTCTTTGCAGTTTTACCTCGGTTTATTCTTTTGGTGCTGAAGTACTCAAGGTCAACGAGGACAATTTCATGGCAAACACCAACCAGCCATTCCTTCTTAAGTTCTGGAAATGCTTCTTCTACCAGTTGTTGCAGCAGCCAAGTTCTTTGGACGCTGCTTTCAAAGGCATTACAGTCAAGCAGGTGATCTACGAGCGCCATGATGGCTCATTCAGCTTGGTTCCTAAGACCAGAATAAAGGCTGTCTTACTCTGGGAATTTTCTAAAGTCGAAACTTGGAGAGAGGCTGTTTCTTCGACTTCCAGGCTCTTCCTTCCGCCTTCCCTTCAGACTCCCATTGAGTTGAGCGATGCTCTTTCACAGCCACCAATGCTTCTGGGCACGAACCCGATCAAGCAAGAGTATATTTTTTCTCCTAACCAAGGGATGCATCCCGTGAAGCAAGAGCCACAAGATCCTCTCATGGGGCTTTACCAGGCGCCGTATTTCCCACAGACACCAACAAACTTCCACACGCCTCCACCATCGGGCCACACATTCCATCCCTCTGCAAATGTTGACTTGGCAACAGTGAGAAGCTTGCCAAATGAAGATTCCGCCCAATGCTTCGGCTCCTTCATGGCCCCGTCATCCACAGAGTTTGGCCCTTAGTCATTTAAACTACTAGTTATGCCGTGAAGCTCCCCAGTCCCGCATGGCCCTGCCGTGCCCCCTAGTCATTCGTTTACAAGCGACATAGTTACGTATTTCATTTCTTTAAGAACCTAATGTCTTTCACATCTAGTACTTTTCGTAGCCCACTTCCTCTAGTCTCTCTGCTTTGTTCAAAACTTCTTCCTCCATGTTGTTCATGTACTGACTCATTTCGTCCAACCACTTGTAATCATAAGCACCCAAAATACGGATTGCCAACAATGCTGCATTCGTACTGTTGTTGATAGCCACTGTAGCCACAGGAATACCCCTTGGCATTTGGACAATGGAGTGCAAGGAGTCAACACCGTCTAGCGTGGATCCCTTAACGGGGACTCCGATAACGGGCAATGGCGTCATGGCAGCGACCATACCAGGCAAATGAGCAGCGCCACCGGCACCTGCAATAATAGCTTTGATGCCTCTAGGGGCGGCTTCGATAGCAAACTTTGACATTCTGTGTGGCGTACGGTGAGCAGAAACGATGGTAAGTTCAAATGGAACACCAAATTTCTTCAAAATATTGGCACCAACAGACATCACAGGCAAATCAGAATCGGAGCCCATAATAATGGAGACCAAAGGTTTCTCCTTAGGTTCGACCTCCTTTGGTAATGAGGATGATTCGCCCATAATAAATTTAAGTTTGCTTTCAGCTTCTTCCATGGAGGAGCCAACGACATTAATGTGACCCATCTTACGCTGGGGCTTGCTCTCCTTACCGTACAAGTAAACGGAAGCATTTGGAGTCTCAATAGCACGACGACAAATTTCCAACTCACCGTTTTTCTTCTTGTCTCCAAGAACATTAAGCATAATAGCGTTAGTGTTTGTCGTGGAGAAGTTAGAAAAGCCCTTTGGCAATGGCAACCCAGCAACAGCTCTGACGTGAGCTTCAAACTGGGAAGTCACGCAAGCATCAATAGTGTAGTGGCCAGAGTTGTGAGGACGAGGAGCAATCTCGTTAATCAAAAGTTCATGGTTTGGCAACAAGAACATTTCAACACCGAAAATACCACAGCCTGGGAAAGACTTGACGGCGTTCTGGGCCAAAAGAGAAGCCTTCTTCTGTAAAGTGTCCAGGATTCTAGCTGGAGCATACACAAGATGACAGATATTGTCCTTGTGGTGAGTCTCAACGGTAGGGTAAGCGAAAACCTCACCTTCAATCAGTCTAACCACCATAACAGCCAATTCCTTAGTGAATGGACACCATTTTTCAGCGTATAAAGGTCTGTTGGCCAAAAATTCAAGAGCCTCTGGAATGGACTCCTTGTTCTTCACGACAAAGTTACCTCTACCATCGTAGGCCATAGTTCTAGACTTCAACATGAAAGGGAAACCAAATTTGGCGCCAATAGCCTCAAGGCCAGCCTCGGTATTCTCTTCCACAGCAACAGAATCCACCACATCGACGCCGTGCTGCTGCAAATGCGTCTTCTGGAGGTACTTATCCTGGATAAGACGAATAGTCTCTGGGAATGGGTAGATTGGCACGTTCAACGTCTTTTCCACGGTCTTCAAGGCCTCCACGTCCACGTGTTCAATCTCAATGGTCAAAAGATCACACTTCTTGGCCAACTTGGTAATGGCATCCACATCCTTAAACGACCCATCCACATGGGCATCCAAAGCGTTGATCTGTTTAGCAGGCGAATGAGCAGCGTCAAGCACCACAGTTTTGATATTGAGTCTGTGGGCAGCCTCGACAATCATACGGCCCAACTGGCCGCCGCCGAGAATTCCAATGGTCTTGTTGTCCATAGTGTGGTGGTAGATTTGTGAAGAAGTAGTGAAGTTGAAGATTAGAGATGCGATCAGAGTCACTGCGATGGTTAGTGCAGGCGATAAGGCATTGCGAGTCAGGAAGCAACGATGGTGGTTATGGAGCGTGGGAGGGAGGGAGGAGGAAGGACAGAGATGGAGGTTGGTAAGAGTGGTATTTGGAGTAGTTTGGATGCTTTTTTAGGCTTTTCTGAGCACTGGGCGTGGAAATGGGTGGTGTGTTTGTAGACTATAGGGTACTAGAAATGGCTGCGAAAATTAGCCTGATTGACAGGTTGATGGAGGTGGTTAAGGAAGTGGAGGTGAAAGGCAGGAGGAGTCTGGAAGGAGCTGAGATTTAGTGGGTATTTTTGTATGGATCTTGTGGGTATATAGGGAAAATTTGGGCATTGTTGGTGAACTAGTGGTGGGGTTGACTCATTGCTTTACTGAGCAGAGTATGTCAAATAAGCGGTGTCTACGACTCATGTCTTAGATAATGTAACAGTTAGATATGAAAATGAATGGCATTCGATTTCAAATAGTATCAAAATTGATTATCATTTAATGAAGCAGATTTTAGAGGTGATGGCTGGAAAACAAGGAAGCATCTCAATAATTCATGAGGCAGTGAATGAGAGATAAGAAGCTAGCAGTTCGAACTGAAAATCTTCGAGACAACTTGAATTATGACTGGAGAGTCCAACCTTCACCTATTGAGTTGAACGTGATAGAATCAACCTTGTCATTCCCATTGGTAATGCCAACTCTCTCATAACATCACAAAGCCATTATTCCAACAACCCACAGGCTCCCATTTCTTCATCCAATCTTCTCATAAATTCCATACAGCCCCTCACCCCTCAACTTTCGTCCTCCCCTACAATATCCAAAATTGACTTATGTTTTTCATTATGAGCGGTGTGTGGACTCAACTGTCCACCACGACCGCCAGTCTCTTCTCATCAGCTCATGCCCGATGAGCCAGAGTCCTATGCTGTAGATCTATGTAATACCAAGCCTCCATTTATCCTAAACCACCGAAAGAACCGAAATCTCTTAGAACTTCGTGTGGCCTCTCTTCTTCAAACCTCTCTTTCTGATCCTACTGGTGTTCTTCAAACCAGAAGTCTTGACGTTCTTCAAAGATTCAGTTTCAGGCTTGGATTCACCTTCAGCCTCTCCCTCGGGCTTCTCTTCCTGCTCTTCTTCCATAGCATCCTCGTCCTTCTGATTCTTCTGTTTTTCTTCAAAAGCCTTAGCTTTAGCAGCAAGACGAGCGGTTCTCTCGTTGGCATAGTTGGCAAACTCGCCCTTTCTCTTGATGGACTTGGCCCTCAACTTGGACTTGCTTCTCAACGACTTGGCCATTTTCGAATGAAGTGTTCAGGTGAAGATGGTTGGAGATATATGGATTTACTTTGATGCGATGAGCTTCGCTGCGCGCCCATACAAAATATGCATGGGCCCTTTTTCGCAGCCATCCAGGTACTGGAAGGAAGAGGTAAAGAAAAGGGAGAGTGAATAATTGGTTTTTGTATGGAATAGGGTTTTAATTAGGGGGTGAATTTTGGGTGGTAGATTTTGAATTTTCTTTTTTTTTTTTTCCTCGTTGGAGTAACTGGGAAGTGCTGGATGGTCTCTGTTAGGCAGCCTCATTGGTATGGTATGTCTAACGGTGTATGAGGTTTCAGATACTAGTAGTGAAAAACATAGTTTATGGGTATTTCAATTGTTGTTTATCTGAATTCGTTGGCCGTGGAATAGGTAGCCTTATTTTTTTTCTATGTTTTTTTTTTTTTTTTAAAGGTAGATGTTCAACCTCTTGGCAGATAGCCGAAACACAAATTCTGACTAGGTAGATACTTCAACGTAACGAAACTTTAACTGAGTTCTTAAATACACTTCACGGTAGTCTCTTTGAATTGGTGATATTTCATGTGCTTTCTTTCTTTGAAAGAAATTAATTCATGTATTCTTTTTAAGTGTTGATGGACTGAGAGGCAGCATCCTACTTTGTCATAAAAGTTCGACTAATATTAAAAATCAAAGAAAACAACCAGAAAAAAAAAATTTTGAAAATTAAACCAAGCATGTCCTTACTTAAAATCCATTACGTTGAATACAAATTAATACAACACTGAGCCATCAGGGAGCCAACCCACACATCATTAACGCTCCAGTACCAGAAATATCTACATAATATTCAGCCACATCCACCATCCACCACCTTCAACCAGCCTCTCGGAGTTATCTCGAATAAAACTCCAGTCAGCTCTACATCTTCACATGCCCCCAATTCATCCTCTACTCAATTCTCTACAATACAGAAACCTAAAACCCCCAAAAACTAACGCTTACAATTGCCTCCTTTGCTTCTCGCCCACTCCTATTTAATAATCACCGTAACACGTCCCAAACAAGACAATTGCCAGAAACAGAATACACTTCGGTGCCCCCAAGAAATCCCAATACGTCCATACCGCCTCCAACGACCCCCTGCGGACACAAAGAACACGTCCTCGAGCGCCTAATGGGTCTAAAAAATATTGTTATTTATAATGAAAGTACAACATTCCTCGAGGCGCTGGACAATCCCATTCTTCATTCTTTGTTCATGTCCCATTCTTGCGATCAACTTTTTTTAGTCAACGCTTGTGCAAAGCCACCACCAAGGGCGGTACAGCACTTGGCAGCGGAAGAAAACGGCGACGAAGAGAATGTTTTCAAAAGCTTACTGCCTTTCGGGAAATATTAAATGGAAGTCTAATTGGGAGAACCTTAATGGGAGGCTTTTCGCAACCGTTTATGGTAAACCTTTCAGCCGCATACCTGTGGTATCTTTAAACGAGGTTTTTCGGGAGACTACACAACAAGAGTAGGACAACCACCATTATATACGTAATGAAAAACCCATTGATGCCAGGGAAGGGGGTTTTTGGAGGGAAGAAGATTTTTGAAGAAATTAACCATGGTCTCGTCACGTGCATGCATCCAGGGCTCGCGCCCTAGAGTGTCTCTTCCTCGCACCCGTGCACCTCGATGTCGCTCACTCATTACCCTCCACCCATCTTGTGCGCACACTATGGCTGTTCCCCCCATACATAAAATTTTGCCCACATAAAAAAAAAACAAGAATCCAACCTGCAGGTAAGCCCTCGCTTTTGCCCTCACAAAAAAACCTCTATTGAAAATTTTCTTGCTCCCTTTTTTATCTTCTAAAGTCAGCTAATCAAAATGTATGTTTCTTGAAGCGTTAAATTGCCTGCTGTTACTGTGATATCGAAAGCGTCCTTGATGCTGGAATTCCAAGATTGTGAAAACTCCCATCCCATCTGTCCCAAATTACCGTTTGAATGAGCCCCCAAGATGATCCCTTGAAATGACCAGACCAGTAACAGAAAGAAGTCCCAAGCTTTGAATGGCCCGAAAATTTTTTGAAAACGTATACTAACCGACCAGGCCTAACCTCAGAACTCAGAAGAGACTTGCTGCCAGCGTTGTTGGTGTTGGTAAGAGAAAGATTTGGTTGGACCCAAATGAGACCACTGAATTGGCTTCCGCTAACTCTCGTAGTGCCATCAGAAAGCTCTACAAGAACGGTACCATTGTCAAGAAGCCAGTGACTTCCCACTCTAGAGCCTCTGCCAGAATCATGGCCGAGTCCAAGAGAAACGGTAGACACATGGGTCTCGGTAAGAGAAAGGGTACCAAGAACGCCCGTATGCCTACCCAGGTTGTTTGGATGAGAAGATTGAGAGTCTTGAGAAGATTGTTGGCTAAGTACAGAGATGCCGGTAAGATCGACAGACACTTGTACCACCACTTGTACTTGGCTGCCAAGGGTAACGCCTTCAAGCACAAGAGAGCTTTGGTTGAGCACGTCATTCAGGCTAAGGCCGAGGCTGCTCGTGAGAAGTCTTTGAAGGAGGAGGCCGAGGCCAGAAGATTGAGAAACAAGGCTGCCAGAGAGAGAAGAGCCCAGAGAGTCGAGGAGAAGAGACAGGCCTTCTTGAACGACGCTTAAACACTCTCCTTCTCAATCATATAGTTTTTGTATCTTCAAGATCCGGTGGCACATTAATCACACGACCAATATCGAATCAATTGTTGTAGTTATTGTAGTTTCCCAAATATCCATTAGAAAGTCTAGTGACTGATCTATTTATTTATAAAATGGTGACGGCATAATACTCATAGCTTAAAGTCGTCTTCCCGGCACAAGACAGAAGACGATGGTGAGAATGGCAGTGAACAAAAGAATAAGCGCCAGCACCCATAAAGATCTCTTAAGAAGAAGTCTGTAGATGAAGCGATCGTGAACCTTGATGAATGACTGCTTCGGTATGAAAGACTCACTGAAACCCGCCAACGCTAGTAGCGGATCAAGTCTGTATACCGAAGAAACAAGGCAATAGAAGCCAATGAGGAACGAAACAACGATCACGGCACGGTAGCCCTTGGATAAGTCCAAGAAGATTAAGGTGAAAGCGATCCAGAAAGATGCAAAAATGAAAAAGAAGCCGATAATAATACGAGCATTGATGGTCCGGTTCACGTTCTTGATGGCCACGAAGTTAAGGAAGTTAGGCAAGTAGTGGCTCTCAATGACATTGAAGACGTATCTCTTCACAGCATTGAACACATCTGGATCGTCTCTGCCCTCGACTTCGATAGCGTTAATGATGTAGTTGTTGAGTTTCGTAGGAAGATTAAGGTTCTTCTCAGAATCTTCAACAAAATATTTAAGCAACAAGTTGTGAGATGATTCCCTCAAGTTATTACGCGTGATGAAGGAACCTGAACTGTGCTTGGAGTCTCTTATGATCTTTTCGAGCAAAGATGGATTGATCGAGGAACGTCTGAGTGAAGCATAAGTCTTTCCATGATGCATTTGAGTAGTTCCTTGTTGTGGCAGCTGGGCGTAGCCAATAGAAGTGTTGCTCTGATCGAAAGAATCGTCTAGGAGTTTAGAGTTCGAAGATACTCTTTTATCGGGGAACCCTGGGCTTCCATACAGAGCGTTATCGACAATGGGAGAAGGTGGGTCGACGCCACCGTCGTCCTGATATTTATCAATAAGTTCCCTAATCTTGGGATCCACATCGTTCAAGTTGATTTCACCTCGAAGAAACTGAGAAAGTCTGTTGGAGTCGTTGTCCTCCAAAATATGATCATTTATAATAAGGTCCAAAAGCATCGACAGCGAAACAGATTTATGTTTGCTACCTTCAGTCAATGGAAAGGAGTCTCTTTGAGGGCTTCCAGCTCCCAGATTCCGAGGACTCTGGTCGTGGCCCATGAAAGGCGTCCCACTAGCATAGTGGTTAGAGCTTCTCACGATGGATTCTCGAAGACCCTTGACATAGTGCTTGCAAAGGTTCAAATGAGAAATAAGGTCAAACCAAAAGTCCAAAAGGTCAACGTTATTTTCAATATATTGCATGTACAAGTAAAACGTGTACAAGTTAACAGGCGACCTCGTCTTATTTGAAAGGATTTCACCCAACGTCGGAAGTCTCGACAAGTGCACGGCATTATTCGTCTGGTTCAAATTGTCCAAGTTCAGCAAATAGTGCTGGTTAGGCTTTTCAGCCTGGAACTTCTCCGACATGGACCGTAGTGGAATATCAGGCTGGTAGTTGGGAAAGATTACCAGTGATGAAGATGCTGGAGAATCGCGAGAGGTAAACATGGTGCTTGCCGGTGCAGGAGCCACAAAAGCGTGTTGGCCACAAGACAAAGAAAACGAAGGGAAGGGAGGTCTATTTGGTTTAGGAGGTTAAGGGAAGAGCAGCGAAGAGATGTACTTTTTTTTTTTTGGTGGTGGTAGTATGTTTCTTGCAAGGTCGTATGGTAGTGGGCCGTGGTGGACGTGGCATACGAGAATGATGGCTGCGAAAAGACCACATTCGCCCTAAAGTGGGAACGTAGAAGAGTCAAGCGATGGTTTAAGGGAAGAAGGTTAAGAGCGGCAGGAATGTCGTTCGGGTAGTAAAAGGTTGTTTAGTATGGTGGTTCGTTTTGGCTGGTTTAGTTGGAGTTGGCTGGACTTGGGCTGGGTGAGGTTTCATGTACTTGTATGTGAAAGCCAGTTTGCGCCCATGTGAAGGGTCCAATTGATTGCGTTTGGTTGAATGAAGACTTTTCAAAAATGACAATTGTACTATTAGAATTCCCAAAGAAGCTTATTGGAGGGCTTTGGGCGATCTGGGCGGCTTTTGCTGTGCCCGAATGGTCTGGACTTTGACGACATTGGCTGCTTTTACTGCATACCGTGAACGGTCCACTGTCGTGTAAGTACCCTGGGCCAACACCGTCAAGGCTGTTGAAGGAGTCGGTGGTGGTGGTGATGGTGGTGGTTGAGTTGATTTGAGGTGATTTTGGAGGATAGGTGTTTTGGGTGGTCAGAGTGGATTGGTTGATTGGGTGTAGTGAGGGTATAAGGGTCTAGACTGGACTTTGGTATGGCCATTGGTGGATTCCAATAAAACGCTTGTTTTGGTATATAAACTCAATGTGGTTGTTTAAAATAGCTGTTTATTTCCATAGATTGTTTTATTTTGGTCTTTTCTGGTTTGGGTGCATTTATGGCGGTGATATAGTTTTACTTTTGGGTGCAAAATGTCAAATCGCACGTATATTCTGAAAGAATAGAGTGGTCTTCAGAAGAAAGGGAAAGTATAAGATAAATAATAACTTGAAAAAAATTACAAAAGACGTTTTTAGGAAAGCATAATTTTAAGGACGTTAAAGTTCTAAAATTTTCGATTCGAATCTTTAATTCAAGGCAAAAAAAAAAAAAAAAACTTAAACCTGGACAAGAAAGTGAGGACATCTGAAGATGACATCCAATGGTCAAGACCCACCAGCTTTCCAGATGTGACCAGATCATCAACAATGAAACTTATTAGCCAGATAAGGTTCAACCAGAACGTTAAAGGTCGGTAAAAAAGTAGTAGTCGTTTTCCAAGACGCGTTGTCACATAGGTAGCTGTAACCACTTGGGCTCACCAACCGGTCCAACCCAAGACCATAATACACTTCTCTAACACCAAAGAAGCATGAGAGCCACTTAAATGACAAGGAAGGACCCTTCAAGTGCTATGAAACAGCCATAAAACACTTGATAGTCCTCATCTTCAAGCTAACGGCACCAATGTGACAAACTTCCGTCAACATATCCAAACGAATGAAACTTCAATACTTAAATCAACCGTCTGCTCTGGATGCATAGAAACCGTTCAAAAGCCAAAACTACCCAATCAAAGTAGACAGAAATAGCTTCTAATTAAATGCCCAATCTAAGAGTCTCCAACCCATTAGAGCCGCATGGCATGTCACCACAAGCCTTATAACTTCTTCTCAACCACCTATACTTCCATCCTCAACACTTATAGTACCCACCACCTCAAAAAACCTCTTATTAACCCACAGCTACCAATTTTTCCGGACGTCGATTCCCGAAGAAAATACGAGTTTCACTAAACCGTGCCGGAGACGCCGGTAACAGTGATAAATCGTGACATGACATCTTCAACGTTTGAGCCTCACCCCACCAGCAGCGCCAAACCCGAAATAGAAAGTTCGGAGGTCCCCAAAGGCTGATCCAAGCCTTCGTAGAGGATGCTTCAATTTGACGTGTTTTTACCTTTCCCCACAATAAAGCCTCTCTGTCATGCTATGTTGGCTGAATGGAGCCAGAGCTCCAAAACCCGGGATTGCAGCCAATGTGGAACGGTGTTGGGCGTGAAGGTGGAGAAGGTGCATTGGATTGGGAGGCGGGAGGCTCTGGAGAAGGCTCTTGGTAATGGGGCCAATTGGGCTGATTAATTGCTTCTGTTATAGTTGGTTCATTGTTGGGACAAGATTGGTCACTCAAGGGAAATTGACGACGAGCTTATATTCCAAAACGGTCAAATGAACTGGGGGGAGCTACCGTTTCTTCTTCGGATATCCCCTAATGCTTACCGTCAATTGTTCCCATTTCTGGCGGCTACTGCTGGAACCATAAATGGCTGCAAACCTTAATACTTTAAATTGGCTTCGACATGTGGTCCAATGAAGGTCTTATCTAAGAAGCATTGAGGTCTTTTCTAAGTCTTATCCTCTAGGATGTCCTGCCCAACACTCTCCCTCTACTACCTCCTCCCTCTTCTCCCTCCCGATCCCATTGACCTCTTCAGCCAATCAAACCTTCCTCTACTCAAACCTACACCTGACTCCTTTCATGCTAGCTAAGTCGGCAACGCTGGAGGGCTTATTTTTAGTGTCCTTATCATCCCACCCAACTCCCTTGCTTTTGTGCGCTCCAGAAGCTTATCATTGCCCTTGTGCAATTACCCTATCTACCTCCACCGGGGACTTGAGTGTCTTACTTCCCGGTTAAGCCTCCAAGTGTGGAGTCGGCTTTAGCAACCAATGATAGCAACAAAGAACGAGGGATCATCCAGGTTACACTTTGAACAAAGCGGGATGGAATGAAACCGCGGGGGCTTTTTGTGGAGCTTTGGGGGCTTTGAATGGCTTGAAACCTGTCAATGGAAGCAAACAAAGAGGTGAACAGCGAGGTAACGACCAATGTATGGCAGGCTATTGGCGGACTACGGATCCTGGCCCCGTCCAATGGGAGCACAAGAGGACAAGACATGGCCAGGGAGAGGAAGGCTAGGGGATTAACAGACACAAGAAAGGCTGGGTTTCCCAGAGCAGGTGTAATCAACGATGGAGGCAGCCGAAGGTTAATCAAATTTCGCAGCCAAACATACTTTACCTATGAATAGATGAAGCTGAGGACGAGGGGAAGGCGGGGCTGAAGGGAACCCACCTTATTTTTTAAGCGCCAAAAGTAACAAAATCCCTTCTTTTAATATCTTTCCATTTATCCTCCGTCCGTGTTTACTCCATTGATTTCAGGTTTCAAGTTCCAGTGGGATGCCTGAAACTCGGGAATTCCCCCACAGTCCGGAATCGTGCGAGAGTTACCGAGCGCGGGGCGCCAGAAAAAAAGAGGGAAAAGGGAAAGAGGGAAAGAGAGGAAAATGCACCTTCAGTTTGGGGGCACTTTTCGCAGAAACAGCGCTCGAGTTCAAGAGGTAGTTGGATATAGTCAAGGAATTTAGGTAATATGAGGGAAGTCTCTTAAGTGGAGAAAGATAGTACAGAGACTTCAATGGTTCAATGGAGCTTGAGTTATTATTGGTTGCGTAGTGGAGGATTATGTGTGGTGAGTGGAGTGAAAAACTCACCTTCCTACCCTCCACTGGCCTCCTCCACTGGCCTCCACCAGGAGGACCTGCCCCCACTGGATAGGCCCACTGGGACCGCCTGAAAGTTTATTCTCTAACCATTTCTTTTTCACTCTTCATAAAAAATCCACAAAACCACCAGGTCGACGTTCTTGGTTAGAATATCCCATTAACCAGTGTCATGTGCTCTCTCGATAACAGCGGCACGGCAATTTGGCACTTTTCGCACCCACTGATAACACACCTATCAGCCACAGATACACTGATAACACCAGCAACCAAGTGCCCCAAGGTGATTAAGAAAAATAAAAAATGAAGGTAGGTAGTGACATTTGAACCCAAATGTCAACTAATATACTAAACACTTCTATAGATCTTCCCAGTGTTGTGTGGCCTGGAGCCACAAGGCATTTTTGGTATGACTGTGCGAGGCAGGAATCGAAAACCCGAGGGAACGACAGAAACAGGAGCAGCAGCAGGAGCAGCGTCACCGACAGCAGTCAGTCCAAAGATACGAAACGGGAAAAAGAAAAGAAGGAAGGGAGGAAGGGAGGGAGAGAAGATAAGTTAATTGGTTTAATGGGGGCTGGTTTTTGATAAGTCCATTTATGTCTTGGTTGGTGACTTTTCACTTTCGTCTTCGTCTTTGATTGTCTTTTTGGCCCCGCTATCAGGGAGGGTAAAAAATCCATTCATTATTCATTCATCTATTAATTTTTTTTTTCTATTTATCTGCGAAATCACTTATTGGCCTGACTTTTTTTTTTTTTTTTTTCCTCACTTTTTTTTTTATTATTTTCTTTTCCCCTGCCGGTCTTTTTTTTTTTTTTTTTTTTTTCGCTTTTACCTCTTTTGCATCCGCTAATTATTTTATTTATCCTGCTTCTTCTGCTGCCTTTTTTTTTTTTCCCTCCCTCCTACTTATATCCAACTTTGGCCAACCTCCAAAAAACCAACCACAAACTAACAAACGTCCAACCTTCAACCTCCAAAGTGTTCAATCTGTTCAAACTGCCCCCTCCTTTTGCCTTGTTGAAATTCTCCTTCTTCCTTTACGTGCCTTAAGCGCCTATTCTCCGTCCTCGCCATGACGTTGAATCTCCTTGGGCCTGCTCCCCTTCTTGGGCTCCGCCGCCAGAACCAGTCCTTTTCACTCGCTGCTTTTTTCCAGAAATACGTGTTTCGCCTGGGTGCTACCGCCCTGGCGGGGCTTTTCCCTGCGCTTCTGGCTTCCCAGATCTACTCCATTGGTAATACCAAAAAGGTCGCTGCTCACTCGTGTGCTGCTGACGATCTTGAACTCTCTTTGGGTAACGACCAGATCGAACTATTTGATAACTACCTTGCTCCTGCCAAACAACCTGAATTTGGGTTTCCTGGCCAAGTTCCGGGCCCGGTCCCGGGCCCCGGTCCTGTAGACTTGGACGAACCGCTTCCTTGGGGCTTTGATTTCCCTACCGTCAACGACTTTGCGTCCACTCCATCGCTTTCCTCGTCCTACCAGACCTCCATCCTGAGCTACCCTGAACTGGACTTTGATTCTCGCCAGTATGACGCTCCCAAGTCCCATTTTGCGCTTAACATGATTGGCGTCAACCAGCCCCAGGCTTTCTTTGACTTTAAGCGTTCTCCAAGATCTACTGATTCCCCAATGACTGGCTCTACTAGTGAATCTCTGGTTTCTTTCATGGATGAGCTTTTCTTTAAGAATGGTCCTATGCAAACAACAAACTTTGCGTCTGGTTATGTTGAACTGCCTCCTTTGGCTCCACCTGCTCCTGCTGTTGCCAAGAAGAGAAAGGTTTCTGAATCTCCAGACTTCTTTGACGACGAGGCTTTTAAGAAAGTCAAGGTTGAGCATGAACCTCACCATGTTGAACACGAAGACAACCGTAAGAACAGCGAGGCCAGACACGTCTGCCCAGACTGTAACGCTTCTTTCAAAGTCAAGTCCTACTTAACTAGACACGCCAGAAAGCACACCAACGCTATGGCCTTCATGTGTCCCTTCCACGACATCTCTACCGTGGACAACTTTGGCAACGTCATCAAGCTGGCTACCAAGTGTCACCCTACTGGCGGTTTCTCCCGTAGAGACACCTACAAGACCCACTTGAAGGCCTTGCACTTCATCTACCCTCCTGGCACAAAATCAAGTGCCAGAAACAGCACAGGCGGTCGTTGTGCGGGATGCTTTGAGTATTTCGAGAGCAACGCCAGATGGTTGAAGTACCACATTGAGTGTGACCAATGCAAAGGCTTGCAAGAGCACGGCAGAAGCGTCAAGGGCAACGGCTGCAAGAACACCAACAACCACAACCATAACCACAACCACAGACACTCACACGCCGAAGTCAAGGCAGAGTGCTACGACTAGACAGGCTCTAGTTTCCAGAGCCCTGTCTCTACTCCAACCTTTTTTTTTATACATATTTTCACTTCTTCTGCCGTGCCCGGTCAGTCTCTGACATCCATGGTTGCCATGCTGGGGGCACACGCATTGTTATTAATTTTTTATTTCAATAGTTTTTTACTTGTCAATAATATATTAACGTCACCATCACGCGAGTCGTAGACCCGGTCTTCCAACTTCATCGTTACTATCACCATCGCTCCTCCACCCTCAAGATAACTCTCCATGCTTTGGGCAACGAAAAGCGCAATGTACCTGTCAGGGAACCCGCTGCACAACAGGGCTTCCTACTCAGGTCTGCAAAATAGATAAAGTCAGAGAAATCGCAGATTAATGGTGTTTAAGCCACCACCAAATGGCCCGCCAAATGTGTAGCGGATAAGATGGAACATTGATTTGAAAAAAAGAGTCTCCTGGGCTCTATTGCACTTTTTAAACCTTCTTTCTCTTCCTGAATCATCACCTGCAACTTTTACCGTTGTGATTCATTTTACGACTCAATTTTCATTCATCTGCCCATATTTTTACATGTTTTGCGTAACTTTCGACGAATAGTATTGACAGCTGGAGCAACACACAAAAACACATGCACAGCGGCACTGTGCAATCGAATCATCGGTCCGGACTAGCCGTCTTGGACGCCTTGGAGGCGTGGACTGGCGTCTGAAGTGAGGCGTGAACAGGCTTATAGGTGGTTTTGTGGGATTTGTGGTTCTGCCGGACCAATGAAATACGTCACACATAATCGTTACCAAACGGTGGTGGGGTGTGGAGGACGTTGATGTGATCGAACGTTGGACCCAGGAAATTACTATTGGGCCGTTGTGGTTCCCCTTGATAAGGGCAACCTAGTAAAGTTTATTCTTGCGTCATCATAGTATACTTTTATTGCAATTGCGTTATCAGTAACCGTCTAAAGCAACCATAAATATTTTTTTCACCTGTTGATCATGGAAACTTCCAGACATGGAAACTCTATTTTTCAATTCAATCTCTTGGCGATGGGCCAGCAACACCAACCAGTTTTCCACCCTGGAGGAAACGAGCCTACAGCCGTCCAGCGGTTATGCAAACATTGAACCCTTCAGCATGACCAGCATGCCTTGTTCTCATTAAATCGTCGCAGATTAAGCTCCCGTGCTTGAACACCGACGAGCAGCCCGAGGAACAGCCTCGGCAGCCACAGTTTGGAATGCCCTGGGCTTGCGAAGGAGTAGCAACGTGGTGAATTACTGACGGATATGGCTTACCGATAATTGTTGGGATGGACGGGGAAGAGACGAGGCAGGGCCTTCTAAAAGTGAAAAATTTTGTAGTTGATTTTTGGTCTTTTGTAGGATGAAGCTTGTCGTTATCGTTTGGCTGTTACTGGTTTCTCGGCTCCGATGATAGGACAATGGTTTGAAGCCAATCCTGGTGGTTTCAGCCACCCCAGAAGAAGCAATTTTGCAATGATAGGATACGGTCCAGAGGAGAAGATTTTGCGTCTTTGCTGCTTGGTTTTGAAAAATTTTAAGGAACTGGGCTGCTTAAGCAATTGCTTCTTGGGTTTATGAGACTTGGCCAAATACAATGGTAATCTTTCGTCCGATTAGGTAAATTTGGTTGAGGGGACTTCGCTGGTGAACCGGTGAATTTTAGGATTTTTGAAGGTCGTTGGGAGACGGCGACGGTGAACCTTCCAAGGGTATATTATACGAAGAAGGTGCCATTGAAATGGACATTGGATCGCTTAGGACGAAAAAAGTATCTTCACCGCCCTTTCATACCATCGGCAATCGAAAGCCGGTAAACCAGTGAATCTTCTAGTCGAAAATCTGGCTCCATGGTTCGCTACTGATGCTACACTTCCCAATTCATAATGTTCGTTGAGTTTGAACTACGATTGAAAGCATACGAATTGTTCGTGGTACTCTGAAGAAGACTGGAGAATAGTTTTTTACTATTTCTATTTCTATTTTATTTCTATTTCCAGTTTCAACCCAGATGAGAGATACTTCGGTTGGGAGAGGCCACCAAGATAAACCAATTTCCACCTTACCTAGCGTCGACTTCAACGGTCGAACCTGTAGGGAATATCCCAAGGAAGGAAAAGAAATCCAAGGCTTTGATCTCTCAGCTTTAACAATGACAAAGCATCCTTGTAGCTATAGAACCTATCAAGGTCTTGAGTAGACGCCGATCACGATTAAAGATCCAGATCTCTTTATATCTCAGACATTCAAGAACCACCACCACGATAGGAACTCGCTCCAACGGTCAGTCCTTTAGATTTAATGTCTTCAAGAACACGGTTAACGCTGTGTGTTCACGTAGACCGTCAAAACACCTAGTTGCAGCGACCGTCTTCACCCACAGTCCCATAAACGGGCCATCACGTCTTTCTCAAAGTAACAGAAGCCCATTGCTTCTGCTTCTTTCCCACCAATTCAACCATCCACTCCACTCACTTCATATCGGTGCTCTTCATAACAGAACCAATGTAATCCTGAAGGTAGTCGTTTTCGTGGGTATACTTTTCACAAAGCGCTTGTGAGTCACGCACGTTCTGAAGAAGACGGGTGATTTCCTCCTTAAGTCGAAGCACCTCTTCCACCTTTTGTTCTTTGGATTCACTCATGATGTAGTTGTTAGAGATAATCTGGCGCGCCCATTACTAGGGGAGGAAGCAGGAGAGAGAGAGTAGGAAGAAGGAGTGGCAAGTAAGAAGTTTTAAAAAAAAGTTGTTTGGGAATTGTTGGTACTATTAAAAAGGGTATGTGTCGTTTTCTTGAATTTTTGTCTTGGGTTGTCTTGGTTTGTCGGTATGGTAGTACTTCAAAGGAAGTAGATATTTCGCAGCCACTACTGTAATAAGCTGATATAAGGTTCACCATTACTTACCTTGAAGACTTATAGAAAATGTTCAGAGGATTTTAAAAGTTTTCAAAAAATATGTAAGGCTCAAATGACGGTCGAATAACCCAACAGCGTTCGTTTTAACGGTCGTCTAACAATACTGGTAGTACTGGTACGAAGCAGACAGTGATGCCACCCAACATTATTCTTTGAAAATAGCTTATTCTATATCTTGACATCCAAATTAACAATATGGAGACTATTCTTCAAAAGATTAGAAGTATTAGGAAAAGCTTTTCTTGTCTGAGGAAACAATACCAAGTATTTTGCAGCCATTCTAGCCAACAACTTTAAACTAGAAAAAAGCTTCAAACACTTATAATACCTACCTGAACTGACTAAGAAGCAAATTGCATATAAATGACATTCCCAGAATGCTCTTAATAAAATGCAGATGTCCTTCTCTCTGGAAGTGTCTCACTACAAGCCATGAACCACAGACATCTAGATTGACAACATAACAACCAATAATACACCAAAAAAAAAAAAAAAAAAATACAAAGTAAGCACGTAGCCTAATCTAGACTTCAAACCTTCTATAAAATCGACATTCCCATAAACTCCCCATATCTTTGTAGGCCCCTTTATTGTATCACAGATTCCAACCAAGTGATGGTCGTGCGCGGCCCATCACCAGCACACGCCGCCGCCGCTGGCGCCCATTTCCAGAAAAAATCAACCAACCCTCGTATACTCCATCTGCTACAACTTTTTTTTAACTACACACATCATGTCTACTATTCTCGACAAATCTTTGGACGACATTATTTCCACTAGAAGAACCAAGAAGCCCCAGGGCAAGAAGAAGGCCGTTGGTAAGGGCGTTGGTAAAGTGCAAAAGAAGCAGCAGCCTGTTTCCTTCCAGAAGGTTGCCAAGAAGGTCGCTGTTCCTCAGCCAAAACAGTCTTTGGACTTGACTTATGCCACCAAGGTGGTTGCACAGGGCTTGCCCCGTGACTTGAAGCAAGACGCTATCAAGGTATGTTTAATATTTTCCTGATGAAGAAAAATCTGGGAAACGAGAAGGAAAAAGTAGCTACGAGCTTGCCTGGCGCAAGGGAGTGGCGAATCTTCTCTGTGAGCGTGTTTCGTGTGTGATGCTGTGGAAACGGCAAAAACTCAAGGACGGCTCAACGAAGTTGCGGTTCAGATGCTGCTTGGACGTGTCTTTGGGACGTGTAAGCTAATGGACTGCAACCGATCTATGACGGTTGACGGCGAGCGAAACTGTCTGGTGTTGAATTGGTGAATGGTACTGGCTCATTATTGTTGGCAGGGCTAGGTTTGTCATTTTGGGATGATTTCGATGGGACATCGAATACCATGGACGAGACTTATTGATACTGGGATACATTTTGGGATAATTTTGGGATACTACATTGGGACACATTGAATACATTACCGAGCTTTACGCTCGAAGAGCAGCTGGACTGCTATTCATTTCTAGATCGCTACTTCTTCACTGGCGACTCTACTTTTACAAACCATCCCCATTGCCGCCATATCATTACACCAACCACCGCAAAACAGACAAGACAACTGCAACCTCACTTGCAAGTCATCTTGTTGCATCAAGAAGCACATGATCCCCAGTTGGATCGCTTCGTCTTGCATTCGCGTTGACCCATCAACTCAATCATGGAAAGGGACGTAAGAGTGTCTCACAGCAGGCCACGGATCTCACATTCCTGATTTTTTTTTTTTTTTTTTTTTTTTCGCAGCTTAAAACTAACAAACGTAGGAATTCTTCCAGTCGCAGGTTGGAGGTGTGTCGCAGGTTTCGATGAACTACAACGAAAAGGGTCAATTTAGAGGTGTTGCTACCATCGTGTTCAAGTCTCACAAGAACGCTGTGCTGGCTGTGGAGAAGTACAACAATGCTCCTATCGACGGCGGTAAGTCCAAGTTGAAGATGGAGTTGATTGTTGACCCAACCAAGAAGCCATTGGCATCTAGAATTAGTGCTAACCAGCCTCAGCCAGTTGAGAAGGCTCAGCAGCAGAAGAAGCAACACGCCCTCAAGCAAAAGGTACAGCAGAAGAGACAGCAGCTCCAGAAGAAGGCTGCTAAGCCAGCTAAGGCCAAGCCAGCCAAGCCAGCTAAGAAGACTGCCGAGCAGTTGGACCAGGAGATGTCTGACTACTTCAACAACTAAGAAATTTTCGGCAGCTGTGCCAGCCCTCACATTCTCCAAGGGCGTTTGTAAAAGTATATAAGATGATAAAGGTTCCCCAGTTGGAAAACACAACAACCAAGGGACCTGGGAGCAGCCGAGAAACAGAATGCCATCAAGGGTTTGGGTGCAAATGACTGCACACACTGCATTCTCGAACAAACCGTTGGTGCGGTTCCACTTTTGGTGATAAGTTTCTCGCTCTCGCTTGGTCTTATTATGTATTCGCGCTAATTATCAACTCTCAAACTTCCACCACCACCCCACCAAAACTCCACCACAGAATGCCCAATATTGACTATATCGTCACTGCAGAGTTCCACGTGGATAAGGGGCCTTCCATAGTGCACCAACACCCCGAGAATCTTCCCGGTTACGACAATTTGGCGTTTCTCCCTGAGCTTATGCTTCCAGACCAGATACACCGTCGAGAGGAGGACTTCACGCTCTTTCTACTTTTCAAAAACAAAATCACGGGTGAATTCCAGTATAAGAACGATGGCCAATGTGAAGACGATATCTACTTTATGTATACGGTGGTGAAGAACGTGAGTGACGAGTCGGTTAGACGAGGACTGGTGATTAAGGCTCTCTGTATTATTACACGGTTGCCATACTTCAAACACTTCCGCCCACTACTTCTTATTTGCTTGGATAGTTACTTTGAGAGTGATAATGTGGAGCTTCTTGCCGAATTGTATACGGCAATCAACTTGAACAATTTCAATGTCAACAGCACTGAACAGCCGCTACTAAAGAGACTACTTATCAGCCTGGTGCTTGATTTGCCAATTAGTGATAAGGTGTACGGGGACGAGAAGTTTAGGAATAAGCTTCTAGGCATTAGGGCGCCGAACGAGGATATCTTTATTCGTAAAGACTTGTCATATAACTCGGTGGTGACGTTTGCAGGTATGAAGATTCCTGTGAAGGTGCCTCTATTGCAGCTTCCCGACACCGTGGGCGACTATATGAACCCTACAGACCTTAACTTGAAACCGAACTTAATCAACTTGTTGACTGCTCGTTTAGCGACGCAGCACCATAATAATGAATTGACCATCTATGGACTTTCTACGCCGGCTATTATCGTGTTAATTAATGCAATTTTAACGGGGAAAAGGATTATTTTCTTGAGTTACGATAACTCGGCTGGCCATATTATCGATTTGATCTTGTTGACGTTGAAAATTGTGTCTGGTGGAGGCATTCTCAGTGGCCTTCTTAAGAACTATAACGTGTTTCCAATGATCGATGTTTCCAAGATTGATTTATTGAGCGAATGTGACTCGTACTTAGCTGGTACGATTAATCCCTTCTTCAAGGCTCATGAGGCCATTTGGGACCTTCTATACGATATTGATGCCAACGAGTTCCATGTGTCAGCATCACTCAAGCAACCTGAAATCCTGAAAAACTCCATCATCAGCGAAGACGCTCGTTTCTTGTCCAACTTACAATTTTCACTCTTTACCTATAATGATGATTTGACGACCTTGCAGCTTATTTTCAGAAGACACATCAACGAGATTATACGTATCTTGGTTTCCCTGAGAAATTTCAATGACCCAGGAAACAAGAACTATTCTCTTCTCATGGATGGCGTGGGTTACTATTGGCACAGCGATACCAGTAAACTCGTGGAGATGTCCTGCTACCAACTAATATCCTCCAGGTTCCAGGACCTAATGTACTCGGGCAAATTCACCTACAGCTTGCAACTTCCTAATTTATCTAATGAACTTAATCTTATGATTGACTTACAACATCATATGCAAAAGCTATACAACGTGACGAATGCCATGACCACTCCATCGAAGATTAACGAGAGAGAAATCTGGTTTAATATTCTTAAGTACCTCATCAGCGGGAAATCTTTGGAGACGTTCCTTCTCGTCACCTATTTAATACCACCCAATTCCTCGACAAGCCTACAAAGTTCAGGAGCACATGGCGGGAACATGACTATCTTTGACAAGAACAAGGGTATTGAGCTTTTGCTCATGAACTTGTTCAATGAAGACGACCAGATTAAACTGAATGTGGTGATGATTCTCCAGGAGCTTCAGGACAACTTCTTCTGTGGCTGGTGCCTCAATAACTTTATGAAGTCCAACTACGTCTACGAAGTGGCTTTTAACGAGCTCGTGGAAGCCTAATATACCCTCTTTCCTTACAAACACCATAGTACCCAGATGAATTCAATTCTATTTACAAGACGGGTAACCTATTTTTCCATATCGTTCTTTGATCTTACTTCTCCTCGTCCTTGCCGCTGCTCTTCTGCTTGAACACATTCCATACACTCAAACGGTCGCCCGGAGTACGAGAAGAGTAAGCCTGACCATTGCCGATGTACTTGGATTCACGTCCCTGGCCTTCATAGTTGAGTCCTGGGTTGTTGGTAGGAAAACCTCTAAATGTGGTACTGTCGACGAACTCATCATCGGTCTCCAAGCTGAAGTCGTTTTCCTTCAAATATCTTTCCTCCTTATGACGAGCAATATGCTTCTTGCCATATACCACAAGAACTACAGCACCAGCACTGTAAAGCACCAATTTGGTGGCCAATCCTTTCCTTGTTTCCATGAAGAAAAGTGGTTTGAGAGTGGGTACTGCAGCTGGCGAAGGCTCGTCTCCAGACAATATCCTTCCACCATAATAATGAGATCGTGGCCTGGTGCGATCAGGTAAATGTGGGGACCTGAGCAGAGATGAACAGGTGAAATTGACCACGACATTTCCACAGGGGGGCAAATCTCCTGGTTGATGGTCTTCCGACGGTCAAAAACCTTTACACCTCCATATATAAGGATTCTTCGTTGGGTCTCACAAAGTCTGCCTCGGCCAGCTATCGCCGCGGTTGCTGGCCATATTGGGAGATTCGAGTGCACTTTTTGTTACGAGCCCAAAAAGGGCAGGGCACACGGCAGGACAGAGAGAAAAAAAAAAAAAAAAAAATCCAAGTGACATTCTCAACCTAAAACTTCCAACCCACATTTACTTTTAACTTCCGGTCCCGATTTATCAGACTTGTCTTTTTTTTGTCCTGAAAAATTCGATTTTTTAGCCATTTTTTCATCTGTCAAGTTGATTTCACCCGTCTATTTAATTCTTACGGCCCTTACCGTCTTCGTTCTTGCTTTTACAATGGGGTCCCTTCTGAAGTTGAAGTTCTTAGTGAAATCGTTCGTTTTCGGCTCGCTTATTGCTTCGTGTGCTCTTTACGGTGTGTTTGCCTCCGTCTTCCTTCGAATCATTGGCAAGGCTGAGTATGCCCAGTACACTGTGGCTAGAGCCTTTTACTTCCTGTTCAGCCGTCTCTTGGGTATCAAAATTATCCTCAAGAATGAGCATTTGTTGCATCAAAAGCCAGCTGTGGTGATTTCCAACCACCAGTCGGCCTTGGACATTTTGGTCTTGGGTAAGATTTTCCAGCCCGGCTACACCGTCACGGCCAAGAAGGCATTGAAGTACCTCCCCTTCTTGGGCTGGTTCATGATTGCATCGAGAACTTTCTTCTTGGACAGAGCCAAGGGCGAGAAGGCTAGAAAAGTGTTGGACCAGGCGCTTTTGAGCTTGAAACAGAACGACAGAAGTCTCTTTATGTTCCCTGAAGGAACCCGTTCCGCCACCAAGAAGTTGGAGATGCTCCCATTCAAGAAGGGCGCTTTCCACCTTGCAAAGCAGGCCAAGATCCCCGTCATCCCTGTTGCAGTGCAAAACTACAGCACGTTGTTCCAGTCTAGGGACAAGATCTTCAAGAGCGGTGAAATCATAATTGAGGTTTTGGAGCCCGAGCCTACTGATAAGTTGGAGACCAAGGAGGATGTTGACGCCTTGGCTCTTCTGATCAGAAACAAGATGCTCAAGTCGATTGAATCGATGGGCTACGCCACCACTTCTGACCACAAGAACGTCACTCCTCCACCCACCACCGAGGAATCCACAGATGCTGCATCCGACGAGAGCATTGAGATTGTCTCAGAATCCACTCCATTAATTTCCACCGACTAATGAAACTGGAACATAGTTACGCTTGCGTATCTAGAACATGTATAATTAGAATCCACGATGAAGATGTCTTATAGTGTAGTTCAAATAAGCTTCCATGGCCTTTATCTAGCATTAAATTTAGGTTTGGCTCATTGTTCTGATGACTATGTGAACCACCAGACCACTAAAGACCGCGTTCGGGATTGTCAATAAAGACTATAATTTTGATCAAAGAGGGTTCTGATAACGTGAACAGAATGTTGTATTGAAGTCTTTTCGTGTTTCGTGTTGTCCTCAACCAAAGTGGTTTATTAGTTTTGGGCAAACAACTCATGGGGTGCAATAGAATTCCCAATTCGAAGAAATTAAATGTGGTACTTTTAATGAAATTTTCATAAAAAAAGCCTGGTAATTTCTTGTTCCTTGGCTGGTTGTTGGTGAAGATATGCTCAGCACGCCAAGATCACTAAGAACCAAGAACACAGAACTCCCTGCGTTTTATACTGTGAAAAATGGAATAATTTCCAGATAGTTTATTGGCCTGAAATTGAAGGTTTTTTGTTGATTAAACAAGGAAATCTTCTTTGAACAGTAAGTAGATGATACTGGAGTATGGGTATTCATGTCTCATTAGCCCCAGGGACCACTTTCTACACAAATGAGTCGTATAACTCTTTTAGACCACCCAAAATATGCTTTTCTAGTATCAGAAGGCTTCTGTTTTTTTTTTTTTTTATACCAGAATCTATCCTTAATCTAATGAAATGTGGCTCACCTCCTCATCTGAGACATCTTCACCATTACCAGTACTACCACAAAAAGGATGACAAAGTGACCAATCTGTACGGCCTTTAAGGATAATTTTAGCCAAAAGAAACGACCAACAGGAAATTACACAAGGATCTACTCAGACTTCTCGATTCCTTCCTTCCTTCCCGACAACTACAACTACTGGTATTGCACCATCTATACTCCCAAGCACACACTACAACTTCACATCTGCCACTCAATTACAACCCTTTTACCCAGCACCCTTTAAAAACACGTCTCCTATCATCACCAAAAAAAGAACACACTTCATCGCCCAAAGCCCCGTTTTCCATAACGAAGTCCAATTGGGTGCAAATTAGCATGGCTGGTGAAGCGAAGCCACCCATATAACAATGCACTTCCATTTCCTCGTCAACACACCCTTTCATTGCAGTTGCCTACCAAAAGAGACATAAAATTACCAAATTTCCTTTTTCACCTTTTGTTCCACAATGCTGCCTTGTTATCAACACTGAGGTCTCACATATGCGAAACCACTAGTGAAAAGTTCCACAAAAGCTTGACAGAAAACCAAAACAACAAACCTGAAACACCAGAAAGCACCAAAACTCTTCTTTCTTCCTCCATCTAAATCCACCTAAATCCCTCCTTCCTCTCTTTATTCACCTGCCTACTTTGCATAGCCACCGTTGGACCGTTTTCTTACCTCTACACTGCGGCTGGGCATACATGGTGTACTCAGTCAAGAGAAGGTGAAAAGGGTTCCCCCTCTTTTGCCCGTCGCCCCCTGATTAGTATAAATAGAGAGCAAAATCCGCCTAAAAAAAGGAAAGGAAAAAAGATAAACTTTTCAAAAATCCAAAATCCCTTGTGGTTGTTCCAAAACTTGGGCCCTTTTCTGACCAGGCTGCGACGCCAAAGACGCTTTTTTTTTTTTTTTTTTTTTTTTCGCAATTAGTCGTGTCGCAGAAAAAGAAGCGCGTCACAAATCAGTAAACCAAAAAACCAAAACCAAAAACCCCATCTACACTTTACGCCTTTTTCTGACCTTCGGCGATTGTTACATAAATAGAAGTCACCTTTAGCTCCTTCTTTTTTGTCTGCCATGTCGGAACCAGACTTGCTGCACCATTATAAGGTGCTCAAACAGTTTCTTGATATTCTGGATGATCTGGGCTCCAGGACAAAGTCCAACTCGTCGCGTGCCATGAGGGCCAGGGAGAAGCTTCTCAAGTTGCTGGGCGCCCAGTTCCGTGAATTGAGTACTGACGTTTATGACGAGTTGAAGCGTCGTATTGATGAGAGTCAGGCCGAACCAGACTTCTTGCTTCCCAAACTGACATTTCATCCTAAGAGAAACCAGGCTAGACAGAAACTCTCTCTGTTGCCGCAGACGAGGTTTAAGGATTTGGTGCTGGATATTAGTTACGAGATTTCCAGACGTAATTTACACGTTCCTGCTGCCCCTGCTGCTCCCGAGTCTCCCGTTCGTACCCACCAGAAGACCCCTTCACATGCCTACTCCCAGGCGCTGCCTGAAACGTATAGGACCCAACCGGCCAACGACGAGGTCGACTTGAACCGCATTGACGATGCGGAAATCTCCCATTCTACCGTTGAAGATGTCCCCGAGGCTAACTCCACCTCTTATAATGCTGACCCACAAACGCTGCAGCTTTCACAGGAAGAAACTTCCAAGCAGAACATTACCGTGCAGCCTACTACCGTGATACCCACCAAAGCCAACTTGACGTGGTCTAGTGATGAAGAGGAGGAGGAAGATGATAAGCCAGTCAATAGAGGCGTCAATACCGGCGGTCATTCAGCCAGTAATTCAGCCAGTAATACCGGTGCCGGTACCGGCGCTTTGGCTGGTGTTGGTGCTGCTGGTGCAATGGCAGGTGCTACCGCCAGAGGTCTAATTCCTAATGGTGGTTCTTCTAATAAGGAAATTGAAGACCTCAAACAGGCTCTTCAAGCAGCTGAGGAACGTGCTAATGAACTTGAGAAGACTAATGAAGATCTCAAGTCTAACCTAGCGGCTACCCTCTCGCAGAAGGATTCACTCGAAGCCGAAAACAAGCAGTTCCTTTCAAGATCTGCCGATGTGGCTGATCCAAAGGAGCTCTCATCCCTCCGAGAGGAGCTTGAGAGCTTGAAATCTTCAAGTGCAGCATTGAGATTGGAGAACCAGGCATTGAAAAACAAGCATTGGAAGGATTCTAGACACCAGTCTCGCGATCTCGCAAGTCTTTCAAGAGAAGATTCGCTGTCTGGTCAGCTTACATCGCTGCCAGGCCATCTGGGTTCTCGCCCACACTCTGGCTCTTTGAACCATGCCTTGGAACTCGCATCTAGAGGCTCTCCTAACCAGTCTCCATCGAAGAGCATCAGTTCTGTTCGCTCTGGAGTTGACGTGAATGACGAATTGAAGAAGCTTCATGAAAAGATGGCTGCTTTGGATGGTCCTCAGAATGTGCCATCTGCTTCTAGAAGAGAGCTGCTTTTGAAATCTGAAGCTTCCAAATGGCAGCAGAGATACCAGGATGCCCAAGCTGGTATAATCAAGAAGAACATACTGTCTTCCACACCTCCATTGCAAAAGCTTGTGTCGCCTAGTGGCTTAATACCGTCTAAGACCGCGTCTCAATTCTTTGCAGCCATTGAAGCTTTTATCATCAGTCTTTATGATGACGAAGCCGACCAAGATATCCTATTTGACAAAATCCTGAATGTCGCTTGTCTAGCGAACAAGCTTGCCTCTGTCGGTGACAAGAGTGCCCTTTATGAAAACGACCACCTCGCAGTCAATGTCAGAGAGGCTGCTGGTCACTCGTTAACTGCTACAAGGTACTACGGCTCAAACAAAAAGATGCTTCCAAGAGTCGTTGTCGAAAAGTCAGTCGACGAGCTTGCATTCACTGTGTGTGATCTTGTATCCACGTGTAAATTAAATGACGGTACTGCCCCTGTTGAAGAGCAGTCCCAATCTATTCCAGCCCCAACTCAAGATAGCAATGATGCCATACGACCCCTCAGAATTGGAAAGTCGACCAACCTTAGTCCTCCAGACAAGGATGAGGGCGACCTTCAATCATCCAACTCTCGTGGTATGAGCCCAATGGAGGACTACTCCACTCCAAGACTGCGTACTCTTTCCACCGAGGCTCTACAACGTCAAGAGAATGCACCTGTCGACAGTCCTAGCCCGGCCAAGGTACTTCCAGGATCGATGCCATTGAACGATGCTGCCCAGGAGAAGCCACTCAGAGAAGAGCCAGCCAAGAAGGAGGAACCAGCGAAGAAGGAAGAACCAGTCAAGAAATTGACGATGTTTGAAAGACTCTCGGGAACGAAGAAGAAGCCAGAGAGCACGCCAGCATCCCCTGAAAAGGCTCCAGAACCTGAGAAGACAAATGAAACGACTTCCAAGGTCGCTGCAGGCGCTTTGGGTGCTTCTGCTATGGGTGCTGTTGCTGCTGCCACTGCTGCAACCACTTCAGATCTGCAAGACCAAGAGAACAAGGACCGCTCTTTGACTGAGTCGAACTTCAATGCCAAAACAGAACCCGAGCCTAAGACTAAGGCTCCAGAACTGACTGAAGAAAGCAAGAGCCCTTCGCAAAACAAAGAGAACTTGGCTCCTTCTACTCCTCATTCTGCCTCCAGAACCAACATTTTGGATAAGGTGAGACAATTCGAGAGTCCTGAAGAGTCACCATCGAACAGGCTTATTTCGAAGACGAAATCACCTTCTCTGGTGTCTGTTAAGAACACGAAGGAATTGTTCTCAAAGGATGGTGCTGAAACTAGCAGCCCTAGCCAGCTGAGTCCCGCTGGACCAAAATCTACCGATAATACCCCAACGAGAAGCAGAAGTTTGTTCCAGACCTTAAGAAACAAGTTCGCTGGTGAATCTCCTAAGATCGAGAATGAGAAGGCTGCTGTCGAACAGGAATCCCCTGTTCAGGCTGCAAAGTCTGCTGTTGCCTCTGAAGCCAATGGCCAGGAAACTGATTTGAAAGACTCTGTTTCTAAGGCAGCTATTGGTGCAGCTGCTGGTGCTGCCGCATATGTTGGAGCTGACAAGGTTGCCGATGGTATCAAGAAGCATAACGAAGATGACAGTGATAAATCTCTCAACAAGTCTGCCAACGTGAATGATAAAGAGATCAGCAAGCCAGAAATTAGGGAACCATCTTTGGACAGCAAGCCAGTTGCGAAGGAAGCTGACACTGATTTAAATCTGGAACAGGGATTGAAGCCCAAGCCATCTTTGAAGGCTCTTTCGAACAAATCTCCATCTTTCAAGGTCAAGAAGGTCAACTACGCTGAGAAGAAGGACGAATCTGAAGAAGAGGAAGAGTCCGAAGAGGAAGAAAGTGATTATGACGACCAAGAAGAAGAGGCCAGACAGAGACAGGAGTACAGAAAGTCGATGGCTGCTGCCACCTTCAACTTTGATTTGTTCGATATCGATGATCCTGATAACACTTTGACGCAGGTGTTGCTTTATTTGGAGCACCAGACTGTTCAAGTTATCTCCACTATTCAAGACTTGTTGACTGCTATTAAGAAGCCAGATGCTACCAGAGGGGAGTTGAGAGAGAACTCCAAGGCCATCTCAGAAGTCATCAGACAAATGGCCGATGCTACCAAGACGTCGATGAACCAGACCCGTAACCACCAATTGAAGGAGCACGGATCTTGGGTTGTTACGAGTTTGGAGGACTGCAACCACCGTATGAACAACCTCTGCAGACCACATGCTGACAAGAACGACGAGGAGTTCGCCGACAAGAACTTCAAGCAGCGTCTTGCCGGTATTTCCTTCGACATTGCCAAGTGCACGAAGGAGTTGGTGAAGACCGTCGAGGAGGCCAGTTTGAAGGAAGACATCGCCCAGCTCGATGCCAGGCTCAACCAGCCTGACGATGATTTGACTTAAAGTCACCCACATATTCCCCCACCCACACACCCCCAGCCCTAGGGCTACTTGTACATTAGAATTAGAAAAAATGCTATCATGAATATTAAACTGGTCGTAAGTCTATCGTATGTATTTGGAGAGAAACTTGCGGTGAGTCTCCGAGTGTAAGGTATCAGTAGTGTAAGACAGTTGCTTGTTATTGGAATCGTTCGTTTCTTTCTTTCCCCTAAACGGTGTATTTCTCCATGAGCTGCGTCCTCCCTTTGTTTTTAGTAGGTTATCATGGCCAGCCCGTTGCTCTTCGTCCTTTGCTTTCTTAAGCTCTGCTATCACTTCTCTAGATTCCTTATTTTCACCGTCTTCTCTTTCGTCATCCGAAAGGCTCCCACTTTCAAGACTAGAAGCGTCTGTATTCAGAGTAGCCTGACTCTCCTCCTCGTCCTCTTCATCTTTTCTTCGTTTCCTGGAACTTTCAGTCTCCTCTAGAGCTCTCTTCCCTAGAGATGGAGAAACCTTAGCACCTTCAATATCAGGTCTAAGTTTTAATTCTTTCTGGCCTCCTAAAGCACGTGCATGCTGGATTGTATCTTTGATAGGGTTACCACGGCCTCGCTTGCTTTCTAGCGTCGGTCTGTGGTTAGTAGTCATTAGTAGTTGATGAAGATTAGTATGCGCACTGAAGATATGGAGAAAAGAAGGGGGAAGGGCAAGAGTAATGTGATATTTTTCTACCGGGCAGAAACGAAGGAGAATGAATATGTAGACGTTTTTAATTTGCTACTTGGAGTTTTTGCTTGTATATCGTTCTTTTATATCTTGTCTATGGCGCTGATGCACCCATGGTGGTATTTCGCAGCCATTGTGGGATGGAACCATACTGGGGTGATATGGATGGGAGCCACAATGGGTGATTGAGACCACTGGGTGGTTATTAAGATGCATTGACATGATGCCATGGACGAATGGGCTGTAAATGATCTAGGGGGCCAGGAATGCTGTAGTTTTAAGTGCATTGCTTGGGTCCCATATGTAGCCACCTGAAGACCTCTTGTGGCGTATCTTCTTCCTTGGTAAGGTTACTCGCCATCGCTTTGAATTTCATCCTCCCAGCCTTCTTCGTCATCGTCGTTCTTACGCTCAGGCAACAAGTCGGCCATGATGGGCCCGCCCAACTCTGTCAAAAGCTCAGAAACCTGGCCAGCCACGTCAGGGTCCATAGCCTCAGCAGAGGCACTGTTCAACACACGGTAGCCCTGAGTAAGAGCAGAACGAGCGTCGTGAAGACCAGACTGGACGTTTTCGTCGTCGGACTTCTTGACCTGGTCCAAGTCGATTTCTCTATAGTCGCTTTCTTCGGGAACAGAAGAAGGGTTGAGCTCGCCGTAGACCTGCTTGGCACGAAGAAGATGGGCCAAGGCTTCGTAGTAGAAAGCGTCAAGCGCATTATCGTTGATTTCAGCAACACTGGCGGCAATGGATGGTGCAACTTCGTACATGCCCAATTCAATTGCAAACCTAGCAAGACCCAACAATGGCTGGACCAATTCAACGTATTCCAAAGAAGCATCTTCGCCATCGTCCTTCTTTTGGTTCTCCTCCAATGCAACCTTCTTCTCTTGGAACAACAGCCACGATTTAAGCAAAGCCTCTTGGGCTTCTTCGTTCTTTTGCTGGGAGATTCTAATCGACGCCAAAAGCGACAATGCCTCTGGATTAGTCTCGTCAAGAGTCAAAGAATGCGAGATCAACTTGTCACACTGTTCTTCAGCCTCTGGCTCCATACACAAGTCAGTCATCCAGATCTCGATTTCGGCAAAAATACCCTGGTTCAACTTCTTGATCAAATGGCCAGCCAAGTCCTCTGTGGATGGGTACAACTGGGCCAAATCCACAAGCACCGAGTCGTCAGTGCCCAGGTTGTCCACAACCTTCTGGAGCTGTTCTTGAAGCTTAGCCAATGCAACATTGATATGGTTAATTCCGTCATTACCACCAATGATCTGGCCCAAGTACAAGAACTTGTCCACACCCAAAGCACCTTCAGTGTCCAAAGACACAGCTTTCTCCAAAACATTATAGGCAGACTCCACGTCGTTCACCTCTAGTAGACACTCACCAAACACCTCCAAGAGCTTTGGGTCGTCCTGGTTTTTAGCAACTTCAGGCGCCAAAAGCTCCATGGCCTTGTTCTCCTGAGAGCTCTGGAGAAGGGCACGTGCCCTTGCAATCACTTGTTCCATGAAGAGTGTGGTTGTGATGAGGTTACACTGAGGGTCTGATTTTCGCGATGAGTGGGCCTGCGATGCCTGGTGATGGTGTACCAGGAGAGGAAGACGTAGAAGGTACTGGGAGGCTGCTGTTTATGAGATGAAGGTTGAAGGGTGATAGGTGGTGACAAGTGGTGTCGAAAAATACTAATTAGTCCAATTTTTATGAATTGGCTGGTTTTGATTGGGTATTGGAAGATGAGTGGAAGGCATTTCGCAGCCATAGATTGTAAGCAACCAGAGACGTCGTAGAGGTAGATCAGTGAATGCAGCTTGGAAGGTTCAATGAAGAAAGCATGTGGCCTTAACGAAAGACTTTAAGTGTATTGAGTTAAAAGAAACTTGTGGTTTGACATCAAGTGATGGTGTATTGGTTACTGCTCCTTGCTAGGCTGTCCAAGAGTCTGTACTATTCCATGTCATGAAAAGCTCAAAATAGAGCTTATGAAACGTCTGAGCGGATGATTCATGGCCCTTTTATTTTGGTATTATGTATTTTATTACTCCAACTATATATTGTGCCATCTGCTTGTTCAAAGCTATTGAGCATACCAGAAGCATGAGACAGTACCAAAGCACCTTAATATGATACCCTGCTCTTCCAAGCGATGTAATGATATTTCTATAATGTAAGTACATTTTACTATTATCTACTTTTAGTTTTTTTTTTCTCTATGCATCACAACTTTTGCTTATCTTCCCTCTTCTACCCTCACTAATCACAATATCTGTCATTTTGCAGCCAATACCATGAACCTTAAGAACCATGAAAACACCTTAAAAATTCAATTTTCCACAACCTCAACGTATCTTCTCTTCTCTACCTTTATTTCTTCAAAATCCACTTCCCTTGGCATTCCTTTACCACTACTACCACCACAACCTCCTCATCTATATCTCATCTCATCGCGCCTTACTACCAACTTCATGTTCCATGCTACCGAAAGAGAAGCTTGAAAAACTCCAAACAGAGTACGCAATTCTCCACCTCGTGTACCACAGAAACCATAACCAACACAGAGTGGCAGTATGGTGGCGCCATTTGAGTATGCTCCATCGTGGAGTCAGGAAAGTGCTACGAGGGATATATGAGATCGAGGAGGCTAAGAAGATCAAGAGAAGAGAGCAGCTTCAGAAACAGGTGGTCGCTACAGCTAACCATTTGGTTCTTCGAGTGATGAACAGAGCGTATTATCACTTCAACTCGGTCATTGCGTTGGGCCAGTTTGTCAACTTGGGGTTTGTTTTGGTGGCCAGTGTGAGTGCTTTAAGGTCATTGTTGCTAGAGATTGAAGGTGTTGGAGACAGAAACGTGGAAGTCGAGACGAAAAAGACAGAATTGGATGATGATATTGGAGAGGAAGTGGCGTACGAGCTGGTATCGACGCCGCTGGTGGATATCAAACCAGAGCCTATGGTAGCTATGTCCTTTGAGGAGCCAAAGAAGGAACCAAAAAAGAAGACAGAGAAGAGGAAGAGTAAAGGCGACGGGGAGAAAAAGAAAAGAAAAAGAAGTCAAAGTCGGCTATCGACGATATTTTGGATGAAAAAGTACTTATAAAACCAATCTGTATATATTAAAATACGATGTTCCAATTAAATCTATATCCATCGCCAAACACTGTTAGTTCCACTGACAGTAGATGACGAAGAGGCGAAACAATCAATAAAACCAAACATTAAAAAACAAAACTCCTAAAAATACAAATGACCGTAAACTTTTTTCTTTTCTCTAACCGTTAATATCCTTTTTCCCTAATCATGTTATCGTCGCTGTGAAATCCCATTGGCATTTGCATCTGCATCTGTGTACGGATGTGAGCTGGTATCTGTTGCTGATAGAATTTCTGTGGAGCTGGCTGCTCGTACATGTGCTGTGGCATCGATTGCGGAGGCATCGACTGTTGGGCCATGGAAGCCGCCTGAGGAGTAAAGTTCTCAGGAGCCACATTTTGCACCATGTTAGCCATGGCAGCTTGTTGCAGAAGTAACATTTCTGGTGTAGGGATAGGAATACCTAACTGTTCGGTATCGAGGCAAAAGCCGTCATCGTAATCCTCAGCAGGCAGCAGGGCCTCAGGAATCATTTCTACGTTTGGCAGTTCATGCTTGAAAGCCTGTGGCTGCAGGTGAACGGAGTGATGACCGCTTGAAGTGGACGATGGAGAGTCATTATACTCACATGAGCTGCCCGTAGGAGGCATAGGAGTGGTCATGGAATTAGGAGTGCCCATGACAGGAGACTGGGTGTTCTGAACGGCAGAGACCTTAGCTTTCTTTTGCTTAGTCTTCTTTTGTTCCTTCATCATACGAGCAAGCTCCTTCTTGAGTCTGTTCTTAATTCTGGACTTACCCTTAAAGCCTGGAGGAAGGTACTTGCACTCACCGCCTTCAATATGAATTTCACACCAAACTTCACCGTTCTCGAACCACTCGCCACACATGGAGCAGTTACCGGCAGAAGAGTTACGAGCCTTGATGGGGGTGTTATCTGGGTACTTGAAATGACGGGACTTCAAATGGGTCTTATAAGTGTCTCTTCTGGAGAAGCCACCAGTAGGATGACACTTGTGAACGACGTCGTTTTCGTCTTTGTAGATGGAGGACTTGTGGAATGGACACTTGTAAGCCTTTTCGGAAGCATGCTTCTTGATATGACGGGTCAAGTAACCACGCATCTTGAAGGAGGTGTTACAATGAGGACATTGATGGACTTGACCGTCAGTGGACTCGCCAGCACCCGCCTCTTCATCTTCCTTACCGGACGTCTTGTCGTCGTCCGAAGCCGTCGACGAAGGGGTGTTTACCTGAGCCACGGAGTTCAGTTTCTCATACACAATAGACTCGTTGTTGGAGCTGCTGGAGGTAACTGGCGACAAGATATCGTCAGTTTCTTTCTTTGCGTTCTTGGAAGGTTCATGGTGGATTCTAAACGCTTCAAGCTCCAGTCCCGGAGGAAGGTCTTCGGTGAAGGCCCACTCGATCTCGCCCTTGGCGTTCTTGAACGGCAAAAGCCGAGTGGTGATACCCGTGGAGCAAGGGATCGGGCGGGCCGGCTGGACAGCGGGATCTGATTCTTCCTCTTCTTCTTCGCTTTCTATGGAGACGTTACTGATGGAAGGGAAAAGCGAGGGAATCTGGGAAGCCTCTTGGATATGGGATTGTGTGGATTCTGAAGGAATCTTGGTCGGAAGCAAGAAGGCAGACAAGATGGATAAAAGCCAGACGAGTGGTGCAAGAAACGCAAAATCGTTGGCCAAGTCTACCAGATGCTGGAGACGCTTTTGGAGATCCTGGAGCATTCTTTAAGTAAGTCGAATACAAAAAAAAATAGAATTTAGGAAAGTGGGACAACAGGGCAAGCGGGAGAAGTCCGACCTTGCCAAAAATAAAATATGCGTCACGTAAGCAAAAGGTTAAAAAATTAGGAGTAGTATAGCACTGATTATAGGAAAGCCCAAGGGATATATGGAAGAAGGCCAGGTGGTAAAAGTGGATGGATAAGTAAGTGGAGTGGTTTTTCTGCTTCTTTTTTAGGTGAGATAGGCTTGGGTTTTCGCGAGAAACAAGAGCGACCCGTGACCGGGAAAAGAGAAAGCGAGGGAAAAAAAAGAGATGGTAGTGGTCGTGCACAAACCACAAAAGTATCCCCCAAAAGGACATGCACAAAATCTAATGGAGTAAAAAACTCGGACATTTCCACAGCACCTCACGCACTACAATACTTGGACAGGTAAAGTGTTTGAAGCGTTTGATGTGCCTGGGAATGTTACATGCGTGGGGGACCCCCACCCCTTCTACTAAAAATGCTGTAAATTGGAAGCTGTAAATTGGAAGCTGGAAGCTGGAGTTTGGTGGTTGTGGAGAAATCAGAGGTGGACGGCGTGTGCAGGGGCTACAGACAGCTATTGAAACAAGCTTTTTTGGAGAGTAGGTGGATTGGTAAACGAGTTGCAGCCGGTGTACAAATGGAGGGGTAAAAAGGTGAGTGAAAAAAAATTTTTATTATTCTCCTTGATTTATTATAACGGTAACCGGAAATGCAATTCCGGATGATGTAGAAGGCGGTGTTTTTTTCGTTCTTTGGCTGTTTTGTCCTTTTGGTACTGGCTTTCCTGCTACTGCTTCAGGTGACGCTTAAGGCATGGTTAGTGCACTGGATCTGGGGTGATTGTGGGGATGCATGGGAGGTATGGGCCTGTGCCTCAGAACACACTACACTTTTTGCCTGGAAAGTTTCATGATTGGATGGTTTTAGGGTAATTTTTTTTTTTTTTTTTACATTATTTCTTATTATCCTTTCCATTGGGTGATCTCGCTTTCTCTGTATTCGCATGCTTTTACGATATTATTCTCGTTTGTTCTCGTTTCACGGTCATTGTCTCCATGGCTAGACTTACCCTAGTTGCAACCCGGACTTGGGTTTCTTCGGACTTGAATGTCCTCGAGGCTAAGCATCGCCGGGTCCTTCTATATCGAGTAACCCGTGGAGGTCCCAAAATTTTTTGAACAAGAACACATCGTGGGTTGCTGAAATGACGTCACAGTATATGGAGATCTCATTTGCACAAGGGGTTTGGTCATCAAAGCAACAGTTTAGCTTTTGGGGGTGGGAGGTTGCATTTGTGATTTTACCTATAATGAAATGGGACCAATTGGAGGTGGATTGTGGTTCCCTTGTTTCGGCGTTTAGCCAATGGTGTATTGTTTCAATGTAGAGGAAAGGGTTTGTCTTGAATAAGGCATTGGCTCCCCCAAATAACACGACACAAGGTGATCGGAGTGACACTTGTGAAAGTTTATTTGGTGCTTTTGGTGGGGCCCTTGTTGGTTCTATTATGGTACTTAGCGGTCTTGCTATTGTTGAACGTGGGGGTTTACAAAAGAAATGGTATACCATCAAGGGGTGGCTTGAATAAGAACAAAGTGGGGGCGTTAGGCTTGATTTTCGGTAATACTTTATGAATTAAGGAAATCTGGTTGGGGTTTCCGGTTGTCAGGTCCTCGAAGCTCATGTGGGAGTTAAAAGTCATAAAACCTTATTTGTCTCGGGGAGCTCCAGGGTCTATGCAAAGCAGTTGTAGATAAAAAGGTAAAAATTGGCCGCCACGGTTATGCTCTTCAGGAATGTCTTTAAATGGATTTGAGCTACTTTGAAGTACTTGACATGCACTGGTGGTTCAAATTGCAACGTAAAACACTCCAAACACCAAAAGTATGACATTACCTCTCGGCAAAGACCGAAAACGCTCATTTCAACCCGATACCAATAAAATCAACCAAATTCGTTGTTCTTCAGAATGGGTGCAAATTGTTCACCGATAGCCGCCCTGCCTCATGTCAGATCCATTATAAGCAGAATTCTCAGGGGAAAGAGGACCAAATAGCCTGGCAACACAAAAAGGGAAAACAGAGAATGAGGAGATCCTTAAGTATATTCTTCTTGGTAGCTTTTCATGTACTTTCATTTTACCCTTATTGGTCTATTTAGTGTAAACTGTGGTTCCATGCGACTCGGCCACACTTCGGTCTTTCCCACCAAGGCCCATCCAACTCTTCGAGACTTCCATAAAAAGTGGTGAAAATTTGGCTTTACATAAATGGTAATCTCAAGAAAACAATCAAAAAAACCAGAACTCTCAAACACCAATACTTCAATATCTGCTGGTGGTTTTTTGGTCCCACCGCACTGTCTCTTCACCTCACAGTGCTGCCTAACTATATGGACTAATGTACCACACAAAAGCACCAGAAACACCAAAATAACAACTTTTAAACACACAAAGTCTCTCTATTACCCTCCAAAAACACCATTCTCTATATTTTGTATTTTTGGATAATTCACTTTTTTTTTTTTTCCAAACCTTCCCTCCATCCTACATCGCGGAATTTTCACCTATTGATCTCTCGACAACAACACCTTCTTACAAACCCCAGTCCCTTCGGCACACACTTTCATTCATAACCATGTCGCTGGACTCGTTTGATCTTGACCTTGAGAACTTCACCCACCCAGCCATCTCCAAGCTTAACGGCTCGTTTTGGTTCCATGAACTCAATGAAGAGTGTTTCCCGGGCCAGACGTTTGGCCTTAGGATCGATAAGGTTCTCCACCATGAAAAGTCTGAGTTTCAGGATATTTTGATTTTCCAGTCGCTGACGTTCGGCAACGTGCTTGTGTTGAACGGTATCGTCCAATGCACAGAGAAGGACGAGTTCTCTTACCAAGAGTTGATCACTCACGTGCCCATCATGAGCCATCCATACCCAAAGAAGGTGTTGGTGATTGGCGGTGGCGACTGCGGAGTTGTTCGTGAGTTGGTAAAGCACCTTGGTAAAGGCGTGGAAGAGATCACCATGGTGGAGATCGATAGAAAGGTCATTGAGCTCAGTGTGAAGTACTTACCTGACATGGCCAAGTTTCACGACCATCCAAAGGTGAATATAGAGATTGCCGATGGCTTTCAGTTCTTGCAAGACTTGAGCTCTCAAGATGAGGGTGGAAAGTATGATATTATCATTACAGACTCTTCTGATCCAGAAGGCCCAGCTGAAGAGTTCTTCCAGGTCAACTACTTTCACTTATTGAAGAGCGCTGTTAAGCAGGATGGTATTGTTATCATGCAAAGCAGTGAGAATATCTGGCTTAACCTCACCTACCTTAGCAGCTTGAAGGAAAAGGCTCAACAGGTGTTTTCCACCGTGGAGTACTGCCAGTGCTACATGCCCTCTTACACCAGTGGGCAATTGGGACTTATAGTTGCTACCATGGATAAAACGAAAAATTTGAGCAAGCCTTTACGGACCTTGCTGAGAGAACAGGAAGAAAAGATGTTCAGGTACTACAGTGCTGCGGTGCACGAGGCTGCTTTCGTGTTGCCTACCTGGGCTGATAGAGCGCTCCGCTAATAGTGGAAATTTGGAGCCGGCTAATCGTAAACGACACGAGCCTACGAAGGCATGACACATTTTACATATGAATCACACGGGGTGAACGGTCAAGTGGTGTAGGAAGTTGTAGGGAGGGAGCTAAGAGGTCGGATGTGAAGGTGAAAGAGGGCATAGATAGCTCATGAGGTTCCAGTAATGCATTGAAAAAAAAAGGTTCTTTACTCTAAGGAACGAATGGCTTAGCAAAGCTTGTTTGTTGAGAATTAATGATACTTTGCAGCCATTCAATACAACCGTTACTTTACCCCCACTTGGCTCATAACGACTGAAACGCTATATTACGGGAACAGCAAATATAGGAGAATAAAGCCAGTGGATATATATAAGCCTTTGGCTAATTTAATACTGCTTTGTCTACTTGTCATACAAAGCATCAAGACTACTGGCATCACAAAGTAATATTCTCAACCCCATGATACGAAAATTTCAGTTATGTGTGAACGTTTCAATAAGTGAAAGGACTACTATAGACTTCTAGACTTCCAGGAATATGGTGATGTCGTTGGGTCCAATAGAAGCTCTACCATGTAATGTGCGATAGTCAACCTTGAACAACTTCTTGAACGCACATCAAATGTTCATGAATCCAATCCATAAAGAGCTACACGAATAAGAGAAAAGTAAACAAAAGTCTAAAAACACAAAATGTCAGCTCTTATGGAGCCAGTGTTGCTTTGGCTGGCTGGTAGTAGGTATAAACACCCGTACACCACATATATTCAACACCCAGCAACAACCACGCCAAAACACCCAAAAACCACAATGAAGTGATCTTAAACTAATTCAAGCTTCTTCAACCAACCTAAGAGTAATATTCGTATGTCAATTTCTTCCTTTTCTCTCACGTGCCTGACCCTACACTCCATTTGCAGCCATGGCAGTAAACAGAGAACCGCATCTTCCAAGGTCGTGCGCGGGCCGATTCTCATCGACACTACCTCCTCTTTTTCGAAAAACACGACCCTGATCGGTTCCCGCCCTACCGCCGTTTGGTTCTTGCACTCATATCAACATAAATCGCACATGAGCCACGAGGAAGACTACACTACCAACATCGATGAGCAGCTCCTCACTGCCGTTAAAAACCAGGTCAATGGTCATGGCCTTGACGAGGCCACTAGAGTAAAACTCGAGCATTCCAAGAGCCAGGACCCTAACCTGGACCAACATGCTGCTGAAGCGGCCCAGGCGGCCCAGGCTTTGTACCATCATCAACAGCACTTGCACGATGTTGGCGGAGGGGAGTATAATATTCAGATTCCCGAGCCCATTATTGATCTGAGGCTGAAGATATACCCTGTGCTGGAGAATACCATTACTAATGAGGGTAACTTGATTACTCGTCCATTCCCAGAACAGATGTTCCATACCAGGGAGGAGTTGAACGACTTCATTTCTGAATTTGCACGGGATAACGGGTTTGGCATAGTTATTGCTCATTCTAATAGGAAAGCAATCTACTATACTTGTGAGTTGGGTGGTCGCTACCGCCACAAAAAGGGTAAGACGATCCAACAACAACAAGAGGAGGAGGCTGCCGAGAGAGAACTCAACGATGCCGGTACAGGCTATGTTTTGGACTCTCACGCTAGAACTAAGAAGTTGCGTTGTCCATTCTCTATGACAGCGTCTTTCAGAAAATCAAACTCCATCTGGTCCCTTAGAACAACATGCAACGAGCATAACCACCCTCAACTCGATCCGTTGTCGAACCATCCAATGTTGCGTAAGCGTTCGGATGAGTTGAATTTGCTTATTTTGGACTTGTATAAGGTGGGCACGAAGCCATCGCACATTGAAGCCAAAATCAAGCATCAGTTCCCTGACGTTTTAATCAAAAGAGAAGACATTTATAACGAAATCCGTGGCTACAAGAGAAAGCTCAAGAAACTGAACAAGTACTTGCCTGCGGGCGTGACTCCTCAAGGTGTCAAGAGACGCCGGAACGCTGCTCTGTACCACGAGGTCATGGATGGCGACGACGACGATGAACACGATGAAGTTCTTCTGTATGAATTGGATAGACAGCGTCATGAAGAGTTGCAACGCCAGATCCAGGCCGCCGAAGACGTCCACAATTCCCACCACCATCATCACCACGAGGACCTTCCTCACTCACTCTCGCATCATCTGCATCACTTGGACGAACAGCAGCTACAGCACTACCAGCAGCAGTTGCAGGAACATGGTCTTCACGATTCTGACCATAACGATAACACTGCTGCTGCTGCTATCGCTGCTGTTGCCAACGCCGCTCACGGCAACTCCAATAGCGATCTTACCATTGACAATATCGACAGCCGCTTGGTTGGCGACTAGACGCGCTATCATTGCTTGCTTGTATTATTACTGTGTATCATAGCATGTATACTAACGTTTCCTTTACATTCCCGTGTATTTTATAAGTCCCAATATCACCTAGATAGCCCCAAGTAGCTTCATTGCTTGTGTACGTTTCTCAAAGAGTCTTGTTAACTCACCAACCTTACGGCCCCTGACCACCGGCCGTTTCGATGGAGTTTCAGGCTCTTCTTCTTCCACCTGCGCTTCCTTCTTGGGTATAGTTCTCTCAAATTTGTATTTCTGAGGCGGCCATTGCGCCTTGATATTCGAAACATCCTGAAGTTTCTCTTTCTTTGCTGGTTCCCTCTGAGGGTATGCTTTTCGTGATTCAGGCCTTGCTGGGGCTTCTGACTTTGTTTCGGTCCGCGTAGACACAGCAAGAGTGGTATTATTGTCAAGAATTGTTTTTGTGTTGAATTGAACCCTCTGATTCTCTTCTTCTCCGCTTGTGTTACCCTCATCCATGGTTATATCGTGAGAGAGGTTGTACAGCTCATCATACTTCTCTTCGTTCTGTGCTTTCGATCCAGACTTACCTGAAAGTCTCTCCTGGTAGAGTGGACGGATCTTGCTCCATTGCAGAACAAGGTTCTTTATGTATCTGACAGCAATAGAAACACGATCACCATTCAGTTGCAGTTTAAGCTCATGTGTCAAGGCATGGCACATACATCTCAGGATGGAAAGTGACAGGTGTCCCGTAGTCTCTGAGTGTTTAACAATGGTGGAACAAAGGTCCATGACCCTAAATAAAACAGACGCAGCGTCAGCGTCGGCAGCAAAGTTCTTGCTCAAGATCATGAGCGTGTAGTCTAGATCATCCTTCATGGGCAAGACGATATCGTCAATGCAAATCAATGGAGGAGACACGGTCAGGAGGATCTTTTTAAAGGTTGACGCGATGCAGTGGAGATCCCAGTCGTTAATCCAGATAAACTGATTTCGAAGGATGCATTGGTATAAGATTTCAGTGCTCTGGCGGTTGCCTGGTTTCATGAAAATGGCCTCAGCTTTGGGGCCATAATTCTCGATAATACGACAGATCTGGTTGAAGTGGTAGCAAAAGAGCGGATCTGTTTCTGGAGAGTACGTCGTATCCTCGGTTATAAGCTTAGCCAGTGGGCAATTAAGCGAAAGACGTGGCAGAAGCGTAGTATGAGCGTCGTGCTTATAGATATTCAAGGAGATCTTGAGTTTGGTGATATCCACATAATTAGAAAGCTCAGCCAAAGAGTCACAGCTGATCAAAATGTCCAGCTGGCGTGACGACGAGTCAAAGAGCTTGCGCAACCTCGAAAACGTCTTCTTGGAGATGGAGATGTTGGTCAAGATCAGGGATATAGACTTCACGAACCAACTCTCGTGGACAGCGATAATCTTATGGAGATTATCGAAATTACACGTTTCCGGCGAAAGAAACAGTCTTAAAAATTTGACACCGTCTATCCACGAGATCTTGTTAAGGCCACACGAAAACATCACCACAATGTACCGTTCCAGCGGGAGCTTCTTCATTAGCGTGGGGATGAAAAGCTCATATTCAATCACGTCTGGCGAAGGCAAGTATGACGTGTCGAACACATAGACAGGCAAGCCCGAGTAGGCGTCCTCGATATCGGTTTTAAAGAAGATACGCTCCATGGTGGAGGAGTGGTTGATAGCGGATTTCAGAGCGAAAAAGGTTAGCTTTTAGGTGCCGAGACCCGCGGTGTCGCGAGGAGGACTCCGGAAGCACAAGACAGGATAAAATGGCACTACCAGGGTGATTTAGAGAAATTAGAGAGTGGTTTTGAAAAGTATAATGGCGGTTTTGGCGGTAGATTTTGCCCTGGGGTTGAAATTCTCCAGCTGGTGGAACCTTCAATGGGTGTCCTGGAAGAGGGAAAAGGTAAACATCGCGGTGATGAAGCAGAGAAGATAGCAACGTGGAGGGAGCAGGAGAAGTAGGAACTGGCCAATGAAAGGAAAGAAGTGGAAAGAGACCTTAGAGAGATTGAAGTCACTTTACATTCATTCTGACTTGGTTCTGGTTATCTAGATGATCTCGTCTCAGCCAGTTATGTGCTTGGGCTGCGGCGCGTGGCTGTTTGTGGAATAATTTCGCAGCCATTCACAGACGTTTGTGAGAACCAGGGAGGTGGAAGAAGGTTTGAGTGGGGGAAGCAGGGGGTACGGGAACTAGTTCAGGGGAAGACGTGGAGGGATAAGGGTGGGCTGACTTGGGTGGTTTTGGGTGGTCTTTGGTGGGTTTTGTGATTTTTTTTTAAGGAGTTTTGGCTTGAGGTCGTGTTGGTCGGTCCTCTATGGTGCTGTGAAGGGCCTGAATCAGGTTAAGTAGGGATAGTAGACTAGTTGGAGAGTATAGCTCGTTATTGAAGAGCTATGAGTAGGCCTTTCTAGTGGTTATAATTGGGATAAGGCTGACTACTGGTAAACATTTACAGGTATATTGGCATAGATTGCTCCTAATTCTGGCGAATGGACCTGAATAAGTCCGAAAAATCTTTAAGAGGACATCCTTAATCCTTCTGAACGACTTCTAGACTTGAGGGAGTGCTATGGGGAGAGTTCTCTATACTGAAAACTCCCAAATGACATAAAAGTGGCTCTGAAGCGCCTAATAGAGGGCCCCGGGTACTCAAATGTTACCCATCGGTGCCCCATGTTCCTAAGGTATTGAATAGATCTTCTTTGAGCTCTTGCGGGATGTTTTTAACGGATGCTTCTGTTCTATATACCCTTGCTTAAGTCTTCAAATTTCGGCAGCGATCAAATCTGGTCGAAAATACTGTTTCCCGTCCGATCAACGAACGTCAAGCGCCCAAGAGCCACAGTGAGTAATACAGTGGGAGACCATGTGTGAAATTGTGGTGTTGCTGTCTTTTTTTTTTTAATTAGTAATACATTTCTCTAGATCCTTCAGATTAATCTACATTCCAAATACTTTTCGTCATTATTCTATTTTTGGCTTATTCCTCCGCGTTCCTCCTAGCTGTATTTCGAAGATGACCATCTCGGGCTTCGGCGTTGCCTGCGATGAGAAGCTGTACGTGACAAGCACAGCATAGTCACAAAATCAAAAACAGAAGGCAAAGTAAAATGTCCAAGACAAGTACGACATTTGGCCTTTGCCCGCGAAGCGTCAGAGAAGACCTTCCTAACTTGTAAAAATGGTAAAGCTCGAGGACGGCCAGTTGTAGTATGCTCATGTCGTCTGGCTGGGACACACCATACAAGCTACACTGATGAGAAATGTCGATCTTGCCACTACCGACTTTCAAGGAGGTATTGCCCGCTACGTGATAGTATGGGCCATTTCCCAAGTCTACTGTTTCTGTGAGAGTAAAGGGTGAGGCCTGGCCGTAGGGTGATCCAATCATCACCTGGGAATTCAAGAAGGCACCGTTCCTTTCAAGTTGACTCATGGATGCTTTTTCTTTTAGGCCAGCGAAGCTTCAGGCGCTGGGCTACCAGAAACTGCAAAAGTACCTAATTGGCTGTGACTCACCGAGCAGTACACCCATCACCAGTCACCAGCTTGTAATCGCCTGACCACTAATTCCCCATTCAACTCACCAACCGCCCAAACCAGACCTTCCCTCCTTTCCTCTCCATAGCAACATTCGCCTGACACGTCGTTGCCTTTGTCCACCAATTTTGTGTATCGCTGTGGTGAAGCTTAATGGCTGCGAAAAACAAGCAATAGTAAAGCGCAACCTTGTAGGATCTGCGGTAGCAAGAGGGATAGGCCCCTGAGCATGGCAATTCCTGGGGAAAAACAAAGCACCCCAAGACCCAGAGCCAATGTGCATCCTCGGCAGAAGCATGGAAACAGAGGGAATTGGCCCAAATGGGCCACAAGCGGTGGTGGGTTGCCCTGGGATACTTCGATTGCCTGGTGCGACATTCGCTTCGGTGGGGTGACAGGGAACAGAGTCAAGCGGGTAATTAGACGAGGCTGGAGGCACCTGGAGACCAGCTGGCAGGACGCTGGCAGGAGAGAATGTGACAGGGACTTGAAACAGAGAATTTGGTAGTGAAGTGTAGACATTGTGTTTTCAGATCTGGAGACATTGGCGACATCGTGTATCCACAAGATATGCTCGTCTAAGGTTAATCTGTAACAAAAGAGTAAACAAGGGAGACGAACAATCCAAGGTAAAAAAGAAGACGAAGAAAAAAGTGGGAATTCTCGAATTGTCGTCGCTGTCTGTTTCCCTGGGCACTTCCACTTGCCATTACCACTTCCACCTCCACTTACCTCCTACCTCCCACTTCCCACCTCCCTTCACCATGGAATTACTCGTATTGGACAAAGACAGTCCAAAAAAGTTACCTACCTAATTAATCTCCCTCCCTGTAAACGCCGCAGCGGCCGTCCCACCTCCCCAGTACCACCACCTGCCTTTACTTGTAATTACAAAAATGGATAAAAATTTTCTTAAAAAGTGGTAGGCTGGTTTGGTCAGTGGCTTTTTTTTTGTCTCCCCTTGCCGGCCCCCTGGATTTTGTAAACATGTGGATTCTCAGTTGGTTTGCAGCCGCTGCGAGAAAATGCCAAAATGTCCAGCTGCCAAAAACAAAATGCAGCATGCGATTGCACCCAAAACACGACGTAGACGTTCAGTTTTTACAAGGAAATACTGGGATTTTAATGGAAAAAAGACCACGTGGGGTCTATTAGCCTTCCCCTCTTTAATTCCCCCCTTTTTTACTATAAAAACCCTGCCATTTCCACTTTTTTTAATCCCACTTTTGGTCCCCTTTTGCCTGGTCTCCCTCCTGGTCGTGCACTGGCTTGAGGGAATTAAATTTTTTTGAGAACGCCTGTCACATTTCGTGCCCTCACATTGAATGTCGCAGCGGCAGCAGCACTTTCTTAATGAGGAAGCTCACTTTTTTTTTTTATTTGCGACAAAAATGTCTCACCGATTCAGGTCCTGCCCAAAAGTGTTTCCTCCCTGTTTGCCCTGTCCCTTATATAAAGACGGGCAAATTCCCTGTAGTACAGCTTCTTCTTTTTTTCTCCTTAAGTTTTGTTTTATAGCTAAAGCTTTAACATAAATTTTCCAATTTTTTGATTCCTTCAATCCCGCTGGTCCTTGGTCCGCCCTTGGGGTTCCGCTCCACTCATCGTTCCTTGAACCTCACCAATTTTTCTTTAAAGGTTCTTACCTAAGTTCCCAGGCATATTTTTCCATTTCCCACCCTTTCCTTGGGGCTGTATTTATTTTTTAATCATTTACCCAGCATTTCCCCATTATTGTTTGTCATGAGTTATTGAAAAATGCCATTTCTATCGAAGAAGAAATCATCGCTGTCAACCCATTCCTCGGCCTCGGACTCGAGTTCCTTGGTTGGTTCCCTCACGGGCCTGAAGAAAGGCTTTGCTAAGTTTGACGAAAAGAAAGACTACATGCGCCGTTGTAACAAGAAGCATCCCTCCCAGCCAAGGAGCCCTCCTTGTGCTGTTTCTTTTTGTCTAGGCAAGAAGTTTTAAGAGAAAGAGAGGCCCTTTTGGCAGTACAGATTCGGTGAAAACAGTGGGTTTGTTTTACCGGCTCATGCTACCCTGTACTATACCTTTTTATTATTTTGTGTACATTTTGTGTATCACTCGGTTGGTTTAAAAAAGATCATTTGGTAGGATTCTGCAGTTGTAGCAGGCTCTGGGCCAGCGTCGTAGTTTGACGGTGTTTTCCTTTCAGGCTTTCTTACTGCCCTTACTCATAATGCCTTTTATGGCTAGACCCTTTGGGCCATCAGCTTTTTTTCATGATTTTCCTATACCACTACGGCTTGGCAGGAAGGCCTTCCTACAAGTCACTTTCTTCTTTTTACTAACATGTCAGGGCAAACGTAGAGTCCGAGTTTCATGGGGAGGAAACTTTAACTGAACTTTTGCCCTATCCCTCTACCAGGAGAATGAGAACATTCACACGAGGGGCTCAATAGCCCAGCATGACCATTCAATGTAATTACCTGGATAGTTGTATGGTTTTGCAAAAAGTTTTTCTCTGCTTCGATTTATACTTTGGCGCGGTGCACGGGTGCATGGCCTGAGGCCCTCTTGTTACAGTATATGCAGGTCCACAAGGTTTGCACCCAGAGGCTTCGTGACATGGTCACCCAAAGAGGCACAAGACTGCTGGCAGTGGCAAAAACGACATTTTTGCCTATATGCTGGCCATTCCCGCTCTAGGTAGGCATGTAGTCATGTAGACAGGCCTTGCTGGCTCATTAAACAAGGCCCTTTGTTGGCGTTCATCTGCAGTACCCTGACATCAACACACCCTCACCAGACAGTATGGCACGGTAAACAACACCATCAAAACAAGACATGTCTTCGCCAGATCCCAGCTCCACTTTTGAAAAACAAAGAGACTTTTTGCTTTCTGAGATATCAACTGCGATTGACTCGGTTGTTTATAATTTGGACGTGCTTAATAGGTCTCTCAATGACTCTGTTCAAGTGGGTAAGGAGTTTGACGATGTGGGAAGACTATGGTCCACGTTTTACAATGGCGTGGGAAAGACCGGCGGCTCTGAAGAACCGCAAGAGCTGAATGAAGAAAACCTGCCTGAAAAGTCGTGATTTTGATTAACTTTTGTATACATAGAGACACCCGTCCAGACCCCAATTGCCCTTGATCTTAGGGATCTGAAAGAACCCTTCGCTATCTGGAGACAAGTGTTTTTCGCCAACACCTGCCATTGACGTGCTGGCACGGCCGATATTATGACCACGAAGACAGACTATACCGGGTTCAGAGCCGTCGTAGTCGGCAAGCTTAGCTTCTTCAGCCTGGACGACACATCCCCTGAACACGAGTTTATCGGCCTTCTGGGCATCCACCTTACGGTAGTCATAGAAATCCGTGACAAGGAACGGACCAGCCACGTTGGAACAGCCCAATTCCTCGATGATATGGACAGAAAGGGCAGCTCTGGCTTCATTCCACTCTTTATGCCCACTGTTGATCGTCTTATGCGCATATACGAGACGTAAGTTGGGAAGTGGCTTCAGTGCCATCCAATTGGAGAAATTAAGCTGCGTTAAAGCGAAAAGACGGTGCCAGTAAAAGAGCTTCTGGATTCCACTGGGCTCCTGGTAGAGAGATTGGACGCAGTCTTCAGGGGCAGATATGACGGTGGGATCCCACTTGAGGCCAAGGTCAAGATCCTTGGTAAGATAAAGGTTAGCATTAGAAACAAAGGCAGCCAATATTTTGGTGACGGTATTTGAGATGGCCTCGGCGGTCTTTTCGGTCTGCACGACTAATAAACGATCGTCTGCTGTCAATTCGTGGGTAGGAGGGAGGTGTTTGAGGGAGCTTGCGGCGGCAGCAATAAGATTGATTTGAGCAAACTTGCTTGTCGCCGTGATGTTGTGTCCAAGCAGCGTAGTCACCACAAGCGCTATGCCCTTGTCCTTTTCTGGAGCGTAGTTGTTCTCGAAGACGGTGGAGGGTGTATCCTTGAGTGAACTCACCGAGACAGCACCGGCGGAACCGTTGATCACAACTTCACCACCGTCGGTCTCAAGCGCCCAGGCCTCTTCATGCTCAAGCTTATCATCATAAACATGAACAGTGATCTGGGAAATGAAGCATGCTACCACAGCAGCAAAAACCTCAGCAGAAGCAATAAAAAGCAGCAGTGGTACTGCCAAAGCCTCAACGTTATTCTCACGTAAGTACGTAGCGATCTTCTGTGCCCAGGCATTCACAGCTGCTAGTTCAATTGAAGTGTCGTCAAACTTAAACGCCTTCCCTGGGTTAGCTTCAAGCGCATACATCATGATCTCCCAGGCATCACACAAATTACCATTGCGTACTTTATAATGGTCAAAGCGAATGCCAAAACCAACCCGAAGCCCCGAGGAATAGTCAAGCTTCGTTGACTTATAGATGGCCAGCTCGCCTGGGTTCCTTATCGTATCCACGACACTCTGTTCGGAAAGGTATTCTGGCGGCACGTCTCTTGTAAACGAAAGGTAGTTCTTGTAAAGAAACAAGACCGCTAGCACCGAGGCGATTGCTATAGTGAAAAGGGAGTCTTCCATGGGGTAAGAAAGGTGAAGTAGTTGGTCGTATGAAAAATCCGAACGCGAGTATGCATATATGGTTAAGTTGGCTGATGTAGGTGGTCCAAGTCGATGGAGACCAAAGAGGTTTGGGCAATTTGGAAAAAAAGGAGGAGGGTGAGGTTTGAATTGAAGGTTATTGGTTTGAATTGAAATGTATTTGAAGTTCGGTTGGCCAAATCGTTGTGTGCTGTTAGGCTGTGGCTGGTGATGTGTTTTCGCAGCCATAGATAGAGAAGACCGAGAGGTGGTGAAAGTGAAGTGGGTGGAATATGGAGAAAGTTAACAGTTGAGGGATGATAAGTATAGAGAAGTGACTGACTTAAAGTGATGTGGCTTCACGAAGTCAGTTGTGTGGGGAACAGCCTGTGTTGGTGATTGTACTTCCTGGGTAGAGATATCCTACTACGTGAGTAAGAGATGTACCACAAGCCAAACAACAGATTTCTATGGCTCCTCTAAAGCAAACTTTAGACCAGAAAAGGGCTTCCTTTTCATAAATTACAAACCTCGCAATTGTTTTTAACCTTGAAGGAAAGCTAGAGTTTGATGAAACCCTCCAAATACACGTATTTGTGGTTTATCATGCATCCCTCACTGGACGGGTAAACTTTGGGGCTACCCTTATAGCTTATCTACCTAAGCAACCCCATTCGCTTCTCAATTTGCTTAAATAAGCTTTTTATACCTCCCTGGCTACGATATACCAAACAAGGCTTATGACACAAGAATCTAAGTAGAGCGGTTAAATAATTAGGCGATTTTCAGAACTCTGGTTTGGCTCTAAGAAATATCACAGAAGCGTGTGGGTTCTGGGTCAATTTATTACTGGGCAATTAAATTTCACGTTGTGTAGGTTGGCAATTGGTGGAACGACCAATTACAGTCAAGCAGAATGAAGAATTGACTATTACAATTGTAGAACAAGCAATCAAGAGCTAGAATACAAGCATGGAATAAGTATTAAGTAGCTTCGAAGTCAACAAGATCATCTGCGCTGGTGGATTCCAATTACTCGCTGCTTCGAATGGAACACCTCCTTCTCAATGGCTTCTACCATCGCCAGCCATTGCAACTTGCAATTGAACATTCACCTGAAGAACAACAGTTAATAAATCGACTTCTTCCTTTTCCATTTCAAACTACAACCATTCAATCACACTAACCTTCATGTCCATTCAACTCACACTTATACCTCCCTCACCACACCTTCAACCTTGCAGCCATGAAACCCATATATCACCTTACTCCAAACACCCACTCCTCCAACACCCCCAACACCCCCTTCCAGAATCCCAAAAACTATATAAACCCCTCTGCTTCCTCTCCACCTCCAATCTTTTTTCTCTTTTTTCCTCCTATATAATATGTGCCCTTCCACCTCCTCCACGTCCCACCACTGCCTACTCCTTCGCTACCTCACTACTTCGCGCTCATCAACACCATGTCTCTTCCCAAGGTCCGCAACTCGTACGCGCTAGTGCTAGCGTTAGCGGCGGTGTTTGCTGTTCAGTTTATATGGTTCGAGTGGATCGTGCCTTCCAGAACGGCTGGGGCCTGCTCGTGGGCTGAAACAGGCCTGAATCCTACAAACGTGCTACTTGTAGCTGATCCTCAGCTAATAGACAACCACACATATCCAGGCAGAAACAGTGCTTTGCTTAAGCTTCTGCAGCATACAGTTGATAAGTATGTGGCTCAGAATTATAAGGCCATGGTGGGAAAGCTCCAGCCAGATTATATCTTCTTTTTGGGTGACTACTTGGATAATGGACGTCTGGCCACGGATCAGTACTTCAACCATGAAGTACGTCGTTTCTGGCGTATCTTTGATCGTTGGCCTGGCAAGTACGTTCACGGAAAGAACTGGTTTACGAATGTACCAGGAAATCATGACATTGGCTTTGGCAATGCTGTCAAGGCTCACCTGCGACAACGGTTTGAAGGTGTGTTTGGCCTTGCCAACACTGTGGTGGAAGCTGGAGGTGTGGAGTTTGTGATGGTGGATACGCCACTGTATTCTGCTGATAATGGGTTGGAGGCTGACGCTCGGCATTTTGTGAATAGCCTTGATGTTGGCAAACTGACATCGGAGAATGACCAGGCTACTGGAGAAAGTAATACCAGGAGAGCAGAGGATGCTGGTGAGGATGTTGGTGGTATCAGTGAGTCTGTGGATCCCATCACTGGAAAAGCCATTGACGATACGAAGGCCGCTTCCGAGGAGAAACCAGAGACGGATCTTACAGGTCTTGGATCGGCCTCTGATGGCTCAGCAAAGGCACCAGAAGTTGAAGCTGCTAATGCAGCTGCCCCATACAATGAAAAATCCTCGGAGAAATCAGCTCTTGATTTAGAGACAGAGTTGAACGCTCCTAATCCTCCTCCAGAGAAGCCCAAGTCACAGCAAGATGACCTGCCAAAGGCTGCCGTCCCAGAATCTTCATCTGGATCGACCGAGTCTCCTTCTACAGAAGACATTCCAGCCGTTTTAACTCGGAAACCAAGGATTCTCCTTTCCCATGTTCCACTTTATAGGGACACCAAGGTCCAAACATGTGGTCCACTCCGTGAAAGTCTGGTATTCCACCAAAACAAAGGGTACCAGTACCAGCTGGCGCTTCTTCCAGAGGTCTCGAGCGAGATTCTTGAGAAGTTACGCCCCATAGTGGCCTTTTCAGGTGACGACCACGATTACTGTGATGTCACCCATCCACTCACCAATACTAGAGAGATCACTGTCAAGTCCATCAGCATGGCTATGGGTATTTGGCAGCCAGCAGTGCAACTTCTTTCCTTTGATGCTTCATCAGCTACGCCAGAACTGCTTACTTACGACACTCATTTATGTTACCTCCCTACGCCATATCACAATGTGATCGCCTATGCCATAACTGCCGCCATCATCGGTGCCATATTACTTTCACACGCCCTCCGTCTTAGACCATCCCGTTACAACTACAACTATTCGATTCTCCCAACGCATGCCCACGACTACGCAGAGCTGTCGGCCATTCTCATGGAAAACCCCATGTCCAGAAAAGTGTCTAACTTCTTGAAAGAACAAGATGAAGGATCCTCCTCCATTTCTTCAACACCCCTCCCAGCTTACACTTCCACAGCAGCCAAACTGGCGCCAGAGAAAGTGGCTGCAAAGTTGAAGTACTCCAAGTTGGCAGTGAGAAGGTTCATGAGAAAATGGAACCTTGTCTTTTTCCTTCGCTTGTGTCTCGTGGAATTCTTCTCTGTCATGCTTGCCTACTTCGTTGTCGTGACAACGATCTAAAAAGGGTACTAGGTGGACCATGAAGAACTCTGACTGCGGCGCTTAGCCGTATGCGCAGTCTATTTCAGTCTGCGAGATTCCGGAAAGTCCAGAGATTTAGACATTACTAGATAATTGCATTGTTTGAGGATCCCATTAGTCTTTTGCCAAAAGTCGCCCGTTCGTTCAATTACGAGAAATTTTCTTCTCCTTTCGGCTTTGACCTCAAATCGCCCGGCGCATCCTATAAAATAATCCAAACCTGAAACAAATGCTGGCGCCGTGCAGGCCGTTGGGTGCAAATTGCTTGCATTGTCCGTTCGCTATTAAAGCTGGCTTTTTCATGATAACAGTTTTGCAGCAATTTTTTTTGATTTGACCATGGGTTGCGCCGTGAGTACCCCACAAGATGAAGATGACCAGACGTTTCTTCAACAAAGGCTTATCTCGGAAGCCATTGATCGTTCGTTGAATGTAAGGAACGAGAGCCAAAAGAAGGTGGTGAAGATGTTCCTATTGGGTGCTGGTGAGTCTGGAAAATCTACTGTGCTTAAGCAGATGAGACTTCTACACCACCATTCGTTCACTGATTTCGAACGTCGTCAGTATACAGACGTCATCTGGATGGACCTTATAGAGTCGATGAAGAAGTTGATTTTCAACGCCAGGAAACTACGCATCCCCTTGGACTCGGACCAGCCCGGTTCTCTGCTTACTCCATACAAGCGAGTCCTTGTGAACGCCACTAGTGTGTCTGAAAATGACCCCTCAGGGAACTCAATCACTGAGAAGTTTGCTATTGGCTATAAGGATGAGTCTAGGAAACAGCAGACGGATCTTCTCGGTACTGGCTACGTATCAGACACTACAGACACGGAATCAAACGTATCCTACCAGGAGAGAAAGACATACACCAATGAGGAGATTGCTGAGGCAATCACGCAGCTCTGGAAGCACGACAAGGGTGTACGTAAATGTTTTGAGAGAGCCAATGAGTTCCAACTTGAGTCTTCGGCTGCTTACTACTTTGACAATGTGTTTAAGTTTTCCAACCCGCTGTACAGATGTTCAGATCAGGACGTTATTATGGGAAGAATCAAAACCACCGGCATCACAGAGAACGACTTCAATATCAAGAACATGACTTTTAAAGTGTTAGACGCTGGTGGTCAGCGGTCTGAGAGAAAGAAGTGGATCCATTGTTTCCAGGATATTGATGCTGTGTTGTTTGTGTTGGCTGTCTCTGAATATGACCAAACGCTTTACGAAGATGAAAGAGTCAACCGTATGAAAGAGTCTCTTATGTTATTTGAAGCTCTTTGCAACTCTAAGTGGTTCAAGGACACTCCGTTCATTCTCTTCCTCAACAAGGTGGATTTGCTTGAGGAGAAGCTTCAAAGGTCACCAATCACCCAATACTTCCCTAACTTCGAAGGTAATCCTTCGCTGGTCAATGAAGTTCTTGACTACTTCGAAGGTCTCTTACTAAACTTGAATAGGACACTGAAGCCAATCTACGTGCACAGGACGTGTGCCACAGACACTAAAGCTATGGGGTTTGTCCTTTCGGCAGCTACAGACGTGGTTATCCAGCAGAACTTACGGGAGAGCGGGCTCATTTGATGTTTATAGCGTGTATTTTTATTCGTCAGAATATATTGGAGATGCAATTAAGTAACAAGGGCGGCTAGCCGAGATGGAAGAAAAGGGGAGGTCTAATATAAGGAAGGTCATTTGGTCCCTTAGAATCTCATCATGGCCATATCGTTTCTGGATCTGCTGTAGTCCAACAAGCCCTCGATAGAACCAGTACCGGAAATGACAATGTCCTTGTCCCACAAGGCAGCGCTGGCCCAAGCTCTGACGTCAGCGGTCAGGATGGAGTCAATGGACTCCAAGGCCTGAGAGATAGAAGCTCTGTAGCCGTTCAACAAAACCTTAGAGGCAATGTCGTGGACCACAGCGGTAGGAGAGTTGAGCAAGCCCAAAAGCTCAGTCTTGACTTGGGCCTTGGCTCTGGCAACCTCGGCGTCGGTAACAGAGACAGTCAATCTGTTCCACTGCTTCAAAGCAAAGTGGACAAAGTCATCGACCTGGCCAAGGTTGGAGATCTCAGCGTTGAAACCCCACAAACCGGTGTCAGAGTAAGACTTGGAGAAGTGGTAGTACTTGTCAACAATGTGGTAGTCCTGGACAATGGAGGCCAATTTAGGAGATGTGAAGTTGGCAGTAGCCTTGGTGTGGTCGAAAGAGCCAAACACAGCGGCACCAACCTTGGCGACGAAGTAGGCTGGGGAAGAGAGACCCTCACCCTGGGCGGCGATAGAAATGTAAGCCTTAGGGATGGTGTCGTCTCTCATTCTGACCTCAGAACCCAAGAAAGAAGCTGGGGCTCTGGTTGGCTTAGGGCCATCGGCGAGCTTGAACTCCTTGTCCAAGGTCTCCACAAGAGCATCGTGCTCAAAGTTACCAGAGGCAGCAATGACAGTGTTGGAGCCCACAAGGTTCTTCTCCAAGAAACGAACCGAGTCGGACTTTTCAATGTCAGGAACAGAGTCGTTGGTACCCAAGGTAGGCAAGCCGAGAGAGTAGCCCTGGAAAGCAGAAGCGTTCAAGTGCTCCAACACCATCTCAGATGGAGTGGCCTCCAAAGCGTCAATGTCAGCGTACAAAGCAGCCTTGGTAGCGTCAAAGTTGGACTTCTCAATCAACTCCTCCCTGTTGACAACAAGCTTGGACAAGGCCGAGGCAGCAGCAGAGATATTGGCGTTGGTGGTCTGAGCAATAAGAGCGTTGGACTCCTTCGTGTTGGCAGACAGCAAAAGCACACCGTTCTCGTAACCCTGAGCCAAAGCACGGGTGGTCAAAGCACCCACACCGTTGTTGTATGGAGTTTCAGCTCTGGAGCCAGCTGCAAAGTAGACACCAAGAGTGGAGCTCTGGGCGTTAGGGTTTGTCTCTGTTGCAACGGTGACACCGGAAGACAAAGTGGTGAACTTTGTTTGGGAGTTTGCGGTGCTGACGAAGCGACGGGCGGCAGCGGGGCGAATACCACGGATCATTTGGAGGGAGGTTTGTGGAGGGAGGAAGTAATGGGTTTGGATGGGTTTTGGTTTTTATGAAAAATGAGATTGAGCGCACCTAGCCAATGAACGGTGAGGGAAAGGGCCTTTGTGCATGCAGGTCGGGCCCTCTACCAGACACACTGTTAAGAGGCCTTCCAAGAGAGGGACTTGAGTAAAGAAGAAAAAGAATTTCGAAGGGTACTGTTGCTAAGTATAGATTTGTCTACTTCATATTTCTCTGTTTAGTGTGCTGGTGGTTGGTGGATGTGGCCTGGTCAATTGAGTAATCTGTGGAGCTTGAGTGGCTGCGAAAAAAAAAAAAAAAAATAACACTAAGACTGTATGGGTTTGGATAGACGGTGGGACATGGAAGAGGGAAGAGGGAAGAGGTGGGACATTGGATGGGTGGGATTTTTTATGGTATTTATATACGGTGGATTTGGGAGGGGAAGCGAAGTGGATTGGAATTGTTGGGTTAAGTTTGTTGGAATTGGGTTTTGGGGTGTCTAAGTAGTACGGCTTGTATGTGTGAGATGTGTGTATGGCTTATGAGGAGAGGGAGTTGTATGGAACATGTTTGGTGAAAAAAAAGTAGGCCGGGTAAAGAAGGGAACAAAGATTAAGGATTACTTCTATTCGTATGCTACTAGATAATTTTCTAAGTTGCTGCCATTTGCGGTGTTTACACGTTGGAGGCTCAGTTGGTTGTATTATGGCTGTACAAGGTGGAGAGCTAGCCTTTGAATATCCATTGACTAAGTGGCATCAATTAAGTTGGTAATTGGATAGTTTCAATGATTGAATTATGGAACCCTTAAAAGCCGTGGAAATGATAATTATTGGGAAGGACTGAGTCAAAGCCACTATTATTGTAATTGAATGTCCACCATTCATAAGAAATAGACATCTGTAGACAAGTAAATAAGTCTAGCACCATATTTGATTCTTTTCAAGATCTGTGATTTACTAGATAACCTCTTCTCTTCATCTTTTTATTTCATCGGCTCCGACCATAGAATGGCTGCAAATCCCATAAACATCGTCAACAAAACAACATTTCAAATCCAATCCTCCGCTTATCATCTACAGCTCCTAAATATGCCCTTTAGTAATTCTAGTAATGCCGATTTTCAGCTAATATAAACATCCTCCTGTTCTCCATATCTTCATTCTTCAGTCTTTCTCTTCTCAACTCTACCTCAATCTAAGCTGCTCTGACCTCCCTAAGACGTCCCTCCGTCAAGTCACTGCTCAAATTCTCATAGGCGCCCCTAGAACTTGGAGCGCTTCCCGTTGATATCTGTGCTGCTGAAAGCGAGATATCACTAAGCACCCTGCGCCATACTTTAGGACTAGGACTGGAAAAGTCTCCAGAAACTTCCATACCAATCAGCGTCAGCTCTTCCAAGGGCTCCTCTTCCCATCGTCTAATTCCAAGCATACGCCTGTAGAAATCTCTCTTTCTTGTAATTGGTGATTCAGGAGTCTTAGGAGATTCTGGGGCCTTTGGAGACTCTTCTTTCTCCATGTTCACAGCCTTGCGTTCGCTTCTCAGGAAACTCCGTATAAAATTGGACGCCCTTGTAATGGGTGATATGGGCGGCTCATTAATATCAACCGAATTTATCTTAGGAGCCTCCTTAGTGTCTTGGTCTTGTTCCTGACTGTCTTCCTCTTCGTCTTTCTCACTTCCCTCATAATCTGGGAACGACATGTTATCCACCATTTCCTGGCAGTACATGTCGACAAAGCTATTCAAACTAAAAGTATCAGGGTCCTTCTTCTCAAGCGAAAGGAACTCGCCAGGCTTGATAAGGTACTTATCATGAGGATGTACTCTCAAGGTGATCATGGTCTGGCCTTGGAACTTGGACTGAACAAGCCGAGGGTTTCTCGAGGTCGAATACCATTTCAGGCGGGTATCGACGATGAAGTAATTGACCTTATAGCGAAGCTTTTTATAGGTTTCTGGAATGGTGGGTATGAAGAAATGGGGCATGGTTTGGCTGCAATTCCACAAACCCATTTCGCAGCCATTTGTGCATTAAGGAAAATGTGCCATGAAGGGAAGTGCTAGTAAAATAGCTTTCTCTACATCGTCGTCTCGTTATCGTTTCTAATATATACAAGCTAAAATTTAAGGTATGCTCTTTGGGTGGTAGCGTCCTTGTGCATTCTGGCCTTCTTGTCGTAGCCAGAAGAACGGCCTTCGTAGGCATTAATGATTTCTTCGGCCAATCTGACCGACATGGCAGAGGATTTCTTGTTGTTGGTGCCCTCCAAGATCCAGTCTATGGCGTATCTGTTTCTCTGGCGCTTGTTCAAAGCGACTGGAAGGGTAATGTTCTTGGCGAAACCAGTTCTGACTGTACGAGTGTTGAACAAAGGTCCGAGTCTTTCCAAGGCGTCGTAAAGCACTTTAAGAGGGTCCAAACCCGTTCTTAAGCCCACAAGGTATAAGGCTCTGGAGAAGATGGTACGTGCTTTAGACTTCTTGCCGTTTTTCATAAGGACATTGACGAAATGCTCCACAAGAGGCTCTGCTTTAAGAGGAACAGGACTCAGCTTGAACTGTTCAACCTCAGCCAACTGGGCTTCAGTTGGTTCAAACGTATCACGCAAGAACTGTTCTGGCTTCAAGAACTCTTGGATGTAAAGTTCAGTTTCGGTTTCTGGTTTTTGTTCACCTTCTTTCAACACTCTAACGGCACTCAACCATTCGTCCAAATCATCTTCAGTGATCTTTTCCTTGTCAGATCTGAAGATCTGGGCAGTCAAGCTAGCTGGGGTTTCCTTCGTGTCTTTCTGGACGCCAGAGGAGTTGAATCGGAGAGACTGGACTGATGCAATTTGTGGAAGGCTCGTTCTGGGAACGACCTGACGACTTATAGTCGCCAGACGAGCAACAGCTCTGAAAAGACTCATGATTAACGATGGATGTGAAAGGCTTCAGGAATTTTTTTCTATGCTGTTGAAGCGTGGTGCACGGGTGCAGATATGCCATCAGAACCAGTAACTGTTCCAGGAAAGACAAGTATTTTGGAGATATGAAAAAAAGAAGAGGTAATTTGGGATCCAGTGGATTGGTTTTATGTATTTATATACTTTTTATCCAAAATTTCTTTACTTTTGTTGTGTTTACTGGGGCCTTTCGTTAACTACTTAATGGCTGCGAAAAGTAGATCTACAGTTCAGTGAACAGTGCAACAACCATATCCAGCATTTCGACCCATAACCATAAAAACAAGAAACTAAAGCCACATCTATAGTAAATTCGCCTCCAGTAACACGAATATCAACTCCTTTTAAGATTCCCGCCAAAACTCACCGATTTATACCACCCTCTGTTTCCACCTCTCCAACACACCCATGCCTCCCAGGCGCGTTTATCTAGAGGTACAACCACCCATACATAAGCAGAATACCACCACCTAAAACCACCAAATATCCTTAATATGGTGCGTCTTGTGGTTCCGCCCGTCGAGGCACGGCTCCATAATACGCTAACGGCGCCGCTTGAAACTGGCGTTCTTAACGACGACGTCACGTGGGAAAACACCGTTCTACCACTGCTTCTTGATCGAGTGAGGTCAGTCAAGGCAGCAGTGCATCAGGCCCAGACGACCAATGCCAGTGGACCTTCAGCTAAAGATGTGGATACGATATCGTCTTCGTGTGATAAGATCGAGAAACACTTGAAGACGCAATTCGCCAATGGCGCTCCGTTCACGATCTATAGATTGGCTGAGTTGGTGCTAGAGCCTGAGAAGTCTGGCTACCTGCTTGCTACTGTACAGCTGGCAGAACGGTACTTGGCTGCTTTTGCACGGACTGTCTTGGTGCTGTCGAAGGAAACAGAGCATCTTGCTAAGGAGGAAGAGAATGGCGTGGGACACCTCAATGGGTCTAATGGATCACTTCCTGAGCCCAGTGATGAGCCAAATAGAGCAACGCCAGCTCAATACGAAGAGTATGACCTTCCCAGGGATGTTACGTTCTTGTCGCTTCCTTGGGCACATCCATCGAAGAACACCAACGATGACGATCACGAAGAAGAGGAAACGCTGCCTTCCAAGAAACACAAAAGTTCAGGTCAAAGCCAGCTTCTAAGCCCGCTTCGGGAATCGCTGCTGAAAGATAAAAACCGTCTGAAATCACCTCCAGACCAGTCAGAGCCTACATCGGAATCTCTGAATATTCTATGACAAACTATCTACATGAACATGCAAGGGCTAAGCGCCATAAAGCGTCGACACAAAGTCAAAGAGCCCGTTCTCGGTGGTCTCGAGAATATAAATGCCGTATAACGACACGAACGTGCCGAATCCCAACAACTTCATGGCTGCACGGTGCCAGAAACCGTAGATTCTTTCTGGGATATAATCGATGATACACGACTTGAAACCGGCGTATGAATGGAGAAGCACAGTCAAACAAAAAGCTGTGTCCATCATGGGGAAGTTGACGCCCATAACAAAGGGGAAAGCAGTCAAGGGAACAAGTCCCATGGCAAGGATTCTATCATAAGTCCAGTGATTACTGCCGTGGTAGTGATCTGGTTCTGGGAATTTGTAAGCGTCGTTCACGGTACCGACGATATTTCCTGGAGGGTCCTTCTTGAGCTTGAGCTTCGAGAAGGAGAAGTTTGGTTTTAAGGAAAGACATCTCGAGGCAACAAGAGATTTTGGCATTAAAAGGGACGTGGCACTGCGTTGGAGCCCTAGCATATTTTTACCGATCAACGGTCTCATTATGGTCATTTTTGGATAGATGTGGTACTGACGATTGGGTTGTATAGTAGAATTTTCATGAGTATAGTGCTGTGCACCCGTACCTCCGAAAGAACAATGCCTTGTAGATCGAGATGAGATATGTGAAGAAATAAGCTTCCCAACCAGGATACACCTCCACAAAGTAGAAAATGATAAAAAAGAATGGCTCCAAAGGCCACCAAGAGTGTTTAGGATATATCAGCAAAAAGAAAGAACCCACGCCGGGACTCGAACCCGGAATCTTTTGATTAGAAGTCAAATGCGCTAACCATTACGCCACGCAGGCGGTCTTTGAACACTAAAAAATGGTGGTTCAACCCGTTCACTATTTTGATATTTTGCAAGATATTTCAAATTTTAAGCTCAGATATGAATTCCTCAAGATTTGGAAAATCCGACTTCAGACTTCGATTAGCTAAATTCCATTTTTTTGAGCCAATCACATCTGGCAAGCTCACTATCTGTTAACTCACACCATGAACCATAAAACCATTTCTTTTTGAACAAATTCCCAAAAACTTTCCTTTCTGTCTTTTTCAATACCCCCCTGAACTCTCCATTTTCACCTTCACATATTCCCTGCCTTCCTCCCCTTCCCTCTTCCACGTCTCCATCATACATGTTCCCCAGTGAGTGCAGTTTTCTCACCTCAAGACACTGGACTCTTTCTCCACATAACCATGGCTGCTCCTCCACAGCTGAAAAGCCACTCAGTGTCCGGTGAAACCGACTTTAAATCGCCATCCACTCATTCTAAACGCTCTCTCTTGCGGGCAGAGGTAACTTATCGTCCTTCACCTGTGAAGAATGCACGGAACCTCTATTACACCTACTTTCTTTCTCCTGGTGATGAAATCTTATCCTGGAAATGTATAAGCGAAAAGGAACATCATAAGACTGTGGCTGAAGTTACGATCCGCCTTGGCTCCCATAGGACTCCTCCTAACAAGGAGATCTTGGATAGAGCACACCGGAACGCTATGAAAGTCTGGGAGAACTTGCCATTAGAAATACTTCAAAAGCAGTTTGAAAAACTTGAGTTTCGCCACGTTCATGCAGAGGCCGAAGAGCTTAATGCAAAATGGAAGGCTCGTAATGCTGCTATTAGAGAGAAGTATGCTCCTACGCCTGAAAATGGTCCCAAGAATCCTTAGGCCACACGCCCACTCTGATGGATATGTCTAGCAAAATCATTTATGCTCATACGATTTGTCACTATTGTCATACTACAGAGCATTCTTTCAGTAAGTGTACTAAAAGAGGTTGTCGGTTCTGTAAGGGCAAACACAAGGTTGAGAAGTGTCACCTTCGGTGCCCTTGTGAAAAGGGGAATATTCACAAGAAAGAGAATTGTCGCTGGGGTAATAACCAGGCTGAGGGTCAAACGTCAAGCAAAAGCAAGGAAAAGAGTCCTAGTGACTCGTCTATCTCGTTAAATGTCCGCATGATGTGTGATCCATTCTTTATGCCAGAGTCAAACCCATATAGGGATCTGTCCGGTTAACGTTTAACTGGCTGGAAAGAGCCATTTTGGACCATCAAAGCTGAAAATCAGCTCCAGGAGGTATCAACAAGGTCAGACTATGGAGAAAAACAGCAGTAGAAGAACCGTTATGCCCTTTCTTAAAAGAAAGACAGTCCAGAAACCTCCTCTGCCTTCTGAGTTTGCAGCAGTGCCATACTCTCAAGCTACAGAATCTGAATTAACAAGTCCACAGGTGGACCACGCGGAGTCGAATGTTCAGAAGAATCTACATTACAGAGAAATAGAAAGACATCTTCAAAACCTACCATTCCACTAATATACTCATATTACAGATTACCGGCTTTTTTCGCAGCCATTCTGACACATCCCCTGTCAAACGCAAATACCAAAACAACAAACCCCCTGGGAAACAACACACGCACAAGTCCCGTTCATCCCACAGTAAGCCCAGTCTATCTAACAACCCCTACCTTCACTTTGCTCTCGAAATCTCTGAATTTACTAGCACCCACCGGCTCAAACCGGCCGACCGGTCCATCTCGTTATCGCACGTGACTTTTTCAAGGGGAACCCAGGCACTTCAAGCCGATAAAACAATAAAATTAATTTAAAATTCAACCCGTGGGCCTCCTTTACCTTATTCTACCGCCCTTCTTTCCCCCTCCCCTTAAGTACCTCCCGTTTTGTCCAACTCCAGGTGGTGCACATTGCCTCTACTCATTATCGCAGCAGATAACGATTTGTGAGCCACACCTTAGGAAGCTTTTCCAGTGAATGCTCCGGATACACCGATCTTCTCTTTCCAGTATCAGAAAAATGACCACTCCCTCCGGACCAGCTGCTTTGCATAACCCATATTTCCAGCAAAACCCAGGCCAGAAAGATGTTTGGTCGTTGATCAACGAGACTGCTGCTGCTGCTCAAGAAGAACTGGGTAAGTCTGTGGCTAACTTGGGTCAGGGATTCTTCTCTTATAACCCACCAGATTTTGCCATTGAGTCGGTTCACCATGCCTTGACGAAGGCTCAGTTCAACCAGTACGCTCCAGCAAGAGGTAACCCCAACTTGGTGAAGCTGTTGAGTGAACTTTACACTAGAGAGTTTGGCAGAAAGGTTGATACTAGTCAAGTTTTGGTAACTACGGGCGCCAATGAGGGTATATTCTCGGTGTTTTTCGGTTTCTTGACTGCTGGCGATGAAGTGGTGGTGTTTGAGCCATTCTTTGACCAGTATATTCCAAACATCGAAATGACAGGCGCCAAGGTGAAATACGTGCCATTGAAGACTCCAAAGGAGTTTGCTAATAGAAACACTACTGGAGACGAGTGGGAAGTGGACTGGGATGTGCTTGAAAAGTCCTTCACTTCGAAAACCAAGATCATTGTCATCAACACTCCTCATAACCCTATTGGTAAGGTCTTTACCGAGAAGGAGCTCCACAGAATCGGCGAATTGGCCGTCAAACATAACCTTATTCTTCTTTCTGATGAGGTTTACGAGAACTTGTACTATTTGCCCAAGTTCCCTCGTCCAGCTACTCTTTCTTCGTTGCCTGAATTGGCTGAAAGAACCTTGACGGTTGGATCTGCTGGTAAGTCCTTTGCTGCCACTGGCTGGAGAGTCGGCTGGGTCCAGGGTCCTGCTGAATTGATCAAGTACGTTACTTCAGCACATACTCGTATTTGTTTTTCGACTCCTTCTCCTTTGCAGCAGGCTGTTTCTGAGGCTTTTGGAACCGCCCGCGAGAACAACTACTTCCAGATCACTCGTGACGAATACAAGAAGAAATATGAAATCTTTTCTAAGGTTTTCGAAGAGCTTGGTTTACCTTACACGAAAGCTGACGGTGGTTATTTCCTTTTGGTGAACTTTGCCAAACTCAAGATTCCAGACGACTACAAGTACCCAGATGATATTCTCGGTCGTGGAACCAAGGACTATAAGTTGGTTTACTGGCTCATTAAGGAAATCGGCGTGGTTGGCATTCCCCCTACTGAATTCATCTTGCAAGAGCATAGAAAAAATAATCCTTTGGAGAACTCGGTGCGTTTCGCTGTTTGCAAGGATAACGCAATTCTTGAGGATGCTGTTTCTCGCTTGAGGAAGTTGAAGGAATATTTGTAATAGACTATGTATATGCTTTTCTATGAAGCTTCTTGAACAAGAATGTGGTTTCACCGAAATCGTCGTAGCCAACTTCAGTATCTTCCTCTTGTGCAATGTAGCCGTTGATGTCTAAAAGATGCCACAAGTTTGCCCTTTCCTGTTCGAATGTTCTTCTGATGGGCACCTGTAGCAATACTCTAGCTTCTGGTGAGTCTTCTAGGAAGGTGTTTATCATGCTGACAATCCATGCGGGATGCTTTGACGAATACAAGGGATCCGATAAAATGATTGTGGTGTATCTTGGCAGGTTATGTGCCTCCAAGTAGCTTCTAGGATTGCTCCAGTCGAGACTATCCGAAGAAGCGTTTTCTATGCTGTTAAGTTCAATGTTGTCGGTGAGGTTGGGTACAATATCAGGCAAATCAGTAAGCACTGTAGGGAATCCCAATACACAAGAAACCATACCGACCAAGCCTGTGCCTGAACCCAATTCCAACACTGAACCTTCTAAGTATGCTGGTTTTGATGCAAGTCGTTTTCCAAGAATAAACAGTGACCCCCATGTCTTGAGGCCCAACTTGTCTGACGTCAAAGAAGGCTCTTTAAGAAATATAGTCTTCTCGAGGCCAGGAATATCAATGTGTCTGATGAACTCGGGCTGGGCGGTCCTGCCGCAGTTCTCCGCAAGCCGTAGCGCCGTCAATGACCTTATGCTGTCTATCTCGTCGTCCTCAAGCCACTCCAAGTCAGATGATATTAGTCTGGTCAACCAGCCATTGTACTGAGCCACAAATGACTTCCTAAGCAGATCAGCCAAGGTAGCCACTGCAGCCAACGACTCCAAGCTGGAAAACCTTCCCTTTCCATTTAACCAAGCAAGAGCACCTTCAGCTTCCTCTGTAGATATGCTCTTCTCTTCAAACGTAGAAGCGATGTCTTGGTTGGTTTCCGAAGGAGGATCGAAGTTATGCACCGTTAGTGGTGCCAAAAGCTTTAGAAACACCGAAATTACCACAAATGGAGGTTCCATCTTGAGCAAAGGCAAGTCGTGGATATGCAAAGGCACTAAATCAGCCAAGTCATCCTCCTCATCGGGAAGCAGCAGAGCTATGATATTCTTGGATGTTTCGAAGTTTTCAATTTTCACCGTGTCGAGAGTCTCAACAGGCAGCAGCAGAACTGCTATTTCCACGTTTATGGACGACCCCAGCGGCGTGAATAGCGATAAAGGGTCAAAGTCCATCTGATGATGGCTTCAGTAGGAGAGCAGTAGATAAAGATAGTACGGGAGGTACGGGTGCGGGTTTGTAAATTTGAAGTTAACAAGTGAAGAAATCAGCATTGGAGGAGCCAGACAGGAGCCATGAAGGGTCATATTTGGATAATAGAGGGTTTAAATGGAGTATGACAAATCCTTCTTTATTAGTAACTGGTAAATTTTGCAAGAAGCCTTGTTTTTCGTGAGTTGAGGATGTTTTAAATTAAAAACATAACATTTGTTAGGAATTTAACCGCCATAGGACTGTAAACAGAGAAGAGCTAGGCTTAAATGACTTAAAAACTTTCAATTATTATGAAAGATATCCTCAATACCTCCATTAATGCTTATGTAGTCGACTGGTACATGCTAGGAAGAGATATCGCTTTGCACCGACCGACCACAAACATTGAAATACGTTTCACGACACCTACGAAGCGAAGGTATGATATTATACTACTCTTGGTGCCACTTTAACGCTGGAGTAGTATAATTCACGTTTATATGACTTTTTAGTGGGGTTCTCCTTTTTTTTTTTTTTGTTAACTCTCCTTGTTGTAAAGCATTAAAAGCATATTTCTGGCATACAGAGCCTCCTGGAGGCCTCAAATACCATTCCGATCGAATACATCTAATTTGACTTATTATGAGTTCATTTTTGGCTTCTCAGGGCCTTTTTGAACCTTTCATTCTGATTGATATACCTCTGCTTAAACCTTCATATTTTGGCAGCGATCAAATCTGGTCGAAAATACTGTTTCCCGTCCGATCAACGAACGTCAAGCGCCCAAGAGCCACAGTGAGTAATACAGTGGGAGACCATGTGTGAAATTGTGGTGTTGCTGTCTTTTTTTGCATTTTTTATTGGTATCTATTTTTATTTTTCTTATCCATTTCCTCTTCTATCATCCCCTACATCCGTTGTTCTATGCATATCATGATCATTATACTCTATCTATCTATTAAGCGCCTGCGTACTTGGATCTAGCTCTCAACTTAGGGCCGTTGAGGTAGAACAAGACAGGAATGGCAATCATGCCCACACAAATGAAACCCAACACTGAGGAACCCCAGCCAACAGCAAACCTGTTAGTCTTCAAGTTGAGGAATAATGGTCTGCCAAACAATGGGAAAGCACCTGCCATCATACTTCTGAACAAGTCGTTACCTGCAAAGACAGAGGCTAAGTATCTCCAGAAGGACATACTGAGGTAGTTAAATAAGGTTTGGAAGCAAAGGAAAGCTCCAGCAGCGAAGACAGCGGCGCCGATAAGAGGACCAATCCAATGGATGTCTTCAGCGGCAGTCCAGCCAAAGATAAAGATACCAATTGGCATAAGTACACTGCCCACAATAGCGATTGGAATGAACACTTCCGGAGCGACTTCCTCATTGGCAAGCATCTTCTTGGTGAACAGACGGTAAATGGCAGGAATGTAGAGAGCTGCGGCAATCAAAATACCAACCAAGATACACATGTATGCCACACCCATCTCAATAAGAGTGAAGCCCTTGACTTCAACGAAAACGATAGGGAAGGCCTCGAACCACAAGTACATGACAGAGTAAACCAAACCAATGTAGACGTTGATAAGCAAAACGACTGGCTCGAAGATGATGACTTCGAAAGGACGCCAAAGCGTCTCAATAAGCATTTCGTGAGTGTCGAGCTTAGAGTTCTCAATGTGACCCTCACTCATGATTCTGTCGTCTCCGGTAAGAGCTCTAAGTCTTTCTGCCTTTCTGTACAAAATGGTCTTGGAGTAGGATTCTGGAAGCAACCAGCCAAGAACAACGAAAGAAACACCAGAAGTGATACAGACAAACCAGAAAGTCCAGTGGTAGTCAGCCTTGACGCTCAAAATGGCACCGAACAATGGACCAGCAGATGGAGCACAAACGGCAGCAATAGACCAGAAGGAAATACCCACTGGGATGAATGGCATGGTGATAACATCACCAACAGAAGCACCACCGGTAGCCAAGCACGGACTGGCAAAGAAACCTGCAATGAAACGCAAGACACACAAGCCAGCAATATTGTCAACGAGGGCAGTTGGGATCTGAAGAATGAAGAACACAAACAACGTGAGAATGTAAATAGAAGTTCTTCCAAACATGGCATTCTCCGAAAGGGGAGAAAACACCATGGGGCCAATACCATAGCCAAACACGAAAAGTGTCAAGGGAAGCGTTGCCACCACCTGGCCCACCTCCATGTCTCTCATGATCTCCTCAATGCCAGGAGTGTAAATAGCCGAAGCCATGTAAACGAATGCAGTAAGCGCCATAATCTGGGCAATAAAAATAAGCTTATACTTAAGGGGCCAATTGTATGGGTTCTCTGGATCATCTTCGCCCTCCCAGTCGACTAGTATAATGTCAGACTTTGTGGACTGAGAAGAAGAGTCAGAAGGCACCTCGCTATCATTAGGAGTTTCACGTTCGAAAGATTCAATGCTTGCTTCGCCCTTGCCCAAGTACTTGGCTGGAATCACATAGTCTGGTTGTTCTTCTGGGTAGTTAAACACTTTTCTGCCTGAGAGATGGTAGATGGATCTACCAAAGAAGCTCTCTCTTACAAACTTTGCAAAAAACATAAGAAAGTGTTGGTGGATCCAGAAACTGATGGACTGGAAGGGAAGGGGAGAGGCAAGGGGTATTTATACTGAAGATTTCAAGGAGTGAAGTACGATGCCTATTATCAATCATCTACCGCAAAAGCGCACGGCGTACATATATCCGCCGGAGACGTTCCCGATTTGGTTTTTCTCCGTGACAGCTTTGGCGCATGCGTTTGTTTGCTTACGCCATCGGCAAGACAAACATTTCTTTACCCGTCAAAAACGGTATTTGAAAACCAACAAGAACTTCCAAAGTGATCTATAGTTAACTGAAAGCAATTTTTCCAACTAACCCTCGACACTTGCTTGGTTGCGCAAGTCCAATGAGCTAAGTGTGTCTCGACGCATAAACGGAACAATTTTCAGGTAATCTTTGGCGCCATCGCTTAGACACATGTTTATCTGTGTGCAGTACGACGTTTCGGAGAAAATCCGTTTTGGGAACATCTCCCTCGTAGCTGTGGATTCAACCAGCACGCCCCTCTCAGATAAAATTAAGAATTTCATGCATCACGGCTTTTCACGGGTTTCAGAGGATCTTTCCGTATGTGTTTCACTATGCGGCCGTGTCGGTGTCGGAGAAAACCTGTTTCCGGAAGAATCGAGCAAATAAAAGTGACATGTGCTCGCTAAATAGCTAGATAAGCTGGCCCTCCATCTCGCCATAATTCCCCTTAACTATCGTTTACTCCTCAATCGAGGCGAAGCAGAATGCCACGTTGTCCTCTTCAATTGGCTACTTTTATTTTTTGGTCAATTAAGGTGTATCTCAGAAGTGTGGATTACGAGCGGCTTGCAGCTTACTAAGGTTTGGCATCTGAGGCGATGCAGGGAAACAGACCAAAAGAACCCAATCGAAGACACGGGGTAAGTAAGGGTGAAGCCGAAGGGGGGGAAGTAATGGATGTTCCGAAACGTTCCAAGCGTTACCGGGACGCCGAAGGGTTTGTGAAATTGGACCATCTCTGGTGGATGTTTCATGCACGTTTTCCACGTAAGCAGGGCCCTCTCTATCTTTACAGAAACGGAGCTTCCGATTTTAAAAGCCGTACGAGGCTGATGTAGTATTTCCAGGAGGGACACAGTATCGGTATTTAGTTGTATCCGAACGCTTTACTGTGCTTTTTACGGGAGGTTCACACCACATTTACAAGAGAAAAAGGTTGGGTAGCATTCATCTTTCTAACTTGTCTACCCAGCAGTTACTAATTGAATACGGTTCCATTACACAAAGAATTGAAAGAAAATCTAATAAATTCAGGTGGCTCCTCCTCGAAGTTGTAAGATGCTGATATCGCCTTCGGGCAGTTACATGTAACAGGTGGGTTCAATCTCGTATCAATAGCCCAAGGTTATTCAATTGTGTTTGACTTTTATCGAGCACCATAAAGCCGTTAGTCACTGACCGATAAATTTCAACATTTTGCAAACTCAGTAGCATTAAATACAGCTAATTACAGTAGTACACTTCTGAAGCAAGTGCCTTGCTATACGACATCAAATGGATTTCATCTATATCCATGTAAAAGAGACAAAAATGTGATTGAATTTTCATATAGCTACGTCGTGTCACCGAACTTCACGTACTTTACGGCGGCGCCGTGAAGAAGAGGTGTTATCGTAATATTTTCCTTTTGTGCTTGGTTCGCATCGGCTTATCATTAATCAGCAGTTTCCGTGTAACCCGTCGGGTTAATGGTTCAGGTTGGATTTGTCATCTACGCCTTATTATGGCGTCTCGGGTGAAAGAAGGTGTCTTTATGTGGCTGATTTCCGTTTTTGGAAATTTTTGGATGATTTGGAGTGCTGTTTACGGGATAGATATAGCCGTGTAGTAGTAAGGACAGTGGGTAACTTCTAGGGTACTGGTTTCGTTTAAAGTATGCTGAGTGGAGGTTAAGGGAACTTTCATTAAGCTCTTGAGTTGAGTTTGATTTATTTATTGACTTTTTACGATTATTCTGGTTTTCTTGTATCAGTCATATTATCCGTTTGCAGCCATTTGGAGCTTCTGTCAAGTATGTGCGAAAGATAGTAACCTACTTAATCACTTCTACTAGAACTCATAAACTTGCAATTAAAAAACAGAAAAAGTGCCCAGCACTTCCATTCTTCGCCATCCAATATCAAACAACTTTCCATCCCTTCCTACAATACTTCATAGTTCTATGTTCCATTACACCTAAAAAAACAGCCCATACCGGCTCCTAGCCTAACTAAACATGCCTTAAACAGCCAGCCTAAAAGTCAGTGACACGTCCGTTGAACGACCAGTCGTTGTGTCTCAACGGATCCTGCTTGGGCCCGCCAATCTCTCCCGTTTCAGGGTTTCTTTCGCCCTCAAACTCAGGAACGGTCTTGAAGTACTGCGTTTGCACGCCAACATCGGTCTGCTGGTCGTCGTTGAAGTCACTGTTGGCACTTCCTGACTCTTCTATTTGCCTGTTGTACTCGTCAATGGCCGCTTGGGAATTGGCCATTTTCTGGAGCAGCTCAAACTCTTCCTGCTGCTCTTTGGGCAACCTTGGTGGTGCCGGCGTCTGGTCGTTGAACAAGTTGGAGGCGAAACGTACACGCTGCACAGGCACAGAAACACGTGGCACACGAAGAAGCGTCCTTGAAATCATCTTGTAGTTGTTGGTGGTGGAAAAGAACTCGAGAGCGTATCGGATCTTTCCATACTTCGGCTTGCTCAGAGTCAGGCTGTACTGCAGGAAGTCCAACGGTCGACTGACTCCCACATGGTCAAACACGTACGGCTGGGTGGCGAAAAAAAGAACCAAGAAAAGGATGATTTGCAGCAGGAAATTTAGGTCATGAAGGTTATTTTGGTTGTATTTTGAGCTTGTGGGTCCGGGGTTGAAGGTAATGATGCACCTTTGGAAGAGCGCATCTCGGCAATCTCTCGGAGCTTTTTGCTAACACGATAAAGGAAGAAGAAGCCAGAAATAACGGTATCTATATTTTCTGTTGGAATCACTTTGACTTGATGTTAGTCAAAAAGTCAGTTTCATTGAGATTTGTGACCGACGCATCTGAGACATTTTGCAGCCATAGAACCCTTCAATGTGAACCCTGCCTATATACCAAATCCAATGGGCTTTTTGGATTCCTTGGGCAAGAATCCTAGGAACTTGTAGATCTTGCCCATGCCTTTCTCGTCCTTGGATGTCAATCTGAGGTACGAATCGTAAATCAGCTCCTTGTTGGCCATCAGATTAGCAGACTTTATAAGCTGGTCAAAGCGGTAGCCAACACCAATCTCATGGAGCCAGTCGCCTTGTTCTGAAGGTCCAAATACGTCAACATGAGCCTGTGCCAAATCCTTAAGGTTGGCAAAGTCCACATCGATAGAAAGATCAACGTCACCAGGCTTGTAGAAAGGAGAAACAAACTTATGCTGGTAGATACCTCTCAAAGAGTTAGAGGGTACTTCATTTGCTGGGCCGTAGTCGATGATCAAAGCAGCACCAGCACGGTTCAGGTCTTTACCATAGGCATTGACCAAGTTGCAAATATGCTTAAGGTAGAGTTCTGCGTCAGAACAGATTTCCACCCTCAGGCCAACAGGTAAGTCTCTGTAGCGCAGACTCAACTTTGGGATAGCCGAAGAGGGTGTTTCTTTAGGTGCAACTGTGAGGTGGAAGTCAGTTTGCAATTCTTCTGGAACATCCTTTTCTGGTGCCGTAGCCAGACCAGACTCTGAAGCTTCAAGCTTTGGCTGCGTGTTGACCACCGACAGCGTGTGTTCCACAACGTGTTCTCTCCATCCATGCTCTGTTTTTGTGAATGATTTAATTGGCAAAGCATCGAAGAACTCATGGGCCAAAACGTAGTTTGCAACGTCAGGCGATTCAACGATATCCTTCTCTGTGTCGACCCAAGTGACCTTGTTATTCCACTTGGAAACGGATTTGTTGAAGCCTTGTTCGGTGGTTTCATAAAGGGCATCTTCGTTGCACAAGAGCTTATGCTGCTCTTTACGAAGAACATGGGATGCTTCAACCAAAACAATCTCTATATCCACAGGAGCCCCGCTCTTCTTAACAAACTTATTAAAAACAACGACAACGTCATGCATTAAAGTACCCTTACCAGGGCCAAACTCTGCCACTCTGATCTTCTTAGGTGAACCTTGGGTAGTCCACACTGAGTAAAGCCAAATACCAATCATCTCGCCAAACACAGAGGAGATTTCAGGCGAAGTGATGAAATCACCTCCCTTAACATCTAGCGGGTTTCTTGTCGTATAGTAACCAAAGTCAGGATGCGTAAGACATTGTCTCATATAAGCCGATAAGGGAATAGGACCAGTAGTTTTGATCATCTCCTGGAAAAAGTCCAGCAAATTGGTAACACCCTTTGCAGGGGCCTTAGACGGAAACTGGGGCATCTTGCCGACGTTCTCTCTGACGTTTTCCGTGCCCTTGATCTCTTTTTCAAGCTTCTCGTACTGAGTCGTCACGTACAGCTTAGCCTTTTCGTATTCTTCCTTGGTGAACTTACCATAGTAAAGGCCGTTTTCGTGGATGAGCGGGCCTTTATTAGCGAGTCTGGCTGAAGTTCTGAAGGAGCGTGTGGCTATTCGAAGCATAAAGCTGGGGTAAAGTATAAGTAGTAGTAGGTGAGAATTCAGAGATGCGCATCACCTACCATAAAGAGAGATACACCAGAAAGGAGAGTAAAGAGAAGGCCACGTCAATTGAAGAAGCTGAAGAGGTTAATAACATGAAGAGAATCGGTTAGAATGTCAATTTGGTAACCTTCAATGTTTTTCGTGTGCCACCTTCACCGTATATGGCACCTTTCTGGGCCTTATGGATGGCTGCGAAATGCGATGGACCAGCAGTCCCAGACCAGACCATAAACAATAATACCAGTAAACACCAAATCTTTAAAAAACCTGGCACTACAAAAAAATGACGTTTTTTCCGAAGTCTTCTTCACGGATCTTTATATATAGATTTTTTTTCAATCTCGGCCCGAACCTTCTTTGCAGCCACACACCTTCCGAGCGAGCCGGGCCTATTACCTTTCCAGGCCACACCTCCACAGGTGCCATAGATATAGATCCACCAGCCAACCATCATACCTAAACTGAAGAAAAGCCAAAACCACCAATTCAAAAAACCACTAAACCACTAAACCACTAAATCACTAAACCTATGAATCCACCCTTTCTCCACTTCTTCCCTCTGCAGCCTCTTCTTCTTGGTCTTCTCCAGCAGCAAGTGTTGCTGGGTCACACGCAGCGAGGACGCCTGGAAGGTCCAGAAACTGCTTGGAAGGTGCCTAAATATACTTTTTAACTTCCACACCAGATTGTTCGATTTCTGCTAGATAAAGATCTTTTTTCACGTTTGCTTTACTTTTTTCTTTTTTGCTTTATTTTATTATTTTTTTTCTTGTCTTTCCCAGGGCAATCTTTGAATGGGGCCATTTCTGTCTTTCCATGCACCGTTCTTTTTTTTCTTAACCTGTTCTTTTTTCTTCTGTTTTTCGCAACCATTTCTACCCTTCCATAGCCTCCTTGGCCCAGCCACAAATCGATGGGTTTAGTAAGTGGTTGGGGTTGGTTGAATAAAGGGGACTTAAGTGGCTTTGTTGGGTTTGTAGATCCACTAAAATTGACCTTTTTCTTATCTCTATCTCTGTATACCTTGGGGTTCTTGTCTGGTACCGATAAGGCGACCCTCCACAGTTGCAGTGGCAGAATACCAAAAATACCAAAAAATCAGTAACCGGGGGTTTTTCACCCCACCAATTCTTCAAATCGACCCTTCTTACCCCCCAGAACAGCTTTCCCTGGCGTTTGGCGTATCTTGCTGGCGGTCGTGCGCAAACCACATAATCTAGAACTGGCTCCTACATTGAACTCCCATCTCCAACTCAGAAGCAGCTACCTTTCGTCCAGTGATCCACATTCTGGAAACCAAAGCTTCAGCACGAATCTCCCGCTGCATACATTAAAAAATAAGACCCTTTTCCAACTTGTCCCTATTACCGGTTTTAATTCATTGACTGGTGGCACCAAGTTTGATCCCCGTCTGTCTTCCTTCGTTCCGCAAAAACCGAAAGGAGCTTTCACAAAAAGCAGCAAGTATCGCTCGAAGAAAGTCCATTTATTAAGCTTTGAAGCTTTCACTTTCTTCCCGCTTTACCTTGGTTTTTCCCACATCACGCTGTCCCTTACTTGGCCCGGCTTATTGTTTTCCAGGAAGCAATCTTTACTGACTCACCACCTCCCATCTAAGATAGCCCGATAAACGGCATGGGCAACTCGCCATCCAAATCCAAAAATGGCCTTCCACTTTCTCGGTCCGATACTGGCATGTCCCAGCGGTCCAATCGCTCCATCCGGTCTCGACTCTCTGGCAGCAAAGACGACCTGCCTCGGATGAACAGTCGAAAGGGCTCCACTGCCTCGCTACCGAGGCCTGATAGCATCCCCAATGGCGCCGACGACGCTGGCGAATCTGCCATTGTCGATGACGACGATGAAGAGGATGACGACGACCTCCTTCATCCCCTGATGCAAACACCTGAACCCAAACTGCCTATATTGATCAGGAGAAACACCAACGATACAGAATTCTCCGGCAATCTCTCTCTTCCTCGTCTGAACAGCAACACAGAAGACGGGCCCGCATCATTTTCAAAGTCGCCAACCAACTCAAGTTTCCAGACCCCCAATACAAGCCTTACTCCACAGGGCACGGGTGGACCCAATAATGGCAATGGCAATTCTGATACTCCTGGCGATAAGTCTGATACAATCTCAGTGAGTTCTAAGAGATCAGCTCGCTCCTCCATATCGGCCAAGACTGCTCCGTCGAGGCGTGGTTCATCTAGAGCACTCGAGGAGTTTGACCAAGAAGGCGCCAACCAGTGCCTGAACCCACTCGAGATTGAAGACTTCATTCAAAGACTCCTTGATGCTGGCTACTCAGGAAAGAGAACAAAAAACCTTTGCCTAAAGAACAATGAGATCCAACTCATTTGCTCAAAAGCTAGGGAAATCTTCTTACTGCAACCGTCGTTGCTTGAGCTCAGTCCGCCTGTCAAGGTGGTGGGCGATGTGCATGGCCAATATCTCGACTTGATTCGTGTCTTCACAAAGTGTGGCTTCCCACCCCTGACAAATTACTTATTCTTGGGTGACTACGTCGACAGAGGTAAACAGTCCTTGGAGACAATTCTCCTCCTCCTCTGTTACAAAATCAAATACCCCGAAAATTTCTTTCTTCTTAGAGGTAACCACGAGTGTGCTAACGTCACTCGTGTTTACGGTTTTTACGATGAGTGCAAGCGTCGTTGCAATATCAAGACATGGAAGCTCTTCATCGATACATTCAACACATTACCCATAGCTGCTATCGTCGCCGGGAAAATCTTCTGCGTGCATGGCGGGCTCTCGCCCGTCCTCAACTCCATGGAGGAAATCAGAAACATTGCCAGGCCGACGGATGTACCAGACTTTGGTCTTCTCAATGACTTGCTCTGGTCGGATCCCGCAGATACGATGAATGAATGGGAAGACAATGAAAGAGGTGTATCATATGTTTTCTCGAAAGCCGCCATCAACAAGTTCTTACAAAAGTTTGGGTTTGACTTGGTGTGCCGGGCGCACATGGTTGTTGAAGACGGCTACGAATTCTTTAATGATAGAACTTTGGTGACAGTGTTTAGTGCGCCGAATTACTGCGGAGAGTTCGACAACTGGGGAGCAGTCATGAGTGTTTCGGACGAGTTGCTTTGTTCGTTCGAGCTTCTCGACCCGTTGGACTCGGTCGCGTTGAAGCAGACTATGAAGAAAGGAAAGCAAGAGCGTAAGGCGGCTCAATTGCAGCGCCAACAGAGCAGATAAAGTAATGAGATCTGATGATACAGTATGAGTGACGAAGAAGCAAAGCTACAGCACAAACGTGACAAGTAACAAATACAAACTAACGATAGGACTCTTGATGTATTACCCGAAGGAGATCTGTACCCCAAGTCGCGATCCTCACCTACCACTTGAACTACTACTACTCATAAGAACTTCCTCTGCAACAGCCATGGCGACTTACAAGTACCTACTAAACATGGAAAACCATGGGCCTATCAATCGCTTGGTCAAGGAATTGTCCACGAAAATCCAGGAAAACGAGGCTATCCTCGCCAACATCTCGCGTTCCATAGATACCAAGATTACCCTACCGCAACTTCCGGGCGAAAACAACAAAGAAAAGCATCAAGAACAGGCAGATTCCAATAAATCTGATAGTCTACGAGCTTTAATTGACGAAAAATACCTCCTGAAGATGGACCACGTCGAGCAGTTTGAAGAAGTGCAAAATACTCGTCTTCGACAGCTCCTTATAGACAACAAGGCGTTGGCAGAGTTACATAAGGCCAGGTGTGAACAAAACAAGCAATTCTACAGATCGTACCAAGGCTATGAAAAGTTAATTCAGATTGTGATACTTCCACAGCTCACAAAGTTGGTCTGCGACTACAATATAGAGAAGATCACCGATCTAAGGCAGAAGAGGCTTCAGGAGAAGTTGGCCCTAGACGAGGCTTTATGGGAGAAGTATGTTCAGTACGTGGCGAATCTTGATAAGATTTACCATATTGTGCTGGAGACGGTGGAGGCTTTACAAAGTGTGTTAGACGAGCCACAAGTACAGCGGCTCGAGCAGCAGTTGCTTATAGTGGAACGGCTAGCATTGGTTGCAAAAAACGGGCACACGCAGCTCAAACGGCCACAGATCTTATCTGGATAAAGTGGATTATAATACATGGTTATATATAAAAGAATATCGTGAAAAGAATGTAATTGTAGGGTTCGTGATCTAGCAAGTAACGAACAAACGAGCAGGCACACGAGATGCCCTTCGGCGTATTAGGTCCCACAAAAGCAAAGGGAAGGGGCCGAGGACATCATAATGTAACCAGCTCAAGCCAGGCCCTTGATGATGCGTAAGCGATGGGCTCAACCACCCTGGACTGCGCGGAAAGTGACGACAAGGGTTCTGGGCGGTCCCTGATGACGCAAACCGTCTCTTATTTTTAGTAATATTGCCATGGTGCCTTGAAAAAAATATTGTGAGGCGTCAGGAGTTTGCCATGAGTGGCTCCGAGCGCTCCAGACTCTTTTCTTCATTTTTAGTCTTTTCGCCTCGAGGCGATGACGCCAGTCGGTTTCGCAGGCACCGTTTTCGCAGACGGTTTCCTGTAAAGTACCAATGCATGTAGCCACTTGCAGATGGTACACAGAACCCGGGAGCGTTCGGGGTGAAAAATTTCACCAACTTCGAATTTCCAATTTCAGGTTAGCAGGAGGCGAAGCTTCTGGATCGCCGTCCACGACAGCTTCTGTGGAGAAGGGGGTGGGGCTTCGAGATCAGTGACATCATCTCCTTTAGATTGTTCTTTTTTTTTTCGTAGTTTATTTTTTAGCTCTCGCGGTAGCCTCTAAATCTCGCTACCTCACCTTCCACAAAACGAAAAAAAAATCCATCGATTTACCCCACTCACTAGCGTAAGAGGATGTGCGTTTTCCTTCGCCTGCCTGAAAACAACAAAAACTTAATCTTAATTGTTTTTGTGCTAATCTGAGTTCCGATATTTGCTCAGTCCACCTCGGCAACGAACACCTGTTGGAAAAATGCGTCGGTGGAGTTTTTCCCCCCCGCTGCTGTGCGGCATCGAATGGCCCCTATTGACGTGAGTCTTCCTTGGCAGACTTGCTTGTAGATTTTGTGATTGCATCTTTGCAGTTTCGCAGAATCCGCTCACGTAGCCTTGCGTAAACGACGATAAGCCACCTGTTTAGAATTTGGAAAAAACAAGAAAAAACGTCATGGGCGATGGAGCTTGATCACAAAACACTGCCCAAAAGGCCAGATTGAGCTCTGGTAGATCCTCGCGGGGCCTGTGTTTCTTCACAGCTTGGCAGCTGCTCCGCATGGATCTTACCTCGGTACAAGGAGCCCCCTCCAGAAAGGATCAGTTTTGCGGAACCCCTCGTCTTAGTGCTCGCAGCATCGCGGCTTCGCGTGTAGAACGTTGGTGGAGTCTAAACGGGGCCTTTCCGCGTGCAAGGAACCAACAAAAAAGGCCAGTAAGATGGATGTGAAAAGTTGAAAATTAACGTTTGTAAATGATCAGCATTGTGTCTAGGCTTCAGTATAAACTGGGTATGGTGACGACTGTAGCTTCTAAAACATAGTCATTCGTTAAGGGGGTCGACGATGGGGATGGGCCCACAGCCTCGCATGGCTCTCTCGTAAGAATAACCTTAGTACTTGCTGCTTTGCTTCACTTTGCGCCATCGCTTAAAAAATGAACAACAACAGTTCACTTCTCCTCCTCAATCAAACTATTAATAGCCACTCTAGATGGTTTCTCCTCATCTTTGTTAAGCACATCCTTCAACCACAGGCCCTTTGGCACACGCACTGGCGGTAGAGCAGGAGGCAGGAGGGACTGTGTTGCATCCAGAGGAGGTTGATCAGAGGCCACTGAATTGACCAGAGAGTTGGAGCCATTTCCGTTTCCAATGGCCAGGAGCGGTCTGCCTGTAGATTTCCCATTCACCGCTACTTGGTTAAACAGCTGGTGAAATAGAGGTGAAAGCGGACTGACCATCATAGGCGTAAGATATGCAAATCTGGAAGAACCAGGGGCCGGAAGGGCCCAGCTAGGCGCAAGCAGCAGCGACGCGCTTAGAGAGCCAGCCTGAGCAAATGTAGCAGCTGGAGGAGCGGTACGAAGGGGTGGCTCACCGGTAGGCGGAAGTCCACGCAGACGTTCATGTTCCGAAGTAAGCAAAGTATCGTCAGTAAAGGAGTGAACAAGAGCCAATGGTCTTGGACGAGTTTTTGGGTTGAACTTTGGAGGATCACGAAGGCGTGGGGAGAGCTGCTGTGGAGGTACCGAAGAAGTCCCATTGGGGCTAGGCCCAGGACCATTCACGTATGGATAGTAGACGCCGTAGGAAGGCAGACCCAGGGAAGGAGGCAGCACGAGGGGTCTCTGAGGGTGAGGTAAATGAGGAGTAGAATAAAGGCCATGTGGTTGATGTTGTTGGGAATGTGAGTGTGAATGTGAATGTGAATGTGAATGTTGTGGATGTTGTGGATGTTGAGAAGGAGGAGGGGCCAGGTACGTCTGTGGGAAGTCCTCTTTGACCTCGGTACGCTTTTTGATGTAGTTTTCATAGGCATGGACCGTCTGTTTATGCTGCCTGAGGTTATCCAACCTGGAGAAGTTCTTTGAACAGTGTGGACACGTAAAAGGCCTTTCACCAGTATGCTTTCTGCGATGACGGGCGAGATGTTCCAGTCTAGTGAAAGATTTGTTGCAGTTGGGGAAGCCCGTGCATTGGAAGACCCTCCCCTTGGAAGGGCGCTTTGGTTTCTTGTCTGTCATTGGGGGAGATGTAGTGGAATGCAATGTGGATGTAGATAAATGATTCTGTCACTTGGGTGCCACGGACAGAATCAGGTCAACTGAAAAGGTAAAACAGACTGGGTGGGAAGTGATTAGGAGGGTATTTCTTTCTTGGAGATCAAGCTGAATCAGGATAAGTCAGAGATCTGAACTAGCAAGGGGTCAGGTACACTATGGGAGGCCTGACGAAATGGATGAGTAGGAGCCAAGGGTCCGAAAAAGTCAAACTTTGGGAAAAAGGAGGGAGTCCTGGAAAAGAATGTTGACTGGAAGTGGACGACGAACGAACAACGGCGGTGAGACACGATGGTGGAGGAACGCAAAAAAAAAAAAAAAAAAAAAAAATAATAAAATAATTGACCAAAAAAATGAAAATATCAAGTGTACGGGATCGCCGGGAGGTTTTGAGTTAGCCTGTTTTAAGGAAGGAGAAGGCTGTAAACGACAACAAGTCAACCAAGCACAAAAAAAAAAAAAGATGCTAATCAGATAACGGGCTCGAAAAGCGAGAAAAAGTTTCACACCCCGAGGAGCGAGGCGACAAGGTTTTAAAGGGTAACGAGAATACAGAAAAAAAAAAAAAAAATGCACCACAATGGCAGCCACCACGGACGAGGGGACTATAAGAAAAATAAAAAAAAAAAAAAAAATACCTGCGAGAAAAAGAAGAAGTCGAGCAGGAGCAGCAGCAGCAGCAGCAGCGGCAGCAGCGCAGCCCCAACGCAGTCCCCAACGCAGTCCGTCAGCGCGGAGCCAAAGGGAACGCACAGAAGCCCAGTGGGGCAGGAGAGGCACAGGACAGGCCGAAAAAAAAACGAGAAAAACGAGGGAAATGGGGGAAAAAAAGTGGTGGGAAGGCGAAGAAAGGGACGAGCCGAACCGAAGAGCCTTCGGTTATTGGAGGGAGGGAGGGAGGGAGGGAGAGATGTGGGAGGATGTAGTTAAGGGAGAAGGGGAAGTGAGTGGAAGATAGAGAGAGGGATGGAGAAGATGGATGGATGTAGCTGATGGAGTAGTGGAGGGTGGCTAGGGAATCTTCTTTTTCTGATATTTTTTGTGCCTGGAGTGGGCGTATTTTTTTTCTCTGGCGGCGTGCCTGATCGGCAGCTGGTTGTTCCTGAAACTAGACAGGCGCGCCCAGGGGACCAGGGGACGACCAGGTGAGTGACGACCAGGGGAGTGACGAGGAACGAGGAACGAGCCTGGCGGGGGAACACCCATACTTCTAGTACTTGTAAGGCCAGATCGGGCTGGGGCATGCCAGGGGCACAGCCTGTCAGGGCAGGACGGCTAACGATAAGAATAGAAAGCAGGGGTCTAAGTATAGAGTATGGGGAAGGACTAAAGGCCGAGGCGAAAAAAGGGGGATGAGGCGGTGGGGATAGAAGAATGGGCTGGCCAGGGCCAGGGCCAGGGCCAAGCAGACAGACAGACAGGCCACACGGCAGGGCAAGAATAATACAAGAATAGCTTTTAAGGCATAGTCTAAACCGTTGTAAGGGTAGCTTCTGGTCAGTGCTTCAGTGCCATGAAGTGAACGAACAAGAAAAAAAAAAGAAACGGATGAATCGGGTTTAAAAATTTTTTTTTTGCAACAAAGCACTGCAAGTGTGTAAGCGTTGGGGCGTAGCGTACAGTGTGGCCCTGAGGCGTAGGGCGTAGGGCGTAGCGTAGGCGTTGTCGTACCGAAAGGTTGATTTACGTTTACGGTTTACCGTTTCTGGCTAGGCGAGAGACAAAGACTGAGGCCAAAGACTGAGGGCCGTCAGGCCTGAAGTCTTTGACGAAGTCAACAAAAAAAACTAAAATAAACAGCATACACTAACTTCCAAATCCCCCTGGGTTCCCAAGAATCCCGTTAAATTGCCAGGTTCCTACACTTATCCTGAACCTTGCCACTTTCCCACTTTGTGTGCCCCTGAAGAGCGAATATTATCTAGGCCAGCGGTGAATTTTTCCTGGCGCTTCTACATTATTTTCAGCCTATTTTCAGCACATTTCCTGGCTTTTTTCTGGCTTTTTTCTGGCTATTTTTTTTTTTTTCTCATTCTGTGCTGGGCGCTGCGGCCACCGTCCTTTGTTCCATTTTTTTATTTGACAAGTCCGGTGCTTGGCCTGGTTGTTACTGCCGCTGCCGATTACATACCCCCCTCCATTCATGGCACTTTTTTTTTTTTTTGCTTCCTTTTTTTTAATCTTTCCCACTTTTACGATGTGCTGCGAAGTTGCGTCAGAAACGGGTTTTTTTTTCTTCAAGGAAACTACTCAGATTGGATAAAACTCTAAAGGTTATCCCGACGCCAAACGGTAACCCTTAACGAGCAAACAATAACAAACCATCACAAATGGACAGAAGCGTTGCAACACGCTTGCTATGCATTTGTTGTCTTATTTTTTTTCTTACCTTCCCTTCTCTTTGCAGCATTCACCTTTTAGCCCTGCCGCTGACACGGGTTCTCGCCTGGCGGCAAACATGGCGTTAGCTTCATCGAAGCCTGCGGGGGGCCTGACGGTCCCAGGGTCTCCAGGCTATTCTTGCCCACCCACCAACTCCATCAATTCCTAGACAGATGGCCCCCTAAGAACCTTTCCACTGACCAACCCACCCCAACTCACCAAACCCTCTGAACCTTCTTATCTACTGTTGTTTCTTGTTTGCTGTTTTGTTTCACTTGTCGCCTTGCGCTTTGTCTTTGTGGTTCAGTGTTATGTGGTCGGTGCTACAGGGTCCATGGCACAGGGCCTGGGGGAAGGATCCCGCGCGATTTTCGATTTTGGGTCCGATTTTCCCTTGGCGTACCAGACTGCCACGCCAGACTGCCATGCCGTAAGGCTGGCAGGCTGGTATCTTGCCAAGCTACCTAGGCTACCTCCCTAACCTCCCTAGTCTGCCTCCCAGCCTGACCTCAACTGAAGCCACACCCTTCCAAACATCATGCGTCCATGCTTGAGCCCCAGCGCCAGCCAGAAGTATCTGCACCGTGCCAGCCCCGGCTTCAGCCTTCCAGGCCTCAGCCTAGGTTCCTGGCTGGCCGGGGGCGCAAATCTGCACTGTACCGCCAGAAAACGGCAACAAGTCTCAGAAAAACCCTCCCTCATAAGCCTCTCCTGCTCGGCCCCAGCGGCGGCCGAAGCCTACGAAAAAGTCTATTTTCCTTGTCTTTCTGTCTCGTACTGATCTCGGAAAGTCACACATTCCAACTTGGAGTGGAAATGACTGTGTGGGTTTCCCCTCGTGGACCCTGGCCCAGATCGACACGTTCGTAAGATTTCGTATGATTTACGGTGCCTCGTAAATTCCCTTCAACGATTGACATCTGCTTTTTCTTCATTCCCTTTTCTAAGTGTGTTTGTTTGCTGCTCGTCTGCGGGCTTCGCTGCTTCGCTCGCTCCCTGTCAAACCTGTCAAACATGCAATCTGACAGCTTGCGCTCGATCAGATTTACATGCCATAAATTCCCTCAACCCCTTGCTGGATGCTTTTCTTTTTGACTAAATGTTGGTTGCGTCATACATGTTTTGCGCTTTAGATGCTTCGAAAACGGTTTGTGTTCCGGGTTTCCAGTGTTTGCTGTGGTTTGTAGTCTGCCTATGGCTTATCCGATAAGACGCTGGTGCGTGAGTGATAAGACAATGAATGGATGAGACAGGCCAGCGATAAGGTTGGGTTTGTGACGTGATGACGTGTTTTGACGTATTTTGACGTTGTTCTAACTGCTCGAGCTCATGACGGTGGGGTTTCTTTTCTTGCTGTCAATTGGGATGGAGTTAGTTGGGTCGTTTCTGTGGAAACCCGTGGGCTGCTCGTTCACAAGACGAGACGAAGTCGGCTGTGTCAAGGAGAAGGGATAGAAAGGGAGGTTCTGGAGAAGGCGAAGCAGCTAGGTCACAAGGAGTGACCGGTCGGTTTCACTTAACGGGAAGGGGATTGGAGAGAGGCTGCCATTGAGAGATCGTCATGGGATCCATAAACGGTATGGATACACCTACTCCGGCTTGGATTAACCGAGAGCTTAATACTGGCGTTGGCTAATCATAGAGGAGGCTATAGGGTGTCTCTGGAGCAAACAAACTTCGGTAGTTGATGCTACACGGTCTAATTTGGTGTCTGGATAGCCATGACCTTCAAGCGCAGTGCTTCTTCTTCCGTTTCCCTGTGTTGCTAGCTTAAGTCAGCAGAAAGCTAGCCTTGGATATTGCATCAGCTGCAGCTGTCTAATGCACATCTGCCAGACGTCTTTGAGTGTTCTTTGGAGCAGTTCTGTCATTACCATCACAAAGGATTCCTAGTAACAAATCTGTTTGAAGTGCTATCCACATGTGCTCTCAGTCTTCAGAGAACGGCTTTCTAAGCTCTATCGCAACATCCCACACTCTTCTTTGTCCACCTCAGTCATCTACAACTCGTGTGTCTCACTCTAACGTAACATGCATTTCTAATTTACACTGCAACAGATGCTAATGGGCAGCGCCCGAAGAGTCCAAGTTCTTGGAACCCCCGTTCCTCTAGCAACAGCTCGTGGAACCCTGCGAAGCACTGGTGTCGATACTAACATCGACAGTCTCTGCCTGCTGTTGCTGTTGTTCGCCACTTTCACTGAATTCAGGCAAACACGAGGCGATCTTCCTGAATAATAGCTTCACATTATGGTTGGCCTTGGTCGACGTTTCAATCATAAACTTGGCGCCAATCAGCTTGCAGAACTCCTCTGCTGTTTCCACACTCACCTGTCTTTTGGAGCTCAAATCAGACTTGGTGCCCACAATCACCACAATCACATCGTCGCCTCTTTCCATTCTAACGTCGTTAACCCACTTTTCCAAGCTGCTGAACGACTTTTGGCTGGTTATGTCGTAACACACAACTGCAACGTGGGAATCACGAATGTACGAAGGAATCAACGATCTGAAACGCTCCTGGCCCGCCGTATCCCATAATTGCAAACGCACAGTCTTGTTGTCTTCCAAATACATGGTTTTCAGGAGGAAATCAATTCCAATAGTGGCAGCATACTGCTCATCGAAGGTGTCATACATGAATCTTGTGATTAACGAGGTCTTACCGACTTGAAGGTTAGAAGATGCGTGGGAAGCTGGAAATTCCACAGATACATACCGCTTTGGTCGCCCAAGAAGACGATCTTATACTTTCTTAGAATGCCCCTGTCGCTCATTATGGACCTTTAACTCTTGGTTGGTTTGCTCACTGAAATCCAAGTGGTGAGCTTGATGTGTCTTGATGGTGCACGGGTGTACGTGGAGGACGAATGATAGATGTCAACAAAAGGCCACTTCCAGGCCAGAATCTGGAAATATTTTACTTCTTTTTCTTAATCAGTGAAATCTGAAGTACCTTCCTTTTTCCCTCAATTACTTTCTTCTTCCTTCCCCTTCTGTACGTCCCTTGGTGATATCTTCTCTGGACTACATACAGCGCCGAGAAGCTGGTACCTACTCCATTCTTTAACTATGGATGAAGCTGAACTCAACGCTATAAGAGAAGCCAGACTCGCTGAGCTCCAGAAAAACTCTGGCCAGCAATCCTCATCAGGCCAGGATGAAAAGATTTCCGTGCTTTCGCAGGTTCTTGAGCCTTCTGCCAGAGAACGTTTATCTCGTGTGAGAATTGTACGTCCAGACAGAGCAGATGCTGTGGAGCAGTACTTGGTGAAGATGATCTCGATGGGATCGATCAGAAGAAAGTTGGGCGAACAGGATATCGTGGAGATTTTGGATTCGCTTTCGAGAGACGAGAAGAAGGCTCTGTCTACGCAGATTGTGTTTGATAGGAAACGCGCTGAGGACGACGACGACGATGATTTCTTTGATTAGGGAACTTGCATTTGTAAATAAACGAGGCTCTTAGGAGTCAAGTATTGTATGTGGAGTTGTAGGTATGGGATGGATAAGGAGGTGGAGATGTGGAAGAGTGGTTGGAAGGTTAGTGTGAATGTGGCGTAGGCAGCGAAAGTGATTGATATTTGGTCTAATGGGAATGAAAGCTACTCAGGATATCGAGGGGGCTTTTAGGTGCCATAGCATCTTCTTTCTATGGCCAGGTAGATACCTCTGCCATGACTCTTATTCCACTTTTAACTGCTCTTCCAGGGCTAGAGGATGGAGCTTCCAGGGGATTATTGGAAAGTAAACATTGGTCACATCCAAAACGAAGCTCAGGGTATGTCACCAGTTGCTCCATAAAAAATTATTCACGTTCGATGGACTAGAATGGGTGATTAAGACACGCTTTGATAGCCAACTTACCACCCCCAAGATATCTGCATTATGTCAAAAGCAGTTCAACCAAAACTATCCAAATCAACGCAACTTAAAAAATTAAGTAAGCTATCGGAATTTTGTTTTCCACTTGTTTAGGCTTGTGGAAATCACTTTTTTTGTCTACCATCTTTCGTAGTATTCATCATCCATGTAACGGTCAGCTAGGCAAATGTACCCCATCATTCCAATTTCTTATGATATCTGAATTTCAAGAGGCTTCAAAAGATTTTATTAAACGAAAAGCTATTCAATCAACCAGAAATATTGTTAATCTGACACCTTCAGTATTTCCCATAGACTCTTCTCTACCTCAAGACGCGAGAAGCACAAACCGTGATCCCGCCGTCAATTTCCAGCCAAATCTAAAAAGCACCAAAACCTAAACAAACCTCAACCCTCCTTCCCCAAAAACCCACTTTTCGTCCAAAAAACAGGGAAAACTGCCTCGTATTTATACTCATAACTGTCCCTCTACCAACGTCCATACCGGCATATACCACGCTCTGGATCCACAAGACACTATTTAGCAGATATACGCAACAAATCCATCTGGCCTGCATACACTGCTCCATAGTAAACATAAACATACAAACAAGAATTCACACTCCACTCTTTCACGTTCTTTTGTATTATATGTCAGATAAAATCCAGGTTAGTGCCCGTGTAAGAAGAAGAACACAGGCCGAGGTTGCCTCCCAGTCGCCCATAGTGGTGACGGTTCCAGACGACTTTTGTTCCACTGACGAACCTTATGTTAGTGTCAATGCAGCTCCAAACACGTCCATACTGAACCAGACCAATGATAGTCTGGGCAAGGTTTTTACGCTAGATCAGGTTTATGGAGCCAATGCCGACCAGGAACTCATATACAAAAATATTGCAAGGCCATTGCTTCGAGATTTCATGGCTGGCATGAATGTTACCATATTGGCTTATGGCCTGACTGGGTCTGGAAAAACGTATACGATGCTTGGAGACCTTGTGGGAGAGCATGCTGGTATAGTGCCTCGAGTTTTGCAGGAGATTTTTCAGGTGGCTAAGGATGACATTTGCGTGAAGCTTTCGTGTGTGGAATTGTACAAAGAAGACCTCCATGATTTGATTAATGATGAACTTGAATTGAACTCGAAGAAGCCAAAATTGAGACTACTAGGAGATGGATCGAGAGACGGAAGAGGTACTATGATCCAGAATTTGTACGAGCTAGATGTGGTGGATGCCAAGCTGGGCTTCGAGATGCTCCAGAAATGCTTGGGAAAACGTAAAATGGGCTCCACCAAACTCAATTCTCGGTCTTCACGTTCGCATACGATCTTTACCATAACCATGCTCAAAACAGTGATGTCTCCTTCTGGTCAGGAAGTCGTCAGACTGTCCAAGATGAATTTGGTTGATCTCGCTGGATCAGAAGATATCATCAAATCGGGCGCCACAGATACTGGTGCCAAGGAAGCCGGTCTGATTAACCAGAGTCTTCTTACTTTGGGCAAAGTCATAAGTGCATTGAGCGAAGGAAGGGAGCCTAGACATATACCTTATAGAGAGTCCAAACTCACCCGTCTCCTCCAGGGCTCAATTGGCGGTAAGACCAAAACTGCATTGATCGCCACGATATCACCGGCGAAACTGAATGTCATGGAAACCATGCTGACACTTAATTATGCTTCCAAGGCGAAAAACATCAAGAATATACCTCAATCGACCGCAGATAGCGAGCTTGTTCTCAAGCGCACAAAGATACGAGACTTGTCGGCCGAGATAGCACGCCTTAATAGAGATTTGTTGGCTTCTAAGGGCAAGGACAATAGTATCAAGATAAGCGTACAGAACTACGAAGACTTTGAAAGACGCATTGCCGAACTCATGACAGAGTTGAAGGAAAAGGACACCCATATATCTGGATTGAACGCCAAACTACTGGCCAGAGACAGTGAGATTGATGAGCTCAAGCTTCAAAACGAAAATGTACTTACGCAAAGCTCGCAGAGCCGCCTGGACCTTGCAGCAAAGAATGCCGAGCTTCAAAAAACTACAAAAGAGTTCATGGTTCTTAGGGACAAGTATAGCTCTCAGAAGGAACGTGTATCGACTGTCACTGGAACAGGTGTTCTGAGTATCATAAGGGACGTTAGCGAGATGATCACAAACCTCAAGGACATGATGCAAGTGCTGCTGAATGTCAAAGAGATTCCAACTGTGGTTCAAACGCATCTCAGCCTTTTCAAAAAGACTCTTGAAGCAAAGCTAAAGGATGTTTCATCCAAGATTGAAAAAGAAACGTCGACGTTCGAGCTGGCTCTTGCAAAGTTAGACTTTTCCTTACTCCAAAGCGTTAGTCAAGAGATAGATGTGTCTGGTCAAATTCAAGAACTCCGAACCCAGAACGAGCAGTTCACGGAGTATATTGACACCAACCATTTACAAGAAGATTCTATCAACTACAAGAGCTTTGACAAGAGCTACAGAGCTCGTATGGCGGAGAATTACAAGGCTCTTAAGGAGAGATACATGCAGCAGATGAGCCAGGTGCTAGATGGATTCGTGCAATCGAGCACGGAGGCTAACAATGAGGCGGTAAGAGAAGGTACGTTGGGGTTCATGAAGTCGGAGAGGACGCAGCTTACAAAGCAGCACAAGGAGTATGTTGAGCATAATTCGGAAGCGTTGCAAGCAATTGAGAGCAATACTCAAAGTGCAGCTTCTGGTCTCAATTCTTTCAAGGACGTTGCTACAAAGGAAGTCCACGGAGCCTTAACCAAGATGCAGAGAGAAACCAAACACGTTGTTGACGGAGTATTAGGAGACGTTACAAACTTGAGCCACGGCCATGCTGATGCCATTGAACGAGCTACAAACCAGAAAGCCCAAGCTGTCTCAGGTGCTATCGACAAAAACTACCTGGACATCTCTCGCGATCTTAGCCACACAGAGAAGAACCTTAAAGTGTTCTATCTGTCGCTAGCAGAGCTCCAAAGATCGCCAGCCCAGTGGAAAAGACCAGCTTCGTCTCCAACCTCCAGATCTCCTCTGCGTCTGCCTGTCAGACTGCCTATGCGAGTACTCAACGGACAAAGCATGATCCCAGAGTCCACGAAACGAAGAAAAACCGATCTCTCGCCGTTACGTGGCGAACAAACCCTCCACAAGTCACGAATCCCCCAACTTTAATTCTATCACATATATAGCTTCCTTTTTCCCCAAACCCAAAATCTGGGGAATCCTAATATGCGCACGACCCCCCAACCTGTGCGAGCGAGCCAAACCCTCATTTTTACCATACTCTAGCATTATCGCGAGTGAGGTGTTTGTTCTAAAACACCCTCTTGTTTCAGTTTACTCCCTACAAACAACCGCCACAATGCCTCTGAAAGGCACCATAGCAATTGCAGCATATGGAGGCATCAGCTTTGGCCTTTTCGGCGCCTCTGTGGCTGTTCTGGCCATGAATTCGGTGGATTACCTTACGCTCATGTATGAACTTACGGAAAGCGTCAGGCTCTTGATCCTCCTCAATTTCGTGGTGAGCTGTTTCATATTGAGTGGGTTTATTGGCATCAAGATGATCTTCCACGACTTGCGGATCATCGAGATTGAACACATTTCGGAAGAGCTACCGTTCTACTTGATCAACTTGCTTATTATCATGTTCAGTGATAATAACCTTCTACTTAATATTGTGTGGATGAACCTTACTATTTTATTTAAGATCTTCCATATTATATTGACCGACCGGCTCGACGCTTTCCAGATGAAGATGGTTAACCTGATCCCACACCAGATCTCGACGTCAAAGCAGGTGTTTTACCATTTTGCAACTTATAGAGCTCTGATCCTTTTGGAGTTGTTTACAGTGGCGGACCTCGTGTTGGCTAAGTTCTTGGCTTACGATGTGTTCCAGGGCACGGGATCGGTGGGGAGTCTTTTGTTTGGCATTCACTATGGTGTATTGGGAATGGAGGCATTTGCTTACTTTGGCAAGCTCGTGCTTAATGTCTACGAGCTTATGTTCTATACTATTCCAAATAACCAGACGGCGGATGCCTCGGAAGGTGAAAATGAAGTTATCGGTGACTTAAGCGACGAGGAAGACCCTGACGATGAGGATGTTTCAGAGAGAGTGTGGGAGAACAAGCCAATTTATACCCAGGGCTTCGAAATCTTCGTGGCCGCTTCCAAGGGCGCTCTTTACAGTACTTTCATGTACTTGCTCTACGTTCACGGTAACGTCAGTCCTCCCATTACGCTTCTTCAGGGTATTGCAGTGTCGGTGCTTCAGGTGTACTCGAAATCCAAGAAGCTCCGGAGTTTCTTGGAACAATCGAAGAAACTCGACAAGGCGCTTCTTAATGCCACGAAAGAGGACTTGGAACTGGGAGATAACCTCTGTATTATTTGCCGTGATAATATGTGGTGTGAGGACGAATACTTTGAGATGAAGAAGAAAGTCTTGGGTGCTAGAAGACGTCCAAAGAAGCTTCGTTGTGGTCACATTTTGCATATGGGATGTCTTAAAGATTGGCTAGAGAGATCAGATAACTGTCCTCTTTGCCGTAACACGGTTTTCGCTACCGCCGCCGAAACAGCAGCAGCCGCTGCCGCAGCCGCCCAGCCAGGAGCTGGAATCACCCCAGAGGAGGCTGCAGCGACCGGTACTCCCGCCCCTCCAGAAGGTCAAGGTTCAGATAATCAGGATCTACCTCCAATGGGAGCGACGCTGGCTAGATCGCCCAACCCTACGGACTATTCTGTTCCAGAGGGCGCTTTTATACCCCAGGATTGGGCAGCCTTTCCCATTTCAAGCAGCGGTAACTCCAGCTCTCGGGAAATCAGGCTCTCGCCTGACTCTGTTGGTACCATCACAGCCAGAAAACACACAGCAAACGACAACGAGAATGTACCGTTGTACCGTGCCAGCCCCGATAATTAACATAGGTAAATTGGATATAGGATATTGAGAATACATCATGGTGGAGTATTTGAGCCGATTGATTAATGTCAATTGGATTATTAGGTCTATAAATTGTAATGCAATGATTTTTTTGATGCTAGTCAGATTCAAAATCGAACTCCATTTCCTGTGGTTCGTTTGTTTGTGGATTAATAGAATCGTGGTAGCTGTAGTATTGGGTTTCTTCGTCACTGGAGTCGAAATTAGATGGCCGAGGTTGTCTTTCTTCCATTTCGTCTGGAGCTCGTTGAAAGTCTTCTTGGGCATCTTCGAAATGGTCAGAATCTAAGGAAGGCGCCAGCGGTTGAATTTCATTATTAGGTTGTTGATCTTCCAGTGACTCTTGTGTTCCATTTGCAAGAGGCTCTAGTTCTTGGTCCTCGTCCTTGACGGAATTCTGAGGCTCTTCAGGTTCCATGTCTTTATCGCTCGGCTCTGCAACCAGATCATGTTCGTCCAGTTCTTCCTTAAACCTAAGAGTATCTGGGATGGACTCCTGGCTTTGAGGTCCATTCTCTTCAAGCTGGATAGCAGACTTGCTAGCGTTTGTAATATCATCTTCAGTATCCTCAAGCATGCTTCTATCCACACGGAATGGATCAGCTTCAGCCTGGTCCGCATACTCTCTGAAACGAAGGCTCATATCAGAATCACCTTGAGACTCAGCAAAAGAACTTTCTGGACTGAAATTAACCTGGCGACGAACGGGCTTTCTTTTGACACTCATGAATGTCTGGGACTCAGGAGAGTCTGGTTCCGGAGAGAACGGCACTGGAGGAGGAGTAACAGGTCCATTATGCGTCAGTGCTGGAGACAGAACCATACGATAACCTTGTGAGAGTTCATTTTCGAGCTCGTCCACAAGCTCTTGCTTGAAAGCAATAGCTGATTGCGTAAGGCCCGAATGTTCAGTTGTTGCCTCTGGAGCCACATTATCTCCAACCGATGGAGCTGGCGAGGCCTCTGCAGAAGGAGGAGTGGGTGACTCTGGTTGTGGCTCCAAAGGCATAGGAGCTGGAGAAGGTGATCTTGATTCGTTCTTGACCAAACCATTCCTTTTATCTTCGGAAGAATCGACTGGGTCGTCTGCAACAGGCGATGCTGGAGCACTAAGTGGTGGAGCCAGCTCAACTGCGTCGTCTTGAGGTTCAGGAATGTCAGTAGGTACTGGTGGACCTGGTGGAGCCTCGGTGTCCGATGAAGATGAAGATGAGGATTCCGGAATTGACCTTTTAACAGTTTTTGGCAATGTTTTACCGCCATTTTTGAGAACCTTAGTACTTGTGTCACCTGCTGTGATGGGTGGAGAGGGAATTCCCTTATAGATGGACTTGGAAGGTCTCTTATTGTCCCTTTCAATGGAATCATCCTCTGAATCACCGACGTCTGAATGACTATCATCTGAATCCCTATTGTCTGAAGTGTCCGGCGTTGCTGCCTTTTCAGGCACTGGTTTCTTGGTGGTCTTCCTTGGATCCCCATCCAGTTCTGTTCTGATAGAATAGTGCCGAGTTACCTCAGTCTGGTTGTTGATATTATGATTGGCCAAATGTCTGATAAGCGATTTGGTTGAGCTTTGAAGCTCCCGCTTTACATTCTCACCGCACTTCAAACAACGAGCAGAAGAACCGTCAGTTCTCTTAAACCAGTACCATACCCAGGACACTCTGGCTTCGTTCTCTTGAATAACGAATCTATCCAAGAACTTAGTAGGAATGGTGTGTGGACCTTCAGCAGCCTCCAGAACAACGCCATGGGACAAGGAGAGAGCCTTCTTCTCGGGTCTAGCTTCCAAGCTGGCGACATCAGGTGCCAATGTAGAAATCTTACCTTCCATGAACAGCTTTATACGAGTCATTTGATCGTCTAAGTGGCTCTTAGGGTACTCGAAGCCTAGTGACTCACATGAAGCAACCAGCTCTTCAATCGTTGAAATGTTGCTCAATATACGAGCCTGGACGGCCTCTTTGGAGCCTATAAGCATCATATCGTCAGCCAAATCGCCAATGTCTGCCTCAGTAGGAAAGCCGTTGTTAGAATCAAATTTAACGAACATATCAGCAAGATGGATGTTCTCACAGAGACAACATACTGCTTGGATGTAATAGAAGCTTCCATCAATAGAATAAGGAGGCACAAGCAATAACTCTTCAAGAGACTCTCTAAGTCTCGTATAGCTTTTATCAATCAATAACTCCCAAAGACCAGCTGCAATGAACGCTGGAGCGTGTCTCCTAGATCCAGAACGGAACACTGGGCCACCTCTCATGTGAGCTGTCAACGTTGTATTTGGCAAAACAGGATAAACAAGCCCAAGCCAGTCCAAGAACTGCCTGCACTTCAAGAAGTCAAGCTTCGAGCCTGTTTTATTGTGAATCATGTCCTCTCTCCTTCTCGTCAAGATCTCGACGCCCAAAGGCCAGATCGCCCTTATATCAACATAGTCAAACCGAATAAGAATACAAAAAGCCTTATACGCGAGCTCCCAGCGCTGGCGTAGCATGTTGATGTGTAACAAGTTCAGTACATTGGAGATATGGTTCTTCACCACAGATTTCCTCTCTTCAAGAAGACCAGGGAACTCCCAGCCTGCTTTCGTAAGCACAAACCTATCCTTTGCCCAAGACCTGGACGTATCGGTGTCGTTTTCCCATTTCTTGAGCTTCCTAGCAGCATAAACAGCATCTAGATGGTCTGTATCTTCCTCAACCTCAGTCTCTTCTTCCTCATCGCTAGAACTAGCCGACAGACTATCACTTTCCGATGCACTGTCACTTTCCTGTTCATCCCCATTACCCTCCTCTGCCAACCTCGTCTCTATACTCAGAGCCTCATGTTCAAGCTCATCCACCAAGGTGGAAAACTTATGCAAATCCTTTTCACCCTTCCTTTTCTTCCTCTCTGGCTCTTCCTTAACATCACCAGAATGCCAAATCTCATATGTCTCTTCAGGCAAAGGCCTATCCTTAATAATATCTCTAGCACGCCGTAGAAGCTCTTTCCTAGCCTTAGGCTCAATGTCTCGGCCTCGTTTCCGTTCAACCTCTCGTAGAAGGTTCTGGCGAACCTGAAGGTCCACGAGGTGCTCGAACCGAGACCGTTTCAACCCCACTTGTCTGTATTTGGAGTGGCGTACGAAGTCTTCAAACATGGTCCATGTTGGTTTTGGAGGTTGATGAGATGAGTCGCACCGATCTGGATAGTATGGGGAGAGGAAGGAGGGGAGTTGGGGTATAAAAGGAGGAGGATTTCCCTGATTTTTGGGGAAATAGATTTTTGGGACGAAGGTGGTGGGATTTGTGGGATTGGATTTTGGGGTTGTAAAGTGCTGGGTGGGTCGAATGGTTGGTGGTCTGCTAGATCTGGCTCATACAATGAGTCTCGCAGAGTATGGTAAACAAGAGAATCACCAAAACCTAGAAAAGTGAATTACTTTCGTTTTTTTTTTAAAAACAAAAAAAATTCTTTTTAAAAGACCAGGAATGAAGCATAAACAATGAAATGTCTGTTTGTTACTTTTTGATTTCAACGACTACTGATCGTTGATACTGGACCTACACCTTAGTTGTAAACGGCGTCAGAAGTCTACGCCCATATTTTTTTGTACAGTCTCTATTTACAAGCGGGCTATTGGTTCGTTTAGAACATACCTGGCATGCCACCCATGCCACCCATGCCGCCGCCCATACCACCGGCTGGTGGAGCTGGGCCCTTTGGCTCAGGAGCATCGACAATGGCACACTCGGTAGTGGCCAACAAGGAGGCAACACCAGAAGCGTCAACCAAACCGTTCTTGACAACCTTGAATGGGTCAATGATACCAGTGGCAATCATGTCAACGAACTCACCCTTGGAGGAGTCGTAACCCTTGTTGAACTCTGGCTCATCGTAGATCTTACCAACGATAACAGCACCCTCCTCACCGGCGTTCTCGATGATTCTCTTGGCTGGCTTGAGGATAGCAGATCTGATGATCTCAACACCCAACTTCTGGTCGAAGTTGGCAGCCTTCTCCTTAACCTCGTCCAAGATTCTGGAGGCCTTGATCAAGGCAGTACCACCACCTGGCAAGATACCTTCCTGAACAGCAGCTCTGGTGGCGTTCAAGGCATCGTCGTATCTGTCCTTCTTCTCACCGACCTCAACCTCAGAGGTACCACCAACCTTGACCACGGCAACACCGCCGGACAACTTGGCCAAACGCTCCTGCAACTTCTCCTTCTCGTACTCGGAAGTCTGAGAGTCGTCAACAGAGTTTCTGATCTGCTCACATCTAGCCTGGATGTTCTCCTTAAGACCCTCACCGTTCAAGATAACAGTGTCCTCCTTGGTGATGGTGATGGAGCCAGCAGAACCCAACTGTTCAACAGTAGCGCTCTCAGGCTTGAGGTCCAATTCCTCAGTGAAGACGGTACCACCGGAAAGGATGGCAATGTCACCCAAAGTGTTCTTTCTGTTGTCACCGAAACCTGGGGCCTTGACAGCACAGACCTGAACCTGGCCTCTCAACTTGTTCAAGATACAAGCGGCAAGAGCCTCGCCGTCAATGTCCTCAGCCAAGATCAACAATGGTCTTCTGGACTGGTTGGCCAACTCAAGAGATGGCAAGATGTCCTGAATGGAAGAAAGCTTCTTCTCAGACAAGAGAATCAATGGGTTCTCAAACTCAACCTTACCGCTCTTGGCGTTGGTGATGAAGTATGGAGAGATGTAACCACGGTCAAACTTCATACCTTCGGTCACCTCCAACTCATCCTCCAAGGTCTTACCCTCCTTGACGGTGATAACACCCTCCTTACCGACCTTCTCCATGGCAGAGGCCAACAAGTTACCAATGTGGGCATCGCCGTTGGCGGAAATGGTAGCGACCTGGGCAATCTCCTCAGAAGTGGTGATCTCCTTCTTGTTCAGCTGCAAGAACTCAACAACAGCCTCAACAGCAGCCTGGGTACCTCTTCTCAAGTCCATTGGGTTGCAGCCAGCAGCCACGTTCTTAACAGACTCGGTGAAGATGGATCTACCCAACACAGTGGCAGAAGTGGTACCGTCACCAGCAGACTCGTTGGTCTTGGAGGCAACTTCCTGCAACAACTTGGCACCCATGTCCTCAAACTTGTCCTTCAAAGTGATGGACTTGGCAACAGTAACACCATCCTTGGTGATCTTTGGAGAGCCAAACTGCTGCTCAATGAGCACGTTTCTACCCTTTGGGCCCAAGGTGACAGAAACAGCGTCAGCCAAGGTGTTGACGCCCTTCAACAAGGCGGCTCTACCTTCAACGCCGAACTTCAATTCTTTGTGCGAGAGGTGGCGCACGAACGCTCTGGTGGCGGGGATTCTGGATCTCAACATGGTCTTGATGTGGTGAATCTGGGGGAAAAACTTGTAGCTTATATAGTGAGAAGGCAGAAAATTTTCGAGAAGATTCTGTGCAAGACCAATGTACCCCAACACCCACAGAGAAGAGGAAAGAAGGTGAAGACAGGAAATGAAAAGGAGAAATGGAAAGGAGTTTTTTGTAGTTTAACTATTTCCGTTTGAATGTCCTGTGAACGGTTTCATTATTTTTTTTTTTTATTAGTCTTGGTGCCGCAGTGGTACGGTAAGACTCCGATGGCGCATGTCGGAATGGGTGCAAAAACCGAGATTGTTGATGTTACCCAACAACGCTTGTAATCGGTCAAAAGAAGGTTAGGGAATGTTCGGCAAGGCTAGATTAGCTGTTCACTGCATCCATTGATACAAATTTCAGCAAGAAAAGTGAATTTTTCAGATGCCGAACATCCCAACGTCTTTAGTGTCTCACCAAGTACCTTAAGCGACAACATACTTTTCGTCAAAAAGCTTATCCCAATTAAACTGGTCTGTGGGCGCCTCAAACTCTTCACCTGTGTTTCTGAATAACGTATCCATCATCTGGCCAACATCGTCTGAACCAGAACTGGAAGGCGCCTGGCCTCCCTGGAACTCATTGTAGCCCTGTGAGTCAGGCAATGGCTGAGTCATGGCCTCGTAGAAATTAATATTCTGTTGCATGCTTCCGTCATAAGGGCCAGCATAATTATCCACTTGTGGTTCTGCGATCTGACTTGTCTCAGCTGTTCTGAACGAATCTTCTGTTGGTGGCGCCTGGCCACTGAACAGTGGAACACTTGCAAGCGATGGTTCGTGAGACATTGGTGGATTCGATTGAGGTACGCTGTAGTTGCTGTGTGGAGTGCTTTGAATATCTGCCATAGGTGGCTGTGGAGGCATTTGGCCATACATCATAGGATGAGCCATTTGTGGGGGAGGGAAAGGCGGCTGGTTGGGCGGTGGTCCATTAGGCGGTGGAGCTTGGTGGTGGAATGGAGGCCCGTGTGGTGGTTGTGGAACAGGATATTGTCCGTATTCGTGAGGCGGTGGACCGTGATAGTAAGGCGGTTTGATTTGGGAATTGTCGAACTGTACTTTTTCCAACATCTGGAGTGGTGGCTGTTGTTGATGTGGAGGAGGCAAATGGCCATGGGCATCTGCGGGTGGCTGATTATACATTGGACCTTGATTAATGTTCTGGTTGCCTGGCATCTGTTCAGGAGCATAGGCCCTTGGTTCATTAGCCTTTCTGTCATCGACCTTCTTGTCAAACGGCAGCAAACTGTCACTTCCTGAAGTGACGCCGTAACCAGAACCTGGCGTTTCAGCGTGTTCAGAGCCTGTCAGAAGCGAGTATGGCGATGATTCAGCTGCATCAATGGATTCCTTGAGTTGCTTCATTTCGTATGGTTCGCTTTCTGAAGGAGCCAGTCTAGTGGAAGGCAAGTCTGTTCTTGAAGCTCTCCATGTTCTGTATCTTTCAAGAAGACGCTCCATTGCGCTGTGTTTGCACTTATACTTTCTGGCACTGACACCATTCAAGTACCTCGTAAATGTCTTGAGGTGTTTCTCCATGTACATGTAACAATTTGGATGGTCCATTATCAAGGTTACCACAACATGGGACAATAGCGTAATCATACAGATATCCAATGTTGCCCAGTGGTAAGGATCGGATTGGTCATAGCGAACAAACTTAAAGGAGTCGGTTGGATATAGCTGTTGTGACCTGGCTTCCATTTCCATTCTTTCAAGGCGCAGGTTTACTATAAGGTACACTTCCTTGGACATTTCCTCGATAATATAGCCCGCTGAGTATTGGCGTGGGACGTGCAAGAAAGGTTTGTTGATGAATAGCAAAACGTACCAATATATGAACTTGAGGTTGTGGTTTTGGAAAGCCAAGTCGTCCAGCGCCTTGAGCAGGGCATACAGCCAGTGGGAAGCTGGATCTAGATCAGACTTCCACTTGAGAATCTTCACATTGAACATCTTGGATCTGTTGAATTTCAACAAGTAGTTGATACGAGGGTCCTTATTAAACAGAATAGGTTCGTAAGTGGCCTTGTGCATGGGTCTGGTGAGTTCCAAAAGCAGGACAGCATCACGAATGTTATGGAATTCAGCGTCGTGTTCGTTCGGCAAGCGCATCACGGATACATTATTCTGAGTGATGGTATTTGGTCTTCCCACAGCCATACAGATGTAGGAATCAATAAGCATGAACCCAAAAAGAAGCCTGTTCTTCCTGGCGTCCGTTTCCGGGCCGCTCTGGTGGTGGAAGCCCAAATCAAAGCCCATTCTCATGGCAGAGCCCGAAAGCTGCCAGCCGCTGGTGACTTTCCCTAGAGAGAACTCATGAGCAGCAAGAAGCATATAAGCCTGGGCCAAAGGTATCAGCAGTTTCACTTCCGCAGGGTAAACTTTACTCAAGGCTAGAAGCTTGTATGCGTCAGCCTCTTCGTAGGAAAGCGATTCGGAGTTAGCGCAAATCGCATAGAGTAGTTCCTCTGAAAGATAAGTACTTTCGTAGATGTTGCCCTTGTGAAGATCAGTGAGAATGGCATTTTTATCAAGATAATACGAGTTCGACAGCGGCCACTGGTGAGTAAAGAAATTGACCACGATGCTCTTGATAAAGTTATAGTTTGTATGGACAGTCTCCAAGCTGGTAAGCGTCCGTTCCAGGGGCAGGTCCTTCAGCAGCTCAGGCGTGGTGTATTCTCCAAAATGGTAGATGGAGCCCGGCCCGTAGTAGTTTTCTTCGTCGTCAAGATGGGCCCGTTCGTTCTCTGCACTGGCCTCGTTCAGCTGGATACTGGCCATTTCCTCCAGCACCTGTTCCAACGGTTTCAGCGTGCCTGTAAGCGGGAACGTGGCCTCGATAGAAGCAAGTTTCGCCAGTAAAGCGTCCTTGTCGCCTCGTAACAGCACCAAGTCATTAAGGATGTTTTCATAGATCTCAGCGTTAGTCTCCAAGGACTTGATATAGACAAGCGAAAACCTCTGGGAACGACGGTCTGTCAGAGAGTACTCACACACGATATTACGTTTCTGGCAGTTGGAGCACGGCAGTTCCCCGTCACACTTCCGTTTGAGCTTTCGACAGTGGACACACGAGACCTTTCTGTTCTTCTTGGATGACATAGGGAGGGATGTGAGGGGGAAGTCAAGAACAGTCCAAGTGGAGTCAACGAATCAGCAGTTCTTTTTTTCAGTATAAATAACACACGGTTTTCCTCTTGCCGTACAACCCGTCTGGAAAGAAATGTAGGTGTTGCAATGGCGATGATCACTAAGCCGCTGAACAGAGGGTGAAAAGCACGCAGGGCTAAAAAGGCTGGTTCTGTGAGGGTGTGAGTGTAGGTGAGTGAGGGAAAAGAAGGCAGACGCCAGTGCATGTCGCACGAGGCAGGGACAGAGTAATTTAGGGATACAGTGGTGGTAGAAGAGATCTGAGGAAAGATTGGTGCCAAAAGTGGGTGCTCTGAGAACGGTGGTGTTTTCAGATTTTCCGTAGCTGCTCTGGTTGCAGAGATAACTAGGGGTTTTCACTGGCTGCGGCTTGCAAGTGATGGAAAAGCACAGTGAGCCGCTGAGCCCCATACAGAGTCACAGGAAACCATACAATTCTTGCTTTTTTTTCGTGGCTTTCAGGGTTTTTGCGTTGACCCTGGCGAAGCGATTCGGGAGCAGACGAAAAAAAATTAAGAAAATAACCCTGGGGAGCATGCAGTGGCTGACGGTCTCGAAGCAGGCGTTGTGAGCGTTTAATAGCAACTGGACCCTTCCTGCTTATGGCTTTGCGCAATGGTTGGAGAAAAAACCACTGGATTTGGCCAGGGAGGGTTGGTTTAGGAGGTCCATGTTAATTGGTGGTTTCTATAGAGTGAGTTTAAATAGCTTGGGTTTGCTTGGTAGTCCTTCAATACATTTAAGGTTTCGTAGGTTGGGGCCAAGAATGGCTGCAAACTCGTATACTTGATGGCCCACACCATTGTTGCCTTGTCAATGCACCGCACTGTCTGTTTGTCTGAGTCTGTTTGTCTCATATGATCCAGCCTTGTCGAACGAGGAACGCTTTCGAGGCTTCTGGTTGCTTTAGGATGCCATTGTTGGACAATTCAGGCACATTATGCGAAGCTTAATTTCCGAGTCTTCTGTGGGCTTTTTGTGGATGAATGTCGTTCTGGTGATGTTTTCTTTGTCTCAGATTCCTTCTCTGGATTATCTTTGGCTTCGCCTGTTTGCTGTGTATTCTATGATTGGTGGTGGATTTCTTTTATGGTCTTTGGCTGATTTTTGTCTTTTTACTCTTCTTTGGGTTACGTACCCGTGGCTTTGGTTTAGGAGATTAGAATGCGCTATTGCGTACTTTCCACTTACCCAGCTGCAGAGTATTACTGGCTAGGCCAAAACGAGTCTGGGGAATAGGAGTTACGGCTATTTCAGCAACTAAATTGGCTGAGCTAGTCAGCCTTGTTGGGTTACACGATGAGCGGTAGTGCAAAGCAGGTTTCCAGGAACTGAAGTATCAAAAACAACTGTGATTTCTGACTTATCTCCTTGCAACTTTTTGTCTTTTTTTTTTTTTTTTTTCTCTTCTCTACTTAGCTTCTTGCTGTCTTCTTTTGGCTTTTAGCTTTTTAGGTGGATGATTGTTCAGGTAGGGGTGCTTCACGAATGGCATTTAAATAAGGTTTAGTCTAGTCGATTTGCTCTGTTTGTCGGATCTTCCACGACAAAGAACTGTTTTGTTGCTGGCCTCGAAGCTGGTTTCTGTACTATTCATGTGAAACATATTAACCAGGTATTCGTTAAGTCATTGGTACTTGGTGGTTTCCTATTCTTCTTAAGCAGATACCATCAATGCTTTTTTCATTTGCCTAACGAAGAAGGTCTGAATGTTCAAATACTTTTTTGGGATTTACTTTCATTCCCTGGATCTTCCAAAAGGCAATAATTCGAAATTGAAAGCCAGTAAGGAACTGAAAATGACCTTCTGAAGCCTATAACTCATTATCCAGGGCCCCAGGAGCCCCGAAACCACTCCAGACCGATTACTGCATTTTATGAATACATATTCCACCAATTCTGATCCTCTGGAGGCAATTTTGGGCGTTTTTCTATGTACAACTTAGCAGCCCTATACCACTGTTTTCCTCATCAATCCGAGATAGTTTAGTGGCTAGAATTACCGCTTGTCGCGTGGTAGACCGGGGTTCAATTCCCCGTCTCGGAGTATTTTTTACTCTTTTTGGTCTCCCTATAGACTTAGCTGATGAAAAGAAGGAAAATTGACGAAGTCTAGCTTGTGTATTGGTAGGTTTTATTCTGTTTAAGGCTTTACTAGGAAATGGCTGCGAAATGCCCAAGCCCAGTTTCACCAGACCACTACTTCGCCAATAAGTCTAAAAGATAGTAATAAGAAAAGTGACTTACATGACAAATCCCTAGACTCATAATTTAAATCGAAATTCTTTTCAACTCCTTGCAAGTGGTGACAGTGTGGCAACCCTGTTCTGTCCCTTACTGGCCTGGCCATATCTATACGCATTTCCATGTCCCTCCACCTTCTATAGATCCCCCAATAAACCACCCAAATTCCGTCAAAAATCCTGTTATTCCGTTACCAGGTACATTAAAAGATAAAATTCCCTCCCTTCAATATTCCCCCTCCAAAGCGCCAACCTCTTGGTCTATCACCACCACCTCCACCTCTCCAAACCTTAACTAAGCGCGAACCCATCTCACCTACTCCAGTAAGAACAACCCATGGACAGCGACGGCTTCGTGCCGATATTGGCCATCTTCTATGCTGTCTTCCATCCTACCGAGGGTACGAAGATTGTTCACCAGGTTCCAGAGAGGGCTATAGCCCTGGCTGGTGATACTTCTGGGACGTCTTTGTTTAACTTCGATACGGTCAAGAACTATATCATTCCCAAACCACAGCTATGCAATAAGCTTATATCGTTTAAGATTGAAAACCTTCGTGTTTTGGGATACCCGGTTAACATTGAGGGCAGCAGATACTCGAGAAACTCGTTCAACTTCAACTTCTGTTTCGTGTTTCCATATAACTCAGATACTACGCCGTATGAACTGGCGATCCAGCGAATGGGCCGTATGTTTAGGGCATTGGAGGAACAGTCTTTCTTGTTGAGTAAGTTGGATAAGAATATGATGTTCTTTAGTGATAAGGCTGCTCCAAAGACAGAGAAGAGGGCTCAGTTTACCCCAGGTCAAGGCAAAGTCAGGAAGTTCACGCTTCTGTCGATTGAGTCGCTTATACATCAGATCTACCAGGACCTTAATAACTACTCGGAATGCTGTATTCCTATTGATACTTCCAATAGTGTGGATATCAAGCTTTTCCCTGTGCTTCCACCTCCTGTGAATATCAAGGCTTTCCAGGTCCCGCTCATGACAGTCAGGCTACATTCGTTAATTGATGTCAATTGGGATCCCACCATGGTCAAGATATTGCCTTTTATCAATGGACTCAATTCAGTGAAGCGCATTTCAGAAAAGGCCGATGCTGACTACCTTCTAACGAAACAGTGTATCCAGCACTTGATGCATTACAGATGTCTCACTATAGTGGACATTTTCCAGTTCAATAATATTTATGCTCCAACGAATAGCATTGGCAATTTCCTTACTGCTCACGGTATGGCTGAGGAGTGCCAGGCATATGTTATCAAAGCGCCAGCCTCGGATGATCTGGCGGTAGCTACTCCGCTGATATCAGCAACACCTGCCACTCCAGCAACGCCAAGCACTCCCAAATACTCAGAAGGCGATCAATTGGGCACTTCCAGTCGCATGGAGCCTCTGAGCTCCCAGCCAGCTTCGGCTTCTCCAAACACATACTTCAGAGGCCCTAAAGGCAGACTACAACAAAAGCTGACACAACCAATCTATGTGCCATCAAAAGCTACTTTATTTTATCTTTACAGACTGTTAAACCAAGGTCAGACAATCAAGGAATGGTACATTCAGCATCAAAAGGCACTTCAGAGCATTGACATCCGCAGATTTATCAACTTCGGTGTTGTACGGGGCATAATCTACCGTCTGCATCTGTACACGATTCTACATTCGGTGACAAAGTTTTTCGAAAACGAACGCTCCAACCAAGACCCACTCGACGAGTTGGTGAGAAGTCATGAGATCAAGCTCAGAAGGGCAGAGAAGAATAGAGCCATGTCTCACGCAAGTTCAAGAGATCAAGAGCTGGGACTCCTCAGGAATTCTGTTAACGAAAGTAATCTCAAAACAGGGAGAAAGAGCCGGACAGTCAGTTTTCATTACCATATTGAACGTTTCAGCCATAGCGACGATACGCTTTCCACAGACCTGGAAGTTTTGAAAGCGATTCTGAGTCAGAAGACGAATCGATACATGCGGGTTCATCCAGAGTCCATCGTCGTTCCGGAACCACCGAATCGGGCTCATCTGATGAAGAAGACGCTGATGATGATAAAGAAGAGCTCATGAAGCTCATAAAGCTTGTCAAGGGCGTCCAACATATGGATTCCATTTGCACGGAACTACAAAAGCCCAGGAGTGAAATTGAGAAGCTTCTAGATAACCTTGGAGCACATTTTGCGATCAACTCCTAGTTTTCCATGACCGTGAATTTTTAAGCTTCTTGTTATGCTGGATATAACAAACAGATACTTTCCAGAGTTTTCGCAGCCAAAAGGAACATCAGTTCCATACGACTGGGGAAGCATCCCAGGGCTCCGAACAATCCCAAACACATAATTTACACGTCACCAACACCATTCCAGCCAATTCCGACAAAACTTAAACCAAATTTATCATTCCACAAGTGTTGGTTGTATGATCATCCCTTTATTATGGATATCGCGGCCGGGTAACCCTGCTCCACAATCGCGCGCCTTATGTTATGATAGCGAGCAAAAAGTAAACAATCTCTCGCTTGTTACTACTTTCTTCTTACATCACATATCCATAAATTGTCCCAATGTCTGGAAAAGGAAAAGTCCATGGAGGCAAGGGCAAGTCTGCTGAGAGCAGCAAAGTGACGAGCTCCCACTCTGCCAGAGCTGGGTTGCAATTCCCAGTTGGAAGAATCAAGAGATACTTGAAGAGAAATGCCCAGAACAAGATTAGAATCGGTTCCAAGTCTGCTATTTACTTGACTGCTGTGTTGGAGTACTTGACCGCTGAGGTTTTAGAATTGGCCGGAAATGCCGCTAAGGACTTGAAGGTCAAGAGAATTACGCCAAGACACTTGCAGTTGGCTATTAGAGGTGATGAAGAGTTGGATAACTTGATTAAGGCTACTATTGCCTACGGTGGTGTGTTGCCACACATCAACAAGGCCTTGTTGTTGAAGGTGGAGAAGAAGAAGGGCAAATAAACGTCTCGTCCCGGATTATCTGGAATAACGTGAAATGCTCTCATCTGTACAATATATGAATGTATATTAATTGTGAATCTAATTTTTTGTGATATGTACAAGTTCTATGCTGGAGAAGATGCTGGAGGTGCTGCCACTGGCGTAGCTGGTTGAGATGTTGCTGGTGCCAGCAACCGTTTGGCGGTCTCGTCGGCTGCCTGGCGGGTGGCTTCTTGTAGATGATCAATCTCTTTGGAGAGCAACTTAAGCAAGCTCTTAACCTCTTCAATATCGTCCTGAAGCTCATTAATATCGTTTTTCACGTTTCGTTTCTCTGTCGCCAGTTTCTTTCGAGACCGGTATGACTCGTAGAAGATAAGCAGACCCGCCACCGAGAAAATAAACGTCTCTGAAAGAAAATTCGCCCCGCTATCAATAGCCTTGGTATCGTTCAACGGGCGAACCTTGATCTTATTCTCCCCTAGAAGCTTCATCCTCAACCTGACGTCTGTAGCATGCACTGACTGGGCGATTCGAATACACGCTCTTCTGAACCCTTCATGGTTCTTAGCCTGGGCCTTAAGCCCATTGGCGATCGGCTTTGCCACTGTTCTCACAAGGAGCGATGTGACCTTGAGAGCTATTCCGCTCATGCAATTAGAAGTATGTTGTAGTTGATGTGATGTGGAAATGTGCTTTGGGTACAGGCCAGTGGCGAGCGATAAGGCAGTGACAGGTTCCGTCATTGGGTGAATTCGGAGAGGCAGGAGCGACAATGTGGGGGTTATTGAGGGGCGTGGAATTCAATTTTATTGGTTAATTCTGGCATTTTTGGTGATTTGGGATTTATTTGGTAGGTATGGTTTATATTGTTATGGTACTTTTGCAGGAAGACAGCTTTTCGCAGCCATTTGTGTGAAGCAGATGAGTTAATGGAGGTTGAATAGCAAATGTATGAAATGTAAGGAAAAGAAAAAAAAAAAAGGAAGAAAAATGAATAAGAGAAGGTGATCCAATACAAAGTCTTGCTTCATTTTTCTTCTTTCTTGGACTAGTAAGAGGTGGTTGATATGAACTGTAAGCTTGATTGTTAGGTCTTTACTTACTGCGCAACCTAACGTTGATGGGCCTGAGGCTAACGGTCAGAAAAGCTGTTCTATTGTCTAACGCTACCATTTGTTGATGTTCTATTCCTCTATAATGTGACTGATAGCAAGAGGTTTTATGAAATAAAAATTACAGCATGAGACTGAAAGGTATAGAATGACTAGAGGATGCATTTCCCCTAGACGCAATGTACTCTGCCTATATTGTATAGCACTTACTTAGACAGAGTACACTCAAACAGTAGTACTTGGCTTCGTAGAAGCTGGAAAGCTTTACATAAGATAAAGCTGAAGGTCATCTTGACCCCAACGGTTTACCTATTTCAGATTCGCTAGTCAGTAATAATATTTGTCTAGCCAAAGAATATTAATATAGCAGATCTACCAGCCACCTCTCTATCCACTGCAACAACCCAACAACCCAACACAACACCATTTCACCAATTGAGTTTCCACACATGAAAAGAAAGCACCGACACATTCCCTTGCAATCTAGTGTAAATCGAGAACCATCCTGAGCCTACACCCTCCTCTCCAGGGCTTTCCAGGGCTTAAGACATCACCACACAACGATATATACCCATTTCCTTAACACCGTTGCAGATGCACTATACCCGCTCAGCCGTCCAGTACCAACAGCCCAGTACCAACAGCCCAGTAGTCTCCTCGGAAACACCCAATACATGTTTTCTTACTGGTTGGAGGCTCGCAGTAATTTCGCAGCCAATGCAATGCACCAAGATCCATCCAAGGAAAGAAGTACCCGAGGAAAGACCTTCCAAGGCTACCATTCCTGCCACATTACGTATCTCACATACCTTCACCCACAAGCTTATCGGTATGCTTGCTTACGGTTGAGCGGTTCCCACCCCTGATGCATGATTGGCTTAAAGATCTAAAGGCCGGAATGAATACCAGCAACGTCCAAGGATTAGATGGCTTGGAGGTGACGTAACCAGACGGCCAGGCAGACAGCCATAAGTGTTTACCAGAGTCTTTTGCCAAGGGGCTGGCCCCAGCCACGCGGGTGAGAAACACACACTATTACGTTTTAGTCGTTGCTCGGAGCCCCACCACCCCCACCGCACCAAAGCCCGGACAAGGCGAGACAAGGGAGACAGGAGACAAGGGAGATGTAGACAAGGGACGTAGCGGAGGGAGAGAGGAGGAGGACTAAACTACCTAATAACCAAAGACCTGGTAACCAAAGGAGAAGGAAGGCTGGGGCTGAGACGAGGAAGTCAGAAAGGGGCGGTTACCCCTTTCTTCTCTTTCTTGTCTTCCCTCCTCCAGTTTTTTGGTCCTCTATTTTTTTGGCATGTTGGGAGAGCTTGAGGGCTTGGAAAAGGCACTTTTTGGGGATCCATCCATACAGAAAGTGCGCTTTGGCGCGCCTTTTACGACAATGTAATGGACCCAAGACCACCCACTGGAGGCACTGGAGGTACTTTGTTTTTTCGGTGTTAGCCTCCTCCCCCAGTGTAATTTTGCACCCATCGCACCGGGACGAGTCTGGCGGGACGAGTCCGGGGTTTTCCGCCCCTCAGGCAATTTTTTTGGAAAATTTTTTTTTACTTTCGTAAACTACATGGCCACGGTAAATGAATGTGAAAAAGATCGGGTTCTTTTTCCGTCCCCAAGGCGTATTGGCGGTACCTTATGGAATAGTCCAGGGGAGGTCATTTTGGCGCGGAACTGGAGGGTCCAATTAGTGACAGAGGCAGAGGGAGAGCAGCGGCAGAAACAGAAAAAAAAGGAAGACCCACAGAAAACCTGACTTCGCCAGGCACCCAAAACTCTATACGTGTGGAAGCCCCAGAGCAGAAATCCACCACCATAGATGTGAGATGGTAGTGAAACCAGAAGGTACTGAAGGTTCCCCTTTCCAGCATTCACCCTCACTTCACCACTTTTCACCACTTTCCATTTTTCACCACTTTTCACTTTTCACCACTTTCTTTGCTTGACAATAACCACCCGCTCCAGCCGACCGCCAACCCGCTCGACCCAGTGGGGCAACAATGAAACCAAGAAAAGTTGGTGCGGGTAGCGATGGACCCGCCGCGCCGTGAACCTTAAAAGTTCCGTCCCACCAGGCCCAGGGTGGATATTTCTGGTGAAATTGGACGTAGAAAAAGGTGGCTATTTTATAGGGGGATTCATGTTTTATGGTCTTTTTCTTGTTCCCCTTCTAAGTCTCCTCGTATCTTCATGGCTTCCCCACAAATCAGTTTCACTGGGTTCATCGCGCTGGGCCTTCTCGGCGGCTACTCCGACAAACCAGAGTAAAAAAGTTACTTAAGTATGTGGTCCTGCAGAAAGCGCCCCGCAAAATAGCATCCTTTTTCTGTGGGGTCAGAATCTCTTTCATCTCTGCTTCCTGCTGCCTGCTGCCTGCTGCCTGCCCTCCCGCCTTTCATTTCTTCCCACTATAAATACCTCATGAACCCCCACCATGTCTTCTAAACCACCGAATTTTTCATCCATCATGCCTGAGTCTACGCTTATGGAATCCCAACAGGCCCAGAAACCTCCTCAAGGTTTCTTCGACAGAGCTACCCAACAGCCTCACTTGGCTTCTATCGACGACTACCACAAATTGTACCGCCAGTCGGTGGAGGACCCAAACACTTTCTTTGGCACCAAGGCCCGTGAACTTTTGTCCTGGTCTCGTCCTTTCGACCATACCAGGTACCCACATGACCCAAAGAATGACTTTATCGACGGCGACTTGCCTGCCTGGTTTGTAGGCGGCCAGTTGAACGCATGCTACAATGCTGTGGACCGTTGGGCCATTGAACAGCCAGACAAGGCTGCCATTATCTACGAGGGTGACGAGCCTGACACTGGCTACACCATCACTTATGGTGAATTGTTGAAACAGGTTTCCAAGTTGGCCCAGTGCTTGGTTCGTTTGGGAGTTAAGAAGGGTGACACCGTCGCTGTCTACATGCCTATGGTTCCAGAGGCTCTTGTTACCTTGTTGGCCATTGTCCGTATTGGTGCCGTTCACTCTGTGGTGTTTGCTGGTTTCTCTTCTACTTCTTTGAAGGACAGAATTGTCAATGCCGACTCCAGAATTGTCATCACCGCTGACGAATCCAAGCGTGGTGGTAAGACCATTGAGACCAAGAAGATCGTCGACGAGGCCCTTAAGGACTTGCCTGATGTCAGAAACGTTCTTGTCTTCAAGCGTACTGGTTCCACCCACGTGCCTTTCCACCGTCCAAGAGACTTGTGGTGGCACGAGGAGCTCGAGAAGTACGGTAACTACTTCCCTCCTGTGCCTTGTGACTCTGAGGACCCATTGTTCTTGTTGTACACCTCTGGTTCTACTGGTAAGCCCAAGGGTGTTCAGCACAATGTCGCTGGTTACTTGTTGGGCGCTGCCTTGACTGCCAGATACACCTTTGACTTGCACAAAGATGATATCCTCTTCACTGCTGGTGACATAGGTTGGATTACTGGTCACACTTATGTTGTCTACGGTCCTTTGCTTAACGGTGCCACCACCGTTGTCTTTGAAGGTACCCCTGCCTACCCAGACTACTCCCGTTACTGGGAGGTGGTTGACAAGCACAAGGTGACCCAGTTCTACGTGGCCCCAACTGCTTTGCGTTTGTTGAAGAGGGCTGGTACCTCTTTCATTGAGAAGCACAAGTTGGACACTATCAGAGTCTTGGGTACTGTCGGTGAGCCAATTGCCGCTGAGGTCTGGCACTGGTACAACGACAACATTGGCCGTGGTAAGGCCCACATTGTCGATACTTACTGGCAAACCGAATCGGGCTCTCACTTGTTGACCCCAATGGCTGGTGTTACTCCAACCAAGCCAGGTTCTGCTTCGTTGCCATCTTTCGGTGTTACTGCCCACATCTTGGACCCAATCACAGGCGAGGAATTGAAGGAGAATGGTGTCGAGGGTGTGTTGGCTATCAAGGACGCTTGGCCTTCTATTGCAAGAGGTATCTGGAACGACTACAGCCGTTTCGTCGACACCTACTTTGCCTCTTACAAGGGCTACTACTTCACCGGTGACGGTGCCGCTCGTGACAAGGACGGTTTCTTCTGGATCTTGGGTCGTGTTGACGATGTCGTTAACGTTTCTGGCCACAGATTGTCTACTGCTGAGATCGAAGCTGCCCTTATCGAGCACCACATGGTTGCCGAGAGTGCTGTTGTTGGTTACGCCGACGACTTGACTGGTCAGGCTGTGGCTGCCTACGTTTCGTTGAAGTCTAGCTTCAAGCCAGATGACAAGGAGACTGTGGAGAATGTGAAGAAGGAGTTGATCTTGACTGTGAGAAAGGAAATCGGCCCATTCGCTGCACCCAAGTTGATCTTGTTGGTGGACGACTTGCCAAAGACCCGTTCCGGTAAGATCATGAGAAGAATCTTGCGTAAGGTTTTGGCTGGCGAGGAAGACCTGTTGGGTGACATTTCTACCTTGTCCAACCCAGGTGTTGTGTCGCAGATCATCGACATTGTGAAGCAGTCTAGAAGATAAGCTTTATGAGTTTGGAAAGCGTAAACCCTGCTATATATTATTATTAAATTATTGTTGCAAAGTCTTTAGATAGTTTAGCTATAGAAGTCGGCAACTACCGATAAATATAAGTTAGAATTTACTCGGCTGTAGCACCTAGGCGAATTCAGGAAAGTCAACCGAACTTTTCAAGATGGATCTGCAAACCGTGCAGATCAATAAATAGATGAATTTTCAGTATCGACGGTCGGCCGATACTGATATGCTAAATTTTGAAGCGCTACCGTAACAAGAAGGTTCATGCACCGGGGATCGGGAAAGGATATGAACTATCAATGAAGAATCCCTGAAAAATCCATCTCCAAATGCGGAAAGTGGATCCGATTAACGAACTCCAGGAGTTACATCAAACCATTCGATCCAAAGCAAATCCCTTCGGCCAACCACAAGTTCTAGACTGTCAGTTAGTTACGAATGCAATGGAGACACTCAAGGAGCGACGAGGCTGTAGGCTTTGCAGCCACCACATGGGTATGGATACCCTTGGAAACCAAGTATTCTTCAGTGGTAGGCCCGATACTGGCCACCTTGGTATTTCTAAGCGTCTCCTTATCCTGTCTCTGCAAATGCTCCACAATGGCCTCCGTACCTTGGGGACTGAAGAACACTATCCAGTCAACAGGCTGTTGGCACCGATGCAAGAAGTCATCCACAATTCCGTGTTTACATTCTGTCTTGTAAATCACCACTTCTTCAATATTCACCCCTTCCTTCTTCAACTTCACTGGAATGATATCCTTTCGTATCTTACCAGTGAAGAACACTATGCGTTGGTTCCTTTCCTCCTGGGCCAATTCCTCGAGAATAATATCAGCCAAAACAGATCCATTTCCAGCATGAGACCCTCCTCTGACATCGCTAAACCCGTTAGCCTTTAGGATCTCTTCCGTAGCTGGACCCACAGTGTAGCCTACCTTGGATCGTATTCTCTGTGCCATATCTATACTTCTCTGAGAGATCTCATTTAAACAAAGATGAAACACTTCGACTGCTCTTTGGGAGGTGATGATGAATCTATCGGTATCATTGAGGAACTGATGGCTGCAAAGGAACTCAGTGGTCTCCTCCACACTGACTGGTCCATGGTTTAGTAAAGGAATGAACTCTGGGGCGTGGCCCTCGGCACAAAACGTTTCATGGTACGAATCTACCGGGGTGGTTTTATTCTTTAGCATGAGCACCCTCATGGCTTTGCTTTTGGGAGTGGTGGTTGGTGGTTTATGGGTTATGGTGATGGAGTAATTACTTTCAGTTGAATGTGATAGGCTCGCGCGAACTACTACTATCTACACTGTGATGTGCCATGATAAACCATTAAATATTAATTTCATATACACGCCATTATTATCCGTTAGTGTGTGGGGCCTCCTCAACCCTTGAGGGCCCCGGCGGCCTTGTTGGCGGCCTCTTTCCTGAATACTCTTGTGATTCTTTCGTTACCGACCATGAAGTTACCAATGGTGTCGCGGCCTATGTCTTTGAACTTTTCCACGAAGCCAACCTTCTGGCCGGTGATGCTCACGTACAAGAACAACCCAATGATGAAGACCAAGATTGGGAGCCAGAAGAATAACAACATCTTGTCGCTCTCAACGGTCTTACGTGGATGGTTGATGTACGAGATCACCATGTCCTCAGACGAGTCAGACGTGAGTCCAGCGTCATCTTCTGTAGCTGATCTCTTTCTGTTGGCCAGCGTGCCTTCCATGCTTTGATGCTCATTGAGCTGTCTTTCTTGTTGTGTCTTGGGCTTCTCGCCGACAGACGAGTGCCCGAATGGGAAAAGATCATCGTATGAGGGGAGCTCAGCATCACTGTTGTCGCTGTGGAAAACGGCATTCTTCATTTTCTGCCACAACCCCTTCGTCGTTGGTCTGTTGGGCCTGTTATTGCTTCCATGCTCTTCGTCTGAGTTTTCACTCTCATCATCACTGCTCTCGTAGTCCTTGTAATCGTCATCATAATCATCATCTTCGTAAATGCCATTGGCAAACAGCTTACGGAATGGCCCCTGGCCATGGTCCGAGAAACTGTCATCTGAGTCAAGCTCGGAGTCGGCGAAATCGGATGAATCGCCGCCGTATCCGTCTGGTGAATTTGGTCTTGTTGTCTCGTAAGCATTGTCGGCCGTTTCCAAATCTCTAGACTCTTGGCCCTCTTCAGCTGAAGACTCCATGACCATCTTAGAGATGTGCTTACCATAGTCGATCATAAACAATGAGTTCAAGGAATCGACACTGTAAGATTTGGTCAACTCTTCATCGCCAACATCTCTACCGGAATTGTTGACACTGCTCACATCATCAGACATGTAGCTTTCAGCTTCAAGCTTGCTAAACATATCTAAGACATTGATATCACAATAGTCCTTCAACACCTTATCGTTAGCCAACTTCAAGTTCCAATTGGACTTGCACTCTATAAATACCTTCATCAAATCCCGGGAGCCGCACATAGAGGCGAAGAACAAAGGTGTCAAACCTTGGTTGTCCTTGATATCTATCTTGCAGCCATGCGTTATGAGGAACTTAATCAAATGAGTGTAATTCTTGAGCGTAGCAAGGTGCAATAAGGATTGGCCTTGGTTGTTGCACAATTGCCAGTTTGGAATGATGATTGGACAATTTGGTAAATCCACCAACGAGAGGAAATTGATCAAGATATCTTCTGTAGAAAGCTCGGACTTGACCAACTGTTCGACTGCCTTGTGAGCATTGTCATACCATTCTTTGCTGGCCTGGTTCATGCCAGACACATTAGACTGCTGTGGAGGAGTGCCACCGTTGCTACCAGACTGAGAGTCGGAGCCAACAATACGCTTAGCAATGTTCTTAGCATCCTCCAACTTTCCATTCATTTTCAAGCCAACGATTTGCAAAGCGAGCTCGATAAGCTGGCGGTCCGTATCATCAGTGTATGTGAAAATCAGCTGTTGGTTTACTGGAATGACATGTTCCAAGCTCTCGAAACTCACAAGCACCTGTCCTGGCTGAGCAGCAGGAGGGAGGTAGGTGACCATAGTACTATCGGACCAGCAGTGTGTGGCTAGCGAGTTTTTGGATCCAAATTTGACGTTCAAGCCAGGACGGAAATTAAAACCTAAAAGGGTCACTTCAATACCACCTCTTATAGGTCCTTGAGCAGGAATGATCTTTTGAATCATAGGATGATTATTATTCTGCTGCATCATACCAAACAGTTGCTGCAGGCGTTGTCTTGGGATAGGCAGAGCTTGTATCAGTTGAGTGAAAGCAGAGCCAGGCACAGAACCCTTATGCATAACAGATAGACCATTCTTCGAGTTCATGTTGTGAATGGAGGTGTTGGTATCACTGTTACTGAGAGGCGACAATCCGGTCGAACCATTGTACATAGGGTTTCCAGAGTTGTTGCCAGAATCGTCAAACGACATCTTCTTTCTCTTGGTACCTCTGTGACCTGAGAGAGTATCGGTATTCGTATCAGTGTTGACAAGAGCCTCGGAGTTGGAATCATCGATGGAGTTAGGCGAGAGTGGGTGCATAGATCCATCGTTGTCACCAGTACAGTCCTCGGACTTGATTTTTGGCTTCGTCAGTTCCTTACCAGACGTGCTTTGGTTCTTCTTTCTGTCCATGATCATGATTGGACTCAGCAAATGCTTGGCGACAACCTGATTTAAGTAGTTTTTCACAACGAAAAGAAGCTTGAAGCCCTTTTGTTCCTTGTGATGTCTGCAGTAACAAACGATTCTAACCGAAAAGTCTAGGTACTTACTTGGATCATCTATTAGGCCGCTTGGAGGAGCAAAGCTGACAATTTCCTTGGAATTGTAAATGATAGCCTTTTTGATCATATCTTCGTCGCTCCACATGTTAGGAAGGGATTTATTCAGGGCAGATGGGGAATCAGACATGCCATTGTCGACAGAACCGTTCTTGGATCTGGAAGCTCTCTTTTGTTCTCTCTTGATGCATCGCTTGCAAATGTTGCAAGAAGTCTGACCATCTGACGTCAAGACATAGGTATCCATGTAGAGCATGTTTTCTTTCAAAAAGCCTGGCAATTTTTCCTCGGGCGTAAGTAAGCAGTGCTTTGTCTTGGAGACCAAATCTTGTGGAATACGGACCAAAGTCTCCTTTGGAGCCGGGCTGAAGTCAAAACGCAACTTAATCTGGGTCTCCACCCTGGAGTAAGAAGGCAAGTCCATAACTTCAAGCTTGTAAGGAAGAGCATCCATTGTCTCCTGGGAGAAGTCCAAGTAGGAAGGATCATCGAGCTCCAAAGTATCAGGACAGACCTTTTGCGAGGGGTTGCCGAATTGCACCTTGGACACCTCTTTGCGGACCATTTCGTACACGGAAAGCGTGGAGTCCTTGGGAGAATGCTTATCCGGGGTATCATTGGCAAAAGAATCCTTATCGAAGTTGTCGTGGGAAGTATATAGGTAGTTTTGGTCTTGCAGAAGGTGGTCATTGTCGTCCAACTCTCCCTTTAGCGGGTCTTCAGGAAGTATGTCGTTCTCCGACTTGAGTTTCTGGAACATGACATCAAAGTCAGGATGGTACGGGCTGTTGACGCCATTATTCACTGGCGAGTTCGAATTCACCGAGTCAAACACTCTCTGGTCCAAAAACTCGCTGAGAATATCCTGGTCTTCCTGGTCCTGGTGGAGAAGGATATTGTGGTCTACGACCATATCATCAGCAAAGGCCATAGTTTGGGAGGGCCGGCTGGAATATCGTCGATGTGGGAGTAGAAAAGGGAAACTGGAAGGACGGTAGTATTTATTAACACGTTGACGGCAAACAGGTAAGAGCTAAGGAAGGTTCCTGATATATTTTTTTTTGCTTTTTTTTTACCTTTTTGCCTTTTTTTTTTTTTTCCTTTGTTATCTCCTCTTCAATGGATTTTGCCTGGTTTACGGGTCTCCTGCCTTACTGGCTTAGCACGCGAAGGTTATATGGGCTATTTGGGGGAAAAAAAGGGAGGGTCAGGAATAGGGGAGTGTGAAAAACCTGGGAAAACTGAAAAAGAGGCCACGTTAAAGGTCTCTTGGAGGCGGAAAGGGGGGTAGGGAAAATCACGGGGAAGGAATTACGAGGATGTACGGGTTTAGTTACAGCCTCGAAAGTAAAAAAAAACGCCACTACTCTTGTTTCTTTCAGCTTCTATGCTTAAGTGTAATGTGGGATAGGCGCCTTGGGGAAACCAAGTTTGTTGGGTACTATGTTGGGGCGCGAGGCGGGTGAGACACCCGTGCCTCCACAGTGTAAAGTTTTAGATTTTTTTTTTTTTTGTGCTTTCTTTTTCCAGAAAAAAAATAGTCTGGTCACGTGACCAGATCTCTTTTTGCCCTGTGCGTCAAAGGGCAGTCAAGGGAGAAGTAGTGGAACTGGTTGCCAGGGCAGCGGAAGGTACACTTTGAGAGTTTGAGAGAGGTTGTTTTTTTCGGAAGGTGAAGGAGGTCAGGTTTCCGGAGATAAGTTTCTGGTAAAGCCGGAAACCCGGATTTAAGCTCGGAAATTGGATTGACTCTGCCACTCACATGGCGCCTGGAGGTGGGTTCAATAGATTTGCGTTTGTTGAGCCAATCCAGTCACAGGCGCCTTGTGATATTTCGCTAATAAACGGGAACCGTCGCTTGTTTAAGCGAATTGCCATTGTGGTGGCAAATGGAAGCGCTCGAGGAATTTGGATATTGTAGGTGATATATTGGACTTGTTTGGATGGCCAGGTGGTGGTTTCTAGTGAGGTATGTTATATATGAGAGTGACAATTGGACGAGGGGATATTACCATGATAAAGCTTTCTGGAACCAATGTCTGTTTGGCGGTAAAGAGGTCACAGTGAATGATCTTTGATGGTTTTCCTACATTATAAGGGTTCAATTGGCTGTTTACTTGACGTCTGTTTGGCGCCTGTCAAGTGGCTGCAAAACAGCCGCAAACGCTGTAAAGCCGCGCCACAGAAGTCCACATATATAAGGCCCAATGTCCCGGCTGATTGATCGGAAGGAAGCTTGATCTTGAGAAGAAAAAGGAAGTTAAAAAAATTTTTAGAATTTGACATGAATTGTCGTTTTGTGATCTGGAACCAGAGGACCCTGGAACAGGGAGGTACGGGTGTAAAAGGGCCAACCGGTGTCACCCCACACAATTGCCCTTGGGAAGCTGCTTAAACAAAATTGAAAGGTTTAGGGCATACCCAAGTGACGTATAATAGTCTTAAGAGACACTGCCGTCCCTCTGGGTATCTTCCAACTAGAAACAGCTGATTTTTGCAAAATTTGCCAAAAACTCACGTGCATCTTACACGTGACCTCCCGCTAACTTATCATCAATCTTCTTCCTTCTTCCACCACTCACTCCTCCTCCAATGCCTAAAAACACACTTTACGTGACTGGGTTCACCAAAGAATCCAAGGCAGCCGATTTGGCTCCAGACTTTGAAAGTACGTTCCATCCTAGTTCCCGCAGGTTTCAAATCCCCAGAACCCTCCTTTCCTTTCACCTCGACCCTGTTTTTCGTTTCCGTCCTCCTAGGACACTTCCACTCCAATGGCCCGGCCTCCCAGCTATCCCCATCCTCTGTTCCGCCTCTTCCCCTTCTCCTTTCTTCTTCTTTCTGTTCTTTTCCTTTGTGGTTTTTGATCCCAGCCAATTCCAGATTTCCCATTCCAACTAACACATTAGATACGGCGAGCTCGTCCGACTCGATATCCCTCCTCCCAGAACCGACGACGGAGAAAAATACGCCTTTGTTGAATACAAGAACGAAGAAGATTGTGAGAAGGCCTTGGAACTTGATGGCAAGCCATTGCCTTATGCTAAGCAGGACGGATTAGTCGTGCAAATGGCTCGTTCCGATCCATTTTCCGCCAGACGTGGAAGCTTCAGAGGCGGCCCTAGAGGCGCTTTCAGAGGTCGTGGTTACGGAAGAGGCGGCTACGGAAGAGGTGGTTACGCTGCTCCTCCTTATGCTGCTCCTTACCCTCCACCTAGAGGCGGTAGAGGTGGCTACGGCTACGGCTACGGCTATGAAAGAGGTGGATACGGTTACCCTGGACCTCATCCATATCCTCCACCACGTGGTGGTCGTGACCCATATTATGGCGATGGCTACGGCTACGGTAGAGAGCCATATGGCTACAGAGACAGAAGATACGATGATAGAGGTCCACCAGGCGATGAAAGAGATTCATACAGAGATCGCCCTGATAGATACGTGGGTGACCGTCGTGACGGCGGTCGTGATCGTGATTTTGAGACCAGAGACGAGGAGCGTAGTCGAGACGCCCAGGTCCTGAAACTCATGAACCAAATGGCAACGAGGAATTCTCTCGTGGTCGTTACTCAAGGTCAGCTTCGCCTCCAAGAGAAAGAGAGAGATCTCGCTCTCGTTCTCCTAGTCGTTAAAAGGGAACGACTACGAATAAAAAGTACATAACGGACGTTTAATCATTGAAATAAATAGATAGGTGCTAAATGGCATTCATCGTAAACGAACCTAAATGAGGTGGTTCGTAACCTCTTACTCCATTGAACCCCAGTCCTGAAAGGTAGGCTCCTCCTCCAACACTGCCCATAAACTTGTTGGAGGCATAGCGATTAGTGTTTCTTGTTCTGGTCTCCTGTAACGTTAAGAAGACCGTCGTAAGTACCAAAGTATCGTGGTCGATACTTGATGCAAGCGAAAGATCAATATGTGGATCCATGTTGGTGTTATCCTGGTACACCTCCACTTTACCTGTCTCTGAATATTTCTTAGGGAATAATGGCGAATCATCCATGTAAGCACATGAATCAAGGAAGCGGCCGAAAGGCGGCATTTTGTTAAGGATATATGTCCTAATTGAGGCTTTCAGAAGAGGTCCATCATCGTCAGTCAAGATTGGGTTTCTTGGATTAGGTACTGGATTTGGAAGATCCTCTGGTGCAACATTCGATCCTGTTTCATGCAAGTTGATCGTGGAGCCTGATTTTTTGTAAGCGCTTTGTTGCAGCTTGTCTATGATGTTGTCGCAAAGAGAGTCCTGGCGGCTTCCAAGCACGAGTAGCTTTAATTCAGGATTGTAACTCATCAAGTATGGATTAGTTAACGATGTTCCCGAAAGGCGAAACCGGGTATCTTGGTAATTAAAGTCGGCAAAGGGCCTGTGATTATTTTGGAAGACCAATAGCTTCAGAGCGGGCTGGTCTTCGGGAGTGAAATGGAAAGTATAACGACGATAAAGAGAGAAGTTTTTGACGTGGACCGTGCAGAACACGAACAGCTCATAGTTCTCGTCCTCGTCACTTTCTCCAACCTTAGGACGAAGTGGGATCTGGCGATACTTTCTGAAAACCATGTATGGCACTTTCTTTCGGAACGAAGACATGTATGGACTCACAATCTTCAATATAGGAAGCCCGTCGCCTCGAAGTTTATAGTCCACGGGGATAATATGCTGTCTCTGGTCAATTACAATACCTTTATCGGTAAGCGGGCCCAGATTTTCCTCGGAAGGCGGTCTTCCCTTGACCTTCTTGATGTTGCCTTCTGCGTCATACACAATATAAGTGTTTTTGTTGAGTTTCTTCTGGTTCGAACGCAAGTAACGAAACTTCTCAAACGATCTCATGTCTGGAAACACGTATGTGGTGCCCTTGATGAACTCCCTGCTGACCACCAAGCTCCTCTTCAAGTTCCACACCGACGTGGGACGTCGAAGGATGCACTCGTCCAGCTCCAGCTCCGATATCATGGTCTCGTCATCGTCAGAAGTGGCAGTCGGGCTGACATCCACATTCATCGGCCCGCCAGCCCTTAGCTCATCTAGTCTCTGAGCTCTGAGTCTATTGATCACGTAAGGCAAGTACTCCGTATAGTTTTCGTTATACGTTTCCTGGAGGTCCCAGCGGTGGGATTTCGGCTGTGCTAGCGTCTCTGTCTCGGAAAGCGCCACCGACTCCTGGTCTAGGTAGCTTCTGACGTCTGTATCTTCAGGGCCAGGCGATACATCAGCTGCGTTGACCTGATTAATGGAATGAAGAATCTCCACTTCATTGGGAGCAGGAAGGCTCAAACGACGCTGAAACGGTCTCACGTCAGTCAGCGACGTCGAGTTGGAACGCAGTTTCCGTCTGAATATTCGCTTCATCAGTTTATGTGGTAGTTCCAGGTGAAAGAACTAAAGATGAGCAGATAACGTTTGCGAGGCTGAACAGGCCTGATAGAGGCAGGAAGAGCACGAGACGGGGAGATTAATTACACAGAATTCTGGGAGGGGAAGACATTGAAGAACAAATGAAAAAAAGTATAAAAGGACAGGGAATTCCCCTTTTTGAAACGTGGGCTAGTGGGAAATTCAACGTCTTCTCCGTGTGTGGAACGTCGGAGAAATGGGTGCAAAAAGAAGACTACCACTGCGAGATGATTAGCACCGGCACATTAAGTACGTCAAAGGGGCCAAGAGGAAGAGACAAAGGCGTTTTGTGTTATTTTAGAGAGAAGGTTTAGGGAAACGAAGGTGAAGGTGGAGTGATTTCTTGGTGTTCTTGGGGGACATTAAAAAGCAGATTTTTTTGGTACCCTCTAGGTTTTGTTGCTGATGTAGGGCGGTTAGAGGTGCCCCTCTGGACTATTGTCATAGGTTGCTGGACGTCGGCAGTGCCTCGAGCTGGAAACGGTAAAAGTTGCATTGTTCGGGCGCCAGAGGGCCAGAAGGGTGGAAGTAGAGTTGCTAGGTGGATTTGGTGGTGGAGTTTATGGGGAGTGGTGAATGAGAGAGGGCTAGAGATGGGTAGATTAAACGAGAAGGCGTGGTTTCTGGTTCTTTCTATGTGCATTGACGTCTTGGCTGGGAAAGCTGGCTGAAGCTTTTAGGCAGTTTTCGAACAAAATGGATTCTAGAGCAAAGCTTATTTGTTGAATGGCTGGTGGATAAGGTTTCGGGGGACAATTGTGGTTGATTAGATAGAGTAAAGGATGAAGGCCCCACAGGTAATACCGCAAACCGACGATCTTCAAGCCTACTTCACCGCGTTCGGCTCTTTCTTATTGGAAGTTCTCGTGGAGTACGACAATGGGATGGGTTGAGAAGTGTACGTTTGGACATGGGAAGGAAAGGGACCAGGGACGAGAGAGGTGAAGAGGCAAAGGGTGATGGTGAGGAAGTGAAGATTTCAGAGGAGTTTATGAAAAGCTGCTTAGGTTAATTAGGCATATCTTTCGTTGTGCTCATAGAGGCAGTCGAAGGATACCATGTATGTTTCCAAAGCATCCAATTGAGAGCCATTTAAGGACTCAATGGGTGAAGAGGAAACGAAGAACAACAGGATATCATCAGAATATCAAAACTTTCGAAGGTTCAGTTCGAACGGTTGTTCTGTCTTCCACTACTATCTCATTTTGCAACCATTCCAACACCATCCATTTCAAAATTCCACCCATTGACCAGCCACCCAGCCCAGAAAGCATTTTTCAAAACAAGGTAGCCAACCAAATTCCATTCCCAGTACTTGACATACTTTTTTTTTTTTACCTTTTTAACAACTCATTCTTTGCCCTCTCCCAGCCTCTTGCTTCTATCCCCAGTGGCTGCGAAAACCAAGCCTGATCTCTCTAGACGGTCTCACACAATCCAGCTATGGCCGCCCGTCCAGGCCGCCCAGAATGCTCTCAAACAGCCCCTATTTGAAAACGGAAATACAACTATACCATTCCATATTTCCATTTACCTTTTTACGAAATTCCCGTCTTGTCGTCGTCGTACCACCACTCCGCACTTTCCCACAATGGCCCCTCCAGAAAAGCGAAGAAATAGGCAGAACTGGGCAGAACTGGACAGAACTGGGGCAAAACTGGGGCAGCTAACCGAGTCACTCAGGGCAGCAAAAGTGCCAGTTACCGGTACCGAAAACACCGAAGGAAAAGAAAGAGAGATCTCTCAACGGAATTTCGCCTTTTTCAAAAACACTTGTTTTTCCGTTGACCGTCATTGTCAAAGAGGCCATGGTGGTCTGTTCGTCTGGTTCTCTCGCTGAATGGCTCGCTGAGTGGCTCTGTCAAGTGTTCTGGTGAGGATAACTGGAGAGCAAAAAAGAGCCCGCACCGGCACCAGCAATCGCCAAACACCGAGCCACCATTAACTAACAAAGGATGGAATTTGAAATTTCAAGAAAAAGTGATATTTTGGGCATTTCACTTTTCCTGATATCCTTCTCTTTTTTTCCCCTTCCTTCCTCTTCCCCTTCCTCTTCCATCCTCGTATACCTTCCACTGCCACTCCCACGGTTGGCTGCGAAATCTGGAAATCTTGACTCCAGCTGTACTCTCCAGCCAAAGAACCACCACCTCGTCAATTGACTCAATTTCCTACTAAAATCTTCCCTTCCTCTGCCAATCCCAACCTCCATAGTAAACACACCTCCTGACATTCTTTCCCATTCTTTGTCCTTCACCTTCCGTGCCCATCCTCCACTTGTGGCTTGCTCTTGCTTTCGCACGTAGACGGGTCTGGCTAACCTTCACCCTGCGAGGCAGCCCTGCCACAGTTAATACTGCCTTTTCTTTCTGTTTTCCCCTAAAACCCACCTTTTCTTGTTGTTTTTTATTCCCAATTGATATGCCTGCCCGTCGTCGTTCTGCCCGTGTTGCTTCTCGTGAAGAGCCAGTGGCCAAGAAGCCAAAGACTGAAGCTGCTGAGGAGACTGAATCCACCAAGACGCCTGAATTGGAGGTGGGCGATGAGCTTCCTTCGTTGAAGCTTTTGGATAACGAAGAGAACGAAGTCGATGTGAGTGAAGTGGCTAAGAATTCAAAGTACTTGGTCATTTTCGCCTACCCCAAGGCTCTGACCCCAGGTTGTACCAGACAAGCCTGTGGTTTCCAGAAATCCTACCAGAGCTTTGTTGATAACGATACGAAGGTATTTGGATTGTCTACTGATAGCCCTAAGGCTCAACAGAACTTCGTGGATAAACAGGGTTTGAAGTATCCCTTGTTATCTGACCCAAAGAGAGAGTTGATTGGCCTTTTGGGTGCAAAGAAGAGCCCTTCAGGCACGAAGAGATCCCATTGGATCTTTGTGGATGGTAAACTTGCCGTTAAAAAGGTTCAGGTTTCGCCAGAGGACTCTTTCACTACTTCTTTGAAGGACATTGAGGGCTTTGTAGCCAAGAATGGCGGTGTGAAGCCAGAAGCTAAGGTGGAGGAGAAGGAAGATGCCAAGCCAGAGGATTCCAAGCCAGAGGAGCCAGAGACCAAGCTTGAAGAAAAAGCAGTTCCAGTGGCAGAGCCAGAGGCCAAGCTGGAGGTCGAAAAGCCAGCCACTGAAACAGATACCCAACCAGAAGCTCAACCAGTAGCTCAACCGGAGGCTCAACCAGAGACCAAACCAGAAACTGAATAGACTCAAAAGTATAACATGCTTTTTTTATTGATTTTTTATGCGTAGACTAATGCTAAACTCCCAAGAGTGCAAGCAGGTGGACCAAGACAGCTAACAATGCAGCCACCCTCGAAGCCCACCACCAGTGCTGGATCACAAACGAACAGTAGGTGAAATCAAACTTCCACTCGTTGTGGTTGTAGTCGAATTGACCACTAACAAGACCTGTTTGACCGTCAAACTCGCCCATCATGGCTCTTACCACCACCTCGTGGATAGGTCTTCTTTTGCTGTCTTCCACTGGGGCTTTTGATGCAACCCACTCGTCGTTTTGATAATTGTAGTACGACGAGCAGCCTTCGTGGTCGTGACCGGTCAAGATGAGGCCCTCTTTGTCTGCGTTAGGGAAAATGATATTCAACACCTTCTGCGATGTCTCGTAAAGAAGGTGGTTTTGCGACCGAAGCTTACCGTTCTTGTAAGGTTCTTTTTCGTAGTTTTCATAATAACGGTGCTCGGGACCGTCAACACAAATACCTGCTTCTTTGTAGAAGGGAATATGGGTGAACAAGACTGTCGAGCCCTTGAAATCCTTATTGGTTTCATTCAAATGCTCCAAGAATGACCAGGTGTAATTGACAAAGTCCTCTTCCAAAGCAGGACCTTCCAATGTAAGCGAATCAAGCACAACTATACGCCATTCCTCTGGCTGGCCCTTGTTGTAAGTAATGACATAATTGTTCTGACCGAAAAGAAGATGGAAACGGGCCATATGTTGCCAAGTAGCATCTCCACTGTATCCAATATCATGGTTTCCGGTCAAGTTAATGAAAAGAGGATTCTTCAAGTTAAGCTCCTGATGTTCTGGATGTACCCAGTCATAAGTATCCTTATACTGCCTAGTCTTGAACCTGTGATCTGGATCCATGACCTTCTCCCTATCAAGCCAGCCCATCCAGTCATAATCCTCATGCTTGGCCCATGTCTCGACCACATTCTGCTTATACTCATAATCTCTGGGGAACAAACGCTCCACAAAACGAAGAGTCCTATTATAGAACTCCGAATCGAGAATCCACTGGGACGAGAACTGGTCACCCATCACAGCCACGTGGCTAGGTTCCAAGCGGGATTGCATGATCTTGTAAATATGGCCCAAGTAGTAGTCGTTCCCATAGTTATCAAGTCTCTTGATGTACTTGGTAGATTTCCAGTTACCATTGATCTGAGGATCACCGAACGTAAGCATATGTATATCAGAAACCTTCCCGTCAACATGTGTCCTGCTATCCCTAGGAGCCCTAAGCGAAGGAAAATTAAGCAAGGCAGTTTGGAAATACGTGTTTTCCACGGGTAAGATCTTATTCAAGATCGGGTACTTACTCTCAAGCACCTCGCCCCTCCATGAGCACAGCTCTGGCGTGTTCACCAAGTTCGGGTAGAAGTAAACGAAGAAGTTGAGTGCCACGGCAATCGCCGTCACTACCCAGCGGAAACGTGCTAGCATTGGGGTATTTGGAGGAGTAGTTGGAGTAGTGAAGATGTCAGTTGTGTGTAGGAGAGGCAGTGGGGTGACTGGTGGAGGTTGGTCTGAGTTGGTGAAAGTTGGTGTTTTGGAGGAAATGTAGTGGTTATGAAAATTGGAGTGGCTGAAGGTTACAGGTGACGTTTAGGCTTGGTGGAATTTGGGGTTTTCGTTGATAATGATTGGTGGTTGGGATCTGGTGATAGCGAGGAAGGCTGTGGTCCGCATGTGAGTTGGTTTTTTCGGGAAAGGACAAGTGGAAGATGACGGTAGGTTGTTCTTTGGGGATATTGATGGAAGGAGATGGGCAAATGGGGCTGCCTTGGTTGAGGTGGTGTTTTTATTGGACAAAGCTGGATAGTGGTATTTCGCAGCCATTAACTATGGAAGCTGGTATCAATGGTAGTCTAACCATGATCGCCAGAGGCTAATTGAGCCTCAAGAAGACCGTCACTACATCAATTGGCTGAGAGTGGATTGATATATTCATTTGCGAGTCCATTGACTGTTCATGCGGTGTTGTGACTGTGGATTCATCAATAAATGGAAGTTTTCCACTTCGACAACCAACCACAGAATAATCTACGTCTACAAAAGCAAAACTCCGTACGTCATCATTTTAAATACGTTCTAGCGATGCAGCGGGTGCGATACTTACAAAGCCTCACCCAAAGTCTGGTTCAACCTGGCGACCTTGCTGGAGATGGACAAGTCAAGGGTCTTGTCGCCAACCTCGACAACCAAACCACCCAAGATCTCTGGAGAGACCACGCTGTTGATCTTAAGGGTCTTGCCGTCACCAACGAAAGAAGATTTCTGGATGGCAGCTTGCAATCTCTTCAAAGTCTTGTTGTCCAATGGCTTGGAAGAAGTGATTCTGGCCTCAACGACACCCTGGTAGGCCTCGTACAAAGAGCCAAAGTTCTTGTAGATGTTGTCGAACTCAGCCAATCTGTTGTTCTCAGACAAAACGCCCAAGAAGTTGTGCACGGTCTTGTCCAAAGACAAAGACTTGGAGATGGTGTCAATGACGGTCTTTCTGTCGTCACGGTTCAAAGCTGGGTTGGTCAAGAACTCGGAAACCTTCTTGTCCTGCTTGATCAAGTCAGCGACCTTGGTCAATCCCTGGTAGGAAGAGTCAACAGAGGACTGCTCCACGGAAGCAGAGTACAAGGCATTGGCGTAGGTTCCGTCGACACCGAACAATTGCACTGGAGGCTTAGCGGACTTGGCAGCGGCGGCCATGGTACGGGCAAAAACACGGGAAGCCAACATTGAGGAGGATTGTATGGATGTGATGTGTTTGGAAGGACAGTAGGAGAAAGGTTAGTTTTGGAGATTTGGATGTGGTTTTTTCGCACCGAGTCTGGTGTGCAGCATGATTGGACGAGCGCGGTAGTGCGGTGTACATAAGGGTGGAAGTGGCCGAGGGACCGGTGAGGGACCGGGTACGGTGAAGGTTGGAGGGAGGATGAAGGTAGATTGGTTTTGTTGGTTTGGATTGAAGGTTTATTATGGGCTTTGTCAATTGGGCGAAAGCTGTGTTCTTTTTTGCTGATGTAGTGGGGTTTAATGGATGGTGGAGTGAAAAGTGTGGTGAGCGTTGGACGCTTTTCGCAGCCATTAATGGAAGAAGGGAAGGTAGTAAAGGGAGAGAAGGAGAGGTTGGTTTGGTGGAGAAGGGTTGTTGGTTTGGTTGCTAGCTGGAATTGATTAGTTGGGACGGCTTTTGATTTTGGTTTTTATTTTCGTTTTGTGGCATTTTGTAATGTGTGAATTCTATGAAGAGTTAGTTAATGTAGTATGTTTTTGACAAAGGTGTATTAATTAGGACAATTGCAAACTAAAAAAAAAATTAAATCATGATTCTTCTGACTTTAAGAACCCCTAGGGATACTTTGATCGTTTTATCGACGAAAAACACTGACAACTATGAAAAGCACTGGCCTGGAATCTCTTCCTTATGTTCTTCAGTACTACACTATACAGCCAATACCTAAAGACCCCAACTATCAACAGACCCACCATAAGTCACGTCTGATTGACACTCGAATCCTACTTCCCAACTACCTACCTATATTAGTTCTTCTTCGAAATCCATTTAAATTTACCCATTGACCAGATCAACGATGTCTGTCTCAAACTGCCAATATGCGATCACTACTGGTTTTGCAGCCACCGTCATCTCCACACAAAAACAGCAAAACTCACAAACAGCAATCACCAACACCAAAACCTGTCTACCCCTTCATCCCTCCACAACCTTCTCCCTCTACAACTCCACCTTCACCAACTTCTCTATGTCCCTTGGTTGAACCACCTCCACCTCTGGTAGTGCACATACACCCGTACATCTCACCAATTTTTTCACCTACTCATTTTTCACCATCCTCTAACCTCAAATCCAGACGCCAAATGTTCTCCCTAACAAAGTGGCTGTGGGCGCCTGTTTCCAGGAGCTTTCTAAGGCTCCAGAGCACGGCAACGCAAAAGCCCAAGCAAAATCTTTTCAAAAACGAGGGAAAGACGGATCTTGAAGAGAGAGACGAAACTCACGCTAGACAGAGAGCTCTTTTGTCTGCAGAGATCAGACTCAAGTCATACGCTGCTGGCCCTGAAAGACCAGGATCTACGAATTTCAGAAAACCCATCCATGACCATCTCTTCCACGGTAAGCCTATCAGAGCGTTGACTGTGGCCATGAAGAAGACTGCCGGTAGAAACAGAACCGGTCACATCACAGTCAGAGGACGTGGTGGTGGACACAAGCGTCGTGTAAGACTTGTGGACTTCAACAGAAACATTCCAGGTACACAGAAGGTGCTCCGTATCGAGTACGATCCTAACAGAAGTGGGCACATTGCCTTGATTAAGCATGAGGAAACTGGAGACCTCTCATACATCTTGGCTCCATCTGGAGTCAGAGAGGGTGACACTGTCGAGTCGCTTCGTACTGGTATTCCTAAGGATTTCATAGAGGAGATGAACGAAACCAACGACGGTGAGATCGACGAAGCACTTTTGAACTCGCGTATTATGCAAAGAGGTAACTGTATGCCTTTGAGCATGATGCCAGTGGGTGCTGTGATACATAATATCGGTTTACATCCACACCGTGGAGGCCAGTTGGTCAGATCCGCCGGTACGTTTGCACGTTTGCTTACCAAGGAACCTAACAAGAACAGAGCCATTGTGAAGTTGAGTTCTGGCGAACAGCGTTACATTCGTATGGACTGCTGTGCTACTTTGGGTACGGTGTCCAACAAGGCACATTCGTTGATTAACTGGGGTAAGGCTGGTAGAAGCAGACACAGAGGTTTCCGTCCAAAGGTCAGAGGTGTGGCCATGAACGCCAATGACCATCCTCACGGTGGTGGCCGTGGTAAGTCCAAGTCCAACAAGCTCTCTCAATCTCCATGGGGATTGAAGAAGTTCGTCAGAACAAGAAAGAACAAGCATGTCAATAAGAATAAGGTGGTTGACAGACCTAGAAGAACTGACCAGAATTAAACATAAACAACAGATTCCTATAATTTGTACATAGATATTATATCACTTACGAGGTATCACAGAATGGGAGTTCGTTCCGCCCGAGACGGCTCTGGACCCAGCATAAGAACGATGCAATTGCAAGCCACAACTCCTGGCTCCGGCCCGTAGCGACGTAGTAACCGACTCCACCAGCCAATACCACTGTTGTAAGTGCAAGACACTTATGGAACAACGTGAACGACCTGCGTTCAGGAGAGTGAACTCTGTTCCAAAGAAACTTTGCCATTGACGATGCTGTAGAGAAAATCAGCGCCCTTTGTCTTACAAGCGGTGCCAAAGATTCAAACAGTGGTTGAGGCGATCTGGGTCTGGTTTCGTTACTGTGAACACTGGCAAAGTCTTGAACAATTGAGGAATCGTCGGTTCTTGGGCTAAACGCCGAATGAATTGGTCTAATTGACGATAAAGATACTTGCTCGTTGTCTGTGGCGCCGTAAGTTCGACGAAGACTTCTTTGGCCTGATATGAACGAAGCATCACTGTGTAACGACCTTCTGGAAGTCTGTGCTTCAAGGTCGAGGTCTTCACTGTCGTTTCGGTGGTGAGGCGACATCAAGGAAGCGACGCGAGCGAGGCTGTCGAGTTGTTCGCTTAAAGAACGGTGGTTTTGCTTGAAAAAGACCATTTTGGGTGGTTTGGGAGAGAAGTAGAAATGGCTGCAAAAGCGAAATGGAGGTGGGTGCGACAGACCGATTGAGCCAGTAGGCTGCCGAAGGTGAATATACACTGGAATAATGAAATGGGAGAGATATAATGTTTTAAATAAAGCCTTTATTTCTCGAAGTTACCTCTGTTAGTTCAGAATAGCCGGTGGTCACTCTTTGGGCTGCTTGGCTGTTTGGAATGGTAGTGATGGTTGGGACCTCTAGTCTACCACAACAGATCGAGGCTGGTTAGCCTATACTAAACGCCTTAAGTATTAATTGGAGGCAATGTTTGATTTATAAAAGTCAATCGAGCCACTTTGGCCCATTCAATTGCACCAGTACTGCCCTTTATTGTTCCTGGACCAGCCAAGACAACTAAACCGATCAGCCTGAAACAACAACTTGGAGCAAACATCATCCACTGTCCATCAATCGCCTCCAACGTAGCCAATTCCCGGGCAAGCTATACCACCCTCAGCAGCGGACTACTTCTGTTTCCCTTCACCTTCATCCAAACCTTGAACACACACTTCCACCTCACACATCCTCCTCGTCAGATACCATGTCACCAGTTAAATACCTCATCTGAGCCTTCAAGTCACTCATATCTGGTTTTTCTCGAAAACACTCAATGTATTCTGGATCACTATAGATGAACGGTAGAGCTGCATCGTCCTTTGCAGCCACGCGTATCTGTTGCTTAAGCATCGAATCCACGTCTGTAACTTCAAGAATCAATATCCCTAGACCATTTTCAAGCCTCAAGCCAGCCACTTCGCCAAAAAGCTCTCGTAGTTGTGGGATCGTAATGAACCTGAGGTGCGCTCCCTTGATGATCATGATGGATAGCACAGACATGAACGTAAACCGTTCCATATGAATATTCTCATACTTCACCAAGCTTTCCTTAGTAAAGAGTACTAGGATCTTATGGTACGAGTCGTGGAGAACAGCTGTAAGCCTTCCGTCCTTGGTGGCCTTGCAGAAGCTAAGTATACGTAGAAGCGGCGTAGCTTTCACGTTAACATCACCTTCGCCTCGGTAGTCAACAAACCGCTTTTTTGCTAACGAATTGGTGTAGATGGAGGTGTTGGGGATCACGTCAAGTATCGATTCGAGGAGCCATGGCGGTATTAGTGGAATTGGGTGCATTGGGTAGGGGAGTTTTTCAGTGCGATATCATTAGTAGATGGTGTATTTGATGATGGTCTACGTTCTATAATCTATGTACATCAAGACCTGTTTTGTACCTTCATCTTCTTGTACTGGAGTCTCTTTTCTCTCTTTTGTTGTCTTTTGTCCATCATTCTCAACCTATCCTTTTCTTGACGTTCGCTTTCTTCATATGGTGAAAGACTGGTGATCTTGTCAAAGAAAGGTTTTTGGAAGTCAAACGACTTGTAACGCACCGACATCGTGTCGTAAGCGTAGCAGATTTGCATATCGTCGAATCCAAAGTCTGAATCGACTCTGTGAGTGACGATGTTTTCAATGACATCACCAAGGTACTTATCAAGCATTGTGCACTGTCTCTGGTATTCCTGATCGTTACGAATGAAGGTAGGTCTTTCAGAGTTTCTCGTACTGTAATGCGTAAGAAGAACCTTGGGGCACCTCATGAGCTGGGCCATCCTGACAGCCTCGGTTGTGGTTGTGTGCTTCTTGGCTAAAGCCTCCTCAATCAAGTCATCGTCAAGGGATGCCTCGTGAATAAGCAAGTCTGTTCCTTGTCCGATTCTGTAGAATGCTGGGTTCGAGCGAGTGTCGCCGGAAAAGGAAATCTTGAAGGTTTCGTCGTTAGAAACGTTAAAGGTCATACTGACCGAATAGGCCCAGTAGCAATGGATAGCTCTCACGGTTTCCACCTTGGAAAGGTTAAGAGCTTCGTAAAGCTCTCTGACTCGTTCATGTGGAAGCATGCCCATATCTTTACGAGGAATGGAAGAGTTCAATTGGCCAGCATCGTACAACTTTTCAAAAGTTTCGATGTCTGATTGTTGGAATTCGGCTTCTCTGCGACTGTTAAACACCTCGTTACTAAGATAAACAATACGATTAGTGTCAATGTCTGCAAAGTTGTTTTCGAGCTTGAACCATTCATTCAAGAAATGGTCGAATTGCCATGGCAAGAGCAAGTACAACTTGGAGTCTTTGTCCTTGTTGACTTCAAACCATGCACGGATAATCGAGACAAGGCCAAGGTGGTGGTCAGCGTGAAGATGACTCAAATAAATAAGCTTTAGCTCTCGGAGAATATGATGATACTGTTCGCCGTTGTTGTGTCCAAACATTCTCATCATGGTACCTAAAGTGTTTTCACCTCCATCGAGAATAATAGAATTGAAACGAATCTCCCCAGTGTTAGAGTCAACATAAGGCACTCTAATTAAGTTGGACAAGACATTTCTGTGGATCGAAGGAAGTGCAGACCCTGTGCCTAAGGTGAACACCTGGGCGTGGTCCTTTACGGATGTGGTATTCTCAACAGGCGCCAACAGGATTGTTTCTTTTTGAGCGAGGGTGTCAAAGTTGACATCAATTTCAGTTCCAGCAATATGCTTTTGGTATAAGGAAGCGGACGTTTCACTCAGCACGTTTGACTCATCCACCTCTATTTTCGATGGAGAGACAACGAACGACTGAAGCAGCTGAAGTTTTAAAACGTTTGGATTAGAAGATGGAGCTTTCGTGTCGCTGTATGGAAGACTGAAATTATCGTTCATAAAGCACTTGAGCTTAATGTGATGGACGGTGGAAGTGAGGAAAACCAAGGAATTGTCACATACCTTGGAGTGACAAATGACGTGCTTGCAATCAGGTGGAAACTTGGAAATGAAATCAGTATATTCTTTCATGCTGAAGTCGATATCATCTCCGAGGAAATGGTAGACGAGGCCAATATCTTCTTGGCCATATGTGTCTGATTTTTGGAACCATTTGTCACTAGAAAGAGTGTTTTGGAGGTAATGCTGATTAGGGATATCGAGAATCAAGGTCTTAGGAAAATGATGAGGTGGTTCCAAGACTTCATCAGGCTCGACCCAGTTTCCGTCACTTGTTTGAACACGCTTACCTTGGGTAAGAGATCTGAAATCGACACCAGGCTTCACACCAAGCTCCTTGGCTCTTTGAGGGTTGAATTTACCTCTCACAGGTAGCATTCTAACGATGTAGGAAAGGGAATCCTGGTCACGAACGTTTAAAGTTTCTGAAGGGTCTGGAAGCAGCACATGCGTTTGAGCTTCAGTTTCTGAAGGGTCAGATTTATAAGAATCAGGGTCATCACTGTTAACCTGGCTTACATCTCTTGGAAACATTAGCGAAGTAATTTTCAGGAGCTGTCTTTGAAACGTAGCCACCACCTCTTGAGAAACCAGTTTCTGTGGTTCATCGCTTTGGATCCTCACTGGCTGTAGAACCACCGCCGAGTCTCCAATGGCCTGGCCTTCCTGTGGCTCAGCAATATTAAGCTCAATGCCCTTTCTAAACACAAAGTACCGCCACGTAGCGACAATATAAGAAAGCACCTTGTTGCTATTAGTGTATACATCTAGGCCTCGGCTAGTAGCATCACTAGTGGTCAAAAAAAGACCAGGAAGACCTCCAATCTCCGACCAGTGCTCCAACGTACCTGTCATAAACACAGATTTAAGCTTTCCAAGTCTCATGGAGTTTTCATTTAATGTTCTTTGAGCACCTTCAGGCACTTTACCAAAGAGAAACCTCGAGCCCTCTCTGGTCTGAAGCATCACGAGCGGATGCTGCGTATCGCTTGTTTTATGGCAAACCGTAGTGAATGTAAACATATTGGAAGAGCTGCTTCTTGGGCGTTTGAACAGCGAGAAGAAGTCTTTATACTGTTGTACTGATTCGAATAGTCTTGGAGGAAGTTCACTGGGTCTGATTATCGAGCGATTCTTTTTGTGGAGCAGACGTCGAAGGAGTAGCAGTACTATAGGGGGTTTTGGTAGCAAGCTCACTTTAGAAGCATGACTCATGTAGATGAGTCAGAGGGTATATATATATGGTAGATAAGCGATGCGTTTAGCAGTAGTAGTTTTTTAGATGCGATGATTTCGCACCCAATCTGGAGAAGTCCACCATGGTGAGAGGAAGAAGTGGATCAGAAAATAGAAAAAGAAGAAGAAGAGGGGTAAGGAAGTATCAGATATGGTTGAGGTTTGTCTACTAGTGTTTCGTTTGAAGTGATTTTTGGATGACTTTGAAGGAGTATGTCTGGGAAACTTGGCGTAGGATGGTTGGGGCATCTAGGCATTTCGCAGCCATTGTCTGGAAGGCTTCCTCTTGTGGGTCTTGGGAGCCTTGGGTTCTTAATGGGGTAAGTTTTGGGATTGGTTTGTGGATTAAGGTGATGAAGCTTGGCATATGATAGACATAGTGTTGGTTTTGAAGGGAAAATATAGGGAAGGTCATTAAATGGCCATTGGGATGCCCAGTGGCTTTGGGAGTAGGAACCAGACAGAGGGCAGAGTAAGCACATGTAGAATGAAAGGCAACAGTAGGTGCTAAAAAATGAGTCGTTCGTCTATTATTGCCGTCTATTACATGGGATGATGTACTTTCCTGACATGGAACACTTATTGCTCAGCCCAAGACACTTGTACCAGCACTACTGGCTAGTACTTCCTAGATCTACTAATCAAGTAAGCCATCTTTCAGCCATTGAGCTAATTGGGGTTCCTCTAGCAGTTCCCAATCCAATACTAGTGCAGCTAACAGCTCATTGCGGCATCATAAGCCATCTGTGATGCCTAGAACAACTAGACAATCAATACCTCCACCTTTCCACTAAAGCACCCTTGAAGATCTAGAAAACATCCTCGTACATTATTTCTATCGCTCGTGTGACAATTGCAATCACAGCCTACTACCTCAACAATGTCTATCACACTTGGCCAATTTCCAGATCTCTCACCCTCTTCACACTCCCGCCCACCTCTAGAACCTCCCACTAAAGCCTACCGGCAGAAGCAACCTAATAAACGCCGTGTGGCAGTACATATACCACTTGGTCCCATGAGGCTGATTTCATTACAGGTAGTTCAAGGCGGTGACCTGCGGTACCAGCCGAGCCGTACAAGGAAGCAACTACGCAAGATGCCGTGAAGGCCGAGCAGAGCAAAGGATACACTAATTGTCCGTAGGTGACGATAAGGGAGTCACTTTTTGAATATCTTAACTATGGGTAGACAGACGTCACTGGTTTTCATGACAACACCTTCCATGCATGGCCTAGAGGTCCAGGGCTGGTCCAATCCAGCCCTAACGACCAATTCAACCGAACTACTACACCCTTCAAAACCGACCACCCTTATCCCTCCCTCCCTATGCTTGTGGACGCCTCAAGTACACCGTTGGAAACCCCCGAGTACCACATTCCTGTTTAACCAAGATGCTTAGATCAAGCGTACAGCGTACCACTATGACGTACCCAGACACGGTGCCTAGATCACCAAAACAACAAACAACAAACAACAAACAAAAAAACCCACCCACGAGGCCGATCCACGTCGATCCAATAAATTAAACTCGTAAACAAAAAAAGTTCCACAAAATACCCTTCCATACATTTGACAGCGCTTTTGACAGGCCTCATGGGCCCGCGTTTGCAGCCACTCCCAGAAACACCAGACACAGCAAAAACCATCAGAAACAGCATGTATAGCCACACATCCATTTCGGCAAAACGCAAGGGAAAGCCAACCGAAAACAGCCACCCGATCCCGAAAAAAAGCCTTATTTTGAAAAAAAATTTTACAATGCCCTGCCAATAGTGTTTAGAGTTTCCCCACCGATTGTGCTCCGCATGTCCAAAAGTGGAAACTGGCGTGGGTCAGAGATGCGAAAAATAAAGCCCAAAAGCAGTTCCACTTTACATAAAGGGCGGCTAATTTGGGCCTGTTTCTTGACATGCCTGGACGAAAAGTATAAATAGTGGGGATTCCGGACTTCCTTTTCTCTTATCTGTATTTTTGTTCACCTTCTGCTTTCACTCTCTTCATGTGGTGGCTTGTTTTCGCAGCCATTTGGGCACTTGTCGCTGCGGCTGGTCTTTCTCCCTCAGGTGGTTACGCTCCAGGAAAGGTGAAATGCCCTGAGAATGGAGACTCGCTGCTACTTAGGCTGGGGGATCTGCTTTCTGCTTCTGAGCAGGAATGGGTGCAAAAAGAGAAGAAATTACAAAGGAGGCATTAGAAGACTTTTTGGAAACTCATCTTTCTGACTTTGATCTGGATTTGCTTAAAAATGGCTCTTTTAGGCTTGCCACGGCGTTTTCCGGTGGTGGGTATAGGGCTATGCTTGTGGGTGCTGGAGAGTTGGCGGCTATAGATAGTAGGTCGCTGGGAGAGTCTCCAGTGGCTGGACTTCTTCAGGCCAGTACGTATATTGCTGGGCTTCTGGGCGGTCTGTGGCTCTTGGGGCTGGTGGCCATGCAAAATTGGCCTTTGGTGGAGGATATAGTGGATGATCCGCTGGGGCCTGGGTTGTGGAATATCACTAAAGAGAATGGGATCTTGGATACTTCAGATATGTTTGGCCTTGCATGGGCTGTGATCACGAATAACTACCAAAATTGATCACTCACGTTAGGTTTTGGGATAAACCAGATGGAGACGGAATTGGCGATGAAATAGAGGCCAAGGAGAAGGCCGGGTTTTATACTTCGGCTACGGATATCTGGGGCAGAGCTTTGGCCCACCAGTTGTTTCCTAGCGTTGAAAACTACTTTGCGCCACTTCTTTGGTCGGATATTCAAAATACTCTGGCGTTTTATAACCATTCCATGCCTTTCCCTTTGGTTACAGCCTTGGCTCGTAGACCAGATTCCTTGGTTTACGATTTGAACTCGCCAGTGGTGGAATTCAATCCTTTGGAAATGGGTTCCTTCGATTCCTCCATCAATTCTTTCTTCCCTACAAAGTACTTGGGTACGAAAGTCGATAATGGTGAACATAACGGTACTTGTATTGGCGGGTTCGATAATGCCGCTTTTGTGGTTGGTACATCTTCTTCGTTGTTCAACCAGTTCCTCGATACTTTGGTTTGTCCAGACTGTGACCAGCTTCCGGGTATTGCCAAATGGCTTGTCAAGAACTTATTGCAACGCATGTCCAAACAAAAGGAGGATATTGCTATCTATAATCCTAATCCTTTCTACGGTTCTGAACACGCTGGATCTAGCAATTTATCTTCCAGTGACTCGCTCTTCCTCATGGATGGTGGGATTGGCGGTGAATACATTCCTTTATCTTCAGTGATGAACACACATCGTCAGTTAGATACCGTCTTTGCTCTTGACAATAACCCTGGCGGCTGGCCAGATGGATCCTCGCTTGTTAATGCCTACCGTCGTTCGCTGACATACGAAGGAAAGTCGCTCATTTGTCCTTACGTTCCTGGCGAGGACACTTTCGCTGCTCATAACTTGACTGCTCGTCCTGTTTTCTTTGGATGTGATGCCAAAAACCAAACCGATCTTGCTAAAGACGACGTTATTCCACCTTTGGTTATTTACTTGGCCAACCGTCCATTTGAGTTTTACACTAACCAGTCAACTCTTCAGTTAACTTACCCAGATGGAGAAAAGAAGGCTACCGTTCAAAACGGGTTCGATATTGCCTCTCAAATGAACGGTACTGTTGACAGTGAATGGGGCACTTGCGTTGCTTGTGCTCTTATAAGAAGAGAACAAGAACGTCAAGGCCAAGAACAAAGCGACGAGTGTAAGAAGTGCTTTAAGAAGTACTGTTGGGACGGTTCTGTGTATGAGGGACCCAAGTACTACCGTCCAGTGAACTACACTATAGATGGTCTTACAAACAGCAGTATGACGCTTTGGGGAAACAGTACCGTCTACGTGCCTGATGATAGTACCGGCAGTGGTGGTATTTGGGGCTTTGTCGGTAGAATCTACAGCTGGGTTAAGCTGTTGTTTTAATAAAACGGTGGTGTTGGCTGCAAAACGTGAAGAATACCCAGAGGGAGGCCAAAACCGATAAGGCAACCCATTCGGCTTGTTTAAAGGACCCGCTGAAGCTGCCTGGATTTGGAAGAATTTACGAAACCTATGGATAAGAGTATGTTCTCTGAAGTGACGCTTTGACTCCCTCTACCATTATAGAACTCTACAGTCCCATTCTAAACTCACGAAATACAATAATAGTAACGAACTTATGAAGTATAAATAAAGGATTTGAAGACAGCTTTAGCCCCTCTTCATATACTATTGTACCTTCTTAGTCTTTGACTTTTCCATGTGCCTAAGCGAAGCATGCTCAGCATGCTCAGCATGGTAAGCGAGAAGAAGCCACTTCTTCCCTGTTTACCCCAAAAGCCCAACCCATGTTCTGCCACTTAAAACCTTATTATTCCACTTTTAACAGAAAAGCCAAAACACCCTCCAAACCTCTTCGCAATGCCACCACTCCCACTTCTGGCTGGGTGGATCTGGATAGGGACCCTTTTTCAGCCGCTCCATCGGATCTTCCTTCCTTCACATCCTCGGCATCCAGCCACCGCCAAAAAATAAACCAAAAGAAACACGATACTTGTTTACTCAAAAGAACAAAAATACACTATAAACCTTTATTAACCCACCAAAAACAACCTCTGGCACCCCTTATTGTCTTCCCCTGGGCCCACTCTGCTACGTAAAAATGCTATTGTGTCTTATCGCAATCGCACCGAAACAACCAGCCACTGACTGGCGATTAACAATGAACCAAGCAGCCGTAAAAAGTATAAAAGGCGACGATTTCCACTAAATAGAAGCGTCTACTTTTTTTCTCTCCTCCTTAAATCCTCTAAAATCAACCATTTCTTTCCTCCTTCGTCCCGCTCTGGCCCTTTTCACAGGCGGTTTCCCCGGATTTTTCTGTATTTCACCAGCCTCGTTTCGCACCCATTTTGCCTATTATAGCCCTTGCAACATTTGAACCATCTCAGCTAACTACTTCTCTTTATGGCTGACCCTACTACAACTGGCCACGCCGAAATCATCCAGGCGATTTTGACCCAGAATCCTCACCTTAAGCCAAATGAGCTTCACGAGGCGCTTCACTCCAGGGCGTCTATACGAAACAGGGTGCTTTCGGTGCTCAGACTATTACCTGTGTTGGGGAAAGTGGTGCCTGCTGTGAACCATAAGAAAGAGCTTATTGAGAAATTGAAACACCAGCAGAAAACGGCGGTCACGTATAACCAGTGGTATGAGGTTTCTACGGAGTTGGACGAGCTTTTGGGTAATAACGTGTGGAAGTTGGACCCGCAGCTGACTTCGTATGACCATGATACCGTTTATAAGAACTTGCAAGAGCTTCGAAATGCTCGTTTGTCGAAGGACTATAATCTTTTGCTTTACTTGATACGGACGAAATGGACGCGTAATGTGGGTAATATGGGTGATGTGAACTTGTATAGACATTCCCATGTCGGTACCAAACGGCTCATTGAAGAGTTCATTGAGGAGTGCCAGCTTTCGTTGGATTACTTGACCAGCGACCCAGATATCAATCTTGACGATCGGTACCTTCTTGGAATGCTCATTCAGACACGTAAGAATATCGGAAGAACGGCGCTTTTGCTTTCGGGAGGCTCTACTTTTGGTGTTTCTCATGTGGGAGTGTTGATTGCTCTTCTTGAGACGAACTTGATGCCTCGTATTATTTCCGGGTCGTCTTCCGGGTCCATTTTTGCCAGTGTCTTGTGTTGTAACACCAACGAGGAACTTGCAGTGTTCTTGTCGCAGATCACCGAACAGAAACTTAATATCTTTGGTCTGTCGGATCCAACAGAGGGCACTTTCAAGAGATTCTTAGAACGTGTGAGCCATATGCTTAAATTTGGTACTTTCTTTGATATCAAGGGCTTGCAAGAAACTATGCGTGAGTTTGTGGGCGACTTGACTTTCCGTGAAGCTTACAATAGAACAGGTAAGATTCTCAATATTACCGTCTCGCCCGCATCCATGCATGAGCAAACAAGACTTTTAAACTACTTGTCTGCTCCTAACTGTCTTATTTGGTCTGCCGTCAGTGCTTCATGTTCTCTTCCTGGTATCTTTCCATCTTCCACAATTTACGAGAAAAACCCTAGAACTGGTGAAGTTCGTGAATGGAATAACGATGTATCCCTGAAGTATGTTGACGGATCAGTGGATGGTGATCTCCCCATCTTACGCTTATCTGAGATGTTTAATGTTGACCATATCATCGCAGTCCAGATCAACCCGCATGTATCTCCAATCCTTCGACTCGCCGTTGGATCCACTTCAGGTAAGATGGAAAATGAGTTCAATGAGTCAATAAGAAACCTCCTCAATAACTGCTATGACTTCATCACCTGCGAGATTATCCACTATTTGCAAATTATCCACGAGATGGATGTTTCGAAGAACCTTGCTATGAAAGCCATTTCATTGTTATCCCAGCAATACTCCGGAGATATTACTATTTTACCCGAGCTTAACTTTTCAGACTTCCCAAAAGTCTTTGAAAACCCTAACCCCGAGTTTTTGATAGATTTCTTATTAAGAGGTGCCAGAGCCTGCTGGCCAAAAATCAGCTTAATTAATAATCACTGTGGTGTTGAGTTCTCCTTGGATAAGGCAATCACAAAACTTCGTGGCCGTGTCATCGCTTCATCTAATAACAGGATTACCTATAATAGCACGGCCATGAATGCCAGCAATTCAGATATGTTGAAGAACGGCGAAATGAACTCCTATTTGATTAGCTATCCCGTTTTCAACAGACAGCCAAGCAGCGAACACAAGCAACTTCCACAGATACCACAGATAAGGAGGCATAATACCACTACAAATGCTTCAATATATTCACCCCGTGAACGCCAACCAAAACAAAAGAAGCGGGATAAACTCACTTCCATGTTCACTTCAAAAGGAAAAGGCATTTTGAAAGGTAAGTCAACAACTTCATTACTGTCTATGAATGGAAACATTGAACGTGGAGGTGCCAGTGAGCCTTCCCATAATGAACTTACCTTGCCCAATTTACAGGGCTATGATTACCAGGTGGAGAACCAGGACGGTAGGACAATCCGCAAGGCACTCAGCTCTGGAAACTTCCAAGTGAGTGACGACTCTCTTACGCATAGCCCCGTGAAGCTTCGTACAAGCCCCAAAGAGGACAAGTCAGTACATTATTCTGATTTCGGTGACATAGCATCTGTATATTCTGCTCCAGGAAAGAAACTCGAGAGAGTGAGGAGCCAGGAGATCAGAGAAAAGGCTAATTTACCCCGGTCGTCTGGAACAACCGGGAGTAGTACTTTTTTGGGATACAATAGACCGAGAGAAACGTCTTCCTCGTATAGCCCTCAGGCCAGTCAAGCGTTCATGCAGCTTGGTTATGATAGTGAAGTCATTGAATCTATGAAGACACTTAATTCACCAGATTTAAGACGGTCAATGTCCAAGACGAGAATGCTGTCGATGCGCCAGCGCCATCACACAAGGTCTCTTCTGGGTCCTGCCGGAAACCAGTCATATTTTGATAGGACGCCCGAGATTGAAACACCAAGTCCGTTCAACAGACCGCCTGTTTTCGACAAGGAGGTCAGTGATCCAGATTCAGGTCTTTCAAAGGATGCGAGCGAACAACCACTGTCTGAACACGAAGTCGAGGCAGAAGTGGTCGAGGTGGTTGACGATGAAAACGATGCAGACAACGAGTACAATGGTAAGGAAACAGGCGAAACGCCAGGAAACGGAGAGGAAGACTCTGAGGGTGAGTTCTTCCCATGTGAGTAAACTTAATGGGCTCCAGCAACGGAGAATAATATAGGAAGAACCATTCCAACGACGGTTAAGGAAATTTCAGTTCCTGTGAATGAACTGGTGACTGGTTTCAGATCAGGATCGTAGTCTGCCTTGTTTTGTTTTCTCTCCAACACCTCCATCATGACATGAATGACAGAGTACAAGAAAGTACCGGCACTGAACAAGAGCAAGATGCCCAAGACCACGTCGTTGTCCAACTTGAATGCCGAGATGATTCCATAAGTAAGAAGGGACGAGAATGGCGTCGACAAGGAGAACAAGAGAAGGTGGAAGTTGACCACAGAGTGGGCAAAGCCTTCAGTGTGAAGCACCACCGCCAAACTAAACGCCGTAGGGAGTTTATGAATGATGATCATAAAGAACAAGAACATATGGAACGCGTTCTCCTGGTGGAAGAAAGACAGCCCCAAGGCAATACCGTCCACGAACGAATGAAGCATAAGACCAACGGTCAACGTAGAATAAAGCGTACTTTCAAACCGAGCCAACCACGAAGAATCGTCCGAGTAAGCAGAAGGACTAGCATCCTTAGCCACGGTGTACTGATCAACCAAGAACATAAGCATAAACCCAACAAGAAGCGAAATGCCACCAATTGACGACGTAGATAAGATATGTGGGCCCTCAGTACGGCCCTCAAAGAGCGTTTCTGCTCCCTCGGGAATCACAAGCACCAACACTGTACCCACAAGAATACCCATACTGGCAACAATCACCGAGTCCAACTGGTGGAGCGGTAAGCCAAACTTCCAGGGCAAAAAGCCAGCTGCAAAGGAAGTGGCAGCCATGAAAAGGGCCAAAAGGATAAGCACAAGAAGGTCACTCATCGGGGAAATTAGATGGATAAATTGGGTTGGTTGGAATATGAAAAATTAAGTAGTAGGTGCGCAACCAGTGTTTGATTTTCTGGGGTACGTTTTTGGGTGCAAAAAAAAAATGCCAAGACGAGACCAGTAGGGTGTTAAAATGGGAATGGAAGAGGCAGTTGGTGGGTGGAGGAGGAGAAGGAGGAATGGGTTGGTCGGTGTTGATAAGGAGGGGTAGGTAATTGGTGGGGTTTGGTTGGGCGGGAAGTTTCTGGGGTTTAAGTGGTTGTTGGTGGAGATGTATAAGGGAGGTGTATTCGGAGTTGGTGAGAGGCACGAGGCAGTGTAAACAATGGACTGTGGCGGTAGGAGAAGTTTTGAAAATTTTCTTTTTGAGATTTGGCAATTCCGAGGTCTGACCTGTGACTACTAGGTTTTGGTTTCTTCGTAATGGTTCCAATTGGCGTTGGTTACTTTGGAAAGTTGCCAGGAAAGGACGTAGTGTGGAGCTTTTAAGGTTGAGCCACAGTATGGCTTTCTGGAAAGTGAAGTGAATAAAGTAGTCGTGTGGATTCTCTAAGGTGGCCCAAAATTGTTAATTATTCAACCGTCACTGGCTTTGGTGACGGCGGTAAATTTACGAATCGGTGCAGCTGCTTAGATCTGCGAGATGGTCCTGGTTAGAGCTGCCGTTAGATCTATAGACGGACTGTTTTTGGATCTGAAGTGGAGTTTTGTGTGGAGATAATGAATAGGATAATGATGAAGGTATGAACACATCTTTATAGAATTGTTCGTTGGCTGTACCATCAGACGACCTTTTCTACTCGTTTAATGTTAATAGATTGCTAAGTGGCCTACTTTCCCATATAACGACATCCAGCTCAATCCACCGAGTACACCGAGTACTTTTGAAGCCAAGAGATATAGTCCAACTCTGCCCATTCAATACTTTTCTTCCTGCTTCTTTTGATATGCTGGGCAATAGTACTTGTCTGACATCAGGTCCAACATTGGTATATAAGCATTACGACTACTCAGTCTTCTTAGCAAAAGTTATCAATTACCAGGAGACAGTGAAAGAAAGACGTTACCTTCCTCTTCGTCTTTCTTAACAAGCTCAATGAACTTCTTGTTCTTATCAACTTTCACTACACTGGTGCTCAACTCAATGGCCTATCTTTGGCTGCGAAAAGGCCTCAGTATCAGTACATTGACCTTTCATCGGTGCAATTCAATAAGATTCAATATAAAACCAAAACCTTCTCTCACGTGAATAGATCTAGCTAAATATATTCTGAGTATTAATAATGTGTAGTTACTTCAATCAAGATAAGTCCCTCTGTTCTCACATACCTATACTCACTCACTCCCCATCCCATGAACCATACATCATGTAAACCCACCAGAAATTCCTACAACAATGTAATCTACAAATATCCTTATAGAAGCCTTAAACAAATCACTTCGACTTCCTTTGCATCAAAAACTCAACACCTCCGTCCCATTTCCTCCTTCCTCCCTTTCCATCACGTCTCCTTCTCAGTACGCGATCGCGTAAGTTTGCACCCAAATAGAAATCAACTCTCCAATACGCCTTCCACATGGAGACGGAAGAGGACCTATTGAGCGCCAAAATCGAGGTGGCGGTGCTGAAGTTCAAGGAAAAGGACTTTCTGGAAGGCCTTGCTTTGTATAACGACATTGTCAGGGGTCTTCTAGAGAAGTCTCCAGCCAGTATATCTAAGGCTAGACGATTCTATGACTTGACGCCTAGACCGCTTTTGGGTATACCTTGTCATCCTAAACTACTCCTGGTACTTGACCATAGAGCAGCTACATATGAGAAGTTGGGAAACTTGCCTAGAGCTTTGAAGGATGCACAGAAGGCCATGGCACTTGATCCTTTGGACCCTAAGGGGTACCTACGAGCAGCTAAGGTGTTGCTTAAAGAGGGGAAGGAGACAGACGCTTATAAGGTGCTCCAGAAGGGGCTTTATACGATTGAAAAGGCTTCGGAAAAGCATGATATTTCTGTTTCCCAGACATTATTCACGGCATTGAAGTCGAAGTACTCGGAGCTCAATAGGAAGCTTAAGAAGAAACGGCTTAACAGGGACACGCCTCGACCCGATGAAAGTATTAAGAAGGCCAAGAGCTTTGCTGCTTCGGGTCTACAGAGAAAACTTGATGAAATGATCCCGCTTCCTCGCTCTACTCTGGCTCCTGTCAACGAGTATACGGTAGTATCAGACGCGCCAGATTTGGATCCATTGAGTCGTCTTCCAGTAGACGTGATTGAACAGGTGTTCTCGTACTTGCCAGTTAGGAGTCTTTTGCGCTGCCACTTGGTGTGCAAAGATTGGTACTCCCTTCTAACTTCCATGCCAAACTTATACAATGACATATTCTCCTTGAGACACAGGGTAACTGCGCCAGAGTACTTTGGCGGATTGAAGCTCATGAAGAAGGTATCCCAGTATCTGTACCTGAAGTCCATTTTCTCGGTGAAGCTCTGGTCTACCTATAGTGATGTCCATTTGGCCAGGATCTTGGAAAACTTGGTTTCTGACGAAACACTCAGATTGAAGAAATTGGAAATTGTGAACAGGGAATTCAGCATGCAGCTTCTATTGAACAAGTTGGAGAAGTGTAAGTGGAGTATTGGTAACTTGGGAATGATAGAAAAGCTCAGGATGGTCGTCAATAGACCTCTCATCTACCCGCATCTTTTATTACACTTATATCCTCGCCTTACCGATTTGGATATTGTCGTGGCTGATGAGCTTGTGGAAACCTCCTATGATCCATTGACTCCTACCTCTTCTGAGACATTCAAGAGCTACAACGAAGCCCTGAAACACAAAAATTCACTTCAATCCCTCACAGCATTTTCATACATCAGTCATTCCAAGTACATCGACAAGCGGATGGTCTCGCAGCCCAAAATCTTGCTGTTTCAGTTCCCATCGCTTACAAGATTGACACTTGTTGGAGTCAATTTCAAAAATATATCCCAGGACTTCGGCCGCTTAATCTCCCGTTGTGACAACCTTGATATTTTATACTTGGAGAACAACCTTGAGCTTCCCATTCGGACGCTCTTGAGGGTACTTCAACTTTTCCAAGCCGGCTTCAAGCTTAAGAGACTTACACTCAGGGAAGAAGGAGAGCTGAGACACTCAAGTTTGAACGATGTCGAACTCGATTCGCTTCCTTGCTTATCTGATTTAGAGCACTTGGATATCTACGGCTCGTCTTTATCATCAAGAGGACTACTCAAGCTACTTACCATAGCCAACATGGGCTCGCACCTTTCTTCTTTAAATGTCGGGAGATCAAAATATGTATTCTTCCGCCGTGATCAATTTGTCTTTGGTCATGATGTGATTGACTTTGCCCAAGTCTTCCAGATCGTGCCTCACTTGCACACTTTGTACCTTAACGAGATGGATCTCGATGGCTTATCGATGAGACTTCTCCACAAGGATCTTGCGACAACCTGTGGCTACGAAAACATCAAACTTAAAAAGCTTGACATTTCATTTTGTCAGAAAATTGATGGTATAGGCCTCATGAACTTGCTTAACTTCTCCAGTTCGCAGCCATCCAATCCCGAGACTCTCCGTCTTGAAGAGCTTATACTTGATGGCCTAGACATCCACAAAGGCTCAATTAACCTTTTGATAAACAAGGAAATTGTTAAAACTATAAAACACGATCCTTTAAAGACTAGTTGGAAACAAAAAGGCGTCAATACGTTGGAGCCATGGTAGTGGCATGTGTTATGTGCACGCCACGACTGAAAAATGCATATCGATGAGATGCCATCTCAGAACTCCAACCATCATTATAGAACAAATGCCACCTCGTACACGTCAGGCTTCAGCCAAGGCCAAGAAGATCACATTTACTGATGACGGCGAGCTTCCAGAAGGAGCATCTCCTGTTATGGTGGACGATAAGTCCTCTGACGATGCAGAACAGTTAAAAGAACAATCAGAATCAGAAAGCGATTCGGATTCGGACGATGCTCCTGAAGAAGAGTCCATCTCAGCATCCAAGGCTAAGTCGATCAAGCAACAGAAGGAACAAGAAAAGAGGGAGCAGGAGTTGAGAAAACAGGAAAAGCAGAAGAGAAAAGAGCAGGATCTCATATACCAACAGCAACAACAGGAAAAGAAGAAGAGGCTAGAGGAGATTATGGCTTCTTCTGAGTTGCCGGACTTACTTCCCGAGGAATTGCTCGAGGAATACAGCCAACCAACTGAAGACCTCCCCAAGGGTAAACACATGAGATCAGAGGACCTCGAAAATGAATACGCCGAGATGAGGAAGAAAGCCAAGTTGGAAAAGTTGAAGCAGCTCAAGCAGCTGCGTACGCTGGCCATCAAAAAGGGGCCAGTTCACGTCCAAGTGCAAACATTCGGAGAGAAGAAGAAGAGCGTTCCTAGAGCCGACCCTAAAGTCGTCGAGAGCAAGAGCAGCTGGCTCAACAGAGACTCCTTAAGAAGAAAGTGAGTCTTTCTCCCTCCGCAAGCTCCCCTACATGTCACATTAGCATTCTAAACCTTGTATATTACCGAAGCCCAGCTTCAGAACCCATTTGCATGAACTATAAACCCGTGTAGGTACAAGCAAATCGTCAAACGATTCACCCATTCAATTTAAACCACCCCTAATGACCGGTATTCACGCCAAGTCTCTCGTTTCTTCCAGCCAAAGAAGGTTCCTTGAATGTTATGTTTGTATGAGACTTATCAAGTTCCTGGTTCAGATCGATCTGCGTCTCGTTCTGTGCTTTCTGAACAGCAACAGAATCGTCATACTCCAAAACGTCCTCTGGCGTTAGCTTGATTGTAGTGGCTGGACGACGTAACATGTTGATAAAGAAGGACTAGTAGTTAGTGGAAAATGGTGATGCGCAATAAGCAGGAATGGCTGCAAAATACCATATCTTAGGAAAGTCCAGTGTAGAATGACTACTATTTGTAAAGAACAGCTGTTCTTTTTGCTACCTTTTCTCCAGCATCAAATGCTTAAACTATAAAATACAAACGAAGAAAGGCCTGGAAAGACCCAGTAGAGAACAGGGTATTAGGGTTATTTTGGTAAGGGTAGTCCTACTTAGTTCCAGCTAAGTCTGAAGTCTTGGTAGAAAGCACCCTTTTCAGTGTAATCCTCCAAATCAGTGACCTCCACAGTGTGGTTAAAGTAGTCGAAGCTGACGGTCTGGTTGTTGAATCTGACAGTGTTTGGCTCCTTCTCAACACCCAAGATGGTGATACTGTCCAAAGGCTGTTCGATATCGTAGTTACCGTAAGCAGAAGAAGTAAGCACACCGTCACCAGCAATAAACTCAACAGTAGTGGAGTTCTTGACTGGAAGAGAAATACCGTCGTCAGAGTACAACAGACCACTAGCAGTACCGTCCACGCCCAAAGGTACAAGAAGCGACCAGGAGTTGTTTCTGGACTCAGCGGTAGTGTAACCTGGGTCTTGCAATGGAATGATATGGCCACCACGAATGTGGAGAGGAATGTGGCCAAGAGGAGCTTCCAAAGTATGGTTCGTGCCATCGGTGAAGTTGGCTTGTTCGTGAGTGTACCAGTCGTAGTAGACGTCAGTGTAGTTGGCACCTGGGAAGACACCACTGACAGAAGACACGTTTGGCTGCAACACTGGAGTGACCAAAAGAGCCTCACCAACGAAGAACTGTCTGTCTGCGTCAGAAAGTGCTGGGTCGTCTGGGAACTCCCATGAAAGAGCCCTCAACACTGGAACACCAGTATCGGAAGCCTCCTTCAATAAAGTGTAGTAGTATGGAAGAAGCGAGTAACGAATATCCATGGTGATCTTGGAGTGGTCAAGGACATCTTCCCAGACGTATGGCTCCTGGTCAAGAGCGCCCAATACGTTGTGGTTACGGTAGAATGGGAAGAAAGCACCCAACTGCATCCATCTGGAACACAACTCCAAGTCACTATTACCGTTGAAGCCACAAACATCCACACCAAAGAATGGAATACCAGAAAGACCCAGAGTAAGTGCCTGTGGAATGGAGTAGTAAGCGTAAGTGAAGTTAGACCAGTTGTCTCCACCCCAGTGGCCAGCGTAAGCACCAGAACCAGAGAAGGTGGATCTAGAAATAATGAATGGCCTCTTCTTAGGAGTAATTTCCTTAAGAGCGTTGTAGGTGGCATTAGTCTGGAGGTAGCCGTACAAGTTGTGGATATCGTATTCCACGGTTCCATCAGCATGAGTAGCGTTTGGCGAGATAGCGTGGGCAGCCAAGTCGTGGCCTTCTTGGGCATTGTTGATAACGTATGGTGGGTAGTTGATGTTACCCTTACCGGAAGCCTTGTAGTTGAAGAACTGAGAAACGGTTCCGGAAGAAGAGTTTGTGTAACCAGTGGAGTTGGAGTAGCCAGTGGAGTTTGAAGCAGACGTGGTGTTCCAGCCAGTAGTAGCATTCCAACCGCCAGTGGTAGAGTTATAAATACCAGAAGTTGTGTTTGGAGAAGTCAATGCAAGCACTTGCAAGAACTCTTCGTACTCGGTTTCGTTTCTTTCTGGGAATCCCTCTGGGAACTGTTTCTGAAGACCACCATATTGGAATGGAGCCTGAACTGGGTTCTTTTTGAGGTTTCCAGAACCACAAGAGCCCACACAGAAGGAGGAAGCCTCGTTCATGTCAAGCCAAATACCATCGAACTCGATCTCCTCACGCCAGTTCTCAAGAGCACTCTTCCACCAGTCGTAAGTGTTGTTGGCTAAGAAATCTGGGAACACAGTGTAACCAGGCCACACAGCACCAATGTAAAGCGATCCGTCTGGGTTCTTCAAGAACACATCCTGGTCTTTACCATCGTGGAAAACAGTGTAGTTGTTGTCGGTCTCGTTGTCTGGGTTAGGGTGGTAAATGGCAGCATCAACCAATGGAACGTACTTCTGGTCACCATCATGAAGATCTTCAATGAAGCTCTTGAACTTGTCGAGAGGGTACCTGGCTGGGTCGTTGGTGAAGTCCTTGAAAGCTTCCATGTAGTCAAGATCAGTCCAGATGGTTTCAAGCTGGAGATCGGTTTCAGCAAATAAGTCAACTACTCCTTGCAAATCATCAACAGAACTGTATCCCCAACGAGATTGGTGGTATCCCAAAGCCCAGTATGGCTGAAGAGCAGGTTTACCGATCTCAGAAACGTACTGCTGGATGACATCCTTTGGAGTTGGACCAGCAAAGAAGTAAAGGTCAATGACACCATTAAGAGCTCTCCAAGTGAGGGCTTCCTCTTCAATGACAACCTCCTGAGGAGCAGAAGTTCTCCACCAAACACCGTGAGTATAAGACTTGTTAAGAGGAGTGAAATCCTCATAGAAACTCGAATTCGAGGCAGAAGCATTGAACGAAGACGAAGAGTTGGTCAGGTTGCTCCATTGGATACCTGGGAATCTTGTTTCGTTGACTGGACCGCTGTGAACGTTAGCTTCAGTCAAATTGGCGTATCTCTGATCAATATAGAATGGATGAACACCATAGATGTTTCCATCAACTGGGTTGGCGATATCGTTGGAGTAGAGGGTTCTCACTGTACCTGGAGGGTTAGTGAACCCCTTAATGGCTTCACCCAAACCAGTAATAACATGGCCTTCAGGAAGCGAAGAGTTGAACTGAACGAACTGGTTAGAAAACACCAATGGGTTTCCTTTGGTTGAGAACAAGACCTCAGAGTTGGTCTTACGAACAACCTCGAACCAGAACAGCTCGTTGACGCCAGAGTGTCTAAACACCAAGTCAGACTTCGAACCGAAACTAGTAGAATTCGAAGATTCAGGTTCAGGCACCAAGTCAGCTGGAAGCTGGTATACGTCAGTAAGGTTCTTAGGTTCGATATGGACAGAAAGACGGGAGTCGTTCTGGTGCTCCACGTCCAATTTCAAATAATCAAAATCGTAGCCGTAAACATCAGACTCCTTCTGCAAACGCAAGTATCCAGAAAGACCTCTAGCGTTTCTAGAGATGTTCAACAACTGGTAACCGGCAGCTTCGGCATTAGCATCAACCGAAGTCTCATTCAACACATTAGGGAGCTGCGAAACGCCCCAGGTCAATTCCTCAGGGAATACTCTAGAAACGTTCTGATTATCGGTAGCATTGGCCTGGAGAAGGTCTTCCACGAACGTAGAATTAGTAAGTGAAGTAGGCACAGTAGCCGAGAGGCCCACTGCTAAGCAGAGAGACAAGGACCACAATAACATGACAAACACGAAGATAATAAAAAAGTCTTAAAGCAGCTACAGGCCCGTTTGAGCCGTTTTAATAAGGACCCTCTTCAGTCCAAGTGGGGATCCAGAGGAGTTGCGGTCATTGCTCTTGAATACAATTGGGTTGCGTTAGTACGGTTTTCGCAACCGCCCGAGACCCAAGCGAGAGGCCGTGGAAGTGTGCTAGAAAGGTGTAGTAAACTGGAAACGACACAGAAACGCTGGAACTATCCTTTTTTTATATTCTCAATTATCTTCCATTCCCTTCTTCGTCATTACCTAAAACCTACGTTTCTTCCACCCTCTGTCACCTCCCACTTCTTTGCCATTGTTCTTGCTTTTGGCTGCGAAAAATATATCTCGTACATACATAGTGGAACCCTCAAAACCGCAAACGACCACAGCTCTACCGCCAAGCAGCACAGGCTTCCGAATCGAGCGGTCTGGTTTCTGGAAATGGGTGTTTTTCGTGATGTTATGACAGCGCCACGCAGCCGCAAGCGATGCGTTTTGAAGTCCAGAAGCTTTCGTGGTTCTGCTGAGGAATGGGCTATTTGCACTGGAATGGGTGGTTTACGTAGAAGTTGGGTTACATAGTGGTCTCTCTTTGCAGGTGCCCTTTTTTTTTTCTTTTTTTCTTTTTTCACTCTTTTTTATATTTCTTCTGGTGGATCTCTTGGCTTAGTTGTGGCTGAACTGGGTCTACTTGGATGTCAGTGGGTATTGTGTAAGATGCATCTGCTGATTGGAAGCATGGTCTGTGTTGCTTCGGCCCGGAACCCTCAAAAGCCGAGGCACAACAACGCAAGAGTAGACAGAGTGACAAGATGACAAGAAAAAGTGGATTTCACGTTCAAGCCTTTTTTTGTATCTTTTGTACCACTTTATTTCCTTGCCTCTTGCCTGCTTAGCTTACAAGTGTAGGGGTCCCACTGTGCGCTAGTTAAGCATTGTGTTATAGCAACGGCTGGAAAGCCACCCGGAGTTCACGGTAACTGTTGACGGTGAAGTTTTTTCTCCACAATGGCTGCTTCGTCTCCACATTACGTCATTTTGGATCTTCCAGAAATTCTTCTTTTCTGTCTTATCTACCACTCTGTCTCCATCTACGTCATTATCGTGTTTCGCAGCCGCGATGCCATCGCTGTGTAACTACTAAGCATATAACTGGGGCTCCGCCAATGTGTGGTATCTTTCTATCGGTGGCACAGTCGTTACCTTTGGTGGGTTTGGAATGCAGAGAATATGATGAAGGTGAAATTTCACTGCTAGTGGGGAATCGCTTGGATCTACAGACGGCTCTTTCTGATCATGATAAAGAGAAGGTGAAGAACGCTGATGCTATACGCCAGCGGAAACTGGAGCTCGGGAGGTTGAGCATGAAGAATCACAGTAAACGGATTGAAGAACTTGAACGCGAGATTCTGGAGTTGAGCGTGGTTGCTGGTGCGCTGGCGTTGGAGATCAGTGCTTCTTTGGATACTACGCTTGTGGATATCATGGCCAGAGGACCTGATTATGCTTCGTTGGTCGAGGAGAAGAGAGATGGGTGGTCACTAAGGGCTCTTTCCTCGGTTCTTTCGCTTCGACAACCGTTTACAAAGCAGCCTCTGGGCGATGATAGGTACATCTTTCAGTTCAACGGTGAGCTATACAATGAAGACTGTTTGGATGGAAACGATGTGAAATTTGCGTGGGAGAAGCTTTCCAGTGGGCTTCAAGGTGGTATAGATGAGCTTGCTAAAGCTTTGGGTGGGCTTCTTGGAGAGTTCGCTTTCGTGTTGACTGATAAGGTCAAGAAGAAGGTCTACTTTGGCAAGGACCATGTTGGAAAACGTTCGCTTCTCTTTTCCACTACGGATGGACTTGCTGTCGCCTCCGTTTTTAGCCATGGCCCAACAGAAGATCTCCAGGAATGTCAACCAGGCATACTCTACACTTACAGCATAGGCGACGGTACCATTTCAAAAACAGCATACCCACAAACATTGCATTCAAGTCCAATTAGAGGCAACCACTACGATAGTGAATACTCCCAGTTGGACACTCGTGTTGATAAACTCCACGAGCATCTTCAAAAAGCATGTCTTTTAAGACAACAAACAGTCCATCCGTACCACGCTACTAAGACTCAGGTAGCTGTTTTGTTCAGTGGTGGACTCGACTGTACTATAATAGCTGCACTTATTGCAAAAAACTACACTCGTTTAGATCATCCTGTCACTATTGATCTTCTTACGGTGGGTTTTGAGAACCCTAGAACAGGCCTTTCTCCACTGCAGTCTCCAGACAGACAACTTTCCGAAAGATCATGGTACGAGCTTTCGAAGAAATTTGTGGATACCAATGTATCGTTTCGATTAGTTCAGGTGGATGTTTCTTATGGAGAATGGCTCGCTCACAGAAGTAGGGTTTTGGGTTTGATCCATCCGACGTCTACCGAAATGGATCTTTCCATCGCCATAGCATTTTACTTTGCCAGTCGTCCTGGAAAGTTCGCTGCATTAAGAGCAGGACATTCATTCGATAAGTCTATTATATGGACTGATTTTCTCGAGAACAGAGACAAGTTCGTGGAGACAGAACAAGAGTACTTCTCCTCAGCCAAGGTTCTCTTTTCAGGATTAGGAGCTGACGAGCTCTACGGTGGCTACTCGCGTCATGAGAGCATATTTGACTCTTTAAAGGAAGGTTTTGCTGAGAATGAAATCCATAGCTTGTACGACGAGCTTTCTGCTTCGCTCATGTATGACATCAATGCCATATATGAACGAAACCTCGGCAGAGACGACCGTGCAATTTCAAGCTGGGGCAAGGAATTACGTTACCCATACTTAGACAACGACGTGATTGAGTTTTCCACCAATGGCATCGAACCGCATTACAAAATCAGACTCAGCTGGGCCAACATTAAAACCAAAAAAGGCGAGAAACGCGTTAAAGTCTATTCAAGAAAATATCTACTACGCCAGCTAGCACACAAGCTCGATCTTCCAATGGCGGCAGAAGAGGTCAAGCGAGCGATCCAGTTTGGCGCCAAATCAGCCAAGCTCGAGGTGGGCCAGAGCAAGACCAAAGGAACTGAAAAAGTTGCTTAAGGAATAAATAGAAAATGCATCAGCCGCCGTTCTGGGTAGCAACGGCCTGTTTAGCCTGGTCGTGGAGCTCCTCGACCCACTTAGGCTCAATGACAAGACACTCGGCTTCGGTCAACAAGTTCTCCTTGCTCTCCACGTATTCGCCAATATCACCGTCTATTTCAGCGTCCAAATCAAGCTTGAAAACCTGGCCCTTGGTGATACACTTGCGGCCCTTCTTGTTCACAAACGTACACTTGATCAAAACATACGAATTCACAAAGCATGGCTTCAAGTACTTGATGTTCAAGTTGGCAGTAACACCCTTCTTCGAGTGGAAGTTCTGGAACGCCACACGGCACGTCAACTCGTCCAACAACGTAGCCAAAAGACCACCGTGCACGATCTTTGGATGACCAGAGATCCTCGATCCCAAGTGGAAAAACGTGTATCCAGAGTTATGTTCACCTTCCTGGAGCTCGTCCACGTCGTCGAATTCCGTCAAAAACTTATCGTCAATAGTGTACAACGAACCCGAACGTAACCCGATCTTCTCAGGCCCCACAAGAGTATCGCCAGTCAAGTTTGGCCAGATGCTCTCTGAGATGTCTCCACACTTTTTGTTCAGCGCAGCGTGTTTTTCACTGAGGTGCTTGTAGAAATGGTAGATTTTATGGTTGTAAAGCACATCTGCATATTTCTGGTCGGCAACGATACCGGTGCTTTTTTCCAAGGTGCTATCGCTTTGAGTCATTGGAGATGAGTAGTAGTAGGAACCAGTGAAAGGTTGATAACGCGGGGTCGGCTGCGAAAAAGCACCATTTACCGAGGAACCTTTACTAAGGCTGAACATGATTAAGCTACAGGGGGTGAAATACTCCATAAAACATACTAAAAATTACTTATTACTCCACTGTCTTTTAGTACATTGTCAAACTCCTCTTTCCTTATTTCTTGAGCACCTTCTCGAAAACCTTATGGAAAGCCTCTTTACCGCCAGTCTCAAACACCAGACCATGGCACATCACTAACCTGTCGAAATCCCACTTGTAGATGTTCTTGATGCCTTCGGCTGCTGCTGAGCTGTTGGCGGCCTTGTTCATAAGAAAACGCCCAACTTTGCTGTCTGGATTCATGTACTTGGCTGGGTACGAGAATCCAGTGAATACACTGGCGCCTTCTGGGAACCCACTGTCCTTTGAAAACTGTTCGTTCTTGTCGTCAGAACGTAAATTGAAGAATAAGTCGGCCTGGAACAAACTCTTCAGGTTCTTGTCGTACATCACGAGCTCCTTATTGGTGTGTTCTGGAAGATACACGAACTCAAAGTTATCCAAGATAACCAGATCCTTGATGCCAATCTCTTGAAGTTTTTTGCTGTCAAGTAACACGTCCTTGTACTTCTCAGTAATTACATGGTCCACAGGCGCTTCAGAGCCCAAATCTACACCTTCCATGGCGATGATCTTCAACTGAGGGAACTCCTGCTTAAACGACTTTGCAGCCATCGTGTGTTCCTTATCTGGAACAATGACATACGACACCGAAGGCAGCTCTGAGCCTGAAGTCATCTCCAAAGCCTTCTTGACGCCGTCTCCGTACGGCAACGCTGACCATACCACAATTGAGCCGTTGTAGTTGAACAAGGCCATACGAGCGCCAAAGTTGATCTTATCGAACCGTCTGAAGCCACTGGAACTGAGGACGATGTTCTCGGTGATTTTCCTTGAAACCACCTTCAATGGGTCGGGATATGCCATATTTGCTAGATAACTGTGCTGTTTATGGCTTAAACTGAGTGGGTGAAGCTCGAGCTTATAAAGTGTGTCAAGGGTCCTGCAGATCTAAATAGGTCATTGGGTTGCTGTGATGGCTTTGGCACTTCTATGCATTTTAGTGTTTTTGTGGCAGGTGTCGCGTCGGGGCCATCGGAAGACAAAAGTCCCGATGAACTTAGGCTTGGTAGGTAATTACAATATGGTGGGGGAAGGAGAGATGAGATGAGATGAGCAAGAGGACCAGAGACATCAGATGGTGCAATTGACAGCGGTAGCCCTAGATATAGCTAAGTAAATATAAATCTAAGGAAACTGCTAGAACTAGAGAGCTTCGGTTACGGAACAAAATGGATCGTTGGTTCCGGGGTGGGCTGTTTGTTCCTCGGCTCTGGTGCTTATACGTGTTTTGCAGCCATTTTTTGGCGAGACAGATGCACCTTAGTCAGCCCTGCGATGGGCGTGAGTAAGCTGGGTATTGGAAGATGACAAAGTGGGGGGATAATTGGTGAATAAGCTTTTGGATTCTGGAGGGTAAAGGGTGGAGGATGTGAGTTGATTTTGTGTTTACGGTTTGGCTGGGTTTAGTTGCCGTGGTTATATGGCTCGTTTATGGTATTGCGGTTGCTTAACCAGTGCAGTTGGGTGGTGGTGGAAGTAAATGACTTCTGGGATGTGGAAAGTTACAAGTAGAGAAGGAAAGGGACTTTTGTTTAGATAAGTATGGCTAGAGTTTAAGGAAAGGTTCTTTGAAGAAGGGTTGCTGGGTCAGGTGGGCTTGGTTGTACTTATTTTGCAGCCATTCATGAAGACGAGAGAACCATAAAGTTTTTCCAAAAAGAGGTGTTTTCGATGTCTCCTCGCTTCAAATTTGGTCTTGAAACGTGGTATCGACTTGCTATTGACATCGTAGGAAACTAAGGTATCAGTGATTCAATATGAGGCTGTACGTATGGTAAGCACTGATGTATAAGACCAGCAAAGAAGAAGGCATCTGAACAACCCTAGTCCCTAGAAGTTCCCATAATTTCTCTTTTCTCTCCTATACTACTGTGAGGTTCACTAGTCTTGTCCTTTAGACCCAGAGAATCCAGTGATTAACTGAATTCATTGTCTCTTTCACCAGACAAGAAGTTACCATTCATCTTCCACCAAACCCCATCAACATCTCCCGTTTCAACCTCCAGCCACTCTTTCTCGCCCCTCTCGTTGTATCTTTTCGATCTAAGTATATACTTTGATTAAGCCATTCGTCCTAAGCCACGATCCAACCTCATCAACCCAGCCGTTCATGTTCGTCAGAAGCTATCCAACCGTTTAGCAGTTACCTTTCAACCGAGCATCATCTTATCAGAGCCTTCTTGGTCTTCACTGCTACTTTTTCACCAAGAAAAGAAACCCACTTCCTCTTAATTACCTCTATATTTGGCTGCCCCACCAAGGTAGTTCTCATAACCAACGACCCCTCTTGACGTCTGTACAATCGGACATTCCACTTGTTTTCCGGAACCAATGGAAACTAGGATACTCTTATTGAAACACTGTTATTTGCGTCTTCTGTAAGGTAGAGTGGGATGCGTTGGTTGTTCTCTAAAGACGTTGGAACTTATTCAAACAAAGGAAGCTCACAATCTACAATTTACCATCAATTACTGACATCAACTACCGAACCTACTACCATCACTTCAATACAAATGGCTTCATCAAAATGCTTGCATTATCACATGGCCATGTCATCTTCTCGTCCATCTCTTCACACCTCCTAGGCAAGCCTCAATTACTGTGGGTGCAAATTCATCCTGACCCACCAGCCTGACTCACCATCAACACTATTTGATCCCCCACGCCAACACTCAACCCAGCATCCTCTGACCCACCTCACGCCAAATCAACATCCTCATCCTTGCACACCTTCGCTTGACCGGATTTATCTAATGTACGTTTTCTTAACTGTGAGCCACACACCAATGAGATACAACCACCACAGTATCAAAGCAAAAGCCAGACTCATCAATGGTCCCTCCATCACCTAAAGACCCACCAAGTCCAGTGGCACACCGTACCAATCTAGCCCTGGCCAAACCGTATAAAGCCCATTCAGACTATTGTACACTGATAAGCTTCCTCATGACCCATGGTGCAGAACACACAAAGCCAAAGCGAGAGGCTCAGCCCTACCCAAATTCCGTCCCATCGACAGTCATAGTAAGAAATCAAGTAATAAAATGCTAGAAAGTGTCATCTTCAACTTCCACAAAACCACCATTCTTCCTTCTCTGGTCCCCCACCAATGACGTTTGGACTCACCGGTAAGCCGTTATGCGCTCATCGCTTGTCTGAAATTTTCCACTTCCACAGGCAGTCTATCATTTTCTCAGTACCGCAATCGGCCATCAAAAGAGGTCTCTTCTGTCCAGCTACCTCAACAAACTCACTTTATTTCCTCCAATCAGAATCCCCCGACCAGAACCCCCAACACCACCCTTCCTCTCCTTCTGCCTCCACTTCTGTCATGGCTGCAAAATTGCGGTGCACCCCCACGATAAGCCCCTCGCGCGGCACCGGTACTTACTATGCTGTATGCGGTGCGATTCCGGGGCCTATATAGCTCGGGCCGGAATAGTTGCTTCAACTTTCCAACCACACTTCTTTCTGACCGGTTTTGAATTTTTTACCATGTCGCTCAAAGACCGTGCTTCTGGGCTATACCATAATCTAGTGCTCCCGAACTTGGGGGTGCTGCTTCTTCTAGTGTCCCATTTCTTCAACTCCATCATGATTGTCACTTGCAAGTTGTTGGAGACCGATCCCACCACCAAAGACCATCCGATCCACCCTTTGCAGATCTTGTTTATTCGAATGTTCATCACGTACATTCTTTGCTTGGTGTATATGTTGGCCACGAAGTCTGTGGACCAGGCGCCGTTTGGGCCTAGAGATCAAAGAGTGCTTTTGGTGCTTCGAGGCATCTTGGGCTTCTTTGGCGTATTTGGCTTGTACTTTTCTTTGCAGTACTTGAGTCTCTCTGACGCTGTGTCCATCACCTTCCTTATCCCTATTGTGACGCCGTTCTTTGCCTGGATCTTCTTGAACGAACGTTATTCCGTGCTAGAGGCTGTCTGTGCTTTACTCTCTTTGGGAGGTGTGATTTTGGTCGCTAAGCCCGAGTTTATCTTTGGCGCTAAGACTCTGTCTGAAACAGACTCCACTGAGTCCTCTTCTACCGAGCTTAGACTCTTGGGTACCGGCGTGGGCCTTATCGGTGTCTGTGGCGCTGCTACCGTGTACATCGTGCTTAGAAAGATAGGCAAGCTGGCCCATCCGCTCATTTCCGTGAGTTATTTCGCCTTGACCACATGTATTGTCACATTCGTCAGTATCGCTGTTCTACCCTCGGTCTCGTTTGCTTTCCCAAACAGCGGGTACCAGTGGTTCCTCTTTGGCTTGATCGGTGTATCGGGCTTCTTGATGCAATTCTGCTTGACGGCTGGCTTGCAGAGGGAGAAAGCAGGCAAATCCTCCCTCATGATCTACTCCACCATGGTGTATGCTTTAATCTGGGACCTCACCATCTTTGGCCATGTTCCAGGCCTCTTGAGTATATTGGGCACAGGCCTTATTATACTTAACGCCACCATCGTGATCAAGTACAAGCCAACCAGTCCTTCCGACGACCAAGATGGTCCTGACGATTTGGAGGCGGTCAAGTACCTGAACCCCAGCGAAATTGTTTTAGACGACTTCATAGTCACCGACGACGAGTCCAGCTCGTAGACATTTATTATTACCAGTTCATTTATAGATTCACTTATACATTTTAACATCATTGCCACTCACCGTATGCTATCAGTCCAGCTGAGCTCGTTACGTAAGTTCTTAAGTTGGAGCATGGCCTCCACTGTGGATTCCTCCTTCTCAGCCACCACCTTCGCTTCTGCCGAGAGGTTCGAGATATTGCCCATGAGTTTTCTCGAATTGTTTAAGTTCACGTCGAGGTACTCCACCTTGAGTATATCATTGGACGACGGGTTGGAGGGCAATGCCCGGACCTGTTTGAGCCAGGACATGGAGTAGTAGGTGAGTGGAATGGAGCAGTGAGATGCAGGTGAGGTGGACAGAGGGTGGAGGGTAGGAGGGAAGAAGGTTGAAAGTGGGGGATATGTGGGGGAAAGAAGATAGTGTTGGGATGTTAATTGGATTGACTTTGTTTGATATTTGGTGGTTTTTTTGGGGTTTTTATTGGAGTTGTTGGTGTTTTGGGTGGACCCTTTGCAGGCTGTTACTGAACATTCGCATAGTACATACAAAAGGACCACTAGTTGATATCCAAGACAAAAAAGTAGCTTTTTTTATATATTGCCTCTTTCCAAGCTACCTCTCTTCCCTTGTGCTTCCTCAAAAGCTACTTTGGCCATTAAATGAGCTTTTTGCTCATTTATCAACGACCTTTCTCTATTTTGCAACCATTAGGGACTCACTTCAGCTAACCTTATTCTCCATATCTATATCACATTAAATTAATCTATATCACTCTTTATATCTACTTTTTTTTTTCTACTGGCACAACTCGTACACGTTGTTTTCCTTGAGGAACAGTTCAAGGTAGTTGGCGAACTCTTCCAAGGGCACCAAGTCTAAAGTACCCAATGGTGTCAGTGTAACCAACGGTTGACCGCCGTATAAGACTCTGACAAAGTCCTGGCCTTCCTTCTTCCAAAGCTCAAACACAACTTCGGCACCCATACCCGGCCAGCGCAAATAGTCAATTTGCAATGCTCCAAGTAAGGGAGAGATAGACCCATCATGGGCAATGTTATGGCGGTAAATGACCTCGCTGGAACCTGAAGCGGCTTCATTGAGGTGCTGGAGAACCTTTTGAAGGAAAATGCCGTACTTGGCAACCAGGTACAAGGTCAGCTGAGGTGCTTCACGGTACTGGTAGTTGTACTCATGGTCGCCCAAACGGAAGACTTGTTCTGCTTGCTTTTCAGTAATACACGTAGAAGGATCGTCTATTTTGCAAGGTAAGGGGAGCCCGTGGCACAACCTATGAGCCAAGTTGTCAAAGTAGTGGTCCCACGAGACGTGCCAGCCCTTGTTGTCTGGGTTGACTCCAGAAATGGCATCCAATTCGTTGAAAAGGTACTCTGATCTTTCAAGATGCTCATTCCAGCCTTCAGAAGACAAGATGAACTTCTTGGTTTTGTCTGCTCCAATACACAGATACTTTGGCTCTAAGTAGTCAGAATCAGCACGCTGTATGCTAACGTCCACGCTCTGTTGCTCTAGGTCTGGGTACATCCCGCCAATCAAAGCGCCAGCGACTTGAGACGTGATTTGGTTATTCGTTACCTGAAACTTAATCTTTTTAGGGTCAAATTCGTCCGGCAAAAAGCCCAACTTGCCATGGTAGTTCTGGAAAATGTCTATACCATGCTGACGTGAATCCTCCAAACCACCTTCGCTAATCTCAGGAAACTGGCAAGACCCATTGAACCCATACTGGTGAGCAAACGGGTTTTCTGGATCCACATAAGCGTCCCAGCCAATCTGGGCACTGTAGTTATGTGCAACCGCCTGGCCATAGTAGAAGTTGGTTACTCTATCGCAAGAAAGACCAATATCCTCCTTTGGAAACACGTTCGAAGCGTATGGAGTTCTCTTATGGTGGCGATGAACCACCTCCACATACTGAAGCTCAAACCCCTCGGGTTTCTTATACTCTGGGCTTCTCACATGGGGCATGTTACAGAAGTTGTATGCTCCATACTCAGGGCTATTGGAGGTGCTGTAGACTCCCCATTGGTGCCTCTTTCCGGGTTAAAAACCGTATCCAAATCGCCATAAGGACTGTCTGAGGGTGGATAGTGCTGTGGGTAAATCACAGCCTGGCAGCTATGAAGCAAGGCCAAAAGAGTGGTTGTTCTAAGCATAGTGTTGAAAAGTCTGGGGAACCGGTGTGGTTATATATGGTAGATAGTCCCCACGTGGGTAAGTAGCAACGCCAAGCACACAAAAGGGAACGAGAGGGCGTGGGCTGTATTAGAGGAAGCAAGTGAAGGAGGTTTATTGGATTTTCAATTAATTGCTATGTTTTGGTGATTCTTGGTTTGCAGCCGTTTGGGTATTTTGCAACCAAATGCGAGGCTGCGTCAAGATGCATAAACTACTGTAAGCCTCGAAGTGGATGGTTTGGTGATTTGGAAAAGAATATTTGGAAAGGCAGGGGAAATTGAGGGAGGTGATCAAGGAGGCGTGAGTTTATGGTTTCTGGAGTTTTAGCGTAAAATAACATGTATTAGTGGACATGGTGGTTGCTTGGAGTGGATCTATATACTTAAGGCCACTCACAGACAATGTACAGCTATTTATGGCCCTATCTCTTCAAAACTCACCAAAAAGAGAATTTGGCTCATTCAAGTAGTTCTTTTCAAGAAATCACCAATTATACGTCCATATCTTCATTTCTTCCAGTGGATGCTGGACTCCTTCTACCACACCTTATATGGCACTGCGCACTGAACAGTCTTATCGTAACCTCATCACCATGTCTTATAACGGGATTGGACTCCAGACACCACGAGGCAGTGGCACTTCGGGATATGTCCAGAAGAACCTTGCTGATAAGAAGTACCAGGGTTACAGGAAGAAAAGAGAGAGAGAACAGGAGGACGAAGAAAGGAGAGAGGCCAGGGCTAAACAGATAAGATCTAGAAGACTGGCTGGTGGAGAGATCAAGGAACATGATAGAAAGAGACGCATAGAGCTTAAGTGTGCTGAGCTACGAGACAAGTTGGAGGATGAGGACGAGGAGGATGACGTTATAGAGAAGAAGGTGGCTGAACTACGAGAGAAGCTCACCAAGGACACTACGGAGCACAAGGAGGCAGCCCAAGTGGTGGATGGAAATAAGAAGAACAGGGTGGAGGAGTTGGAAGAGACAGAGGGCAAGGAGGATGGTAAAAAGGCCGAGTCGCCTAAAGAAACTCCACAGTCAGACTCCAAACAGCCATCATACAGCTACGTCCCCAGGTACGGTGATCGATGATGTATTTCCACAATTAAACAATGCAATATCTAAGATTCGTCAGCTTTGCTAACAAGAACAGGCTCGTCGTCTTCGGGCGGCGTGGGCTTGTCTCTCAGCATATACTCAGATAACTCCCGAAGCTGCTCCTCTGCGAGCTCGGTAGGGTTGGACTCAGTCTCCTCTGCGTCTTCAAACTTGCCAGTAACGTCAGCAAGTGGCTTAGGGCTCGAGAAAGCTTCTCTGGCTTCTTCAAACCCGCTGTCGTCGTCGAATTCTTCAGTGCCTGAAGTGTTGGTCTTCGGCGTTTCGTTCTGAGACACCTTTTCCTTATTTATTATTTCATAGTCAGGTTCAACGTCGCTCTGAACATCATTCAATGGGCCCTTGTTTGTAGATCCACCGAGAGGTACCTTTGTAGCTTGTTCGACTTTCAGAAGTTCTTCTTCTTCATCTAGCGGTGGCTGCGTTTCTTGTAAGCTAGGAAGCTGTTCGACATCTTCTTCCTTGACAGGCGCATCGGCAGAATCATCTAAGACAGGGATGGCGAAACCTTTCTCGGTTGAGGTTTCCTTTTCTTGTGCTTCTAATCCAGTATCGGTGACTACTGGCTCAGAGGTCTTTGGAGAGATCTCCTCTGTCTCTTCAGCTTGTGTAGCGAGCTCCTCTGGCTTATCTTCGGCAACTGGGGCCTTGAAATCAAGCTCCCATAAGTTTCCATACGAGAACTTGAAGCGAGGTTCAATTGTAACCTTACTCTCTTGAATGGACTTTGGAAGCTTCTTACCTCTTGGGCCCTTGGCTCTTCTTGCTGGTGCCTTTGGAGCGGCATCTTCCTTATTTTCGGAAGCCTCTTGTTCAGGCTCGGCTGGCGCAAACTTCTTCAACATTTCTGGGTTGGCCATACCTGGCAATGCAATTCCAGCGCCCATCATATTTTGCAAGTTAGCGGCAAAATTCGTCTTGTCAGACGACAATTTACCTCTCTTCTCTGGTGCACTTTTTTCCTGCTCCTTTGGTGCTTCGGCAGGTTCCTGATTGAACATCTGCTGGAAAGCAGCGATCTTGGAAGAGAGCTTCTTGGGCTTTGGTGGTGGAGCCTTAGGCTTCTCCTTGGTGGCAGGTTTAGGTGGTCTGGAAGGAATAACAGGAGAGCTCCTCGATTCCAGAGCCTGGGATTCTGAACCGGAATCAAGCTTCTTTGGCTTGCCTGGCTTGCTTGGACGCAGAGGAATAATTGGCATCTTTGGAACGGATTCTTTCAGAGTTTCCTCTTCGACTTTCTGAGGAGATTCCTTTGATGGTTCCTCCTTCACTGGTTCCTCCTTCACTGGTTCCTCCTTTACTGGTTCTTCCTTGAAAGCAGGCTCTTCAGAAGATTTGCTCTCTTCTTCGACGGGCTTTTCAACTGCCTTGGGCTCAATTGGTTCGTCAACTCGTTGAGGTTCACGTTCAAGAGGCTCAATTGCAGTAGGAACTGTGGGTTCAGCCTCAGTCGTGCTTAATTCCTCTGGTTCAGCTTTTTCAGGGACCTCTTCGGACTCAACTGGAGACTTCTTCTCGTCTTCAACTTCTTCAGTTACAGGCTTTGGAGATTGGAAATCAGCAGCGGGGGTTTCAGAATGATCCTTCTTTGAAAGTGTTCCCTCATCCTCGCTATCAGTGAATGCATCTCTGGACGTCAAGTTCTCCTTGGCCAAAGATGTGTTGCTTTCCTGGCCCGTATGTTCATTCCTAAGAGAGCCAACATCAAGCTCATCCACATCAAAATCAGAAGGACTTACGTGAACGCTTTCAACATTGCTAGAGTCCTCCTTCTCGACATCAGCACTAGCGCTTTCACGTTGCTCCTTCATCTTGTTTCCAAGAAGCTCGGCAACGTCATCTGAAGAAGATGCTTCGGAACTCTTCTCTGAAGGTTCTGGGGGACTGAAGTGCCCGTCCCTTGGCGGGTGTCCATCAACCGACTTGGCGGTTTCGCTAACTGGAGCAGGAACAATATCGTCATGAGGATCAGAAGAAATCACGTCTGTAGACTCCTCAGAATCAGAAACGCTAGCAGGACCCTTCGTTCCCTCTTCGAAATCCAAAATCTCCAGTGGCTTTTCCCCAGGAACGCTCAGTGGAAGCGTTGGAGCCTTGACAACCTCAGAATCATCAATTGGATCCTTACCCGATTCGTTATCCGTGTCATTGGCATCATCAGCCACGTCGTCCTTAGCCTCCGTAGCAGCCAAAGGCCCCTTCTCTTTAGTTGGGCGTCTGGGTATGGAAGGAAGAGAAGGCTGATTTGGCGATTCTGGAGCCTCAGTCGTCTCAGGAACCTGCTTTCTTGGTCTGCTAGGAATAGCTGGCGCTGGCGAGGAATCTTCACGTTTTTCAGTAACATCTTCACCGCTCTTCACCAGACTTTCAGTCTTCCTGGGTCTCTGAGGAATAACAGGGACAGCTGGTACCGCCAGAGTGGCATGGTCCAGCGAGGCAGGTGCAGCAGCAGGCGAAACGTCCAGTGAAGAATCCGATTTCTTAGGTCTTGATTTGGGCCTTTGAGGAATTGAAGGCACAGGCGAGTCCAGCATGGCAATAAAGTAGAAGGGTTGTTTTCTTGGTGGTTGTGAGTGATTCTGGGGTACACCTTATTTATCCGATCCTGGAGCAGTTGTATCCAGGAGGGTCCCTGGAAGAGAAGAAGATGGGTGAAAAAGGTGGAGTGGGTTTATAAAAATAGAGATACTAAAGGGAAAGTATGTAATTTGGGAAGATATTTTGAATTGAGTGGATTTGGGGTTTTGGGGTTTTGGGGTGGAATGGCGGTGGTGTAGTGTGGTCGCTTTGGTGCTGCTGTGGCTGCAAACGGTAGTCACGCTGAGGAAGATAAGACAAGAGGGAAGGTGAAAAGAAGTAAAATTGAGTGCAAATTACGGATTATGTTAGAGAGACGATTACGTATGGAGGGTGTTTGAAATTGGCTTGTATGGGCCTGTTTTGGGTGTTTTGAATGGGTTGTTGCTCACTAACTACTGGTGAGTGCTGTAAGGCTGATAAGCAGATGGCGAACGTTAGATTGCTTCTTCTGTTCTACGTAAACTTTCTTTTCTCTTTTTATTCGATGATATATAGTATTTACCGTAACTATAAACATACTACTGCGTTTTCAGTTGAACTACTATTGTGCTTGGTTCCACAACACTACCTACGGTACCGTTAGACGGCTTCCAAGATACCGATAATTACGTACTTACTATAGATTTATGCTTGTTTTTAACGGCTTATTATTAAGCTTAAAGCCCTGCCTCTTTAGCTTGTCTGCTTGTTTTGATAACCATAGTGAACCAGGTATCACCGTATCTCTACACAATCAGGAACGAACCACCAAGAAATGGCTCCTCCAGGAACAAGTACACCACCAAACCCACTCTCGTCGCCTTTCCATCTCGTCCCGGCTAAGCGGGGCCAGATTTGTTTAGGCCCGAAAGCCACCTGTTCTTCTCAGCCGGTGGGTGTTAAAGTTACCTGTTTGATCCATAATCGTACACGTTACATCTTTCAAATACTCTTGTCACGTACTCCTGAAGCTCTACTTTCTTCCGGTACTTCCAAAGGTCATTCATTTTCAATACCTTCCGTCGCCATCTTCTCGTAATCAAATGCCTGTCCATTGACCACAAAGACTCTACCCTGACTACCAACACCATCAATACTTTCCAAGCAGGGACCAGTTCGGCCATAAAAAAATTCCAGGCCTGTAGAAACGCTCCGGTGAGTTCAGCTTGCGTGACCACTTTTTCAAATCGCCCTTTATTCCTTCCTTCCTCGACCTACCACTTACCATTTATCAACACTTTTCTCAGCACAGCCCAAAAAGGCTCCTTCGTAGATTTAGACTTGCCTATTTCCAACGGTCCTAGGGCTCCTTCCAGAACCCTCTACGGCTCCCTGAAAAGCATAAATAGAGGGCCTTTCTCCCACTTTTCTCTTCCTTACCAACCACTTTCACACAGCCAAAAATGACTAGATATCCATTAGCTTTCCGCCTTTCGACCACAGCTCAAGCCACTGCCACTAAAGGCGCCAAAGCTCAACGTAAACGAGACCGTTTTACTCAAAGTATTTTTAGGAGATTCCACAGAGTCTCCAATAAAGTTGGATCCTGGTTCCATAAATCAGAGTCCAAAGTAACCTTTGCAGGTTCTTCCAGTAGTTTGGAACTTGCTGAAAAGCATGCCACTGCTCAATTGGTCAAGCTGCCAACAGAGCAAACTGCTTTGCTGTTAATGAAGCAGATGGAGAAGTTGTACCTTTCCCCAGGTTCAGGTTCAGACTTCTCTGAAACTTCTACATTAGCATCTACACCTAAAGAGTTCCTCAAGGAGAAGACTAACCTTCCAGTTTTGGTCTCCAAGTGCCTTTGTGAGTCCCCCAACAAAGGATACGCTTACTTTGCTATACAAGCCAGACAAACCGCCAAAATGAGCCAGAAGCTTCTCACCTGGGAGGAGCCCCAGGTTGATGAGTGGCAGGTTGTCAAGTCTAGACGCCAAAACAGGAAGGTTGAAGTTTCTCTCTCGCCAGCTCCTGTTGTCATCCCAAGTACTCTCAAGAAGATGACAAAGCAGCAGAAGATTAAACTTGGCAAGTCCAAGGAACCAATCTTCGACACCAGCAAACACAAGAAGGTGAACATCTACGAATGCCTTCTGGATTAGGTGGACCAATGAAGTCCACAAACAAAAAACAAAAAACTAGAAGAAACATAAAAGCATAAAAAATTAAAAAACTAGAAAACAGAAAAAAGTAAAAAAACTAGAAAATAAAAAAATAAAAAAAAAGTACCCACTACTTCAATTAAAGTAGCTACGCTCTCTTTCATGATCCTTTATTCGCCATACGGCAGTCCTATCTATGCAGCAACAGCAGGGCGTCCTTTGCCCTCCATCATGCTTACGAGTAGTTCAATCTGAAGATATCGTTGAAGACGTAGTAAGAGCTTCCATCTGGAATCAAGTGGAACACCTGGGAGTAACGCTGAGCGTTCTGCTCCTCGTCAATCAACAACTCACCGGTGACCATAACCAAAATGTCACCCTGAGGAGAGGCAGGCTGGGCGTCCAAAGTAGAAACTCTGTGGGAAACCTTGGCGAATGGCAAACCAGCCAACTTCTCCACAATGTCCTTGGAACCCTGCAATTGCGAGGTCTCGAAAGTCAACATGGACTGCTCTCTGTACAAGTTACCCAATTGGGATCTGTCGGAGTCGAACTGCTGGTAGTAGAAGTTACAGAACTCGGTGGCAACGGTGTTAAAATCGACTGTGGTGTTAGTATGGTGTAAATAAGGTGATGTTACTTGAGATGGGCGAATACTGGGTCAAAATGAACCGTTCTTTGACTAACAGAATCAGAATTTAATGAGTAATCTGATCAATTAGTCCACTTGCTCAAGCGATAAGGGGTTCACATACCTGACATGGTTGTGGTTGTGGAATGATGAAGCCAGGAATTTTTTTACTCTCCCCAATGTCTAGTAGTAAGGTGTGTGCAGTACGTTGATAATTTACTGAAGCCCAATGCCTTTGATCTACGTTACCCCTGACTAAATCAGTCCGTTCATTGTATAACCATAAAGAACTATGAAATGCAAAGTTGATGCTGTAGTCTCACCTTTTCTATATGTCATTGTTTGGGTTGGCGGTGCACGCAATCTCGCTCAACCCATTTTCTATAAGGCGGATTCAGCAGGAAATAAAGCGCCAGTCAGGCAAGATCACGATGAAAGGAACCAATCCTGAAGGGCTACACTTGCCATGAATGTAAGCTTTTCACTGAGCTTATACAAGCTGCGAGTAGTCCTTCAAGATACCCTTCATATGGGTATTGGTGATCTTTCCTCTTCTGGCCTTCTTCTGCTTCTTCTCCTGCTGTTTTGGCTTCTTGGAAACGATGTTTGGATCGGCACCTGTTGGCTTCAACGACTGGTCGACCAAAGCCTGGTAGAGGTTGTCGGGTTCTGGAATCTTGATCTTGTTCCACATATCCACAAACTCCTCATCCAATGTACCAATCTCACCGCCCAAGTTGGCCCACACAAGCCTGGGCGAGTTCTCCTTCTTGTTCCGAAGCACCAAAATACGGTTACTGTCCTCAAGGCTCTGGATAGCCTCCATGCATCCAGACCAACCGTCTTTGAGCTCCTTTACTGGAGTACCCTTAAACGTAGGCTGCAGACGAAGGAAATCAAGTAAATCGTCAGCATTCCGGATGTTGTGAAGCGACATGTACTCCAAAGTGTTGCTGGAGGAGTCAAACTTGATCCTGTCAATTTCCTTCAACAACGGAAGCAAAGCCTCGGTCACATCCGTTCCCAAATAGCTCTCAAGCTTATCAACAGGCACTGGCTTGTCCTGCTGCTTGATATACTCCACAGCCAAGTGGAGTCTTGTGGAAAGATGTGAACCAGACATACTAATGTTCAGCTTGTGTTTCTTACCAGACAGGAAGGATTCGCCTGCAACCCTTTTCCTGTCATTCTCAGCAAAGCTGTAGTTGCCGTTGGAGCCGTTTGCCGAAGCCAGAGGCGTTTTGGGCGTCAGGGACTCCTGGTTGGCAGGTTTTGGAGTGACTGCTCTTCTGACAGCCACGGAAGGCCCGCTTCTGATTCTGGACTTGAATGCCGAGAGCTGCGAGGAGAGATCTGACATTCTAGGGGAATATGAGCTCTTAGTTTAAGGTTGTGTTGAGGTTGAAGGAGAAGCTTGCCTTAAGGAGAATTTGTCATGAACATTTCTTTCTAGTATGGTGATTGCGTGGTGCACGGGTGTGGGTTTGCCAATCCAGACCACACTTAGAGGAAGTTCCAAGTAGAAATGTTGTCTACTACGTATAATTGACAAAAGCAGGCCGTAAGTACATTCTGAATTTGCTTTTCATATCCTTTTGTTTTTTTGGATTGTGGTTTTTCATGTTTGGTATGGTACAAATGTTGGGTTTCCGTGCTTGGTATGGCTCAAAGAGGCATTGTGCAACCATAGTCATGCGGCCATGGATCGCCAGTTAAACTTGAACAAAGGAAAAAGACAAAATTCGTAAAATCCCTCCTTCTTCCTCCATCAAGATCAAGTGGTACCCATAGAGGACTAAACTATTGACCTAGTAAGGGTCGTGTGCAGACCGGATGGCTCCATACTGTCATCGCACTGAAAAATCAAATCTTTTTCCCCTTCTTTTCTTCCTCAGGATCTCTTGCTCCAACGTCGTTGCCAAGGCATTAACAAAGACCTTCGGGTCTGAGCCTAAGCGGCGTTAGTGTAGGGTTTCCCAGATAAACACATATTGTGAAACCAGCTCTAAAACCATCGCTGTTGGAGGTCGCCTGCCTAAGGGTACGAGCTGATCCATGAAACGGTGATGACCTGAATGTTGGAACATACTTCTTTTTTTTTTTTGTATGGCTTTTTAAGCAAAGTAGTTCTCTCCGGGCCTGCCCATTCTGTCACGTTCACGGAGCATGTACTCTTCGAAGGAGGGAAGGAGCTCGTCGTTCAAGATTTTATGAACAAGTTTCCTGCCTTTGCGGGTCTTGAGATCAATTGGCTGGGCCCAGCGAAGGTTCTTGTTCATACCTGAATTGCTCAAGTCGAGTACCATGGATTTAGACGAGCCAGCGTCTTCTTCTTCTTCTTCTTCTTCGTCATCATCCTCTTCATCAAGCGGTTCAAGCGGTGAAAAGTAGTTATTCTTGAACACAGTGCATTCTTTACCTTCGACCTTCTTGCGACGAAGGTCCGATGCAAGCATGTCACCAATGAATTGCTTCACCAAACGCAAGTTGATCCAGATCATACTTGATAAGTTGATGTTTTCCAAGGATTTGGTTCTCTTACACATGGAACTGAGGATTTCGGCTTCGTTTATAGTCTCCAAATGAGCGCTGTTGATCGACTTCAAGTTCAAGTCACTCAAAAACACAAGTCCATCGCCTTTTGAAAGGTACAGAATATCTCTGACCAGCTTTGGAAGTGGCGGGAGCAAACTGTTGTACTTTCTGATTGGCTTGGAGAGCGTAGACAAGGAGAAGACCGAGGAAGCCGAGGAGGTTAGATCATGGGGCGATTTACGCATCGTGTCATTTGGGAATAACAAGTCAGCATCGGCCACTGGGTACAAACTATCGATTGTTTCCATTGTTTCTTTCGAAAAGTTGTTCATGATATCGAAGCCTTGGTACTTTTGGGACATTTTTGGGGTGATCAAGTAATCGGTGGAAAGTGAAAGGTTGCCGAAATTGACCGAACGCAAATTGGGACACATGTTGATCAAATGGATGATATAGCCAATCGGCAAATCCTTCAGTGACGAGTAGTTCATCAAGAACTTGTTGATTTTTGGATGGCTGGAGTGCTGGAGGAGCCATTGGATATTCCTCAGGGGTCCAGGATGTGGTTTTTGATCATCAGCATGCTCAATGCGTGTATGAGATCTTCTGCGTTTCTTGAAGTAGCTCAGGAACTTCCGTTTCTTATGTGATGGAATAGCACCAGGCGAATGTGGCAGAATGGCTTTGGTCAATGGCGTTGCCGGGAGCGGATGCAAAGTGTATAAAGGGTTATTTGCAAACTTCCAGTCACGCCAGCCAGCCCAGATAGCCAAAATGTCCTGAAACATATCAGACTCGTTATCTTCCTGGTCATCATCGCTTTGAGCCTCCAATTCCCAGCTTCCAGGTTTCAACTGGGACAAGTCCACCTCAAGCACATGCATGCCCAAGGCCGAATTGAGCCGTAGGTAAGTGATAAACTGTGCAAAGCGGTAGGTGGAAGTGAATGAAACGTAGCGGAACAAGAACGGCTTGGCCATACGATAAAACGTCTTGGATGTGTAAAGACAGTTCTGATACGATGGAGTATCGTTGACAAAGCTAAAGATCCTGATTTGCACTTCTTCAGGGAGATCATTAAACGAAGTCAGCGTAGGAGCCGGTCTTTTGCGTGGAGGGGACAGTTTTGCCGAAACCGAAGGCACTTTCCTGGAAAGCAAGGACGCTCTCATTGAAACGTCAGAAAGCAACAGCTTATACTTCATTTTGAAGGTGGCCCTGGGCATTTTCGGGAGCTGGTAGCCCAGCAAGATCTTGCTCAAGTCCAGCTGGGAGAACTGAACAAACGAATGGGTACGGTAGTCATATTGGGCTTTCGGGTCAACTAGAGACCGGTAAGGAGGAAGGTGTTTGCGGAACTCCACCTCCATGGAGTGGACAGCAAAGAAAAGGTTGGTGGATTGGGTAGACAGGGAAAAAGGTTGAGCTTAAACGGGGAAAAGCTGAGGTGGAAAGTTAAATCTGGGGAAGCGCAGGTGGTTGGCAGCAACAACGAAATGAAAGGTGAAAGAACAGAAAATGGCAAGTGGAAACCGAATACGTCAACCGAAATTGAAGAAAAAGAAGGATTCTCACAAGACGTGGGGCAGGGGCGGTTATATACGTTGCTTCCCTGAGAGGTATTGTGATAGCAGCGCCGCAGTGTCTGCGGTTGCACAAGACAAGTCAGTGAGGGTAAACAATAAAAGAAGGAACCAGGAGCAGCAAGAGCAAAAGATGACAAAGGTAGGTGGAGCAAGGAAGAAGGGAAGAAGAAAGAAGGGAAAAGGTGACAAAATGAAAGTATGAATAGAATATAGATCTTTAGTTAGAGGATGTAAATTTGAATAATCCATGGAGTGAACGGCACTGGACATTTTTCAGATTCTTGCCAGCCTTGGCTAAAAGTGAGCGCGAGGCCTCGGGGCCCCCCTCGTTGTTGCTTTTGGCTGTTTGGCTCTTTTTTTTAGCCTGGTGTGTGAGGATAGGGGCAGAGGCGAGGCAGGCCCAGAAAAAACGAGGCAGAAGAGGAAAGAGGTGGAAAAAGAGGAAACAAGAGGAAACAAGAGGTGGATAGGCAGTGGAAAAGAGATAAATGGCAGAGGTAGAGGGATTGGAATTAATTGGAGGTAGAGGGATTGGAATTAATTGAGTTTGGAGGTAGAAGGGAATTGGAATTGGAGTTGGAATGTGAGGAACGTTTGGTATGGAATTTGAAATTAGGTTATTTAGTGTTTATTGGAATTTGGTTACCTGGTTAGCTGGCTACTTGGGTCCTTGGTGGGTGGTTCCTGGCTTGTGGGGGCGCTCGGTTTGGGAATTGGGGGGGTGGGGCGGGCGGACCAGGAGAGTTTAGAGCTGGTGCTTGAGGTGTGTTGTTTATTAGGCACCTGTTTTAATTTATTGATTAATTTATGGTTAATTTTTTAGGTTTGGAGTTGAAAGGAGGGGAAGCGAAGGAAAGATGGACTTTTGTTGCTTTGCAAAGATACCCAGGTGTAAGTCAAGGGTCACTTGCTATGGGGCTTTGTGCTCTGGTTGGGAGCGAATGTAGAGGGACAGGAAGGAAATGGATAGAGATGGTGGTCACTGAACTGTGTAGATAGGACTGGCTGGGCCTGACTGGGCCTGACTGGGCCTGGCTAGGCCTGGAATTGTGGTAGATCGGGAAGAGTCAATTTCATGGTTTACTGTGGATCTATGGTTCTAGAGTTGTGGAATCGCTCCAGGGGTCCCTAGGCACCTGGAGAAGTAGTTCCAGACAACACTTCATGAGGGGCACTCCAGTATGGACATTTGGGAGAAGCACTACGATTTAGGGAATCTGGGGATTGTGTTTGTTTAGGTGAAACAGTAGAGATACTGGTAACTGTATCCTTCAGGGCCAATGTGAGACACACAAAGCCCCCACCAGGCCCCCACTGAGGCCCCCACTAAAGGTATTAGGGGTCCACTGAAACACCAGGCACTTGTTCACCGCATCCTCTCCATTTCTTCGTTGTGTGGCATGCAATTAATAATTTTTCTTCCCGCCCCTTCATCGGCGTTTTCTTTCCAGCCATGTGTTTATATTTATGCCTGTTCTAATTATTCTTTTTATTTTATTTTATTTTTATTTATTTTTTTTTTTTTTTTTTTTTTTTGGAATGGCTGCGAAAAAAAGAGGTCCACTGTGGCGCTGATCCAGCCAATCCGCTTATCTTATCAGTGGGGGAAACCAGACCCCAAAGCACATAGGGTTAATGGAATGGCCCAAGAAATGTATTAAACACGGGGTTCAATTTGTGGATATAGAATTTTTTTTTTTTTTTTTGAAGAAAAAGAAATTAAATTCAAATTAAACACGTCTTTTTGTTTTTTGTTTGTAAATTTTCTGTGTTGTCGCTTTTCGTCACCGGCTGGCACTTCTGGTGAGAAAGTGGGTCTAGTTTTTGCAACCACTGGTGATTCGCAGGAATCATCTTCCCACGTTTCACCATAAACCGCTAACTTTAGTATACTAAGAATAAAATCCAAAAAGAGGATGGAAAAATCAACAAAAAAAAAAAAAAAGGAAAAAGACAAACACACGTTGTTTTGTTTTTGATGGGGCAGTGCAATGGATAGGAGAATAGGGGCATGTAGTTGAGAGCTGGTGGGTTATACAGTAGCACTGCTTGGTTTCACCAAACACTAGTACACTTGAAGTTCTACAATAAGAAAAAGACATAAAATGAGGATGAGAAGGAATTCCTCTTTGCTCCATCCATTGACTTACAGGTGATGCGGGTTATTCTTCTTCAACATGGAATTGCCAATGCATCTTGCACTACCTCCATTCACATAACCAGCAAATGCCACATATACGTTTATTCCCTCCACCCCAATGCATACCCATGGAAGTTCGCTAAACCCAATAAATCAATCGACAGCAGCAATGCTTTTCCTGCCTGTCCCATGGTTACGACCCCAGGCAGTTGCTCTCCCAAGTATCCTTTACCATCTTTCGCAGCCATCCAAGCACATCACTTATCTAATGCAACAAGGGACCAATCCTTTCCCGTTTACCTCTTTTGTGATCTCATCTCGGCAACCGTGCTTTAAAAACCTTTTTATTAAAGTTTTGAGGCGATTCTGACGCGTTAACTTACGGTGCTGCTCGAGATGCGTCCACAGCATCTCTAAACCTTATTAAACTACTGGATCTCGCTAAGCCTATAATGTGTCAGAAGTGAATAGCCGGCTTTTCTTTCGGTTTTTTAGGGTTTAAACTGGGCATAGTGCATTGCATCTTCTATTCACCGGCCTGGCGATGCAATTTGCTCATGTAGTGCTCTCTGAGCGGCTGGTTTACTACTAGGATGCAATTTTAGCCGAACAACTTTTACGGGGATGCTTTTGTGACATCTCATTGGATCTTTAAAGTCAGTTTTAATGAAAGCAGTTGTACAGCTGACAAGAAAAGGCAAAAGCATCGCTGGTGCATGATATCTGGGAAAAAACAATCGGGAACATGGCGCCATAGCTATTGTATTAGAGTTTTGAGAGACGTTTGGTTTTGAGACAGTTTCGCTTATAAAAATGCCGTTGCAACATGAAACTGTGTGTATTGGATCTGTTTTGTGCCTCCTATCTTGGGTGATGAGGCAGCAAGACTTACTCAGAGTAATTGACGTAGTCCAACCGACCTACAAGTGGAATTACCCTCTATCAGGTTTGTGAAACCTTTTGTATCACAATTAGTGGGAACTTTAAAGTCACACGATTTGAACTTTAATGCTTTTGAGCTGGGAGTCTTTGCGTGGTATACTTGCTGTATTGGTATTTGTGGAAGTACTGTAAGGCTGCTGTTTGATGCTATCCATCCAGAAAAGGTGATGTTTTGAATTCCAAGAAGCGTTTCGGGTTGCTGTAACAACTTGATATTTCGTCATGGTCAATGCTTTGAAGGTTATCTTTGTGATTCTCGGAAAGTTCCGTAAATTAAACCAGACAACTGTTTTAGTAAAAACTAGTTGCACAAAGAGCAGTTCCAATACCGGCATTAACCGACTTTGCTTTATCCGAGTGGAATTTCACTGCCAATGTCTTAGCAGCCAGGCTGGGCCAAACAGAGCCTAACTAAAACAAACACTGTAAATAACTCATCCATAGATTCCCCTTCACTCTCCAGATGTAACTTCTCCCCATCTACCCAACGTTTCAAAGGTTTGCCTAAGCGCATACCTGTCATCGTCTTGTGAAAGGTAAGTTCTCCTGGTATTTGGGATCGCTGGGGAAGATCGATTGTCAAAGTCTAAAACAAAGCCGGCTTTAGCGTCTGTCGAGGAGATTCTAGAAATCCTGGAGAATCTTCACGAACAATAGCCAACAATACACCATAGAACAGCATCCGTATTGGAAGATCGACACTTTCTATTGCCCGAAGTATCTGTAATACAAGTAGCTTGGGCACGGCAAAAATGAAGCTGGTGGAAAACGTGGGACGGATCTGTGGCTGTCTTGGTTGTTGGAAGCTTATCGAAGTAAGTGCTTCTCAGCTGGAGATCTTGACTATTGTTTAGAACGACGATCGTGGGAGATGTGCCAGCTTTGATCGGGAATGATCCTACCAACAATGTAAAAACACTAGTAGCAAGATTACAGGGTCCTCTTGATCCTGTCCCGTATCGTAAACATGTCCTGTTCTGCTATGCCTTGTTGACAACCGTACTGTGGGAGACGAGAGTAAAAGCGACTATGGTAACGCTAGACCGGGTAATTTTTTTGGAGGTTAGGAGTGAATATTTCTCGAAGCGCTAAAAAAGACCTCCATTTTCATATATCATAACCGTTGTCGAATTTATGTAAAGAATGGTGGTTTCAAGTGGCATGCGCAAGCCATACAAGCAACTCCCACCCAATAAGGTTTGTCAGTGACCATGACAACGTAGTACAAATGAGCTCTAAAACTGCCAATTTTCTGAAAACTACTACTTTTCTTTATCCCTTATTTCTTTGTTCGTCCATCTGTTTTGCTAAATCCACCGCCATGTAACATCAACAAACACTCCCACATGCAACCATGGACTTCCGGGCCAACAAGCATATAAAAGTGGTCAGATAATTCTACTAACGCTAAAAAGAAGCAAGGCACAGCAGCATCGTGGCAGGGCTCAAGACGGGAGAGAGATGGAACATGGTTAGATCGTTTCTGCCAGCGCTTTTTTGCCGACAAGGAGAACAAGAGATAAGGGCTTCTTTGCAAAGCAGATGCTTCCACGGCGTTCAGATTCTGTGCAAGTTTGTTGCTCGAACCAGAGCCCAGAGGACCAAACCGTTGAAGAATTTTTTACCATCTTCTGGTTAGGTTGGTAGAGTGGGATAATGGTTTGGGCGGCACTTGACTACTGGACAGAGGCCTGTGAAGGTT